AATTGGATGGACAGAACATACAAGACAAGCACATCTCTCTCTGAAATCCTTCGCTGGTTCACTTGGTTTATGACTGCCATCAAGTCTGTCTCTCCCCGTGCGTCCAGCGAGGATTTGACCGACACAATGACTGCTGACTCGCTAACTCGACTCAGAAGCTGCTTTGAGCCAAAGGTTCCGATTCAAAACAAAAAGGCCAAGATTGAAAAGTAGTATGTCATAATAAATATTTTATTTGCTTGAAATTTAATCTCAATTCTAATTACCAAATTTCTGTCAACACTCTGGTAGATGAAATCTCATCAAATTTCAGCGGACTCTCGCCAAAAAACTGGTATCATTCGGTGCTCTATACATACTACTCACGACATGATCAGTTTGTGGTATCATACAGCCATGCAACTGACAAGTGATTGCAAGTATGACTGGTAGTTACACGTACAAATAACACTGGTTGTTATCAGGTCATTGATGTATATGGAACAAGTCGTGTCAATGTATCAATCAACAATCCAATAACTGTTGATGTAATACCCAACACAGTATACACAAACATACAGTATTCAATCAATAATATGATTGTTGACCCATTCATAATACTCGACAAATATCAACACACCAGAAAGTTTAAATTTATTCATTAACAAATTGATTGACACATCATCAATCTGAATCTGAACTCGACTCTTCTGAACTCGAATCTTCATATTGAAACCCAAAAAATTTCATAGCCTTTTTCACTTTTTGTTTGATACTTTCTAGTTCTCTTTCTGCTTCTTCACAATCTTCTTCCAATTGTTTTTTAGCTTCTGGGCTGTAACTTGGCTCAGACATACCTTTTCCTTTTCCTAACCCTGCCAATTGAGTTAATCGATAAAGTGCACCATCAGAATAGGCTTGGTTTATGCTCTCTTGCAATTTTTTAAAGTCTTCAACTTTTTGCTTTAGACTATCCAAGGTTTTCTGGTCTTCTTCGCTTAATACAGCCTCTTGACTTGGAGCAGTATTTCCCGACTCTTCTTCGTTCATTGGCTGTTGCTGGTCTTGATTGGAAGTGCTTGGACCGGGTTGATTCATCGATTGTTTCCGACTTCGTTTTGGAGCACTTGGACCAGGCTTACTGATTGGGCGTTTTCGACTTCGTTTTGGAGCATTTGGACCAGTTCGATGCAAGTATTGCTGGCCTTGTCCGGAAGTGCCTGGTTCAGGTTCATTGGTTGGACCAGGCACTTGACTGGAAGTGCTTGATGCCTGAGCTGAGTCATTGCCGTTATCTGAAACCAGTATTGCATTAGCGGTTGCTGCCGCGCTCAGTACGAACAAAATGTCAATGAACTTCATTAGATTGGTGGATGGGCTTAAAAGATGGTTAGATGAGCAGATTGTTGATTATAAAATTGAATGTACTTGGTTGTATTTGTATGTTTTGTATAGCAAACCAACCCTTTTAGGTTAACCAATTGTACAGAGTTATTTGATTGTTTGTAGCGGTTTACTATCAAACTAGACAATATGATGCTCCCTAATCATAATATCATATTGATCAATTTGATGATCGTGTCAATTGTATGATGCTTTTATGACCGTTTGATCAGGTATTTTGAAAAGCACCCTTCATGAGTGTTGTGTGGCCGCAAACGTTTTGTTTTACAACCGTATTCATGTAAAATGGATCACTTTGATATTCATCCTGAAATGACTGTATTCTGCATTGCAATATACAATAGTTACTACACATTGACTGTATTGCGTGTTTGATATACAACAACCACCATATGACACACAATCAGACTATATTGTCGAATCTACACTTTGTGCACTTTTAGTAACCATGCATTGTACGATCATCAAGTCTGAACCCATATCCATGTATTGCAATCGATATATTGTGTTTGATTGTCAATACAACTCTGTACACACATTTGTTGTATTCTGAATCTCGGATACGATCGCAATCTAGTTCAACAACAATGATGACACATGCCAGTAATGCAACTGTTGTTTGCATGTCAACATTGTTATTTAGTGGTCCATTTACATCAATATGACTGCAAGTTGTCGTTATATGACGTATTCTGAGCATGGTTTTGATATTACGCATCCAGTTCCATCACATTGTTGCTGACCCATCATTGTAATGCTGTATGTATCAAACACTGGCATGTCACCATAACCATAACCACAATCAGTAAAATGACACTCGAGTTGTTTACTGTGATCAGTATATACAACCCAGTGTGACTACACATACTGAATCCAGTCTGTTGGTTGTTCCAGTTGATCTTGATTCACTTTTGACGTTTTGTCCGAGATTGACAATACAAATGTGTCGAGCTGAACCCAAACTACGCGACTCGACTGTTGGTTCAAACTAGTGCAAGTTAGTACTTTTGATTGTACACATCGCAAACTGTTGTTTGACCTTCAACGCAGTGCTTCCATGAATAGATTGTCAATGACTCGGTATGAAACTTTGCTCTGATGGAATCTTGTGAATGCAGCACGTTTTTTAATAAAATAAATGATGCCGTATGACAAGTTTTCAAGTTAAAAAGCAATATACCATGATTTTATATACCTGCAGCGATGAGTTTTTTGATTGGAGATGCTCGTAAATCAAAAAATGGATTCTAGATATGCTTGCATGAACCAATTGTCAGGCTCGATTCAATAGTTTGAAATGGCTCAATAAACCGACAAACAGTTTATTGTAATGTACCATAATACTATCCTATTGGTTGCACTCCGAACCTGTCGTTGTAATGTTGCAATTTTATTGTGAATATATCATGATCGAGTCGAGACTTGCTATTGCAAAGTAAAGACAGAGTCACTTTATTGAACGAATAAAGTCGAGTTTAGCAAGCGACCTGTCAAGATTATTAAAATTCTAAATGACACTGAATTGTACATTTATATTGAGAATAAACGTTGTTTATCAGGAAATTGAGACTATTTTTTACAAATATTATCTACGGTGAGTACAAAAGAGATGCCAGTGTTGTTAATGTGCTATACAAGTCGGTTAACAATTGATATATTATGGCTGTCAATGAGCCAGTCTCATTAGAATTTGCTAATGTATTGGTTAGTAACATTTGTGTTAGCCTTTAGCAAGTAAAAATCGTCATATTACAACATGATGGCATTCGCAAAGCTCACTTCATTCTCTTGCTCGAGCCATTTCTCATGTCTTGCTATCAATTCTCGAGCCTTAGTAACTAGTTCTATTGAATATGCCAAAAGTCAGATTGGTATTGCTTAAAATCAATATTGCATAGGATATCAATGCAACAGATCTTGGTCAAGTCAAACATGATTGCATACGAGGTGAATTGGTTGGCTTTTGAACTGTTTCATTTATAGTCGGATGTCTTAGAATATGATATGGCACAAGTCTTTGGAGTGCATCTGAAGGGCTAGTGAATGGAGACAAGTCGGGAGATAGGACTGCAGAATGGCTGGCTTGCACTGCTGACTGAACTCTACCATATACAATAGCATTAAATACACACACTTGAACGAGGGCTGGATCAATGTGGCAAGTCTGCTTTACCGTTCAGTGACAAGGAGGTTATGTGCCAATTCTGTATGTGCTCGTGGTGGTTCAGGAAAACTCATGGTGAAAGTTTCCTTGCGATTCATCATATAGTCAAGAGTAATGTGTTGTGTTGCAAAGAATTGTATAGCAAAAATCCGAGTGAAAATTATCCAAACCAGGTTTGCCTTGAATTCATTCATTACAGTATTGAGTGGTGTGCAAGAGGTTGAATAAGGTAGACACCATATAGGCACTTCCATAAACAAATGTTTTCAATAATTCTACTGTCGATTGAAGGGTTTGTTCATTAAAGAAGCATTGTCAATGGATTTTCCAGATACTGCTTGAAGCGCTGCAACCATTTTGCACCTACAGCTCCATCAACAACACGATGATCGTTGCTGAGAGTCACATTCATGGTTTTTTGAACACGGAATCCTTTGGGTGCAAGATCGTCAAGAACCAACTTGTCCTCTATCCCACCCACAGCCAAAATTGCGGCATGTGGAGGGTTGATAATGGCTGTAAAGTGCTGAACGCCAAACATGCCCAAATTGGATATGGTAAAAGTTCCACCCTGCATAGACGGATAGTTGTAGTGTTTTTAAATGGTTAGAATATAGCAAGCAAGTGAAAGCTGTCGAGATTGTATTACCTGATATTCATGGGGAACAAGCTTTCCAGCACGTGCCTTTTCGGCAAGCTCTTTGGTTTGGTTGGAGATTGCAGCAAGGCCTTTACCCTCGGCACTATGAATAATAGGGGTAATAAGACCAGTTTCGGTAGCAACGGCTACAGCAATATCAGCAGAATGGCTCCTGAGTTTTTTGAATAGGGTTACAAGGCATGAGTAACTAAAGTAGTCATTCAGCAAGTATACGTTGCACCTCGACTTACTGTCTGATAAACGTATCATGCCAAGCACTGTTGACTTCAGGAACGTCCTTGAGCGCAAGTGCAGAGGCCTTGATAGTAAAGTCGTTGACGGAAAGCTTATATTTTCCGTTTCCTTCCTTATTAAGTGCCTCGCGTAGCCTATACAGTAAAATTGAGAATTTTGACCTGTACTGAATCCAATGCAACATATACATACTTGAGAATCTTGTCCACATTGATTTGCACCGTAAGGTAAAAGTGAGGAATAGTCGACTTGGATTGGGTAAGACGGCTAGCAATGACCTAGGTTTAATCCATACATGGCAAAATTCTAGTTAGTCATTATATACCAAATCATTGATCATACATGACACAGCTATCAAAATATATCCACCTTGCGAACGTTGGATAAAGGTATATCAGTAAATGCAGATCCTGCAGAAGAAGCTACAGGTGTTACAGGTGTCACAGTAGTTTGGGCATGTGTAGCGCCAGTCACAACAGGTGCACTGTAGCTTTCAATATCTGCCTTCACAATACGACCACCAGGACCAGATCCTTTAATTGAAGCAAGCGAAATGCCACGCTCAGCAGCCAATGCTTTTGCAATAGGGCTGATAAAAGTTCGATCTGTTGGAATGATAAAAGCCATGATTAGCTGGAATTGTATATAGTGGGCGATTGTAATCTTGCTTTAAAATTATGATACGCAGCTTACCAGAAGATGATGAAGTTGGAGTTGGAGCTGGAGCAGCAGCAACCGGAGGAGGAAGAACAGTGGTGGGTGCGGGAGTAGGAGTGGCTTTAGTAGTAGCAGTGGGAGCAGGTCCAGATGACACGAAATCGGAAAATTTGTCAACATCTTGAGCATTATCAGCGATAACGGCAATTGGCTAAAGATAAAGTTCAGATATAAGCAAGGTATGAATGGTTTACACGATAAAACAGCTTTTAAAAAACGAAACTGGGTAGTAGAGCTTACAGTATTCACGGCAACATCCTTTTCTCCTGCAGGGATAAGTATTTTGGCAAGAAAGCCTTCCTCTTGGCATTCAAAGTCCATCTGAGCCTTGTCTGTTTCAATCTCTACCAAAACATCTCCTGGACTGATCTGATCGCCAATTTTTTTATGCCACTTGCCCAAATTTCCTATTCATTGATAGAACAACCATCATGATCGCAGAGAAAAATAGTAACAGTTATTGGATTAGAACACGTTATATGATAGTGACAGTTATGATTACCTTGAGTCATTGTGGGTGACAAGGCAGGCATACTGAGAATAGCATGCGTAGGATAATCTATAAAAATATATCGAGGTGCAGTTAGAATGTGCAGCATGCTTCATGACGGATCGTTCAATAAAACAATTCTACTCAACTGCTAGATGCATAGGTTCGACGCTGTGCAAGCGATTGACAGACAGCAGGAAAAAGACTGAGATTCCAACAAAAACGTTAGAACGATCAGACAATACATGCAAGTTGAACCAACCAAGTCTACATATAGAAACTAGGATAATAAAAAGATCAAGAATGCATTCGAGTCATGGCAAGCATGCAATGCAGAAATGATATCTGAAGATAGTGTAGATGACAAAGTCAGATGGAGAAGCGAACCTTGAAGTGTTGGAGCAGCGAGAAGCAGAGTGTATGGAAGCAGCAGTAACACACTTGGTAGCATTGATAGCAGCGCACAAAAAGGAAGAGCGAGCAACTGCACGAACAGACTGGCGAGAGATCATTATTGGAGTTGGGAAAGGAATCGCATGAACAGCAAAACCACAGTTAAGGGAGTGTCGATCTGACAATGAGCTTCTTGTCCATTCAATTACTTTTGGCATTGCAATGGCTCAGGATAACGATTGGCTTGGTGGTGGCCAGCGATGGCTTCTGGACACTGACACTGCCTGGCGATCTACAAAGGTGGATTTGAGAGTCGAGGCTCTGCTGATGCTGCCTGTTCATCTGGCTCAATCTCCTCTGCCAACCGTGCTCAAGTCTGGTAACTGTTTCTAGTCATGGTCTTGCCATTCTCTTGTACTCATCTTGTCTTGTACTGTAGCTTTCCTAAAACTATCTGAATATTGGAGATCATGGTGGGTTGTCATCTATTCTACTGTTCAGGTCTTGTCAACTCATTCAATCCACATCTACTATTTCTAATTAGCACCAACGATATGAGAGTTGTTCTTGCCATGATTATTTGCAAATGCGCTCGACATATTTCCTGCATAGACGACACTGATGATATCATTCGTCGGATTCTCGGTGTGGTGGGAAGCAACGATCCTTTGGCTAGATCTCTCAGTCTGTTGGTACTTGGGCATCTATCGTATGCTATTCGAAATAGATCCGAGGTTCAGGACAGGTAGTGTCTTGATTTGTCTGAATGTTCAAGTATTATGATTAAAACGGTTCTGTTCTGGCCTTTAGAGTACTCAAGGAGCTCGCTAGACCAACACCGCGCGAGATCGCTGCTGGTGTGTCTGCAGTGGACCGAATCTGGTCTGTCAAAACCAAGACGGTTTCCGTAGCTTCTTTGAGTATTCTTGGAGAGTCCATCCGATATGCTCAAGGTATCTTTTTTATTCCAATTAAACCCCTTTACTTGCTACCCTAACCTGTTATTGTAGGATTGGACGATCAAGGAAACCTGTCATTGCGTCTTGCTCATATATTCCGTAACTGTGATCAGGATTTTCATCAAGCTATAACGGTAGTTTTATAGTGAATGCATACACAGTCTTGGTTTTTAATCATGCTTTCAAAAAACGGATAGATTAACATGGTCTCTATATCTGTAAACTTAGGCTCTGAAAATATGTACATCACTATCTATAGATCCTTGCATATCTACCAGTTTGTCTGCTCAATCCGCTGCTTTACGAAGAACTATAACAGTGCTATCTATCCAGTTTCCTGCATTTCTTCCAAACCATATCAACAATTTAGTGAATATTCTACACCAAGGAAACCCACATAATGATCTAATAATGGATGTTCTTGGAAACATTCTCATTCTATCAAAAGCACATTCACACCATTTTGAAGCACACCATTTGCCTATCATTGCAAACATAATGCTGTTTAGTTTCAAGATAGGGTCGCCATTACGAATGTGTAAAATAACTGCTAGAATATTAAAGTTTTTAAGTCTAGGCGAAATGCTGTTTTTGGACGCCATACAAACTCATGCACTTGCAAAGCCGATCTCTGCTGCCATGGTTGCAATGGCTTCCTCCAATATCATTTATTCACATGTTACTTCAGCCTTGCTGGATTTGACGTCTTTAGCTTCATCTATATTTAAAGGCTTGGTCAATCTCAAAGACAAAAAAGAATTTGGTAAGGTTGCTGTTTAAAATGTATTAAAATCAAGTTGATTACAGTCCATTATACAAGTCACGTTGCTATGATTTGAAAAAACTAATTTCAATTTCGAGTCATTAGAACAAGTTGCATTTAATCTTGCTAGCCGTATTATAATAATATGTGGGAAATCGGAAAACGACCATGTATGTCATTAAGCTTTGATAGATTCAAGGAATAGTTGTTGCACTACACTAACAGTCCATTTCTTACCAGACTCAACTTTATCCATACATATCGTCTGTTTGGAATTTGTATAACATTCTTCAACCAGATCACAAGACATTTGTATTTGTTCAAGTTGCTGAGCTCAAACATGGTACCATGCAAAATTTGAACGATTCAGACTATTCTAATAGCATGTAATCTCACCACTCATCCATGCACTTGTATAGCACTTGACGTATTGGCAGCCATTTGGACGCACGATTTTGATCAGTCTAGCATAGTCGAATTCTCAAAACTAATCCTAGATTATTTGAAAAAGTCTAGCTTTCAGCAAACGCGACCAAAGCACATGGTATGCTAGCCTTGAGATATATCCAACTAGGCGTGTTTTACTGAAAAGCTCCAATTTTTGAAAACCCTCTAGTTGAGACTTGTTCAAGTACTATGGGCGTGCCAAGATCTTTTGGACGTTGATCGGCTCAGTGAAACATCAAAAGTTTTGGAAAGCATCATGCTTTGGCTGCGTCTTCAAAAAGGTGGTTGTTGGTGGATAGTCAATATAATTCAACTTCAATTGATAGAGGGTGTAACAGTGTCGGGAGTCGAAGCAGTTGAAGGCATGATGAATCAGGTAAATGTAAAAAACGCTCAACTATTGTAGCGTTATAATCTAATGCGATACTATTGGAATTAGATTGACGTGCCTGTAGTGGTTTGCTGGCTAAAAATGTTGCAGCATTTTGCACATGCTGTTTCAACACTGGGTCATCATCATACTGATCAATTATCAAACATTAAATCTGCCAGACTATCGCTTGAAGAAGCATTGGTACAATTGCATTTGGCAGGTTCACTTGGTGTGTCAAGGACATTCCAGATTGCATATATTCAACTACTGCTTCAATTACTATATCTACTGCCTAGAATTATGCAACTATGGGTATTTGCAAATCAACCTTTTCAAAAAAATGGCATTTGCGAGTCTGGGATTTTTGCAAAAATACAATCTGATGCCTATGCACTGGCTGAGCAGTGGAAAGCTCTTTCTCGAGACTATTTTTGCATGGATAGAAATAGCGAAAACATTATTGCATTATATCCTTTTTAAACTATTTTTATCTGAATGCTTTGGCTTTAAAAATAGTCATTTAAACTGCATATCTTTGACTTTTTGAAAATACCTATAGAACCATTGTTCAAGCACTTGCTGATTCATGCTCACTTCACACCAATGGTCCTGAAAACTTTCACTCGTGAGTGTTGGTGTGATATATATTCATTAATATAAAGATGCTGTAGATACTCACTTGCAACTATGTCTTGATGATTTAGAAGCCTTGTTAGTCGACTTTACCAATTACGAGAGGTTCATGAGCAATCAAGCATTGGCAAAAAAATCAATCGCTTTTTAGCACGCTTGCAAGCAGTACCAGTCAATAATTCAGTATCAGCCGCTCTGAACTCAATGTTTTTTCTTCGACCAACTCCAAAGTTTTTTTTCAACTCTCTCCAACCACTCGAATTCAAGGTAACGGCTTTGAGCACTGAATAGTTGTTAATCTCATAAGCCAACATCATTTCTGTTTTGGCCACTAGCTGCAAGTCACGCCACTTCCAAAGTCTGGTCATTCACTTGCTCTCCGCCGCAAAACTATATTTGTTTTGCAGCTTGAAGGATTTGCGTCTCTCAAACATGATCTGGATTACTCGAGTGGTAGGTTCAAGTATCATAACGCGTTCCTATGGTCCATCAATGCAATATCATTTGGACTGAACAATGATAAATCTTTGAAAAAACGATCTAGATGGCGCTTTGATGTACAATAAGAAACGTATGAATGTATGCTTCACCATTACAGCTGTATCTCAGACTGGAATGCAAGTTGCACACACGGTTGCAATATGCCATATCAAGCAGCCAGCAGGGTATTTTGCAACATCATGTTCACTAAGCACTGACGATCTGCCAGAACGGTTTCAAGTTTTTGTGAATAGCATGCTGGAGAGTATAGATGTCAAGGAAAGTCCAATGAAAAAGTCATGGCGAATTGCCGATCCCGTTTGCATTCCTGTCCGGCTGATCAATGAATAAACGAATGATTCATCAATGCCAAATATCAAAATAGTTACACTAAGAGCATATCAATCCAATACGACTTGATCCGAATCAACTGGAAAACGTCCAACACCCACACATTATTTACAAACATGAACCAAGCGACACTAGTCACTCGAGATTGGTTTAGACTAGAAAGTTGTACTTTGAAAATAAAAAATTAAAAAAGCGCTAAAAACTTCAAGTACACACCCATCAACAACCATATATTAAACAAGTGATGATAAAAGTTGTAAAAAGTAATATATGGTGGCCAAGTCGGACCGACTCTTAGTGCTGGTTAAATCAAAACTGTAGGGGTAAACGAATCGAGAAATGTGGAATTACGCAGATGCCTGTGAGGCAGATTCTTCAGAGACCAGACCGTGTGTAAAGGCTTGAGAGCACTTGGCCATCGTAGCGGAAGATCGAGAAATCGAGTCAGTCATATAGTAGTCCTGAATAGGAAGCTCAATTGGATCCTTGGAAAGAGGTGCCTTAGATTGCTTTAAAGTCTCGAGACCAAGCTTTGAGATGCCATCCGATGTTTCGGTGACAACATCATAATTTACTAGACTGGGTGCCAAAATAGACATTCTGTTGCGTAGCTCGTAAATATCATCGTATGCCAATGGTTTACCCGCAACTTCCGAAAGAGCACGGATAATGGTCCAGTCTTCACGAGCACCAGAGGGAGCAGGAACAGCTGCACGGGTAATCTGGGTTCGACCCTCAGTATTAACATAGGTGGCAGATTTCTCAGTATACGCTGCACCAGGCAAAATGACATCCGCGAGGTAAGCGCCAGTATCGCCGTGATGGCCATGGTAAACAACAAAGGCATCACTGGGTATGCGATCCTTAGAAACATCATCTGCACCAAGAAGGTACACAAATTTAGCAGCCTCCTTTGAGCGAGGAGCAGATTCGTAGCCAATGTCGAGTGCAGCAACGTTACCCGCAGCCTTTAATTACACAGGCAAACAAATCAATAGTCAACAGATATTAGTGATTGCCACAAAGTATATACCATATAGAACCAAAAAGACAGTGATGCTATCAACTTTACAAAACACACAACTTACACGATGAAGAACATTGAAAACCTTCCAGCCAGGATCAGCAGTGGCTTCAAGTGTCAATGCCACATTTGAGATTTTTGCAAGAGAAGCAGCCGCATCTGTACGATCCAGAATGCCAGATCCAACAACAATCATTGGGCGTTTTGCAGCCTTGAGCTTCTGTGAAAAGCTGCTGTTTTTGGATAAAAGCTCGTCCAGTTGTGAAACCGATGCACCGACATAATCAAAATCATAGTTGAGTTGAGGTTCAGGACCAATCAGACCGATTTCAAGAGAATTGTGCAGGTATGCCTTGCGGATGCGAGTGTTGAGAATAGGGGCTTCGTGGCGAGGGTTGGTTCCAACAAGTAGCAAAACATCGGCCGATTCAATGCCATTGATGGAACTGTTGAAAACATAGTTGGAGCGAATATCTGTGATGCCAGAAAAATCAGCCAAAGGACCCTCAAGCTGTAGATTCTCAGAGTTGCGTTGGTTGAAGAAATCTTTAAGAGCAACCAAACTCTCGGCATCGGAAAATTGACCAGCAATGGCAGTAATCTGATCGCCAGATAGTCCATCAACGGCAGCAGCAATACGCTCAAGAGCCTCTGGCCAAGTAGCAGACACAAACTTATCGCCCTTACGGATTAGAGGGGTAGTAAGACGCTGACGCTTAAGACCATCATACGCAAAACGGCTTTTGTCTGCAAGCCATTCCTCATTAATATCGTCATTGAGGCGAGGGAGGACACGCATCACTTCGACACCACGAGAGTCAATGCGAATATTGCTTCCAACAGCATCCAAGACATCAATGGATTCAGTTTTCTTGAGTTCCCAGGGACGAGCAGTAAATCCATATGGCTTGGAGGTAAGCGCGCCGACGGGACACAGATCAATAATATTTCCAGACATCTCAGTGGCCAGTACTTTTTCAATATATGTTCCAATCTGCATGTCATTTCCACGACCAGAGGTTCCTAGCTCAGCGGCACCAGCAACCTCGTTGGCAAATCGGACACAACGAGTGCAGTGAATGCAACGAGTCATGATAGTTTTGACAAGGGGGCCGAGGTTTTTATTTTCAACAGCACGTTTACCCACCACTTCGTTGAAACGACTTCGGTCAGAACCATAGCGAACACTTTGATCCTGTAGATCACATTCTCCACCTTGATCGCAAATGGGGCAATCAAGAGGATGGTTTGCAAGAAGAAACTCCATTACACCCTCCCGTGCCTTTTTGACCAAGGGAGTATTAGTCTTAATCTTCATACCAGGCATCACAGGCATGGCACATGAAGCAATGGGCTTTGGAGATTTCTCGAGCTCAACAAGACACATTCGACAGTTTCCAGCAACAGCAAGACGCTCATGATAGCAAAATCTGGGAATCTCAACACCAGCAGCTTCGCAAGCTTGAATAACAGCAGATCCCTGCTCAATCATAGTAGAGCGACCATCAATAAACACTTCAATCTGAGCCTTTTGAGATGAGGACTGATGCAATGCTGTTGCAATGAAATGATTGAATGTAAACAATGGATGATAGATTAGCAATGTAGATACTTGTGGTCATGTTCATAAAGAATCCTGTATATAAGGAAAGGAGTAGAACCATATAGATTGCTACAAATACATAAAATGTTGGGCTGTAGCCAATGTTCTAGAATACGGTTAAAAGTGGGCATTGACCATCTGAAATGATTCCAATGTCAGTGTCCCTGATGGACATTGAATACAAAAACCACTTACTCCTGATACGTTCAGCCTGCGCAGTTGCATAGCGAGTAGAAGATGGAGTAAAGCCGATGCTTAAAGTCCTAAGCAGGACAGAAGCGGATGCAGCAGAGAGTTGGGAAGATAGCAGCCTCGAGTGAGCAGCAGCAAGCAAGAGCCTCATTTGGTCTATGTCAAAGTGATGGGATGAATGGCTTGGCTGTATATAAATTCAACAGCTCTTAATAAAACACTATGATTATTGAGTTGAATGACAATAGTCTATTGAATCGAGTCCATCTCTAGCAATAACTTACAGAACCAAAGCTGACAGACGAATGAAAAAATTACAGGAAAAGTCGAAAGCTTGCAAGTATTCAATTACACTCAAGAATCAACCCAAAACAATCCATTCAATCCAGCCAACAATCTACTCAATCCAGAATAATCCAATCGTCATGTTCATTAAAAATTGAATCCAACCATCGTATTCATTAAAAAAAACTGTCAGATCTCTCAAGATTGCTGCGTATGGATTCATCGCATCTGTCAAATGTCATGCCATCACAAATCTTTAAATAACAATTGTCAGTTGTATAGACTGATCGTGTATGATTATCGAGCTGTGTTTTTGGTTTATCGAGTCGCTCCTGCGTCAAAAAAACTCGTCTTTTAACCCTTGCAGAAGTTGTCGCAACTTTACTTTTCTTAGAACAGCTGTATCTGCTGCCTGGACATGAGAGAATGGTGCATTATTTCGACTTGCAACTTCTTATTCCCTTTTCAGCTCCTCGTAGACTATCCAAATACAATCCTGGGCTTGTATAGCTTGATTCTATATCCTCTCATTTTGCTATTAGAATCAGATTTAAATCACTTGGAAACTAGATTGTATTAATACTCAATCTTCATTTCATGAATGCCCTTACAGGATAAACTGGAAAATTCACCAAATGCAATTGCTCAGCAAGAGATTGAGGCTCTTATGGCCATATATGGAGATGACTTTCAATGCGAAGTCATTCGACATAAAAATGGTAACGTTTGATGGCCAGCCTGATACTTTGCATGTCAACACCAGATCATCTACTATACATCTTGAAAATCTAAATGCACTGTCAAACTCTACCTACAACATATTTAACAATCACATCTAGCATGGAAACCAGACTCTCTTGAAACGTGGATTATGCTCAGATTGATGCCACATGGCGAAAAACTCGAAAACTTGGTTATCGTTTGGTTTTGTGTGCAGTATGTACTTGCACCATGTGGTTTACAATTGTACAAATCACTAGTATACATGTCATCCTTACTCCATAATTTTTCCAATCCACTAGATTTCCAGAACGCTATCCAAACACGTTGCCGGTAGGATTCGATTCTACTCCTTGCGCAATGTTAACTATTTTTAAATAATCGGCGGCTTTGTTTATTAAACTGGTTTTGATTTGTACTGGTTTTACCAATTTAAACCTCTGGAAATGGGGCCAATAGAAGTTTAAACTTCGAAAGGATCAAGGACTATCAGATACTCATATTGCACAACTACAAAGAATTGTTGAAGAAAGCGCAGCTAAACTTGTTGGGCAAGAAATGGCAAGTATACAAAATAATGGTTGTAAAACTCAAGTATAGCTGATCTACTTGCATACTATGGAAACAGTATACTAACTCGTGTTGCTTAAATCTGTGACATAGATTTACGAACTTGCTACAATTATTCAAGATAATATATCGGAGCATAACACTGTAATTAATAAGACTTATCAACAATCGTTTTATGATCGAATGCAAAACCGACTGCAACAGGATGATAAGCGAGAGCGTGAGCGGCTTGAACGGGAAAAGGCCAAGCAAGAAAAAATTATTGCTGAAAAGCTTGAAGTTGACGATGCTCGATTAGTCGAGCAGCTTAATTTGGAATTCAGTCGAAAGGAAGCATTGATTAAAGAAACAAGAGAGCGCAGGAAAAAGCCCTTGTCTACTATTGAAACAATAGCCTCTTTATCTACCCAAAAACAAGCTGACTTGAAAACAGCAAAAGCCAATCTACAAAAACCAACGCTAAAAGAAATTATTTATCAAACGCTGCTTTCGCGAAATGGTATGTTCATTTCATATGCTTTACAAATCTACCAAATTGCAGCATTAACCTAGTCGCGCATTGTAGGAAACAACTGTCTGTTTCTTGCATTTTTTGGAGAAAAAAAGTACCCAGAAGAACTTGAAAAAACATTTGTTGTGCAAACCATGAGCTTTACATTTCCAACTACCTTGAAAACTCGAGATTTCTTACTTAGCTCGCTTGAATCTACTCTCAAACTTGCAGTGGATGTTTCTGATTCGGGGATTGTACATGTCTATGACTTTGCTGTTTCCCCTTTAGTTTCATCAAATTCTTTAACCGTCAAACTATTACTAGACGGCTATTTTAGCGAGTCTCTTATGAATATTCTGCAACTAGCAGGCGCTGTAGATTTGGCTCAAATCCGCCATCATTTGCGTCGATTGCTATCTATTTTATCCAGATTGCATGACAATGGCATTATCCATCAAGGTATAATGCATTGCAAAACGATAGTTCTGTCAATATAGCATCATTTGATGTTTAAAGATTTTTTATCAGTTGCAATCTATATTTTCAATATGCAGACTAACCACGCTAGTTAGGAATCACTAGCAAAACGATATATTTTGATAATAAAGGTGAACTGTATCTCAGCGGGCACCTGTATGGACAGCAAATCAACATTTTGTACTCAATCTGTGAAACGTCAGCATTAGAAATACACACAGACTGGTGGGTTTTAACTATGCTTGATTTTCTATATTGTATTATACTATATCCTACCTGTTAAGCATCATCCATTATTAATATTTGTTGAAACCAATCTGTTGTGTTTTTGATAACATTATACTTAGGCAGTGTCCAGATTTTGAAACGTCACAAATCTCAGAGAAATCCGATATATGGATGGTTGGGTTGGTAATGCTAGAGATGCTGATAGGAAAACCCAACTTGAAAGACACTCTACTTGAAGTCTTATTTGCCAATCGTACGTATCTTTTCATATCAAACGTGTATTATTTTATTTGCTTTTACCGCTGGATTGTGCCATTATATGATATTATTGCTGACGAAATAGCTTGGGTCAATTATCGAAATGCATGTTTAGGGAAAAAAATCCCACAATCTCTAGCCGTACTGATTTCAAAAATGATGACTCGGAATCCAAATGAGCGACCCACTATCAAAGAGATCTTGGAACATTCATTTTTTGAACTTGACTTTTGCTCTACCCTTTCTGCTCTACCTTCTTCTGGATCAGATCCTAATGATAACTCGGCAGGATTACAGCTTCCTACTATAAAGCATTTCTCTGTGACACCTGTACTACAACAAGAGCATTTTACAAATGGTATTTTTGAAAGAACAAACAGATACTCTCGATATGCTTCAGACTTTGATGAGTTTGAACAACTTGGTAGAGGTGGGTTTGGACAAGTGGTCAAGGCCAGAAATTGTCTTGGTAAGCTATACTTTGCTTGATAGTTGGTCTATGCGTGCTTTATTTCTTGGCATCTGTAATGCTAGGCTGAAGATCAAGAATCCTCAGTAATTAAAATATTTTAGATGGAGCATTTTATGCCATTAAAAAGGTCCGGATGAACCCAAAAGATCAAGAAAGAAGTGATCGTTTATTACGAGAAGTTCAGACTCTATCGCGTCTTCACAACGAATATGTAGTCCGGTAGGTTGCATGCAGTGTACAAAATATTTGTTACATGAGCATAGTCGATGACATAAAGACTAGACTGACATGTATCAAATGCCAATAGATATTATCAAGCATGGTTTGAAGAAGCCCCGACACACAATCTTGGAGGAGGTTCTTTGGCATACGATAGTATGGATGATAGCGATTTTGAAAGTGAATCAACTGAAACAAGTAATGATAACAATGACAGTTCATCAAGCGATACGGACGACGACTCTGTGATTAATTTTCAGCAAGATTGGCTGGATTCAAATAGTGTTTCCATGAGCATATTCAGTTCAAACTTATCAAGCCAGCCTACTAGTGTTGGTACAATACCAAAAAGAAGCACGATAAAGTCAAAAAATCCCCAAAACCGCTGTACAGTTATTCTATACATTCAAATGGAATACTGTGAAAAGCAGACATTGCGTGATGTTATTGATGAAGGCTTGGACGAGAAAAATTCTTGGAGATTGTTTCGCCAGATTTTGGAAGGTTTAGGCCATATTCATGCACAAGGAATTATACATCGAGATCTCAAGCCTAGTAATGGTGGGTATTGTACTGAAATAGCACTATCATATATACTTTTTTACCCTCACTAATCTGATGCCATTAGTGTTTTTGGATCGAAACAGAAATGTCAAGATTGGGGACTTTGGTCTTGCAACGGCTCGACGTGATGCATCAATTTCAGCCAAAAATATTTTAGAACAGTTTAACTCGGTGGATGATATTTCCTTGACAAACGAAATTGGCACGCCAGTGTATGTTGCACCAGGTAAGACAATTGCGGTTTAATTATGCATACCTGCTTAAATTCTGAACTGCATGTTTTGCTGATTTTACTATTGTATCAGAGATTTTGGGAGAAACTGGAAGGTACAATTCCAAAGTAGACATGTATTCTTTGGGTATACTTTTTTTCGAGGTAAATGATATCTAATTTTATATAAAATTGTCTAAATGCATGTGTGGCTAAACGTATTGTTACAGATGATATACCCATTGAATACTGGAATGCAACGCGCACATGTTCTTCGTGAACTGCGAGCTCCATCAATTATTTTTCCAAAAGGTTTGACTATGTTATGAAACTAGAATAGCATTTTCAAATGTCTTAATTTTTCAATTTTTGTTGACTATGTTGATATGAATATATACTTTACAGACTTTGATTACGACACCTTTGAACATCAGAGCGAAATTATCAAGCAACTCTTGCGCCATATTCCAAAAGAACGACCGTCATGCATGCAGCTACTTCAATCTCCGCTTGTTCCCACTCAAGTTGAAGAAGAGTATATTAATGAGGAACTTTTAAGAATTGTACGTCAAAACAATCCTTCATACTTTTCTAGATTGATTGCATCCCTTTTTGGACAAAAGGTAGACAAACATAAAGATCTGGCGTACGATTTTCATAGCACGCTTCCTTCTTTAGATTTACGCAATGCTACTATATCTTCGTATATTGAGCGGCATGCAATGAATGTTTTTTCCCGGCACGGCGCTGTTCCATTGACCTCACCGCTTATTGTGCCTAAAACAAACGACATTAACCAAATCTACCTAACAAAAAAGCCTGCAGAGCTGATTGATTCCAGCGGAAATGTTGTTCAAGTATGATTTTTGCTGTTGTAGACCGGGTGAGCGATGAGTCTCTGACTGATATTCTTTGAAACATACCTCATTATATATTGATTTGTTTTAGCTGCGTCATGACTTGACAATCCCTTTTGCTCGAATGGTTTCTCGATTGTCTTTATCAGCCACACTTCCAGTAAAGCGATATGCAATTGATCAAGTATTTCGAGGAAATCTTGCAGGAGGTGACTATTAGAATACTATGAATGATGCGTGTGTTGCTGTTAATATATGTAGTAGTATACTCTTATACTGTTGCCTATTTTTCAAATCCTATAGGGCAACCTCGAACTTTACATGAATGTGATTTTGACGTGCTTTATCGAAAATCGACATCCATGCTTGCCGAAGCAGAAGGTAGATTGTTACATCGTCGATCGTTTACTGTATTGATGTGCTTTGAATTTAGTTTTTTAATTATCAAATCGACTGTACAACTAATTGCTGTTTTAAAATGAGTAGTCATTAAAGTGGTTTGTGAGGTTTTGGATTTTTCGCCTCTTGTTCATGATGTACGTCACGGATTTGAATTGCAAATTCGAGTCAATCATGCCAAAATATTACAAAATATATTAGAGATTTGTGGAATCTTGACAGATAAATGGAATGCAGTATACGATGTGCTTGAGCAGCTTGAGCGACAGATTACGTTTGACCGTGTTCGTGCACGATTAGCAGAGTATGGCGTGCCTAAATCGGTTATAAACCAGTTGCAAAGCTTCTACGGAGTGCACGAGTTTCATGCTTCGAATGTCGAGCCAGATGTTATTAAATCAAACATCAACTTTCACAACACTTTTGCCAGTCTGGCTACTCTTGTGTGTCACCTCCGATCATTAGGGCTTAAAACAAAGATTCTTTTCGAGCCTCTTCTGGTGTTCAATAAGGATGTTTATTCATCTGGCCTTGTATTCCAAATTGGGTTAAAAACAAACAAAAGGTTTGGTAAGTGTAGATACCGAGTGTTTAATCAGACATAATTTATAACTATTTTGTTGATTTGCAATATAGATGTGTTGGCTGCGGGGGGTAATTATGATAGGCTAATGCACTCCTTTCGCGGGCCATTTAATCTTGACATTACTGATTTGAGTGTTGTTGGTGCAAGTATTGGTGTGTTATTTTTACAAGCAATTATAAACTTGAGATTATATTGATAAAACGTTGTTTATCCTTTCAATACTGACGTTAATTTCTTTTAACTGTTTGTATTGAATAACTAGCTTTATCCAAAATCATTGCTGGTGTAATGACAAATGAGCGATTGGGACTCAGAGGTGCCAATGATGACCAGAAAGGAACTCCTAGCCCATTTCCTCGAGCAGAAATATTAGTAGCATCTTTTGGGAAACCAGATACATGTTTTTCTGAACGTCTTTCTGTTGCCTCTGATTTATGGGCAGCAGGTATTAGCGCCGATCTATCCTATAAAGGAGCACTGTCGTCGCAAGACGAACTGCAACGTGCACTAAAAGAAGGTTTGTTTTGCTAACCTATTGTTGCTGCGTGCTGAGATGACTTTTGATTAAAAACCAAAAATTTAACCTTGACTTATTATAGGATACCGAGCAGTTGTATTTTTAAAACAGCGCGGACAAGACAGCTCAAGTGGTCTGATTATAAAAATTCGAAGTGTATCCAACAAGCATGAAATTGAAGGCAAGAAGCCAAGTATTTAGTTGCATTAGCGGCAGATTTACTGACATTTCTTGTTTTGGCTCAACAGTTTCTCGAAGTGAAATTGTGTTGGTTTTGCAACAGGAACTGAGTGTTCAGCCCAAACTGTATACGCAACTATCAATTCAAGAACCGAGTTGAGTATTGTTCAAGCCAATCCATTTTTGAAGCTATATGAGATTGATCTAGACACGTAATTTAATTAACCTGCAATCTTTATGAACTGTGTGTGCATTCATAGAGGCTACAGTCCCAACACCTATCGGTAAAGTTGTGTGCCTTGTGCCACAATCTACTAAGAAGGCGAAAAGAAAACCAAAAGATCGTGTTGGAATGGAAACCAGGGGTATGCGTCTGATCTTCTGGTAGCTTGGTTTTAAATAATTCTATAATGATAGCTGAATTTTTTGTAAATAGCATTGGATGTGGTGGTAAGTGCTGGTTCAAATGCGCCAGTAATAGCAGTTGAATTTTCAATAGCCGAGCTTTCTAGGATGAGGCCGTATTGGTTCTGCGAGGATGATGCATTCAAAAGAGCGTTGAATAATATTGGCGTTTCAAAAGAGTAAGATCATACACTGGAGTTGACTTGAACTTGTATACTTTAGTGAACCGTGAATACAAGTCATACCAACCCATGATTAACTTGCTTTTTATTACAATCTGGATTTTCCAATACCATAGCTACGCACTCCAACTCAAGAGGTATCTGCAGAAACTCCGCCGAGATGTACAAGTGCAATCTCGGCAACAGTCCGCGAAGTTTGTATGGCTGTATTCAGATATTGATGCAGCAGCAGTACCAATTGTATTAGAAGGTACTACTTAATAATAAAAGAATATATTTACATATTGTCTTCGTCATTGTAAGCATATCTGATCTTGCGATCCCTTTTCAGTCTCTGTGAGGCTACTTGTTTTTTCCTAATAGTAGCTGAAGTGGATGGCCTTTCATTTGGCTTGCTAACCAGCAGTTCACGCTGCATATTTCTAAGTCTCTGAAATCGATCCTGCAGCACCTGATGCTCTGCTTGCAACTCGAGGGTTGGATCGTATGTAAAGTCTGTAGGCTCGAGACTATTGGGCAGTTCCTCTTCGACCATAACAGATGGCTGTTCAACGAGCATACTGGACACTGACTTTGAATACGATGTAGACTGAGACTGCAGTTCTTGCTCTAGTTTGAGAAGCTCTAGTTCAAAGTCGTCCATTTCATCTTTTTGAAGACTATCCGTAGGTGCAACTGCATCCACTGCAACCAATGAAGCTTCGACTCCATCCAGCCTGCCGTCAGTGTCAATGGCCAAGGAATTGTTTTTGGGAGTGCTAGTGGCATGATGAGTAGATATGTGTGCTTTTGAAGATGGTCGAGTCTCTCCAGACTTGCGCTTGGATAGTTTTTGTTTCAAAAGGTATCGAATATCTGCCATTGCTCAAAGTTATAGTCGTATTCACGTACAATGAAACACTTATGTATTGATATTGCAGTGATGGTCTTGGAATAAACAATGATAGTAATATATAAACACCTGATAATAACATTTTCTTGAATCTGCTAAATGCATTGTATTTATTATGTACTATTTTGCTTTTTTTATTTCCTTTTTCTTTTGTAATAATCAAATGTCTGAAGATAACTGCTGGAAATGGAACGAGTTTGTGGAAATAGGAAACACTATACACAGGATGAGAAGGCAAGTTCGTATTCTGCAAGCAAAATATGCTCTCGGGATTGCCAACCAGTTGATTGATAACGGTTTTATTATAGACTTGCCCATCAAAGATCAGCAACTCTATGAAACTCTTTTACTCAAAATAGCAGAGTATCTGGATGGAAACGCCGAGGTCATTCAAACTGCTGTCAAGGAATACTTTCTCATTTAACACGGCAAGGCAGGTCTTGACGAAGATCTCTTTGATATTACATTTTCTCCAAAAAAGAGCGGAATCCAAACTGGATTCACTTGTGATGTCAACAATGGAACTCAAAGTGTTTGCTACTACATCAAGACGCATCAGTACGGATCAACAGAAGACAATATAAAAAGTATCAAACCACCAGATACAAAGGAGCTGTTTGTCTACAAGATTCTGCATCATATTGGAATTGGTCCTCAAGCTCATTTTATCATCCCATCTCGCGGCACCAAAAAGACTATCTACATTGCCACCAAGGATTGCCATTTGGTCTTATTGTCCAGCTTGATCAAGAATACAGCAAACAACAATGCATTACTTCAATTGGATCTGATATCTCGCATCCTCTGTCTTCGTGATTGTGCTGACAACACTTCAAACTGTGGTCAAGTCGGTGAAACCCCAATGATTGTTGACTTTCGTATTGAAAAGCAGTCGCAGGGTTATGCCAAACTCGATATCCTGGACAAATTCTACGAAGGAAACAGTGAATTTCACTATTCTGGATTGATGGAAATCGCAATCAAAACTACAAATACTGTCAAGATGGATATCATGAACAAGTCACTGCAGGAGTGGAAGTTGTTGGAGAATATCGAACGAGCCGAATCAGAGATCAATGGATTGGTTAAAAGATACGATGGCAAGATGAAATTTGAAAACGATTTACAACGATATGTCCAGGACCTCAAAACAACAGTTGCAGTTCTTATAAAATCTTGAGAGATAAGCTAGCTTTCTGTCTATGCATTTACCTTTAAATGTCGATAGTTTTCATTATATTGGTATCAGGAAAAATGGAAGATGTGTAATATTACAACTGTAATATCTGAGCAAATCACTACCTGGATAAGAGTTGCTACTCTCAGTGACACTGCTTTGTAAGACGAGCTCAAATTAATCAACAAAAACTCTATCAATACATTTGCAAGGACCATTGGACGTATTCGTTGTCTAGAAATTAGTTTTGATACTTTCAGAAGTGGAAGGGGATTCGCTGTTGGAGAAGTTGCATTATCTATCATTAATTCAGAAACACCTATCATGGTCAGTACGCAGTGAGTTCCTATATGGATATCAATGCAAGAATCAACTATCATTTACAAGTTTGAATTGAGAACCAACAATTGTACCAGCAGATCAATGTCAAAGTACTTGCAAATTAGGCAATTCATTGCACAAGACTGTTTTGCTCTTAAAAGCTACTTTCTGACTCGAAAAACCCGAGTCCTTCATAGAATGGCTAGACAAGTCGCTAACCTTGGACGTCGAGGCAAAAGCGACAAGGACTTTGAAGACATACGAATTGCAAGGAGAAAGAACAAGACTGGAGAGGTTGAACAGAAAACAAACAAGGCAGAGCGATTGCCATTACACAAGCCACGTCCATACATTGGGTTTGCCATTGGATACGTTGGCTTTACACACAACCAAGGAATATCTGGCACGATCATGGCACTAAAGAGACTCTTGTATTCTAATATCAGATACGTTCGCGTTCTAGTTCAACATATTTCAGGAATGCAACTCACATGCCAGTCACCCAGTATTTGGAGAAAAGGAAAGTTGGAAGTTGAACAAATGTCAAGAATGTGGAATGTATTGGAACAGAAATATGAACATTTGCTCTATATTTTTGTACAAGAATGAACATCAAGACCAGTCAACTAATGAGTTCATAAAACAATATTACTCGATAAGATTGGCATCAAGCATGACTGTTTATGTAATGTTTCATTTAACGTGAATACGGCTGTAAATCGGCTACAAAGAATGCTCGAGTGAATCAAGGCTTTACAAACTTTTAATCAAAACTCTTGCATTCAGCATGGGCCAGGCAAACAGTTTATCCAGGACTGATGACGATTTCCCTCCATTGTTGGCTGCAAGACTACGGACACTCTATGATGCCATCAACAAGAAAGGCGAGTCTGCGTTCCATGAATTGTGTTGGACAGCAGCCTCTGTCCAGTGTTCATGCCAGCCACCATCTACTCATGCAACTGGCCCAGAACTGCTTGGATTGTACAAGGCTCTGTGGATTCATCTATCCAATAAAACAAATAAACAACTGGCATCCTATTCTTTGTTTTCAAAAAAAGTAGCAGTTCTGCTTCATGGATCTCACTACGACAAATCAGAGTTTATTCGGGAATCAATTGCTCTGATACCAAATCTACAAAGTCTTCTAACTGCTCTGTGGTCTCAGGGAAACGGAGCACTCGCACACTGCTCGTCCACAATCCCACTTATAAAACACACTGAACCCCCATCTGTCAGCAAACCGCATTCTGCCTTGGCTGCCTTTCTTCTGGCAAAACCGCGTAAAGTGGATGCATCTTATTCTGCCTTGAATGTCAATGACGACCAGCTCACGTATTCGGATCTCGCCGACTTTACTGTCTGGATCTCACAGAGTCGCCATGTTCATGCATTGTGGGATCGTGCACTGGGTGATATATTTTTCAGTCCAGACCAGCAGCCTCCCGCCAAATCTAGACCCACCAGCACACTGTTGTCAAACGAATCATGCTATGTACTTGATCTGGCAATGCGCAACAGTGGATTAGACTTACCGGACTGGAGTCTGTCCTTTTCCACCAAACTGCATGGTCAGAGTTGGACCATCTTTTTGAATGCCATCATCCCACCAGCATCTTCACTGATTATTCTTCGTGATCGAGACGGCTACATATTTGGCGGCTTTGCCAGTATGCCGTGGACAACCAATCCTCATTTCTATGGGGAATCATCAAGCTTTCTCTTTTCTATTTCACCCAAAATGGAAATATACCGCTCTACTGGAATCAATACCAACCATCAATACCTGAACACGGGACGCCAAACACTTCCAAACGGACTTGGATTTGGCGGCCAGATTGAGTTTTTTGGACTTTGGATCTCTAATCAGTTTGATCACGGCAACTCAATGGCAAAACCCATTTCAACAACGTTTGGCAATCCACAATTGAGTAAAAAGGAAGAATTTGAAATTGATTTTGGCAAGTCAATCTACCTAATATTGTGTTTAAATACTGTAGAAAACTAATTATATGTACATTGTTATTCTTGCAGTGGAGGTATGGTGTGTCAAGCAGCAAGATATTGATGACCGACTCGTTTCTACTATGGAAGGAAAGAGTTCGATTCTTGACCACACCGCAAGCGCTGCAATGCTAGAAATGGCAGGCAAAACCATGTACGCCAAAACACTGCATGAGCCCGAGATTTCATACGACTAACTTTGCACACCGCTATTCGCATGCCAGCTTAGCATCGAAACTACATATCATTTCAGCCAATGTTAGATTCTTTTAGACTGCAGTCACCATTTCAACAAACGATCCAAACCTTGTAAGCACTACACCAAATGCTGCTACAAGGGAGAATGGATACTGAACATCCATTGTGAATGTATCGTCTGAAACTAAAAAATTAATAGTTAAAACCAGCACTGATGACTATTGGTACATCTATTTCAAAGTGTAAATACCTTTGCCAAATTGAATCACAATGTACTCTAGGTCGTGATCATGAACAATCTGAAAGTTTTTGACAGATGCAATGGTTACACGCTGATTAAAATCTAAAACAAATGATTGAGTTTCTGTATAATGCATTGCCATTCAATGCAAGTGTGTTAGTGTCACATATTAAGCATCTTATCCATCATATATTCGAAACTCACCATCACTCCATTTTGGAGATTTGTTATACATCACCACAAGATCGCGATCACTCATGGCTTTATGTCGCTCCAGCAGTGTTTCTTTTTCCTGTGCATCCAAGAAATGTTGTAACATCAAGCCCAAAGTACAGAAAACAAAACCAAATATCTACTGTGCATGTAATGTACCTCGAGGGGTCTGATTTCAGCCAACGTTCCTTCAGGCAACAAAGGCGGGCTAATGATTGTCATTCTCCTAGGACCGCGATGACCCAGAAAATTAGGTTCATACACCACAGCAGCTAATTCACGGCGTCCTTCGGCCATGTTATCAGAGTTGGTTGATGGCTGGATACTACTGGATACTGTAAAGCCAGTTCCTAAAAAATTGGATCTAACCCAACAAGAAATGCTTAAAAGATCGATGCGAGTGATACTATTAAAACTCGAGTTCAAAGCATCCCATACCTGACTCGGGCAATAGACTTATTTCTGACACCTCGATCACCTTCACTGGGAAGTGTGATGATATAACACGAGGTTTGACTACGCATCTTCTTGGCAAAGAGAACTGGTATGACAGTGTTGTGCTCCTCTACAAAGACTTCGTAAGTATGGCTTCCACCTGCTAACCCATCCCTTTTCCGTACAATTCGACACAGTTTTCTAGTGCCATATGGGACTGGACTGGAATCCTCAATCAAGATGTAATCAAGATACAATCAATATCATTGAATGCAACGTTAGAACCCAACATCATCCATAGCAGTGCATTCCACCTTGCATACTCTTACCTGCACAAGAGCCTTATCTGCTCTTCCCGAGCCACCAACGACTGTGATCGAAGCCCTCTTCCCTGACGATGCATATCAGCTACTCTTGGTAGAATTTCATTATCAGCATGTGTGTTGGTAGCTGGCGATACCATGGCCTCACGAATAGCTGGATCCATCTGGTCTACAGAAACATCCTACATCATCAGAACCAGGCTGGTGAGTTGCAAATCTTGAATAGCATCAGCTAGTTTAAAACACTTGTTTTCAAGTGATATTTACTCTGCGCAAGGGGAAAGCATGGCCAGTATCTGACCCAGTATCAAATTCGGAGTCGTCTGAGATGTTCATGATAAAGTTGTAGCTATTCGAGATAAGAAGCAGCCTGAATCAAGGCGAGAAACCGTCGAATCTTGCCAAACTTGAGGCTCCTTTTCTTACCAAACAAGAAAGCTTGAATTGACTGCTGGCTTCATGTCGTTTATTATAGATTGGAATCTTCTGAATGACGGAGTAGAGGCTGAGAGACTAAAACTGCTGGTCAATGACCATTTCCAAGAAGTTGCTCGACCAAGCTTTCTGGGCAAGGTAACGGTGATGCAGCTGGACTTTGGTATGTTGTGATGGTCCATGAGCCTCTGGCTTGATGCTCATCTAAACTCACTAACGACCGTTGGGTTGACTTGCATAGGTGATATCCCACCAGAAGTCACCATCGAGGATATATGCGATCCTCTTGCTGATTTTTACATTCAGGAAGATCCTGCCTTTGAATATGAACATGATCATATTCAGAGTCATTCATACAACAGTCGTCAGAATATAGACACTACAGCAGCTAGTGAGCAGATTTCTGTGTCTGATGGTATTGGACATCATGGCAGTGCTATATACAAAGAACCGTCGCTGTCATTTGACTCGACCAACAATCTACGCTATGTGCAACTTCCTCCGCAAGATACTGATGCGCAGCTGGAACTGAATGTCAGATATCATGGAAATATGCGTTTATCTATATCCACTGAGCTTATTGTCAATCAACCCACTCCTGCATTCATGGTACTGCCTCTTGCACTCACGCTCACTGGCTTTTCTTTTGACGGAACGGCAGTCATTGCCTATCTAGGATATGCAATCAATTTTTGTTTCAAAGAGCCTCTTGATGGAAATAGTATTCTGCAAGATATGACCATCGAATCGGAAATCGGTGATAGAAACAAGCAGGGTACGAGTAAATGATCATTGTATCGTTGCTTCAAACAATCCTAACCTCATGATTCATACAAATCTGTTTTTAAATCGACTATAGTCTTGAAAAACGTTGAAAAGATTGAACGATTCATTGTGCAGCAACTAAAGAGTTTCTTCAACGATTTCCTTGTGTTTCCCAACTTCCATTCAATATATCTTACTCAAGACGATACCTATACAGAGTGTTCGAGCCAGCATAGCGGATTTAATCAAGCAGACACTGGGATTTGAACCAGTGCATTGTTTTTGTGTGCGTTATCATTCCAAAACACATTTACAGCCGTATTCACGTAAAATAAACTACTTTTGCATTTATCTCGAGTGATTGCTCGTAATTTGGTTTTAGAATAAATAACAATCAAGTGTTTGCTGTGCTTTCCTACTAGACATTGAAGCTAATGGACGTTTTCGATTCTTGAATAGATACAACGCCCATCATATAATACAAACTATAGTTTTGAACTGAAATGATCTCATCATTTGGTATAACCATACATTGTACGATTATCAAGTTTGGTTCAACCGTTCTAATGCTGTCAATACACCTTTACACCTGATCTTTGGTTTATCCTAAAAACTCGGATACGCTCAAATTAGAGTTTAAGAAACCAACGATTGCACGTCTCAAGAATGCAAGTTGGTTTCATGTCGATCGCTTAATGTTTGGCTTGCTGAATGCAGGGTTGGAGGTTCAACAATTGACAAGAATGTAGGACTTATTGAAACTATGCTGAAAATGCTGCTTTGAACATTTACTGGAATTGGTTGCTTGTGTTTCCTGTACTGCGGCAAAGGTTTGACTCGTTGGCACGATCTACTGTTCTTGTCAATTCAATATAGAACAGTGTCACTTATTTGATCTAGTGGGGGCTGCTTGCTGAGCTTGGTGTTCATCTTTTTCTGATACGAGAGCTTCTTTGTCTTGTGATTTAATAGAGTCGATGAACTTTGTCAAGTGGTTGTAGGTAGTATAGTATGCCATTTGTACCTAATTGTCAGGGTGGAAAGCATGAAAGCATTGCTACTTGAGCTTGGAAAAGTACCGTTGATGGAATTCTAGAATATTAACATAAAGATTGCAAAGCAATGTATATAAATAATCACCAGATTCGTGATATGGATACTGATTAACAAAGCGACGTGGTGGCCAAAAAGCTTCGGTGTATTAGTTCCCAAAAACCCAATTAATATTTAAACAAAAACCATTATTGGTACATCACCAATCCACCTCATAAAAAGATCAAGGCTTTATTGAATAGATATCAGTCAAATGAAGTCTCGTTTCTAGTATTGAGAAGTTTGACGATCATAATTGGCACCCATGGCTTTCTTCAAAAGAAGATCAATGTCCTTGTCCTTGAGATCCTGTTTATCGATTATACACATTGTAGTTGTTATAGATCAGTTAGAGCCTGCCATTTATTTCACGCATACCTACACCTGGATCAATACTACAATAAATCAAGTACATACATCAAGACTCTGGGCAGAGATTTCAATGGCAAAGTTTTTGATGACCGACTTGACATCAGCAATATGCACAGAGAGTTTAGCCTTGCGCATTACCTTGACTTGAGTGCCACACCAGCTTACCAATACGAATTTAGCGCGTTTCGACTAGATTCAGGTAGTTAACAAGGGACAGGGTTGGCCAGTATCAGCACATCAGTAATACAGCATAGGGATTATACTTGATACCATAATTAAAGTAGCATAATTGCTGTATTCCAATTAAAGAACAATATGATTGAACAAAGACAGAGGAGCAATTTAGACCACTTACAAGCTCATCATTTCCAACTACCTGGCGTACATAGCCAAAACTGGCCTTGCTTTCCCCTAGCTGCTGTTTGAATTCGGCAAAGCCACCAGTACCTAAGGTAAAGATATAGACGAGTATGCAAGACGTATATGCCCATTGAGGATAGACCCAAATGGTTAGTAACTACACTGAAGTCTCGAAACACCACGCGTCAACCCACCTGTCTTGGCCACCTTGAGAACATCTGTCTTATCATCAACATATTCCAGGAGTAACCTAGCCAAGCATACATGCTGATTAGTCTCATCAATCTAAAAAGGTATAAAAAAGACAGGAGAGTGCAGTTGGATCAAGTAGATATTTTGCCAGCAGATTATATGTTGTTCCAAGGAATGCCCAGCCATAGCTGGTTCAATTAAAATGATTAAAGATGGGAAAATAACAAACCAGTTTGTAGCAGACTTGTCATTTCGAACGTCTTCATAAGCTGCACCAATATCTCCTTCCAGTTGGACCATTTTAAAAGTGAGTACGAGGTATAATTGGGCAATGGGTATCCGCAAAAGTCGAGATAAAGGCAAATGTGGCGAAGATGCAGCTTATAACTTTTGCTATTCTCTCCATGCTCATGTCACGTGTTGGTATGGGATTCATTTGGACTAAAAGCTTTCTCATTGATTTGGTGTTGCCAAGTTGGACATGTGGATTATGCTATGGGCGTGGACAGTGACAAAAACACAAATGTAAAACATGGACAGAGCATATAGATCAATTCATTTGTAGTAAATCTTGAATCTCTTTCCACTGTAATCCCATTAAATACAGCACATGGAGCATGCTGGGCTGATTGATTCTTGCATCTGCCTGTTGCTGAACCTTGGGTTTAGCATTATATGCGATTCCCAATCCTGCTGCTGTCATCATTTGAAGATCATTTGCCCCATCTCCAACAGCAACAACCTAGATCGAATTTAAAAAATATCTGTCAGCAATTTTGGCAAGATACAAGTATGCTGCTATTTATCTGTTTCATAAATACCTGATCCATATGGTCGATCAATTCTGCTTGGGCAATCACAGTCAACAGCTCTGCTTTTCTGGAAGCATCTACGACAGGACCAGAGGTGGATCCGGCAAAATGCTTACCATCGTCAGTAACTTTGAGATTGTTTGCAAAGGCGTAGTCCAGACGCAGTTCCGCCTGAACATATCGTGCTAACGGGAGGAATCCACCTAATCAAAAAGCAGAGCAATGTTAGCATCATATGGGCTTCCTGGCTAGTGTCAGACCAAAAAGTCGCCTACCAGAGATCACCGCAAGCTTACACCCAAGTCGCTTGAGCGCAACACAAAGATCTTTTACACCAGGAGAAAATACAATCGAGGAGCGAATTTCATCTAGTATAGATGCTGGATGTCCTTTGAGTAGCAAGACTCTTTGTTGTAAAGAGTCTCTAAAATCAATTTCGCCACGCCTAATGACATTCGTTAATCAGTACTGCAGAGCTTAATCATGACAAGCATAGATTCAACTTACATTGCCGACTCGGTGATTCGAGACACTTGGTCCACAATACCAGCGTGTCTGGCTATTTCGTCAATAACCTCTTGTTGAATAAGTGTAGAGTCCATATCAAACACAAATAACCGTTTGTGTCTACGGAATACATTCTCAAACTGAGCTGTAATATCAATACGATGTGATGATCCAAGTTGATACATGATTGAGCGTAATGCAGATAAAACTTCAGCCGAGTTCTTGCTTGCTGCTGATTCAATCCTGACAATAACGTCAATGGCAGTGGCTGGCTCCTTGTCTGGATCTGACAATGTTTTGATGCTGCAAACATGATGCTTTTTTTTTAAGCTTGCGATACTGGACAGTACTTGAACAATAATGCCAAGCGACAAACCATCTGTGGAAATCAAAGTGATAGCATACAGTTCAGACCCTTTAATGTTATTCAGCACATCTGTAGATTCATGTTGGGGATTGATTGGATGAGCAAAGGAGTCTTGGATTCTTTGAAAAAGTGCAAGGGTTAATGGTTGATCCTTCAACAAAGGCTGGCAGATACTTAGAGCAAGCGAGGTTGCTTTGTTTGAGTTGAAAGTGTATGAGATGGTAGAGAGCTTTAAGCTACTCCAGTCCAGAGCAATTTCATTTGAATGCGAGTGTAACTCATCAACTAACTGAGTTACCAGCTCTCCCTTTCCTGTACACCCAAGATCAAACATACGTTTGTAAGATTGATCTACAAATGGGTAAGCCGCAATCATTGAATAAAACAACTTTGATTTGTAATTTGCTCGACTCGGAATACATTATTGGCTGGAGGTCAAGAAGCATGTTGCCAAAGCACAATCAAATACATGGCAGATTGCCCATGCACACACATCCCAAAGTGATATCATGTCGGTGTCCTATTTATTTATCTGCCGAACAATACACTCTTGATTAATCCACCCCTATGTATTCAAGTCTCACAATGGCAGAAAACCTAGTATAAGTGCAGGCATTACAGCTCCATTCCTGGCGCTTCTTCGTCAGAAAAGGAGCCAATGGAGCTCATATCGTCCTCAGAGCTTTCATCAGTGGCAGCATCAGCTGCTTCCTTTGTTGCATAGTGTGATACGTACTCCTTGACTCTACTATCATAAGATGTCGGTTCTCTCATCAAAAGTGCTGCAGCTTCACCATTAAGAGGATCCGTCGGGTTAGGATATCTTAATAATTGTGGAAGGAATACCTCGAAAATATTGATCATATCTATATCAGAAATTCAATGGTGGCAAATAGTGCCAATGAATGTTAGAATCAGCAAAAAGACACTCAAAACAGGATATTAAAATAAGTGTCCTGACCAAACATTGGACTCCATGTCTGATTAATTACATCTAGGCAGACAGATCCGCTTCTGTTATACACGAAATTGGTGGATTTGATCACAAAGCACATTTGCATATTAGCAAAATTGCTGGCCTTTGGAGTTAATACCATCAACTCTTACTCACAGTTCATCGATATTGGGGTGAAAAATCTTGTTCATAAACCCAATGGAAGGAGATTTATATGGGTACTGGTCTGGTAATTCAACATGAACCTTCCAAACTCCGCCACTAAAAGGTGCTATTAGAATATACAAACCAGTTGATTAGCTACAAAGCAACGACTGAAGCAATTCTATTCCAAAACAATGTTTATAGACATCAAGGTGCAAGTCATATCTACATGGCTGCGCCACTATCTGAGCTCATTCGCCGATCGTTGATACAAAATCTTGGAACCTTTTGAATCAAGAAAACAGAGCTCTTCAAGCAAAAAAGTAATCGACAATGATGGAATGGCAGACCAGAATGCAATACATCTCTAGACATTACATGCACCTGACAGTAGTTGAAGACTTGATAAAAGTGGCAAACGACTTACTGTCAGTGGGTCCATGAAATCTAACATAGAATTCTAAGCGGTCAAGATATCAAACAATTTGAAGATTAGCTCATTGTCAAGGCACCAGCGAGTATCAAGGTTTATGTGGGTATATGACAAGAGATAGTTGCATAGAATACGACAGGAGCCAAGAACCTGCCTTGCATATTATCATTGACCAGGGTGACTTCATAGTCGCTCATTAAACTGTATTCAAGTAGCCAGTAAATAGCATTGGCGTGAGTACCGTACTTATATATATGACAGCACATGGAGTATGCCAGGGAGAAGTAGATTCAAAGTGACTAATATTTAGACACTCCACCGACAATCTACCATGCTCATCAGTATAACAAAAGTAGCATTAGATATAGGGAATATGCAAGTGATATACAGTTTCATAACATCGGTCTCGATACGGCGTCTTGGTGAAGACATTGCTATTGTGGTGGTGGCTGTTTATGGAACAGAGTAAGCGGATGGTAATTTAGTTGAAGTGTCTAAACAGTTCAGAGATAAAAGGTTAGTCGAGAAGCTGGATAGGTTTTGATATGTCGACCCCTCTCCATTCATCCTAGAAGCTCATCGTCTTACAACTTGTGAACAATCGATAATTTCCCGAATTCAAGGAAAGTTGCAGCGCGTTGTTTTGCAGCTTGTCAGAATGCCAAATTAGAAATACATTCGCCTTGTTCCGTGGCTGAATAGATTGGTTCATTACTAATATTAGAGGATTTTATTGTGCCAAAAAATCAGACAGCACTTGCTGTATCTTCCCTATCATACTTATTCCGATAGTACTGCCAGTAGTCGCATGGTGGGACGACCATGAGGACAGTTCCAGGGCTGCTCAATACGTCCCATGTTCTCAATTATCGCACACATCTTGGCATAGGATAGCGGATCTCCAATCATTGTTGCTTGTCGACAGGCTTTAGATGCAAAGTATTTAAGTGTGCGCGTGCAATGTGGAACTCGTTGCCCAGAAGCCGGTCCTAGTTTTGCTAATATTTCTTCTAAATCTACATAAAATGTAAGCGTTTAGTCATGTGCTATAGCAAATTTATAAAAGACTAACCAATCAAAACTTTGTAGTTTACAGTCCAGGATCAACCAAAATATAGTCAGTTTAAATGCTATCCTACACACCTGCAATTCCCAAGTGAAGATCTCGAATATGAGGCACTGCTATAAGTTGAAAATAGTCACGGCCATCTTTCTCAATCTGTTCTAAAACAAATCCTCGCTCACTATCAATGGAAAATAAATAAAAAAGTATTAAAAAACAATATATCTAGTTGGTGAATATTGCCCAGTTGTTGGGGACTTGAAAGATGCGACAGAGTCGAGTATTTACCGGAGAGATTGTTTCCACTGTAATATCAAACGTTCTTGTTGATAGGTAAGTGTCAGTTCTAGTTTTCTAAATGGTATACAAAGGTTAGCATCAAGCATATTTAAATTAAATCAAGCAAAGCGCCTGACAACTCACTGTACAAGAGGCTGAAATGTAGTCATGGCTATCTGCTGCAAAGTTTCATATCTATATTTTTCATCACTGTAAAAGATAGATTAAAACCAAAATTGTGTATTGCAACGCACCCACAAGATATATACTAGTGAATATTACCTTGCGTGCTGATCAATAATAAAAATCATATTTCCATGCAAGGCAAGAATAAATCCAAGATTAAATTGACCAAGAACAGTCATGGATTTAAAATCAGACTTTTGAATAAATGTAGGCTCTGCTAGTTTACTATTTAACAGAATCCTGTGAGAGCGAGGATATAATTTGGTAAGTGTTTTCATAGATTTGAATCGGCGTCTCAATTGGTCCGTATTAACTTGCACTAGTCCGTTATAGTCCTGGTGCATTAACGAACCAATCGAGTCCATGGCGCTTTTAGATTGAAAATTGCAGTCAGGCATATTTTCAGAGTGATCTGTAACAAATCTGGAAATAGGCCGAGTTTTGATGGTCGAAATGCCAATTGGAAAGCTTTCAATGCTAGATCCCTGCGAGCTTCTCCCTTGAGATGAAGAAATGGGATGATCAAACATTTCTCGCAATGGTCGAAGTGATCTTTGAATTCCTTCTTGAATCCCTTGAATCAAAGCCGCTTCGTTAAGAATGGCAAGTAGTCGTTTATCAGGTGAAATATTTACATCAATCCATCCTATTTTATAGTTTAATCAATAAATCATCCAAGTAGGTCATGCCAATACCAATGGTATGAAATACAACAAAATGCTTCCAATAATGTAATGCACATCAAATCAATCGATAAAAAAATTACCTGGATCCACAGAAATATTTAGAATAAAAATAGGATTTTGAGTAGTTACAAAATCATGATATGTATCATTGATACTCTTTGATACCTGAAAATACAACACTATAAGTAAATCACACTTTTGGTTTATATAAATTCAAGTATAAAAATAACCACCTTTGCAATATCAACAGGGCGTCTGTTGACAAAAATAAACTGTCGATCGCGACCTGTTCTTCCACATCCCAATTGTGGTCTTTAAACACATCATGTAGCAATCAGAGTCTGCCATACAAATGACTAGATAGTTTAAATACAACTTCTTACTTGGAGAGAAGCCCAGATACCACTACTGGTGATGCATGAGCTTCTTCTAAATTGAAGGTTTCTGCTGTGATTTTGTCCAACTTGACAGAGGAATCGTTCGTATTACTTTTGTGGGTAAATTCAAAGCGAATATCCAAAAGAGATTTACAAAACGCTGCACCAAATACAGAAATAACATTTTCTCGTAACACGTTAGATCCTTTTGTTTGAAGTATATTGCTTTTGGATCTGTCAAATCGCATTTGTTGAATGGAGGTAGAATATGAATTGCCAGGCTCACAAAATTAGATTCAAGAATTCAACTAGTGCTTTTTGCAATACAAAATATGTTACACACCTTACCCTTTACTAGACACATTTAGAAAATTGATCCGAACACCAGTACTTGATAGAGCGTATGCTTGCACACATTCAATGCATTTTATGTATTCCTTTTTGATTTGTCGTTTAAACTCGCATAATCGTACTGGAAGTTGAGAGAATATATTGGTAATCTGAATGGTTGTACCTAAATACAAATATCATGACACTAAGTATGTGTATGCGGGAGATGATAGTTTTATAATAAATCTAACCTGGTGCACGAGCAATACGACTTTTTTGAATAACCTCTCCACTCAAATTATATTCCAATTTAAAGCCCAAAGGCATAGTTTCTTTAGTGCAGGTTGTGAGACTAACTTTGGAAATAGTGCATAGCGAGTTCAAGGCTTCACCCCGGAATCCAAAACTGTTGATTGTGCTAATGTCCTCAAATTCCGAAATTTTGGAAGTATAATATCGTTTACCTATATGAATACAACGATCAAGACAAAGTTGGGCAATGCAAGATATTAAACTGGATCAGTCGGTTTGCGACAACTAACAGAAAGTGTATTGACAAGACTCAATGCAGGACAGTTATTTGGAATGCATGCCCAAATAATTCATAAAGACTTACCAATAACAGCAAGATCAACTTCAGATATGCCACACCCATTATCTAAATGCATTAAAATTATCAGTTTATAACTATTTCTTCAAGACATTCCGGAATGTTGAACGGAACAACATTAATGTCTGGTTTGTACATGAGTTTTAGATTGTACGAATACAGACAAGTATTTCCATGAAAACAGCAAATCTACTTGCCAGAAACTTCAATAGAATCAGCTCCATTCTCAGTAAGTTTGATGTCAATGTTTGTAGCACCAGCATCCAGACTGTTCTCCACCAGTTCCTACACCCATTGCATTAGTTTAGAGTACAAGACAGTAGATATTACATCATTCAAGTGGGGCAATCAAGGCAATCAGTATTCGGATAAATACCTTTACAATACCAGCCAAGTCAATGACCACTTGCTGCGAGCATATCTGTCTGATGAGGTGTTTATCGAGCTTTTGAATCATCAATGAATACAAGAAATACCGTTGAAACTCGCGTCTTTTATTTTCAGCCAAAAACCTCGAATGACTGCGACTGACGCCGAGAAGCTCGAGATTGTGTCTGGCTTTATCAAGGACAGCCCGCCTGGAGAGATTAACGATGTGTTCAATGGTACATATTACTGATACATACTGAATTCAAAGTGTAACTTTTATATCAGCCTGAAAACAGTCGTTTTATATACTGCCATTGTCCTCATCTTGTAACAAGGTCCATTCAGACCAAATATCATGTATTGGTAGATCTGGCATCTATGATTCCATACAGACTAGATACGCTTGATTACAGGCCGTCTTATATTGATTCAATACTCTGTTCATCTCTATTCATTATCTTTCATTCTTGATAGTATAGCAGAGTTTTTGAATCTGGCAACTTGCTATTGCCAGGGGTTGACATATGATATGAGTGTATCGGTAGAAACATTTCTGACTATCCATCTAATGGTTTCATTCTTACTGTAGATGTTCGGTCTCTTGTAGCGGACGACTCGCTGTTGCAAAATACCATTGAATCGACTTTTGCTGACCATCATGCAAAGCAGCTTGTCAGTGTTCAAGTCCCTTCCAAGGACTATGAGGTATATTCTAATGGCTTCATATTGGCTCAGTCCCGCTTATATGATTGCATATTAGTTGAAATATCAATTTATGAAAGGTTATTCTAGGCGAGTATGGCTGCATTGAACCCAGCAAATATGTTGATCCACGTTCTGGTCAGGCCCTTATTGTAGATCTTGTGCATCAGGTAGAGATTTGTTGATGCTCATTTTATTACCCAACTGTTTGGTATTAATATTTGTATCTGTTGAATTAGACTGTCAAAAGTGTCGAACCATATCATTCCAAGTGCTCTGCACACTTGCTTGATCAGAGGTACGGTTGAACCAGTTGACAAGTTTTGTAACAGTTTAGTTTGCATCAAGACTGATTACTTTTGACTCAAATTTCCAGAGCTGCGCTTGATGTTGCAGTTCAAGAGTACACTGCTAGTTTTTATCCATCTTCAGTATGCACAGTTTGGGCTACAGAGGACGAGGCGCTGGTTATTGCTATAGTAGCCAACAAGTATCATCCCGATAGTTTTTGGTACAAGAATTTGTATTAGTGTTTTACTGTGTTGCGCTTTGAAATTGCTGATACAGCATGTAAATATATATACGGCTACACTAGGTCTGGCCGATGGCGTTCACTGTGGAGATTGGAGCCCAAATCGTCAATGCTTACTGGATCTGCAAAAGTTCAAGTTCACTATTACGAAGACGGAAATGTTCAGCACAATAGCACACAGGATTATTCTGTGAGCATTACCGCGTCTGATGTAAGTTATGGATTGACAAGGTATTGCTTATCAAAGGGTTATACTCATGATTACAGGGTTCAACTTGATTCTTTGTATCAAAATTCAGCAGGAGCCTTCAACACTTGCTGCTACTGTTATCAAGCATATAAGCAAGCTGGAAGCAGAGTATCAGACAACATTGAATGATCAACATAATCGCCTTGCGCTCGAGACATTTAAATCCTTGCGTCGCGCTCTGCCAATTTCTCGGACTAAAATTGAATGGCAGGGAATTCTGTCGTGTAAGTTATTTTAACATGGCTTTATTGGATCAAGGCATTGTGGTTATTAACGGCCTTGTAAATATGTAGACAAAATTGGATCGGAGCTTGTTTCCAAATGATCATTTTCATTTATATGAGACTATCGTCCATATTCCATAATAGGCAAAAACTTTTTTTCAGATTCTTTATATTTTGACACATTTTTGCGTACATCACTTGGGAGCTTTTCATAGCACCGTTTGCACATTGGCTTGTTATCCCATTCCATAAACCTGACTTTTCCATCGGCTAGTGCACAAAAACAGCCCATACACATAAAATGTTGTTCACACCAGCGAGTGCCAAGTGCAGAAACAACTGTGCATGGTATCAATGTGAATAAACAAACCCCGTTGCCAATTACAGACAGAAAATACAATTTAATGTTAGCTGCGTCAACTGGGTACCAAATAGTTTAATTCACCTTCCATGGCAACATACCGTTTCCTTTTGCAGCAGATTTGCAATATTGGCATACAGATCCAGTCAGCTCTTTATAATGTGCTTCACAGTAAGGTTGCGAGTTTAATTCAAAATAAGGTGCACCGTCAAAAGGTTTTTCACATTTCCAACAAGAAAAATGCTCTGGATGATAGATTTTTCCAATTGCGCTTGTGGATCGACCAACAATTGGCTTGCGACACGCATAGCAAATCTGCGCCATGTTCTTTTCATAATCTGCCATACAGAATAGCTTGCCTTCGTATTCTTTTGCAGTGCTAGTTAACACTTCACAGCAGGTTGCACAAGTAAAATGCGAAGCATGAAAGGCTTGACCTCGCAACAATAGTCCAGTTCCATCAAAGATTTGACGTTTACAATTTGCACAAATTTCTTGGGTTTGTGGATCTACTTCTGTATATTAAGCTTTGTAAGTGATTTTGTGAATGGGTCCAAAAATCATTTCAAATAAACTTGGATTTTTTCAACAGCATATCAGCACCTACCTTGACTCTTTTTTTTGGTAGAGTCAATAGGGCATACCTTACAGTATGGCTTGTCGTCCTTTCGAATAAACGTAGATCCTACCAATGGTCTGCCACAGTTTTCACTAGTGTATATAAATGACTTGTCAGATTCAAACTAAAGCACATTCAAATAATGTCAAACCAAGACCTACCAGTTGAAATGCTCGATATGCCATTTTGCATCTAACGCCGACACGCACTTTCCAACAATAACATCTCCACATTTGGCACATCGAGCTCTATGAGTTGATGTAGTTTTAATACGTTAGTGTCTATGGTTGTAAAAAACTTGCCAATAATTTAAAATGTAGAGCAAGCAATATTAGTATACCCATATAGAACACTATGGTCATCTTCGCAATAAAAGTTTCCCTCTGCTTCGAAAAAAATGTTGTTTTTGAACGGTTCAAGACACTGATGGCATACAAAGCATTCTTTATGGTACTTTTTTTGTGTTGTTGAAACATGAGCACCAATGATAGGTTCCCGACAGACTCTACATGAGTCTGTGCCTGTGGTTGTCATATTTATTAAGCTTTGGCAACAAGGCACAGACGTGGATTTTGTTGAAATGAGCGTGTTTAAGGATTCAATAAGAATATTCAAACCAAGCTATTTGCACAGTATGTAAATGACATCTTTAATCAATAAGCTTGGACAGTATGATGTGTTAATAGCCCATGACGAGATACCGTCAAGGCAGTATCGACTTTCATCAGATAACGTGACAAAATTCAAGATCACGTGTCAAGAATGACATTTGGCTCTTTGGCAAGTCCATGCAAATTCCTAGTTTTCGTTACATTCAGCAATCATGGTTTGTGCACCGTCTGTCTGTTATCGACCATCAGTTCATCCATCAGCTCATCCATCCATGCACGCATAAAGTGCATTCGTGTAGTTTATTGTCTGGATATTTAGGCATCATGGATGGATAGACACTTGGATGGCAGGTGAATGGACTTGAGTACTTGGACTAATCTTTCCTGTTATTGTTATGTATTGTTGTATAGGGCCGTGGACCAAAGAAGCACCTTAAGAGAGTACGTTTGAATGTTATGAAGATAGTATTAATCTATGATCTTGTACAAGAACGGTCGATTTCAAGTTGATACTGACAGACTGCCTTTTGCATTTGTTACAACTTATTGACTATTTACAGCTCAATGCTCCAAAGCACTGGATGCTTGACAAACTAACCGGTACTTGGGCTCCTAAGCCCTCTGCCGGTCCTCACAAGACTCGCGAGTGCCTGCCTCTCATTGTCTTCATTCGCAATCGTCTTCGATATGCTCTCACCAATCAGGAGACCAAGGCTATTGTCAACCAGCGTCTCATCAAGGTTGATGGAAAAGTCAGGACTGACATGACTTATCCCGCTGGATTCATGGGTGAGTTTTGTATGATTGACAGCTGGATAGATCTGCAAATGAAATTTTTCACGGATAATTTTGGAGCATCTCGATCGTTGTCGTTATCCATACTGACACGATTTCTTGTGAATGTTAACTTGTGGAATAGACGTCATCTCCATCGAAAAGACTGGAGAGAACTTCCGTCTGATTTACGATGTCAAGGGCCGTTTCACCATCCACCGCATCACAGATGAGGAGGCCAAGTACAAGCTTTGCAAAGTCAGGCAAGTCAAGATTGGCCAAAAGGCAATCCCTTACATTGTCACTCACGATGGTCGCACTATCCGTTACCCTGACCCTCTTGTCAAGGTTAACGACACTGTCAAAGTTGACATTGCCACTGGAAAGTTTACTGAATACATCAAGTTTGACTCTGGCAACATCGCCTATGTCACTGGTGGTCGTAACATGGGCCGTATTGGTGTAATCACTCACCGTGAGAAGCATCACGGTGGTTTTGAAATTGTTCACATCAAGGATGCTGTTGACCACACATTTGCCACTCGTATCTCCAACGTGTTTGTTGTTGGCCAAGGTAATCAGTCCTGGATCTCTCTTCCCAAGGGTAAGGGTGTCAAGCTCACCATTTCCGAAGAGCGTGACAGACGTCGCGAAAAGCTTCTTGCCTCGCAGTAAATGCATTGGCGTCAAGGTTAATAAATTGGATTGTGCAATTCTCAATGTGCATTTTTAATAATTTCAGAGTGATTATGTTTGGATCAAGTAATTCAAATTAATGTTTGGTAGTAATACTGGAGTTTATTGTTCAAGTGCGGAAGCCATGATGTTTACAAACTTGTGAACATCTGCAAATGTGTTGTAGAGCGGAGTTGGGGCAATGCGAATGACATCTGGTTTACGCTCGTCACACACCACTCCTCGCTCGTCCAATCGACAAAACACACGCTGAGCAACCTCTGAAGAGGTGAACAGCAATGAGAGCTGGCATCCACGCTGACAAGAGTCGCGAGGAGTGATGATTTGTAACAGCGGGCTTTGCAAGTCATCAAGTAGCATTTCTAGATATCCCGTCAGTAAAAGGGATTTTTTGCGAAGTTCAGTCATAGATGTTTTGGCAAACACATTTAGACTGGCATACAAGGACACTACAGCCAAGACGCATGGATTGGACAGACGATACGAGTTTGCACCCATAATTGGCGAGTAGCTATTGTTCATATCAAATTTGGTTTGTGGATCTGATCCCCACCAACCAGCAAATCGCTTGAGATCTGTATTACCAATGTGCTTGTTGTGGATAAACGCACCTCCAATACCACCTGGGCCAGAGTTCAGATACTTGTAACTACACCAACACGCGAAATCAATATTCCAATCATGCAGTTGCATTGGTACGTTACCAACAGCATGGGCAAGATCCCATCCAACAATGCATCCCTGCATATCAAAGTATTTGGAAAATTGTCAATTGCAATGTCTATTAAAAGGAAAATTGCAGATTACAAAATTACCTTTGCTTTGGCAGCAGCAGTAATAGTAGGCATATCAAACCACTGCCCAGTGTAATACTGCAGCCCACTAAAGAGTACCAATGCAATCTCGTCTCCATGCTTTTCAATAGTTTCCAAAATATCCTCTGTTCGAATAGAAAATTCACCAGATCGAGGATGCTGTTGTATGAGAGCCTTTTTAGGATCGTACCCGTGGAATGCAGCTTGAGTTTCCAAAGCAAAATGGTCTGATGGAAAGGCGTGATGCTCCAAAAGAATCTTGAAGCGCTGCGAGGTTGGTCGATAGAATGGCACCATTAAAAAATGAAGATTTGCCGTGAGAGAGTTCATGATAACCACCTCATTGTGTTCAGCACCTGTTTTGAAAATCCAACGAGTTTCGGCAAATCAAGTTTATCATCAATATAATAGAATGAATGAATCATCATGCCTTCTCTAGACGCAAGTAATTAAACTCACCCACAATATTGCAGGATTCTTGAATGACATGGTCATCAATCGAGACCCATGGCCGTTCAAAGCGGTGACGAAAATGACCATGAACACCACTGACAAAGATTGTATGCACAAATCATTAGAATGAGAACAGGAGTGCAAGATCAACTGCATCAGTATCAATGATTCTCACCTCTCCTGCCAAACATCGAGCTCTTCGTTAATTAGCTTACGGGTAGATAACGGCTGAAGACCCAAAGAATTACCACATAAATAGACACATTCTTGCAGAGCAACGTCGTCATTCAGATCTATTAGACAGACTCAAGTCTTTGAGATTTCTGGATCATACAAGGATTTCAAAGAGATTGCTATGAAAGCATCTTATTAACTACTAGCAAGTTTAAGCATTGTTCTATTATCAAACCTTGAGGGTTGCTTGAAACCGTTGCAACCTTTGGAATACAAAAGTCAGAACGCAGGGATGGCAGTTTACTATCTAACCATTCTGCCAATTCAAAAGATCCAAGTGGCAGATTCGATTCAGCAATAAGCTGATGGATAGTACGAGTAGACATGAGTGCTTTTTGGCGAGTTTGTCTTGATCGTTGGATATCGCAGCTCAAGGCAAGGATGGAAACGCGGAAATATTTCCATTTCAACAACCAATTTTGCCGTGTTTCAAAACCATTCTAATGGCATCAATGAGGTTGTTTAGCATTTCAAGAACGATTGCTTTAGATTAACGTACAGACTGTATATAGGTGAATCCTTCGTGTCAAAACAAGATCTGATGAGTAACGTCTTATTGAATTGAGAGAATCAACAAACTGGTCGTGCCAATAAACCAAATTGTCGCCGTAGTACAGAAAACACAAGCAATAGATGCTTCTGTCATTCAAATCATTAAACAATGCTTGCAAAACAACACCAGGAGTGATAGTTGACAATTTCTCATTTATTCCCATGCCCTTTGTCGCTAGCTGTAAATCTCAATTCTATCTAGTACTCGCATTTAAAGCATTGATCATTATCTACCAAGTTGTCTAATATCACAAACAAAATATTCATATCTGCTTTATGTATTAGACAGATTTTACTGTATTTTGTCCAAGCTCAATGCCTGAGGACAAGTATAATGGTGCAGATTCTTGCAAATAGTTGGCAACTTCAGCCGTCAACTTGAATTAGCATTCAACAATGGCTGTCATGTCGTTGGCATCTGCCGGTACTGGTGTGGATTCTATTATCAAATTCTTATCGACTACAGCGGGTAATCAAAACATTGCATCTGGGCCCCAAGTTAACATTTAGCAACAGGGGTCATCAATGCAACGCTTGAAATTGCAATGTATTAAGCAGTTTTACTAATCACATTGATGCTGATCACCAATTGACTTGGTTTATACTGTATTATCATCAAATTCATAATGCTGCGTTTTGAATCCTTTCATGTTTCTTGATTCATTTTGGCTTACTCAAGGTCGTGACAAGTTTAATCGGTAAGCTGATCTGGCTAAAGTAAAAACATAGCATGATTAAAAAGCTAGAGTTTTCAATATCTGCAACCATGCATGCATATCTAATGAGTTGGGAATATATCTGCTTTTCACTCGCTAATGGACGATTTAGGTTTATACAGTTTTTTACACGATTTCTCATCTCCTTTGGCGAAAAGCGAGGATTCAGCAAAGAGTTATTGGCCCGACTAACTGCGCTAATGAATGCGACGTCTCAAGCTAGAAAACGTTAGTAAAATTTATTGTATGGATATATATTGATTCAATGCAGTTGCTCACTTTAGAGATCTACGTTTTGAAACTAGTCATGTTTCTTGGTCGCCAAGTCGAGTTTATTCGAAGTGCACAAAAGGCTCTTTCATTACAGGATGAAATCGTTCGTTTGGCCGTATTTTCCAAAAGCATTTTTTTGTCACTTTGGTTAAGCTGCGATTTTATGCTTTGGGTAGGCAATTTTTGTGATCCTACTGCTCAATGCTAAAATGTAGACTGTTTATATGCAGGCCTGTTAATTGATTTGAACCCCAAAAATGTCTTGACAGATTCATACGGTTGGTATTGCCAAATTTGATACAATCAAAGACATCACACGTCGTAGCAACAGATTCTGGCTATGCTCACTTGTTGCTTCACTCATGGGAACAGTCTACAAACTTCGCAATATCAATCATCGCTCGGCTCAAGAAATCAAGGTTTACAAGGCAATTGTTTCCAACAAACTTACTGACGAGGCAGTCAGCACAGTCGATAAAACAATATCGAAATTGAACAGGTAAACATATTATCTTTGAAAATCTGCAAGACTATTGTAACAAATTCTAAACATACCTTTTGAAAATCGCATTGCTCCCCATAAAAATACCAAACAGTGAAAGAAAGGCACTTTTTATTTCAGCTATACAAGACAGTATTGACTTGCTGATTCCAGCAACTGGATTGGGATACATAACTGTTGACTCTGGTGTAATTGGTATTGCTGGCGCTATTACTTCCTTGATTGGTGCCTGTAAGTGGTTTTGTAACTCCATTCAAAAAGTTATAATGTAGGCCAGTAATTGAACGTTTGCTAAACAGGCCATGTTGCACAACATATATATATTTTAGATTCATTATACAAATAGCTTGCTACATTTACATGAGCTATTATTGGATTGTACGCGAGCAGAATGATTAAACAATTTACATCACTTGCTAAATTTTGAATGTTTCATGTGATAAAGATTGCAATAAAAATATGGTATCAAGCCGAGTGTTTTGATTTAAAGTATAAAAGTAATACGAAAAAGCAAAGACATTGCAAAGGTTGAACTTAGTTTCAACCACAACACTAATTAAATTCAAAAGTACGAATATATTGAATTATTTATTGTGCGCTTACAGGATTAATCTGTGCTGTATCATCTACCCATATTTTGACAGTTAGGTCTTTATCAATCGATGAAGATGCAATCATATTTAGTATTGGATGGCATGCAACACCGAGAACCGCGTCTGAATGGCCTGCCAATTTCTGAACAATTTCTCGGGTTTGCAAGTTCCATATGTAAATGTAATGATCCTCGCTGCCAGCTACAATCCATTTTCCAGATGTCACAGAAAAACTACCAAAACAGCAGTATGTAGAGTTGCTGTGTCCAGTGTAAGTCTTTAAGCACTTTCCATTCGAGTACGACCATAGCCGTAGTGTGCTGTCATAAGTAGACGCAAGAATGTATTTTCCATTTGGAGAGAATTTGACAAACGAACTAAACGTACAAAATATGCCACTTGTAAGTATTCTGTCATTTTGATGTAGATCAACGCAAGCCATTAGATCTTTAAAAATACCCGAGTCAATACAAATGTACATACACTGGAGGGTTATCGTCATCAATAAGTGTTTTCAAGCATTGTCCAGTGGCAGTGTCCCAAATGCGACTAGCATGATTCACATTCGGATTAGATACGCATTATAACTTGGCGATTAGGTCAATCCAGCCCTTGGTGTGCTGCGTTAAAAATTAGAACTACTACTTACATTAGCCCATCAAGACTACTAGATACAATGAGTGTGCCATCTCTATTGAAACATACTGCTGTAACTGGATCTGAATGGGCAGGGAGCAACTTTATACACTTTCCTACCCACAACATAAATTGCTCACTGTCATTAAAAAAGTAGCAGCCAATAAACAGTTGTATATGAATATACCTTTTCGAACATCCCATATTCTGACGCTTTCATCAAACGATCCAGACACAATCAAGTTTGATTGTGGGTTGTAATTGACGCAAAACACATAGTTTGTATGTCCTTTAAGAATTTTTACTGCATCCGACTAAACCCAGTAGAAAGCAAGTTAATGACATTTCTTAAATAGATCCGATACCAAGTTTATAGTATACATACACTGTCGTATTTCCAGATACGGATTGTCTTGTCATCAGAGGCAGAGCAAATATATTGCGAGTCTGAGGACCATGCAACGTCTGAAACCCCTTCTCTGTGCCCTAGTAGGGTTCGTTCATGACGACCATCAATAGCGTGCCATAGCCTGATTGTCTTGTCTGCGGCTAATTGAATTAAAAAATGAGATTAGTCAAGTATCCAATTAAATATTCCATAATTTTTGATAAACAGTTTAACAAAAAACTTGAGTTTCTGTTTATAAATCACAGGAATAGTTTATGCCAATCGAGACAAGTATCCCAATTCAGTATCAAGCAATTCGTACACGAAGAAGCAAGCCATTTCCCATCTGGAGAAAACTTTACAGACGAGATAGATTTGGTATGGCCCAAAAGGGTGTATTTTAAAACATAGTTGCAGGTAGTTGGAGCTGGAGCAGCTCTCTGAACAATGCCGTTCTCAGCTGGAACACCAGCTGATGATCTGTCAGCAGTCTGGTCTTGATTTGAAGCATCACTGGAAACATGAGTAGGTTTAAGTCGTTTTGCTCCACGTTTTTCAGAAGAATCTTGTGGAGTATCTGCGTAAGAAGCACTATCCACATAGTTTGCAGGAGAGCCAACGTCATTGGAATCACTCATTTCACGATAATATTTTTGGCTAAAGTTCTGCTTGAGAATTGACATTCGAGTAGCACTGTATCACGTGGAAGTCACGCAGCCTGAAAACTGCAGATTCACATTTCGACTTTGCAATCTGAATTCAATTTCAATTTCAATTCAATTCGTTTGTTGAACTGCTACGGCTTCTATCTTTATGTCAGCTTCAGAGTCAAAAGAAACGAACATCACTGTAGTGGTTCGTATTAGGTAGTTGTTTATAGGCTGGAATTGCTGTTTTTTTTATTACACTCGATTTTCGGACATTCGCATACCCATCCGTCATTTATAAACCATCCATGCTGGATAGATCTTGTTCCTGCCCTTGTTCAAAGTGCTGGTTTATTTGTCTGCTGTGTATATTTTTATGATATAGTTTTCTAAACAACTTGAACATTTTCAATTCGTACATTGTGTGCAACTTGCACTTTGATATCTGCGTTTTAACCTCGCTCAATCGATTTGCACAGACCAAGAAATCAAAAAGATATCAGAGAAAACAGCCCTATATGTATCTCAACAACATCCAACAAAAAAGAGTTGCAACTGCGCTTACATCCAGCTGTTTTTTCTGGTTCCTCCTCTGCTGCCCATGCTTCCGACTCGGTCACTACAAAGTCCTTTCATTTCGATCGCGTCTTTGGACCAGAGGTCTCGCAGCAGGAGTTGTTTGACGAGGTTGCATCTGGTATCTTGTCCGAGGTGCGATACACTTGTTTGACTGGAATATATTCGACTTTTATCTATATCTTTCCATGCCTATGTCGATCATACTGGTCTAGCTTTGGCAATCATAGAGATGTTCTTTTGACAAGTGTCGTTGTAGTACTTGGAGTTTAACGTTATCTCTTGATGTTTAAATTAAATCTTGCTTTTAGGTGCTGATGGGATATAATTGTACCATATTTGCTTATGGCCAGGTACAGCCAACATACTTTAACCAGCTTGCTAAAATTTGACTATTCAATTGTATTCACAAGCATCATGTAGACTGGAACAGGAAAAACGCATACCATGGAGGGCGATCTTGCTGTTCAAGGAAGTCCAGATGCTGGGATTATTCCTCGCACTCTCTACAGTTTGTTTGATACACTTGAAAGAGAAACTGCTGAATACTCTGTTCGTGTTTCGGTAAGACATCTATAGGGTGTGTTCAAATATTCTATTGTTGGATTTAACTTGTATGCCGTTTAGTTTATTGAACTGTACAATGAGGAAATCAATGATCTGCTATCACCAGAGGATGACAATAGGAAACTTAAAATATTTGATGATCGAAAAGGATCCACTTTAATTCAAGGATTGGAAGAAATTCTTGTTAAAAATGCTGCGGATGTCATTTCTATTTTGCAAACTGGATCAAACAGGCGTCAAAAGGCTGCGACAAAGCTAAACCACGTATCAAGGTATGTCAACCAAATGCATTTCATACCATGTGCTTTTTGTTTTACAAGTCTGTTATAATGCACATTGTTCAAAAGTAACATGATTTTACTTGATCTGTGAATTTTCTTAATACAATAGCCGTTCGCATGGTATTTTCTCCATTACAGTCCATACAAAAGAATGCACGCCAGATGGTGAAGAGCTACTCAAGGTAAGGCATGCTTTTGAATAATCAAATTTAATGGATGCGCAAGTGATATTGACTACATTCATTTGTGACCAAATTCGGTTTATTAGGTTGGCAAACTTAATTTGGTAGATCTTGCAGGCTCTGAAAATATTGGACGGTCTGGTGCCGAAAATAAACGTGCAAAGGAAGCTGGCATGATTAATCAGGCAATATTGATTTTGCTTATTGAGTATTGTATTTGAAGCCTATAAGCTGACTTTAATTTCTATCTAGAGTCTGTTGACACTAGGAAGAGTAATTGGCGCTCTTGTCGAGCATAACTCGCATATTCCTTATCGGGAAAGCAAACTGACTAGAATTTTGCAAGATTCTTTAGGTATGAGTATTTATAATGACCGGTTATGCACTTTTCAATTGCATCGATTTTTTATTGAATCTTTGATTTATTTTTTGGTGCAGGTGGTCGTACAAAAACATGTATCATTGCTGCTGTTTCTCCAGCCAAATGCAACATAGAGGAGTCGCACTCTACATTAGACTATGCCCACCGAGCAAAAAACATTCGAAACAAGCCAGAGATCAATCAGCGCATGACAAAAAAAGCTCTTCTTCGTGAGTATATCACAGAAATTGAACGTCTTAAATCGGATCTCACTGTAAGTTTATTTTGAATTCGATAAAACACTCCTGCTTTACCTTTTAAGTTTTATTTTTGTTTTACTGACCTTTATTCAATTCTTAGGCTACACGCGAAAAAAATGGTATTTATATCTCTAAAGAGGTGAGAACCTTGTCCAAAACTTATTTTTAAAGTGTCCTATATGAATATTAAACCTTTGAGTTAATTAGGGCTACACGTCAATGCTGGAAGAAAGCCAGTCTCGGAAGGATCGTATCGATGAGGTTACAAATGCTATTATATTGAAAGAAACCCAGATCGCCGCGCTAGAGCTACAGTTCAATCAAAACATTCAAATCCTTAACCAGACATCACATCAGCTCACTGAAACCATGAACGAGCTTAATGAGCGCAAAGTAGAACTCGGCGTTGCCTTGGAAAACATTGAGCTTGCTCGGCGCAGTCTTGTTCAACAAGAATTTTTGACCAGGTATTTTAATACCGGATTGTTGAAATAGGTTTTGCTATTTTTACTGACATTTCATTAATAGGGCTCACGCAAACACCGAAGTTCATTTGGATTCTTTAGCTGAATCCTTGGTTTCTACTCTTGTTTCCAGTACCAATGATGTTCAACAATTGCATGATAAATTAGGTTTGATGTCGACATTTGATGATGTATTTGTGTCCAATGTACCGGCCCGCTAATTGATAGCCATATGGCTATATTTTGTCTACTAGATCGTAAACGTACTCTTGATCACAACAATGCATCTATTTTCCTCTCGTTTCAAGATAAAATTGGTGGATATATTGATGATATGTTGGTTCGAATGAACCAATTTGATCAATTATCAAAAGCCTGCCATCACGATATTACAGCAAATATCCATGCTTCAGTTGAACAGTCCAGCAAGGTAAATTGTGATTGAATAAACGTATAGAGAAATAATAAATTCATTTGCTTGAAACTAACACCACAAGTGAAATATTGCGTTATTTTGCCCAAAAGATGGTTTTGAATGCAAAAAATCTTATAGATGGTGCTGTAAGCAGTATGGGAAATTTTGGAAACCTTATCCTCAAGGAAAATGCTGAAATTGCAAATGAGTCTGCTTTGGCCATTGCAAATATTTCTCAGGCTGCCCAATCGCTTAGTTCTGCACTGGACAATCAAAACGAAAAGTTGCTTACGGCTATTGAAAGCATATCAACTAATATCGAGCGACAATTGAGTGAACAGGCTACCAAGGTATTGCTGGATTATTGTGGCTATTCAATTGTGATTTTGTATGGTGTTTCAATAGATCTAATCTACTGTTTTTTAACAGATGGGCCAGGCTAGAGCAATGTTTGAGCAACATCTCAACATGTTTGCTCAAACCATCAACTCTGATATTCAACGTGATTTAACAGAACGTGATAGTAAGCATGAAGCTTTGCAATCTCTTTTGAAAGAACAGGTAGAATAGTTGTACTTTTAGATTGTGTGAAAAACAACAACAAGCATTTATATCTATGTTTGTCAGAATGACTGATTATTTTTCATTTGATAGATCAAGTATCTTTGTGAATACAATAGTCGACTTGAGAAGCAGCTGCTGGATGACAATCAGACCATGGTATCTGCCAAAGAACAGCTGATTCAAAAATTTGTACAGGAACTAGACGGCTTCACGACCTTGTCGAATTCGCGCCGCCAAGCATTTGCTCAAGAGTTTTCAAGTCATACTCTTGTGCATTCTAGTTCGCTTGAAGCCGTTCATGAAAAAATGGCAACAGACTATCAGGATAGTCGCGTTAGAATGCAAAACGTCAATCATCAATTTCAGGCAGGGGTGTCAACTGCACTTTCTGGCTGTAACAATATGAATCAGGTATGAGCTTGCATCTTTACTCTATTTTAGCTACTGCATAGTTATTGACACGCTAATCGATCGACTTATTTGTGGTTAATGTTACATAGCTTGCCGAGCAACAACACACTGATCTTGTAGATTCTAATCATACAGCTCTTGTTGCTGTTCGAGAAGCAGCAATGCTTACAAAATCAATGGTTGAAAATCAGCTAGCAAGTACTTTTGATATTACACAAAAAGGTAAGTTTTGTCAAGTTATTTGAATGAATGCACTGCTTACTGAGCTGATGTTTACGCTAAACTTATGCTCAACAGAATTTCAGCATATTAGCCAGCATGCAGATGAACAAAAAATAATTTTAAAGGAGCAGGAGCATATCATTGAAAGTCTTCCCGAAGATTTTGAGATTCAAACCAATTTTGAAACTGCCGAATTAAACTCTCGACTTGATGCAGTTCAAAATCTGGTATATGCATTTAGTAAATATCATGACTATCTATTCAAATCTCACTTCTAATCGTCTTTCACGCCACTTTATTCGTATAGGCTAATTCGCACTTGCTTGAAGTTGATTCCATAAGTAAAGACTGTCAAGAAGTGCGCACAATCATCAAAAACCAAATAGAAGAGAGTCAGTTGCTTCCCGACACCTCAACTGGGAAAACCCCACGTCGACGTGCCATCAAATTTCCTACAAGTTGGAAGCGGACTCGCGATCATGACGACCTGCTGCAGGAATTTAATGCTAGACTTAAAACAGGCGATACTGATAATATGGAGTTTACATCCATTACAAAATCGGGAAATTTTACTTCCGCCATTCCTCCACCGTCCTCTGTATCAGGTCAAGCTGCCGAAGCAGCTGAATGTACATCCATTTCAGGGGAATCACATCTCATGTTGTATCAAGATGACAATAGTTATCCCGTAGTTTCCAATTTTTCTCCAGACCTATTTTGCATGGATTATGAGTTTCCTCCTACTCCCGGTCCTGCTAGTAAACTGCCTCGATCTCGACCTAAGCGTTATAATGTCACGTTCAACGATCAAGATTAATGTGCCGAATTTTTAATTGTTCTCAGTATCACTCGAATGGGTTGGTTGTAGTGTATTGCTTTTAACAATATGGTTGAAAATAAATGTTTTATTTTACGTGAATACGGCTGTAAAACTGCATGATGAATCCATACGCAGCAATCTTGAGAGATCTGACAGTTTTTTTAATGAACATGACGATTGGATTGAGTAGATTGTTGGTTGGATTGAATGGATTGTTTTGGGTTGATTCTTGAGTGTAATTGAATACTTGCAAGCTTTCGACTTTTCCTGTAATTTTTTCATTCGTCTGTCAGCTTTGGTTCTGTAAGTTATTGCTAGAGATGGACTCGATTCAATAGACTATTGTCATTCAACTCAATAATCATATAATTGATCGACCTTTGTCAGTTGAGCCAAAGAATCTTTTATTCACTTTATTGATCTACTCAGAAACACAATCACCCATGCTGTTCACTAGTCTTTCAAGATCAATTCGATCTTTCATTAGCCAGCCTCAACTGACCCAATTAAGGAGGATTCAAATAGATGTCAGCCAAGTGAAAAAAGGACATGTTTTGAGTCTTCACAAGAAGCTTTGGGTGGTGCTTAATTCGTCCCATCATCGTCAAGCTCGTGGTGGTGCACATTATAATATCGAAGTCAAAGAGCTGCTTACTGGATCAAAGTCTTTTGAACGGTTCAATTCAGGCAATGTGGTTGAAGGTAAATTGTGTATTGCTGGTGGGAAATTTGCTTGGATTGGCATCATTCCATAAGTCTACAGAAATGGCTGTCGAGTTCACTAATTACCAGAGTATCGCTTTGTATGTAGCTGCTAACTTGGAGAGAAGAACGTTTCAGTTTTTATATGCAGATGATACGCTTCATCTAATTGATCCAGTAACGTTTGAAGAACACGAATTCCCATTCAATATTCTTTCCGGTATGAATGCAGATCTTGATAGTCATGACTGAATGCACAATTTCGAACCATGCCATGGTTCTTGTATATAGCAAGGTTAACCCAATTCTACCTTTTAATTTAGTTGGCGAAAAAATTGTTCCGTTTTTGCAAGATTCAATGGAAATCAAGGTAGAATACCATGAAGATAAACCGGTACTTATCAAGATACCTGATCGAGCCATATTCACTATAAAGGAAACAAACCCTGCGTCCCATTCTGCTGCTGATTCTAGTAATGGAGTAGTGTTTAAAACAGCTGTTTTGGAAAACGGAGCTAGTATTAGCATTCCTGATTTTGTCAATGTTGGAGATAAAGTGGTTGTCGTTCTCTCTGATCAGTCATATCACTCACGGGTGCGGGAATAGCATGCTTCAAGGTCCCAAAGCATTTTGTACAACCAAAGACACGACAGAAATATGTTTTGCAATATGATTTCAAATATATTTATATTGGCGAGTGCATTCCCAATTTGGTATTAAATTCTAGCTTGAATCGCTTTTGAAACTGAGTCCATTCACGCTTATCATGCAGTTTGACAAACTCTTGCAAGGGAATCAAAACAATCAAACCGCAAAATACTAGCACATGGATCCACCATGAGATATCACGGAGCCGATAGGGATTGCCAATCACACTGATGGTGAAAAAAACGGCTTGTATAACAAGTCTGTAGTATGGAGTTATGCAAAAATCGGGTATATATTCATTAGTGTACTGCCAAAAGAATACTTGTGATTCAGTGAATCAGTCTGCAATAGTAAACCATGCACTTACGAAAGAATGGCTGAAAAACACCATACAGGATGCATATATGGAGGTCGCTCAAAAATAGACTTTACACGACAAAGGTACGTAGAAGAAATACCCACTAATTCACAACAGTTTACAAATCGTGTTAGCAGCCTTTGTTTCAATATACCAAAGTCAATTTTGTTCAAAAAGTAGACAGTCAACACATACCCATGTACAACACATAAACACATAATGTATAGTTTTGGGCAAAAAGCAAAGCACTTTGATCCATTTGAGTATAGTTATTCCAAGGCACTCCCATATAATTATTCGATAATTCAAAGCCATTTTTAGAGTCATGTATCTCTCCCAAGACTCTAACATCACGTTCTAATATTAGCAGCAGATCTCAATGATGCTAGTAAAACAAGCCAAGAGAAATCTCAGCAATCGATTAAAAGCATACTTACAATGCAAAAACAAATACACAAATGATTGATGGAAAGATAGTAAATCTCACAATGCAGTACCAAATAAATCGCCACAAATCTCTCAAATGCTCGGCGTTTTTAACTGGCATGTTGGTCATAACATCTGGCAAGTGAGGCGAAAAAAGAAACGAAATTGATATGAGAGGCAGTAATAGCCATGCAAAGTAGATCAAATGATATCCAGAAAAAATAGGTGGCAAGAGCAAACAAAAGGAGAGAAACTGCACACAAGAAAGTGTTGCTTGACATCCCATATAAAATATGAAGCCCTGAGTACAAGTAAATGAGATTATCAATCAAGTCTGTTTATAGCTACAATATCAAGCCTTTTCCAATTAAAAGGTATAGACCGTATTCCAAAAAAGTTGACGCACCTGTCGAGCATTTGTTGCCAACGTACGCGCTTCACGAATGATTTGAGTAATACTATACAAACTGGTATCTACATTCAAAGTAAGTGCACAAGGACTCGAATTGAAGCTAGCAGCCACAACCAAAGGAGATAATGGTCCAATTTGTGGTCCATGTTGATGACTTTGAAAGTTGAGTGGATCAACTGCTATACTAATATCTGCCTATATACCGTATGTCATGGTTGTCAAGGTCAAATACAAAAGTATTAAAAAGCGTTTTCCAATCATTCATAACCTAGCCATTTTACAAAGAATCTATCCAAAAAAGCCATTTGCACTTACAATTGCAAAACATTCCACATTCAAGTCATTCAAAGAAGATCCAATACAGCACACGACTTCGCCATGTTCTTGGAAAATTCGCACCATTTCTCGAATAGAATGAGGTTGGCATTCTGCAAAAAGAGATACATGCAAAGGCACATCATCAACATTCATTATGTGTGATCGAATGTTATTAACGCCTTTTGGAAGCCGAGCCTTCATGTCATGAATGGCAGAGTAACCTGGCCCAACGCCTTCTGGTGAAAGTATAATGCAGCAGTTCCAATCAATTTCCAATCCAAGATGTTCTGCGTATGCTTTACTTTCCCGTTCTGGGGCTGATGAAAAATAAACAAAGCGAATGCCCGCGAGACCAAGATCCTCAATCACATCCACCACATTCTATAATGTACCAAAATAGTTAAAACTGGTTTTCTGGTATGAGTTTAAAACAAACTACTTACCGGTTTTGCAGTAAATTCAACCGATGCCATTGCAAGAAAAGTCTGTCCTTTTATCGCTTCTTGATAAAACTCGTCACCATCAATCACCTCATTTTCCGCTGAAGCATCAATCTTACTAATTGTACGATCCCTGGCTTTCCGTTTACAGGTTCGTGAAAATAGTGGATTTGATACCGCCTCTAAACTTTTGTTTATGTCTAAATCATTAGCTTCTTGAATAGATTTAATAGCTGCTGTATCGTCTATATTGGAAGAGGCTGAAAAATCCTGTAGATGCGGTATGTCTTGGTTCAAATAACTATCTGCTTCCGAGAGTTCCAAATAAATCGGTGTTGTAGGAGAAGTTCCCTGACTCAGTGCTTTAGACGGATAATGAATAGGACGATAAGCAAATGCCACAACTTGCAAATCACTAATAATGGCATTTTGATAAAATTCCCAAATTTTTTGTTCAACCTATCAAGACATCAGCATCAAAAAATCAGCTAGTGACATTTAAACCGTGTATAAAACCAAATAAAGTCAAGTATCACAGCCGCTTGACTCACTGTTTCGGTCATTTGGCTCAAGCTGTGGCCGTTCCAAAAATCGCCACATGATTCTAAAATAAGAGCTGCATTTCCTTCAGAAAAAAGTTGAAACGACCCTATTGATATTTATAAAATCAAACAAATACATTGTTTAATACTACTTTTAGCACGGCGATGGAGATTCATGACTAGACATCATTTTACCAGATGTGTTGTCATGAAATATGTGGGATATCATGCTTGGGATTTCTAAGTGATAGTCGGATGTGCATTGACCGATGCTGGCATGATTTGGTGCAAATAGTTCAATGGAAGCTTTTTTTACAAATTGGTCTACTGCATCCTTTGTAAAGCCAATTTCAGTTCCAACACGACAAAGACATGCTGCAGTCAGATTTAAACAAAGTGTTAAAACATGATACTATCACACGGAAAAGTATAAACTTTAAGGGAAGTACATACTTTGTCGAGCAGAGCATATACAACCATGAATGCGGATTTTTTGAGTATTGAGATGACTGTCGATCCTCCGTCTACCAGCATGAATGCCGCAATCCGTCATTAATAATAGACCGAGTCCTAGTGGTTTCAGCAAACTAGACATATGATGATGCAAAATCAGTTTTAAAATAATAAACCTATTCAACGTCACACGTGTGATTAAAGCTTACGGAAGGTTTTCTATCCATCCTTTATCTTCAAAGCGGATTCCACTTGGCAATGTTCTATCTTCACAGGTATCTAAAATCACAGGCTCTCCGCTTTCTTCAATTAGAAAAATTTGGTCTACCGATGGAAGTGGCTGTATTTTCACAAGTTAGTTGATTTTTCTAAATCAAAGCCGAGTCTACTCAAAGCATTTGATTTGTTTTAGCTAGAAACTTACGGCAGATATTGTCCCTTCCCGATCAATTGAGCAAATGACAGTTGTGTTTGCAAGAGATTCAATCAATCCAGTTGTACGAGCCAGAAACGAAATATCGATTCGAATAATTTGATCTAAAAACTTGGACCAAATAGCAGCTAGTATAATAGATGGCATATTATAAAAAATGCAAGTATAGCAATGAGTAATCGTCAAATGCACAGGAACTTGAAAGATGATCAAAAATGCATACCCCAAGACACAGTAACATTTTTAGTTGGAGCAGGAGCAGCATCAAACTCGTCTACATCGTCTTTATCTTCAAAAGCAGTTTTTGAACTTTGTAGTGCTTCAAATAGACAGACAATTTGAGCATTTCCATAACTACGAGAGATCAGACTAAGAGTCGGGTAGGATAGAGGGATCAGTGGAAATAAAATGTAAATTTGAAGGTTTACTAGCATTTCGTAAGCCTGGTTTGCTCTGCTTTGAATGTTATGCGGATCAATCAGTATAAAGCGAAGTGCATTCACGATAAAGGCGGACCCAAGAGTAATCCAAATAACACGGGTAAGAAAGATGGTATCGATGAGACTTAGTTGATGAGCAATGACTGTTTCTGGACGACTAGAATTGAGTGCAGATAAAACTATGCTTTTGATGGGACTTTCAATGACTTTAAAGTAGTAAGCGCCATTTGTAGAGATTCCAAAAGCTTCTTGAGCACGACGTGGTTCAGATAATGATCCGAAAAGATCTGGTTTAAGAATCTGCCCAGGTTCCATTTTAATGAGCTCAGAATGGTTTGTGGCAAATAAAAACAGAATTTTGCACGGGGCAGTTTCTCCATATGCAAGCAGGATAACATCATCTTGAACCAGTAGATTTGATGGAAGCAATCGAACCGTGCCATCACGCACTACTCGAGTGATGGAGACTGTTGGAATGGTAGTTGGAAAGCAAAAATCCTATAAAAAGATCGAATGAGTTGAACGCAATCGTTTACCAATTGAATCAAGTCAAGAAGATTAAATCTGGGAAGCAAAAACAATACCTGTGAATCGTCGATGCCGTATTTACGGACTTGCTCTAAAGTGTTTTGAAGACGACTAGACATTTCCAATAAGGCGAGTTTGATTTCTCTAACGTGAAGCCAACAATTAAATGCAACAGCGGTGATGATAAGTAAACCTTCTAAAAGAGCACCAGTTGCTCTTGATTGAAACGGGACAGAGCTAAATAGCGAAAAGATGTAAAAGCCAACAAGTCCGATAGCAAAGATAATCGCGAGGAGCACGTCGGATCTGAGCAGATATTTCCGTAATGCTACAAAAGGCAGACCAGATTAAGATTGAAAAACAGTTAGACTCCAATGGACTATAAGCATAGTAAACATATGGATGAAATCCAAGGATATGTATAAAAAACAGGATCTTTCAAGTCATTTAGAAAATAAAAAACATACGGCTCAAGGAAACAATGTTGCGACGTTGCTCAGCCAGGACAGCATTTGCAGTTTGAACAAAGGTAGCAGTAGCATCTTTATGAGAGAGATAAATGTGCAATCGTTGCTGTGTAGTGTGATTAGGAGAGTGAATGCTGTTTGAAATATGAGTGGAAGGTGATGAAGGAGATTCTAATAAGCAGTCAGTGGTTTGATTCTGAGAGAGTACGAATGTATTATTGCAGTTGTTTGTAGATGTAGTGGAATTCATAGTGATAATGTAGATAGTAGTTTAAGAAATAACAAGTAGTAGTAATCCTGTTAATCCTGTTAATAGTCCTGTTAATAATCCTGTTAATCCTGTTAATAATAGTCGTATTAGCAGCCCTATCAATGACCCTATTAAACAACCCTATCAAACAACCTTTTCTTTTCAATCTATTACAGCTGTATTCATGTAAAATAAAACACTTTGCATTTATCTTGCAATGATTTCCTTTTTGTCTTGAAATAACAATTAAACAAGTATTACACTTTTTCTACTAAAATTGATTTCAATAAACATTCATCATATCAAACTATAGTTTTGAACCGAGATTGAGCTCTCATTATACCATGACCAGATTTAAATCATATTTATATTTTAATATCAAACACATTCACGCTCTAGTTCAAGAGAACAATCCGAGATGCAACCATACATGTCAATCACTCAATGTTGTGTAGGAGAGTTGAAGATTGATTGAAAGATAAAACATTCAGTTGTACAGAAATGAGCAATCGACTCTCTAGTTTAATGAACAGGAAATATGACGAGAATCATTGCTTTACAACAGTTTATAATTTGACATTTATCAAGAGAATAACGGCTGCTTCGAGTTGAAACCTTTCTTTCCTTCACGTCTTGACATTGGGTTTGAGCAGTTTATCTACGCCAAGACGACCCTCCCTAACTGCAGTCACTGCCTGCTTGATTACACCCTTTACCATCATATTAGTTGTTCACTCGAGTGTACGAGATATGCGCGAAGTCAGAATCTTGCTCGTTGGTGACGGTATGCTCGCTCTTGATGGCCTGTTGATCTTGATTGTCATGAACCAACTTATTTTGTCCTTGATGGTCATTTGTGTTTTGCTATTCATCTCTTTATGCTTCAAACTGTCCATGTGCTTATTGACTCTACTACAACCTATTCTTGATGAGCATGTTTATGTAGTCTAGCATCCTGTTGGATGGTCAATTCATCTTGAACTGTCATGGTTGGTCTACCTTTAGCCATACCAGTCTGGTCAAATTCTGCATTCCTTTGGACACTTGAATGCAATTATCAACTACTTGCCAGGATTCTATGCTTGGCTGATGTTTCTACTTTGACTTCTCATCTAAAATGGATTGCATCAACTGTTTTATTTCAATCAACGATCGTGTATTCTATCAACCATGTATATTTCTAAATTCATTGATCTATCCTTTAATCCTAGATGGCGTCGGCAAAAGTACTCTCATCACCTCTCTCATCAAGGAAACATTTGTTGCCAATGTAAGCAACCTTGTAGATGTTTACTGGTGTTTAACATGGTAATTACTAACATGTCATTTGATTTGCATTTTTAAACTCATGTGTAGATCCATCATGTGGTTGGAGAAGTCACTATTCCACCCGAATGGACTAGAGAGAATGTTACTACAAAAATTGTCGACTCTTCCTGTATGTATTTTGTATATCTTGGAATTTTACTCGCATGTGAAATATTTACTTGTTACTAATATCATCTTGTTTGATTCTATCATTTAAATGCATCAGCTCGCTCAGAAAACAAGGATCAACTTGAAACAGAAATTCGAAAGGCTGATGTGATTTGCATTGTGTATGGTATAGATAGACCCGAATCTTTTGAGCGCATTTCTCTTTATTGGCTTCCTTATATTCGTAACTTGGGAAGAAATGTAGGTTTGCATAGACCTCTAATATGTGCTCTTGATTTAATGCATTTGAATCTAACGGTTGTGCATTTTAAAGATTCCTGTCGTGCTTGTTGGAAACAAAATTGATGTTCGAGGCAGAGAAATTACAAATGATTCGCTTGAAGAGCAAATCATGCCCGTAATGAATGAATTTAAAGAGGTCGAGACGTGTGTTGAATGCTCGGCCAAACAGCCATTGAATGTTTCAGAGGTTTTTTACTTTGCACAAAAGGCCGTCTTGTATCCAACTGCTCCTCTCTATGATTCTCGTGAACATATTCTCAAGCCCGCATGTGTTGATGCTCTACGAAGAATATTTAAACTGTGCGATACCAACAAAAATGGGTATTTGGATGATGATGAGATCAACGAGTTTCAGGTATTCACTGTTTTTGTGGCATTCGATAAATGTCTTTATTTTGCAATCTTGCATTTCATGCCAGTTTGCAATAAATCAATACATTGCGTCTCTAACTTGCGTCAACACGTCCTTATGATTTAGAACAAGTGTTTTGGAGCTCCGTTACAGAAACAAGAACTGGAAAGTGTCAAGGCTGTCGTGACCGAAAGTGAGCCAGAAGGAGTGACAGAGCATGGCCTTTCTGAAATTGGTACGATAAAATAGAATGCGACTCGAACCGTTTGTTGTTATTTTATATGAATGATACTGATTTTAGATTCAGGCTTTCTTTTTTTACATACCCTATTTATTCAGCGAGGACGCTTGGAAACAACTTGGACTGTTCTTCGTAAATTTGGATACGGCGATGATCTTACTCTTCGTGAAGATTTTCTGTTCCCCAAGTGAGTCTTTTGTCTAATAGTTTTGAAGCATCAATATTGTTTATAGTCACGCAAAGGATGTTTTTTTGGTCTCTACTAACGATTCTATTGCAAATGCATGCAGGTTTGAGGTTCCACTTGATTGCTCTGTGGAACTAAGTAGCGATGGATACCAGTTTTTGACTGATTTGTTCAAATCCTATGATCACGATCTGGATAGCGCACTCAAAAATGCAGAACTTGAGGATTTGTTTAGTACGGCTCCTGCAAATCCGTGGGAAGGGACCGGTTTTCCAGAAACAACAGTGACCAACGAAAGCGGGGCAGTGACACTGCAAGGGTTTTTAGCACAATGGAGGTAAATGCATTGCTATTTTTATGGGTTACTTTGCAAACCTGCTCGAGTCTTTATTTCAGTTAGTATGTTTAAAGCATTTGATAAAGTCTAATCTATTGTCTGATTTATTTCACGCTGCAGTATGACCACACTTCTTGATCATAAATTGACATTGTCATATTTGGCCTACTTGGGATATCCTCAAGATAACACAACAACTGCATTGAAAATAACAAACCCCAGAAAACAAGATCGCAAGCGTGGTAAAGTCCAACGAGATGTTTTTTTATGCTATATTTTAGGAGCTACTGGTTCTGGAAAGGTACATTTTATAACTACAATTGATTTGGTCATGAGTGTTTTTATGCTAGTTTATCCAAGTTTATTTTTCAATGATTTTTGTTGACATAAATGACTTATATTATTGTTGTTCTAGACATCGCTTATGCGAGAATTTTCCAAGAAAGAGTTTAATGATGTGTACACTCCAACAACTCGCGGATACAGTGTTGTGAATTCCGTTGAAATTGGTGGAGCCGAGAAATACATTGTGGTTAGTTTATCAAGCATTTGTATTTGTTCGTATTCTTTTGTCAGATCTAATGTATACATTTTGTTTTTGAATACTATATAGATGCAGGAGTTTGGACATGCATATGAGGCAGAAATCCTTCAAAACAAGAAAAAACTAGATGCCTGTGATCTGCTTTGCCTTGTTTATGATTCTGGTGACTCGAACTCATTCAGTTACATTGCCAACTTGCGAGTATGTTACCATGATATTTGATCCAAATACTGAATCTGACGCTTTTTAACCTGTTTTGCTTTGTCAACTCTATGTATAGAAAAAATACAGCATTGATCATCTTCCTATGATTGTTGTAGCTACTAAAAGTGATTTGGATCTTGTTCCCCAAGTAAGCCTGTATTTAGCTTGTTTAGTTGACTTCAAACCAATAATATTATGATTCTATTTCAGAGAATTACGCCGCAACCTGACGAGTACTGCCGAACACTGCATCTTGCTGTTCCTGTGAGCATATCCATCAAAGAAAAAATGACGGCCGATCTGTTTACTATGCTTGCTGCAGTAGCCATTGATCCGTGAGTATTTTTTTAAACAACGAGCTTATAGCCGCATACTGTATTGTCATTTTATTCAACACGATCCCCTGTGCGATACTCACACATTTGCCTATACAGAATTGTGGCTATTCCAGGATCTCATAAACGGTCAGAAGGCATACGAACCTCGACCATTCTGGCGACTACTGCGATCACTGTGGCCGTGGTTGCAATTGGATTTGGCATCTGGTACAGAATGGCAGGCAGGCCAGCAATTCTTTTACCACCACACACCAATGCTTGAGGATTATAGTAGAGCAAATGACTATGATTTGAAGAGTGATCGCACTCTTTTATAGGAAAACCATTCAAACTTTAGATTGCTTACAGTCGATAGTTGTCGATTGCTGCAACATTTATTTTATTCCTTTTGATACGAAGCCCTGCCATTTCCAACCCACCATCCTTCAGCCCAACAGTGTTCGTACAATGCCTTGTTTCTTCTCTGAATGGCCATTGAAATGAATCTGCAATTGACGAAGCCAATACAATCTATTATTGCCTGCCTTGTACATGATGAATCTGAAGCCATGTGGAATCAGTTGAAAACATAAAAATATTCAAGCTGCGACTTGTTCAAGGATAACCAATAATGTCGGATCCGTTTACAGTCATGGTGGCAGTCAACAACACAGAATCTGCATATTGGGCAGCACATCAAGCAGTGGATGTCTGTCGCAGAATGCAGACAGAATACAGACTTTTGATTGTCTATTGTGTCGCACTGAATCCACAACAGTCGCTCCCTGGCATGTAGGTTCAACTGGCATGGAAACCCATGTGGATGAATTGGTATCTGTTCGTCCTGGTATTGCTGCGATTCAGCCTACTGAGTTGCATGTTTCTATTTATGAACAAGTGACCGATTGGAGAGAGCATTCAATGTTGAGATTGAAGCATCTGCTGAGAAAGAGATTGATGACTGCCGAGTTGCTCTTCAAGATAAGCTTGGTGACAAGGTACATGAACGTGCATTCCTGAGTGTCTTTGGATGATTGTCATGTTCCATCTCTTAGGCCTGTGCATCTGACCATCAAATGCTTCATCGATAGGTATCGTACGAGTTCTTTGTTGTCGAAGGCGAAGGTGAAACCGGTCCTGTCTTGGAAAAAGCAAGTGCTTCAGCTCAAGTATTCAACCTTTATAGCTAATCTTATATCTGATCTGCTCTAACCAGCTGCTTTTATGTTTGTGAATCCAGTACATCAAAGAAATGCACCCTCAAACCAACATGTTCTTTATTGGAACTAGAAACAATTCTGGATTAAAAAGGTTCGAATTTTATCGAGTTAAATAACCAGTATCTATACTAACCATTGTTAAAATGTGTAAATATCAAGATGGGCTTTGGGCTCCGTCAGTGATTACTGTGTGCACCATTTCGATATTCCTGTGGTCGTTGTCAAATCCAAACCTTTGCAATAAACCAATTATTTCTGTCCTTTTTGCATACATTTATCTATCAAGATATTGCTTCGAGTCTGAATTCACTTTCCCAATATTCAGTTCAAGAAACTCATGACAGCATCAAAAAGTCGGATATTGAACAGAAATAACTTGACTGATTCTGGGGGTTCGTCTTCCTTTGGTCGCACTTACTTCTCACTATGCCATTTACACTTTCTTCCTGTTCGCACAGAAGTCATGCGTCCAGCACTTGAATCCAATAACCAACTGTATTTGGATGTCGATAGGATAAAACGCGACCGAGAATGGACTCCGCTATTGCAAGCCATTCATCAAAACAGAGACTTGATGCAGCTGAGTGTCTTTTCAAATCATAAGACTGCCATCAAAAACAACGACAGTAAAGTTCATTCTGTCAAGATAAATGTATCTCAAGGAGCACACATGGCAAAAACTGCTCATCAGAACCCCATCGCGCAATCAGAAGCAACAGTCAGTCGAGTCCTTATTCCACTAATCAGGTAAAAACATGATCACTTATAGCTGATCCAAAAGTACTTTGCATTTATACCCAATTCTTTTGATCAATTCGACATTTAGTGCTGTTCGAGAATGTTTGACGCATAATCACCATCTGACAAAATTAGAGATTGTTGGATTCCATCTACGTGAAACTGCCGTGACATTGTTGGCAAAGGTAACTATTTCAAATGATGTATACATTGATCTAGTAAGTAATCTCTCGAAACTGACACGAATTGCTTCATCTTTGAATCAATGTAGGGTTTATATAATAACAAAGTCTTGCAAGAACTTTCGTTGGCACGCACAGATTTAGGCGATTCTGGCATCTACAGTATGTATCAACCACATTGCATTCATTCAAAACCATTTCGACTTATTGTATGATACTCTGATGGTATAGGTTTAGCATTATCTATTCGCACCATTATTCATCTCAAACACCTCAATTTGAGTGCTTGTATGTTGACCGAAAAAGGAGCACACAACATTGCTGCTTTGCTCAAGGTACGTCATCAATCATACATGATCACATCAGATTTACATTACTTTGATTAAATATATTCATGTCGTGTTTGAATGTAGAGTCTAGCAGTTAAAAGACAGGCTGAAAAATGGGCTGGGTCGTTGCGACTATCAGGCGAAGATTCTGAGCGAGTCGAATCAGGAAATAATTTGCCATTAAAGGCTCCTGTTTCATTGAAACGACTGAATCTTTGCCACAATCGAATCGGTGATATAGGGTGCGAAGCATTGCTGGATCTTGTTCGCGAGGAAGTGGGTTTATTAGGTAATTTTCAATTGTAGCATCCTATCATTTTCATAATATAACTCAGTGCTAAACTTTTTTTAATTCAATAGCTTTGGATATGCAATTCAACGAGTTGACAACCAAGAGTGCAGTATTGGCTCATACCGTGCTTGAGCAAAATATAGAAATGACTGTTTTTGATATTCGAAACAACTTAATTGGTAGGCTAGTGTTGATTCATTTGCATAGCTCAAATATCCTCATGACAGCAAATGTAAGCAATTGAAAACTCATTCAATATTTTGCCTATTTCAATCTGTAGAAGATAAATATTTATACAGTATTCACAAATTATTATTCAGAAATGATCAGCAGCGCTGTGAAATAACCAAAACTGGACGAAAATCAGCATTATCCCGTGAGAGCAGCGTATCAAATGCAATGACCATACAGCCCGATCCTGATTTGTATTGGCTTGACAGCAAAGACCCACTTAAAGATACGTACTATCTTATTGATGCGAGTATTCGTCATCATTTGCACACAGAAAGCTCAATAACCAAACGAAAGATTTTGTCAAACCAGAAAGTTTCCCAAACTCGAGTAATAGGCCAAAAGCTTCCTAGCGTGTTTCACAACCTTCAAAAAGAAACACCTTGTCTGAATAGTGTAAAAAAAACTTGCACTCCAACGACCAACAAGAAAAAAGAGATGCCCAAAAACTCTTCACAGGGGATCCACCATACATTGGCTGAAATGAATGCGATGGCTGCGCTTGAATCGTATATTTCACATCGGATATCGCCGCAGTCAAATACACCCAGTCATTTAAAGTCAATCGCAGGTGTACAATCGTCCATCAAGCCAGACTCGTTAAAATCTTGTCTCAAAACCCCAATAGAGTGCTGGGTATCTACAAACCCCGAACCTCCATCCATTTTAACTACCGAGTCTGAGCCTGTGATAAATACCGCGAAAAGCACGGTCAGTAAAGTGAACCCAATCAGCTCCCAGCCAATGCGTGGTTTACATCCAAATGATATTGCTAGGATTGCAAGTACAATTGGTGACACCGATATGGAAATTCACAAAGAGGATATCCCAGTTACGTATGCGCTGGATCAAGTACTTGTCTCGAACAACAATGTAGATATAGTCAACGCAGTCAAACCAAGCCATCCACTCGATCAACCATTGGATGTTAAAATAGCTATAGAGTGCAAACCAACGCAAGCAAGCAATACAACTACAAACGTGTTGGACTCGAAAAAGATGGATTTATTACAAACTAGACTGGATCAAATTGATACTGATTCTTCTATATCCAAATCAACCAAGTATCAAAACGCATCCAAGCCTTTTCCCTTTGTTACAACCGGAAGTGCCGAGTTTGGTGAGTTGATCCAATTATCAGGAACATCTTGTAGTCAGAACCCATCGCAGTCACTTGTTTCTATTCAGCAACAATTGCATCGAGTATCACAACACCTATCTGATCCTACTGCGTACACATCCAACCTACAAATGAATATGCTGATTAAGCTTGTGGAGTCGTCGCTGGAAAGTTTTCATACGATGTTGGATCAGATTGATGAACGCGAGAAGTGTAAAAGACAACGCCGACAGGAAAAAAAGGCACATTCGGTACAGCATCGTGGTCATTCCAATACCATTTCCTGTAATCACACCAATGCAGATATGAGTGGCGATGGTTTGAGTGAATGAAGAAATATAAACAGTATTATTTTATACTATATTTACAAACATTTCAGTTCCAAGTATCTAGTTTTTGTTTGAAGTTCATTCAATCAATAAATTTAAAATATCTTTTCCACTTTTCCAAGTGTATAGTACCTAGTTGGAAGAGAATAAATCATTAGAATATTGCGAGCATGTAGAAAGGGATATTTCAAAATTTGTAGATACAACTTCATCCATACAAGATCAGTCCTTTGGCCGTGGTTTTCCATTGAATGGTGTTTTTAAAAACCGTCCTTCATAAGGTAAATGTGATCTGCCCGATTGCCATTCTTGGTATGAACCAGGTCTGTTGTATGAAGATCCACGGAACCCGCCACGGATACGTGCAGATGATACAGGCATGCGATGTGTATCACCCGAATCGTATCGAGAAAATCCATATGCAAAAGGTTTTCCGCGTGAAGAACCATATCTGGATGCAGGTGGTGAATAACGTCCATCATTTCTTCTAAAGGGATGGTTTTGTGCAGATTCATACTTTGGTGGCAATGAGTTTAGAGAACTACCTCCTGTATGGGTACTCAAATACTGAGCATCCCGTAAGGCTCCAGCTTGGCTATGTGACAGATCTAAACATGGCGGTATCAGTACCAATACACGAATCAAAGTCTAATGCATATTCCAGATAAAATAAACTTTACCCTGGGATTTTAAAGAAGATCCGTATGAATTGATCAATGACTGGCCATGTGGTCTTGAAGTATCGACAGATGATTCTGCCAATCGATGGTCAACAAAAGTAGGAGGTGGCATTGTAAGACTAGCAGGGGATGTATTAGGAATAACAGGCGATTCTAAATGGTCCAAAGGAGCACTCAAATCGGTAGTCATGCAAGAAGATGCGGATTGTAAGGGAGCAGCAGTTTTATTAGCTGGATCCAACTTGGAAGCCTGCACTTCCTTAACCTTGTTCCGTTCACTTTTCTTTTTCATATTTAATGCAACCAAGGAGAATATCTTTCGCTTTTCTGACCGCAAGTTTTCTAGTTTTTGTAGTAGTTCCGACTCGGTCATGTTTGCAGACGGCTGTTGTTGTGATTGAGAGTTTGACTCTGTTCTGTGAGAGCCGTATGTGGTATGTGTCCCAGCAGTATCTAAACAAGTAGAGGATTAGCTCAAGATATCCATATATAAACGGATACTATGGATAGATATACTGAACACTGTTGAAGGGACAGTCAAACAAGACTATATCAGCATACCGGTGGTTCTTATATGGGAGGACAAATCCTTTCCAGAAAGCGAGTCCTGTAATAGTTGGCCATGCTGCTCTAGTTGAGTCTGTGATAATCTGGCAGCTCGTTCTTTCAAAAGTCTGCTACGAACACTGCCATTAAGCACTCTTCCAGCAAGAGCATGTTTAAAGGACAAGTCGGGCTCTGCAGTATAAAACACAAACCGTCTTACTTTCATTTAAAGTATGTGTCAAACTATTAAAGAACTACAAGAGGCTTCTGTAACAATTCCAAGAAAACTTGAAAACTGTTTTTCAAGTCCATTTTTACAAGTTGAAACTTTGCCTTGCAACCAACGTAGAATTCCTGCAAAACAATAGTCAATGCCGATTCTATATAGTCTTTGTGGAGAACAATCTGATTGAGGTTCATGCCAGCAATTCGTCCAGACTTTGACTCTTCCAAACATTTCTAAATAACCAAGACTTGTGATTGAATAACTCGGGATTTATTTTTCAAACTTGATATCAAACCATCAAACTCTTACATGGCTGCATCCCCATCCAGATTGAAGCACATTACCAATAATTCACTACTTGGATCTAAAACACGGAATAGCATTCATTACTTGCGTTTCCTGGCTTTATTGGCACCGACTGGAGTGCTTTCATCCACATTCCATATCATTGGAGCCACTGGAGCAGTAGTATCGCTGTCGGAATCTTCGCTATCCACTTGATCAGTATGATCTTCATCCGTGATGGTGTCGGCAGGAGTATCTTCAGTCTTTTTACCAAACCCAAGCCAGGCTACACATGGATCCAGGAATTTGTTTAACGGAGCAGCAACCAACGGCATCAAAAGAACACAGAGTGAGAGACGCACTGGCATGAGGAGACGATTGAGAGCAAAAGCGAGGGTTGCAATGCCACCAGTTTTAGCCAAAGCAACCATGTCCTTGCCCATGTTCCAACTAGCAAGCAGTCCAGCAATATCAATTTTGGCAGTAACCAACGCAAGGTAGATACCAAAGTAAGTGATCCAGCCCAATAGCTGCGTCATGACGACAAAAGCCGCACCGTATTTAGTGGCATATTCTTTGATCTGACCTAACAACCCAGCCATGATTTGTCGTAATAAATGGTGTAAGGAAGGGAAACTTGTGGTGTCGCCATTAAAGGAATTTACTCTTGATTGCGTTGCAGCCATTCTTGTGACGCTCGAGTTTCATGTTGCGAGTTTTATGCTTTCGGTTTGCTTTGTATTGCAATCGTATTCACGTAAAATAAAACACTTTTGCAGTGACTGCTTGAGAACAGACAAGAGTTGAATACTTGTTGCGCTTATTGAGCATTTCAATCCTTCAATAAACACAACGTTTGTCATATGATGTACACAAACTATCGGTTTGAACTGGAGTAATCTCATCATTTGACATGGTCATACATTGTACAATGACCAAATTGATGCATTGCAATCCAAATATTGGTTTGATTGTTGCCAAATCTATACAAACTTTGTATTTTAATCAGATACATTCGCGTTCTAGTTCAACATATTTCAGATCACCGCAAACAATATCAATTGTATCAATTGAATTGGAGTTAGTATTTTCAATGACTTGCATCGATTCGTTGCAATCTAATATGTTCAGTGGACTATAGATTTGACGGTATCGCAGTTTTACTAAAGTTTACACTCGTACTCGAGCAAATATCAAGTTGTTTTTACTCGCAACCATGTACGCATATATATGTTTGATCGTTTTATTGATAGACATTTCTTGAATGACAAACTGCATATGATTTGATACACATCAGTCATTAGATATTCTATTATCGGCGCGAACCCTTTAGCACAATAATCTCTGCATTTAGCATTTGCTTCTGCTTTTCAAGTTTTTTAACCTGAGAAACAAGCTCTTCAAATTGCTCCTTGGCCATTTCATTCGCTTTTGATGTATCGATTGGTGGTGATCTGATTGGTCCACACTTTGCAGCCTCCATTGCAATTGTTTTGATTTCATGCAATAATGAAATGACTTTTGAATTCGAGTCGAGTGAAACAACTTGTAATCCCTGATTACCACCATTTCCATCCAATCTACGTGATGATATATCCATAGGGTTTACACACGGTTTACACACGTTTTCTACCACACGAGACAGCGATTGTTGTACAGCATCCAATGCTTGTAAAATTCCGTTATTACGAGCCATTATATCTCGCTGCCATTCAACAATAACATGTGTGGATATATGCGACTTGGATAAATGATCGTGTTGCAACCCCTGACTATGCAAGTACATATTTGAGTTGTTATTTGAAGTTTGGTTGCAGGACTGTCGAAGTTTATCCATATTCGCCTCTATAGTTGCCAGTTTTTGCTCCAAATTCAATGGCAGATAATTCACCAATGTTGTGTGAATAGATTGCAATATGTTAGAGTCGATTTTGGTCAATGCATTTTGTCCAGTAGTGTCTGGAATAAGCACTTGCAGGCTATTGTGATGCTGTACCATGGTTGTAAGTTGATCTACCTTGGCATTTATCGCCACCATGTTTTTGATCATATCATCCTGTGTTGAAGGCATTGCATCTTTTTTGAATTGTTCTGCTGAATCTAAAGTGCTGGTTTTTAAAGTGCTAACATCCGAGCTGAGTTTAGTCAAAACTTCTTGTTGAATACTAAACATAGTTAGCATCTGAGTGATACGATCAGACGTGTTTTTGCTATCCTTTCTCAGAGTCTCTTGGATTTCTGAAAATCGGGCTTCCATAATCCGATCATCACTCTGATGACGACTGTGAGTTCCACTTGTCCGAGATGACTTTTCACAACTAATACATGCAGGCTTTTCTAGCACGTCGTCGATCCGATCTAGAATTTTTTGAAGAGTAGAAGAGGTTGACGACATGTGTTCATTGTGATCACGACTTATTCTGGAAAGACGCTCAGTTGTATCTGCAACATCGGTTTTGATTTCTTTGACAGCCTTTTCAAGATGATAGGTGCTACTGAGTGAACCAGAAGACTCCGCATGTGATGCAGTGACTGATCGTATGAGGCGTTCTTCAAGAGATGAAAACCGTGAAAGTATACTTTGTTGAGAATGCTCGTACATTTTTTGAAGTTGGATAAGTTTTTCGTTCATACTGATCATCAATGTCTTGGTGGGTCGGTCAATCATGCCATCGCTAGCATTTCCAGTAAAGGTGGATCCAGAATAAACAGATCGGCTAGTAGCAGTAGTATTTAATTTGCTATTGATATCAGATAGTATAGCTAAAATACTAGTTTTTGTTTCTTGAATTAAATCGGAAATTGTAGTCGTAGCTAAAGGCATATTTTGGATCAGCTTTTCCATGGAATTGACAGCTTCATCAAGTCGAGCATCTCTATACTGCTCTGCGCTTTTTAAGCTTGGCACAAACGTTTCAAAATTTGCAAGTGCAGCAGCTACAATCTTTTGTTGTTCCTGCAGGTCGACCAATCGTTTTCCCCATTCAGAATTAATTGTGGTAGCCGATTGTTTGACTTCTAAAATCAATGCATTGGATGCGTCGTCAAACTTTGACTGTGCATGTCCAATATTTCCAAGAATGAGTTCTGAAGCTGTAGCTATGCACGTGCTGTTTTTCGAAAGCTGTCCAAGAATTTCATCCAGTTTGCCAGCACTGTCCAGTTTTTCGGCTTCATGATGCTTTTCTTTGACTGCAAGGGTTTTGTCCATGGTTGAATATATTGACTGAATTCGACTTTCCAGATGATTGAGCAATTTTACAGTTTGATCGAGACTTTCTGTTACATTGTCCAATTGTGATTGCCCATTTTGTTGGGCAGATTCTTTTGGAATAGATACCGCACTTTCTACAAGTCCACCTGCAGTGACCTCGTCCAAATGCAATATACTATGTGAGAGATTATGAGATACGGGTGATTTGCTTTGAGCCCCTGCTTCATTATCAACTCGCGCTTTGAATCTATGAGGCGGGATGGCAGTAGAAGATGAAGTACAAATATGTGCACTGGAGATCGTTTCTGCCAAACTCAAAGCTTCCTTGTATGCTGATATCCATTTGGATCGCTCAGCATCTGTATTCTGAGCAAATAAGCAAACTGCAGGATTAAGATTGTGGTGTGTATTAGACTCGGCCAACTCAAACGGAAACATTTCTAAATCTTGAGTATGCTCAATTGGACATTCACAAACTTGCAAACCAGTCAGATCATGCACACGAACTAGTCTTGAATCCTAGCTCAAAATATCCACAAGTAATGTTAATTTTCCGAAATTTGCTATTTATGAAGCCTTGGTACTATATATTCTATTCTCTACCTTGTCATTTCGATACAGCTCTAATCGAACCTCAGCCTGCATTTTGTCCAAAATCAACATTCCATGCAGCATTTGCCACTTGGCTCCTTCCTTGAACCATATCGGACCATTTAGACGGACCTGAGAATAAGTATGTCCAAATGAATTACAACTCCATGTTAGTGTCAGACAAATAATATCGCTGTTTGAAAGCAATGACGGCTTATTTCTTCCCAGCTATAATACCATACTTGATCTTTGAACTGGCCATGGATGGAAGATGTTAGTCCAGTTCCCCATACGGAACAAGGATCTCCTTTGACCCCCTGTACATGACCTGGTTGAAACCGTTTTAACATTAGCGCGACGGATGAGGGGTGGCTTGGTTTGTCCAAATCATCGCCAGATTCAGGCCCCTCCATACTATCAATACCAAATGCATCCATCGACGCGCTGGGTGAGAGCTGGTTCAAGTCACAAAAGTCGGGATAAAGTAGCACCCTTGGCGACCCAAAGCAAGACCTTTGCTGCTCGACAGTATGCATGTAGTGACTTGTTTGCTGCTGATTTCGAATGGGAGTATGTCGGAGTGAATTGGGGATTGCATTTGATGTTCCGTGTGTACGACTAGGTACTGCACAATACGTTCGCGAAGATATGGTGCTAGATAATGGTGCCAATGGTGCCAATGACTCGATAGTTGATGCTGGAATGGGTGTAGTATATGACCACTGGTCATGTCTATCCACAGGCACTCGTTTTACAGGAGATGGTGTGTTGGGAACACGCTCAACTTTATGGCATGGCTCTGCATAAGTGCCATTCATTTTAGGATATGTTTGAAATGGCGTTGCTTAATGTTTAAAATGGGTTGATGCATCTAAACTAGCTTTGAAATCAATTTATGGAACTTCACGTGTGATGCATTATGAATAGCCTGCGACCATGATGAATCTAAAATCATTAGTATCGACTTGTTTGGGTAAATGATGAGCAGATTTGTATGAATTGGCTAATACTGAATTCTGAGACTGTCAAGTTACATTTTAATGATACAACAGCCTACCCAACAAGCCAATACTGGGTTGAATCCAATTTAATCCAATCCGATTTAATTTAATCCAATCCAATTTAATCCAATGATCTGATTTTGAAATTGCGCGGGTTGCACGAGTTGCCAAATTCAGCAAGTTGTGGCTAAAGAAGTGTAAATGGCAATATTATGGTCTTGCATCATCTTGGCAATGGTAACTGTCCAACAAAGCTGTCTTGTTCATATGGGGTTGTATTTTACTTGGCTATCATCAAACTACTTTGAACTGTTGTGTATTTGGAATGAAGCATGGTCGACTATACTCTTTGATATGTAGATCTACATTTTATAGTGAGTTGGAGCACATGAGGTTGGTCAGTGGTGATGTTGCCAGCCTTTCAAAGCTATCAGAAAAACAGTGACTAGGTCCGTTTCCATATCCAATTCAACTGTCGACAATGCACACATCGGTTGCTCGTATACTATGACTTGCTATTGAACCAAATCCAACGATTTATTCAAAATTCAATGATTTGATAATCCATCAGCAGTAAGTTGAAAGGACAGGTTTCTACCAATGTCATAATATCACCAGTGTTGAGTTGATGACATATATGTTATGGGTATATCAGATGAAGAGAGTATTTTGATATTAGCGTGCTTGATTTTCCAGTCAAACAGAATAACAGACATTTGTATTTTCAGTATATTTGATCCATGCAATGAATACCAAACAGACATTTACGTGGGTTGTATTTACTAACCTAGTGTATTGATTAGATCCAGTAGTACTATTTTGATTTTAGCAATGCATGAAACCTTGTTTGTCTGGTATGCATTACCAATGTATTTTAGGTAGTAGTGAAGAGTTGCAGTTCAGACGCGTAAAAATGTGCAGATTTGTGTAGATTGACTGACTGGATCTGTGTATACCATCAATGTGTTGCACAGATTATACGGAAGATGTGTGGATATACTTGCTCATGTAAACTAGCTGAACCGGGTGTCACTGCGTTCAAGACTACTTGAGCAGTTTGTATTCGATGCAGTTGGAGTATCATGCAATAATCGTGTGAACAGACTCGTCACCACAGTCATACACAACCATCAATCACTACAGTCGTACTAGACGTCTACAAGTATGAACATGCAGTGCGTTTGGTTACTATTCAATCGAGTAGATCTTGGTCACTATTCAATCGAGTAGATCTGCCTATCACATATACAGTCAGATACAATACATGACCACATTACAGCATACGGTTGGCATAGTTGTATGAGATGGTTGTGCAGTATCAACTGCAGTACAAACGAATCTAATATCATCAGCCATGACCGCTGCAGGAGTTGTCAGCAGCACAGCATTACGCATTGTCCATCGTACATGGATTGACTATTGGGAACGTTCACCGCACTACCCAGCCACCCCACACACTTCAAGCTGGCACATAGATCCCCGATCCGTCAGAGTCGGAGGGATGATGATGATATGGTCCAATCAACTCAAAGTATTATGTGTTGATGCATTAATGCAGCTAGTTTGTGTTACTCGATTCCACGAGGTCGATGCGTGCGGAGTCTGGGATTCAAGGTAAAATAACGAATTAATTGATGATGGTTTGATTATTACGGGACGTTTTTGCAATGTATTCGATTATTACGTGCAGAGAGTTTGGCTTGTCGGGATGTTTTTGCAATATAACCGATTATTACGTGCTGAGAGTTTGGCTTGTTGAGGATTCACATGTCAATTGTTTCAGTTAAATAGTGCATCGTTTGTCCAGATCCGACACCATTACCTACTTTCTGATCAAGATCTTACTTGCCTATCTACCTATTGATCCAAAACTTGCTTGTCCATCTACCTATTGATCCAAATCTCAGATCTGATTGTTTCCCTTGTGTATTTTGTTAAACAGTCATACACACTACTTGTTTGAACGTATTAGTTTGCAGCAACTATTGCAACTATTACAACTGCTACCCATATTATTGTTATCAAGTTTCGAGGTCAACTCGTTTTACATTTCCATTTCGTGACACCCTACAACACCAATAATGAGCTCACTGTGGTCCCGTCTCAACATCTTATCGGCTGGTTCTCCAAGACAGCCTCGCCGTAATGCGGAAAACACTATTCTCCAACCAGCCTATACTTCTGAAAATGCACCACACCTTGCCGAAGCAAGCATGAATCCAGAAAGGTATGCAGTACAGTATTTGTATTATAGTTGTGCATCTGAATATTGTATTTTGGTTACACAACACATTGCTAACATGACTGTTTACTTGCATGTGTATTATTTACGATTTGATGATTGCATTTACGGTATTTTGGGATGGACTCGAAACGTTGCCGAATTTAATTTTGTTGATTCGACTCCGACTACGCGACTTTGATGGTAATGATTTTGACTGTTTTTGATGCTATCTAATGTCATTGAACGTCATTCAATGTGTATCAATTGTGATTTGTGTTGGTTGGTATGATGTGCTGGTTGATTATTATTTGGAATTGAATTGGTTGATGCCTAATTTGATTTATGGGACAATGGGTTGAATGCTACTTTAAACTTTTACTGTTGTTTGTGCATAATTTTGTAATGTTGTGATTGACTAGTTCAAATCAGGAAAACATATATACTGATATGTATACATCCAGTGCAATCAGTCCAATCAATGATCCAAGAATCCCTACTTCACCAAGTAAGTGTGTGATTTTTGTATCAATTTCTCACGAGTTTTGGATGTACATGCATGTGAATGCATGTATTGTGGATTGTTTAGGTTGTAGTGTGTTGATGGTAACTATACTGATTATATTTATTGTTTTAAAATATTTACATTATAGTCTCGTCCCTGATTGAGGCAGCTAGGATACTGCAGTCTGGAAAGCAATGCGACTCTACAGTATCAACCATATATACTGCAGAGTCCATTGCACCAGATTCAGCAGTGACTGGCCATTCATCAGGACCCGTTGAGCATTATACCGATGCTCAAGCATCTATGCTGTCATACAGCTATGCTAAACGGGTTTTGGCGTGTGACAAACCGCCTTTTGAAACTCGGTATAAAGTAAGTTGGTTGTATTAGTATAAATCTTGGGTTTAGCTTTGAAATTACACAAGCTGTGCTGGATTGATACAACTGTATAGTTATGGTTGACTAATGTTTTATTTATTGGTATTTGTCAACCATTTGTATTTGACAGGCTGACCAGATGCAGTACACAAGCAGTAAGCTTCCCGGTGAAGCTGATAGATCAAAAGTGTGGCAGCCCATGTCATCACTGAGGGATTCTATCAGCTTCCGGGAAGTTTACCGAAAGCAAGGGTTCCTGCGCGAGTTACCCATAGGTCGCCAGTTATGCAACATATTGTTGTCGAATAACTCGGTGGACATGGTTGACTCGATGGAGCAATGCAACCGGTCGGATGTCTCGGTGGACATAACCGAACCGGTTGCGAATTGCTTCGGGATTCCCATGGACGTCGAAAATCCCATGGATTTTGACGTGTACATGGATGACACCGACATCCCCGTGGGTGTCGAGGATCTGCCAGGTACGCGTAATATATAGTTTTAAATGTCAGCGGTATATCAATGTATGTGATTTACTAAATCAATTGTTTACTTTATATTACATTAGCACCTACATTCCCAGGTATTGAGGTTGATCTCATGCCGGGAGTGCGCATCCTGGTGGATACTGTCAAAGTTCCACGCCTTGCTGAGGCTCTTCAGCATCTTTCCCAAACCGGGGCTGGGTTTGGAAAGATCCTGGAGAGTCTGACTGCTGCATATCAAGATGAACATGATATGCAGCAACAGCAAGGAACCCAGAATGCTGGCAGTTCCGAGTCTTTTTTGGATGAGCGACCAAAAAAGACGGTCCGATTCGCTCTGGATGACGCTCCATCCAAACCACTAAATGTAAGTGTAATAGTGCTTGAAATGTTTGAAATGATTAGTAATTGTATAGATGTTTTTACTCATCCTTTTTATTTTACCAGATTACAAATGCGTGTGATCCGGTAAAGGACACACTGGCAGGAGTGGAGCAGCCAAGCGCCAAGTCCAAGGCTGGAAAAAAAGTAAGTTGACGCATTTGTATGCCATTATTAACAGCAATGACTTACATTTAAACTTTACCATTTTCACACTTAGATGCCCAAACTTGCAAAGCAGACCGAGCTGAAAAAGGCTCGTGGGTCTGTCAAGCGGGTCAAGCCGGAGCAGGTCTCCAAGTTGGTCAAGCAGACCAAGCCAAAAAATACTTGGTCTGCTAAAGTAGCACCAACCTTGCAAGACGTTGTAAAGTTGGAGTTACTTAACCAACAGCGAGACCTGCGAGTGGCGCGGCGGCGCAACACGAGCAGTGCTCCTGTCATTGATACTTGTATCAAGGAGCGATCTTCCAAAAAACGGAAGATCAACTGCGAGGTTGACGCAGATCAACCCCATCCTCCGCGAAATCCAAAGCGGAGATGGATGATCTAAACTTTGGACTTGAAGCTTTTGGAAGGAAGCTTCAATTCCACCTCCACCTTTATCTACTCCTTCCATTATACCCCATTGATACCCAACTAATACCTGTTAAAAATACCCACTAATACCTTTTAAATACCCTTTTAAAAATACCCTATCCTAATATCTTTTAAATACCTTTTAAATAAACTTTTAAACAAAACCATTAAATTGTTTTATAAAATCACTTTGAATTTAAAAAAGCTTGGTTTAAACACTCATTTGCCACATGGTGTTTAGTTTCCATTTTGTTGATTCTACCGTCGTGTTTCCACAACTTTAGACTGTTTGTGGTTCAATCTTGTTGTATCTGCATGTCTATTGGATTGTGTTGATGAATGTGTAGATTTCAAATTTACTTTGGTTATAGCGTATTGTTTAGAGTAGTTTAGTACATTGATGTGATATTTTCCGCACATTCATGTTGGGTTGCATCTAGATGGTTAGTCAATTCAATGCATTAGAGCATCTCAAAATACACGATAGTATGCATGCAAGCCATTAACCAATGCAAATGTATTTATTACAAATATGGTGCATCAAACACAAATTCAAGTAGACTCTAAAACGTCATGTGTAGAGTGCGGTACACTTCAGATACCAAATCAAGTGAACCACAAATAGCAACAATGCAATCGGTGTTACTAGATGTGATAACGTTCCACGCATTTGCAAAACTGTCAAAGCATTGCGATGGCGTATCGCCTTGAATCAGTGTATCGGCCACATGTGCAATAATACGAGCATTTTCTGAATGAATCCAAGGCATATCAAGTGGTTGTGCAAATGGAACGACAAACACGATCTTGGGTTGAACAAGGCATGAAAGTAAATTATGGATATCTATTCCATTAGTAAATTCAACAATCCAGTAAACATGTGCAAGTAACGCTATTGCATTTTGTTGATGGTTGACCTAGTCTGCACGAACTACAGCAACCAATGGGTTGATGTCATGCTCTCATGTGTATCGATCGGTTGATTTTAAACAGCTTTGAATAGTTTCTAAACTTTGAATATAATTTGTATTGTCGTCAGATATAATTCGCACTATTCACGCAAAACAAAACACCTGTATTTATCTCGTGGTTACTTTTTTATCTGTTCAGGATAAACAATGGTTAGGTATTTGTTACGCTTTCCTACTAGACATTGACCATTTATAACCATTCTCAAATACTGTTCATCATATGGTGCATACAATCAGACCATTGTTTTAAACGGATTATTCCATTCCAGTCTGTTCTTGTCTTTTAGTATAGCCATATATTGTACAATCATCAAGTTTGAAACCAGATTCATACACTGCAATCCAGATATTGGGTTTGACTGTCAATGTTGTCAATACAACTGTACATGCTCATTTTTGCTATAACCCAACATCATACATACGTTTGCATTCTAGTTCAAGTGAACAAGATTGCACATCTCAGGAACACAATCGTTGTTTGTATGCCAGTCACCCAATGTTTAGTTTGAATGAAAGAAGATCTAGAGATTCAGCAAGTGTAGGATGTACTGGAACTGTGATGTGAATGTTGTTTTAAACACTTGCTTAGAAAGCACAGTACTGTCCAGTAAACCAATCCATTATTCCATGAGACTAATTTTATATATTTAATCCTGTTATTTTAGTATTTTATTCTACATGGATGACTGTAACCCGGCTCGACTAACTTAGTTTGTGAGTCTAGGGTACCTTGAAAAAAGACCAGCATACAATTCTTTTGCTGCAAGCAGAGACAACCCAACGAGTATGGGCCGATTTTTCTACAGTAGAGCAAGCCATGGAAGGTAGTCAAGCTAATTGAGGAGTATATTACTACATGAGTTGACGTGTCAATTACGAATGCTGACAATGTAGTTTGATTCATTCATATTGTGATACCAGAGCTGATTAGCTATTTTGAGCACTCCTTAAAGGAAAAAGCTCCCAACAAGCTGACACTTAAATACCAAATTGCAGACTTTAATCGATACATTGATACAACACCAGATATTGGATGTCTTGTGTAAGTAGATTCAATGATATTGATGGATGCCTTGTAGTATTTGATGGATCGATCAATCTCACTTTTAATACCTGAATGGCTAGATTTGATCATGAAACCAAGTCATATGTTCCACATGACAAGACCTGGATTAAGAAACAAGTGTTCACGATGTTGCGAGGGATTGTAGTCAATAAATAAAGACAAACGGAGTCGAGTCGAAATAAACTGGGCTGGTGAGATAAAAGCCAATCTGAGTAACAATCAATATATTTTAAATAACGATTGTCGAGTTTATAGGAGTATTATACTGTACATGGTATAAAAACTGGTATTTAACTTTTTAGTTTAGTCATATCCATGTAGAACAAAGTACTAAATAACAGGATTAAATATATAAAATTAGTCTCATGGAATAATGGATTGGTTTACTGGACAGTACTGTGCTTTCTAAGCAAGTGTTTAAAACAACATTCACATCACAGTTCCAGTACATCCTACACTTGCTGAATCTCTAGATCTTCTTTCATTCAAACTAAACATTGGGTGACTGGCATACAAACAACGATTGTGTTCCTGAGATGTGCAATCTTGTTCACTTGAACTAGAATGCAAACGTATGTATGATGTTGGGTTATAGCAAAAATGAGCATGTACAGTTGTATTGACAACATTGACAGTCAAACCCAATATCTGGATTGCAGTGTATGAATCTGGTTTCAAACTTGATGATTGTACAATATATGGCTATACTAAAAGACAAGAACAGACTGGAATGGAATAATCCGTTTAAAACAATGGTCTGATTGTATGCACCATATGATGAACAGTATTTGAGAATGGTTATAAATGGTCAATGTCTAGTAGGAAAGCGTAACAAATACCTAACCATTGTTTATCCTGAACAGATAAAAAAGTAACCACGAGATAAATACAGGTGTTTTGTTTTGCGTGAATAGTGCGAATTATAACGAGCAGCAAATTACATAAAACAGTCCAGCTATACTTACGGGCCGTTGGATACAAATGCCTTGCTATTATAGCCAAAAACCCTCATGGATGGAATAAAAGGGTATTGAGCATGGGTTAAGGGTCAGAATAGAGTAATTGTTTTAGCTGCCGACTTTCAAACAACGACGCCCACTTGCTCAAGGTCACATCTATTGAACTTGATATACAGCCTGGGGTGGCTAAAAGAGCCGATTAGGATACATTAAATAGCATATTGCTGATCCATTATAGAGTGTAATCAGCAGGTGTAATTCTGGATTACAATTTCAGCTTATATTGTCGGACACAGGTGATATGGTACGCTGGCCAGTTCTAGTAGAGAAAGAAGCCTCTGCTCAAGTGATGTGCATGCCAAGTCACACTAATGGAAGCAAGGCTCAAGCCTCTATGCGTAATAATGTTCCACTGCAGTTGTCTCGATCCGATACTTGCATTAGTAGTCACGATTTAGTTACTCTTATGAGCACCGAGTTTCTGCATACTCTTATCATTGATGTGTCCTCTCCTCCTATCCATGCCATTCCAGGCACTCGTATCTTTCATTTCTTGGAGCAGTGTCGGTCTGCTTGGAAAAATGTTGCATCCACTATTAGGTTTGATTCTGCAATCAAGGACCATCCCCTATTTCTAGACAAAGTATTGAGTACAGCTTTGAATGATGATGTCTGTTCAGTTGAAGGTATGCTTGAAGGTTTTTGATCGCTGGGATGATTTGGTAATAATTGTATAGATAATGACAAGTGGTTATGTACGCTTATTCATGATTTGTTTGTGCATTAAACCTTGGTTTTGATAGTTTCAAATATGAGCAGCAAGACATCGACTACCGAATCGATGCCACAATCTAAACCAATGCATGACAAAACACAATCGTATGACATAGACGAGGAAAAAGAAGCTCAAGCCGCGGTTGCCATGTCATCTGTGCTCAATGTAGTAGTATCTGATACGGGTGACAACAATGGATTCGCTTCACCCAACAGTATATCCAACATCTTTCAACAGTTTGAGAATCAGCGACAGAATGCATCTGTTTATGAAACCCACTTTGACAAACACGTTGAAGAGTCGCTTCAGCGTGCTCGTTTCCATGCCGTAGAATCATCCGTGTTTCGACAGCGGATCGGTAACACTGTTGTGTTACTAGACGAACAAGGTTCAAACAAAGGATTTGCTGCCTTTATTGCTGCTCTTCTTCGAAAAGAAGGGCTATGTAAAGCTGCCGTTGTGCTCCAAGGTGGTATTCTTGGATTCCAACAAGCTTACCCTACGTTGGTGTTGTCGTACCCATCACCGCCCTTGGTAGATCACCTCAATATGGAGTTTCTAGAATCACTTGCTGGACTAGCGAAAAACAATCCAGTAGACCATTTACGCGAACGACAAGATCAACTTGTTCAAGCAGTTTGGTTTGGCAGTACAACTCCCAGCGACCTGCCTTCACCCATTGTTCAAAACCTTTTATATCTGTCAAGTTGTTTTGCAGCTACTCGAGAGCATCTAAAAAGGTTTGGTATTACACATGTGATTCGACTTGGATGGGGATTTCCCACTTATTGCGATATACATGATGAAACAGAATATCACGAGTTTCCAATTGCAGATAGTCCTTTGGTGAATATTCGATCGCTGTTTGAAGAAACCACTCGAATTATTGAAACGGCCCGATTGAATGGCGATCGTGTTTTGGTGAGTTGAATTGAGCCAGTCATTAATATTTCAACAACAGTAATTCTAACATTTTAATTAGGTGCACTGTCATGCTGGAGTCAGTCGATCATCGACTATTGTGTTGGCATATATGATCAAATATCTAAAGATGCCATTGAATGTTGCTTGGAATACAGCTTACAAGGTATAGTTTTTGAACCAACCATCATTTAAAATGACAATTAACACCAAGCATTCTTGTTGCTGTAGATTCGACCTATTATTCGACCCAATGCAGGATTTGCAGCAGCATTGCAAAACTACGAGAAGGAGCAACTTGGAGTGTTCAAGTCTTCGATGTCGATTTTTTGGATGAGCGATTCATATCTATACTACATAGACTATATAGAGATAATGTACAGACTGGCCGGACTGCCTTGTAACAGCAGAAACAAGACGCGCAGTAACCAAGCCGATACAGTAGAACAGTTGGCATTGCTGCAGTTGAACGAAGCGTCGACTGACCAAGACAATAAACTAGACACACATCGTTGCGTGCAGAGAACAAACGATGGTGAAATATCCTTGAATCTAACAGAAGAATAAACTAGAATTTGCAATCGATTTGAATTTAATTCTTGGATTCGGACTTGACAAGTTGGTCAAGTCATGGCAAGTGGGAAAACTACTACCACAGCCAAGGGAGAGTCTCTCCGTAGATCTCGAAGAGATCATATTGCTGATAGTCAACATCACACCAGTGACCATGTTGCTTCTGTTCATAAAAGTGGTTTGGAACAGGACAGCACTGAAAACTACATGTCAACCACAGTCCCAGTGATTCCTTTGGAATCAGTTCGCAAGCGACGTCAGGACATTGGCTCTTCTTCTACTGCTAATGGAACCTCTCGAAAGATTCTAAAAACTATTGATGCCAACAGTCAGGTTCCTGTAGATACTGCGTAGGTGGATAGTTGATAACACTCCGAGTTCAAATGCACTTGAATCTATATTTTCTTTCTGTATTTTGTCATTCATAGAAACTGTCAAATATACAGTCTCTTTGTTATATCATCTCAACGAATCGTTTGATTCTATTCGGTTGAATACAAATACTCATTCAATCGATTGTTCTAATTTGAATGCATTCATCAGTTCAAATTCAATGTATCCGTTGCATGGTCAAGGCTCTATTGTCCGAATCAAATTGACTAATTTCCTCACTTACTCTGCCGTTGAGTTTTATCCTGGACCTAATCTAAACATGGTGGTTGGACCCAATGGCACAGGAAAGAGCACCGTCGTGTGTGCCATTGCTCTTGGTCTGTGCGGTCGTCCCGATGTAATTGGATTGATTTAATCTATTTTTGTTGATTGCTATTCCACCATTGCTCTGTGTATTCATCTTTTCCCCAAAATCTCATAGGTGTTGGGTCGTGCTCGTGAACTACAGGACTTTGTTAAGCATGGAGAAAACAAGGCTATTGTTGAGATTGAGCTGAAAGTGACCGGGAAAAAACTGGTTATTACAAGAACATTTGAGCGCGGAAGCAATCAGAGCTCTTGGAAAATCAATGGTAGTTGTGATGATTTGAGATTTACAGTTGATACTTGACATCAACAGCTGAAGCTGTAATGTATAACTACTGGCAGGCGACTGAATTTGAAATTGGCTAATCCGCGTAAATGATATCTATATTTTACATAGGTTTAAGCGCAAAGGAAAAAGAAATCAAAGCTGAGATTGAAGCGCTTGCCATTCAAGTCGATAACCTATGGTAGTTCATGTTTAAACTGCTTGGCTGATTTATTGGTGATATGTATTGATTTTTTTTAAAATTTAGTCAATTCTTGCCACAGGAAAGAGTGTCTGGGTTTGCTCAGGTATGCTTTTAATCCACAATAATTTGATTTGTGATTTATAATGTCAGTATTTTGTATGTGACGAATCTAATAAAAACCAATCATTTCACTTGTAGCTAAGTTCAACCGAACTACTCAAGGAAACAGAGCGTGCTGTAGGTGGAACTCAAATGGTAGAATGGCACAATTTTTTGATTGAACAGCATGAAAAAAGGGTGGAACATGAACAAGTAAGTGGTTTTAATGGCATGGGTTTGGACTGTGTCAGTGATATCTAATTGGTTTGTCTGAACAGAAATTGAAAGACTGCCATGCTGAGCTCGAAATACTTCAAAAAAGAAATCAGCATATTGAAAACGATGTGCAGCGTATCAAAGAACGAGATAAAATCAACAGTGAGATTCGGCTGCTGACTGTGCGACTTGCCAAATTAGATTTCATAACCTGCCAGACTAACTATCGAGAAGCAAAAGAAGCAAAACAGCGACTTCAAGAAGAGTTCAATGCCATTGCTAATCAGGAGCAGCCTTTGCGTGAAGAACAAGAGAATCTTCGTCGCAAAGTAACTCAACTGGACCAAACCGTGCAGAGCTACAAGAGTAGCTATTCTGGCGAAGCAAATCGATGCCGAGTTCTTGTTGAAGAAGCAGAGGCCAAATCTGAAGAAATTGAGACGATCCTCAACGAGATTCAGCATGCTAAAAGTGAGAAACAAAAGCAGCAAAGGGAGTTTGATCGTTTGAAAATGGTAGTTGAACAGGTTCGTGAAAAACTGGAAGAACAGCGCATCAAGCTGGCCGAATACGGCATTACACCAGGAGATTCTCCTGGTGTATTCATCGACCCTCCTTTGCAGACAGAGGAAGGAATAGAACTTGATGGCTCCCAGCTAAACTTTCTATCTCGTATCTATCAACAAGCCCAAGCATGCAATCACCGGATAGCTGAAAATGCTGAGCGTGCTCAAGAAAACAACTCGAAAAAAAATGAAGTAGCACGCGAAGCTGCCGAGGTTCGAGTTGAGCAACAGAAAAAAGCTACAGAGCTTGAACAACTTGATCAAATTCGTCATCGTAAGCTTGCTGCATTGAAACGTGGTGACAAGGATGCCTACAATGCGACCATGTGGCTGCAGGACAACCTGTCCATGTTTGAAAAGCATGTATTTGAGCCAATCTGTATGGAAGTGAATCTCAAGGACACACGATATGCAGCCGTTTTGGAAACTTTAGTCAAACCAAGTCATAATACAGTAAGATTTTGTCGTTTTGTATGCAGCTTTTGTTTAAATCATTACGTGTAAATAACTGTCAATAATGTATGTTTTGAAATTCAGACCTTTGTCACACAGTGCAAACAGGACTATAACAGGTTTTGTGAAGAAGTTATTTCAATTCGCAAATGGAGGGTCAACGTTGTTTATTTTGATCGACCACTGTCCAGTTGGACTCCAGAGCATCCTCGTCAGCTGGTAAGCATATTAAATCAGTGAATTGCTTGTAAGATATAGATTGACTTGAATAGTTTAATTGGCGAAAAAATTAAATTTTGAATTTTTTAATTGTGTAGATCACACACAACTTGGATTTGATGGCTATGCTCTTGATTTCATTGATGGACCAGAGCCTATTTTATCTGCACTATGCCAAATGTGTTTTCTTCACACCAATGCAAGTCAATTCTATGCAACTTGAAGAATTCAGTTTTATATGATGACTAATTTGTATGGTTCATTTTTGTTATATCCAGCCAGTCGCACTTGGAAAACTACCCGACTTGGTTGCTGCTGAAAAGAAGCTTCGTGTTTTCATTGCCAACAACGATCTTTATAGTGTAAAACACGCATATGGACACACATCCACTCGAGCCAAACGCATTGCAAATCCCCGATACCTTGATCTTTCAGGTATGACTCTTGAAATTTTAAACTGCCATCACAACACTTGGTATCAAGCACAACCATTTGTTTATTATTTAAATATTTTAAATTTGTTTTTATTGACACTCTACAAGAAATGTTTAGTTGATATAAAGCTGAAAACTCGGTTAGAGCAAGAGCAGCAAGAGATTATGGCTCAATTACAAGTTATTAGCGAGACTTCAAAGCAACTTGAAATGGAGAGTTCCAAAATCAGGGAATTAGATCAAGAACTTCGCGAAGAAAAGGTATGTTTTAATATGACGTATTTGCAAAAGTAGTCGACTTAATACCGACCTGTTATTTGACTATAGGCTAGCCTAAAGCAGAAAAGAATGGTGGTAAACAGCATCAAGCAAGAATACAGTAAAATCAGTGCAATACTTGGTAAGTTGCATTTAAATGATGAATATTTATTTACAATGTGTTTTGATCTTGATCAACATTATTCATTATTCATTATATTTGATCGACTATAGAATCTCGACTAAACTCACAGATTGCAGCTCATGAGGCTGCACAGCAAAACCAACCTCCAAATGCTCAGGAAGTAGAGTCCAAGTTAAAAATGGTGTGTCGTGAACGTGTGCGCTTGGCCACCCGACTTAGCGAAGTTTACAGTTCTAGCTGTGATATTTTTTTGGCAAGAACCAAAGCTACACTTGTAAAAATGCAGTCTACTGCTCGCATTGATGATTTAGATGACATTATTCGAAGCAGTAACGAACAAAATGCCGAGCGTGCCCGAGCGTTGGATCAAGGTATGATTAAACTTTTACACAAGGAGCTTATGCTTGATCTATAGCGCTTATAATGAACATTTGAACACTTTTGTTTTATATAGCCAAGCAAGAGCTGCAGCATTTCAAGACTGTTTGTCGTCAGGCACTCAATCGACACAATGCTGAAGTTGATAAACTATCCCAAAAAGAAGCTGAGCAAGTGAGTTGCAATATTAATTCAATTTTTAACCATATGAATTGAACAGTGGAAAATTGTTTATTTTTGAATATAGCTAACATTGATATGGTATTATTGATTCTCATTTAAAGTTGGATGGCTTTGAAGAAACACTAATCAGTGACGATATTGCTGCACAAATTGGCGCATTGACTACTCGTGCGGAAATCATTGCTGGCATTGATCCAAAAATTCTTCAAGACTATGAAGCACGCATCAAAGAGGTGCATATGCTTTAAATTTGAATGCATTGTCCAATGATTGTCCTACTAATTTAATATTTGGATGCGATATTGCCTGTTTAGATTGAATGCTTGAGTCTAGCTATCAAGGAGCGCGAAACGACGTTGAATGCACTTTCGACAAACATGGCTACCATAAAAGAAAATTGGACAACATCGCTGCAAGATATTGTCAATCGGATTTCTGAAAACTTTTCAAATTCTTTTGAAAGTAAGTGATTTAGCATTCATTTGTAAAACTTTGTGGTTTTGATATTTGCCAAGATTGAAACCGATTTTTATGTATAAATATTTATCTGAATACCTGGGATTGAATTATAGCTCTTGGGTGTGCTGGAGAGGTACAGATTGCTCAAAATGACGACTATGCCAAATGGGGTATTGAAATTCGAGTCAAATTCCGGTACATTTCAACTTTATTTTTTTGAAAATGATGAGCTAGATTTACTGATGCATTGTATTTGCAGTGATGATGAGCCGCTTCAGGTTTTGACGTCAACCCGACAATCTGGAGGAGTAAGTGTTTCAGTTGATCAAATGTGATATACGTTGAATAGAAAATGTAATGTTTAAATAATGTGTTGAATAATTCTATATAGGAACGATCTGTTTCTACCATGCTTTATCTTATTGCACTTCAGCATCTTTCTCAATCGCCCTTTCGGGTGGTGGATGAGATTAATCAAGGCATGGATCCTCGCAACGAGCGTAATGTGCATAAACTGATTGTTCAAGCTGCGTGCCTGGATAAAGCCAATTCCGCTACAGTTTCATCTCAATACTTTCTCATCACACCCAAGCTATTGCATGATCTCGAATACCATCGCAATATGACTATTTTATGCATTTACAATGGCACCTGGCAACCCAAACAATTGAATTTAGCATCTTATATTACAAAGCACGACGAACCATAGATTTGGTATGTGTAACCGCACGAGTCAAATCCAGATGCTTATCCAACTACTTTGGACGTGCAATCAATAGCTCTAGTATTGAAATGAATCAACAGGGTATTCAATGCACAATAAACCAAGTGATTAAATAAGAGTTTATTGTGGAGAAGAGTCTTTTGATTTGCTCTGCCTATGCTGTTTAGAATTGGATGCAGGTATACTTGATCCGGAGGATGTTCGCGTGGTAGCGACGGATCCAGGAGGTCTGCCTCGGCCTCTTCCCGATGGAGTAAAGCTTGATTTTTTTGCGACTTTGTTTGAGGATCCGTTCACCCGAGTTGAGCCCACGATCGACACAGAGCCTTTTGCTGCACGAGATCCACCAGCAGATAAAGCAGTATGTGATGCACTTGACTCTTTATCTGATTTTGAAACGGCTGCAGAGTGCAAAGTAGATCCGGTTCCAGATGCCAATCCACCTGTTTTACCAAAACTTTGACCTTCCGTCAGACCATTCTTGATCCATCTGCCACGTCGTTCTTCTAAATAGCTTTGAATCCAAATGTAGCATAAAGGGAAATAGTTCAAGTCGAATGTTTAGTGTAGATTCAACATCACATTAAAGAGATGATTCATGGCGAGAATGACTACAACATACCAACTCATTTGAGATTCAATGACCTGTTGAAGCGTAGGACGGGATTTCAGACCATGTTCACCTCGTAGGATATCTACTTGGTCTTTAAAGGGCAGGTATCCATCTTGTAATTCATTCAATGCATTCTGCAGTTTTGTTTTTTCGGCCTGTAACCGTGAAGCCTGAGCATTCATCTAGAAGCAAACCAAATCGGTTGAAACACTCATAAATCAATACCATGAGCAGTATATATTCTAGAGGTGCAAGTTTCGACATTACTGTTTCGTAGTCTTGCTGCACGATTTTAAGTTGGTCCATCAGCATGACTCGCTCATCCAAAAGCTGCATTTGTTCTGCACATGTTTCTGAAAGAAGATTGGTTGTGTGATCCAGTTTTTTTGTAGTCTCTACAATCTGAGTCTCTGTTGACTCTAGCAATGCAGTTTGTATTCTGGAATATATTTCTATTTAGAATCTGGATGATTGTAAATTGGACATGCATCAGTGCATATACCTGATTTCCTGCAGACTCTCTAGACTGCTTAATAAAGGTGTTTTGACATGTGGCAATCGAGTGTCTGTTGGAATCTGCGATGCCATAATCAAGTTTCTAGAATAAAAAGTATTCAACTCGAGAAATTGAAAACTCGAAAAGTTTCTGTTGAATTATTTGCAAATTCAAAGAAATTTGAATGCAACGATCTGCTGTCCAGCTGCTCCGTCAAACAACATTCAATATCAGCAAGACTGCAGCCATTCGTTCTGTGTGTAGAGCACATTCTTGTTGGTCTGTCTTTTCCATTCCTTACAGCAAGACTGTCAGTTATTCTAGACACTACGTTACATCTCCAACAAAGTTTTTAGACTCCTTCATGGACCAACCGGGCCCAGTATTGCATGCCATCAAGACAAAGGTAGCAAGCAGGATGTTTGTATTTCAATTCAATGGATTGACTAACAGGCTTCGGATACCAACCATGATATTTAGATCACTCAAGCCTTGGCTCCTACCCAACTCGAAGTTGTGGATGACAGTTCTAAACACAAAGGCCATGCTGGCACTAAAGGTCTGAGGAGTACAGAAACCCACTTTCGGTAAATCGATATGTTCAAACTCACACTTTCAATCCATTGCTAACCTGTGAATAAATGACTAGTGTTGTGATTGTATCCGATGCATTTGCTTCAAAGTCGTTGGTACAGCGACACAAGTTAGTTTATGAAATTCTCGATCAGGAAATCAATAGTGGTGTTCATGCTCTCAGTCTTGTTACAAAAACTCCACAAGAGTTTGAGAATTATGTGCCAAAATAAAATACAAAACTGTTCCCAGATTCACTATAAAGAGCAGCGTCAAAGTAAACCTATTTGTTGAATACCAATATACCATTTTTTTTGATGTTGGAATAGTCCAAATATTTGATTAGTATCTGCGACTGCTCTCCCGGCCTTCATCTCTGCGACGAGGACTCCGAGACCTGCGCCTATCGCGATCTCTGTCACTGCGGTCTCTATCGCCTCGGTAGCTGTCGCTTCTGTCACGGTCGCGATCTTTGTCTCTGTAACGGTCTGAAGGCCCATTAGTACGAGATCCACGACGATCATCATAGCGACTTCCACCTCGATAGTCGTCGTAACGGCCCCCATTACGTGAATCGTCATTTCGACCAGTGTCACGAGAGTCCCGTTGGCGATAACTGCCTCTATCACGATCTCTGTCCTTGAAGTCACCATTACCAGAAGAAGAATAATCATTACGGGATGGTGGTCCTGCTGCAGACTCGGCAGTAGTTGTAGTTGCAGGACGAAGCCCATTTCGTGTCCCACCCAATCCACCTCCAAGTCTCCGAGGCTTCCATCCGGGCACAGTTCGCCCACGCTCAACATCTACCAAGATACGTCGTCCATCAATTTTAAGACCTTCTGCATCTTTATATGCAATCTTCATGTCTCGTTCATGCTCAAATTCAATAAATGCATATCCTCGTGGTTTGCCTGTTTTAAGATCTTTAACAATGCTAACCTAGAAAACATGAATTGAAAATAAGTTGGCAAGATATTACAAAACACCAGTCCACCAACCCCATACAAACAATATGTTTACGGTGGGGTAGTGGGTTTGAATTAAAGGTATAGAGTGAATAGTGACTGACTGATTTGACTTCGCCAAAAGCTTCAAACTCATGCTTGAGTGTTTTTTCTGTAGTATCAAACGACTAGGATAAGGGTTAGATCAGACCATTAAAAATAAACTTGACATGGTCATTTGAGCACACGACTCACTAAGCGAGAAACAAACAAAGTCTTGTATGGTTCAGCAGTGGCATTTTCATCCTTGTGAGGATCCCACGCATCGATGGCTTCCTGGAGGGCAGCAGCAGTTTTTGCAGCCTTTTCTGCCGCCTTTATAAGCAGGATCAAACGTAAAAACGATCAGTATGTATAGAAAGGATTAGAGTACACGATTTGCAATATTTAATGAACATGATGTAAAGCTCTTCTAGATTAATGTTTTGTATAGATCAAAATACTAGGCATCACATTATGAATGCAAATCCAGATGATTCAAGACAACTGTAACATCAGCTGAGCCAGTATTCACACATGCAATAGATTCAGAGTGCACCAAAGATCTTGCTCAAACCAAGACCTTGAACAGAGTTCAGACATGTTCCGCAAATGTCACTTTCAAGCGATAAATACAATAAAATCCAGATATCAAGAATGAATAGAAACCATGATTGATAAAGGCATACCAGCCGTTTCTTTCTGTCTTCCATAGTCTCGGTAGCAATATAGTCAGGATCATGGCCCATTCGACATAGCGGCAGGAACGAACTGACACTGGTATAGATGGGAGCAGTTTTAGTTTTTGGATCAGCCAATGCAGGCATATAAGGAAGAGCAGGCCGAGGGGCAAACAGCCTCAGCAAGCTAGGAGGTAGTTGAGATGTCATCACAACGGGATGATTTACTAATTGTTGATGGCAACAAGTGTTTAAAAAGATTGAAATTCACATACCATCAGGTAAAATGCATTGAACAATATTTTGTAAGTTGCAACCAAATCACTCGATCGAGTGTTGCAATTGAATTTTAATCGATAATTAAAATTGTATAAAAACTACATGAATATTGTATAAATATTGTATAAATATTCCATGGATATTCACGTAAATCAAGTGTCAATACATAATAAACTACCAATCTCATGGAATAATTCATATTAAATACAATAGTCAACACTGTGTCTTGTAGACTCAACAAATTTATTAAACATGATCTTTTGACTGTTTAACAAATAGTAATGTTGCAATTGAAATATTCTTTAACCTTGTTGGGAATTGCTTGATGATTTTAAATATTTCAATTGAAACAGTTTAGCAGAAAGCGCAATCCATCAGCCATTGTTTATTCCAAAGCAAAATTGAGGCAGTGTTAAGATGCAAAATTGCTTCATTTTATATGAACATGAACATGGCTGTATAAGCAGTAATTTCACGCAAGCTCACTCTTCCACCCCAATCCAATCTGTAATCCAGTCCATTCAAAAGTTGTTTTAAACCATCACTTGGCCTGTCTAAATTCATTTCCTTGTAACACAATGCATCCTACTTCCATCTTTTCAATCACTGCGTCCTTTGTCTTTTTAACTTTATCGTCTGCTATCAATGCTGCCGTTCCTATAGCCACCGATTATCCTGCTCCAGATGTACTCGCTCCTGCCAATGCTACTTGGTCTAACACTATTTTAAAGGACATTCCTAACATTCCTGTCAATGCTTTGGGACTTCCTACGCCAAACTGGTCTGCAGATATCGTTACTTGCCCAAGTGCTAATATGTGGGGACTTTCGTATGACGATGGGCCTGGGTAGGTTTGCATTCCATTGTAGCCGTGTATTCGTATAGTTGGAATCACTGGCAATTTATCTCTAGTCACCGCCACTATTTCGCTTTGGATGACAAGGCTTAAATATTCGTCTTCCTACTGGAATTCTCGATCTTTCAAAGCATTGTCTATCATGCAAACCAAACGATGGCTTTGATTTGAACAAGTCTTTTGGCATAGCCATCATTGTGCGATCGTCAAATTCATTCATTGCAATCCAGTGATTGGATTCGACTGTTGTCTGTCAAACTGTCAAAGAGTTTGAAAACAATCTTGTCCAGTAAACTCGGCATCAATCATTTCATAAGACTAGCTGTCTATTATGTATTGCTTACATTGATACTGCCTTGTCAATCGTAAATTATTGCTAATCATTATTAAATCGCAACCTTGTATTCACATATTTAGTCCTTACACTGATAATCTACTTTCAGTGTTAGCCGCTAAAAAGGTTAAAGCTACCTTCTTTATTGTTGGATCTCGAGTGCTTCAATATTCCGATGTTTTGCTTCGCACATACCAAGCTGGCCACCATATTGCTTTACATACTTGGTCACACAGAAATTCCACTGCTGTCACTAATGAACAGTTTGTCGCTGAAATTATTTACAATGCTCGAATTATCAAGGACGTAATCGGCGTTACTCCTCGTTTTTTCCGTCCACCTTGTAAGTGCTGACAGTTTACACTTGAAGCTGTAAAGGCTGAATCGTGTCTTTGATATGTTTGGCAAGAGTTGCTCTTAACTTACCCCCATTCAAATATTTTTATTAGTTGGTGATATTGACGAACGCATTCGTAAAATTCTTCACAACTTGGGTCTTATCATTGTTGAATGGAATGTGGATTCAGCCGATGCTGCCGGAGCTAAGGATGTTGCAGTAAAGTTTGGTGCCAAAGCTAATGCTGGAAGCTCTCCTGTCATCTCCCTTGAACACGATCTGTTTGCTACCACTGAACCACAAGCTGGTCCAGCTCTTGATGCTATTCTTGCTGGAACGGGTAAATATAAGCCAATGCCCATCGATGAATGCCTTGGCTATGCTGCTTACGATGAAGGCTTTTGGGATCGCGTAGCTGGAAAGGGACTTCCACCTATTAACCTCGTTTCTGGCAGTTCCCCAAGCGCTAATTCCACATCCACCAGCTCAACTGGATCTGCTGGATCTACTACTGGTTCACATAAATCATTCAGTTTGCGATCAGTGGAGTCGGCTTGGACAGTAATGACTATTGTTGGCACCGTTGCCCTTGTTGGTGGCATCTTTATCTTTTAAATCTAATCTTGAAAACCTGCTTTATGTTGGAATCAACACTGCTTGCTTATTCAAGTCACAGTCCTTTATTTTTAAAATAAATGTTTGACAACTTTATGACATAGTATTTTGAAATCTCTTGTACAACTGTCATGTTTGTTCTTTATAGCCGTATTCGTTGCATCTATGTTGTAGTCAAAACCTATCCGATGATGAAAACAATCGGTATTACACACTACACCGGTATCGGTAGTATTCAATGATTTTATTCAATTCGCATTTCAGCCTTGAGGTGTTTGAATCTATCTCGAAACCATTTCTCTACTCGAACAGCACTAGTTGTGCAATCAAACAAAACAGATCCATTAGAATTGCAACCCATCACATAATAAGCAGGTTATTCAAAAATCAAAACTGTATCACGTACCATCTTGCATATGGAGACGAATCTTCGTTATATATGCGACAGTTTGAAAAAATCAACAGTACATCTTTAAAAAACTGATCTGAGCGTGTGTATTTGTCATTATCAACATTCTTTTCCAACGTTCCAAGATCTACATTCATCAGTTAAAATATAGGCACATGGTTACAACACGGAGATTGACATTTCTATTATTTTCAAAATAAATCCATTTACCCATCGGTTCTTTAATAATATCATAGTAGTCAGGCACTCCAGCAACAGGTTCAAGAAATGGCCATGAGTTATCATCCTCCTAGTATACATTTAATCAGCAAGTCCCAATTTCAATTGCAATTGCAATTCAAACAAAAACAAACCAACTTACTTTGAGCTCAACCACCATCTTTTTCATAAATATATGCAACATACTTCGTTCTCTTGGCGGTGGGCGTGTCGATCTAAAACCATACATGTGATGAGCACTTGTCAGCCCATCAAACCAATTTCAAATCATAAAAGTAAGAAACATACACTAATCCAGGAGTCCATCCTGCCTCCTCTAGAGATGGAAATAGTAGTAAAGTAAATGTTATTATAAACATATATCCAATCACCAACAAGATGGTTTACATAGACTGCACGTGTTGGTGTTGATACAGTTTATCAATCCAATTCATACTTAGTCCTGGAATGAACATTGGGTCTATATGCTCGACTTCTTGACTAAAATCTTTGATTCCGGGATAAACTATGCTTGACTTGCTTGCCTCTTTGATTTTTTTAAATACTGCCTATAAACAACCATGACATGCAAGTCAAATATGTCAATATACTTTATAGAAACTAGTTTAAACCCCATCGTATTAAAGCTATGCTGATACAATCACTATTTTCTGAAATTGAATAAATGTGGCAACACTTACCCATCGATGTGCAACAATTGTGTTTACAACGTCCAGATATTTGATTTTCTTGATCATATGGCACTTTTAATAAAAATGATAAGTATATGCACAACCCTTTTCAATAGAAACCAAGTATATAGTGTGTATCTATTGAAAGACTAATCAGGATATAATTCAGGTATATTATTTACCTGCATAATGGTTCCACCTTCATAATCCTTAATGTATCCAACCCATAATCGCTTCTCTAAAGTGATCTCTGTGGTAAATCCCTTGTATTTCAGAATCATGAGTAGTAGAAAAGTTAGCAATAGGGTGACTCGATTGTACGTCAAATATCTTGTTTACAAATGATATATGATTAAATGCAAACCTGTTTTTTGAAATATCCGACTGCATAATTATCTGCATAGGTTAAAAAATTCCAAATATCGTATGCTTCTCGCACATAGTCCTTTACATGGCTCATAAGCCGGGATCCATAGCCCTGTATATTCAAGAAATCAGCATGATTAAAAAGCCTAATCTTTACATTATCACCCATAACAAGATGGCATTACGTGCCTGTACTTGTTCTGTCGATGTGATTGCACAGAATACAATCTCGGCAAAGTTTCGTTTGTCAAAGGGTCGATACGTGATTCCACCAAGAACAATCAATGGACGACGCACAACTGCCATGTGGTGGTGGTTTCTAGCATTTCATAAAATAAACCGACACGAAGCATCAGTAATCATGCATGCTGTATCAATACTTGTAGTAGACATCATATGTTCAAACCAACCTGTCATAAACCAGTCTAGAAATATATTCCCTTGGCATATTTGGTAGCTGCCGCTGATAAATATTCTTCAGTCCAGTGAGTAGTATCATCGACTCGTCTGTTCCATCGTTTTTGACTACTCGAAACGACACAAGTCCTTCTCGTTCAGTCTGTAATGCCTTGTTGTTTTTAAGCTTCTCAGCAACAAGCTGTTGGATTAAATAGCATTCCAAGTTGATATTATAGTAAATACAGATCATGACCATCACAAAGAACTTGCACTCATGGTGACATGCAATCTAGCTTATACTAGATGCTGATGCACACATGGACAAAACCACAATGGAATACTCACATCGCTAGCAATCTGAGGAGGCAGCAGATCGATCGTCATTGTTTCTGTAGTGTGCTCAGCATCTTCCATTTCAACATCCTCAATGGATGCAGTGGAACTCTGTCCTTTTGCTGGCAACTTGCCATTCTTTAATGCATATGTTGCCGACTCAGTATCCTCATCCTGTATATCATTTTTAGCTGTGGATTCCCATGTAGCAATAGTAGTACGAGCTACCTTGCCAGACGTCTTTGTAATGGTTTTGGCCGAGTGAGAGCTGGGTGGCAGGACTGGATATACTGTTTTTTCATCCACTACCATAGCATTGGCTGGCTGTATAACATCAGTGTCATTGTGCTCCAACTTTATTATATCCGGGTTAGTCGGTGCAGCGCACATCTGAACAAGTCTGATTGTAGAAGGGTCATTATCATTCATTATCTGAATAGATGAATGGCAATCCAAGACGTCGAGTCGAAACTCGAGCCGAGATTTCTTTTTATCAACAGTGAGCATCTACTTGCATTTATTTCAGTCCGTCTTGTTCCAATGTCATTGTCATCATATAAAGCAGTCTTTGATCCAGACTTTATTACAAATGTTTGATACGCTTTTGAAATAAACTACTCGATATCCATGGCATTTACACCCAGCCATTGGAATTGGTCTTGCTCGTATCTCGAATACCCACACTGTTCCATCACAGCAGCGGATGCATCGTTTCCTTCCTTGACAAATCCAAAACTTAGGATCGAATCACCCAACAAAGTTTCAAAATTGGATTTCAAGAAATGAAGTTGCAGCTGAGAAACAACCTCGACGCATTTAGCTGCAAGACTGCGTCTTCTATATGAATCGATAGTGGCAAGCATGCCAATTTGAAAATCATGATGACTGGCAGCCCACGATACTGGTACTCCTAATGAAGGATTTGACACCGGATCGACACCTTTAGGAAAAACGCGAATCACACAATTGAGTTGTGACAATGGATACTCGAGAGTTGCAAATCTGACATAGTCAACGCCATAATCGACAGTTCTTTCCAGCATGATCTGAATTGTAATAATAAACAATTTATGAACATTGGTTCAACAATCACTAAAAAAATCGATCCATTAATCTTGCCATTTTAAAAACTTACTGCCGGAATATCAGACTCCTTGATATGATCAATAACAAACGTTTCACCGGTTGTATCATCTACCCAGCAATCACCAATCGCCACGTTATATTTATTAATTGGTGATTTTGTGACATACATGTGATATACGTCTGATTTCCACTTGTAGCTAACAAGAGTATCAACAAAAGGCTTGTATATTAAAGGACATCCATGGATGGTAATACTTTGGTCTATTGTTGGCAAGGGTTGCATAAAAATCAAAATCATACCCGTTAGTCGAATTAAACAGCGGATAAATACAATATTAATGTAGATTTGCAATTTAAAAATCAGAATCAAAGTATATAATGTATAAACCACCAGAGTTTCATACATGGCTCATTGCAGGGCTGCATAGCCAACTTGATGGTCGATAGTAGCATCTGAATAGCTTGTTTTTGCTCATTAGGATCTGCACTAAACATGCAGAAATTGGCAGTTCCGTCATTCTCGTTTATCATACTTTTATCACATCCAATCATGGATATCAAAACAACTTGCGATGGTTTAATTGAAAGTATATCTGTAGGTTTTGAGTTGTGTTCATCATCTCGGAGTAGCACACAAACACTGTCTACGAGTGTCATATAGCAAGGAGTCGTTGAACAGCTCGATCTAAGCAGTTGCCCAATCAGTTTGATGACCGAGTCAACTTTTGGAATAGAACCAATCAGACGTACAATGTGATGTTTTTCTGCGGCTGTAGTGGAATCAGCTTCTAACACGTACATTGCTGGAATAATGTCAAGTGTAGAAATACATGATCGATACGCTTCATTGCAACCATCACGTGAACACGGTATAAAACTTGTCCTGTTAAAGTGTTTGATAACCATCATGTCTGGATACATATCAACACTACCGGATGCTTTACAGTTGTATCGTTCTATTCGAAGACTGCATCGACAACTACCACCAGGTTTATTTATACTCGTTGATTTTAATAGTTGTTTGGACATGTATTCATGCACTACAATAGCATTCATTTCCTTTTGGAATCGCTGACCTTGCATAGCATCGATATTCAAGTACAAGTCTAATCAGAACTTTTAATGCCTTTGAATATTTAATTCATTAAGCACTTAGATTTGTTGGCAACAAATATATTTGGGAAGAGTTTGCTCGCCATCGAAATGCACAACCAAAATATCTGCCAGGGTTTATAAAAGGTTGGTCATCCTATAAAACTACTCTACAGACTCAGCTCGATCAATCGGTTAAAGCAGACAACTCGATCAATGTGGGGACAAGGTTGGATGGATCTCAACTCGATACTTTTTCACCTGAACAACTTGGTACGCTGATTCACATTGAACCATCCATTTAAATCATAATGATATTTCCAAGATACCTGTATATCACTTTCAAGTCATTGACTCTTGAATCGGTACTATCTGCTCTGTTAATCAATAGGTCAGCTTTACACATTGAAGAATGCGACAAAAGAGTCTTCAAAAAACACAAATATGCCATAAATATACTATTGATTTGTCCAACATCAATCACTATTCCCATTCATTTTCTACATAATGATCAAACTGTATATTGTGCTGCATCCGAGATTGGCGTGGTGTTTCAAATTGTACTTGGGTATCTAACTCTGACTGGTAAACATCATGTTGAGACATTGTATCCCAGCAATGATCAACTCGTTCGAGTCTTGAAGTATAATGCCTTGAGCGTGGCTCAGTATGTTGACGACTGTGTGGTGCATGTCCAGGTAATTGCTGGTGAATTGGTACGTGCTCTTCGAATTGATGGCTGTCAAAATCAGATAGATATTCAAAAGTATTCTTTAAATCTATCCATTGATGCTGTGATGCATCTTCAATATGCTGGTTGGGCCAATCCCGTCTCCCCAGTGATGGATTCCGAGGCAACATCGCATGCGATCGCCGAGTTGGACTGTGATAAGAACGCATTCGATGGCTATAGCGAGGATTTTTTCTTTGTGCCATGGCTTGCGTGTCCATGCTCCAGTATTCTTGGCGAATGGGTGATAATCTACGTATCATTTTAGTAGGAGTTGTCAATGGATCCAAGTCATAATGGTTATCCATGTAAATAGAGCGCGATAATGGAGACGAAGAGTGTGAAAGGTTTTGATCAAACGCTGATATGATACGATCTGTTCTTGGTAGTGATGCATTTCCAGCTTGATTGAATGGAGATAGCTGTGAATCCTGTAATACAAGCGGGTCTATGCTATTATTGTTGATATCATCTGTAAGATCAATCGTATACGTTCCACTTGTCTCGGATGTATAATCTGACATATCCAGCAAACCATCTTCATCGCTACTATCCAGATCTTCAAATGGTAAATTTAGTGTAGTCATGGATCTGTAAATTTCTGAGCGTGGCAGCAAGATACGATCAAATGCATCGTCATCGTAGAGCAATTCTGATATTATCATATCTGCCTGAGATTCTGTGGGTAAACTAGAAGTAGATGATTTAGTGATATTTGTAATGGCACTGGCCATGCCAGCGCCAAACGAGGTGGTTGGTATAGGGTGTGAAGTGAGTGGATCTAAGTGTGGGTCTTCCGTTGCAACATGTGGGCCAAGACCATCATGTGTATTTTCATTCTCTAATGAATCTATTGCTAGTTTCATATCCCTTGCTAACAATGTGGACGGAATGGAATGCCCAATAGCCTTTGAGTGGGACCGTTTGAGAAATCCTCGGTCTATAACTATTCGGCCAGTAGTTAGGTCAATCTCATCGCTTTCTCCTTCAAACGAGCGACCATACTTGGAGCAGATAATCTCCCATGTACTCTTGAGTCTTTCTAGACTTTCTGTGCGAAGTTTAGCAACATCTTCAATGGAAAGGTCTGGTAATCCTGTAGTTTCCCCCAATGCGATACTGTCATCTTCTAAAATGTCCGACTCTAGTTCATCTGCAGGCTCTGTAGATTTATCGGTGCTGGATTCAGGATCTTGAGGGCTGTTTTCTACGGAAAGAAATGCTACAGGTCTGCTGTCTTTGTGTATCAAGGCTGCTGGTCTAGGCTTCAAAAGGTGTTTCTTATTTACGAGTGGTTGGTCCATGTAAGTGATTTGCTATAATTCGACAAGATGTTGGGTTCAAGACAACTTTTTAAATACTTGAATATAATTGGCAGATTCGATTCTCGATAGTACTTGAACTTGCAGCAATTGTACTTGTAAGCAATTCTTTCTTACCTACTGTTTATATCTACAGCCGTAAATCATATCTATTGGATTCCATGATAATTGTTTATTTTAAATCTTGGCTCGAGTGTTTTTGCCGTATTCACATATGAATACCCAGATCATTGGCTAATTTTAAAATCCAGATCGTCTTGGCACAGATGGTAGTTGAGATGAAATAGCTTTGGCACTTTTGGCTTGTTCTCGTTTCTTGTGATAATTTTGTCTTAGATCTGTCATGATATTGGATAAATCACAAGTGTTTAATATAGACATAGTATGCTTGATCATGACAATCAATATTAGAATTGACATACAGACAAAGTTGGATGTTAGTGTAAACTGGTTTGATTCTTTTAAAGGAGTTGGTGCATCTGGAGTCTTTTCAGCTGGCTTGGAGTCAGTTTCTTTGGATGCGGCATCACTCTTGGGCTCTACTTTTTCTGGATTCGGCTTGGATGGTGCTGGCAGGGATACTTTTTCTGGTCGACAAAAACTACCATATTCAAGAGATTCAGTTTGGAGTATTTAGACTTGTCAATACTTGCTAGAAAATATCCCGACTATACCTTCGGTCACTGGTATGGGAGATGCATACATAAAACCAATCTCCAGCTCCATTTGTTAGGACATTTTGAGACTCCTTGTTACAAACAAAGCATGTACCAGGCTTCACAGCTATCAAGTATGAATTAGTATTTGTCCTGAGCCATGCATAGCATTATTAAACCTACACAACCTGTTTTCAACGTGTAGATACCATCCATTTGAATATGTTGATACAAAAAGGTTGGATTCTTTTCAAGACTCGAGTTGGAAGCACTGGGAAGATATCCAATCGGGGAAATGGTGGGTCGGCCATGCGCTAGAATGGTGTTTTAGTATTGGTATGGATGCTGTGGTGCAGAGGCCATTACTCTACCTACCACATTGAAAGGGAAACTTGCATTTGGAAAGACTATTCAATAGGAAGGAGCAGCTTGATTGAGATAGATAATCCCCAAACTTGATTGCAGATCTAATTAATGAATGCAATAGTTTATTAGTTTACCATTGTCTATCACTTATGCATACTGGATCGAGTGACTTTCCTGCAGGCCCGGGATTTGAGTATGTCAATGTCGCTTTTTGGCTGCTCATGTAGGAGCTGTTCAAGACGAATGCGCTCGTCGGCTGCATGCTGATCAATGAAGACCAAAAGATCGCAATGACTCGACTGCCAACTGATTTGCAACTCAAGGTCGACCACTGCTGAATGTAAAGGAAGGATACATGCAATATAGCATCGATCCACTTGACCTATCAGTATCAAACCTTGTAGATTATCTTTACTGAATCGTATTGGAGTTTTTTTGAAGAGTGTCATTTTATGGTGACTGGGAAAGCTTATTTCTGCAATCAACAAAGTCTTGAACGATATCCACTAAACTTGATCCCACTTTTAATACCAATCCAAACGATTGTTTATTTCTCTTCTATATCAATTTAAACTATTATCATGTTTAAAACTCATCCTGTCAAGCATCAATAGTCTCTCGTCGTTTTGCCTCCACTTCCATTATAAGCTCAACAACAAGCTGCCAGTCATCATTATATCCCTCTATACAATATGGGTTTATCAATCATCAAGTATCATGTTTGAATTCCTACAATCAACTCTTCATGTGCTAAATCTGACTTGTTACCTTTAACACATTTCTTAAACTCTCGCAGTGCATGTTCGGGCTCTCCTAGATTGAGATAACAGTAACCAAGAAGGTGTCGTCCCGCAAGAGCTGCTCCTGGAAGAGTCACCTATTCATACCATGAAACCAAAATATATGTTGGTACTTGACAATCAACTTGGTACTTGCAAACTTTAAATGCATACGTATTGCTGAAGGCATATTAATGCTCGTGAATATGCACCAAGTTGGTAAAAGTCTTTGGCCACCTAACCAGTATATCATGCAAATATCAATACTACGTTTTCGATGACTACATCACGAATGAAATAGATACTCGACATATCCTATTATTCCTGATTCATCACACCATATCTTGAATAAATTTAAAATACCTGATAGACATCAAATACTTCAGGTGGACGGTTGAGTCGGCGTTGAAACCATTCTAGCACTTCATCCTTGGTCATGGTAGGCTTGAAGTTTTCATAGTCTGTAAAATCAGTCATTCTTGGTGTTGTAAGACTAGATATTAAACTCCGATTTTAATCGAGTCAACTCGTTACTACAATTTTCGTTGAAATTGCAGTACGTTGAATCCAAGCTTGTGCCTATAACAAACGTATATATATCGAGTATCATCCTGATGCATGTGACTCAAGGACAGTGCAAGTCGGATCTGATCAGAATGTGCAACTAACCTTGACCATAAACATCTAAACACTTGCACATAAAATAAATTTAAACAAGCTGTTTGTATTGTTCCAATGCAAGCAAATAGTGGGAATTTATTTAGATGGTGCTTGTGATTGCAACTGTTTAATCTGGGCATCTAGTCTCTGGTTTTCCATGCGAACAGCAATTGTACTTTGAATCAGTTCAGTCCAGCGTTCTGATAGTGCTCGAAGAGTAGGTTGTGCTTGCATCTACAGTTTGGAATGACGGATCGTGATCCAAAATTATATGAGCGACCAAATATACAAATAGAGTTGATCTTGGATTCAATATGATCTAATCCAACCAAATAGAAACACACCTGATCAGCTTTACGAATCTTGTTTACTGCCTCGATCCGTTCATTGCACAATTCCAACTGCGATTTCATATTCTTTATTGCTGCCTCGAGTTGATAGTTGTGGATTCGCCACGCATTGGCACCCATTCTCGTCACTAACTCCAAATTGACTAGTCGCTGGCTTTGATGCTCGAGTTGTGCACGGGCATTATTTACAGCTGCATCCCACTCGTTCTCATCAGTTGGAGCCTCCAAACGGAATCTCGTGGTATCAATAGCTTGCATCTTGATACCCGCTGCAACTTGATCTAAAAGCCCTGCCAATGCTGGATGGTCCTATTTTGATAATGGTTAAAAGAGTTCAAGATCCAAGGCTTATATTGATGTATTTGGAGTGAATAGCATGTACCTTAAATAGTTCTGTTTCGTTTAGTTTTATTAGATCTAAAGTGGGTCGAGGTATACGACTTGATTGGAGCTCTGCATTGACAAGAGCATCAACAACTACGCACACATGCATTAGTTTAAAGGATATGGTATTGGAGTTGAATACAAATATGAACTCACTGGCTGGGTCATAGTCAGGATCAATATAGGGCAGACTACTCAAAAACATTTATAAGTAAAAAACCATTTGATAAATAGAAAAACAGACTCAAGTTTAAATAAAAGGACTCACCAGTCTACAAGTACAGAGTCAAAATCGTCCATAATGAAGCGTAAGTTGATTACTGGGCAAATGCAATTTTGTGAAACTTAATCTGAATTTAAATCACGTGCAAATTCAGTTGGTCAATTGAATGGTTGCAAATCCACTTCTCAATCCCAAAAAGATCAAACTCGTTGAAGCAATGTCCAAAAAGGCAAAGGCAAGGTAAGAGTCTGCATAGAGAAAATCTTGAGTCTTTTGGCGAGTTGACAGTGCTATCAAGGTGGTAATGGCTGATATACTCACCGCTATCTGATTGAATTTGTAATCTAGAACACTAGTTGTGCGACTTATTAGCACTGCAGGCACTGGATTCACATACCAAACTACCCGCAGAAGAACACTTCCCAAACTTCAATTGCGCAAATATGATCCTGTGGGTGAGTGTATGCTATGCGTAATTTATGATATACTATGCTAAATTCACCAACTAATCTACATTTTTAGTCAACCAGCATGTTCTTTTTATTGAAGGCAAAAAATAAAATCTCAGATAAGCAATTCACTTTAGTATCACCATACAAGTAGATCATCGCTTTCTTCAAATATACTTGATCAAGGTTGATTGGTATTCTTTTGTGCATTGGGGTTGAGTTCCACCATTTCAGGTGCACATTTTTGGATAAAATCTTGGAGAAGTGTGCGCATATGATCGAGTTCCAGCAAAAATCCGTCATGACCTTCTTCAGATGGCACAATCACAACTTGAGAGTTTGGTATTCCTGCAGCCAATTCATGTTGATCTTCGACAGTGAACAGGACATCTGTTTCGATTCCTTTTAGAAAAGTGAGATTTGAAGTTAAGCCAGTGGTATGAACGTAAATCAGCACCTATTTCAGTTGACCCATCTTACCAATAACAAGAGTGTCTTGAACTATCGAGGCAAGTACAGCAGAGTAATCATCTCGACCAGTAGAAATATCGTGATTGTCCAGCTTGCGTGTGATTGCAATGTAGCAATTTGCATCAAATCTGAATGTATTCACGATTTACAGGTGTTAGAGTACGCAGATTTGCACAGTAAGCAATCTCTTGCAATTACAGAGCATTTTTATCGTTATTTTTTCATGCATCAACCATTTGTGAATGAGAATATGACTGCAGACTTGCCTTGAAACAAATTTGTCGCCCTGGTATCTCATATAGCTTTGCGCCGAATAGACAGACGGCTCTGATTCTTTGGATGATAAAGTAGCATGTGATTCATGCTTATCATTTGAATCATGGATTCTAAATTTGTTTCCCTCGTTGTGCTCTAATTCTGTTTTAGATAATCCTCTGACTTTTGGCACAACCTTTCTTCCAAACCGCGCTTGAAATGAATTGCGTGCTCTGTACGTCAACAATGCAACCATCCTTGCAGCTGCTAGTCCTACCTTTGGCGACTACCACGAGCAACACACAAAATGAATTAGCGTATCATGAATTTGATCTGCATGGCCACTTGGTTGAGAAAACTTACGCAATCATCAGTATAATATCCATCGCCTATAAAAATACAGCCAAAGTGATTAGACTATTTGCACTTGAAAATCACATACATGCAGTTGCTATCAAAGTGATTTAGCATGCACTTACAGTAGTTTGAATCAGAGTAGATGGCTTGGCGCTGTGTCTCGCCCCAACTGATACACCAAGCCGAGTGACGGCCAGAAGTAGCGATTGGAACAATATGCCTCACATATTCGGGTCCAAACGTCAGTGCCCATTCCAGAGCCTGCATGCCACCCATTGATCCACCAATACAGAATTTCACTTGTTGAACACCAAGAAGATCCAAGATGGATTTGTGCAGCCTGACATCATCTCGAATGGTGGTCAACGGGAATGTTGGACCATATTTTAAACCAGTTTTTGGGTTGATTGTGCATGGAGATGCGGTACCATATGGCGATCCAAGCACATTACCGCAAAATATAAAAAACTTGCTAGTGTCAAATGGTGCACCAGGACCTAAAAGTTGTCCCCACCTGCATGGATCCGATCAATCGTCAGGGGTGAGTTTTCAAGTTCAGTCGTGATTAATCGTGATTAGTAATCCATCTCGATTTCTAATCACGACATGCTAAAAAGCGGCTGCCAGTCAACAGGCAATATAATGATTGACAAAATATAATCCACAAGCCATCATACCAGTCTTCTACATCAGCGGATCCTGACATTGCATGACACAGAACCATCACGTTGGTTCCAGCATCATTCAGCGTGCCCCATGTTTTGTAGGCAACAGGAACTTGCTCCAGCACAATTCCAGATTCAAGCTTAAATGAGTCGAGCACTACTATGTTCTGATTATGAACCAACTGTGCAAATGAAGATTGCATTGGATTTGGCATGGATGCAGTGCATGTATCTTGTTCAATTAAAATGTCAATGCATATTTGTCTTATTTTTCAGTAAAATCTATCATGCAATAAATTAATTACCTTTAATAGCAGTCGAGGAAATAGTATTTGAAAGCATAGATGAAGTGAATAAAGATTGAATTGCTTAGTTCAAGTTCGTTTTTAAATCCAAGACTCGCCCTAAAATACTTTGAATTGAAGGGTGAGTAATGCTCTAGATTATTTCTTTAAAGACATTTCTATTTTGAAAATGTATTGGGCATATCTTGTAATGAAAACAAGTATAATAAAATTTACAGTCCTATTCACGTAAAATGGAGCTGTGGTATTTATCTTGGAGTGATCAACTCTCTACTTTTGAATAAACCATGACTGGACACTCATTACGCTTTCCTATCAAGAATCGACTTTAATGAGCATTTTTAATTCAATAAATACAACATCCGCCATATAAAACTGGCCGTTTATTATGTATTTTGACACTTGTTTAGTGTTCCATTTGCATGAATATGGCTGTAAATGGTGAGCACGATCCAAGCCAGTCCACAGTTAGTCTCACGTGATTATATCGACTACTATATCAAGATTGTCAAAGTCTGCACCTGGCTAGTTTATATTGACTTGCCATGGCAGACAACGCGGTTTATGAGATCCACGAAGCATCCAAAGGTAAACCAAGTTCTGGATATATAACAATTACCAGTCTACTCTTGAATATTGACAAGTATCTATCTATTTGAGCTGACTTTGAACTACCATGGACGAGACTTAGCTGATGTGCAGTTTAGACGACTAATGCAGGCAAGACAAAGCTTCAATCTTATAAACAAGTTTACTATATCCTGCTGTATCATGTGGATACATATATCTAAACTATAAATAATATAGTCACTAAAGCAATGGATAAACTCTTACATCAATCAAGATATGCTGGTTGTGCGAGATTTATTTGAGCTCACTGTTGGAACCGCGCTGGCTACATTGTTGGGTATTCTAAATATTTGTTAATTTCAAACATGTTTTCATAAAGTAGTGCAAACCATTGAGCTACAACCATCACTATGTTTGAATAGAAAAAATTACTGGTCAAGAAGTTGTGGAAAAGGGATCGCTTGTAGCAGTGACTTTAAAAAACTATCAGCTTATTATGGGGCTTGTGGTTCAATTTGTAGACCGACATTTTGGCATGTCACAAGTTGAAGGCAGATGGACACTCAAAGGTGAGTACCGAATCCAACGGTCTGTATTTATCATTGTGATGCAGTTTCTACACATGAGATTAGTACGCCAACTCTGTTTTATTTTTTGAATATTATATAGGTGTTTTGGCTCAAGATATCTCATCATTACTTTGTTTCTTGGTGGATTTGGCTACTTTGTTAAAGTGTCCCTTTCCGCTCCCGCCAAATGTTTTGATTGCAATCATTCAAAAACAGGTAATTTAAAGCTCAACCAGTCACTAATTTAGCATTGTATATATTTTCATAAAGATGGAATGTGCGACTCACCTACACATCTTCAAACTCAGGTTATTGATGGAACAGAAAAAACGCGAACAACCGTGCATAAACTGACCCAAGATATACCGACAGTGGAGGATTCTGTAGTAGGTAAAGTAATCCATACTGGAGACAATCTACATTGTTTACATTTTGCAATGAATATAATTTACTGATAGAAAACCGTGTTGATATGACATCTCAGCAAGCGATGCGACACCAGCAGTAGCAATGGATGCATTTGATGTATTGGTAGATTCACCTCAAAAATTTAAAGAATTGTCCGAGGTATTTTAATACGCGAACCATGTTAATCAAAAGTTTTAAACCGTTCAGCTGATTAATATATTTATTTAAAATGTAAATAGCTTTTACTTGGATTTGTCAATATGCATCTTGCAATGGTGAATATCCAAGCCAACGATCTATCCATGTTAGATGATGGTGTACATGCTATCATATTGATTGGAATTTTAGCTAATCTTTTTGTTCCACTAAGCAAATACCATTTGATTCCGTCTACTGAAGCGCACAAGGTGAGCAACAGACTAGTATTTTGAGCTGAAAAATCAACACATGGCCTGATGCATGTTGGGAAATAGGTGCATAATGTCAAGTTTGGACTAGAGCTTACAAAAGGGTTAGGAATCGACACCAATCGAATTGAGCCACAAGACATTATTCAAGGAAATACAACAACGATTTGTAGATGGATGTAGGTATTGCATATGTCAGCACTATCTCTCTTGCTGAACTTTACAATATCATGACTTGAAATATTGCAATCATAAAATCACATGTAAAATCAAAAAATTTAACCAAGATGGGAAAACTCGATTGTTATTATATCATCACATACTAGATTTGTTCTTTACGCAAATGAGCAAAACTCTGGATCAGTTGTCCAATAGGCATCTGCTTAAATAGTGTCCGAGCTGCTTGCACCGCTCTTGAAGGGTTTAGGGATTGCGTCTTCAATGCGCATATTTATATTGTTGCCTGCAGGCTTGTGCGCAGATTCAGAATCCTCAGGTTGCATCATTTCTTCTTTGAGCTGGGCACGCATCATGGCAAACATGGCAGGAAGACAGCAGCAGAAACAGCATAATAAAATTGAAAGAATAATAAACACAGGGATAAGAATGACTGCAGTAGATGGAGTTGTTCGATCTGGATTAGAAAGTCTCTGAACAAGAAGCCCTGCGCCAGTATAGAATAGAATAAAGTATATGGCCAAAGCAATGATGCGCATGGTGAGTGTCCTGTTAAACTCTTCGGTTTTTTCCTTGGATTTGCCGGATTCTTTTTTTCCACGGGCAGCCCATATAGCCAATGAAATAATGTTGAATGCAGCCATAAGCCAGACTGGCAATAAAATAAGTGACCAAGAGACATCAGAAAGTGTGCCATCCAACTTGAGCAAGAGTAGTATGATTTGAGCAAATCGTAATAGTGTTGGTGCAAATTTGTCAAATATAATAAGTAGTAGAGGCTTGGGCAATTGTGGCAGTTCTGGATCATTTTCTTGGCGACGAGCATGAGCAGCTGCAAGAGCTTTGTTGTACTGAATTTCTGCAACAGTGGAAAGTGTTTTGATGCACAGATGCGCAAACTCCATAATGTACCATGGGATAAAAACTTGAGACCATCCAGCAGTGATGACATCATCCAACTTGAGTGCAATCAAGATCTGCAAGATTGTAAAGCAAAGCAAATAAGATATCAACGCAGCCTTTCCAGCACGTTCTGTCTTTTTAGAACTCGCGTCTTCCTCGGCCTTGATGTCATCGTCGTCATCATCATCCATGCCTTCACGCGGATCACGGGGTTTTGGCATCTGCGATCTCATTATGAGTACCATAAAGACAGCGTCGACAATAAAGAGAGGAGAGAAGACGGCAACCCACGACCACTGCACACGACCATCGGCACGCAAGGAAAGAAACGAGGGAAACAAGATAAGCAGTGCAACCAAAAGACTGCCGCCCAAAAATACAGCATTGATTGCTTTAATCATATCTGGGTCCACAAACGGAGTGTATTCGCTCATGGATTCAAACATGGCAGCACCACGTTCTCCCTGTAAAGCAGATAATGTTGAACATGATTGTGAGATTTAGAATTCAAGTGGCAGGACAATGAATAAACAGTTGAAAATCAGAGTATAACATGCAGTCGTGGATGTTTCAAGATATTTGCAGTGGTGATTGGAATTCGGCCAGCATTCAAACCCCCAACTTACATAAGTATCGTACACAGTGCGTTTGCGTTCATCGCCTATATATTCATAAACATTGCAAGTTAGTATTTAAGACCATAGGGAATAGATGCCAGCCATGCGTAGAAAATCAAATGGCATACTTAGGGTTTCGTATGCTTTTTGAACGAGTTGAAATCGCTCTACAGCTGCAGGATCATTTCCAGTTTTGTCTGGATGCAAACGAAGAGCCATTCGTCGATAAGCCTGAATGTTCAAAAGTATTAGACAAATAGCAAGTCCAAAGAAGCCCGAGTCAGTACCAACGATACAGTTACAGTTATAAGCACCAAAATAATCAAGGACCAAACTGGACGTTTTCCATTCAAGGGCGATTATGAAAGAAACTCTGACAAGAATGAAATGCAGTTGGTAGTGATATTAAAGGATGACTATAGCCAATTTGAGCAGCCATTTCATCATGAAATACTGATTGCATCGATGAGCTATATTGAAAAGTCAAACCTTTTTAATGGCGGCCTGGTCGGAATTGCGCTCTATACCGAGTAGCTAAACATGATATTTCCATTACAAGTGCCAATAGTGAATAACAGTAGTTGATATTGGAGTAAATAAGCAAACATTCCATAATGAAGACGCTCGAATCAAATACCTGATAGTAGTCTTTTCCACTAGTAGGAGGTGGATTGGGGTTGGCATTGGTATTATTATTTTCACCAGAGTCGACATCGGCCTGGATATGGTCGGTGTCCATTAACAAAGGAGTATAAGTAGTAGGAATATTTGCAAAAATAGTTGGCAAGTTATTTGATGTGGAGAGCGCTAAAGCGAATTGAGTGGAAAAAGCTGATTGGTTATTTTTACGACTGTATTCACGTAAAACTGAACACCAAACGGAGGTGACAAAATACATAATAAGCAGCCATCTCAGGTTTGATTGGTCAGCATTGTGCTATTTGAACCCTTTTTTGATACTTATTGTTCTTTCTCATCCATCTCGTTTGGGTATAAAATAACTGAATGGGTATTCACATCACAGTTTCAGTAATTCCACTTTCATAGACTAAACACTATAGCATCGAATGATCGACATGGAAACAACGATTGCATTTCTGTATCAGTCTTTGTTTTCTTGAACTAGAGCACTGGCGTATCGGTGACTTTAAAATACAACAAACATGAGTTTGACAATATTAGAACAATCGCACTCAATATCTGGATTGTGATGGATGAATCTGTGATCGTACAATGTATGGCTATGCCAAAATTTGGAAAAATGGTTCGATTGCATTATATGATGAATGCTGTGTTTATTGAATTGAAAATGTTCATTAAATTCAATCTTTAATAGCAAACTACAACCAATACTCGACTATTATTCACTACTACGCAAAATTAAAATCACTGCACGAGTTCTATTCTACGTGAATACAACTGATAGTTTAACAGTGTAATTGAACAAGGTTTACATTCGTTGATTTCATTCATTTTTGACTTGTCGCAGACTGCATCAATGCATGTATTATTGCAACACTGTCAAGTATCTGTCAACTACACGAGTCTATGGTTTCCGTTATTGTATACGATCAACTGTTCATGTGGTTAATACTGAATCCTGTGTTCAAAAGTTAACTGGTTCCAATCTGATATGGACTGTCAATTGATTATGCCAAGACTCTCACTGATAGATTTGCAAATACATGCATCATAATCAAGGTCTTGTTTGTCATGATGGATGTCTACAACAGGATTCGTGTGTGTTTGTTGTCATTGTTGACTGGATATGTTGCAAGTGGATCTATCAGGTATAATGACAGCTTGACCACTCATGTCAATGTTTATATTACAGACATGGTTATTGGTGCTGATTGCTGATTGTTCAAAATACCGCATCTGAAGTTGTGGATACCATGTTCAAATCATGACATTGTTGGATATCCATCAGCTTTTGGTGAAAATGCAACACATTACCAGTTTCGGTAATATACAAACACTTGGACTTGTGTCGAATGAATCAACTGGTCATTGTATATTTGAATACGTATGACATATTTTGATACTATCTTGTGTCTTGATGTTTGATGAATTTTATTAACAAGATTGATCCAACACACTCTTGTGTAGTCAGGTTTGTTTCTGTTTTGGTAATTGCGACCATCATTCATGCGTGTATCCGTTTCGAGATTGACGAAATGGTTGGGCGAGACAGGTTTACGCATCCGTGTTTTCTGTAGATACCGATGGCTGGAATGACAGTAACTGCAACAGTAACATCGATATTGACATCGATATTGACATCGATATTGACGCAGGTGAGCAGGATCATCAACACACTTGTTGTTGTTGTGACAATCACAACTAGCATGTATATGACATGAAGTTATACCAAGCGTGTTTGTTACAACACCAGAGACGATTGTATGATCAGTGGTTCAAACCCACAGTTTGTTGGTTTCAGTTAGTGCAACCTGATGCTTTTTGAGTTGACGATCTGGAGGTGCGTCAACTAATAATTGCATGGACACTGCCGCAAATACGATCAACTGTGTTTAGCTGGATAGCAGCAGTGGTATCAGTTGAACGACCGGTTTATGTATGTGGTGCTGGATCAGTTTCATACCTGTTGAGTCTCGGTTTGCATTTGACTGACACATCAAAACAGCGCCTGACATTTTACTGCCACAAAAACATCATTTGTTGATGTAATGTTTGTCGATCTAAAAATACGATTGTCCAGTTTGATCGGTTTGATCAGTTTGGTCAGTTTGATCAACCATGCACTTGACTGTAGGTTTGCAGCATGACTATGTGGGTTCGAATTATGCGAGTTATGCAAGCTATACGAGTTATGCAAAACCACATATATAATGATGATCTGTAAGCGACCGTATGTGCTTGGTTGCCCATACACATTGCAGGGTACAACTCGGAGCATTTTGGCTACCAGTTGGATGGGTCATTGGTTGTTTTGCAGGCGTTTGACGTGTCGATGTGATATGCCAGCACGTTCTCGCACAATGTTGTCATACAATAAGCTATGTTGATAACGCAGGGTTTGAATGGATGCCATTCCGCACTCGTAATGTCTTGTATGACATCTTGTAGATCGTGACTTGAATCTATACACACCATCGCTGCTAAACACAAACTATACATGCGCACATGACAAACTATACGACTTTTACAATATATGACCATTGCTCCCAGTCGATTATATTGTGCCATATGGGTAAAGTATGCGCGAAAAACCTGCGGACAACCACTGTCGAGTGATGACAATGCAGTTTTGTCAAATATGCAAACCAACATAGCAGTTACACGGCGCAACGGTCCAGCTTGTTGCAAATAGGTACGCAGTTGAGCGTGCTGTTTCGTTTGCAGACGCAAGCCGTTTGATTGTCAGTGATGTAATCGACCTGATGAACGCGTTTGTGTTCTCACGATGTTATGTAGATTTATACTTGCCATGGATGTTGCGACTACCAAAGACGCTGAAAATGCTTGTCCAACTGCTGTCGATCAAGCATAGCATATTGGCACGTCCATTATTAACCATATTGCACAACCAATCGATTGTAAAGTATTGACATACAATGTGTTGATTTGGCTGGGTCAACAAACATGACTACAGTGACACGAACCATTTGCATATGATCGAGCAACTTGTTATTGACATATGTAACATGCTGCATGGCATGTATTGTAACGGATTATTTTTTGATGTGTTTGACGTTTTTTGCAAAACAGCAGGTGTGTTTTTTGGTAATGTTTTGAGCAAACAGACCGACACTCGGTCTGTTGCACACTCATTGCGTGGACACACAGTTACAGGGTCGGTTTAGTATCCGTTCAAAAATGGAACCGGCTGATTAAACAGCTGCATTCAGTCGTGTAGATATGCTGGTTTTGAGCAATTCTGTTGTATGCCAAACATGACTATATATCTGCCACGCTTTTTACCAAGATTGTCAATGATAAATGCATGCCAGTTGATGTCGAGTTGCTTGTCTGAAAAATCAAATACGATACGAGTGATGTGTGAGCTTGATGCGTTATACTATGCATGAGTTTGAATTGTATGTAAAGTCTTGCATATCTCATTTTGATGACAACACGAACTTGCACACAATGTAAACCTTACATTGAATATCCTACCACAAACTGTAAAACGACACTGAGTTTGGTGATGGGAATAGCAAAAGCAATCAAACTCGATCACATAAAAGTGGTTGAATGAACACTTCAAATACACGTGATGACACTGATGACTGTTGACGATTTTTTGATTTATTTTCACTGTTCACTTGTTTGACTGGATTCTTACTCGGTTCTCATTCGGTTCTTACTCGGTTCTCATCACTTTTGTCGATAACTGTGAGTGATTCAATCTTGTCGAGTAATTTGACACGAGTGATTTCAAGATACTGACTGTTTATTATACTCATTCTTAGTGTTCCATTGTGCGTGGATACAGTCGTAAAGACAAGTCTCGAGCTCAATCCAAACTGTTTATAAACTCTTGTAAACTTTTCCTACCAAATGCTTGATTTGGTTGACCATCAAAGGTTGGCCTTTCAAAGTTTTTTTCCCAAGGAATATCTTTGTTTTCTGGCGCTAAGATGATGGTACATTATAATTGAAGTAGATTAAATAGAAAAATTAGTGTTGATAGTTTTGTCAAGATTCCATTCAATAAAACTGTATTTATACCTGTAAAAGATGTTTATCCTTCAAGTTTTTATGTTCCGCGAGCTTAGCAGCAGCAGCCTAATTGAAAATAGGTTTACGATATACAGCAGGGTCGTGTCAACATGAACATCTAAACCGACACAATGTGAATATTAGATCATGTAACTAACCTCCATTCTCAGCCAAGCTGCCTCTTTTTCAGCCTCTTTCTTCTCAAGCTCGATCCGATTTTTATTCTCAGCTTTGAGGAATGGATTTGGTTTGGGTTTGCACAACTCCCTATGATTTTCAAATGAAATGGATTTCGGAGCTGGAAATTAGAAATTTGTATCTATGGTGTATATAATCCAATGAAACTTACTTTTTGACATACTTGAACGGCTTTTGTTTGTAGCCCAAATCTCTACCTTGATTGTAACCGACATGCTATTGTATTTCAGTATTGACGGGTTAGGGGAACAATGCAATCTTGTCGAGTGATACAACAAATCAGACTAGTAACCTTACCAAGTATTTAGCAGTTAGAAAACGCTTTTGTTTTTGAGGTGCAGAGTTTGTTGATGCATCCATGGACGGTTTAGTGTAGTTCTGGTGTTTTTTCAATGTAGAATGTGAATTAGGGTTTGGTTGATCATTCAAGAATCCATTATTCTGTGAGTGCCTATGCTGAGTTTTTATGATTGAGGCATGCACATCATTGGAGACTGTTTTGGTGAATTCTGCAACACATTCATGCTTGAATTAGTATATTGGATGACCAAGTAGTGATTAGACTTTTATCAAGGATTGAGTATACAGGAAGCAGGAAGCAAAGTGGTCAAGTCTAATGCAAGTGAATGCTCCAATATACCTTTTACAGGTTTCATAGTGTATTTGCTTGATTCTATCACACCAGAGGGTTGGCTTTGAATATGAGATTGTAGAATTGTATAAAAATCAAGTTTTTACAAAAATTTAAACGACTCGATTTACAGCAATGTTACCGACTTGTTACCGACTTGTTACCAACTTGTTACCAACTTGTTCGATTACAGCCATATCCATGTGTAGAATGAAACACGTTTGTATTGGTCTTTATTTTGCTTGGGAATAAACAATCGAATGTTGCGCTTGTTAGAATTGGCACGAGCATTATCAATTCTTTAAACACCCATCATATAAACTGAGACTGTCTTTGAGTGAAACTTTGCATTGTAAGGTTGAAACCAGATTCATTCCTGATGTAACCAAACTCATATTTGTTGGATTTTCATTATATACATTCTAGATCAAGAAAACAAGAGTATTTCAACTAAAGAGTTGTGAGACTGTTCAACTAAAGAGTCGTGAGACTGTTCAACTAAAGAGTTGTGAGACACTAATCGTTTCATGAGACACTCGTGTAATTTAATACAAATTACACGACAATCAAATTATCGAATCATTTCAATTGTTGGAAATTGTAGACTTGAAACACTCCAAAAGCGCAAATTTCTTTTTTCTTCCTTTCTTCAAACGAATTCACACATTCAATGGCGGACATCAATCAGAAACTCGCTGCACTGTCCATGTCGGACTCTGCTCCCAATGGCTCTGGAGAAGAGCCGTCTGTAAAGAAGGCTTACGTTCCTCCTCACTTGAGAGGTAAACAGAACGTCTCTACTCCACCAGGATCAAACGGTCGTGGTGCTCAGAGTAAAGTGGTGAATGATGGAACAGCCAGTAAACCTTACCACGGTGGCAGAAACAACTATGAGAATGATCGGTACGTTTGTTTTCAAGTTTTATAAACAAGTGTCGTGCTCATGGACTGTAGTATTTAGATTCAGCCAAAAGTGTGGATTGCATTCCTACCAACTGGTTGCAGTTCGTATGTTCTCTAAAATAATAATCGACTTGCTACTTGTCAAACTGTATTGCTGCAATATTCAGCCAAACGGTTGTAGAATGGCTACTAACTGTTGATTATACTTTGGTTTAAATGCCGACTGTATTGCTCTTTGGGTGGTTTGCCTTTTGTTGGTGCTTTTAATGCGTTTGACAACCTGCTTTGCTGCACACTGCTACTGCTCTGTATACAGTGGATTCAACAATGCACCAAGATCATCCGGTTGGAATGTCAACGATGAGGTTCCAGGTGGACGTCCTTCTCGCCCGTTTTCAAGTAATCGTGGTGCTTTTTTTGGAGGCTCGTCTCGTCGTGAGTACCAAAAAGATCCCAGTGATGAATTCTACTCCCGTGCAGATATAAAGGCTCGTGATCCTCGCTTGGAGACAAAACTCTATGGCAATCAACACAATTCGGGCATTAATTTTGATAGGTACGATGATATCCCTGTCGAAGTTTCTGGAAATGCTGCTCCACTGCCAATTCACAGCTTTGAAGACTCTACCATGGACCCTCTTGCAAAGTCAAACGTCAAGCTTGCTGGCTATTCCAATGCTACTCCCGTCCAACGGTACTCTGTAGCTATCGTTACAGCCGGTCGTGATTTGATGGCTTGTGCGCAAACTGGCTCGGGAAAGGTGTGTATCTACAAAGGCGTTGTTGATCACAATCCAACTTTGAACTTTATACTGATACTTGTTTTTGATTCTAGACTGCTGCTTTTCTACTTCCTATTCTTAGTCAGAATTTTTCAGATGGTGCAACGGTCAGTGACACTCCAACAGATCGTCGCAGCAAAATTTTACCCATTTCTCTTATACTTGCTCCAACTCGAGAGCTGGCTATTCAGATTTATGAAGAATCAAAAAAGTTTGCATATCGTTCATGGGTTCGTCCCTGTGTAGCCTATGGCGGCACTCCCATTAGTGATCAACTACGCGATCTTGAGCGTGGTTGTCAACTTTTGGTTGCTACTCCAGGTCGTCTTGTTGATCTCATGGAACGAGGCCGCGTTTCTCTAGCTTCTATTCGATACCTGGTTCTTGATGAAGCTGATCGTATGCTTGATATGGGATTTGAACCTCAAATTCGTCAAATTGTTCAGCAAGCTGATATGCCTACTGATCGTCAAACCCTCATGTTTTCTGCCACTTTCCCCCGAAATATCCAAATGCTTGCTCGTGATTTTTTACACGACTATGTGTTTATTGCAGTGGGCCGTGTTGGATCTACCTCTGAGAACATCACTCAAAATATCGAGATGGTGGAGGACGTAGACAAAAGATCCGTACTACTTGATATCCTTGCTACTGATGCTGGAATTGCTCAAGAGAGCCCAGATCCTGCTGCAAACCTGACTCTTGTCTTTGTGGAAACTAAGCGTGGTGCAGATATGCTTTGCAACTTTTTGATAGATCAACGTTTTCCCGCCACGGCTATTCATGGAGATCGTACTCAACGGGAGCGTGAATTTGCTCTCCAGTCTTTCCGTTCTGGAAGAACCCCTGTCTTGGTTGCTACTGCAGTTGCGGCTCGTGGTTTAGATATCCCCAACGTGACTCATGTCGTCAATTTTGACTTGCCTAGTGATATTGACGACTATGTGCATCGTATTGGTCGTACTGGTCGTGCTGGAAATATAGGAAAAGCCACCGCTTTTTTCAATATGGAGCAGAACAGGGGTATTGTCAAGGAGCTTGTAGAAATTCTTCAAGAGGCCAACCAAGAAATTCCAGGCTGGCTCAACCACTGTCGTGAGCAAGCCGATTTTGGTAGTTTCCGATCTGGTGGTGGTCGCGGTCGTGGTAATCGTGGACGCGGTGCTAGATTTGGTGCAACTGATTACCGTCGCGAGCAAGGAGGCAACAGTAGCTCCAATGGTCATGGATCACGCCCTTCTGGAGGCAATAATGTCTACAACAATAGCTATGGAAATAACTCCAGCAGCAACAATAACTCTAATGGTAGTTGGTTTTAAATGGGTTGCGATGATTTCTGAGTTATTGCGTTGTTTTGCCTTTTATTTTAGTCTTGTCATCTTTCTGTTAATCGACTTTTTTTCCATCATCTTTAATAAGTTTTTGCTAATTACGTCGATTTAGTCTTCGTCTTTTATTATTTTTTTTGTGCTGTGCTTTCAATCCCCACTTTCATCATCTCTCATCCTACTATCCTTATCTCACTACCCGCCACCTCTTGCTAAGCACGAACACCCGCACGTATGCTATTTTTATCATGATTGTCACACACTTACATTGTGTGGTGATCGTTCGGAGAGAGGCCCACACTTTGGTTTTCATTACTCTCCACCTTAAATAATACTTGTTGGTTTACAGTCAATTCTAGTTTAATTTTTTATTTATTTAGTGCTATTGGGTTGGCAATATCTTATTAGAATGCTTACTTGTCTTGTAGAGATGCAGTGGGTTTACCAAAGAAATCTGTAATACGTTTGGTAGTCATGGGATCTTTTTTGGCCTTTGATTTGGAGGATGACGCATGAACAAGCTTTTGTTTTTTTGCAGGACTATTTTTACATATGTTCCGGTTAGTTGAATACGTTGTATCAGACGCTGCCAAATCAGACACGAGCGATCTGGAGTGAATCTTGTCTGTATCTGTGCAAGGCGGACAAGTCCAAAACGATTCTATTTTTTTGGGTGTTGCAACAGTGATGGCTTTGATGCATTCGGGAGTGTCTGTTTCAATTTTACCAACCATCGTCGAGACTGGAAACCTGTTATCCATTGAATTGTATACACAACAAATCCAAGTTAGTTTGAATAAACTACAAACCATAATGCAGGACCATTCAAGATGGAGCGTCCTGTAACATCCAAACAACAAACTCACCATACAAGTCCAGAATGCATTGGTCGCATTAATGCAGCGACATCACTGGTGAATTTTATACTTGGATCCATCCAGAGTGCACGATCTGCCTCAGTTTGCAGCATCACTGGCATACGATCATGTAGCCATTCCAACGATGGAGCAGCAGGAGTTGTGACAAGCGCATAAGTAGGTGTTTCTGTTGATGATTTGGATGGCATCCATACTGCAGCCATATACATAAGCTTAGTGGAACTCTGATTTGCTTTAATACCGATTTGCTCATCCGTGTCAGGAGTTGAATCTGTACCCAGACTGATAAAATAAGGTTGGCTAGTGGTTTTACGTTGCCATTCGTAGTAACCTTGTGCGATAACAATGCATCTGTTTGAATCTCGGACTTGCTTAAACATGGGACGATATGACGACATGAGCGTATCATCTCGACAGTTGATGACCAAGCGTGATGATTCCGAGTTGTTTTTGGGTTGGGTTTTGATACCCCATTTCTGGTATATACAAAATATTGTGAATGACAATAAGGATTGAAATGCAAGTTAATGAATCAACCATTGAAGATGATTTGATTTGCTAGCTAGCTTATTTTAATACGATCCACTCGAGTTCTAGATCAGCAGTGTAAACCATATATTACACATCAACCCAACTGAAGCCTACCATGCAGTCTAATACAGGTTTATGACTGTCTGTATGTCTGTGAATCACTGGCTGCATTCTAGTTGGACACACTACATTACAAGTTAATGATTCAACATATTGAAATGCAAGGCTCATGTATTTAAACGTATGAATTCTTAGGGTTGATGCTGTGATCCTAACTTGCCATTATAAGACGGACGATATTGCTGATTGTTGTGCCATGTATCAACACCTGTCTGGGTTTGAATGTCATCCTCGTCCTATACAAATACCATGTTCAAGTGTTAGTGTTGAACCATGTCAATCCATTGATGATTGTAGTGCATCAAAACCAACCAAAACCAGCACTGTTCTTCCACACATGTTGTTGACTGCTTGATACCAAGTTTGAAGATTATTTGAGCAACAGTGTCAAAGCTAATGCAAACCAATATTCCAATACGATCATACAACGAAAACAAAATATAAAACAAAATATGGGTTTATTGACGATCGCAATGCAGCCTTCATCCATCATGTCGTATACATGATTCAAGATGTTCGAAATACAACAGTAAGCTTTTCTCTTATATCTGCAAATACAGTCTGTACATGTGGCAAGTCATTTGGCATCCGAAACACCAACGATCTCGAATACTTGTCTACTTTGGCAGATAATGACCCACCCAAATGTTTGAGCAATCGAGTTTGTTCAGTCAGTAGCCCTTTGGTGTGCCTTAATACCACTTCGGCACGCTTGATAAGAATAGAATCTGGCAGTTTGGGCTTCCATGTCGAAACTGACGGTCGTGTTGTATGAGGATAGGGTTGGATGATCTGACTGTCTGGAAGAAGAAATATGGGAATGATCAAGTTGTGTACATTGCAGAGTTGTGCAGTTTGTAAAATTGCTCGATATCCGGCAATAAGTGGAGATCGACTGCTCAAATCACTTTTCATGGCCAACTCTGACAACCGTAACATGAATAAAATATATACTCAGTATGGATATTAACTATTGTGGTACAATGCTGTTGTGTACAACAGTCATCACATGTGGATGCAATAACTGACCTGAATCATCATATATCAAATGAAATACTACATGTGCAGATGGAAGATTGGAGTGCTTTGTAACAAAAAAATCGCCTACATCATGAATCAAAAAGCAAGTTTAGCCAAAGTCACTTTTGGTAAATTAACCAATCATGGTACCTTCTTGAAGTATCGGAACACCAGCTTCATCACAGGGAAGTCCATCACTGATTGATTCAAGCTGTCTTTCGATCGAATCAAAATGGAATTCAGTCGACATTTTGCACTTTTGAATCAGCTCTTAATATAACAGTTGAATCAATACTAAAGTAAGCATCATCCATACTATCCAAAAAGCGTTGCCACAAAACTAAATAGTAAACCATCATCCTACCCTTATTAGCTGTGGTTCCATGCGAGTAGTTCGCAAAGTCGCTAGATCGAAGCAACAGAATCATGCCCGAAACACTCTGTGAATAAAGTGCACTACACATTTGTGCGTGTAGTGCAAGCTCTTGAGCAGAATTCGAAGCAAGGTCTGAGGTGTGATCGCAGTATGTTTGAAGCATGACACTAAACATGAGTCGAACCTGTGTTCCAAAATAGATGGTGAATGATTCTGACATGTCGACTTGTGCTTCCTCTGGTTCTTGAACTCTGCAACAATCATGGATTTAAAAATAGCATAATTCAGAAAACATTATTTTTTCAAAATTTAAAACTTTGTAATGAAACTGCCGACTTACTTTTGCTCATCATCCATTCGAAATGCATCCATGGCTTTTTCAAAAAAACTCCCAACCCGATTCAGTGTCAAGGCACCCGGCTTGGATATAGAATTGGATCTGTCCTGATTCGATGTAGAAAAAGGTCCATACACCCCGTCGGTTGAACTATTGCTTTGTCCGCCTTGAAAAAGCTGTCGTGTAAATGAAAAAGAGCGCTTTCCGCTTAAACTCTGTTCACTTTTATGGCGAGATTTGTTCAAAGTACGAATTCCCAGTTCTACTCTTTGATCCTTGACTGACGTGGTGGTATCTACCTCTGCCTGTGAGGTCGATGCTGCCATCAAAAAAGATAGTGGATTAGGGATATCCTTATCCATTCCTTTCAGGTTCAACAAGGAATTAGAGCCTCTCATACGAAGTGCCGGCACTTCGTGGTCAGCATGTTTACGAGTGGCAGCTTCGCACGCAAGCGTTTCCTTTGCTCTCATGTGTTCTCTTACCAATCTGGGATTCTCCAACAAAAGAATGATTGCACGTTCCTAAAATTGTTCAACGCACCCATAACAGAAAATGAGTACTTTAGAAATCAAAAGACCTGCACAACCCACCTTACCGTGTCTTTTTCAGTGATTTCAAGTGCTGCTCGTATCTGATTCAGCTCAAACCCCATTTCAGACAACTCCTTTTCCGCATTGTTTATTGCAGGCTCTTGAGTATTCTTAAAGTTTACATCAATTCAAATTTTAAACTAGTATGTTAGATATGAGTAAAACAATCAGAGTTTTTAAAAAAACTAACCTCAATAACAGGTGCATTGGATGTATATGTTGCATCCACAGCTTGTGATTGAACAGTAATGTCGGGAATAGTATCAAACGATGGTGATAAAATTGACTGGGACAGCTCGGCTGTTTCAGTATAACAATTATCATTTTGACTCTGCAATACAAGTGAGTTTGCAATGGAATCTGGAGAATTGTGCAAAATATCTTCAGAATCGTTAGTTTTTTTCAATTTAAAGCTGGTTGGTTGAGCGCTGCTTTGAATTGCTTCATTTTCAGATCTGAGCGCTGGTTGCGGTAAGCTGGGCTGGAAGTTAAAGTTTTGTTTTAGCATATTTTCGTTTTTTGAAACAATATTTAATATTTCCTTTGACGGACGTTTTTCAAAACGGTTGATTGCTTTAAAAATAATCATGTCTCCTATAGAGTTCTCAAATGATGTGAGTTGATGCTGTTCATGAAGTTTCTCTGCGTTAGAGTTTGCTCTTTCTAGCATTTCCTCGTAAATTTTGACTACAAAGTCTCGATATTCTTGGCGTTGATGCATATACAGATCTTCCAACTGGCTATCCCATGTTGCGCGAAGCATAGTCAAATCATCAACTTGCTCTATAGCCAGCTCGTGAAATTCTCGGCTTCCTTCAACCACACCTCGCTGCATAGCCTCGCTAACTTGTCTATGGTTGTTTAGTAAATAGAAAAATGTCGATTGCATTAAAATTCAATTTTTTTAAAATACTACTCAATGTGTGACCAGTATCTTGCGCAGTCTAAAAGACAAGGACAACTTACACATTCTCCAATTTTTGAATATCTTCATTCATCGATTGGCAGATTTCTTTTACAGCTTGTGCGTATTCCTCTTCAAGCTGAAGCAACGTGTCAAATACATCTGAAGAAACCGGATTGTTGACGATAGTTTGAAAAGCCTTTAAAAACACTGGCTATATGGATTGATGAATGGATTGCAATAATAAAACAGACACATCGATACTAACGAGTCAGACTGCATGCAGTTGAATACATTCCCGACTCGATCATTAATTTTCTGTATTCAATAAAATAAACTGGAAACGTACCTCCACTCTTGTGGAATATGCTGCTCGGTGTCTAGCAAACACATCAACCCATTCATTTACATGACGCATCAATTCTTCTTGTGGTTGGTCTGTAGACAGTGAATAAATGCATAGTTTAGTAGACAGACTTGATGGGTTGTACAAGAGCCAATGCTAGTCTAGGACGGTGTGTATAGCTTATACCTAGATTTATCTGTGCATCTTCTTCCAGGACATGTGCATGACTGATGAGTGTATCCAGGGCTGACATGAACAGAGGCTCCAGATAAACAGGAATTGCATTGTCATTGATGAGAGATCTTGCAACATTGCTGGACGTTCTTTCCTGAACAACTCTGACTGGCGTAGATGCCAAATGCTCTCCACCTCCACAAGGTCGATATTGCAAGACCATGTCGGTCGACTCCCATGAAAACTGAGGTTCAAATGGCATTTTGGAAACTCCAAAGTTTGGCTATTGATGAAATGAAAATATCTGGCAAGATCCGATAGGCAGCACAACGTCCAAGATGAAGGAAATGTGCAAGATTCGATAATGTCAGTTTGCTTAATTTCCTTCATCTTGTAGTATTCTGACGGGATTTGCAGTCTGCTTAAACCATTCGTTGCAGATTCAACTGCCAAAAAGCATAATCTAAAATTTAAAAACTGTTTGCTCAAACACTGGATAAAATAATAGCAATTCATCCTTGGAGCAAGTCTGCAATGCATCAAAACAGCTCGCATAAATGCATGGATCTTGCCATTTTATTTATATTTGAACTAGACATTGCATGAAATCAAGCTAGTATTTATGAAAAGGCAAAAGATTATTGTTTTCGACGCTTTCCTTGACTGCCTTGTGTCGCTATGGCGTTTTTGCGCTTGACAGTTTCTACCAATTGCAATAGATCCGAGCCTGTTGCAGATCCAAAAGGTTTTGTCGTTTCGTTGCTCTAAATATTCAGCAAAATAAAGCAATACATATTAAATCATGGTTAAATATCTGGCTTTGATCCACAATTAGTCAAAATAGCAATTCAAGATTTTCCATACATCAACTTTTCTACTTGTCGATTGATTTGCAGTCTTTGAGTTTTCAGAGTTCTCTAGCACTTTACGACGCTCAAGCAACATCTTTTCCATTCCTTTGGTCTTTTTAAATTGAGGATTTGTGGGATCAATTGCAAACTGGTGGCTTTCAACTACTGCAGCAAAACGAGGATCTGCCACGTCTATTTCAAAATCTTGCTGTATTTCGCCATAATCCTTTTTAGCTAGCTTCTTCTTGTTATACTTTTTGTTTTTGCTTTGCTTATCATCCTTTAGTACTGCTTTCATGTCAAAATGACGAGATTGAAGTTGGTTTTCATCCAAAAGCAGCAGTTCCAGTTCAGCTCGCGACTTTTCCTTTTCTGCTGCAAGCTTTTTGCGATTCTTCTTGTCTTCGGACTCGCCATGTTTGTTTGTATTGAGTGAGCCATTTTTCTTGGCTGAGAAAATAAGATTGTGATTAAAAGTGACATAATGGATGCTGTTTCAACAACAATCAAATATAAAGTGACTTACGCTCTTCAAATTCTGGTCCAAAATCTTGTTGGAAAAAGGGATCGTCTTGTCGATCTGCCATGTCGTCTTCTTCAGATGATGAATCGTCTGAATGATTTAAAAAATGTCAAGAGTGTTAGAAATCACTACAAGTAAACTACTGCATTAGTCAATGTCAATACAAACTTTTAGTTGCGTCAGCATTCTTTCTAGCCTTGCGCTTCTCCTTGCGCTTTCGAAGATAAGACTCAAACACAGTCTCATTCTTGTGAGCCTATGTAATGGATGCAATTGAGTGGTGTTTTAAATAAATCGCAAAAATATGTGAGTGTTGGAAATTATCACCTTCTATTGTATGCATGATCATAGTCAACAGTCAATGTTTAAGAGTGTCAAGTACTTACAGCTATTTCTTTTTTGCGTTCAAGTTGATTAGCAGCCTTTTCACTAAGACCAGGTGCAAAAGTGATTTCCATTTCCTTGTCTTCTTCATCTTTTCGTCCAAATGCATCATTATCAGAATCGCCTTGAAGCAGAGCATGATATTTTGCACGTAGTGCATCTGCATCCTTGCCTTCGCCAAGATTGTCCTCTTCATCGGAAGAGGATGCGATATATGCCTTAAAATCCATATCTTTGAGATCTTCTTTTGTAAATTTACGTCGTGTAACTCGAATGCGCTCATTATCTTCAGCATCCCATGTGAGTTTAACGCTAGAGTGTTGAAGTGCCTGTGTGACGAATTCTGCAGGTTGATACGACACTGGCACATCACTTGCAACATCAGTAGGTGCATCGTCAAATGACATGCTATCTGGTACATAGCGAAGATCAAAAAAGTTGGCAGATGATTCAAATTCGGTACCATCGCATGTTTCAAAAATAGTACGTGCTGTAGAAACCGAGTCACATTCAACCACTGCATAGTAGTATCGTAAACGCTCCATCTGATACTTGCGAAGACGATCAGTGTTGAATTCGGTTCCATCGTCAGCCTGAACAAGTGGTTCATCTATTGACTGATCGGCATCACGGAAAATATCTGCTGGTGGGCCATGCAACAGTTCATCTTCCATATGCTTTTTTCCAAACTCGGATGGATAAATCTTGACTGAGCAGAGTGTTCCGGCTTTTGGTTTAAAGGCATCAAATACTTTGAAAAGATCCTTGGCTTTTACATGGTCCCAATCCATATTTACAACGGCGAACCGGCGCGTTTCATCTCCAATTGGAATATTTTCTTCAGCGTATGGCCCAATGTCGATAGCCTCTTCCGCATCAAAGTTTTTGTTGCTAGGATGGTTTCGTCTCATTACAGACGGACCATCGCTGTCATCTTCGTCAGAGGATGAATCTGCGAGTCCCTCTCCACGAGCCAAATCATATCCTTGAATAGCATCCTTGCTTCCTACTGTGCTTTCAGATAATAAAGATGCATCGTCTTGCTGATCCAAGAGATCATTTCCTGTATCTAGACTGTGATCACTATCTGTATTTAAAGTGTCTGCCAAATCAGCAGATTCATTCAGTTTATCCTTGAAAACCTTGACATGCTGGTCAACATCTGCATCATCCAGTTTATAAAATTGCTGTAGCTCTTTGCTATGTGTCGTGGTTTTTTTACGACCATACTTGTCAATTTTTGCTAGAAATTCAAGTTGGGTTTAAAATCCAGAATAAAGATTAACAAAAGAATTGAATAAAAACAAATTATTTTGGTTCCCATGAGAGATTTAATAGCATCATTGATTCTACACCAGTCCCAATAAAAAGAAGATTTTACTGAGATTGTAAATCAACTTACGTTCTTTTCCAGAAGAGCCAAAGTCTTTACTGGAAAGCATCCCAGAAAAACGGCTATCGATGGTGATTTTTGAAGCATCCTTTTTTGGTTTAATAAAACGTGGATCGTTATGAATACGAGAGAAACGAGGGTCTGATACAATTGTCTGTGGAGTCTTTTTAATTGAAGACTTTGCAGTCTTTTCAGTAGTGCGCTGCCTTGATTGATTCTTGTCTTGGGTCATTACAGCAATAATGAAAACTAAAAAATCTGAAAGTTTTTTGCAGTCCGATTATTAACACGTGACCATGTGTAGAGTCGAGCATAACGAGCCAAGATTTAGTGTCTTCACGTAAAACATTAACTAGAGTAGATTCGTAGTTGTGCAACTCCGTTTTTATGAAATATCAAGTTATTGTTACGTAGAATTGAATTGTTGAACTATGCGATCATTACTAAACCTGAGCGTATTTGAGAGTTTGAATACAAGAAAGTCGAGTTAAAAGATTGAATATTATTAAAAACTTGATTATCAAATTGAATTTAATCGACAATTCGAATCTGCAATTTCTTTCCTTTTGTAAACTCGAGTTTGCTATCACGATGCAACTTCCAGTTCTTATTCTCGCCCTGTTGGGATGCTCGCACATAACAGCATCTCTTGTTTCTCAACTTGATGCTTCGATGCCCATGGATCTACTTCTGCCTCCTCCAGCTGTTTCTAAATCGCAGCAGCTGTTTGTTCTCGAGTCGGTCAATAATATTATTGATCTGACCAGAACCATTTATCGTCAAGAAACCACCATTGTTGTTCAGCCCACTGACAACAAGCAGACTCAGTCCGAAACTATCTTTTATTTAGCCCAGCCGCTAGAAGCCTCCAACAAGGTTTTGGCCTTGTTTGAAGTCCGTGTCAAGAACAAAAAGGGTCAATTACTGGCTATTCGCAAAGATGTTGCTCATGAGTATGTCCATCAATGATCATCCATGTTTGTCATGTGTATTGTTTCTAAATATCATCTTGAATTGCTTTATCATCTTGTCATGCTACGGATCTAATGCATCAGCCATCTGCAGTACTACACTGTCACTCTCCCCGCTACAACGCTTGGAAAAACTACTTTGTATGTCAAGAGCATCTACACAAAACATGTGATTCCCTATCCTCGCAAGATCAAGCAGTTGGAACCTCAGCTGTATGAAATTCAAGGCAATGCTCACTTTTTGACTCCTTACAAGTCTACCAGGCAACGCACTACTGTCAAGTATGTTAATTCGTAATATTAACAAATTATTCTGTTGTCTGGCTGGATCAAGCCAATTGTTGGAATCTTGAAATTAACTTGATGTCGATCTTATTACCGCATCTGAATGTATTTTATCAATATCTTATTAGGCTACCTAACCGTAAAGAACCTTCTACATATACCAAGAGTCCTAAACCGGTTACTAGAAAAGATGAAACAATCATATATGGACCATATCTCAATGTTCCTGCTCTCTCGCGATCACCTCTGTATGTGCATTATGCCGATACTCAGGCTGTACTTCTTGCAAAGGAATACACCAAGTATGTCGAAGTGAGTCACTGGGGTGGTAATATTGCTGTTCAAGAGGATTACGAATTGCATCATAAGGGTGCCGAGTAAGTTTTTATTGTGTTGATCTGTTCAAGCACAACAGCTGTAGTCTTGCTCTAAAGCATATCAACATGTTCTGTAAAACTAATTGAAAATGTTTTTTGCCACTAGACTCAAGGATCACTTTTCTCGTATCGACTTTAAACTCAGTGCCCAAGCTCACTCTGAAACCAACGTCGTAAAGGATCTCACTGCAATATTACCAAAAGGTGCACGAAACGTTTTTTTCAAAGATACAATCGGAAACGTTTCTACTTCTCACTTTCGTAACGATCGTGAATCATCAATGCTATGGATTCAGCCTCGATACCCTCTTTTCGGTGGATGGAGATATTCTTGGTTTCATGGCTACGATGTTTCTGCTGAATCATTTTTGAAAAAAATCAGCGCTAATAAGTTTGTTTTGCAATTGCCATTCAAGTCGTCGGTTAAAGATATCACTGCGGTTAGTGCAAAACTTGTTGCTGTTCTTCCAGAAGGTGCCAGGTAAGATCTGCTTTGTAACATTGGCATGAACAGCAAGATACGCCAAGTCTGCTTCTAGTAAACAGATTTGAACATTTATGTATCCTTGTGGCTGAATTGGATACATTGCAGTCTTGAATAATTTAGCTGTGTTTTACTGATACTTTTAATTCTTGTCATGCTATACTATTTACACACTTGTACAACTTAGCAATGTCGAGGTGGCTACATCGCTGGATGTTGACCAGATTTCAGAATCTGTCATCTTTTCATACCTGGATTCTACTGGACGTCCAGCTGTGACCATTCAAACAAAAAATTTGATAGACGATCTTGAGGGTGTGGTTCAAATCACATATTCGTACGACACAATGCGATTGTTACAGAAACCTTTTGTTGTTTTCGTTTATACTTTGGGAGTCTTTTTCATTTTCATCATTTACTCTCGTTTGGACTTTTCGATTTCCCCGGTATGATGGTTTGGAAATTACTCTTTAATTACTTGATGCATTGACCATGTTGGGTATGCATAGCTGACAGTTTTATATACTGGGATATATAGGATGTTGCCAAGGATAAAGAGGAGCGTCTTGAGATTTATCGAATCAAGATATCTGAAATTGTAAAAATGGATAGTCGACGATTTACTGATGTGAGTGATGCTTTTGAGCATTTCAAATCTACGCGTAATCTGAAGATGTTGGATCAAGTTTACAAGACGGCAGACAAGGATTCTGCCGACATGTATCGTAATCTTGATGATATTGCCACTCTTGCCACGCTTATTGATAAGAGCTTTGGACAATCTGTGCAAAAATTGATTGACCTTTTGAAGGAACGCACCAAAGTGGCCAGAACCATGCAGCAAGAAGTTCAGAACTTTATCAAAGACACCAGCAATGGGTCAGATCAAGCTAAAAAGCGTGCCATGAATGCACAAATCAATCAGTCTCTTGCCAAAGTGGATGCTCTCTGTTGCAGAATTGCAAGTGTACTGGAACATGTAGGCGAATAAAGTGAATATATTTTCCTTTTAGTATTTGCTTCATGTGTATATTGAGTTTACTATTATAAAGTTAGAACTTGATCCGAGACACGATTGAAAAAGAATAACAGTTGTTGGATACCGTACCAAGCTATGGAATCAAGTAATTATAACTTGTCAAAACAAATTGGCATTTGCAGCCGTATCCGCACAAAATGAAACACTATCTTGCAGTAGCTACTTTAGAATCAGCAATAATCAAATAGCCATTTCGTCTTTCTACTACACGTAAATAGTTTAATGGTTGTAAAAAAGAGATTGAACAAGTGTACAATCTACTCAACCTATGATGTGAACATGTGTTTAGTGGTTTGTGTTTTACGTCAATGCAGCTGTCAATACACTCAAACCTTCCACAAGGTTTGTTCATCTAAATTCAAGTGGTAATAACAGCATTTTATACCAAAGAATTGTCTGCATAATACTAGTACGTGGAAAGAAATTTTGTCGATATTTATTGACATGGCAATCATTGCAGTATTCAGTAGTATTAGCTAGACTCATGACCACATCCCTCACAGATCCACACAGTTTTTAAATCTGGCTCGGAACCAGTACTGGTGTTCGTGTCGTTGGAATGATTGGCTGAAACGCTCGGTTTCTTTTTTAAACCTCCCATATGCGACAGATGAGCAGGAACTAACCAGCCATGACACCCTATTTCACGACAAAGACAAAGCCCAAACGTTTCAATGGTTTGATGCAATGGACTCTTTTGATCCTTCATGGCAGATGCAGTGATATCGGTCTGTACTGCAGTAGGCGACTTATTCTTTTCTAGTGTTTCCTCTAAACACCTTTCACAGTTGCATTCAAAGTAAAAGATATCTTTGATTGCTTTTTGACGATGCTCGAGCGTGCCTTCAAGGGGTAAATACGCAATCATTGCTTCTTCGTTTTGTTCAAGATTTCTAGTGGCAAAAAACAGTATAGTAGATCCAAACATAGACATGCCTGTATCAGTGAGTTTGGCAAGATTAGTAGCCGATCCACTTCGAGTCACATCTGTATCTGGAAGGCTTCGAGCAACGTGGCCAACCGAGGGTTTGCACGAATGGTTAAAGTACACGGCACTTGGATAGACACCAAGACCATAACTCTGCCGTTCAGTTTTTGAACCAGTATAATTGAACGTGTATACACCAAACGAATTGCACTCTTCTTTGCAAATCAACAACATCATTAATGATTCTAATGGGGAGCAAGTGATGCCAAGGTCGGTTAGGTATGCATGGAGGTCAGATTCTGGATCAGGAAGATCAGGATGAAGTGGATGATCTTTAGCAAACCGAGTCAACAATGCAGCCAAAGGCTTGAACGATTGTAATCGATCGTGTGGAAAAAGACGCACATTATCGCACAAAGGCCAGATACTGTCTTGAAAGGTGAATGGATAAATCCAAGGCACTTGAACTGCGTCGTGATGCTTGCTACGATGCGTATCATGGTGTTTGTCGTGAGATTTATGGGATTCTACATGGGAATGAGCATGATGATTATGCTCGGCTGCTTGGACCATAGGGTCGCGATGAAGTCGTTCCATGAGTCGATAATAGGATTCCCAACCAGAACGGGTAATAATTCGCAACATTAAACGAGAATAGTCCCGAACATAATCAGATGCCTGATACATGTAATGAGTTGGATCGCTATGCCATTCCTTGAGCAGATCGCATTCAAAACGATGAAAGCGTTCATAGTCGGTATGAGCACAAGCAAGCGAGCAGTAACGCAGCAAGTTACAACAGGTCGAGTCCAAAACGGGGTTTGTATCCGAACTATTGATATTGGACAGGTCTGAAACAGCGGGGTTTTTTGTATCTGGCGATAAGGCGGAACCACCAGATCCGCTCATGGGAGAATTTGAAGAATTGGCATGTACGTGCGACTGTCTTACAGAAGAACAAGAGTAAGGCAATGGCTCACGTAGATGCTGTTCCACTGCCACTCCGTCTACCAAGACAGGCTGTTGATGACAATTGGAACACACCACCAAGAGTGATTTGGTATCCACCACAAACCCATAGGCATGACTTTCAAGTACAATCTGACCTGCACGAACAGAAGCACTGGTAAAGAAACAACGACCTTTTTGAGGATCCTGACGGACTTGCAGAAGGGCAGTCATGCAGTAGATGAGTGTAAAATAAATTCAAGATTGGACTGTAAATGCTTGCTGTTTGGCTGCTTCAAGGGAAAATGTTGATTTAAATTTGTAATCTCAAGTCTTGTTCAACCAAGTTTATTGCTCACACTATCGATCATGTCAATCTACACGAATTAAACTCGCATTAGAATCTCGGCAATGTTTTAAAAAAATAATCATATTTTGGTCTTTTCAAATATGTGCTTACAAGTCGGCTGTAACCTTATTTGGGTCTAAAATCAACTTTTGCTATTGCTCGTTATTGTACTGTTTATCAGATTGTTAGAAAAACTGTCCAGTTTATCGACAAACTCAATCTTCAAGTGTTGTAAAAATAATTGCTAGTACATTGCTTTTAGTTCAATATATGACAAGGAATGCATGCAGAGCTGTTTGCAAAGCATAGTATTTATTATGAATTGGTTATCTAGCAAGATTCGCTAGCTGAAAAAGCTTAATTTTGCAAGTCATGAATAAACCAACTAGTTTATTCATGATTTAAACGTCTCATTTTAAAGATATGTCGGCGATCTGGATAGATTTGCTGGAGTTACCAAATGAATATCAATTGTTTTATGAATCAATGGCTTATAAAAGTTTGTTGGAGTTGTTGTACCTAGTAACTAGAAATATATAGATATTAGAACAGTTACGAGCTTGGAAGATTTTTAGAAGCTTCTAGCTCTTTGCGTCGCTCTACCGCCTCGTCAATCGCCTGAAGATGCTGCTCAAGACTGGGCGAGTCATTTCCATGCTCCATTGAGTCGCCCCCAACAATCGATGTGTCAATGACGGGGTTCAGATGATCCATAGTCATTGAGCCAGATGTTTCCTTTTCAGAAAGCGAAAGTGCCATGGCAAGCTGCAACTCAAATTCCTGTTCTTGTGGAGATTTAATGGGCTGATGGGAGTAGTCTTGCAATGGATACTCACGAGTAGAACTATCGATTGACACTTTATCAAGCATTGGTAATGCAGTCGGTGAACTTTGACTTTCTGACGGTGACACGGCAGGATACTCTGAACTGACTAGTCCCGCAAGATCCTCTGCTGCTTGAGTGCCCATTGTCTTGACCTCTTTGAAAATACTTCCAAAAAACTGAGAGACCTGACCCGCAATGCGATTAAACTCTTTGGCCCCATTTGTTGTGGATCTTCCCCACTGTTGTCTTTCTTGCTGTTGTTGAAGCTGAACACTCTGCAACGACACGCCCCTTGATAAACCATAAAAACAATAGTCGCCAGTTAAAATCAAACACAAGGCGACTCGACAGACGACATGGTCACCTACATCTTCTCTTGCTCCTCTTCGGTCAGAGTAAGAGACTTGGCATTCATGTTGTAAATGAATGAAATCACTCCCATCTATTTGTAAATAATAGTTTCAGCATGTCATATCAGCACAAAACTAGTAAAGACTAGATTATATCAATTTCAGCAACATACCACATTTGTAATACAATACTGATTAGATCCTTGCTCAAGCTCATGTGCATTTCGAAAACGCATAATATATCTGTTTAGTGTTAGCATCACGTATCGGCTAGCAAAACATTCCATTTGTAAAACGTCATTAAAATATTTACTTGATGTTGCTAATCATTTTCGGAGGCTTGGCACGAATAAATACTAGAATCAATGTAGGCAAAAGATTGTCGTTTCCAGCATTGTCGCCTTCTGGATCGTTCCGCTTGATCAGATCTATTGTTTATTGTCAGGGTTAATTCAATTGGAAATAAGGTCTGGTGGCTTCTAATGTAGAACAAGTGTGGTCATCCTTAATCAATACATCACATACCGACAACCAATTGGAGAACATTTTGCAATATAACAAGCTTATCTCTCGGCGACTTGTATCCATTTATACGCAGCAGTTCAGCCTGTGCTACTTCAAGACTCAGATTAAATGAACATCCAATATCCAAGTGTCTTTCCTGTAATTTGATTCAATCCAAGTTGTATAATCCCAGTCAGAAACCACACGTTATGTACACCATCAATCGATACGTGAGACTAATACCAAGCAGTCTAGTTTAAACTCTACCAATTCACTTACTTCGATAAAACCAAACGTTTCAAACTTTTTCTCTAGAATCATGTTGGATTTATGCTCATCTGTGTTTGCTGCACAAAATACACGATCATAAACCTTGCTCATGACCAACTGGAATAAATTGACAAGATTAGAAACTCAATTATACTCTCAAGGTCTACAAGACTGCATAGTTTGGCTAGTGATACCAATTTGGCTGCTGTAACATGGACCAGATATGGAAAAACATTCTCTAGTTTGCAACTACCTTTTCCCAGCCTTCTTGGATATTTTCAACATCAACAGGGTCATCCTCTGTATCTCCCTGAAACGCAGCATGTGTGATAGATTCGGTGTATATATGTTCTAAAAACGAGCTGATTAGTTTTCGTTGCCCTTGCAATATGTTGGGATGCTCACTGAACTTTGTCAAAAACCTATTAGCAAAACAGTAATTTATATGATTAAATTGGCCAGATAACAGCTTAGAACTAGAACACAAGTAGCACTGTTCAACTGCATTGGTTCTTTGTAAGAACTGGAGCAAGTATCATTCATGCGGTATTTCTTACGCCTTGAGCTGAGCTGTCAGGTCGGCTCCATTCTTGTGCCGAAGTTGAGTAACAAATCGATCAAAGTCGACAGTCATGGAGTATAAATTGTGAGCAGTATTCAAGATGTGGTTGTTTCCTGTTTATTAGCCAAAGCAAGTATTGAATAGTTGAGATTCAAGTACAAGTTTTTGAAGTGGTTTGAATAGTAAACCATGCAAGGATTTATTCAATTAAAATGGCTTCTGATGTTAGGGTTCAACATGTATTATGTACCGACTCGAGGCAATATCATTGAATACGGCTGTAAATCTACCCAGCTAATAATATCTAAACAGTCAATCCAAAGTTAAATTCATTTGAATTTTCTAGATTTAAACTGTTGGGCTCATACAAATTGATAGTTTAAAGCATTTATATGCAAAGTGATGGCCCGAAACACTCATGATTTAAATTGGCTTTGACCATTGCCACATGGATACTGCAAATTTGAGCCGCCAAATCAACATCAAATAGATTCACTCAATTTTATCAAATAATTATATCTACACTTGAGCAATAGTTGCCATCTATCGCAACAGTATCTCCAATATTCAGATAAATACTTGTTATCGAGAACAAACACCTTTTAATCAAATGCCATACATCATTTCTGTGCTAGGCTTATTTTATCTTGTTCAAAAAACTCTCGGTGCATTTAGCGGAGCTGCTCGGATCTATGAAACCAACGAGACTATCCCCGTTTACTTTAACAAAGTCTTTTCGAATAATGGGAATATGGTTAGATTACTCTACTGGTTTGTAAAACTTTTTGTTGTAATACCTATTTCTGACTTTTATCTACTATATCTCAGCCATTTGCTTATGACGAACTCCCATTTGTGTGTTCACCAGCTGAGTTGTCGCGCCAATTACTTAATATTGTAAGACTTTTGAAATGGCATGAATCTATCTGACAAGGAATACTGGATCTAGCTTACTGAAAATCGTATAATATTGGCATTTATATCAAACAATTATGGCTACAGGATCAAATATTGCATGGCGACCGGGTTGTTAAATCAGATATCGAGGTTCAAGGATTGATTCAAAAACCTTGTAAATTGTTATGCTCTAAGCCAGTTCATCAAGTAGATATAACTACTATACGCCAAATGATTCAGGAAAACTACCTTGTAGAATGGTAATTCATTTACAAATAGACTTGTGTCATAGGTTTGTTCTATTTCAAATAACTAATTATTTCCTTTTTAGGATTATCGACGATTTACCCGGTGCTACTGTAAAGGTTGATATTGGATCTGCAGTTTCAAAAAAAAGTTACAAGCCAGGGTTTCCTCTTGGCTCTTACAATGAAAAGGCAAGTCAACATTAGCTCATAAATCTGCTATAAAGCTAGTTTATACTGATGTAAAGAATAGTACACAGTTCAACTTATGAGGCTTACTAATCGGTTTATTTGACTCTAGTTTGATATGTATGAGCTCAACAACCACTTGGTACTGAATATTCTCTACAACGAGCACTCTTTAGGGAATGTTGTTATTGTTGGATTTGAGGTCTATCCAGCAAGGCAAGTATACTCCGCTCTTGCATGCAATTACAAAAGTCGCGTCTGTTGCAATGCAATAAATCGCTTCACTGCACATTTTTCTATACTAACCAGGATTATATTATTGCTTGGTGTATCAGTGTCAGAACTTTTAGTGGGGCCTGCCAATCAGATATAAACCCACAGTCTGCTGTTTCCTTCTTTCTCCCAGAAAATGGACATACAAACATTGAGTGGTCTTACTCTATTTCATGGCAATTGGACACGTCGGTTGGCTGGTCAAACCGTTGGGATCGATACCTAGTTATCCAACAAAAAAGTGTTACATGGAACTCTGTAACCAATTCGCTGACCCTCGTGTTTATGCTGACAGCGCTTGTTGCCATTGTCGTTTTGTATACACTTAGCCGAGACATTTTACAATCCAATGATATTGAAAACCCCAACTGTCAAAAGGTATATTTTAAGCTTTGGCGCGATAGAAATCATATTAACTTGAAATTGTTTTAAATAGGTGTCTACCGACATCAACAAAAAAAACACAGTGGATTATGCTATTGGCTGGAAAGCTCTTCAAAACGATGTTTTCCGTTCTGTACAAAATAGTTGAGTCGTGCATACACGATTTAAGTTATATACTAGCTGTTTTAACAATATACTTTGAATTCACATTGTACTTGACAATGTAGATGGTCTTCTAGCAGCATTAGTCGGCGCAAGCATTCAGTTTATTATTGCTACAATTCTTACTGCAAGTAGGTGATGGGTGTGGTTTTGTGCTGATTGGACTTTTCGGTAAACTATTTGAAGAGCTATGATTAATTTATGATCTCAATCAGTTGTTGCTTCGTTTGGATTGTTTGGACCGGCCATAAATGGAGGCTTTATAACCGGTGGTTTAGTTTTTTATATATCCAGCGGGTAAGCTTTTAAATCATTATTGTTGCTTGTGTTTTTGGCGTGTGCTAATGATATGTATATAGATTTTTGGCAGGATACTCCATGTCCATTCTTTATAAATCGTTCCGTGGAGTGTCTTGGAAACGAATCGCCATATTGGTAAGTAGCTTGCGATATATGCTGCTTGTTTTTTAAAATGACTGACACCATTGCATCAATCGCTGACATCTAGACTGGATGCTTGATTCCAGCAACTATTTTAACCGTTGTGTTTTTGATCAATCTGGCAGTTTGGTGGCAAAAATCATCGTTTGCCATTCCAATTGGCACGTTTGTAGTTTTAAGTATGCCAATGCCATGCATGTATAGATTACAACGCAAGTTTATTTATCAGTCCATTTGAAATGCTAGTTTTTGTGTGGGTGTTTGTTTGTCTACCACTGGTCTGGATTGGTTCTCGAATGGGCTCGCTTCACAAGGTAACGGTCTGTTTAAACGTACTGATTAAATCAAAATACAACTTTAAACTGATTACACTTTGATATTTCACTGTTTTGATATTCAACACATGGTAGGGATATAAATTTCCAACAGGCTGTCGTCAAATCCCACGTCAAATTCCACAACAACCATGGTATCTTGATCCGGTTGGAATCATTCTTATTGCCGGAGTATTTCCGTTTGCAGTAGTCTATTTTGAGCTATCGTTTGTTTTTGATACCGTTTGGCAGATGCATCATATCCAGCACTTTTTTGGATATGTGAGCATTGTAAGTGTTTTGATGGGCCAATTTGAAGTATGCGTGATATCAGTAGAATAAGAGTGAAAGCTTAAACTGCCAATTTTTTATACTGTAGATTGCCATTCTTTTTTGTCTGACATGCATTGAAATATCCGTGATCATTACCTACTTGACTCTTGGTGCAGAAGATCATCAATGGCAATGGCGAGCATTTGCAACTGGAGCATCACCCACACTATACATTTTCGCATACTCTGTCCTATATTATATATTTAAATTTAGTTCTGATAAAATCATATCTGGAGTCATGTTCTGTAAGTTTAGACATGGATTGCATTTTGATTTTGGAATGATTGTGTAAATCAATGTAAAATAACTCTTGTTTTATTGACAATCCCGCCATTTACAGTCGCATATACTTTTGTCGGGTGCTTTATACTTGGGTAATATCTTGATTTTATTGTAAACGAATTTTTGAAACCAGAATTGACACAAGTTGCTCATTCATTTACAATCTAGTATTTGCATTGGAACAATGGGTTATCTGAGCAGCTTGGCATTTGTGTGTCATATATACAGTAGCATCAAGGTAAGCTAATGAAGGGTTTAATTATTAGGCATGTACATTACAAACATTATGTTTTCAAACTAACAATGCTGTATGATATGTAGATGGATTAGAATGAACTATAAAGGCTCATGTTGTTGGGTTGAGTTTATTTTTTAAATAAAACAAGCATCATTTCCCTATCAAAGCTTGGAAGCAGACTGGGTGTCGTTTTCAGGGATATACAAAACCATCTCGTATTCTTTCTGAGTGAACCCACATTTGACGTAAAAAGGAATGTTCTTGTCCGAACAATCCACTAATGTAAAAGACAAAGGTTAGCAATGTGTGGTTGGTAAATAAGCCTGCATGCGTATTCCATTGGACAACCGTGTTGACAGCTGTGATCAAAAGTAACAATACATACAAATAACTAGATGCAAAAAAAAGTTAATGAGACTGCACCGTTAAACCAAATATATGCACATGAACAAATTTAGACATACTTTTATAGCATCCGGTCTTTTTCCCAATGAATTTGAGTGTTTCAATAACAAGTTTGCCAAGATTCATGCCACGGTAGTCTGAACGAGTGACAATATCTTTAATAAAAAGAAATGTGATGAGTTTAAAATAATAGGTTGACCAAATGTCTAGATTTCAAACTCATAAAACATCTCACCTTCAATATGTCCAACCAAGCCATTGTTATGAACAAACTTGCGCTCTACAAGAATGGTTCCAGCTCCAACAATCAAAGATTTGACTGTATCTTCAATCACAATCGTAAAATATCTTTAAAAAATGTCAATATCTCGCTATTGTTTTTACAGTCGTATTCACACAAATGAAACACTAAATAAGAGTGCCATAATATATAATGAACAACTAGTCTCATGGTATGATCAGTGTTAATTAACTAGACAGTATTGTCTCATCTGAATTCGTTAAAATCCACTGCTCTAGTGATTGGCATAGAAACAACAGTTACATTTTCACAACTGCCATCACTGTTTTTTGAACTAGAACGCGAGTGTATGAGATTTTAGGATACAACAAAGTTGGATTTAATTGGCAACATCCAAACAGTCGAATCCAATATCTGGAGATCGTACAATGTATGGCTATACCAAAAAACAATCTCAGCTCAAAACTATAGTTTGATTGGATGTCATATGATGGAAGCTGTGTTTGAGAGAAGAATTGAAAATGCCAAGTTGTAGTGGGAAAGCGTAACGAGTAGTTGACCATTGCTATTTTGAGGCAATGATTGCAAAATAATACAAGTATTCCATTTTACGTGAATGTGGCAGTAAAATGTATACCTATTGTGTACTATTCCAATCTGCCAACGAAATGCTCTTTTAGCGATTGGAAATCCAATACACTTACTCATGATTATGAGCCTTCAAATAGGAATAGCGTTCCATAAATTGACCCTTTGACATTTTGCCTACTGTAGTAAGCATCCCGAGTGTTTCAAGAAACCCTTTTTGAGAAGCCAGTAAAATAAGTGAGATTGATTGGACCTTGTTTAATAAAAAGTAGCATAACCCTACCTTTTTCATAGTCATCTGGGTGGAGTGGTCGGACCACAAATCCAGGTTTTAGTGAATCCTGGACTTCGCACGATATGTAGCTGCTGGGGAATAGTCCTTGGAGCATCTAATCCATAGATATAGCAAGAAAAACAGAATCAGTAATCAAGTATAGATGTTTTAGAATAGCATGCATCATGATATAGTGAGCCAACAACACACTTTGTTCCTACACTGATGGTAAATGTCAGATCTAGTCGACAGTTTAATCGTAAACAAGTGAAATTACATCACGTGATGATTTGATAGGTTTTCAGCCTCAAGATAGACGGTTTGTATCAACCAAACAATCTGGCCATGACTTCTGTTCAGGATGCTATAGTGTGTATGATCATGTCAATTGTTTGATATAATGTGTAGATAATATGGCTAACTGTTATAATTAGCGTAATGCCAATGCTATAACTGAGATCCAGCGAGAAGCCTGTACTATCTGTAGCAAGGTAGTTTATCCAATGGATAGGCTTAGTGCTGATGACAAGGTATGATGGATGCTATTTACAAATGCGTTTGTTAGCCAGCAGGGTGGCTTTTTAATCTTTATATTTTGTCTGTATATACGGTATATAGGTGTTTCATAAGACATGTCTACGCTGTGGCCACTGCTCCAAAGTCCTTTCAGTAAGACTACTAATCATTGTATCGGTCTTGAGATTGATAACACCCACCCGACACTACATATCGCGTCTAGTGATGGTTGATTTTGCGTGTTACAACCGTATCCACGTAAAATGGAACACTATTTTGCAGACTACTCTGCTTTGGAATAGACAGTGGTTGGATATGTGCTGCACGCCTTCCTATTGAAGATTGACGGCTTTGATAGACGCAACGTCCATCATGGATACAATCAAACTACAGTTTTGAATTGGAATCCTCATTTGGCACAACCACATTATACGATTACCGAGTTTGAAACTAAATTCATTCGCTACAACCCAGTGATTGGGCTAGACTGTTCTGATGTTGTCAAAACCTGTACACACCCATTTTTGTTCAGTAAGCTGACACCAATCATTCCATAAGACTGGCTGTTTACCATGCCTTTCATTTTACGTGAATACGACTGTAATAATTGGTGGCGTGTGTAAACGCTTTATTTCTAGCAGATTGATCAGTGTGAAAACTAATGAATTCATAACTTTTGTATGGCAATATCTGTATAGTTGGGAAACTACGCTGCTTTAAACGGAGTGTTTTATTGCAAACCTCATTTTAAGCAGTTGTTTGCTCTCAAAGGAAATTACTCGGATGGATTCAAGGCGAGTGAAGGCACCAACTCATCGGTCAGTACTCATTTGATATAAAACTATTTTACTTTTTGTTGGCTCAAACCTTTCACAGTCATGTGGCCAATACAAAGACTCCAATAGTACGCATATTCAAACATTGCATACCAAATTTAGACCGAAAATATTGTTTTGGTTAATTATGCTCGTTGATTTTAACTTTGCTGTTGGGTTTAGCCTCCCGGAACACCGGATAGTTCAAGTCGTCCACGTCCAATGACATGGCATCCATCTCGTGGGCAATCACAGGATAGTTCATCTCCAGCTTCTGCTAATAAAGCTGCCAACGTAGTTCAGTCTAGTGCAGATAACAGTCCTACTATTCCAGAGGTTACTGAGGCTTTACCCGCTGTTAGTGAAAATACACAAACCCAGCCCCAACCTTCAACTGGGCTACCAACTGCTGCAGAAACCCTTGCAGCATCAGGATCCTCTGTTACTGATGTGGCAAAGCGTCTGGAAGCTCTTTCTTGCGAAAATTCCACTGAAACTGCCAATCTGAGCACTCCGGAAGCCATCTTATCCCGATCAAGCTCGCAGCTTGTTTTGGTATGTGTTGTCAGCTTTGAATTTGCTTAAACGGTAATTTTTTATTAGGATGGGCATTTTGACACATTCACGGTTTAATTCATAGATCAAGGAGGACGAGCTTAATTCCTTAAAACGGGAAGTAGAAGTAAAGGAGCGAGAACTGGAAACCTTGCGTGCTTTGGTATGCTCAAAAGAGAGCGATCTGCAAAAGCTCAAACAAGCTACCTAATTCTTTACTTACAGCCGTATTCACGTAAAATGGGACACTTGTATCTTGCAGTGACCGCCTTGATTTTGCTTTGGAATAAACAATGGTTCAATACTTGCTGCACTTGTTGGAGATTGACTGCTTCAATAGACACAACATTCATCGCAGATACAAACTATAGTTTCAAACCTGCTTTTTTTGATATAACCATACATTGTACGAGCACCAGACTTGCCCATTGCAATAACCAGGAGAAACACCAGTAAACTTTGTCAACTACATTACTACAACTAGATGTTTTATTTCTACAATTTCAATACTTAGCCATTTTGTTGTTCCACCAGTATATGCGGATTGGGCTTGTATCCACCTTTTTCAAGTGTGTTGAGCAATAAACGTTCCAATTTGCGAATCTAATAATCAACAATTTCCCCAGTTTGATTAGTATTGACTATAGTAGACATTTGGAAAAGACAAGCAATGGAAACATCAGCTGGATACATTACTAACATGTTTTGCCATCCAATTATCATTCTTTTCGGTGACTATCCTGTTAATCAAAATTGCATATGCACCCATACGAGTTGCATACAAAATATCGGTAGAAATGCGATCTCCAACGAATATAATCTCGTGTGGCTGGCATCTAAAGTGAGCGACTAGTTCCTGACCGCCGGCTGGTTTCTAGAAACAATAAATTTTTATATTTAATGCCAATGTTGAGGAACACAAGCAGAATAGGGTCTGTGGACTGGCCAAGACATTACCTTTTCTGCATGACGAAGAACCCGTACACCTGTCATTGAGCAATCGTAAAAACACTTAGTGTCCATCATACAAGTGATGTATATTGTCTAGTTCACAATCAAACCTACCAAAAGCCTGTTCTACTTTACTGGCCTAAATAATAAAGAAAATGCATATTTAAGATCCGCTTTCGCAAAATAATGCAAATACATCGCCTACCTCTACGTAATCCTTGTCGTCAGAGCTACCAGCAGAGTTGGATACTATTGCTACATTGACTGAGCCAAACGTATATAGACAATCCGACCATGAATCCTACACACATTGTTCGAGTGTAAACATACAGTATAATCAAGAAAATTACATTGACATGATTGACTTGAACACAAACCTGCAAAGGTGGATGGATTTGGTTCACATAAGGTGCAGCAAGAGTATTGTCTTTATCAAATGCAATAGCCTTGAATCCAGCTTGTTTTAGACTGGAAAAGGGAATCGAGTTTATATCTAACAAGATTCAGATGGGTTAATTAGCATTCATTATTGCCTAGGTTACACTAAAAAAAACATACCGTCTACAACCAAGTGGGGCATGGCCATGGAGGGCCGACGCAGCAGCGAGAATACACCTCGCAGCCCAGCAAAATTGATGCTCTGAACCATATATTTAGTGGTGGTTTACACTCGGGAGCTGGGAAATGAACTCCAGACTAAACTAATAAAGCCACGATGGTACGAATGCTTAGCTGTAGTACTAAGTTTCAAAGCTAAAGTAGCTGCATCTCTACTGCTGCCAATCTTGGCCAATATTCATGCAAGCCAGATCTCACTGCAGTCTGTGGTTGGTGGAATCAACATCTACGCTCATTGGCTAGATATGTGTCACGTGAAGACTGGTTTAAATTTCGGCTTTCCTTGAGCTCAAATCTTGAAATTCAATATTTTTTTTAGTTTTCATTTGCCGTACCAATTAATAATGCCAATGGCCAGTGACAACTCCGTTAACAAAAGACAGGCATTGGATCCCGTTGTTAAAGATGTTAAAAAATCAAAAACTGAGATTGATATCAATCAGCCCACTATAGATGGCTTGTCTGCCAAGGAGTTGTTTGATGTCAGGATTTCTGGTGGTCTAACTTACAACGACTTTCTTATTCTGCCTGGATACATTGACTTTCCCGCTTCTGCTGTGTCTTTAGAAACTCGAATTACTCGTCGTTTCACTCTCAAAACTCCATTCATGTCTTCTCCCATGGACACTGTCACTGGTATTTTTTTCATTTTTTCAGCCATTTGGAATTCATGACATGTGGCTGCTGAATTCAATTTTATTATAAACTGGACTTTCTGATCATGCATCTACTTTTAATTTTGCATATGGATTTTAGAAACCAACATGGCAATCCACATGGCACTCAATGGTGGTCTTGGTGTCATTCATCACAACTGCCCTATAGAAGAGCAATGCGATATGGTGCGCAAGGTCAAGAAATTCGAAAACGGCTTTATCACTGATCCCAAGTGTCTTTCTCCCTCTCACAATGTTCAGGATGTTCTCGATATCAAGCGCAAGTTTGGCTTTTGTGGCATCCCCATTACTGCCGATGGCAAAATGGGTTCTCTTCTTCTCGGCATCGTCACTTCTCGCGATATTGATTTTCTTCAGAGTGACAATGACCAGCAAAAACTTCTCAAAGACATCATGACTACCGATTTGGTTACTGCAAATCAGGGAATCTCTTTAGTAGAGGCAAATAGAATTTTGTCAGAATCCCGTAAAGGTAATTGCTTGTATTTATGTGCTGGCATGTCTTGAATCTATTTGGCTCACAATATTGACTGGATATTAGGAAAATTACTCATTGTTGATGCAAATGGCCACCTTACTGCTCTTCTTGCTCGATCTGATCTGATCAAGACTCGTGATCATCCTCTTGCATCCAAGCGTGATTCCCGCCAGCTCCTTTGTGCTGCTGCCATTTCTACCCACAATGAAGACAAGATTCGTCTGGCAGCACTTGTTGCTGTTGGCTTAGACATTGTTGTTCTTGACTCGAGTCAAGGCAACTCGTCGTTTCAAATTGAAATGATCAAATATATCAAAAAAACACATCCTCAAATTGACGTCATTGCTGGCAACGTTGTTACTACAGAGCAAGCCCGTAACCTCATTCTTGCTGGTGCAGATGCTCTTCGTATTGGCATGGGATCTGGATCCATCTGCATTACTCAAGAAGGTAAACTATCTAACAGTGCCAATTTTAAAACTACGCATCTAGTTTGATGCACTCTAAATAACGACATGTATATTTCTTAGTCATGGCTTGCGGTCGTCCACAGGGAACAGCTGTATATCGCGTTGCACAATATGCACGTCAATTTGGCATACCTGTTATTGCAGATGGCGGCATTTCAAATGTTGGTCACATTATCAAAGCCATTTCTCTTGGTGCTTCTGCTGTCATGATGGGATCTCTTCTTGCTGGCACCACCGAGTCGCCAGGCGAATACTTTTATAATGACGGCCAGCGACTTAAAAAATATCGTGGTATGGGTTCTCTTGATGCTATGGACAAGGGTGATGCCGCTGGAAAACGCTACTTTTCAGAAAAAGACAAGGTCAAGGTTGCACAAGGTGTCGCCGGTGCTGTTGTTGACAAGGGTAGTGTCAAAAAGTTTGTTGAATACCTCTACGCCGGTCTTCAACATGGCCTTCAAGATATTGGTGTCAAATCAATCAAAGTCCTTCAAGAGCATGTATCTCAGGATATTATTAGATTTGAAAGGCGTAGCCCTTCAGCCCAACTCGAGGGTGGTGTTCATGGTCTGCATTCATTTGAGAAACGCCTTTTTCAGTAATACACTACAATTTTCATTTTCATTGTTTTATCCAAGTGGTGTCTACGTGTTAGTTCATTTATTCCAATACTATGCGTGGCAGTCATTTCTAGATATACCAGCTTTTTAGTCATTTTTTCATCCATTGTTCAATCCATTGGTAGGTAGCGTGTCGAGTGGTTGCGCTTCCCATTCCTACAGTTGGAATGACCTTGTCGACATTCATTTTTTGTACAAAGCACTTTAATTCCTCAAACGAAGAGTGCTCAGAATAGGGTAATGGAATAAGCGTGATGTTGGGCGACAACCATCGTGGTTTAAGAGATGCAATAGAAAATTGCGATGGCGATTTGAGTTTTTGAAAAGTCCAGCCCGTTGGACGAACAGCAATAATGCTAGTAAACCTACCTTTATATTTATCCAGCATTCCTTCTAAGCTCTAAATCCACATAAAGTGGTCAATAATCAAATCAAACCAATACACTATTAGCAAATTACGAATAGCAATGTCAGCACAATTGACCAAAAGCTTACCGTTTTGTTAAGCTGCATCATGGTGCATAGATGAACATTGGCTTCCTCTGGTTGAGAAACAACCAGTCTGTCAAGATCAGGATCCTCTAAACAAGCCAGTACTCGTCGTTTAGTCGCATCAGCATAAATCTTGCTAGATATAGCCTTGGACATGGCGAGAAACACTTTTTCCTTGCCAATGGTGTATGTCCCAACAACCACGAGTATTTTGCAAAGCGGTGGTCGCACTCGTGTCAAGTAGTGTGAGTTTGTTCCAGAACATTGATGGAGATTGTCACCAGTCAACCAATTTCTTAAAAATTCTGAACTCGAGTTTGAATGTTTTGATGCTGGACTGAGAAACTTTGTCATGGTAGAACGATTCACAAGGGACTGGATTGATTTTCCAGATACAGCACCTTGGATAAGCTCACATATGGATGCAATAACCGCATCCTGTAATGGAAATATGTATTTTGGGTTACAATAAGTCGTGTCAAGATAAATCTCATCAAGCCTGATCAAAGGTTTGGAAAGACTACAATCTGGTATTGATTTAGATTTTCGGGAAGGATTAATGATCATGGGCGAATCCGAATTCACGCACAATGATGGATGTGTAAAATGAGACGAATGCACACGAAAATCGCCAGTATGAAGAACATTGCGATTGTTTTGCATTGCATCAACTGATGGGATCTCAAACAAAATTATGACTGACCCAGGACAGCTAGTAGAAAATAGTATCATTGTCAATACAGTCAAGATAACCCAAAAACTATTTAAAATCTACAACACAATATAATAGTAAAACTTACTGATTCGCATCAATAAACGTTACTTGAATTCCTTGAATCTCTGTCCGTGTGTTCAAAGGGATCGTATGCAACATTGATCGATCAACACCAAGTTGCTGGGCAACAAGATTTGCAGTAATATGTGAACAGTAAATTGGTCCGCTGTTGAAGGATTTCTTTAGTCCGCCATAGTGATCGGAGTGAAAATGGGTTAAAAAATACGCTGTGCATCCAGGAATAACGCCATAGCAAAATGCGTCCACAGTAAAACTGGTTTCTGAAATGTGTTTATACCACGGGCATTTGCTTGAACCCAAAGCATATTGGGACACGGATTGTTTCTGTTTGACTGGCTCAAGAATTGGAGATGGTTGATGCATTTGAGAGGATAATGAAAAGGCTTTTGTAGATGTGGCGAATGAGGTTGTGGAGTTTTGGTCTGGCGAATTGCTTGATGCATGATTTTGCTTGAATGATGGCAGAGTATCGTCTGTGTTTACAGATGATACAAAATGACGATCAGATTCATTGCTGGATGTCGCACAGGGATTTGATCCGTGCATAGTAACATATGAATTGCCAGACACGCTCTGTTCATTTATGTTTTGAAGTGCATCCAGACATGCATTTACATGTTGTTCAAGCTCTGCCAGACATAAATTAGGTTGTAATTGTAAGCAAACCGGACAAGTCGATTGGTCGTTTACTATCTGCCAGTTATTGGGGAAAGCCGCTGACTGCATAGTAGTGTCATTATTGTCCGAATCAAATCTTGCAAAATCTTGGAGTATTTCAACAGAGTCTTGTGTTTCCATTGAAGTTTTGGATAATGAATGCAATGGACTATGTCCAAACGACGAGGCAGAGCCAATCGGAACAAGGTTGTTATGAACACTTTCAGTATTGAATAAACCAGTGTTTGTAGTAAGAATATCTTCAACAGGATATATACTGGTGTCTTCAGTTACAGTAGCTGTTGGCTTTGGCGACATTGTTTTTATAAAAAGCGACTGCACTGACATCCGTTGCAGCTTTTGCTGTTGATTCAATGCCAGCTGCTTGGGTTGTTTCTTTGTTGCCTTTCCAGCCATATTAAAGTATGTATAATGCTAATAGGCATCAAATGCCACCACACAATAACGATCGAGATATGCAAGGTTTTCTTGAGAAATCTCGAGAAAACATTGCCGTCTGGACAACAGCAATTTTGCCAGCATGATTGCCAGTTCCTCAGGTAAAGTAGCCGACAATTCATAGTTTATTTCTGAAAAACACCCAAAATTTAATCGGTTTGAAATTCAATATCAAGTAGGTTATTGACTGTTTTTATTGTTTAGTCTCGCAGTAAACTAACTATCAAAGCAATAGTAGCTACACCTTATAATTGGATTCTACACAGTTGTCAAGGCATCAAGTCGCGTCTGACCAACAAATACGACTCGAGATAGCTGGATTATCGAGGTATTCACCATATTACTCTCGACTCGCAAATATTCAGTTAAAAACTTTGTTTTCACGTATAAAACACTTTATCAGCAGTTATATATTGTTCGTATTGTAGCATATTTATCAACATCTAACATTACACTGTCCTGTATTCCTTTCAGATCATGGAGCACTATGAGAAAATAGGACCCATTGGTGAAGGTACATATGGAATGGTCATGAAATGCCGACATAAAGAAACTGGCCAAGTTGTTGCAATCAAAAAGTTTAAAGAAAGCGAGGATGACTTGCAGATTCGGAAAACAGCATTGAGAGAAGTTCGCATGCTCAAGGTAAACCCATCGTATTTCAAACATGGCTCATTACTATGAATCGTTGTCATCAAATATTTTAGCAATGTGGAGTTGGTTTAAATTCTACATGTACTGTTTTTGGATCTCTACCCATACCGAGAAAACTGGACTATATACTCGAGTAGCTTGACAAAAGTTTGAAACCATTCATTTGTACCAAGACATCCATTGTCTGCTTTAAAAAATATAAATCTAACCATGTAGTGTTTCATGTTTTTATAAATTGTTGAATACGTTGGGTTCAATCTGTAAAGCAACTCAAAAATGAAAACATTGTCAATTTGATTGAAGTGTTTCGACGCAAAGGGAAATTATATCTGGTTTTTGAACATGTAGATCACACGATTCTTGAAGATCTAGATCGGCATCCAAATGGCCTCTCGGATGATCGTAATCATGGAACTGTTCGAAAATGCATGTGGCAGCTACTTAAAGCAATGGATTTTTTACATTCACACAATGTAAGTGTATCGAATTGATTTTAAATTTGTTTAATTTGTAGATTTGGTCGATTTTAATTCAAACTGATTGCATGACAGGTTATTCACAGAGATATCAAACCAGAGGTGAATTCACTTATGGTGACAGCACAGTGCTTTTTGTATACTAGATACGATTCAAGCTAATTGTGATTTTAAATGGATCATGATAGAACATTCTAGTGTCGATTAATGGAGTGGTCAAACTTTGTGATTTTGGATTTGCTCGGACATTAGGCGAGATATTTGATGCTTTACAAATTGTGCTTTACCACTTTGGAAAACCATTCAATGTTGACTATGTCAAGATAAAAGTCTAAACATACTTAAATGGCACTCATTACTATGTTTAATATTAGCTGGACCCGGAGCCAAATATACTGATTATGTGGCGACGCGATGGTATCGAGCACCAGAACTCTTAGTAGGTGATACAGAGTATGGCAAAGCCGTGGATATCTGGGCAACCGGGTGCATTTTTGCAGAGATTTTGACTGGACAACCGTTGTATCCTGGTGACACTGATATTGATCAACTCTATCGAATCATGAAATGCCTTGGCAAGTAAATATGCATTCAAACTATTTGTAATTCACTCGAGACTATCTATCTAGTATCTACAACATCCAGTCTCGGTTATTCAAAACATTGGTCTAAACCCTTGCATTTTTAAATTTCATAGGGCAACTAACCAAACGACACACGGAGATCTTTTTAAAAAATCCACTTTTTGTTGGCGTCAGAATCCCAGAGATTGGTAAAATGACACCGCTTTCTTCCAAACTTCCACATATTTCCTCATTGGCCATGTCATGGTTGCAGGTGAAAATATAACTTGTATGGATAGAATCTATACAAACTATACTCTAAAATCAATGTATTTTGAACTTGTAAATAGCAAACATTGATTTATGACCCGGACGAACGTGCCACTACCAAACAGCTCATGGCACATCCATATTTTCAAGAAGATAACTTTTCAAACAGATTCGAGGCAGAGATTCGGCAAGTGATTGATATGGAAAAAGACAAAGATCAGTCGGAACGGTTACGTAAAAAAAGAAGCAAAAAGGTATGCTTTGGACTGTTGTCTCGAGTTTAAACGATGCTTGAAAATTTGTTTTTATTTGCAACCACGACTAAATGTATATTACCATCAGCACCCTTCTTTGCAATATTCAGACCAGCAACGCACCACCCAGTCAAGAAAAAGCGATCGTTTTCAACCAGAAGATGGCGATGGCCAAGTTTCTGGAAAACGAAATATTTTGGAAGATGAAAGGTATTAAATCTGATGGCTTTGTATCTTTGAATGATTCAATAGTATCTGTATCAAATACACCCAATCTCTTGGCTAAGTTTGAAGTTTCCTAATAGTTATACAGCGTACTAAACAAAGTACTCCTTGGTATGCAATTTATATACTGTAACGACAGAAATGGCATGTCAAATACAATTCCACCCATTCACCAGCAGTCAAAACCCCACTATTTTAATTCTGGATTTCCCATAGCATCAAATTGCGGAAACAACATGACTACTGGTATGGGAACCAGCCATGTAAGTCACTTGGGCGGGTTTTCTATGCAATCTAGCATGGGACAGCACGGAAACACATTTCCAATAACGGGCGGTATAGCCAGCAGTCAAGGTGGTAACATTCCATCAGGTGGCGGCAGTGTCGTGAGTGGAACAGGATTAGGACTAGTATCTCAAATGCCTGGCAATCCCAACATAGGAAAAAAGAAACCAACTCAAACACAATCCACTATAAGTTTTCCAAAGATTCCTATGCCAAGTATTCAGCCAAACGCGAGCATCTTAATCAAAGGATCCGGCGGAGGACAATCAAATTTCCATCCCATGAACATGCCAAATTACGATGATGGACGTAGTGACTAAATGATGGTTTAGCCACTTTTCTAACTAAACTCATGCATTTGGTTTCTTGTCGTACAATGTCAATACTATTGAACACTAGTAGTTCACTTCAAATTGAGACACTCGTTTCAAAAAGATTTATGTGAAATATTGTGCAAGTGTCTGTAGATGAGTAATGATTCAGAAACCCAAGAATAAATTTTGACAATCCAATGCACCAACGAGATTCCCAGCATTAATTACAATGTTATTCCACACAAAGTTGATGGATTAGTAAATACAGATTTTAAGATATGCTTTAAATACACGATCCAAACTTGCCTTTGAAACACTGAATTCAGACACCAAACCAACGTCATTAACATCCAATGCAAGTGTTTGCGAGACCGAATCAAACGTCTTTTGAAAGTCTTGTCGCTTTTTGTCGTTTTCATCCAAAAGTAAGTCTTGCAACCAGCTCTCGTATGTTTCCTTTGGCTTGGTTCCATCAGGATGGCGTTGATCTTCGGGACATGCAGAAAATACATTAAAAAAGCGCTCCAAATTTGGTCCTACTTCCAGTACCGATGCCATATTCCCCACTCTATAACAGTAGTTGGGTGCTGACCAAACAGTTGAAAGCATGTCGTCAAATAGTATTTGGTATCCTTCCATACAAAGCTGGTGTGCTCTGCAAATATGTCCAAGAGAATTGATTTCCAAAAATCGACGTGTGATATCTTCTCCAAATACGTAGCCAGCTCCTCGTGGAGATATAGCAAAACCACCGCTGTCATCAAGTTTGCTAGACTGAAATGGGTCTGACCAAACCAAATCTGCCATGGGTCCATCATGTGGTATTTCTAAGTTTTTCCAATAAATTGTGATTTGTCAGTTAGATTAACCAAAGTCAAATGATTGTAGTGTAGATCTATTCAAATGTAATAGTTTCAGTAAACACTACCTCTGAATCTATCAATTACTCTAATTTGATCCAATGTATGAAGGGATGGACTAAGACCTGGGATTTAAAGAGTGTTTTCCGGTTAGTATGCTTTCAAGTAAATCAAGACTATTAAAGACAAGACACTCCAAATCATTGATACTGAATAGTGACGGAATTACCTCCATGAACACACAGAATAGAGTCGCTAATAACAACAGCAAGTACCAAGTAATCAAACAAATCGGTGAAATACGACCATACATTGGCACTACCATACTTTTCCAAGCATTCAGTATAAAAGCCATATGTCTGAGTAACAGTGCGACTTTCATGATTTCCTCTAACAAGAGTGACTCGATCTGGATATCTGAGCTTCAAACACATCAGTAATGTGATGGTTTCGACAGAATAATAACCACGATCCACATAATCACCCAGAAAGACATAGTTTGTGTTTGGACAAAACCCCCCAATGCGGAAGATCTCCAACAGGTCATAAAACTGCCTGCAGTCAGTGGATCGAATAGAATAGTGAGTTCAAGTGCAATCAAACGGTCAGACACACCACTTGATGAATTCATACAAAGAGTATTTACCCATGAACATCTCCTACAATGGTGACTGGAGCCTGAACCTCGCGCACATTGCCTTCCTGAACTAGAACTTCTTTGGCCTTGGCACACAACTCTTTGATGTAATTCTCTGGCAAAAGTTCTCGTTTCTGTGCACGACTAATGCATTCTTCCAAATCCCATGCCATGACCCAACTTTACACGATTGATAGTAAATCCAAGCGAATAGAGTTGAAATCAAATATGGCAAGTTGAAATCAAACAAGATTTTCGATAATCAAGTTTAACTCGACTCTGACCATTATCAGTGACTTGAATTGGCTGGCACATTACTTGATTTTAAATGGCTTATAGAAGAGTGGGAATTCATGGACTGCAGCAGCAGACTAGAAACAAGGTATTTGCAAGCTATGCACGGATGAATTAAGCTCCATGTATTTATTATTGATACAACTTGTGCAATTGAACACAAACAGGAAGAGTTTCAAAAAGCAGGAGAGGCATTGGCCATACAGCAACTAGAGCAGGTATATTTCATGCAGCTGTTTGCATAAAGTATTTCTAGTCGGTTCTTGTGATGACAAGTTATTTCGTTTAAACCGGATTGTTTTATGATGCTGCATGTTGAACTCACTATGTCGGCATTGCTTGCATATACTTAGATGAAGAATCTGTTGGCTACATTCAAGACTAATCTGGAGGAATTTGCTACCAAACACAAAAAGGACATCAAGAGAGATCCAGTATTCCGCATGCATTTCCAACGCATGTGCAATAATGTGGGTGTAAATCCGCTGGCTTCTAATAAAGGCTTTTGGTCCGACATTCTTGGGTTTGGCGACTTTTACTATGAATTGGGTGTCCAGATTGCAGAGGTTTGTCTAGCTACTCGTGAACGAAATGGAGGACTGATCGATCTGGGCGAGCTCATGCAATTGGTAACTAAAATGCGAGGCAAGACTGCTCAAGCCATTTCCATGTATGTTGGATTGGTTTCATCGATTTAGCATGTATTGGATCAGCTTATAAGTTTATATAAACAGCTAATTTTATGAATACACGCAGGGATGATATTATACGGAGTATCAAGGCACTCAAACCACTTGGAAACGGATTTGATATTGTCACAATCGGAAGTCGAAGTATGGTACAATCAGTTCCTCGAGAGTTGGATGGTGATTCAACAAAAGTACTCTCGCTTGCCGAGGTACGCTATTTCCAAATGTCATCTATCCAATGCGCTTTCACAACAATATTGGCTAAATATGATTGAATCCATTCTAAACTACCAACTTTATTTTTTAGAGTAAAGGATATGTTAGTGTGCAGATGGTCAAATCCGATCTTGGCTGGGAAGATGAACGCATTTCAAAAGTACTGGTATGTCATTGTATTCATTAAACAGTCTGTAGCAGCTTATCTGCCAACAGTCATTCAATACAACTAACACTTGTGCTTAAATCTTTGAATCAGCAAACCATGCTTAAAGATGGAATATGTTGGATTGATACACAGGATCGAGTTCATACATATTGGGTATCCGGGTTTTTTGGCTGAATGTATAAACTTGTGGATACAATGCACTTTGACAAAGATTAAATATGTTCAATTTTAATAAAAAATAATGTTTAGGCTTGAATTGTGGGTTCCAATACTTTTCATCCACTTCCTATCAACAATATCTGTAGTTGACTATTTTTTAATGATGCCATTCACTCGACTGCCACACACGCGAACAGTTTATCGATTTCCTGAACAAGATCCAGTCGCGGTACACCTTCCAACGAATGTACATTGTTTAAATCATTATTGACAGGGATACGCACAGTGGGAGGTGGCGGCGGTGGAAGACGACGAGTTGGTGCAGGTTCCGATGGACCTTTGACGAGTGCAGCGGTTTGATTTGCTCCAATTCTCTGTTGCTTAATAATGGACAGCATGGGTGGGTTGGAAGGAGGAAGTGGAACACTGTTTAGTCCAAGTCCGTCGAAATCATTCATTCGGGACAGTGAAGTTGGAGAGAATTTGCTTCCTCTCTGCGACGAAATTGTTCCCGACTTTGATGCGGTGGGTGTATAAGAAGGATATTTGAGTGAAACTGGCGATTGTGTGTTTGAGCTATAACCAAATGTGGCAGCCTTGCTGGTCGTGTACGACTTTGTTTTGAGCATATCATCGCGAGAACGTGGGTGATCGACCCTATCCAGCATGGAGTAAATACTGCCGTGGGTGGGAGAGTTGGGAAGACATGGTTTTTCATCCGCTGCAACAGCAATGGGTGGTGCAGAGGGTATAGATCCATCGCTAATGCTTTGTCGAGAGGATGTCACAAACGTATCTTGACGGTCGTCAAATTGATTCAAGTCACAGTTGCGCGTATCTTCAGCCTTACTCATTTCTATAGACTTTGAATGGTTTTGTTCAGGCTTAAGTGCTTGTTGTGCTGATTCATCATTTGAAACAATATCTGCAATATTCAGTTCAACAGCAGGCATTTTTGTGTAAAATGAAGCAGGATGAAGAATGGTAATTGGAAAATCTAGCCGAATCTTGCTTTGTCCTTTAAGCGTGACTTTTACCTGAACAAAGAACGACACATCAATCAATCGACCATTTGAAATAGACCGTGAGATTGTGGGAACATTTATATCAAGTACAAAAGATGTCGATGCGCCAGGTTTGACACCACTCCAGATCTCGAATCCTTTTGTGTTTTGTGCGTTTTTGACGTTATCGTCTACGAAACCGCCTCCTTGGAATTTACTAGAAAGCGTAGCAATACCTGAGTTTAAGGGAATGCTGGCCGTTTCAAGCTTACGGCGTGAAACTACCGTACGAACAAATGAAAGCATAGTAATCGATCCTCTATCATCATCAATATGCCTATTAGGATCATGATTGTTTGAGGGAGCAGCAACGTAAGAAAAGGTCTTGACACGCCTAATAAGCGACACACTCAATTTGGTAACAGGCTTAGCCGAACCGTTTTGAATATCAATCCCTACAAACCCAATTCCACCACTTAGCCAAGTTCCCGTGTCAATAGAGTTATCAGCTTGTGGTACTCGAATAGAAGCTGCCAATTTGACATTCCCCTTTTTTCCAATATTGAGTAGATTGGGTTTAACTTCACTGCTGATTTCCTTGAATAATGGAGATGTTGGTGGAAGCATGGACGAGAATTGTGTTTGGAGCTGAAAATGTGCTGATTCCACTACATTCACATCGCGATACGAAGCGATTGGGAAGCAATCTTTAGATTCAACTTTTGGGTACACAACTCTAAATATGCAATATCATTTTAGTAAAAATGTGAGTTCATCATCAACTCAATAGGTTGGGTACTACACGTTTTGATCAATATAAGCTGGACATACCCGGCAACAATGTATCGAATTCCACCTAGCCTTTTGTTCCAGTATGAGCTAGGCAAAATAACACCAGCATTTTGCTCAGTATAGATCCAGGGGTTACTGGTTGTGTCGGATTGTATCTCGATTGAAAAATTGAGAACTGTTGTGCCTTTTTTAGCTCTCCACATGCCATTCTCATCAGGCGAGCTGGCATACACGGCATCCGTTGGAGCACGTGTCACATCTTGTAATAAAAGCCGTTTCGATAAAAACAAACGTTGATTGGGTTTGTTGGTTTTTTGGGGGAATGTTTCTACGAGTTTACAGTGCATTTGCGTGTTAATAGACTCGATAAAACAATAAGCATGTCTAAACTAGATAGAACGTGCACTTTTGAAACATGCATGCATATATCTTGTGCTAGATACATATAAACATAGACTGCTACATGAACCACAAGATATTACCTTCAATGCCAATAAGATAGACATGAATTTTTCCTATTTTTGTGTGTTCATTCTCCTTGGTGCAAGACACCTCAATTTTGCCAGTAACTGCCTCGCCTGTTGTAAACAATGTTTTGGACAGCGACACATTTGTCGAGATGTGTTTCAACGATGAGCGCACTTGGCGCGGATAGTACTCAAATGGTGGTATCTTTGATACAGGGTTAGATATAACAAATTCAGAAAGCTGGCGTGGAGTGAGGCTTGCTTTGCCATCTTGCTGAAGTTGAGACGAAATTCTATGAGGACTACTTGTTGTAGTGTCACAATCTTCATCAATGGAATCCGAAGTATCGGCATAGGTGCGACTTTGGCGAGCTCCTGGAAGTGGATTTGAGTGCCAATCTGACATGATTGTTTCTTGTTATGGTGTAGTTGAATGGACAGGGCTGGAACTTTAGGTCATTGCGATATTTATTGAATCTATTGTCTTTGTTGAAAATAACAATTAAACCTTGGCCCAAGTAGGGCCACGTTTCAAGCATGGACCGCGTCGCACTATGTTGTCAATAGCGATGGGGGGTATCTGGTGTTTGTAAGGAATAGGATGAGCAATGTTATAAAATATATCAAGCATGATGGGTGCTACACAAATATACTCCTACGCTATAGCTATCATGTAAGCACCAAATCCTTGGGCATCTACCCATTCCAATTATCAAATAGCTGAGTGATGGGTCGACCCATTCATAATCATGCCAATCCAGGCTTAGTAGTAGAAGCCCACCAAAAATCAATACTCCAACAGTAACCAATAGACCAAATGTATAAATTCTGCTTATTCATTCAACTTATTCTTGTGCCCATATATTTTCATACTCGGGCCGCATATGTCTGCCAGAGCCATTGACTTCCAGCGATATTGCTGTTGCGAGTGTCTCTGATCGTTTAAGCATACTTTCTGTAATAAAATCGCTAAGATGGCTAATATTTGAAGAAAGGTGGAGCTCTCGAATGCCACGTGGGTCAAGCCATGCCAGTAATTGATCAATCTACCGAAAACACAAACACAAGCCAAATTAGCAAACAGTTTGACAAGATAAAAACAAAACCAACACACCTGTTCTGGAGTGGAATAGTATCCCCATTTGCCATTCAACAGACCAAGCCTTGCATCCAGCATCACACCGCCTTCACTCGGCCGTGCACTTTTAAGATCTTCGCTTTCGGCCCTGGTTTCGTTCCAGTGTTTGATCCATTTATCATCAATCATATTTTCCACACCAAACTCTTCTACAAAAAGACATCCAGAAGCAAAATCCAAAACACCCGCTTCACTATCAGCAGAGCCCTTGGAAGTTTCTACTCCTTGAGTCACAGTAAAAAACGGGTACGCTCCATATCCGCCATCAAACCACCAATACCGATTATGATATCGATCGCGTCCCAAGGGTTTGATTCTTACAATGGCATACTGAATGCGCAGCAAATGATCAATGATTCGCTGGCGACAATGAAGTTGGCGGTCCTTGTCTTCCAGCTTGCGACGCCCATCTTGTTTGGCTTTGAGTTCTTTGGATTGCTCTTTTTGGCGCTGGATTTCGTCTTGACGTCGTTTTTCTTCATTATCACGCCTGAGCTGCTCGGCACGAAGCTTTTGGACACGAGAAAGCTGTCTTGATGACTTTTCGGTGTCTGAGCCACTATGTTCTGATTCAAGATCATCTGCATCGTCCAGTTTGGCTGTTGATTCAGACGTCAACGCAACCGAGGTTTCACCAGCCAAAAAGCCGAGTTCTAATATACTTTGCGCACTAAACATTTATAAAGAAAAATCAGTACAAACATCAAAGTTGAATCAGTGCTTCTCTAGACCAAATCATACAAGACAACGTACACTGCCTTTCGATCACGGACAATATCACGCTTTTCCTTGCGCAGTTCAATCGCCTCATCAATCGCCTTGTCGCGACACTGCCTAAGAAGCTCGCAGTCCACGAGACAAACGTCAATCAAATATGCCAAAATCGCAATCTTATCAGCAGCAGAAAGTGTACCAAAACCACAACGGCTTGCACAACACAGCTCTTCAAAAGCTGTAGTGTCGGTTTCAACAACGCTCGATGCCTTATTCTTTCGCTTATTTTTTGATTTTTTTGCTGAGCCATTGGTTGTTGGTTTTGGTGGAGTAGATACACTGGATGGAGAGTGATGTAGTCCGCTACTTGTACGAGGATGTCGACCGGAAGCAGCCAATCTTGATGGCGAGGAGCGTTCTGCATGGACTTTTTTGGACTTTGTTTGCCTAGTATGTCGTCCCTTTCGTGTTGCAGATACAGGTCGGCCATCTGGTGTCCAATCCTCTTCGTCAGATTCATAAATCTTACGATGTTTGCGATAGTCAGATGAACCACCATTGCGTACTCTATGACTAATATCATCGCCTGAGCCGCCTTCATCTACATATGTATCATTAAGGGATTCCATATCGGGGTACGATACAATATCATCTAGCGTATCATCTAATGTATCGTCTTCGACATCTTCCAGATTGCCGTTGGTTTCAACCGAGCTAGCACCATTCTGCTTTACGTCATCGGTAGATTCCACGACACTCGTATTATCATTTGCAACATCATTGGGGTCTGTTACAACAGAATCAGCTACATCTCCTAGTGGATCAGACAAGCTATGGCCATTGATACCAACATCACTGCGATCTAACTTGGATGTTGAGGGTTTAGTTGTCAAAAGCAACGAAAGTGTGCGCCATTTGAGGGCTTCTATTTCCTCGGTGTCAGAGTGCATGCAATCCTTGATAATACCGGCTAGCGCTACCTCCCATGCTTTAAGGCGGTCTGTAGATTTTTCTGCAGATGATGAATATGAAGGCGTATGTGCAGATCTAACAGGAGTTGTGCGTTGTCGTTTTGTAGGGATAGATGTAGACCAATTTCCAGGCTGCCATTTAAACCACTGGTCGATTGCAATACGTTCGTCAGGATTTAAAGCCTGATATGCAATGATGGTAGACGTCATGAGCGCATTTGTTGAAGATAGTGAAACCGCTGCATTGGGCGTCATGAACTCTTCTGAAAGTACAGGAAATGGTTTTACTGCAGGGTGGATTCCAGTGTTTGGGTCTATTCCTTTGCACCATTCTTCACAAACAAGATGGATTAAGCTGGAAAAAAGTTCTTCGAGAAGTGGAGGAGTATTCTGTGTATTGGTGGTCGAGATGGCTTGAAGAAATGCATCAAATGTGAATGGATAGAGATGCAGATAGGGACCATAGGCAGAAGTAAAGTTCCACACAGTAATAAGTTGTAGCACATGAGAACTCGGAATAGTGCCAAAATCATACGACGGAGCAGGACGTACTGGAAGTTTAGTATTGTCTTCTGCAGGCTGGCGGAATAGTCGATAGCGATAAAGCTCCAAATCATCAATAGGGAGTGAAACTGCTACTTCTCGCAGAGATTTATGCTTGAGATCTTGCTTGCCCATGTACACTACTTTGGAGTCGCCTTTGGTATTACGTCTATCTAGAGCGTGTTGCAATTCTTTAGGCGGAGTGGTGCGAAGTTTAAACTTTTGAACAAGTTCTGGACGAACAACCCAAGGTGCTCCAATCCATTTATCTTTAATGGCAACCTCCCGAATATATTTTTTAAAGGTTTGTTTTGACAATGCTAATCGATCGCGTCGGAAATGAGATACTGAGACTGCAGCAGTTTTTTGGGGTGTGCTAGAAACAAGAAGATAGTAAGCTTTTTCTCCAGGAACAATGTCGACTATATCAGGGATTACTCCAGTTCTAGGGTCTTTGAATTGGGAACGGTAAGCAAGATCGGCCGCATCACTTTCTTGAGTTGGAATAGGAGATTCTGTAGTAGCGGATATTGCAGTAGATGTAGCTATCGAGTCTGTGTCGGCAAATGATTCTTTTTTCAAAACAATAGGCTTGTCATATTCCTCTACATTGGGCTTTGTATGAGAAGATTGTGTCAAGTCTGGCAATACACTTATAATAGTGGCACGTTCAGACACTGCTTTATCAATGGTTGTGGAGATGAAAACAGTTTCACCCACAAAAAAATTTGCTTTGAATAGTTCGTATAGCTCATCAATGAGCTCATTAAGTGCAGCTTGATCTTTGCATAGCCCATCGCAAGATTTGATAGAATCAATTGACAGTGTTAGATTAAATGAGTTGAATATTCTAGTTGATAGAATTAAGCAACTGTACATACTGAAATGAATAAGAGCAAGAGCCGGTTGATTCCATACACGCGGAAATCGCTCTTCTACCCTTTGCTTTGATTTGCGTTCCGAGTCAACAGCTTCACTAAACGTTAGATTATTTTTTCCAGTGAATTCGCATGACCAAATTTTTTTGCGATAGAGACTAATACGGGCAAAATAATCACTAAAATAGCAAAAAGTTTAAATGGGATTAATAAAGTCGCTGAAGATTAAAAGGAAGAAAGACAAGACATTCAACGGATCGCAAGATGTCAGGACTGAGCCGATGGAGAGAAAGCAAAAAGAAAATTGTAGATCACGTTTTAGGATGCCCAAAGTTAGTTGGAAAAGATCACAATTGATTCGACGTGAGCATTGGATGTTTTGACTTCAAAGGCATGGGTTTGTCAAATCCACACAAAGTGTTTAATATAAGATGATCACAAGACCGAGACAACCCTGAGCGAATAGATGCAAACAGTCGATATTGGATTGATACATGAATCTAAAGGCTTTGGATGTTGGGAGGATAAAGTAAAAAAAGAGTATTTTCATAAATTGTGGTAAAGAATAGCAAGAAATAGAGGATATGATCGAGACTGAAACCATGATCCAGCAATCCAATATACGATGGACAGACTAGGCCAACGACCTCAGTCCACCACTCATGGTATAGCAGCCATTATACAAATCTGAACACTCACTCGTAGTTTAAAAAAACCTCTCCTGTATAGTCAATGTAAAACACAGGTGCATCTGAGTCGGCGAGAAGCTCTGCAGGAGGAAGGGGAGTGCATTCCACTGGGGTTCTCTTGATATGTGGCATGGATTTGTGCTGCTAGAAGCGAGATTGTTGCTCAATACTGTCCTTGCCACAATGGGGCCGATATAAAAGTATGCGAAGATGGTTTTAGACTGACGAACTGATGTGTATTCGATGCAAGGCCAATATGAAGGCTATCTTCAAAAGAGCCAAGTAGTCTTTGATGTGACCAGAGAAAAAGGATCTGTTGAGTCAAGGAGATATTTTGTTCTAGTTGGCAAGGTTAGAGCAGAGTTTAGGTCTAACGTATAAGAGAGGGTCAGTCAGCTCCGCCCGAATATCAGACTTGAAGTATAAAGTGGAATTGAAAGCGGAAAGTAGGAAGGAAAAGAACAAAGTTGATTGTGCTTTCAGTTTGCAAGTTGATTGGTGTGCTGTTGCGATGTCATGGTGATGTTCATGTTGATTGACTGTCTGGATGCTGGCTTACTGTTGCCCAATTCGTCTGCGACACGCTCAAAATGCAAAGTTTTCTTGGCATCGTTGAATCAAAGAAACTCGACTCGATCACGCACTGTCCATTGTCTTGTTACTCTTCTTGTGTCCATCTGTGTCCATCTGTATGAGCTTCTCAAGGCATGCATCACTGCAACATTGGCGTCGTTTAAATATTTCAAGCCCAAATCTTTTGTCAAGACTCGAAAAGTCATGATCGCGTTTTGAATTCGGGTATTTCCAGTCACCGAATTGCTAGCAGCATCACTTGATGGCAAACTACTTTAATCCTTTATTTCAATATCATTGCTATTTAAACCCTTGCATTCATTAACTCTGAAATATGTTGTAGCATAGCAGGATCCACTGATCCTGGATACCTTTTCTCTAGCTAAAGTCGGTTTAATTTCATTAATATCTGTTAGTATTCTGGTCTTGAAAAACAATAGTCGTTGAATAAACCAATCCAACAATGAATCACATACCCCAATAACACTATCAAAGCATGCACTAGAGTCTTCTATAAGCTCTGGCTGGTTTTCAGACAATTGTCGATAACACCATCCAAACAAATACCATGTTTCTGGCTCTTCATCATCCTCCACTTGACACGTTTGTAACACTGCAAGGGCTCGTTCGTGAAGATTGGTTTCCATCAGTAATTTAGACAATGAGATTCGTAGTGGATGTGCTGGCCAATTAGGATCCGCAACAAAAGGCTCGTCGTCATTGGGTTCAACATACCACAAATCCATGCTTTTTTCAAGACATACTTTGGCCTCATCAGGTCTAGATTGCGACAATCGGATAGATGCTAGTGTCTGGAACACTTCTGGATTAGTTGGGTTCTTTTCGATTGCATACTGTATATACTCTTCACATTTCTCCTCTGCCTCTGGCTCATCACTATATTCAAAATTGGTTTGCATGCAGTTGTGTAAGACAATGTTGCAAAGTCACGACATAAAAGAACTGCATTGTGCTGAACACAGTTGAATCTAAAAAGTAGTTTACCAGCAATCTGTCATGTAAATCTCAATCATGGAGCATAGTGCAGACCCCATCTTGTTTTGTAATGATTGCAGCTTAGGATTGCAAAGATATAAAATTTAGAATCAGTTTGCATCAGCAATGTCTACAGCAATTCTACCTACATGATCATCATTCCCTTGTTGATCTTTACACTCGATGATTTTAGAATCAAGCAGCCGAACGCCTAGCTCATAAAATGCAATCGACTCTTTACCAATCGACAATTGGCCAAGATATAAATAGGTCGAATAGTCCTGATTGGGTGCAAGTTTAATCGCATGAAGAAATGCCTGTTTAGCTGAATCCATTTCTGTGGGAACATCTACACAATCTGGAGTATCGTTTGTCAGTGTATTGACAATTTCCATATGTGCCCAACCAAGAAGCTGGTATATTTTTGCATGGTCGATAGACTGGATGGAATGTGATGGACTAGGCGTGCCAATGACTTGGATTGCTCTTTGAAGAAACTTTATTGCTAGTCCTGGCTCGCATGACTCGAGTGCCTTTTGAGCTTGCTCAACTAATCCGTCAATCTGTGATGGCATTCAACAGACCGAGTGTAGTGATGGATGGTCTTTTTTTCAAAGTTTTTTGGGAATCGCTTCATTAGTCAAATCACGTGTATTGGCTTACCAGCTGCTCACTAATAGTCCTGCAATCAGTATTCAATGACAGTCACTCGAATAGATTCGGTAAAGAATTGAAAAAAGTCGATTGGTTTGCTTTAAACTTCAATCATCTTTATTTATTCAAGAGTTTGACTACAAGTCAAAACATCACAAGTCAGTAGCACACAACTATAGCAGGTTACATATGCTGTTGCTGACGTTTTATAAGACGATCTTCAGCAGATCGATATCGAGCCACCATTTCATCAATCTTTGTATAGTCTACTCCAGGACACGGCTTTTTTAAGATCCAGCTAATATCATCTGATCGCTCTTCTAAAAATTCAGGAGCAGCCTGCTGAAGCACCTTGATCTTCTGTACCATTGGAGAGTAAACAGGAAACTGAAGAGTCACACCCGTTCCAATGACATAGTTACGTACTACTACGCTTGACATGATTCCTTTGCGACGAATAGCCATCAGTACACCAGCAAAATACTGTTTTTTAGCCATGGTCCGAGAAGCAACATATTCAATCAAAACAATTGATCCAGGAACAATAGCATTGGGTGAGGATTTGCTTATAAGCTGGGTTCGTCCGTCGTGATCGTGACGAACTCTGTGTTCTAGATCGATGGCTCGCATCATCACTCGAAATGTCTTATTTGCCCCCGGATCATTTGGAAGTTCAATATCTTTGGGTAGAACACCTCTCACATCTGGCAGTTTTTTGAGAGCTGGCTTGATGGTGAAATGTGAAAGCGGCTCAGCATTTTCTAAATCTAATACATTGGTATTGGGTAATGGATACCAAATCCAATTTGATTTGGTTGTCAAAAGTTGCTAGGATCAGTAAAATTCAAGCATATTAAATGGATATTCAACTGTATCAACAGACGGGATGAATTAACGAGCATAACAATGGCTGAGTTGATGGGAATAGCTGATCGAGTTACCTTCTGGTTGGTTAGGAGCTGCATACTTGCGAACACCTACCAATTGACTAGTAATAGCAGTAAAAAACACTGAGTTGGTGTATCCGACTTGTAATGTTACTGATCTGTATATTTCATTGTGGCATCTTCTAGCTACTTGTGAAAGCATCTGGAGGTCTCAAGATATCACCAGTCAGTATAAAAGATGCTCAAAAACCAACAAAAAACCAACAAATCCATTTTCACAATAAATCACGTGTCTATTTGAAAGTATAAAAACAAAACGAGTTCAAGACAAGTGGCTCCTGGCTGTAAATTGTTGTTGGTTGTCATTAATCGGTTGTGGTAAGTCTATGATTGCCATTGGAGACGGTTGACGCATGTGCTGTCAGCAGATATACAGACCATTGATGATTTGGACTGGACTATCGAGTATCAATGAACCATCTGACAGCCAAGACAAAAGGAATACTAACCCTTGACATGTCTATTAACCAACACTACTAGTCTTTGGCATTCGTCAGCGTAATCAAGCTCCAGAACTATTTTGAAAATAATATTTTATGGGTGGCATATTCTCCAGTCTTCTCTCGCGGCTATGGGGCTCTAAAGACGTTCGAATACTTATTCTTGGACTGGATGGTGCAGGCAAGACAACGATCCTCTACCGACTGCAAATCGGTGAAGTGGTCACTACTATCCCCACAATCGGCTTCAATGTTGAAACTGTCACTTATAAAAACATCAAATTCCAAGTATGGGACCTGGGTGGTCAAACCTCCATTCGACCTTATTGGCGATGCTATTATGCGAATACCGACGCCATTATATACGTCATTGACTCTGCAGATAGAGACCGTATTAGTACCAGTAAAGAAGAGTTGATGGCCATGCTGGAAGAAGAGGAGCTCAAGGATGCAGCGCTACTTGTGTTTGCCAACAAACAAGACATGGAGGGTGCTATGAGTGTCACAGAAGTATCTGAATTTCTTGGTCTAACTGCCTTGAAAACAAGGACTTGGACCATCTTTAAATGCAGTGCCAAGACAGGAGATGGACTGACAGAGGGTCTAGACTGGCTAGTGAATGTCGCACGAGGAGGAAAGAAATGAAGATCTATAGTAAATACTCGATTTAGCTTCTGTGCTGTATGTATCTGTTATGTGACATTGACTTGCAGTCACTTGATAGAACTGCATCGAATGCATTCCTACTGCAGCGTATTGGCTAATAAATCCTCAACACTGGATTTGAATGCCATGGTGGCACATGCATGACTATAAAACAGTTGGATTCAAGATCTACCAATCGGCTGCAGTCGACTGGTTTCATCCATCTTGAAGAATTCCAGTATTGTTATACTGCTCTTACTGTTTGATATATTGACAGCAATGAATTCTAGCAGCAGCAGTAGTAGCAGTAGTAGCAGTGATGATGGTGATAGAGGGTTTAGAGAACAGTATGGGAACACACAGCTATCGTCTGTTTTTGGTGACGGCAGTGCTGCACCAATGCCATCTGCCATGTCTGTAGGCAGCATCGACAATGGGCTCACTCCACTTGGACTCCCTCTTAACCAATCAACTACTAAACTATCCAGCAATACCTTCAACTGTCCTGGGTCGTCTGCTTCCTTGCAGACTTTGTCGTCCATGGCATCAAGTCTTGTAGCAAGTCCGTTTGCTTCAAGTAAAAGTATACACCTTGGAAACTGCGACAGACCACCGCTACCTCCCAGCAATCTGTCTATTGCATCAACTAGATTCCACTCATACAAAGCTGATGGCAACACCACCAGTGCATATAGCACTCCTGGGAAGCAAAGTGGATTGAGATTAAATATGAGTATGAACATCACTGATGCCTCTGCTACTGACGCTGGCTGTGAGGCTCCTGTATATTCTAAAATGGTGGGATTTGGATGTGAGAGTATGAGTGGAGGTAGCGATCTAGGAAGTCCCATGAGCATTGGTTCAATGGATGAATCTCCGTTTAGCATCAATCGCAAAAGTCAAATCCGTCGTCAAACATCATATGCTCTGTTCAGTAGAACATCGGCCCCTACTACCCCTACTGCAAACCGTCGTATGAGTCTAGATTTCGGTGACGGCCTTGCTAATAACGGCATTCTATCTACGGTAAATCCTTGCATTGACTCTTGTATGTCTATTTGATTGGCATGAATGTTTTGAAAAGCTTATTTAAAATCTCTCAAATTATATCAAATCATATATAGCCTGCACCTAAAAGCATTCACCGTATCTTGGACAGTCTTAAAAAAGAATCCAGGCCATTTGAATCCGAGATTGAACACGAACGAGTGACAAACACTGAAGTTGCCAAGATATTCGCAGATCCACAATCACCTATGCAAATGGGTTCTGTCACTCCACCAGATATTCCTGGATCTTCTATTTACATTGAAGGGGTATGGTGTAAATGTTTAAATTGTCCAAGGCTGCTGCTTGATTTGCTCATCTGCGTTTAATTTGATTAGGAAACCGTATCTATTACTCCTCGTACCCCTATACCAGTATCCCAACTAAAAGATCCGCTAATTTATTACTCTCAAACATCAAAACTTAATCCAGAAAGCAGCGTATGTTTTGTCATGTATTAATCAAATATTATTTTATCATCAATGGTGCTTTTCTAAACCTTTATATTTCAATTAGTTTTTATCAAGGCGAGAGCAATCTACCTCACCATCATCTCCGCTGCTCCTTTGCACAAGAAGTAAACGGAAACGTAAGCCATTTGTCACCCTATCAGTATACTATACCCGTATCACTAAACCATTGTTTTGGATTTGCTTAAACAACCTTAGTATCGACAACAGAGTTTGTTTTGGATCGAATTGAAGGAACACGTTCAGTTAAACGTGCTTACCATCGTCTTCCTTCCTCACCGCGTACTCTTGTTTCTCCTTCGACCATATCTCTATGCTCATCGGGTTCGCATGTTATTCCCAACGCACCTGCGCCTGTGCGTCCAGCATGTCTACCCTCCAACGCCCATCTCAATGGACTTTTCACATCTATGATTCATGGTCAGGTAGGACACATGGGACGTTCACGATCAGGAAGCGGATCTAGCATATCCAGTATGTCAAGTATGATTTCTGATCGTACGCATACCATGGTACCTGCTACATCATACATGGCTATGGATCGCACATCTAGTTTATTGGGTGGTTCATTGGGAGCCCATACGATTCCAAACTTTTCACACCAGATTTCATCATTAGAACCTGGCACTATGCATGACAATAAGGGGATTTCAGACTTGGAACAATTGTCTGAATCGGAACCTATTCAACCCCTGTTTTTTTCACAAACTAACCCAATGTTGCATACTTCAATCCATGTATCAAATCAGTCGGGAAATTCCATGCATACATCTCCTAAACATGTTGGATATTCTCGTCCTGGTGTTCCCATGCTCAATTTGTCGGGTGCAGGAACGGATTTTTCACGTATGTCATTGTCAGATGAAAACGTACATAAATAAATGTTATGAATCACTCGTATATGTTATGAACTGAAAATATTTAATGTGAAATTCAAATATATATTTAATAAAACGACTATATTGAGGTGGTATACGCCAAGCTATGGATCTACACCTGTGTTTCTAATGGTCAACGTATCTCGTACATAAGGTCTTTGATGAGGTAGCTGATGGATGCAATCGTGAGGCTCAAGCACAGTGATGATTCCTTTGCAAGGTACATCTTTCATCTGTTCAGTGGTAATCACCATGGGTCCATGACCAATTCCATCGTGTATATCATTTACATCTACTTCAATTGAAGCTACTGAAGGGGACAATAACATTGAGTGGGGCGAAGTGGATGCTATTGACTCTGGTTTACTCACAAACGAGCTGGGCGGTATTGAAAAAAGCATGGACAATGGATGTTTCGGTGTATGAGGCGATACCAATGATACAGTAGACTTTGATCGTTGGGGTCCGCTAAAAGGGGACATCAATATAGTGGAATGATGCGAAACAAGTTTAGATTTGTGTTGCCAAAATGATGTTGCTCGAGATGTGGCATCTGTGGGAGTGTATTTGTCGAGTGATTCATCTTTAAAAAGTCCTTGAGTTTGAATATGCAATGGTTTTTTAAACCGTCGCTTTCGATCAAGATTTGTCGTGTTGGTATTGAGTAATGAGATATGCTGTAACTCTGGTTCAAGACTACTCAAATTTGAATCTGTAGCAAGCTGAGTGCTTGAAAAGCAAACTGAAGTTTCTTTTGATTTAGGTGATGAATTTGCATGAAAGGGAAGAGTTTCAAAAGATGGCAATGGCATACTTTTTTTTGAAAATGAAGAAATGCTAAATACAGTACTAAGACGCTTCAATGCTGTTTGAATTAGACGCTTTTCAGGAGAAACCACGGCTGGAGAGTGAGTTTCAGTATTGGTAATTGCTGGAAATTCAGCTGGAGTAGATAAATGACCAAAATCTTGAAATCCGCTTTCCTTGCCATATTCAAACGGAATCCATTGCATAGATCGAACGGATGGCGTAGCGTCTTCAGTTTGGCTATGGTATGTTGGTTTTGTAAGGCAATGGTTGCGGGATGTATTAAGCATATCTTGTAAACACGGGATTGCTAAATCAATTGAACTGTCAGAAGTAATTTGTATGTTTGAACTGGCTAGTGTATTTGGTTTAGCAGGAGTTGATTTATCACTGAAATCTTTACTTGAAAGTGATGATTCGGAACATGGCAAAATAGTCGATACTCGTCGAGATTCGTCGGAAAACACCAGCGGGGGTAAATTTTGTAAACTATCAAATGGAGTCACTGGAACGGAAGTAGGTGATGTTCCAGGACATGGATACGCAATTGCCTTTGATTTAGAAGCCATCATGTGTTGTGTTTTATCCAAACTCTCTTTGCTACAAAGTGAAGTAGAGTTTGGAATACTAATTTTTACCAACGGCCAGTCTTCAAGTTGGATCAAACTGTGGGGTCGCTCCTTATCGCAACAAAAAGATGGAGGTGGGATCGTTAGTGTACTTTCATTGACTGATTTCAACCTTTGTTCGTCATCACCAGCAATCACACCAACAATATTTCGAGCCGTGTTTTCCAAACACCAGCTTTGAACATGTGCTCGTAATGGCCTTGTTGGCTCACTCGGTAAACTACCGGTTTCTGCGTTTTGTGAAGAGAATCGAGTGTGTAATTGACTATTTATACTGCTGTAACTGATCACACTTTCACGGCTTACACTGCGCAATCGGCGCTGAAGTGGTTGGGAATGAACGTTTTTTGAGCTATATTTCTGTGCTGTGTTGATGGCCAGTTTTACCATAATAACTGCAAATAATCCGAGGAAAATTGCAAATGCAATATACCCAGCAGACCCCGGAAATGCCCATAATGAAAGATTAGTTTTAGTAGATCGAGGTAGAGTTGTATTGTCAGGTGTGAGTGGTTCTTGAAAAGTGAGAATAGGTGACGCGCTCCATGTCCAGGATTTAAAATTAAGAAAATAAGCTCCATCAGTCAAAACTCGAGATTGTAGGTCAATCCCACCCCATACCATGATGGTTTCGTTGTCAAGGAGCGCAACAGAATGATAGAGCCTAGGAGATGGACCATCGCCATCTGGAATGTGCTTAATCCATAAGATTGTATCGGGTAAGTCTTGAATATGAAGCGACCAGACATCGTTAAACACCGAGGTGACAGTATAATTGGTGCTCAATACACCACCGCCAAAAACGAGGTAGGCGTCGAGTATGGGGATAAATACCATTGCGTTTCGGACTCCAGTTCGTGCTGATGGTGTGGTATTTATCAGATCTATTTCAGTGAAATTGTGAGATGATTGAGAGTTGGATTGCACTGCTGGATATGATATTATCCATGTATTGATATCGGTTACTGTACACGCATTTGTGACTGATGGCAATAGTTGATTGTCTACAGTAGTATAAACTTGACCAAAGCATGAAATTAGGTATGGATGAACAAGAAATGAAGCATGATCAGATATGGGTAATGTTGCGTTTATGGGCTGTAGAATTGACCATGCTTGTGTGGCTAGATCATAAAGCAGAATCGAGTTTTCGGGACCAGTTGGTCCTATTCCACCAAAAACAATTCCACGATTGTCAATCGGATCCCAAACACTCGAGTGTCGATACCTATGCAAATGAGTGCTATTAAATGTGGGTTGTAATGACGGTTGACTGGAACCGATCATTGGCATTGAGTCTGTCGATGCAGTGACTGAAAGCGAGTACGCCGAAGAGTTCACAAACTGCAATACTTGACCTACACTCAAGTTGCTTGTATTGGTTTGCGGATGCATAATGCTGGAATTATTGCTCGAGACTATTTGCCCGCCTGATTCTATAGATGGAACCACGCATCCCATGATTGATATTAACATTGAGGCAACAAGATGCATTGTGCAGCCGATCCTAGGGGTGTACTCAACGGGGAGTTTCACCTGTAAACACACTACACTCCATGTAGTATTTTTGGTTAACCGACACTGAGCAACACCAGGCTTGATTCCAAATTGTGATTGGACTGGAAACGCTCTTGGTGGTGTTTGTTTACGAGAGTTTAATCGATCTATCAACAACAAGATTTACATAAAAACAGAGTCAAATGTTCAAGACTGGTCTTTCAGGATCTATGTCTTGCCAAATCATAGACTATCAGCACAAGAACCATGACAAACTTACTGCTAAAGATATCCAAAGACACAACTTCTTGTATGTTTGTCTGAACAGGTGCTAGTGACAGAGTACTGGTCAAGTTTGAAATATCTTTAAAAGGCACTTTTGGAATTGAACTATTTTGAGGTACATTTTGCAGTATAATGGATGATGGAATACTGTTTCGTCTATCAACTTGAATGTCATGTTTAATTTGGTCGCGAACAGGTAGATTGTCCAGTGCGGCAAACTCTCCTTGTATAAACAGAGTGTTATTCAGCATCACCACTGCAGCATCGACAGAATAGAAGGACACATTGGCCATTGGTATAATGTAGTATTTCTAGATTCAATGGTTTGCTTTCAATCTACAAAATTCATAATTCAATACAGTAAAACTGTTAAATAGTGGCACCTTGACTTGAAGCGGAAAACTCAACTCCGCTTTGATCGTAATTTTCATATGGAAATCAGCCCAAAATCAGATAAATTCGGCGTTTAAAAAGCCTGACTTGTTATATCAGTAAAACGTTGTGCAATTCACTGCGTACCTTCAAGACCTGCCTTTGAGGGTAGCAGTATTCGTCAAGTATGCACTGTATCAGTTGATGACAGCTTTGTCACTTGCACTAGCAATGGATTTAATGCTTTGCTTAATCACCAAGCTAATAGAAACTATACCTTGACAAGTCAACCCTAAAACTCGATGACACGTTTCCAAACAAATCGTATTCGCAGCCGTATTCACGTAAAGTGGAACATTAAATAACTGCGCGAATGTTTATATTGCAGTTCAAGTCAGTTCTACACCTGCTCGATCTTCAATTCTCCCTTTCCACAAACTGACTATTAGGACACAAATATGTCCGAGTTTTTAGAATACAACATGTGCTTTATTCACAACATCAAAATAATCCAGTCCAATATTGTGATGGATGAATCTGGTGATCGTACAATGTATGGCTATGCCAAAAAACAATCTCAGTTCAAAACTACCGTTGGATTGCGTGAGCATCATATGATGGGCGGTGTGTTTATTCAATTGAGAATTCTATTGAGGAAACAGTGCGGTCAATTTCTAGTGGAAAGCGCAACAAATATTTAACCACTTTTTATTTCAAAGCAAAATTAAAGTCACTGCAAAAGTGTTCCATTTTACGTGAATACGATTGTAAATAAACCAAACTAAGACGGCTAAACAAAGTTGGATGGTATGTCGGATGTCGGATCAACAGTTTGTAGCGGCGTTCCATTATCGTTGCTTTCTGTCCTGGTAGATGATGCCCAAGGATTAGACAAGGTCGGCCTGCTTACTCGCTTTGATCCTGTTGATGATAGTGAAGTAGAACCCATCGTATAGGGATGTTCCATTGTTATAGGCAATTCATCAAACTGTGAGCTAGTGGTTGGACGCACTGATTTCAATGTAGGAATCAGTGGTGAAAACAAGGGGTCGTTAGAAGCTGTATCAATGCTTTCAAGAAGGCCAGATGATTGGATTGACGCACTGGACGCAGACGGTCTATCTAATGAAAAATAAGGTTTAGTAAAAGCACTGGAACCTGCAGAGGATTTTGATACGCTGATATCTAACGGATCATCAGTTTTAGGTTTTGCTAATTGCTGTGACTGATTAGCACGATTGACAGGAAACGGGCCATTTTTGATGTAGAATGAAGTCCAAAACCTCAAGTTGGATGTGGAAGGGAAAAGAATACTGTGATCTTGACTAATTGCGCCTGGTACACCTAGCATACTAACGCGTCCAGTACCTGATCCGCACGATAAAGGATCGACACTAGAAGACTCTCCAGAGTTGGAATTGTCAAGAGTTGTGGCATTGAGAGTGGCAGTGAGAGACTGACAGGTGGGATCTGATTTATCTACTGTTTGCGTAGAGTTGGGATGAGCAGACGGTGATGTTTCAAGTGGTGGAGTGTACAGAGGATTCAAAAAAGATTCGCGATTAACAGCAATGTGGTCCCAAATGGACACTGTAGCGTTTTGAATACATGCATTGTCGTTCCCTTCGCTTGAAGTGTTTACACCTGGCTCGGATGCCACTCCTGAAACACCTATACTATTTCCCAACAAAACGTTCTTAGAACCGTCATTCATGCCATTTGAAGCACCCTTGCTTGTATTCAAGGTAAATTCTCGACGCTCGCGCTCATTATTAAACAAAAATGTACCAAACTGGCAAGAGTATAGATGGATAAACAAAAATCCAAGAAGCCGCTCGTCAAATTCAAAATGATTCGGAAATTGTGTCCAGAGTTGATATAAACAGTCGAGAAATTGTGGAAACACGGGAGAAATTTCTCTCGGAGCTACATTATTTGGAGTCAAAGTTTCTGAAGATGCCAATATGGACGGTTGGCTCACAGCGGATGAGTATACAGATGATATATTTTGAGTAGAGTCTAAAGATGTCGAGCCAGATGAAATCCCAAAAAAGCTTTTTTTCCCACTGTCAAGAAAAGACTTGGCGGCACTTGAAAATGATGCCGATACGCTTTTACTGGCGACTTGGAATTGAGTGGCCATGATCTGCGTGGTACTGTTTGCGACGGATCCAACAGAACCGGCGCTTGTATTTGATCCATAAGTACTGACACCACTTTCTGCAGATAGTGATGGTGAATCGTGGCACAGATGTCCACAGCGATCTTTGAATTTGTGTCCAAAGGAAACCCATTCTTTTTCAAGAAGAACCTGTAAACCATCAATAGTGCGATAATAAGGATCTAGGCATAATTGTGCCAATGACGAAAGCTGAGCAGTCCGATCCCATCCGTCACTGGTAGTCCCATGAAATCAGTAGATTTATTAAACCCTGAAAATACAAAATAAATAACAAAGAATTGCTATAATACCTGCAATGAACAAGAACATGTGCATTGTGAAGGTGGACGCTTTGGACAATTTGTAGTGTGCCATCCAAAATATTGCGAATATGTTTAAGCCATCCTGATCGATCCAACGCAGATTTGGAAATATGTGTGGTTTCAGGGGATACAAAAGCTAAACACGTTGCAAAGTTGTTAAATATTTAGTTGGAGCATATATAAAGCACTAGAAAAGCAGATACAACACATACCATCAAATAGCTTATTAAAACTATCGCGTACAACGTGAATATTATCGATTCCAAGATACGAAATTCGGCATCCCTTGTAGTTTTCAGAGCTTTCAGTTCCTGCACCCATTGCAGTTTGAGCGATTGCGTTTGTGGTTGGTCGAGCATCAATAATAAGATTAGTAAACCCAGGCTTTGGGACTGTTGATGCACTGGCAAAAATAGCTTCGACAAGCTTTTCATCTTGAATAGATCGAGCATGTTTTAATCCAATCATGGGCTGACTTGAGCGAGTAATAGACATTTGGTTTGTGCGATGAATATAGCTTAGTGCTGGAATTCGACTTTTGCTTCGAAACTTTCCTATATGCTTCAATACATTGTCGCTGATTCGAGATGGAACGGCTAATATTGCTGGATATGTGGGTGAATACTATCAAACAGCAATCACAGTCAGCCTTCAAGTATAAAATTTGCATTGGGCAGGTATTAATCTGAACCAAACACTATTACGGCAAAAGTACACACATGATAATTTTGGTTGATTGTCGATAGTCTCCATGAAGCGCAAGTAGACCCAACTCCCATGCGACTGGCATACTCGATGTTAGGATCAAAAACGGACCAACCACGAGAAGGAAGTGGTTCTGAAAGTTCCTTTTTGTATGTAAATGCAAACACCTGATTCAATGAAGCTTAACAAGGTAAATTCCAAAGATTGATATTTTAAAAACTGGTAATGATGATAAACGTCAAACGGCTAATCCCAACAAAGCCACAAATACCTACTTATGTTCATGCCTCGTTGCATTGCTGTATATGCCGTTGCAGCATCCAAATCTTGTGCAAAATATATTTTGAGAGCCAGGAAATATCTAAGGGTGATATAGATTGGATATAGACCGTCGGGTGTTGGAAATTTGCGATCTATGGATACAATAGTAGACAGCCAGATCTAACCAAATATGCAAATTGCCACATTGGATTAAAAAGCGATTTATAACTTTGGATGTTATCAAGAATCTGACCAAACACTGCATTCCTTCAAACGCAGCTGAGCATATCAACACTTGTGTATATCCAAGTTATAATGTATCTCCTTATGCCAGTACTATTTTACCACTGACTGAATATACTCTTTTCAGATATAGACAGATTTAAAAACTAGCATACAGGATATGCCAAGACACTGTACCGTTTGCAGATCCTTATCGACGAGACTGGTGGCGGATGGGTTGAACAGCATTACATGGGGAGTAAGGGTGATTCCTCCAGTAAAGGCTGTAGGAGACCTTCCCTTTTCAATACGCACATTGGCTATCTCCTAGAAAGGGTTTATAATTGATAAAAGAGCGACCATTAGTCTAGTCCAATATAGCAGTAAATGTTGAAAGTGGATCAATACAAGCACTCTGTAGAGTTGACTAAAGAGACTGACAAAGTGGGGTTTATTAAATATCTCAACAGTATTACAGTCTAGTACGAGATACCCACCACTTTTGTAGTTGAAGTCATTGAGAAAGCTTCAACTATCAACTCGATGTTGGTTTTTGAAAATTGAAGTTTCAACTGAAATTGTATTCTTTACTAAATGAATTGATTCTAATTAGCAATTCTTTTACTAAACGAATCGATTCTAATGCTTTTCCTACAAGAAATTAAATATTGTTTCAAACCCATTCATTAGATTAAAATTCGACAAAACAGTAATAGTTGCATTCATTGTTGAAACATCCGATAGGGCTGCAATTTTAAAAACCCAAAATAAAGTATAGTTCTTACAGTTATTACAAAGGCAACTGAAGATCACAGACGGACATGACATAGGCGCGACGAGTATCCGGCAGCATTGCATTGTACATTTCAGCTGCATTCTCTTCGCGCAAATGTTGGATAAAGGTGCACCGAGTTAATGCGTCTACCTCTGTCTGGAATGCTTTTTCAAAACTTATGATGGCCTGTTGCAACTCGCTTGGCTTTTGTGGTGAAGAATCAGAGTTTAGTGATTCAGAGATACTGCCGGATTTTTGAGCGAGCTCAAGCAAAGCATTGACCAAGGAAGATGTAAACTGATGCCGTTTGTGCTTGTTAAAATATGTGTCATGATCATTGAGATCTGGATTGTTTTCTTGATCCTGAATGCTGCCATTGCTAGTTGGATTCCGTGCAGACTGTTCCACTGCGGCGTGCGTATGAGATTTTGACGAAGATGTAGACTCTAAACGGCGTTTGGATGTGGTCTTGGTAGCAGCGCTGGGTAATCCAGCAGGTGTAACGATCTGAGATGGTATTTGGGCTGCTTTGGGTGTACTTTTTAGCATTAAAGGCGATGCAAGCACCTTATCGCCTGCATCAGACACCATCAGATCTGGTGAGTGATGATACGGAGTCGGCTGTTGCGATCCAGCGATTGAAGGTGTTGGAGACGACGATGCCAAATTGTCGGGCAACTTGACATCTGCAAAAATCACATGCAGATCGTCATAACAGTAGAGTGGATGAGTTCGCAAATCTGCAGCTCTAGGGTACACACTGATAAAGTCGGCCCAGACTTGATCCGAAGCAGTTGGAAGTTTGGACTCTTCATCCCATCCAAAGTTGGAATTATCTTTAATCGCCCTCAACAGCTTGTATTTAGCTCGTAATGCATTGAATTGGTTTTTCAATTGGCCATAATCGTAATTGTTGCCTGTAAGTTTGTTGAATTCGTCTACAATCATTACCCAGCCTTCCTTTTTAAACCCTCCTGCTCCAGTTGCCATCTTCATGATATGCTCCGCTTTTGCAACCGAAGCTAAAGCACTCTTGTTTTCATCCGTCCAGCTTGCCACTGAGTTTATTTTCATTTGAAGTCAGCTTTGGAATTTGAATTTTACAACTAGCGACAATGAGATGAAAACAGGAGAAAAATTATTTTTCTGGTTACATTTTAACCAACTTTTTCAGTTTGAAACATTCCGATTGCAGCATTTTCAAAACGTGAATTCTTTGTAAAACTGCATAATGGGTTTAGGTTAGCAATACACTATAAATGAAATGCTAAAGATTGTGTCAAGACCAAACGAGTGTCATTGTCCTACATTTAATTAACAAGATTAGACTGTTCTGAAAACTGGTTGTGCCAACACATCAGTTTGTCGCTGTCATACAAAAGATATAAACAATAAATGCTCCTACCATTCAAATCAGCAATCTACTAATGTATGTAAAAGAACATGATCAAACAAGAACCAAGCCCGAAAGCGCGATTGAATCGATTTTATGCAAGCACCAAAAACTGAATTACATTCCAATCATTGAAAACCTAACGAGTTTCAATCTCCAGATAAACAAACGATTTATTAAGGTGGAATGATTTCACATGAGTTGGTCAAAATGTTCAATCAAGACTTGTGTAAAACATTCAAGTAGCCCAGTGGGTAAAAGAATTCACAAATGAAAAAGGCAAATAGTCGAGTAATAATAATAGGAATGGTGGGGTGTGTGATATATGAAAAGCAAGTGTGGTTTGAAAACGCATTTGCTATTATACTATATTTAGTGCTTGTGCAGCAAGTCCATCATTTCCATCATCTGATAGTTTCTCGATATCAATATCAAGCGAAGATGACGCTTCATCCATATCTCCATCTAGTGTTTCATCGTCCATGTCATCATTGCTAGCAGTAGCAAATGGACTGCCCATTCCGTGCTCCATTGTTTGTTTTGAATCAACACTATTAGAAGACTGCAAAGGGTCGACTGCAAACCCAATCAACACCGACGCGGCTTCCAAAAGCTGCACCTGTTGATGTTTGGAAATAGACAATTTGGATGTTTCTTTCCAATAGTCCGTATGCTCCCATTTATGTTTTGCTAGGCAGTTGGGATGTTTGTACTTTTTCCCGCAAGACACACAAATATATGGGGTTTTTTGAGTTGGGGCGGATGCTGCAACAGAAGCTTTATGAACCATTCCAGCTGGTGCAGCAAGTAGCGACTGTGGAGAGCTGAGGTGAGATAGTTTTGGAGATCTGGGCTGAATGGAAAGACTAGCAGCAAGTGGGGAATGAATAGGATAAGGGCTTGTAGAAAGAATGGATCGACTTCGACGACGAAAAGAGGGTGCAGAAATAGCAATGGACGACGATCTCGATAAACTCTCATCGGTAGATCCAATGGCTATCGGCAACGTAGAGATTGGATTTGACTGTTCTGCATCCACCTTCAAAATACGAATGGTTGGAGCATCTTGTGACCCCAAGGAAATTTGCTTTTGTTTCAGCAAGGAAATGGAGAGCGCTGCATAATGATCCGAAAGTGAATTCATTGGAGCCCCCGGGAGCGAGTTCATCAAAGGAGATACAATGGTTGGATCAACCACATCTGATGCCGTTGTGCAAATAGAGAGTGAGCGGGGACGATCTTGATAGAATGCAAAGACATCATTATCCATTACAGTGAGATGAAAGCTGCTGTCCAAAGATTGCACTCGAGACTGATCACTGAGATGGCTTGGAGGAGGAGTAACTGGAGGCGATAGTCCCTGGGGCACGCATGCAGATTCAGGCTACAAACAAGACATTTGTGAATAAGGGTAAATATAGATTTCTCATATGGGATGTTTGAAGTGGTAAAAATGCAAGAGGATCAAGCAGATAAAATGATTCGGAATAAGCCATGCCAATACATATTATTGTGCATAAATCAAGCCCGAAATCCCATTGTGGCGGTTCAAGCCCGAATAATTTTATCCCAAAACCAGGCTGTCAATGAGCTCATGGTAAACCTATTCCTAGCAAGTATAGCTGAGGATTATAATAGATAGGGTGTATAATAGTATATCAATAGACCCCTGGCTCAGTAACGAGTTGATAAGTGAAAGAGCAGTCACTACCCAAAAAGCAATGGGCTAGGGAAGGAATAAGTGCGTACAAGAGTGGGCTCGTTAAACATCAACAAAAAACAAAAACTCACCACCAAAGGCATGTGAGCAGCAGGTGGTTGAATTGCATGGCTGCTCTCGCGAACTGCAATGGTATCAGCCATTGAGGGCGTTGATGGGGATGGAGATACTGCAGTTGATGTAGAAGCATTGGAATTTGCACCAGAAACAGCTGGATTGGAGTCCGAGGTAATTTGTGGACCAAAAGTTGAGGCTAATGATGAGTGTGGTTTTCTACCTCGGCGGCCAGGTTTTCGTACAGACTGCGGCTACAATAGTTGAAGACGAATAATGGTTGGTTTAAATCATGAATTGACAATTATTGATTCAGCTCAAAAATTCATATCAGCAATTTAGGATGATTTAGTTGCAGTTGGCGAGGTCAACGGTATATCCAGCCTTGTTGCATATAAACAAGGCTCTATGACCTCCAATCTAATCCAGACCATAGAAGCAGCAATAAACTAATGGTTTAAACTGGCAGCCATGGGGAAAATACCGCCTTGTGAGCCCGTGTGGAGTTTGGCAACTAAACTTTAGTTCACCCTTGTTTCAACCACCCATAACACACCATCTGCCCAAGACTAAAACATACACATTGGTGATAGAAACAGTCACAAATGCATAGTCCTACCATAGCAGTCGTTGCTGGCATCCATTCCAAGTGGCCCATAGAGTTTTAAATAATTTCGCCTTTTTTTGGAATAAAAAGTTTCTAAAAACAGCATTCAAAATACTGCGTAATCACGTGGTCGCGTTAAGCCATCACCAGAGCAAGTTGTTTGGGAACTTCATCAGGCCAGTCCTGCACTCGCAGATGATTTTAAATGGACTTTATAAACTCGAGTGCATGAAATGAGAAAGGTTCATGCAAGCATGCTGTACTTGTTTGGATATAATATTGGTAATGCTAATGGTTTCTGATGCGACTAGCAATATTGTCAATGTATTTACAGAAAGTTTGCAACCAACGCTTCATGTTTAATTCAAGCATTCGCTTTATGGGCCAAACAGGCTACGTTTGCCTGTTTCTATTTTTTCTGGAACTCCATCGTGAAGTCAACCCCTACATTGTATGGGATTGATACCGCCCAGTATATCACTAGTAAAACCCAACACTTGAAGCACAGCAAAATCAAATACAAGCTCAATTCATTTGACAGGTCTAATCATTTATCCTAAACCTTTGCTAAAGACATCTCAACAGCGAATCCAAGTACAACCTTTGTAAACTCTGCAGTATGGCCAAAATCAACCTTGTCAACGGTATCACGGTCTGAATGAATATCTCTGTTATGCCTTCCCATAGGAGCTTCAAAGGGGAAAACTGCTGGAATACCAGCATCATTCCACGCAGCGTGATCTAAAGGTATAATGGAGCAAGTTAGAAAAGAATCAAACGACAGATAAACCAAAAGGCAGCAGCCCAAAATTACATCTTACCAGAGCAAGAATAACCGCACTTGGTATCGACCCACTTAATGGAAGCGTATGTCTCGATAGTCTTTCGGAGGAAAACATTGAGATCGGTACTAACAAAATCAGTAGTGATGGCAATAACGGGGGTATCTCCCTCTGCAGTGAAACCAGTCATATCAACATTGAAGTTGGCGTAGACATCTACTTGGCGCTTCATGTAATCGGCAACTATTTCTTGTGAACCAAGCAGACCAGCTTCTTCACCACTGTACCAGTGGAATTCGATTGGACGATTAGGAACAAAATCGGACTTGAGAAGGCGAGTATATGCTTCAAGTATACTAGCACTGCCAGATCCATCATCGTCAGCACCAGGACTGCGACCTTCTAAAGGATCCCTGACATTGATTGAATCTTGATGGGCAGAAAAGACCAGGATATCTTTGTCAGTGCTATTTGCGCCAGCAGCCTCTATCCTAGCAATCACAGAGGATTGACCCCAAGAATGTTCAAATGCCTTGACAGTAGTCAATATATTGTCGCGTTTGCTACTGTTGGCAATGGCTTCGACTTGTCCTAATAGCCATTTGGATGACTCGGCACCCGATTCGGACTCGTAATACCGTGTGTGGAATGAGCTGAATTTGGTCAGGAATTCCTTCATTGAGCTCTGCGAGATGGCATCAATCATTGGTTTGACCTTTTCTTGTTCAACCGTTTCTTTAGGGAAAACTATAAAAACCAAGCACAATCAATGGGTAAATACGGGAGAGCCCATGTTATTAACGCGGACAAAACTTCCCATTAGACAATGCCAAAAGTTTATCTCGATAAACTAAATAGCAACAATGCCAACAGATTCAACTGGTATCAAAAACAAATCAAGCATTACAAACCTTTTGGAGCCGCAGCCAAAAGAGAACTGCCCTTCAAATAACTAACACCTCCATCAGTGACGTCCTTGAAATGAGTATGGTCTAAATACAGTTTACCAATCTATCAAACCAAAATAGGCCAAATGAATTGTGCAAACCATCAGTATAAATTTGAGCAAAATTGGCAATGAATAGAATCAATCGTTTCCTTACCTGCTCTCGTGTCATCCATTCAGAATGGCCTTCTGAAGTAGAAATAAGACGCTGGGTAGATTTTTGGACATTAATAGGAGATCCACAAGCAATGCCGAATGCGAGTACAGAGGCAAGCGACAGATTGATCAAATTTATAAATCCCATTTTACGAATGTTCAATACTTGATACAAATACTATTTCAAAGGTAATAAAACAAACTTGTCCTATATTTTGAAGTAAATGCATGTCAATTTATAGTTTCGAGTCCACTGTGGCATCTCCAATTTGTCATATCTTGATATTTGATGTGGGTTTGGATTGAATTCATGCTCATGCAGGATCCCGAGTATTTTTCGCATGTATGACAATACTACATCAAGCTTTACTTGTGATTCATAGATATAAGCAATCAGTAAAGAGTGTAATAATTTTTAGGGGCTACATGTGATATCATCCAAGCAGTATTCTTAGCAGTAGTATACGGTCGTCACATGGAGCCACTAATTAAATCTCTTAGGCTCCAGTCCAGTTTATTTGCCACTGGAAATACCCTTTTAATTTTTGGCTCAAGACATGCATTGCATATCTACAATAATAGTACTAAAATACACTGATCATCATATAGACTACTGATTTGCAAATGATAAATTTATCAAGTGGAGATAATAGGGTACTTTGTGTGGTATTGATCCGTCCACTTTTTCGTGTTTCGAGATTGAGTGGATTAGATTAATGCAGTATACTGCCATTTATCCACAACATAGCACAAATGCAAGAGCATTGACTACTAGGATGATATGAACTGTCCAAGTACCCCCAAAAATCAAGCAAACCCCAGACTTTTCTTTTATTATCATGTCGTTAATATTACGAGAGCTTCCGAGATGGATGCACATGCCAGTTCACCTGCATGTAACTATGGTAATTTAGAGCATGTTTAAAAGCTTTTTTTGGCACATGCCATGCTACAAAAAGTAGGAACACACTCATTTTCGATATGCTATTCTACATGTGATTTTTAATACAAGGGCTCGATTCAGTTCATGCTGTTTGATAAAGCTGCTTGGGTTAATTTCATTGCTTTAAATTATTCAAATACTGATGCAACCACAAGAAAAACCCTCGACTCCGGTCAGCGTCCATTACAAATATATATGGCTTGGACTAAATCTAGGCATTAAAATTTACTGGCATAAAAACTTTCATTGTGCTGTCCATCGGCTGTGAATAGACTATCCAGAATATTGCCTTTATCGCACTTTTGCTGGCGTGCTAATCATTTGTTCATTTTACTATTGGCTATGCTACTGCTTGGTTGCTTGTTCAGTTTGGAACAGGTGATTAAAATGGCTCGAGTATAGACCCTGTATCTTTTGATATAGCTAGCGAGAATGAGAGTCTATTCTCGAGTTGTACAGAAAACTCCAACTTCGTCATGCTTTGAAACCATTTGGATAACATTAACAAGTTACTGTTGCAGTATTTCCAAAACATGAATTATCCGCAGAATTGGTACACGCTTGTTTTATGTTAGTATCATACTCTAGATGGAACATTAAAACTCATATTAGAACAAGACCAAGCAACTGCCGTTAGATCCAATGAATGACGTTTTGTCAAGTTGAAGAGAGCATTACATCATTTAGCAAACTGGCCGCGCCGACAAGTCGGATTGTTACCGTGGCATGTAAAATATGAGTAATAAATGCCCATATCATTCAAATCAACAATCCACCGATATCTGCAAAAGAAGTGACCGAGCCCGAAAGTGGTTGAATGAAATGAATCCTTTTTCAAACACCCAATATACACCAATGTGATAGTTATTGACATTTTTTCATTTATCCCTATATCACCAACCAAACTCGATCTTGACAGATGGTCGTAACAAAAATTCGGATCGCTACTATTTACCATATAGAGATAGCTCGACAGTGAACCCAATCACACTTTTGACAAACTCAGCCATGTGGCCAAAATCAATATGTTCAACAGTATCATCAGAAGTATGAATGTATGGACTGTGATCGGCAAAGGGAGCTTCAAATGTAAATACAGTGGGAACTCCGGCCTTGTTCCACGTAGCATGATCTATAGTTTTAAAACAATCAGTACAAGGCAGCCATATCTTGAAATTCCACAGAATAGACTCTTACCAGAGCAAGCATATCCACACTTGGTGGGAGCCCAGCTAATGCTGGAATATCCCTCGACAATATGCTGGAGAAAAGTAGACAGTTTTGGATCTACAAAATCGGTCGAGATACCAATCACAGGCTTTTTGTTTTTTGGCTGGTATCCAGTCATGTCATTATGGAAGTTGGCGTAGACATCTACTTTGCGCTTCATGTAATCGGCAACTACTTTTTGTGAACCAAGCAGACCGCCTTCTTCACCACTGTACCAGTGGAATTCGACTGGACGATTGGGAACAAAATCAGACTTGAGAAGGCGAGTCAATACTTCAAATATAGTAGTACTGCCAGATCCATCATCGTCAGCACCAGGACTACGACCAAACCACGGATTAAACTGGTTTACCGAGTCTTGATGAGCAGATATAACAATGATATCTTGAGCATTTTCATCTTTTGCTGAGCCAGTTGCTTCAAATCTGGCAATAATCGATGCTTGGCCCCACGAGTGCTTAAACTGTTTTACAGAAAGAGATACATCGTTTCGGCCATGACTATCGGCCAGGTCCTGGACTTGCGTTTGTAGCCACTTGGATGATTCAATACCACTAGATGACCTAAAGTACCTGGTTTTGAATCCACTGAAGCTGGTCAAAAACTGCTTCATACCATCCTGTGAAATAGCATCGATGATCGGGGTGACCTTGCTCTGTTGGGAAAGGAGCGAGGGATAGTCTAAAAGTATTATTGGTAATGAACTAGCAAAGTTAGATTTGCAACCCTTGGTGTCATCAACGGCAACATTGGCAGCAAGGAGGATAATCCAGGGTCTGATACCAAGAAGCAGTCATCACAGCCCAGCACCGTCGGGAATGGACAAAAAGCCAGTCACCCGAAAATAGGCTTTCTGTCGAGGGGTTGGTGTTACATGGCTGCTCCACCCAGTCAATAAATTCACTGCCCAGCAGCATCCATCTCATTTTTGATATATGGCCTCGAACATGTAAACAATTATCATCAACAAACCTACCTTTTTTAGTTGTGGTACTGGCTTGGAAAAAGGTGATGCTGTCCATGTCACCATCAGTGATATCAATAAACTTGGTATTGGATCTATACAGACCAAATATCTGTTTGCACAACCATCAAATCAGTCAAACCATACATTTTGGAATATTCCGTAAGCTTATTTGCCAGGCTAGAAAATACAATACCTGCTCTTCGTTCATCCATTGTGATTGTCCTTCGGAAAAGGAGATAAGACGACGAGCAAATGGGTCATTCTGCAGGAGATCCTGGTCTTGCTGAAATGGAACAGCTAAAACAGACAGGCTAAAGGCAAGAATCGAGGCGGCAGAGAGAGTAGCAAGGCGCATAATTCTTGTATAATTCAGTTTAAAAGGTTACTTGACAGTAGTAGCTATGAAATTCATGCTCTATGTTAGTGAATTCAAGCAATCATGGTGGATAGATGCAAAACACACCTAGTATAGACGAAAAGGTTATAGACAATATCAAAGGTTCAACCAAGGTAATGACAATGAGGGAAACTTTGTTGATGAGTTCGTATTTGTTATGACGACAGTGATACGTGACCAGCAGACCCAACGTGCTGCTGGCGGAGATTTAAATGTTTAGGCTTTATCGCACATGGATAGCTTTTAATGTAACCCTATTTGAAATAATACTCGAAAAACTCTCATGAACTACTTTGTCCCAGCATTTCATCAAACATACAGGAGTTGATGGATATCTTGGAGTATTAGCAAGCCATATTCACGTAAAATGGAACACTATTTTGTAGTGATTGATGTTGCTTTGGAATCAACAAGGGTTGGATGTGTTGCACTTTTCTATTACAATTTGACTGCTTATCCAACCCAAAATAAACACACCATCCATCATATGATGCTTGCAACCAACCCATTCCTTTTTCTTTCAAAATAGCTATATACTACGATCATCAGATTGATTCCTGATGTTCTTCATCAAACTCTACAAACTTCTGTATCCTAAAACTTGGATGCGTTCTAGTTCAAAAAGCAATTATTGCACATGTCATGAATGCAACTATACATGACAATCACTGGGAGAAAGACCAATAAACCGACACATTATTTCGCGATATTGACTGTATGGATTTGGAATCTTACTTTACGTGAATACGGTGATGATTTATTAGAAACTATATCAACAGTCAAGAGAAAATACATTATTTGAGTTGAATTATTAAAACAAATCTTGTTCATATCAAGACAGACAGCAGTTGTTTTTGCAATCGCAATTCGAAATGACAGCTGCTGAAAACCAACAAATTTTTGCACCAATCTAAACTGCTTTGAAAAGCAAAATAACTTTGCACAACTTTTAGCAATGCTTGCTGAACATTCAAAGACAACCATCACTGCTGCTGCTGCTGAGGAGTGGGTAACTGGCATTCACGAGGATATTGGAACTCAATGGTTTGTTCCTCAAGACGATTCTACTTTGGATGCAATCATGGCTGCCACTCCTCACCACTCTAACAGTCAGCTATCCAAAAATAACTTTGCAGCCAACAGCATTCACATTGGTAAACCCGCTGATAGAGAGTTTGTCGAGCTAGCTACTGCCGAGGAAATCTCTCACAGTGCAGATATGTACCCTGCATCGGATTCTTCTTCATACAGCCAAGAGCCTTTGGCTCATCTTTTAGACCTGGTTAGTTCTTGTGCACTCTTCTGGATATTGTGGTTACTCAAATCCATCAAGCCTATTTTGTTCCCTTCTTTGTGAACGAGCAAGTTTGAAATTCAGGGTTGTCAGTACAATAGTTGCAAAACCCGGTTCAAATGTATATTGACTTGACATTGTCGACTTACTAACGTGTGCCATGAATCGATTCTCATTTTAGCAAGTTGAGGCTCCTGCCGAATTGCTGGAACTTTATGCCTACGAAGGACCTAGTAATCCCCAGTTGATGGATCGAGAGCTAGATTACGCTATGCAAGTCGAGGTAGATATAGATTGATGCTTGCACATTGAAAAACCTGATGATCGAGGTTGTTTTTGTGATTTGGATAGTTGATATTTAAATGCTGTAATCTGTTGAATCTGATACTAGACTGCCGCTCAATCTTCTAACCAAGCGCCAGTAAAAGTACAACATACCACTGCAACTGTTCCAATCTCCAGCTATTCCTCTCAAGCCATTAGAAACAATGAGCAACTGCTTGAATCTGTTCTCTTGGAACAGAGTAACATTGAAAAAATGAACTCGCTTACCAAGGCGGTGTTTGCTCAGGTTTGCCATCTTTGTAGTCTAGCTTATTTTATTCTCTGTTTTATCGTTATTCATGGATGAATCTAATATTTCAATGAATTATGGGTTAGATTGATGAGCAATTGGCACCAGTTTCTGACGACACGAGGACCGTACAAGACGTGTATGCAGTTTTTAATGGTAGTCGTGCTGTTGATGGAGAAGAAATAATGAATCGATTGCTCACTGAAGCACGTCGTATTCAATGGGAACATGCAGCAGCAACCCCAAAGCCTAAATCTACAAAAGCAGTTCACTATCTTCATCTTCTTGCCAAAAAGCGTAGCTTGAAGAACACTGTTCTTTCTGAGCGAGAAAAGCAAATACTGTTTTCTGTATACCATAAACTCAATGACATTGGCACTCTAGAGCATGATGAATTTTTGGATACACTTTTCCACAAGGCGATCCATATTGTTGATCGTCACACCATTGACTGCAGCTCCAAGCTGTGATGGATTGCACTTTTATTCATCACAGTGCAACCCAATTGGATTTAGTTTTTTGCTTTATATCGACCGACACTGTTTTAGTATTTCAAGTCTTTTGACTTTCATATTCTGACAAACTTTGATTCCAACCAAACCCGATTAAAGTTTTGTTTACAATAATATTAAGAATCATTTTTGAGACTTGATGGCCGAATAAATCAAATGTTGAATTCGAGTTTTAGATTTGACCAACTAAACGACAATGCTTCTCTCTAGCTCATTGCCCACTGCATTGGTGGCTGTTTTGCTTGCCTTGTCTACCTGTAGGTGTTGTCTTTTGTCTACTGTTTTGAATGGATAGTCTTGCATTCGTCTTGAGGCGCTGCTCCAGCTATAAAAGATGGACGATCTTGTCGGTTGTCTGCCTCTCATCACCATGGCCAACTCTTCAACAGCCACTTGCATCACTACCAAATTATGCTTACTCATCACTTATTCCATTCCATGACTAGGCGTTTCTGCTGTTAAACAAACTCATCCTGAGATCAGAGAAAAACATGACATCAAGATCGATTACAAGTTTCCAGATAATGAACTGCTCAGTAAGTTTTGAATTTGTTTGATACTATGCATGCTCTATGTTTGAATAGAGTCAGACTGTCATGATTCACAATGAGCCATCTATTGGTTATCTTGCATTGCAGACTTTACTCCATATGTCCTGGTATCTTGAGCAATGTTGGAAATTCCCATCAATACACTTTTGGTTTGAATATATCCTGCCCGAGTGTTTATTAACCTGCTATTTTAATCAATATATCTACAGTTTTTCCTTCTGGAAAAACTGGAAAAGTCAAGTTCACCTTGACCAACCTGAGCAAGGAAAAGATTACTGTATTCAAGGTTACTACTACTTACACTAAGCCCAAGGATTTTACTAAAAAAGTATCCCTGGTATGTGATGTGCTTGTATCTCATTAGATTTTCTTTCTAGTCAAGTATCAACTGTGGATTATTGCTAACAAGTCATGATATTGACTGGTTTAATTTTTTGGTATGATCAGTCTCCTTCTATGGATCTGTCCTTTACGCTTGTGCCAAACAAACCCATTACATACAACCACGTATTTGCTACCGACATCGAGGCACAAAAAGCCAATCTTCAGATTGCTTTCGATTGCGATGATTTCCACGGCTCTGATGATCCTTATCGTATCATTGCCATGAACACTCCCGTCGAGGTTATCTTTAGTGATTCGTTGTTTGATTTGAAAAGGTGTGGCTTGATGTAATATGAACGGAGCTAGCATATTTTGATTGGATGTTCAAGACTTAATCTTTGTTTTTGCAGTATTATGATGTATATTTTCAGCACAACTCTCTTTGGTTTGGTTTCGTACCTATTTTACACTGTTTTCTTTTATAAAGACACTTCCAAGGTATAATATTGATGCTGGATTGCTGTAATGTTATATCAGTGTGTTGAACGAGTCATCTACACCCATTGCATACTGAATCCAATGCTATGTCTTGTTGAAAATACTGTATTATATTCAATCCGGTACATTGATCTAGATTGTCAAGACCAAAAAGCCACGTCCTGCTCCATCTCCATCTCAGTCCAAGTCTGATCTTTCCACCGAGCTTGATCCCGAGTGGATTTCTGGTCATACGCTTCAAAAGGACACCAAGGTTTCAACCCCCAAAATTAAGAAGCGCAAGTAAGATTTCTACAAAAAAGGAAACGCTATGGCTGGTATTCAAGTAGTTTTGTTTATGGAATACACTCGTATTCACGTAAAATAAACCGCTAAATAAGATTCCAAATTCATAGTCAATATCGCGAAATAATGTGTCGGTTTATTGGTTTTTCTCCCAGTGATTGTCATGTATAGTTGCATTCATGACATGTGCAATAATTGTTTTTTGAACTAGAACGCATCCAAGTTTTAGGATACAGAGGTTTGTAGAGTTTGATGGAGAGCATTAGGAATCAATCTGATGATCATAGTATATGGCTATTTTGAAAGAAAAGGAATGGGTTGGTTGCAAGCATCATATGATGGATGGTGTGTTTATTTTGGGTTGGATAAGCAGTCAAATTGTAATAGAAAGTGCAACACATCCAACCCTTGTTGATTCCAAAGCAACATCAACCATACCCTATTATGAAATGGGTTGATTAGAATGTGTACCTGCTTTAAAAATGTTGACGCATTTAACGAGCAATCTCAGTTTACAAAAAAGATATTGACAAGGACTAATCAAGTACTTTATTATAGCTGCTGGAGATTGTCAATCACAGCTTGAGTAAACTGAGAATTGGTAGCTTTTCCACCCAAATCACCTGTGCGAGCAATGCCACTAGCAATGGTTTTGAGAACAGCGCGCTCAATGTTATCGGCATGGTTGTTGAGCTTAAGATGTCGAAGCATCATGACAGAGGAGAGCAGTAGCGCAGTGGGATTGGCCAAGTCTTTTCCAGCAATATCAGGAGCAGTTCCGTGAACCTAACATCACACCAGAATGTGTATTCAAGTGCATGGAGCAAAAGTTGAACATAGAAAGCACATGTCAATACACGACATTTGCTTGCAAACATAAATTCCTCGTCAAATTTAAAACGTACTGATTCAAAAATGCTGGCCTTTTGACCAATGTTACCACTAGGAGTAAGACCAAGGCCACCAATTAAACCTGCGCCAAGATCACTAAGAATATCGCCGTACAAGTTGGGCATGACCATGACGGTATCATTGAACTGGGTAGGATCCTGGACAATCTGCAAACAAATACGATCCAGCAAAATATCATCAACAACGATTTCAGGGTATTTCTTGGAAATATCAAGCGAGACTGATAAAAAAAGACCGTCCGAGAGTTTCCTAATATAGATTTAAATCCCGAGTCAGAATGATGATCAAAAGACTAGAAATGCTCTAGTATGAAATGACAACTCGCTTACTGAACAGTGGCCTTGTGAACAACAGTAACACGTTTTCGACCAATAGACTTGGCATATTCAAACGCATACGTAGCAACGCGGCGACAAGCTTCTTCAGTGATCAGCTTAATGGACTGCACAACACCGTCAACAACTTCGTGCTCAATTCCAGAGTATTCTCCCTCGGTATTTTCACGAATGAGCACAGTATTGACGTTGTCAAAGGGGGTCTTGTATCCAACAATGGATTTGCAGGGACGAACATTGGCATACAGATCAAATGTTCGACGAAGAGTTAAATTGAGTGAAACGTGACCTTTTCCAATAGGTGTTTCAAGTGGACCTATGTTGCATTGGATAGGCAACAGTCGATGTTGGATGAAAAATATAAACAACTGTTGGCTCAAAATGTGGAGCTTCGATATTAATAATTGTAGCATAGTTTACCTTTAAGAGCAACCTTGTTGCGATTGATAGAATGCAAAGCCTCTTCAGGAATAGTAGTTTTGCCATCCTTGAGAATAGGTGTGACATTGACAGATTCCCATGCAATTGGAACCTTGGTATGGCCATTTGATAAACCCACATTGGTGTTTTAAACAAAGATAAATATCAAATATAGATTCATAGTTTTTAATTTGAAATCATGAAAGCCCACCTTGTCGGCATCAAAAATTTGCTGAACAGAACGAGAGATCTCTGGGCCAATACCATCACCTGGAATAATGGTAACAATACGCTTTCCATCCTATATAACATTCAAAAATAGCTGGATTAGTAGCTAGCTTAAAAGTTGCAATTGGGTCGAGATGTATATAAATTCATCTTCATCTAGATACAGGCCATGCGCTTTCTAGCTCATCTGGCAGAAAATTCACGTCGCTTTGATATACACACATCTTTACTCTTCAACTATAGCCAGCTTTGTTAAATATTCCTATTGGATTACTACAACACATTGCCAAGAGTGGAATCAAGGTTTTGCAAGTTTTTTTGCTTGCTGAAATTGTAGATTGTGCAAGCATGGCCTGGTTGATATAAATTTCTAATACATGAACTTACTGCAGTGAAAGAACCCTCTACAGATGTAGCAAGGGAGCGACAGAGACTTTTCTTCAGGAATGGCTGCTGGGAAGCAAGCTTTCAGGTCAGGATTAGAATGCAATAACATAGGATGATTCAAAGTTGAAAATGGTAAATCCAATACAAGTGGTTGGTTAGTTTGAATTCTATTCAATGCTGTAATGATATACAGCCCAATTCAAAAAAGTGAGCCTATCATTCTAAAGCATTGAATTCATTCAAGCCTGGACAGTAACAGCAAAATGCACCTTGAGAGATCGGCAAAACATTTGTAAAGTAAATGGAAAACCCTGAATTCAAAGTTGTTGCTGATTAGAACGAGTCTTGAACAAGGATTTCTTGATAGTCACTCAATTTATTGTAGATTTTGAGTTTCATATATTTGGTACGATTTACACAAGAGAAGCTACATCAATGCACAGATATTGTATGGCTTATCGTAAAATATTCAGACTAGGAATTTACTAACCTTTACTACTATATTCACGTAAATGGACTCGAACAGTTGCCAAAATGCATGATCAACAGTCAGTCTCATGATGATTGGAACCCCATTGACTGGACAACATTGTGTCTTGATAATTGTCATGGAAACAGCTATTCATTCCTGCAATCACTGGTTTTTTGAACTAGAACATATCTGAAATTTTAGAGTGCAAGATTTTGATGAGCATCGTGATGAATCTGTCAATTGTACAATGTATGATTATACTAAAAGTAAAGAATGAGATGGCTAGTTTGTATGCATCATATAATGAATGTTTAAAAGAATCGAGTCGATTCAAGCCAATTTCTAACAAAAAACATTTAGCCATTGTTGATTTCAAAGCAGTTACTGCAAGATAAAAACAAGTGGTCTGTTTTACATGAATACATTCAACTATAATCAACTCGCTACAACATTCATCCATGCAGACCAGATTCATCAGAAAATTCTCTCAGTCAATCACTTTTACTAACCGTAGAGCCGTAGCCTTTCCTTTGTTGCAGCCTCATATCGACAGTACACTTTCCAGTATCAACACCATCCAATCCAGAACCATCCACTCATCTCGCATTCATTGCAGTTATCACAATTTTGATACTTATAAATTTGTACAACGGCTCGAGGCAGATGGGTTTCGTAGGAATTCAGCTGAAGCTGTCATGGGCTCACTTTCAGAGGTTGTGGGCGAAAGGCAAGTATCTATCCTGATTAAACATTTATACAAGTGCCATGTCAAAACTCAACTGTTTTTACTAGTGTCAACAACATGTCCAAAACATCCGTCACAAAAACCGAATTTGAAAAGTCGGTCTACATGAGCAGAGTCGACTTTAACCAACTACGATCTGAAATTCAATTGATTGAAAAGAACGAGTTTGCTCTACTTCGAGCAGATATTGGACGGGTAAACATCGAGGTAGAGAAACTACGTGTTCGTATGGCTGAAGATCTTCGCCGTATGCAATCAAGTATTCGTTTAGAACTTAGTTTGGATAAAGGCAGGATTCGAGATGAGCAGGCTGCCAAAGAAATTAGAATCAAAGAGGCAGATTCCAAAATAGATACAGAAGTGTCTATTGTCAAGACACAAATGGAGACGATCCAATGGGAGCTTTTCAAGACACTTTTTCGTATGTGTATTGCTCGAGTGTATTTTATCAAGATTGACCTTTACTCATTTTAAACTTTTTGGAATGCATTAGCTTTGTTTTGCGCCGCTGGAGCTCTGTTTTTCAGTAGGTTATTTTACTGGCTAGTAAATCGATTGCAAGAATTGATGTTTAAACCAACTGTTTTTAAACTTTTGTATAGGCTATATGCGGTTTGTTAAATAAACAATCATCGAGTGTGTTTTTGTCAATTGATATTTTCATTAATATGATTGTTGATTTATGGATTATGCATACCAAGTTAGTGATGAATGAATGCAATCGATTATTTTGAGTAAACTATCGAGGTTTGATACGTCATACGCTGGTCTGTTGGAATGGCAAGTCGATCGAGTTTTCGCGAATATTGATTGCTGACATCACTTTACCCATCTGCAACAATCTACTCGCTCTAATGTCAGGAAGTGTTGGTGTGCAAAAGGTTCTGCTTAAACTGAGCAAGTCTGTTCAAGGTGAACTAGCATTGATGATACAATACTCTTATACCAACTTGTAGTGTCCAACATATTTGGTTTTCATGCTACTCATTACATGATCAACAATTTCAGAGGGAAACTATTATGAAGCCCATCAAATGTATCATTCAATCTGTCAGCGGTATCTCAAGCAAAAGAAGACTGCAGAAGCGATTGAATTGCTTCATAATGGCATTTTTAATATGCTGGAGCACAAGCAGACAGGCAGTGCTCTTGATCTATTTGAACGACTTTTGGATGTATTCGACAAGCAGACTCCAGCACTTTCAAGTGCTCATCGAGGTAGGAGTTTACAGTATTTGAAATGGTTTGAGCTTGGACATTGTGTTAACTCATGTGCAACAATACTATGGTTTCAGCTTGTATATTGAGTGTGTTTGCAGCATTCCCACTAGATGCCGTTGAATGCGATCAATTCACCAAACTCTGCACCAGGTTGGGTTTATTTTCTATTCTTTGATTAGTGCTATCCCATACTGGTACGATTCGTACACTCATATTACTAGTGTTGTGGGTTTAGATGGTCAATCAAACACCAGGACAATCCATTTGGAGATCCACAGATTCATCACATGTTTGGATCTAAATATTTTCAGCGTATGTAACTATGTAATCGACTTTATTCAATCTAGTATACATGGCAATCTGCTTTACTTACTATTTCGTAAATAGACTACAGATACTATGATGCCGAATCGCACTTTGTTCATGGAAATATAGACAGTGCAAAAGCCCTGGGAGTCATGGCTGCTGAATGGGTTCATGTTGATGAGGCTATGGATCAAGGCTATCCAATTGCGCGTGCAGTTCTTCAGTGAGTTGCCAGATTAGAACAGCTCAACTGTATTGAACATCGATTCTAATGTTTTGTTGTAGACTTTTGGTAATGGGGAAAATAGACGATGCCAAAATAGCACTGTCTACATTTTTGAAAATATTTGTAGAGGATCATCCAAATGCGATTGTATCAACACAGCGACTGTCTGGACGAGATTTACCAGTATTCACATCTGCATATCTGAATTTTGCACAACTGACTATTGAATGCATCGATCGCCAAGCAGGCGATCTATATATGAATTTAGTGCACTTTTATACAACTGTTCTTGGTGAAGATGGATACATGCTTACGGTATGAGTTTAAATCCTTTGCCATGAGTTGTATGTCTGCATATCTTGTATAGTTTTTGACTGTTGCGATTTAGATTGCAGAGACTATTGCAGCAGCATACTTTGATCAAGGACCACGCAAGAAGCAGGACAATCCATTGATGAATATGATGAAAGGTCTATTTGCAGGCCCACCGTCTGGACAAGCGCAGCAAAACCAAATTACCGAAATGGATTAAACCTGCTTGAATAAATGCTTCAAATTTTCATGTGACTCCATGCTGATATAGTCAAAAGTTGGTTCTGACAGTACTCCAAGCATGGTTACTGAAATAATTCCTGGCACTTTATTTGTTGATCATTTTTGTGGTGATCCGCTCCATAAGCTAGAGCCAGTGAAACAGAGTAAACTATAAATATACACCCTCATCGTCATCCTGTACAGTAGCATCAAGTTGCTCATCCATCATATTTTCAGGTGTTAATTGAGGTCCAGTTGATGATTGTCCAAGTGTCGAGGTAAAGCAAGACTGGGGTGTGGCTTTAGAGTCTGCAGATTCCAGCATATCCATAAGCTGCTGGGATCGGTTATTGATTGCTTTGATCATCCGCATTTGTCTGTCAATAACTGTAACATTTTCTTGAATTGCCTGATAATCAGATTATGTTTGGTGGTGCAATAGAATAGATTAGAAATAGTTTTGGTTTAGCTTGAAAGCTATATAGATGAAACAACTCTAAAAAAACCAGATGCAATAAACATGTAAAGACTGAGATGTGACAATACACAAGAATCGAGACCATTCATGCTTGCCTCTGCACAATCAGGATCAGTTGAGCTGTATTCTCTCAGTTCAGCATTAGTTTTTAATAATAGCTCGACAGAATGCTTGAGTCTGTCAGCTTCTTGCGCCAGAAACTCAAGATTGTCCGTCTGGGTAACAATGCCATGCATAACACCTCCAGCAACAGATCCAGTACCAGAGACATGAGGCAGTTGGGCAGCAATGGCTGCAGGAGGAGATTGAGTCTTGCGCTTTATTAAGAATATTCCAGGGGATACTTCGACTTCAGACTCGAACAGTTCTGAAGGAAAAGCACCGTTTTTATCAGAACCATTCATGGTCAAAGTGCTAGTCATGGTAGAATGTTGCAGTTTACGGCTAGCGACAATGAGAATGAGAATGGAGAGATAAAATAAGAAATTGTTGGCAGTCAGCGTCAAATGCTCGTAAATTTCATTCGACTGTTTTTGGGTTTCTCTTGTGAGGATTGTTGATTTGACAAATATTTTGGTTTGTGTCCGCAACGACAGTCTGGCTTGATGCATTCAATTCAATACAAAACACTCATTTCACTGCAAATTTGTGAAGTTTACATAAAATTCGCTTAATAATATGCTAAACAATACATATATCATACTATATTTCGACAGTCCGAGGTAAAAACAATATCAACAACGACCACATCTACGGAATGCGTGCAAAAACTACGCACATATATCGTTTTTTAAAAACGAGACGAGTATCCTATTCCAAATCTCCATCCTTTGGAAACCGTCTCCTGCAATTATAATAAATTCATATGTAACCCAACATTTCTCCTTTTAATCCATCTGCATATGTAAGTTCTGTACCATTGAATAACTCAAATCACCAAATTCCACCTCACTCCAATTTTCCAAGCAGATACTAGCCCTGATTGTCTGATCGCTCAGTCTAGTCCGCGAATCAGTAATTAAATGCCTTGCCTTTGAAAAGGCGTGCTCCGAGGACGCAGATGTGGCTGGAATTGCTAGATAATCCCTTGCCATTTTTGCAAGCAAGGGGAAATCCGATTCACGACGTTTCCACCACTCCAATGGGTCTTGCCTAGGATCCACCACTGGGATATTCAAATACTCTTCGAGTTGCAAAGTAGGAGCCAACTTTTTCTTTTTAAAAACCCTACTTGCTGGAGTAAGTGCATCCGAATTCTAATGAAATGAGCGTGACAAAGTTTAAATACAAGTAATTACGCATGTGATTATCTGACAAGTCCAATGCCGTTTTGAATACCTCTAATTGCATCAAGCCACTTTGATTGTGGTACTCGGCATAGACGCTTTGGATTTGCCTTTTTGATTTTTTCTTTCTGAGAAGCATTTTCTTGGGCATTCTGATTTTCGTCGTCGTAAAACTCAAGTTTGTGTCGAGGATCAAGTACCACAGCGATCACACAATGGTTATTGGAAACATTAAAATACTTGTCAAGCTTCATTTGGGATGCATTAATTGCAAGCGATTCATTGGCAATTATCCGACGACTTGCTGGAGTTCCAGAAATCGAAGCGTCTAATCTTTGCCCATAATCATTGACGACATTTTCACAATGGTCCAATAACACGTTGTACCATGGTATAACGTATGACAGCGTTTGATGCTTGTTGCTGCTGCATTCCATTGTGGCTTGTTTAAATGGTTGAAAGAAATGCACTAATTCAGTCAAGTCGTCCCAATCTCCCGCTGACGGCACGTCAGGGATCTTCTTTTCCATGTACAATTGATCCAAGATTTGAATGAGTGGTCCTAATTAACAAATTTAAAGACAACATGTTATTGCAAATTTAACTGCAAGTTGGCATACATAAAGTGCTCTTGAAGTTCAGCTCTAGATCCTTGACGTACCTCGCATTTTCAAAGATGTGACCAGCATATCGAATGTAGAGTTCCATTTCGTGGCGACATCAAGGATTGGCTTTAAGATTCTCCCATGATCTTTTTCAGTTGTTCCATCGATGCGGGGCAACATTGTAGCAATTTAATCCCTTCCCTCAGTGTCTCGATTGATGTCTTGATCTCTTGATGTGCATCTTGGGCGGCAAGATCAAGAACATGTGCAAAGCAACGATGATGACATTCGGGAGATTCCAAATAACCAGAATTGATGAGCTCTTGAATGAAAACCTCATTGTTGGACGCATTGTCAGTGCAGATTCCTAAAATGAGCGATTTCCTATCACCGCATATGGGTTCCACAATCTGCTTGAATAATGCCGCAATGTTCTGGCCGCTGTGGCTGTCATTAAACACAAGAATGCATTTCAGTTTCCAATTTTTGTCAATAAAATGGGCAGTGACAGCCGTGTAAGCAACATTGTCTGGCGATGTCCATATGTCGGTCGTAAACGAGATCTTGGATGTGTTTTCTTTGATAAGAGCATAAACGTCAGCTTTTGCAATTTCGAAATCACGATTCACAGTTTGTGATATAGTATCGGCGGACTTGAAAATGATATGCTTGTTGATGTACAACATCATTTGTTGAAAATAGGGATTCTCAACAATCAAAAGCGATTGATGGTCACCAACGATCCACCGCTGTAGCTTGTTTTGAAATTCTGTTTGGGTAAACCCTGTCAGTACAAGAAAATAGATTACATCAAAAAATACAATATTAATATTCCAGACAGCAGAAATAATGACGCATCATACGAGTATGTAATGATTACCTTTTTCAAAGCAGTCTTGAATCTTACTTTGTAGTTTTGTACCCTTCAAATTTATACTTGTGGAGTCTTTGGAATACTGATCCATTGCATCTGATAGAGCGTCGCGATGTTTGGTCACCAAATGGGCAACAAGATTGAAGTTGGTTCTTGAATTTGTCTTGACGAGCTGCTGACAAATTTTACAGGGAATTCTCGCCTTGTCAAGGTCATTTATATCATCAGGTTTGTCAAAGAACTGCCACACCAAACTGGCCTTTGAGACTTTAGACAAACGTGTGGTTGTTAAAGGAATAGAGCATGGGATTGAGGGTAAGGAGGACGACGCATGGTCATGACTGTCGTCGGGTTTCCTTTTCCCTTTGCTTGCATTCTCGTGTCGATCGATTGACGTTGACGACAGCTCATACACACCCATAGAGGAAGTTACTTTTTGTGATAGAATGGTAATTTAAGGTGATCTCAGAAACAGGATTGCGAAAAAATAATTATTTTGCAATCCCAAAATCCATTTCATTTCGCATATTTCGCAAAGTTTTTGCGAAACGCTAAATAACTCTATTTTGTTCCAGAATAATCATTACATATTCGTTGTTATTGGATATTGACTACTCCTTTTATTGAAAACTCTGCTGTATTCTAATATCAGATACGTTCGTGTTCTAGTTCAAGAGAACAAAGATCGTACGTCTCAAGAATACAACAACTGTTTCTATGCCGGCCATGCAATGTCCACTTGAAATATTAGTTCTGGAGTTTGAAAAATGTGGAATTATTGAAACAGATGTAAACATTCGCTCTGTATTTTTGTGCAAGAATCAGCATGGAGGAAAAGGACCAGTGAACTTTTTTAAGGGGTTCAATATTGTCCAGTAAGATTGATGGGAATCGGAACCAATCAAGCATGAGACTGATGGCTTATTATGGATTTTGACACTTGTTTATTACTTCATTCTATATGAATACGGCTACAATTAGACGCCATCATTGATTCGTAGACCAATACAACCAACGCTTATTTTGATTTATCGCAGCTACTTTTTATATCCAGAATAAACTAATAATCGACTATATGCTGATGGGTAACTCTGCCACCGCCTGGTTTGGGTCATCCATTACTACCGCCTATATATTCACTGTGCTCGTTTGTGATTTACTGGGTAGTGGTTTTATGCATGTAGAAGCCAAACCTTTACATGCTGGTAAGTCTATAGTATACTGTCATGTTGCATTCAATACCACTACGTTTAGAGTGCAATGACTAGCCATTCGTTGGATTAGTGATCGACTCCACTTGTAAATATCCACGCGACTGTAATTGCCAGAAATCAGCCTCGCTGATGGACAGGCATTTATCAATATGTGCTAGACTCGAGCATGGTATATACCCATTGCATATATCAGTTACTGATGCATTTGCTTGTAATTAGTGAATCAATTCGATCTCAACGGCAATGTCTGTCCATTGCCACTTAGATACTCGCAGTTGTGTCCTGTACTCTGTGTCAAGGATATTGCTCTATGTCCAGCCTTGGTGCAGCCTGCAGCATGTCCTTCTGGTCAATTCTATTGTCAAGACGGCCAATGCCATGCTGGCAATTCACTTTCTGCTGCCTGTCCTGCATCTATGGCGTCAGTCTGTAGTTGCGGCAGCGATGCATTTGCATCAGTCATCTCTCCTGTGCAATCCTCTGGCAGCACTTTGTTTCCATGCTCTCCGACCCAGCCCAGAGTCAATGTCAAGGTCTGGTCAAACTCTTCTGCTACAATGGATGAAAACCCCGCTGGGGACACTGACCTTGCACTGGCCTGTGCGACTGCTCTTGGCTTGGACACTGGAAGTATTCCTGCCAACATCACAACCCCATTCTTCAAGCAGTGTCTGCTCACTGCAAAGGTTTTGGCCATGAACGAACCCGAGTTTGTTATTTTCTTTGGCTTTATTGTTGTTCAGTCGATCATATTGGTCTTGTTTCAGATTTATCGTAGCGTTCGTTCGACTGTAAGCAAATACACGTTTTGGATCGACTATTTGGCTAATGTCCAATATTAACTTGAACTGCTATTTATACGCAATAGTCGTCACATATATCTACATCTGGTAGCAGCAAGCAAACTACAGTGTTTGAAAGCGGTTTGGAAATGGAGAGCGTAATTCCCTCTTTCAAGTCAACTGCTAAACTCGCTCCTAGCAATATCAAGTTTTCTGGCTACCGGCACGATCCGCTAGGCACTTTGGTTTTGGCTACTGTGGTCATCTCAAGCTTTGTATGGCTAGGAATAATGTCAATCATCATTGGAGACTATTACCAAGTATTTTCTGGGTACAGTTATCGCGGCACTCAAATGATTTTTGGAGACCACGATAATCTGTCTCGTATTTTTATCGTATTATGGCATATCATGACCATTTGGTATGTTACCCTTCAAATCAACTCTGCATGGCTTCAGACTTACTTCAAGACTCGTGCACCACTTACTCGTGCTACCCATGTGCTGGTAGAAAAGGAAATTCCTTGTGCTGTTCAGTTTAGTGACGCTGGAAAATGGGTACTTCTTATGCAACGATTTGAAAAAACCCTTCAGAGAATGACAAAAACCGATCGGGCCATCAAACTCACTCGTGTCAAATACACTACCAATGGTCGTAAATACATCGAGTTTGAATGTGTTCGATATGTCATGGATTCAGCTACTGGATCATTTGAGCCATATTCATTTAATATCGGACCAAAGTGTTCTGACTTGGTGTTTGGAAAAGAACAAGCAAATGGATTGCCATCTACAGAGGCAGAGCGTCGAGTGGAGCTTTGTGGACCCAACGAAATTGTGTTTAAAATCGACACATTTGCTCGTGGTCTCATCAAGGAGTTTACTGGCATTTTCTACATTTACCAGCTGATGATGCTTCTTATTTGGTATTACTATGCCTACTATTACATGGGCATTGTTCTTACCATTGTTATTATTGCATCTGGTATTGTCAAGATTATTGTATCCACAAAGTCACAACAACGAGTTCTTGAAATGGCCACTTTTCATGGCCGTGCAAAAGTCTTCCGCGACGGCATATGGACTCGGGTAGATTGCTCAAACTTGGTTCCTGGTGATGTGATTGAAATTGAAGCGTCCCATAACGAATTATCAGTCGATTGTGTACTTGTCAAGGGACAAGTTGTTGCTGACGAGTCTTCTTTGACTGGCGAGGCTCTTCCTGTTGCCAAGTTTCCCATCAAAAACATAGATCGAGTCTATAATCGCGAAGAGTCTGAAAAAACCAACACATTGATTGCTGGCTGCCATATTCTAGAGGCTCGTCCAGATGTCGAAGGCGAATCGGTCATGGCAATTATTCTTGCTACTGGTGCCTCCACCTCCAAAGGCAGTCTTGTCAAGGACATTCTTTATCCTATGCCCATTTCGTTTATTTTTCTAGAGCACCTAAAGATTGTTATCCCCATGCTTGCTATTTGGGGTGTGGTGATGCTTTTCTTGTCCATGGCAATGCTAGGTTCAGCCACTGCCGATGCCTGGTTTTATGGAATGATTACAATTTCTCAAATTCTATCTCCATTGCTACCTGCTGTTCTTGTTATTGGTCAAAGCATTGCAGCGGATCGTCTACGTGCCCAAGGCATCATGTGTGTTGATCTTGCTCGCATTACGCTTGCTGGAAAAGTCAAGGTGTTTTGTTTTGACAAGACTGGCACGCTCACCAAAGAAGGTTTGGATTTCCTTGGCACTCATGCAATTGACAAAGACAAGGCCGAGTTTAAAGTAGTCAAAACCGAGTTTGAGTCATTTGACGATGAGATGAAACAAGCCATGCTCTGCTGTCATTCCCTATCAATGGTTGGATCTCAGCACGTTGGAAATTTTGTTGATATTGAAATGTTCAAGGCTACTGCAGCTGTGTTGGATACACGATCTGGTAGTACAACTATGATTATTCCCAATAGAATTTCCGACAACATCAACACCATGCATATTCTTAAACGGTTTGAATTTGTTCACTCGCACGCCTACATGTCTGTTGTTGCAATGAATACCGTTACCAACAGAATCACAGTGTATATCAAGGGATCGTTTGAAAAGGTGCAGGAATTAGTCAACCCATTTACACTTCCTGCCAACTTTGAAGCGGTTTCCAAGAGTCACTCGAGTACAGGATGCTATGTTCTTGCAATTGCTAGACGTGAATTACCAGAAGGAACACTTGCTGCAGACTTGCATACGTGGACTCGTGAGCAGTTTGAGTATGGTGCAGATATGGTTGGACTTTTGCTGTTTCGTAACCAACTTAAACCAGATACTGTCACTGCCTTGGAAGAACTGCGTGGAGGTGGCTGTCGTGTTGTTATGATTACAGGTGATCATGTCAATACTGGCATTCATATTGCTCAAACTAGTGGCATGATTTGTCAAGATTGGCAAGGAGTAGACCCTATTGTTGCTCTTGGTGATGTTGACAAGAGTCAGGACACTGTTCACTGGACACTGGTAGGCAGTGACAAGCGTATTAGTAGGTCTGAGCTTGAAAACATGCTTGGTCAGTCCAGATCTGGTCTTCAGCCCGTTGAACTTGCTGTCACGGGCAAAGCATTCAATATGCTTGTCCGCGATGGATTCATGAACGAGTACCTCTTTGAAACGCGTGTTTTTGCTCGTATGAGCCCTGAAGATAAAGTTCAATGTGTTCGTCTGCATATGACCCATTGCATTACAGCCATGTGTGGTGACGGAGGTAACGATGCAGGTGCACTCAAGGCTTCTCATGCTGGTGTTTCACTTTCCGAGGCAAAATCATCAGTTGTCTCCCATTTCTCATCTCGTAACCGCTCAATTCATTCGTGTGTCAATCTCCTCAAAGAAGCTCGTTGTTCACTGGATGTTTCTTTTGCCTCGTACAAGTACTTGATCATGTATGGTGAAATTTTGGCATTTGTTGGGTTGATTCAGTATTACTTTGTAGTCAATATGAGTCAAGCCATGTGGATCTTGATTGATGGTATCACCATTCCCATCAGTTGGGCACTCACCATGTCCAAACCCTCTCGTCGATTGGTAAACTCTCGCCCAACAGCACGTCTACTTGGATTTGAAACCATTGCATCAATTGTTGGTCAAATTTTCATCAACATTATCATTTTGGTGATTGCAACTGCTTTACTTTTCAAACAATCGTTTTTAAAATGTAGCGAGTTTGACGGAAACAAGGCCGATATGCGTAGATGGTGGGAGCTTGCAGACAATTTTGAGGGCGAAGTAACTGGTCTTATCACAGCATTTCAAATCATTCATGCATCAGCAGCGTTTAATCTTGGATCTAAATATCGAAATGGATTCATGATGAATCGTCCATTTTTCATGGTCTACGGTCTGGTGTTTGGCGTGATATCTTACATTACCTTGGCAAATCCCAACTGGCTTGGATGTGTGTTTCACATCAACTGTGGAACCAAGGATGCGATTGCAGAAATTGGATACACTGTTAATTTCCAGCTTCCCGAACAGTATTTTGCCCTGGCAGGACACAATGTCATGCCCTTTAGTTTTAGAATGGTTGTATGGGGATTGGCGGTCATTAATCTGGTGTTATTGATGTGCTGGGAGGGTATTGTCATACTTGGCCCAGTGAGAAGATATTTTATGAGAAGATTTCCTCAAAAACGCACTGTCCAACTTAGAGTTTAAGCTTTTTACAGTCGTATTCACGTAAAATGAAGCACCTTTCTATATTTATCTTGGGATATATAATGGTTGAATACTTGTATTTTACTACTGGAAATTGATTGTTTTTTATCAAGTTCTGTTGTATTCTAAAAACTTGCAAATACGTTTCAATTCAAGAAAACATTTCAGGAATGCAACTGTTTTATGCAATCACCCAATGTTTGAAGGTTGAAAAGATGTGGAATGTGTGGAATGTGTTGGAACAGAAATGTAAACATTCGCTCTGTATTTCTGTACAAGAATGAGCACAACAATTAGTGAATTAAAGTTTATAAAACAATATTGTCCAGTAAAATTGGCACCAATCAAACATGACTTGCTTATCATGTATTTTGATATTTTATTTTACGTGAATACGGTTGTAAGTTTAGCTCTTGATCCATACAGTCTTATACTCTCAAAGATTACCCATGTCATCCGATGCATTTAGCAATTTATTATATGCGTCACTATCAGCACTTGTCGCAAGAACAATCACTCATCCACTTGATACTCTCAAAACAAGAATCCAAAACTCACCGAGTCATTCCACCTATTGGCGTACGGCAACCTCGATTCTTGGTTCTGAGCATCCTTCAGTGTTCTTTCGAGGTATTGGAGTGACTCTCTGTTTTAGTGTTCCTGGAATGTCTCTTTACCTCGCTACATATGATGAATTGAAGTTGCGATTGGGGGAAACTGAATTATTGGGTGGAAGTAGCTCGCTCTGGACACATGCATTAGCAGGTGCAGGTGCCGAATGCATTTCAAGTGTCTTTTGGACTCCTATGGAAGTTCTCAAAACCAAACTTCAAATGGGAGTAGGTGCTACTGGAGCTAGTTATGATGTGTTGAATGAGAAAAGGCGATCAGAAGGAAGTCGAACCCTAAGACTTGCTAAAGATATCTACCAGACATTTGGCATGCGTGGGTTCTATCGAGGATACCTGCTATCTCAGGCTGTATTTATTCCATATACTGTAAGTGAGATGTTGGTGTTTAGACTACAAGGAACCTTGTTTTAACTCTGGTTTATAGATGATCTACTTTGTAACGTATGAGCAATTCAAGCAAACTTGGTGTCGGTTGTTTAGCACGAAATCCTTGACAGATGATACTAGTTCCAACCCAGACATATCGTTTAGTGGGTATTTGCTCTGTGCTTCTACAGCAGGGGCAGTTGCAGGCGGGGTTTCCAATATAATGGATGTTGTGAAAACCAGAGTGCAGGTTACATCTGCACAATCAGCATGGAAGGTCATTCATACATTATGGACTCGAGAGCGAGGTCCATTGGCATTTACCAAAGGAATGTGGGCACGAATCCTATGGGTAACTCCTAGCATGGCGATTAGTGTGACAGTGTATGAGCTATTTAAAGAATATTTTGGGAAAAACAGTCATGATTAAGAATGCATGATTCATGGCTAGCGACAATGAGAAGGAAGATGAAATAAAGAGATTGTCGACAGTCATGAGAGTGTAATGACATAAAATTCAACCCCATTTTGGGATGGATGTTTTACGAATATTGGTAGATTGTCTGCTGATGGAATAGCAAGAATATCTACTAATCGTGTCTTGTGTAGCGCATTAACCATCTCAACTCATCTTGTTGCTCTTCCAAAAAGAATATGCATCAGCAAGAGTAAACCATCAGTCAGATGTTGAGAGTGCGTGTACGCTTGACTACACATTGCATTCTACACGAGTCAGGATTATATGGAAAGTCTTGCATCTCATTTTTGATGAAATGCAAACCAGTAAAATGTAAACTTGCACTTGCAAAACTCTTGCCAGCCTTTACAAGACGCTGAACTTGATTGTTGTAAAACTACACAAAAGTGTAATTGAATGGATTGTAAATACTTTCTAAAAAACATGATGCACTGACGGTTGCTGACAATTTCTCATTTACAGCCATAATTATGCTCTTTATCGTTAACCGAAAAGTTGCAACAAGTTGGTCATGTCTTTCAACAATGCCTTGGCCGACCTGGCTGATGCAAACTCTGACGAGCCATTACTATTGACCATTTCTTTTATAGTCCGCACTGGGCCGTTGGGTGAGCTCATTCATGGTCCTGTTGTTTCCACAGAGACCACTGCCAACACTCTTGCAGATATGACTGTCACAGACCTTGCTGCGCTTGGAGATGTCAACACTCCGACACTGGATACAGGGCCTGCCACTAGTCTGGATGCCAGTACTCTTGTTCAAGAAGAAACTGCTGCTACTAATCCACTGACTATAGGACTGCTGGACAACTTTCTGGGTCATGAAAGACCATTTACATTCTCATTGGGATCAGTTAGAGAAACGAGTCGAATGCCTTATATGCCAAACCTTCGTCCACTTCCACATAGGAGACGAGCTCTTTTGACTGCTTTCATTTCAGAATCACTAGAAAGTATGGCTCCTTTACTCTATGTAAGTATTTGAATGAATTCCTATATCAGGCAGTTGGATTAACCTGCATGTCTTGATTCGCTAGAACATGCTGCTGACTCGTATGGTACAGGAAGGTGCTGGACTATTAGGTCATCAGCCGCATTTGCAAGGCCAGCCTCCAGCTGCTGAATCTTCAATCCTGGCTCTACCCATTCTACACTCGCTATCAGAAAAACGTCGTTTAAAGCATAAACTATGTGCTGTTTGTCAAGAAGACTTTCCTCGATCATCTACCACTCCCCCAGTGACTGAATCCCAATCTGAGCCATTTGATGTTCAGAAAGAAAGCCACACTTTAGATTTACTGCCTGGTTTGAATGACCCTTCTTTTAAGCTGTCTGAAAAACCTCTATTCATTCGTATGCCTTGCAGACACATCTTCCATCAAGACTGTATCTCCACATGGCTCAAGACAAGCTGTACTTGTCCTAGTTGTCGATATGAGGTATGATGTGCTTGATGTGCTTGTTGAGCTGTCAACTTTGTAGAATGCGCTAATGACACTACTATCCAGATATTGACCGAGAATCAGGATTATAATATTGGAATTGCTGAACGCATGCTTGATCGAAATATGGCTTTGCTAGACGAACAAGATACTGATCTGGAAGATGAAATGACCGACGCATCATCAACGCTTGCAAATACCATCACTACACAAATACCAAGCAAGCGAAAGAGAAGTGAAAGCACAGAGGTTAGTAGCGGTGTTGTCACTCCAGAGACGCTTGAACTTGCCAATGAAGAGCTATCTACACCGGCAAGATTTATACTACAACCGTCACAGCGCAACACTTTACAGGCTCGTTCAGAGACTAACATGAGTGTTCTTGTCCCCTCTATAAATCACATTCGCAGTACTCGCGCTAGTCATGCATCAACACCATCTACTCGTACACTACAGAGTCGACGTCTTTCCAAGGGTCGTTCATCTAAATAACCTGTTCAATATCTCTTGCATCCTTTAACTTTATATACTTATATCCCACTAGATTTGAACTTTGCAGATTTGGCGGAAATCAAATGATTTTATTTTAAAAAGCATATATAAAATAATCTTATTTCATCTCCATCTGTGGAGCTTATCAATAAGGTTTATCATAACAATAAAATATATTTCCTTGATTGCTTCAATAGTATTTTTGGTTTATTTTACAGCCGTATTCACGTAAAATAAGTGTCTAATAAATGGCCAGTTTCATGTTGGATTGGTACCGATATACAAAACATATTTATATCAGTCTCGGTCAATCTTGAATTCTCCTTTCATTCAGATCAAACATTATGGCATGGAAACAATAGTTATATTTCTAAACATGCATCTTTGTCGATTGGATTGAATTGCAAGCGTATTCGAGTTTTTAGAATACAACAAAGTTCAAGAACATCTGGATGAATCTAGTGATTGTACAATAGTAGTATAGATATATGATTATACAAAAGTAGGATTATCTCGTTGAAAACTATAGTTTGAGTGTGTTATATGATGATCGCTATGTTTGAAGAATGGAATAAGCAATCCAATTAGTAATAGAAAACCCAATTGTTTATTTGGAAGCAAAAATGATTGCAAGATAAATACAAATGGTTCATTTTACATGAATACAGTTGTAAAATAACAGCAATACATGGCAACAAATGAATTATTCAAACAGAAACTACCAGAACAGTTACTAGATGCTTTATCCAGCGGAACTTGGTCTCGACTTGTTCGGATTGTGCCATTGATATGTCATGCTCAAAAAACTGCTATCCAATTTCCATCCATTGAAGGTTTCAAAGAATTGCCATTGACTATATTGCTAAACACAATTGTAATTACAAAAAACTAACCATTCACTGCTGATGAAATACAACAGTTGCCAATGTCAGATCACCAGGAGTCTTGTATCTGACCAACCCATTTCGAATTTCACAATTCAGCAGGATTTTGCTAGCATTGGATTGGAACCAGCTATCAAGTGCTACCAATGTGTCCATCATGATCTTAAACGGAATGCCTATAGATAAATGGTAAAATACCGAGAATTGATAATGCATTTAGGCCGAGTGCAACTGCCGCATACTTGTAAAGAGTTGGTTTCTGGTCTGCTAAACTATTTGATTAGGAATAATCTTCCACTAGATTCGCAGATTATTGCAGAGCAGTTTATATTGATTAGTTTATTCTTGATGATACATCACAATGAGGGTAAATCATCCGGATTAGACGATTCCATTCGATCTCAACTATTATCAAGAATAAACAACAGCGTAAGTTTATCTCGATTATATATCTTGATGCATTGGCTGTAAGTTGCGAGAGCTTACCAGGATGAATATGGTATACATTTGTTTTTACAAACCATTGATTTGATTATAGGATTTACCCATTATACGATGCTCAAAACTATCTCCTGGTGCATGGAAGTCGACTTTTTCTAACCGATCTCTAAGACTGAGCCCAGACACACTTTTCGCGACTATAGTTTACGAATGGTAGTTTGTGTTGGATTTTGTACTTTCCACTTGGCAACATTTTATACTGATTCTTTTTTAGGGAACTATTCATACATGCAGCATTAGACAATATACGCACATCTTACTATGAGCAGCAAGGATTCTTGAACTTGGAAAAGCTTAGTTTGTTTTTAAACAAGGACCCAAAATCAGCCAAAACAATCAGTCAAGCTCTTGCTACATCATACTACACCGTTTTACAATACGCTAATGTTCATCCAGCTATAGCATATACCAACTTGGAGTTTCTGGCAATACTTTCAAACGATCTACCAGTAGTATGGCTGAATCCACATTTTGTTCAAATTTTGATTAAAACTCTTGATCATTTGGCTGGTATCAATTCCCCTAGCAATCAAACAATTGGATATATAAAGCAGTCTTTAATACTATTTCTTACCGTATTGCGTAGATCCGGTAAGCAATAGACTGAATTGCGTATGAAGCATTTAAGCACTATTTTTTACTTATTTTGAGCTGTGTTTTGAATTAGATATTGACGAGTTGTTTGATCAAGCACGACAAATTTTATATTCATGCATACAAAAACTACAATCTCGTCAACTCGATGTGTTGGCCAGTAGAGCTGCTTTAGTATATATTGCACTTTTAGGTAATTTGAGTATGTCATATTGCTATTCATTTACAACTTTTAATTTCTAAATCATTTCTAATGTAGCTCGAACTAAACAGTCAATCTCACTCAATGCAATACACGATCTAACAATTGTATTGAAACACGCTTATACTACCGAGGAAATGCTCAGTGAACTTGTACTTCTCATACCCAAGTGTGATCAACCATCCAAACGACAGATATTCAAATCACTTTTTTGCTCTTTGCATTCAGACCATTCTACATTAGATTCTATCGAAAATCCATCGTTTGAGGAACTGGTTCTACTTGTTAGATTGCTCACGTCTTCCGAGTTGGCGATTACAAAAGTATTTGAAGCAGAATTGTGTCGAATATCTAATATACATTATGGATGGACAAGCTGGTTAATGTGCAAGCCAAAATTGTCATTAGAATGGACATTGGATATTATTGAAGCAGTTCTTGCAATTGATTGCCGTAAACTCGACGCGACTCCAACTGACGATACTCTTGGTTTTCTGCTACATGAACGAGAACTATTTGCTGTGGTTGGTCTACTGTAAGTTTACAATTTATCAAATTCATATTTGTGAGATGTTACTTATTTTATGACGTGAAATAAAATGCGTTTTTAGGGAAGCTTTAGTTTGTGGCAAGAATAACGGGGAAAGTATTCCAAGTATGTATATTCACGAAATAGCCAAATGGATCATACTTAATCTACATTTTGTAGACCAATCGAATCTCGAAAAAGTATCTTTTGCATTTTCAAGAGCTATGAATGCGTTTGGAGGCTCGACATCTCAAGACATTTTGGGCTTAGCACAGTCTATGTGTATTGATGCCAATTTTAAGCAAGTGGTAGTGCTATCATTAGATATGCTACTGACACATTCTGAATGCATGCCTGTTTATACAGAAATGGTCGGTGATTCAAAGGTAGACAATCATTTTGGATCTGATTGGGATTGTTTGTAATATCAATCGCTAATGTGGTTAAAACATAGGTAACTTCAAATAGCACAATCACTGCGTCTAATGCTTCAACTCTTTCAAAAGCTTTGAGTATGAGTGTTTGTTTACTCTGGAAAAATGGCGATACAAAGACAGTGTCGGATTTTTATAGCAGGTATTTACTGTTTTCACTTGAATCAAAACATCTGATTTTGTAACTATTTATTTTAATTCAAATCTGAATATGTAGAGTTTTTGTACAAACTAAAGATTGTTTTGAACATTGGAAAAAGTTTCCACTTTCCCAATACACATTAGAAACAGTACCTGGTAAGGTTTGATTCTATTGACCATTGCACTTTGAACATTTGCATACACTAACTTGTTTCTTATTGTAAAGCGGAATGCAATGCAGCTTATGATATAATATTTAAAAAGTTTCAGCGATCGATTATGTTGATGCTAGCGTTATTTGGTGGAATTGGGTCAATTTCTGCTGAATACCTTCAAAATCGGATGCTGCATCAAACACCAATACCCAACGTTTTACTGGATACAGTTGCTGTATCTGTGCAAGCAATGTCAAATTTACATTTTATCATTTCGCAATTTGGAATCGATGGCGTAAGTTTGTGGGTTCAGTTGATGGATACTTTTTGTGATATTCTGTCATACTCGCAATTCAAATCGATTCAAACCTTGGAAATATGTGCGCCTAAATCTAAAGCTAATTTAGGTAAATCATCACTATTGTTTAGTTAAACACGCTGTCTTGCATTTAATTCTCACCAACATACCATTTATCAATCACAGCCAATCTATCTCCAATAGAACAATCTCAGTCATTGTTTTATTTGCTGCTAGCCGGACGACTGATAAAAGCATTAGATGGTGATTATATCTCCACGTGCATCCTCCCAATTGCGCATTCATATATTTTTCAAGAAAAGAATACACCGCCTTTTACTGAACTTGAGTCTACGGCAAGCGCACTTGATCTTTTTGATTCAGCACATTCGGTCTATTTAAAATTGTTTGAATGTTCCTTTTTGCATCGGTCGCTTGTATGTCAAATTGCTCCAGATTACGCGGACATTCTGTTAAAGGTATCCATATTTTTGAAGCTGTATTCGAATGGTGAAGATTATATGTGAGCCAACTGTCTTTTTTAAATTGAGCGTAGCTGTTTCCAAAGTTTATGGACTATGAAGCATTGTGCTTGTGCTTCAATGTTACTATGAAAGGATTTGGTGAAACGTTTTTCGCTAATCCAGCAATGCATACCGGAAATTATACAAACAAGGACGAGTTCAAGCACGATTTGCACATTGAAATGCCGATAAATAATACGGGACAAACGGATCTCAAAACAGCAAGTGACACACAAGTTGAACATTTTAAAGATACTAAAAACTTTTCAAAGTACAATGTAGGATGTATAGATTTACCTACTAGATATGCACTAGAGACACAGGCTGAAACGGCATCTCGAAAATGTATATCTTTGCTTCTTGATGCAATACATCAACTGACCGAAATTCATCAAGATTCTCCCAATGCTTTACATACTGATTCACCAACGGCCTGCGATGCCAAGTCTAAATCCAGCCAGTCACGACTTGAAAGTATTCTTGCTACTAGCAAACCAACTGCAATGTTTTTACAACGGAATCAACTGATTATGCTTTTGTTGGATCAGTTGCATACTGTTTCCTTGGCCATGCTTCCTGGACTCATGCAGCATATATCTGATTTATTTATTGAAAGCATTGACGTGAGTATGGATTGTGTATCGTTGCTAGAATCTCCACTGTGGCAATCGTTGTTTAAAACTGTATCAGGTGATACTATGATAGACTATACTCGAAGAGTTTATACTGCGGAATGGTATATGCGTCTTTATAAAATGGCCACCCGCCTGATCAAACTAAAAAAACAATCTACTTTACAAAAATTAGAAACACCTTTGACTAATTTACAACTGAGTGCAAAGCTTTAAATGAAATTGTTTTATTTTTTGACTCGAGCCAGTAAGAAACCTATTTTATTTTTTGCTTGCCTTGGTATGCATTACAGTGTCTGTTTTATGAATAGATCGTTGGCTTGATTTGGGTTTAAAAGTGGATTCATTGTTTTCATTCGAGTTTAAAATAGGGAGTGTGGTAGATAACTGCGACATTGGGCTTCCGACCTCCAAAGTGCGATTTTTTCGTTGAGTCAATTTTGGCGAGTTTGTTTTGGATCCACCATGCTGGCGTGAAACTATGTGTGGATGTATAGCCAATTTCTTTGGACTTTCCGAAAAAGCTGGATGCAATATAGAATCATTAGTAGTTTGGGAAAGAGGTTGTGATACGTTTGATTCGACTTGTTTCACGTCTTCACTTTGAACCGACTGAAGTTGAATTGTCGGGATATTGAATGAATCAGACATAGTATTTGCAGAAAAGGGACGCACGTTTTGTGGGTTGGATTGCGCCGATGCAGGACGTATATCATGTGTGGTCAGATCAAGTGGTATTGTAATAGATGAATCAAATACATCATCTATACCAGCAAGATGTTCCATGATTGCCATATACTCATCCATTGGTAATCCAGGTGGGATTCGAGTAGCATTTCGCAAACTCGACTTGTCCGAGATGTCTAGTTTTTCGCGTCCAAAATCTGTATAAAACCCAGCCAGCGCTTTGGAAGGAACTCCAGCATTCAATAAATTGATGGTTGTTGACGACATACCACCTTTTGCTGATGATTTTTTAGGAGTCAGACTCATTTCATCGCTAATCACTCCAACCATGCGACTCAACGGAAGCAAAATATGCTGATTCAATACCACTTCAAGATCGCTTAACTGGGCAAGGTTTTTTATGATTGCAGGCTTGTGAGCATACTTGTATGGCCGGATATTCGACAAAAGTGTAGCCAAAAAATTCGAGGCTTCCATAAAATTGCTTTTTACTTTTACAGTGCCTGATAGACGTCTTTCAATAATAACATAATTTTGGAGTATGGTTTCGAGTGCTGTTTCAAGGCTTCTGTTGATACATACCATGGGATAACTTTGATTTCCAAGCGATTCAATCAAGGGAATCTGGGTTCCAATTTTCCACTAAAGTTTGTAATATCGAAAATTTATCAATGTGTTAACTTGTATCGATCAACAATTTTTTTAACATAAAACCTTGAACAAATGGTTAGATCAGGTACGATTACCTTGCTGTCAAATGTCATACCCGATTCAATACACATGCTTTGAAATAGTTGGGTACTCATGATCTCAAAATTCTGATGCGAAAACCTGCACGTGTAAATACCAACTCGCTCTTCGTAATTTGAATCGTCATCAAGATGTTCTGTATGTGATGCTTTTCGAACTTGATCCTATTAGTTGAAAATTGATTAGTATTTGAAATATACAGCTAGTTTCAATAAATCACTATACTGACCATATCAACAAATGGCACTTTTGAAATGTAACGAAGGTTCAAATATCTTGCCGAATTCAAATTAAAGTATATTTTTCCATCAGTATGAGCAGCCAAGCAGCACGACATGAACAGCATATAGTATGCCTGTGATAGATTTTCAGTAAAATATGGCTTTACCGCTATACACCATATGGCTCGTTCATACTGAAATACTGTTAGCATTGTAGCCATAAGTCCAAGGAATTTGTTCAAAGCCTACAGCTGCATCATTTCAATGCACGACACTTACCGATATAGGATGCCTCCATAAAACAAACTCAAAAGTTACATGGCCCAAAATTCCTTGTTCAGCACATTCATGAGCGATCTGATCAACATGTGTCATGAGCGTTTGGTGCCCAACTGAATACTGTGGAAATATCGATCCCCACTGCGTAAAAGGATTAGTAGCCAGCAATAAGGACGAAGAAACAAGCCTCACGTTCTTGTCTGGCTCAATAACAACATGCACAATGGGGTAATCAATGCAGTTTATCTCTGGATTGACAGTAACAGGACACGCTTCAATTATGCCACCACATGAAATCAAAGCTTGAACGTAACAATTCCAAGACACCCATAAATCCTTTCGACAAATACGAACACAATTAGAAAGCTTGGGCTTCAAAAAATGTTTAAAACAGTCCTTGTTTTTTGTGGTTAGCCAACGACGAGTTTCAGACTCTTCAGGATCCTCGTCTGCTTGAAATTCATTTTGTGCTAATACATCTTCAACATCTACATGATCAAATTGTGAGTAGTTCAAAAATTAAGCTTGCATCAACAGGATGCAGTCTTTAAAATTACCGAAATAAGCCAATCCTCGTCCTTCCATTTCGTGGTCGATTTTAAGAATCCAACGAGATATTGATGGGTTTTGAGTCATCAGATCATTTACTTTGTTGTAAAAGTCCAATTCATCATTGAAATGACTGAGACCTGGATTATAAAATTGCATTTAAGTAGCTTTTATAACATATGGTGTTCTACTTTTGGATTGTACTTGAATACGACTTTATAAAGTATTACCTGGTGGAGAAAGAAGTGGACATTTGGAAATAAAATCTCGTTGAGTAGAGCGCTTGTGAGAAAACTCGGCAAATACTTCCAGTGAACCAAATACTGGAATATCAAGGTACTTGAACAATGAAAAGTGCGTGTAAGCTACAAGTTAAATCACAGCCAGTAGAAATAAAAATGTTGGTTTACATTGGACAGTTCTGCCTCTTGCCAGCTAAATATCCCCGGAACAATATATGCAGGTATATCCTTGATGAATGCAGATATTTTGGAAAGTGCCGTTGGATTACACATTAGAATGGTCGATAACGACACAGTATTTGAAAAATGGTTTGGTTTTTTGAGTGATATCAAAAGTAATCGCTTTGATCGCACCAGCTCGGCCAAATTAAAAGTATATTCTGAATAAATCTGCTTTGGTTAGCAAATATTAACCAGCATAGGTTTGAACATATCTATCAATACATTTACCAATTGCTTGTTTAAAAAACTTTTCTACTTCAGTTGGCATCAGTGTTGTTACATATACAACCGATACATTTGGATCCAGTATATCTACTAATCGTCCCAGTTGTCTTGTTTGCCACGCACTCATATTATTGTGCTTGGAATTACATGAAGTTCCAAAGCTCATGGATGGCAAATGCACGATGACTCTATGCACGCATCAGATTAGATGGTGCATACCAAAATTGTAAAAAATAACTTTAGCCACAAACCTTTTTTGCGCTTTAATCTGAGCCCAGTTTGATTTAAACTCTTTAATACGCTGGTTATGCAGTAAAATATTTTCTTCTATTCGTTTCTAAGCTCGAAAAGTTTAGTTTGTACCCAAACGTTTGATGTTAGTGAAATCAATCGTAACCCGCCAACATACAATATTGACTATAGATACCTTGAACAATTGTTTGAACCTTTCTTTGCATTGACTAATTTTCCACATTCGCAGTATTCTTCTACCTACTCGAATTCGTTTAATAAAGTTTAAATAGTCACGTCGAACAATATACATTTTCCATGTTGCTTGAACTTTGCATGCGGCAGCATATTTTGCATTTTGACCTTTATATCGCTGCCCAACAGCCGATACGATTGAATTGACCTGTATTGTTTAACGTGCCATTTGGTAAATTACTTGTATGAAAAAAAGACTGGTTTTTTTCATGGTGATTAAAAATACAAAAGCACTGGCTGGTCACTTACTTCGTTATAGTTTGTAATGCAATCCATCAGTTCAGAGTTCAAAAAATGAAATTGTATTCTTGGTCTTGTCAACATTTGAATAATTTTCTCTATACTACATTCTGCCCATTGAACTAAAATTGTATGTCAGTCATAAATCGATCCTATATCACATACATTCCAAACTTTAGTGTTTTAATCCCACCAAAAAAATCCAAACAAAAATGCTCCAGTCTGTCAATGAAATAGTATATCAGTGTATCTGGAATTAAACTAGATACGACTTGAAAAAAATGCATGTATGCCTCGCTTGATTTTGTAACTCGACCCATGCTGATAATGAACTGCTTGTGTGATTTTAACTGATTGTTGCATTCTTCAGATGATTTAAATTTTACAAAAGTTTTGCACTGGATATTGGGCAACTCTGGAGCAATATAGTTGGATGGGCATGGTGTTGGAGCATTTTGTAACGCATCTGCAATAATCAAATATTGAATAAATACAAGCAAATTCAACTACTATGTACATGACAAATTGTTTTTTGTAGTTTAAGGATAAATTATACTACCTTGTGATAAAATCAGATTAAAAGAATCTAGTCCAAGTTCAGGTAGTTTAGACCTGCCGCCATCCGAAAAAAGTTTGTTTAAAATAGCACCTTCCCGAATTTCCTGTTTAAATGAAATTTAGAGTTGAGGTTTCAAATCGCACTTTTAAATCGGTTTACTCAATATCACCTTGAGTTTAAGTTGCTTTTGAGTATCATTTGGATCTGCTGTTTTTGCTCGAACCAAAAATGATTCTTTGATAAGTGAATTAACCGTGTTATGGGGTATGGCAGCAGGAACCGTCATAGCTCGTTTATTTTTAAGCTTAAGAGTTGATTCTGGTTTAAAACTGGCGAATTGGTTTGTATTTGGTGTCAAAACTTCTTGATCAAAACTCTGGTGTAGTTCCTAGCATCCCATGAGATATGAATATTAAATGTTTGCTTTATGATTTTGACACTTGTGGTTTTTCAATTGATAGATTTCCAGTTCAAATACAAACATCATTTGTATCCATCAATAAATTGTAGTTTGAAATTATTATGCTTACAGTTGGTTTTCCTCGAAATACTGATAATCGTGCGGATTTGAGTTTTCCTGATCGTTTCCCGAAAACGTGTTTGCTTGTAGTAGATTTGGATGGTATCTGTGGGGTATACTATTGAATGATTAACCATTTTAATTCAATTTGACACAACTCAGCTGTTGAAATGCAAGTCCAATCTGACTGTTGAATATTACTATATAGACACTACTTTATCGACTTATGGTTACCTCTGTAATGATTGGCGCATCATTTTTTTTTGAATCTATAGCCATTAAAATAGAATATATATAAACATTGGGATTGAAAAATATTTGATTTGGTCTGGAATTTTTTGGCAATAAAGTATAAAGTCACCCACCAATGAATCTTACATTGAGTGGTTGGAGTAAATGCTTGTCGAGTATATAGCAGTCGTTCCTGTTTTGATTCAGCTCTTTTTGTAGGATGTTGTGCAATCCCATTTAAAGACTGTAAAAATCCACATGGTGATATACTTTGTGGTATGGCTAAAGATAGCAAGTCTTCAGTCTAATACGCGCGTTTAACATGAATAGTATATTCGTGTTGGCAATTATCCCCATCAGTATGTCCATGAATGGCGTTAATATCCAAGATTTGCATTATAATTGAATAAAATCTTTTGGTCTATGAGAAAGTCGAATCAATATACTGGTCAAGCATCAGTAACAACATGACTTTTACCAACCTTGAATGGTATGGAAGGTGTATATATTCTAGACGAGTCTGGTGAGGGTTTCTTTAAAAAAGGCGACAAATCCGCATATGAAGCAGACTTTGCTCTTACACTGTGACATTGCTTAGGTTGATGCTCAAACTCTACTACATTTTTAGGCAAGTCAAAACTCTGTCTTGGTGTTGGCACCGACATTGATTTTGCTTCAAGATCTATTGTATTGGAATGATGAAAGCATATCTACAATTCAAATATTCAGCAATGTTTCCAACTCACATCACGTGCTTGGGAAGATAAGATTAGAAAGTCAATACTTTTATAGTGTGTCAAAATAGATCCGAATCGAGTGTTAGTAGCAATCTAGTATCTGCTCATCAGCTTCGTAGATTTGCTCTCCAAGGTTTTAGCCTTGTCAAAGCGTGTCGTTTCAGATCCTTCACCTCCCCACCAACTTTGCAAACCTTGTTACTATTATTGTAAAGCCATGAATATTAGCGGTAAGATAGTGTTTGCTGTGATACTATGCAGGCTATTTGGTAGCTATAAATATGCATGCCATTGTGTTGGTTCATATTTATCATTAAGCCATAGATAATCGATTCGAGTGAACTTTTTGCTGAGCCATCTTGTTGTATTTGACATAATATAGCTGCAGACCTTTATGTTCCTACCATACCGGGATTATCGGATGATGATGCTGAACTATTCAAAATGCATGCAGGGTAATGGTCATGTTGAACATCAAAATGCATTATTCCTTCAGCTATTCATTTCGAAATGGTTGCAAATTCGCACCAACGACTTTCATTTGGAAACATGCTACTGCACGGCATTCCACTTTCACTTGCTCATGGTCATTTGTTTGAAAAACTTGTAAATATTCATTAGTCATCTTCCAGGAGTGTCTAATAATACACAGACATTTTTTTGGCTACTTCAGTCGCAGCATAATCCATCAAAGGACAAATTGGTAGGGTTTCCATTTCAAATGTTGTAGCCTCGACTGTTTTGAATACAGCCTAATTAATGGGATTATTGACACTTGATTTTTGGTTTTCAGGTTGTCTGGCTAAATGGTGGTATGTTTTATATGTTCTAGATTAGAATACCATTGGTGTATTATCTCAGCCAGCCTGTGGTCACCAATTTTTTGCGACATGATATTGCAAACTAATTCATCATATAACTCTTAACTTGGCTTGGGATACATTTGTATAGGCCCTGGTTGGTAAGTATTGATTAATGAAATATATGAGTCGAGTACCAATCTTTAAGTCCAGCTTTTGTACTTTTTTAAATCCGACCACGTTATTAATGGAATCAGCACAAGGTAAGCAATTGGTCTTGATCGGAACTAAACAGAGTTCATTTTGCCAACTATTTGGAGTCTATCTGTTACACAATCACTTGATTTCTAGTATGGATGGATTATTTTTGGAAAATGGACCATTTCGAGCCAATTTGAATGGAACTATATCTTACAACAAATACAGTTGGAATCAAAACGCGCATATGCTATATGGTATGAAAGTTCAATTTAGCAATAGTTTTGCAATTTCAACTCATTTCCCTGACTTTACAACTATGACTAACCCTGATATTAGTTGATCAACCGGTTGGAACAGGATACAGCTATAGTACGACCGATGAGCGTTTTTCGTCAATGAAAGATGTAGGTCATTCTGACGACTAAAATATAAAGGTTTTTATTTGAATATGGCTTGATTTTACAATGTTTAATTTAAACCTCGTTAATTATAGATCTCGGATAATTTTATCGCTTTTCTAGAAAACTTTTATCTAGTATTTCCAGAGTATAGAAGATTTGAAGTATGTTATATCTAGCGTATCTCACTGCTTGTATTTTTTACAGTTGATTCTAATGAGATATATTTTTTGAAATGCTATGTTTCATTATGTGAAATACCTGCATAGCTACATATAGCAGGAGAAAGTTTTGCAGGAGTATATATTCCAAATTTTGCTACTGACATACTTCAACGAAACACAGTTCAAAAAACAAAAGTAAATAGCAACACTTGTTTGCTCATAACATGTGATGTATACACGTAGCTTATTGTTTTTTAGTATCGACTCAAAAGCATTATTGTAGGAAATGGATGGCTTGATCCTATACGACAATACAATTCATACATACCATTTGCTATTCAACATGACCTCCTTCATGGATCATATCTTGATCTTGCAAAAAAAAACTGGGAGATTTGCAAAAAGGTTTTGGCTGAAAAAAGCTTGGTGAAATCTCCAGATTGTGAGGGTATTCTCCAGCAAATTATAAACGAATCAAAGAGCACGTATGTTTATTTTTAAATATTTTCATCAATTGAGCATTGTTGGTCGATTACCAGATTGCTAACCGTGATAATCCACCATACTCTATCGCATCATTTATTTTAAAAGAGGAAAATACTGCATTAATTTGTACGATTATCGGCTACGTGATCAAGGTCCAAACCAAGGTTGTGGTTTGGCATGGCCAACTGGAATTGAACACATGGTTGACTATTTCAATGTAAGTGGTTAATACTGAAGGATTGATAATGTACGATGCCATTGTATTCAAACTAATATTGTGTAATTGGCGTTAAAAACAGAGAGATGATGTAAAAGTAGCACTTCACGCTACTGGACACAAGTCTGGAAAATGGGTTGAATGCCAGCGCAGTGTTTATAAAGCGATAGAAACCCAAAACACTACAGCCAGTCATGTGCTATTGCCTGATTTACTAAAACATATTGAAGTGTCTTTGTTCCAGTGAGTAACTGCACTTGAACTGTTTGTTATAGCCAGGCTGTTATAATACACGTAATCCAACTAATGATATTTTGGTGGGATATAATTGCTTAGAGGAGACACCGATATTATCTGCAACTGGCTGGGTTTGAAGGAGATGGTGGATGTATTGGAATGGAATGGTGCTAAAGGCTTGGGGGTAAACTCATGAAGCAATCCATTAATGTTACACTGTCTTGCTATTGATTCTAGAATTATTACTGATATATTAAATGCATAACTATTTAAAACTAGAATGTACCACAAACACCTTGGTTGATTGATGGAAGACCAGCAGGATGGGTTTCTACTGCGCGTAATCTGACATTTGTGCTTATGTATAACGCGAGTCATATGCCTTCAGTTGATGCACCCATGGCATCTTTAGATATGGTTAATCGAATGATGCATGTCAATTTTACTCAGCCACTGTTTGAATCCGTACTAGGAAGCAGTGATAGTCTACCTGCTACCAAGGCACCTATTGACGGACAATCTCCACCTCAACCTGGTCCTTATCTACTTGCATTGTAAGTTGTTTGACGGGCTGAATTGATTATTTTCATATTGTAGTTTTTAAATGGGTCTGGTGTGCACAAGGTTCGTTGACTAATATTGTATATTTTTTGTGTGCTTAGTGGATTTTTGGCAGCAATTATTGTGTTTGGAATATTTATTCGAATGTATTGTCGCAGAAAACCCCATCGCAATAGTGGCCATGAACGTTTACGACAAAGTGAATCAGATCCAGCACATCTTGAATGGTCAGTTTATTTTGCCAGTAACATGCATAAATAATGTGTATTATAATGTCTACTTGAATTTTTCATGTATATTAATATTGCTGCTTTTAGGGCACAAGTTCCAACTAGTGAGTTTATTGAGCTACAAGAACCTTGATCTAATGTAGAATAAAAGTCGAATACAGAAACCCATTTTATTGCCATTACTGTGATATTTGAATGCAGCCATCTCAGCCTAGCAGTTTTATCTTGTTGAAATCGATATTCACTGTATTCAGACCATTGGCCCAATGATAAAGATTCTTTATAGATTTAGATGTGGTACAACTGTTGGAATGAATTTGGCAAACTTTTGCGACTGTTTAGAGAGCTCTAGTGGCGGTTGAAAGGTTTGGCTCTGTTTCTCACGCGACATATCCAAAAACTCCAAGATGGAATCCACTTCAGAAGTCTTACTGCAGTCCGACATGTATTTACTTTTTTCTTGACGGACCAACTTGTTAGAACAAGTATAGACATGTTCATTGGTATGATCGAGCTCAGTAGAAACAGAATTGATCGTGGCAAACATGCTTTGCTTTTGTTCAAGAGCAGTTTCGTTTAGCACTGCAGCTAGATCATGCTGTGCCGAATGAGCATATGCACCCATTTCTCGAATTGTGGCAAGTCTTTTGCGAATATACTGTTCCTGGTAGTCGACAAGCATACTAGACATTTTGAGTGCATCGCGAAACTCGGTTTCAAGAACTGTAGATGATTTACTTTGTGTGTTGCCCAATTGAGATGATTCTTTAATGTCAGTCATGGGTGTATCTTCAGACATAATCAGAACGCTAGTACTGGTGGATTGAGGCAATTGTAGTTTCAGCAAGGTTGGAGAGAGGTCTGTTCGAAAGTCTAAAATGGCTTCATCCGCCGCGTCGCTACAGCAGTCATCTTCCCAGTCTAGGTCGTCCTTTTCACTATCACTGCTTTCTATATCGCTTGAAATCAATTTGACTGTGTTGGTGTAGGCTTGATGGTCTGTATAGACTGAACAATTAGGCTGCTTTGAAGACGCGCCATCAACCTGTATCTGAGTGTTCAAAGATACACAACCGACTGACGGTGAAGCAGCCTGTACAGATGACTGACAGAGAAATGAAGGCTTGTTTATCTGCAACAATACTTGCTGCTTGACACGGCTTATAATGGATCCATAGTCTTCAAAACTGGGTGTACGAGTATGCTGCTGTGTTTGACGAGTTTCTGCTGGCACAATCATGGCATGCGTTTTAGAATATTTGAATTGTTTTGTGTCAAGATGCTTGAATTATTTTATTTGGATCAAGCAATATATACTCTGCACTAACAAAAGGTAGAATTGAGCAAGGTTTCTGTATTACAGTCCTAGTCCCGTAAAATAGAAACTATTTTGCAGCGACTTTAATTTTACTTTGAAATAAAATGGTTAAATCTTGGTTATGCTTTCCACTAGAAATTGACTCAATATTTCGATCCTTCAATAGATAACGCTATTATATGATGCACACATCAAACTATAGGCTTGAACTGGAATGATCACCCTTTTGACTTTTGATATAATCACACATTGCACCATTACTAGATCCATGCATTACAATCTAGATATCGGGCTAGACAAATCTCAATCAAACTCTACACTCCTGTATTCTAATATCTCATACACTCTAAGAGATCAAAGATTACACATTTTAGAAATGCAAGTTGTTTCCAAGTCAATTACCAAAAGTTGCAGTAAAAGAGTTGACAACAAGATTGGTCAATAAATTGGGTGTGAATTATGATACGACTGGTTGTTGATTACATTTTGACTGTTTAGTTTCCATGTATGAATAGCGGTTTGAATCGGTCAGATTTGAGCTTGAATTCGCATTTGAATGCCAAAATCAAGTTTTGGCCAAATCAACAAAATTGGGCTAAAATTGAAATACAATTTTCTGGAATGGTTTTCTTCATCATCATCAACATATCAAATGGCTCCTATTGGCGTAAGTACTGTATCTTGAGAGTGTATAAGTGGAGTGTGATCTATGAATGTTGATGTGTGGACCGGTTTGGAAAAAAGAGATTTTAGAATGCTGGTTGATGATTCAACACTGTTCCAGCATATTCTATTGACCTGTAACCATCATCCTGTAGAGTGCATCCATACTAAATCTATCTGTATCGTTTATTAGAAAATCTACACTTATCCCAACAACCCCCGTGTGTTCAAGGCACTGATTGCTGCCAAGTACAGCAAGGTCGAGGTTGAGGAAGTCCATGTTGCCATGGGCAAGGACAACAAGGTAATGTTGGCTATCAATTGACTACTTTTATTGTAATTGAATGCTAGAGAGTGTTGTATTGCTTTACTGCGAGATCTGTTTCTATGCAGTTGCAACGATTGTGGTTTCGTCACTTTTGTATATATATTTTTCTTTTAATTTCCTTCACTTTCCCAAAAACTTTTACAATTGTTTCCTAATGTTTTGTTTGTGATCTGTTTGTGATCAGACTCCCGAGTTCCTTGAGAAGTTCCCCCTTGGAAAGGTTCCTGCCTTTGAGGGTACTGACAAGTGTGTCCTTTATGAGAGCAGTGCTATTGCCTACTACAGTAAGTTTTTGTTGAATTTTTTATTTTTCTGCCTAATGTGTGGTAGTGTATCGGCTATGATGAATATCGTTTAAAAAACAGTTATCCCTATCTTAGCACACACAAATTACTGCTGATATCTTTATACTGAGCCTGAATATACCTACCATCACACTGGTGGTTTTCATCTGATGCATTTATGTTTTGAATGTCATTGTATTGATTTTGTATTTTTGTCTTGTCAGTTGCTTCCTATAAGGATGGTGGTGAACTTGTTGGCAAGAACAAGCAAGAAATTGCTCAAATCCAGCAGTTCCTTTCTCTTGCTGATAATGAGCTTTTCCTTCCTGCTCTTTGGTGGATCTACCCCATTCTCGGCTACTATCCCTTGGATGACAAGAATACGGCCAGTGCCAAGGATAGACTCAAGTCCCTGCTAACTGCTCTTGACAAGCATCTGCTTACCCGTACCTTTTTTGTTGGCGAGCGTGTGACTCTTGCTGACATTGTCCTTGTTTGCTCGCTTTATTCCTTTTACAAGATGGTATGTTTTTTGAATTACATGACGGTTTGCTCAATAGCACTTGCTTATCTTTGCAGTGATTTGTTAATTGGATATAATAGGTTCTTGAGCCATCTTTCCGTGCTCCTTTCAAGAACTTGAACAGATGGTTCACCACCTGTGTCAACCAGCCTGAATTCAAGGCTGTTCTTGGAGAAGTTGCTCTTTGCGAGAAAATGGCAGTTGCCGAGGGTAAGTTGATTTTTTTTAATTGATTTGTGGCGTCGAATATTAATTTTTTTTATGAATTTCAGCTGCCAAACCTGCACCCAAGGCTGCTGCTCCTAAGGCTGCCGCAAAGCCAAAGAAGGATGCTGATGAGGAAGAGGAACCTAGCTACGCCGACGAGAAGCCAAAGGAGAAGAACCCCTTGGACCTTCTCCCCAAATCTTCTATGGTTCTTGACGAGTGGAAGCGTGTATATTCCAACAATGACACTCGTCCCACTGCCGTTGACTGGTTCTGGGCAAACTTTGATCCTCAAGGCTACTCTATCTACAAGGTTGACTACAAGTACAACTCTGAGCTTGCAATGGTTTTCATGTCTAGCAATCTTGTTGGTGGATTTTTCCAACGTCTCGAGTCATCCCGCAAGTATGCTTTTGGATCCCTTGTTATTCTTGGTGAAGATGGCAACAACCAAATCACTGGTTACTTTGTATTCCGTGGTCAAGGCATTCCATTTGAGGTTTCAGACTGCCCTGACTTTGAGTCTTATGACTTTGTCAAGGTTGATCACACTGACTCTGCAGTTCGTGCCGAGTTTGAGGCCGTTCTTGCATGGGACGAGACAATCAACGGAAAGAAGTGTGCTGATGGCAAGATTTTCAAATAAATCTCACATGGCTTGCATAGCATATTCTCTTCATTTGATTTTTTAGTCATCCTACTACTGAATCATGCGATTGCTTCTTGAATAAAAAAACATTTATTTTGCACCGATTTAGTTGTGAAATGGATGGTTTTAGGTGTGCAGTATCGAGTTCTTTAGGCTTGACAAGCAATGATTCTATCATTCCATGGTGTTTGATTTATGGCTGTATTTACACAAAAATAGAATACTAACATCAGACTGCACAAACTCGTTGTCATTTCATGAGACTGTTTATTATGCATTTTGGTACTCTTAATGTCCCATTTTACGCGAATATGGCCATGGTAATCTCTAAGCACCCAGTTTCATGGGTGCGTTAGCCAATTCTGGAGGATGTTCAGTTGGTGCTAATGTACTGGGCAATTCAGTAGCAGCAGAGGGCATCTCTGGAACGTATTCTGGCTCTTGAAGATATGATGGTACTTCCTCATCTTCCAAATTGAGATCATCGCCTAGAGCGTCTAGCTCAGCCTCAAGATCGGCTTCATCCACATCGTCTGGTAGTCCATATGATCTGCCAATAGTCTCTTGAATTTCGTTGGCTTGCTCAAGCAAATCCTCCATTTCATCTTGCATTTTCTAAAAACAACATATATTGGTCAGACGAGATTGAAATTTGAAATGTAGCAGACTGTATTGACATTTATAGATTGGTCCAGATGGAAACAGTAAACTACCTCAATTTTTGACAGATTCACTTGTTTATACTGTTTTTTAAGTTCCTTGTTGGCAGATTGCATGGCATCCAATGTAACCATTGTGCTTTTAAGGTTTTCGGTAGCCATTGAAGCTATAGAATTTACCAAAAGTTTAGTAGCTGAATATACGATAGTCTATTCAAACCCAAGCACAATAACATCATATAACAGACATACCTTGCTCCATGTTAAAAGTCTGCTGCATGATCTGATCCCTCTGACCCTCATATCTGTAAAACAACAGTATCAATAGCTGTATTCAAGTCATGTCATGTCGAGTTTAACCTACAATTTTCGCTGCTTTAGCACTCGCATAGCCTTTTGTTTAACTGCATTCTAAACAGCAAGATCGATATTATGAATAGGTTTAATGCAATGCCAACGAGTATGCTATCCATATGCAAATGTGAATGTCTACCTTTCCTGGACCATCTCGCATCCCCTTCATCTGCTCCTTGTATTTCATCAGCTCAGCATCGAGCTTTCTCATCTTGACTTCTGCACTATCAACCCTAGCATCAGCCTAACATGGTATCCATGTCGAATCAAACAATTAGTACCGTTTAAACTCAGCCCCGACTTTGGTATTCAAAAAACCAAGTGGGAGCTGATTATCGATAAAGGCAATAAACCAACTAAATGGGTATAAAAGACCATCAAAACAATGCAGGGTTACCGATGTTATAGCATCAGTAATAGTAGGTTTTGGGGCCTGTGGTTTAGAGGTTCCAAATATCCGATTCATTTCCTATAAAACCGTAACAATTATTGCAGTTGTATTCACGTAAAATGAAACTAAATAATCGAGTCAAAACAGTCTCATGACATGATTGTCGAGTTGATTGGATTGCTCACTGGTCTCGTGTGATTGTTATGTAGAGTTGAAGTCCTGAGACATGCAATCGTTGTTGCTCAAGTAAAGCGTATGAGACATTAAGATACATGAGTTTGTACAGTTGTATTGAAAACAGTCGAATCCAATATCTGAATTGCAGTGAATGAGTTGAATAGTTGTGCAATGTACGATTATGCTAGAAAAAGCAGGTTCGATCCTATAGTTTGTATTATAACGGACATTTTATCTATTAAAGAAACAGTGAGTTTTTAATCATAACGAATGTTTCACCACTGTTGATCTCAAAAGCAATCAATACAAGTGTTTTTATTTTAAATGAATACAATTCTAGTTTAAACCATTTTAAATAGTTTGCTTGTCAATTGTATAAGATTCATTTGCGTTGAATCAAACAGTTGGGCTTGAAACAACACATCGGATTTCTACCAACAGTCATGATGTTGGTCAATGAAAAAGCTTATCTTGCTCAACATGTCGTTTATGTAGTTGGTTTGTTCAAACATCTATTTATAAATATGCAAATCAAAAATATTATATTCTAAAACTTGCCAAAAACGCACATCTATTCATAAACACTGTTTTGCAAAAATTGCACTTTCAACCCAATACGCATTTATTCTCCTAGTTATTCTTATCTCTCTTGACATAGAATCAAAGCATCAGCCAAAATTAGTGAAGCATTCCACCGTTTTACTATTGAGGGAGAAAAGAAGATAGCTGCCACCTAGGATATGTAGTCTAATAAACATGCGTAACATTCAGATTAATCAATGGATTTGAACCAATAGTTTACACACCATTGGCAATACTTTTGCTGCCAAAAATCATTTCTTCAAATAATCAGACAGACAATATAAAAACTCACAGAATCAGATCGTGACTTTGTCACTGCAGAGCCCGATACTTTCTTTTCTTTACTAGAATCTGCGTGCAATTGTTCACGAAGAACAGTGACATGAGCAACCAACCTCTCTAAAGAAGTGTGGGATGGTGAACCATGAAACGCTATTTCAATAATCAAGATTAGTCATGTTCGTATATGCAGCAACTCTATTCCTTTGTTACAATACCCCAACAAAAATACGTACCAAGAATATAGCTATTCAAAGCCATTGCAACTTGCTCATTTCTAGATTTTGCCATATATTTTGACAATGGCGAAGTTTCTGGATTTGTATATGCAATCAGAGCCACAATATCCTGAAGTGTTTCGTTGTATTTATCATTTTTGAATGCAAACTTTCCAAACTCTATTGGTATGAATCCAATCCCAGTCCAAAAGTTTACACAAAAACAAATCGGTTAAAATCTCTAGCATGCCAATATAAACCATCCAAGCCAATAAAGATTTACAAGCATACCTTCTTGCGCAAAATGAAGTGCTTCTAGTGCACTTCGACGAATACATTCAATAAACTGCTGGCATTGCAATGCAAAATAAACATCCATGGATTCAGGAGTGTCTGCATTCAAGATTCCTGGAAACGTTTCATTGCACAGTGCAATGGCTTCGGTGAGTTTACCATTCAAGATAAGACGATATAACTTTCCACGAACTTCGAGGGTTTGAAGTGAGCCTTTGAAAGCGGATCTATCTGTTTTTCCAAGACATGAGTCGGCTATGGATTTGGAAGTAAAAGTACATGAAGCAGGAGCAGCAGTAGATACAGATGCTGCAGGCATAAAGTGTTGTGTGCGCGATAAACTAGATTCAGCCATAGTCAAGTCACCATCGCTGTCCGTTATAGTCATTGACGTTTCTTGATCAATATCCATGCAAGTCTTTGCACGAAGTCCAAGATTTTCCTTGCTCCGGAGACTAGAAGAACTATATGATTCCAGTTTATCCCCATGGCCCAAGACAGGGGTCACACCATCACCCAATACTCTGGAATCTACATCTGTCTTGTCGAGTCTGCATGCAGTACCAAAAGACCGAGCAGTGGACGAGTAGCAGTTGTGGATAAGATAGTCATATACAAGCATATTTATAACATCCTGTCCAGGAGAAGGAATGGTCTCGTACGCAAGAGCAGCCTGCTCATCATTAGGCATTGCTTCTGTAGCCATTTCAAATCTTGGTCAACCCAAACAGTCGCATTTGCTAATTTATATCCACTGCAGTCACGCGGAAGATATGAATAGAAGCCATCACACCAGTCTTGTATAGTTTAATCTTGTATTTGCTATCGCATTCACGTAAAACGGAACACAAAGTGTAATAAACTGCCATAAAATAGTGTCAGTTTATTGAACAATATTGAATTGCTGATTTTGTGCTCATTCTTGTATGAAAACTAAAGTCTTCAAATCAGCAGTCGCATCTCAATCTTCAACTCTTTCCTAAAAACTGAATATTATGGCATGAAAACAACCATTTCTTTCCCGAGACATACAATATTCTCTTGAATTAGAGCCCAGGAATATGTGTGAATTTTAGGATTGTGCAATGAATAATCTGTTCAAAACTATAGTTTATGTATCATACAGTGGATGTCGTGCCTATTGGGAATTGAAATGTCCAGCAGGAAAATGCAAAGATTCAACCATCGTCTATTTTAAAGCAACGACTGCAAGTATTCCATTTTACATGAATAAATCAATGAATTGTAAAATCTGCTCAATTGGCATCATAAATCTTAGTATGTGAATTTGTTTAATAACTAATATATGGATATTCAAGCAACAACCGGAAACGATGCTGGAGATGCCTGAATCACATCCCTCATTCTGCTTGCACGAATATATTCTGCCAGCGATCGCACACAGATAAAAAGCCCAATAATCATGAGCAAAAATGCCGACCATTCTCGTCGCTGTTTTTCCTCAACTGGGTCCACAGCGTATGCAGCATTGTATTGGTCATGATCTTCGGTAATAGATGTTTTATCTTTAATAAGAACACTCTGAGTAAAAAGTTAGGCGAATGAACAGCATAGAATGATAAATAGATAGCAATCAGGACTTACCACTCGGATAAGTGTTAGACCAAGGCCGCATTGAGCACCGTACTTGGCTGCATGTGAAGTGGCCAACAATGATGTGATGAGAAATCCAAGGAAATCAAACGTCATGGATACAAACACATTGACGACAAATGCTAATGAATCGCCAACAGGCATTCCTAAATGGTTTGAATAAATGAACAGGTAGTGTTAGAATAGAACATGATGGTTTACTACTACAGTAATCTTCGAGTGCCATAGATTCATGCAGTTTGAGGGCGTATAGACAAGGATCAACTACTGGTAGTCTAATCCAAACTCAGGGCTCTAATCCAAAACCATCATACCATCAATCAAAACCTCGCCATCCTCAGTCATTCCTGTAGTGATGCTGGTATCAAAGTAGGGTGGGCTGGGGTCGCTCACAGCATCGGTATAGGAAGGCGGCTCAATTTCCTCATAAGCTTTGCCTTGTATTACATCTGGTTTGGCTGCCATATTAGCAAAAACACCATCTGTATGTTGTGGTGCAGGAATCCTTTGATTTGCTGATGGCTCACTACTACCACTGGCATCCGGCAATAGTCCATCATTGCCATCCCTTGTCACTGGCCAGTCTTCCTTTCCTGAGAGTTCCTGCTCTACAAATTCATCAATATCAATTGGGCTGTCCTGTCCAGCATCATACGCAGCCAAGGGTTCGTCCAGTTCCAAGTCGTCTCCCAAAAGAAGCTCTTCTTCTGTGAATTGACCGGCAGGTCTTTCATTTTGCTGATTATCTGAATCAACGTCATAATTGGCAACCTAATATAAACCGTTGCAACAAGCAAGAGTGAACAAACAGTCGCTAGCTCTAAGAACATGAAAAATTCAAACCCAATGATGGTTTAAAACAACAGTGTATCCATACATATACAGTCAGTGTAGGTCTTTACCTTTTGGAAACTAGTCATTGCTGCTGTTTGATTCGACAGAAACTGCAACTTCTAGCAAACTCAATGGTTGCGCTTGACACTATCACGTGATATGATAGAAATGATCGTAGACGATCACATGTTTTGGATTGGCTTGTGTGTTGTGCCCAATGCAAACAAACTGTTGAAATGGCTTACCCTTATCAGCACTCCCAAGCATCACTTGCATATCCAGCCTAAAGCGGCTTTATTCAATAAAAACTATTTCTACTCAACTCGACCCCAAAAATTCGGAACTACTATTACTAAGCGTCTATTAACGCCATTATGATTCTGAGATATTAGCCAATTGTTTGAGCTGAACTGTATCCAAGGTTGCAGATGCAAGCTAAAATACCACAATCAGCCATTTAAATTACTGTTAATTTAGAACACGGCAGAATCAGTATTTGGAATTGATGGTCAAGAGTTGGTTCAAGTTGCTCCTTACCATATCCAGCAACACGCTCACTTTAAAATGCAATAATTGATTTTCTCCCTCGAGCATTCTATTTCGTTCCGTCAAATCTCGAGCTTGCTTTCCTCCAGATTCTATAGTCTAATCATGTTAGAAACTGATCGTTTTTATCCTGTGATAAAGGGAATTAACACTGAGACTTGCCTTGATACCACTGATGATGCTCGTAGCACAATACTTCATCGCCGAGCTGCATTTTGATGGGATGGCTAGCATTCTCATCTAAAACACCACCAATTTGAAGCTTTGCCGGCCTAATAGTGAAATGGGTTATTCAATTTGTAAAACCCCAATAAAACGGGTCAGTATACTGCATAAATATAGGGTTGATTTGGTTCATGTCGACCAGATACTGGATACTGGTTTGTTTCACAACAGTAAACTATCTCAATTACAATTTATTTAAACAAATTTTAATATATACCCTGCAGACCAGCGTCTTGTATGTTTTCGTACATTATCCCAAAGATTTGACATTGTTGGTTAAACTCAATTTATTACTGATGCTATCTAGTCGAGTGTTCAAATGGTTGATTCGCGTCTACAAATAACTTCGTGTTATAAACAAACTTTGTTGGATTTGTCTATTTGGCCAAGCCAGTTTTATTACATCTACTCCTCACTATCCATCATTCTCATGATTACACAATCTTTGAATTGCCATTTTCAACCGTAAATGCTTCTACATTTCAACAGTCACCGCTCTTTTGGTAGACATGCATTGTATGATCATCAAGTTTGGAACTAGACTCGTTCATTTCATTTCAATCCAGATATTGGGTTTGACTATTCTGTTGTTGTCAATCCATCCCTCTTTGTTGTATCCTAAATATCACAGATGGATCGATTTATTGGTTTCGCTCTACCATCTGGACTTGTATCAAACGCCGATTTATCCATACTCGCGACTAAACCAATTTTTATCGGATACAAATCTGCAACCAAGCAATTCAAACTTGGTTCATTTATAAGGAATACCGTTTTGAAGATACTGAAAAGTGTCATACAAACCACTAATAATACATAAAAATGTGAGAAATATTAGTACAGACAACACTAATCCCTACAATCAACTTTGTATACCTTCTGGTGTTTTCGTGAGATTGGCGAATGCAATTGACCATAAATTCAGCTGCACCCTTTTCAGATTTCTCCAACTGAAACCTCTCACGTAATTTACGAATTGTAGTATCGCCTACACGAATTTATATAAAATTAGCTACACATAATTGCCATCAAACCACCAGTCAATCCCAAATAGGAAAATCAACTACCTTTGAAACATGGTAAGCCAGAATCCATCATAAGCGATACCATGCTAATGATTTCTTCGGCATATGGCCTAAAACATATACCAAATACAATGGTAAGTTGCATTCAAAATACATCCCTTGTATTTAAAACAAGGTTCAACAAACTATAAGCATACCTGCAAGCCAAGTAAGCCTTTACGCATAGTTCAGAAAATAGGCGATACGAAGGAGAAGTGATATCACCACCCATTACTTGCACCATCTCTGCTGTCAGTTTGAATGGTGAAACCTCCAATATTCCACCACCAGGGGCAATCGAGAGAATAAACCCAAAATCTGATTGCGTATTTAAATCAGTACTATTAATTTATGACAAATATCATGTCTAAAGCATCCAATAAGACAGTTACCAATATGAATCATATGTCCCTCTTTATCAAACATAATGTTGCCATTATGTCTGTCCTTGATTTGCAAAATAAACATAATCAGAGAGTACGCAGCCAAACTCTTTACGAATTCTTTTCTCGCCTACAACATTGTGGTAAACATCAGTTTAATCACAACTATACAATTTTGTTGTATGACACCACAGCACTATCGTACCTTTTGAAAGTCAACTCCATCCTCTGGACCAAACTCTGCAATAAACCAACTATGATTCAAAACATTCAAAATTCATCATTTTAAACCCAAAGCAACGTTTCAAAAATGGTAAGCAGAATAGATTGCATACTCATAAAGACTATTGACTTTTTCACGACCCATCATATCTCGAGATATAGACTTTGGAATAACTTCAATCACACCGCACTAAATACAAAAATATACTTTAAGCTGTACATACCAACCCATCAAATCCAATAAACCAAATAAAGCTCTTACCCCTGGCGCAGTGGCAACCACTCGATAAGGAAATGTATACAAATCAAGTCCCGCAAACACAAAAATGCTTTTGAAAATGCTAATGAGTTGCAAAGCAAGAACATCTTGACGACAGTCGTCACCCACTTTGAAAATGGACGACATCCATCGCGTTTCTCCATTAAGGTTTCCAGATTCATTGACTTTAAACGATGCCATGAACGGTGCCTAATACAAATGATAAAACAACCACATTCATTACATTAACCGAGCATTAGTAAAAATAAAAGGTGTTGGATATACATAAAATACCTTGGCATGGCTTTGGAGTGGACGACCAGAGTCATAATCAATATCGACGACAATACTTTCAGGATTTGTTGGGAGATATACACCAACTTGCACCTTGATCTTACGCAACTCCTCGTCAATTTTCCGCTATTGTCCAATATAAAATATGAATAAAATGGCATTTAAAAGATACTAAGAACGCATAAAATAGTCGAGACATGACACCTTTTTCTCAATTTTAGAAGCATCCGCTTGAACAAAAGGCTTTAATGTGCCGGAAATTCCAGTAACTTTACCAAAAAAGTCAAACTCTCGCTCATACAAGTCTTTATCTAATCCAGACAGCTCAGACGTAATTTTGTGAATAATTCGATCCAACGCAGGTTTGATTGCATCAGGCTAAAATCAACGGTATTGACCATGTCTTAGCAATGATTCAAATGAAAATATAAACATGCATTATATTCAAGCTTTTCAAATATAACCAGCTACATTTACACAGAATGTAGCGAGTACAAGATCAAAACTAACTCACTATATCACAAGCTTCGTCCTTGTACATGTTTGCCTTCATATTCCAAATAATTTGATGAGCAAACGCTTGAGAAGTTTTGGCAGCATCCAAAATAAAGCGCTCAATGTAGCCAACAGAGTCATCACGAAGCGCTTGAACCATTTGTGGAATAAAAAAAAACACTTGATCGATGGGGAAAAACTCGAGTACTCGAACAGCATATTGAAGCAACCAAGGCTGGATACGTTGAGGATGACCCAACATAGATATAGCTTGAATCGGTGGTACAGGAGCCCAGTATAATAGAAACTATCATTAAATTAAAAATGCAATCGTTATTTTACAATTGTTTAAAATAATAGCCAACATAAAAATAGTATACCCGTAGTTGATCATCGGTTCGGTATCTCCAAGAATTCCTCAAGAAAAGAGCAACAGCTTCAGGGCATTCAATACATGAAATTTCGTTAAACTTGGATACTTCCGATATTTCAGCTTCGATGGTATCGCTACTCATCAAAAACCGAGCAGGAAGGTGCACAGCTACTACAGGATTCAACGACCAAGCTGTTCTGACAATAGATGCCCATTTAATCTAAACAACATGAGCAGAGGTTAGCACATGTTGAACGATAAAACGAATAGTGAGGCAGCACATGTCGACTTAATCCACCTGTCGTTCATTTGGCGAAGGTGGGATCAATGTCATGAAAGAAGGTGCCATATTGTCTTCAAGAGGTCTGATCCATGTGGCAAGACGACAAAGCTCGTGCTCAAACAGTAGAGTGACCAGTGCTTGAGCATCAGAAAGTTCAACTGTAAAAATAGTGTAAAATATCATTGATGGGATCGCGTCAGTGTAGTGTGATTTACAAGTACAAGTCAGCATTTACAGTATTGTATTCTTACCTCGCTCTGAGTTACCTGCACAGTTTAACAATACACGGTTGGTTTTAGATGTAGTCCATACAATTGATCGACTAAATTTAATATCTTTGATGGAGTGGTAAAACTCGATGAGTTTTTTGAGGTCGACAACTTTTATTCGACCAAACCTATATAAAAGTCTGATAAGTATTGGCACAATCAAGTGTAAAATTGGTATACATCAAATACAAATCTACAATGCTTTAGACGGCTCACATTGGTGGACGCTCAAACCATCCAAGAGTGATGTTAAACACAAGGGTCCAAATATACAGTGTCTTTTTATCAGTCTGTGCTTCCAAGTCAAGCGCAATCTTGATTCCCAAACTTGCCAAATCAAATCGTGCTTCTCGAGCAGTCCAATTGGATCTTTTCATATCCAATTTTTTGTTGCAAAGTCAGCCAGACAATATGACATAGTACCACCATCAACATCAAAGGCAGAGTCAATAACAAATAGTCTTGATGTTTTATGAACCAAAATCATACTTTAACATACCTGATTGCATTTTGAACACAAGCAGCTTTTTGAAATAGCTGCACATAAATTTGAATATGATCTTCTCCGCGTAGTCTATCTGAGCGATATCTGTCAATAAGAAATCGAATCCAAATTGTATGCACATCAGAGTCATCGGCTTCGCTACCAGCTGGAGTGGAAGCACCATAACCCATTTTTTCCAAAAATGGACTGTTTGATCTGTAGTCAAAATACGTGTTTTGTTAAAAAGATAAATTGATCGCTCATTACATAAAAGCAAGATAGATCAGAATATACAAAAATATTTAAAATTCATACCCATTCTCAAAACCATACAAGCCTTGGCCCTTGTCAACGTTTAGTCCCCAAACTTGTACAAGATTTAAAAGCACTCTTTTCGCTAGATCTGGTCGACACGACATTAACCACCCCCAAGCAGAAACAGCAATTTCCATAACAGTTGGATCAAACATTATGTTTGGAACACGACAAACCAACTGTATGAGCTCAGCCTCCAACTAAACACCATGCATGCAAAATAACGGGTTAATAAACACACAATACAGAAACAGATAGCATACTAAGCCTGTCTTACATTTGAATTGCTGATAATAAGAGCAACAGATCGAAAAAGTGTGTGATTAAGTCGCTGTGCAAAGTTTGGTTCATCAGTGGTTTTATAGGTGCTTCGAAGAGCATGCTTGAGATTTACAGATATTTTCTTGAAAATAGAATCACGATCCATGTCTACACATGTTAAATTTCAAAACACACATCAGACACTACTGCAATTCAAGGTAAACATCGCCATGGTAATGTGCCAGCAATAATGTATATACCTGGTATCATAATAGTGTACGAAAAAAACATGCCCTTGATTTCACCAAGAAAACGAGAATGTTTGCTTGGCGATTTGATGATTGTTGACGCAATTTCTATACCCACATAAAGTATTACAACACAATTGTTGTGATCAATTCACAATCAGATAAAATAGTTGGAAACTTTACCAGAAATGCCAGTGTACTGACTTAGTAGAACCATTAGATCGGAATGATCATTTAAAGCTGTGTATGGGCTTTTGTTTGAAATTTCCACCAGATATGTCTAAGATTATAAAGTATAAGTCATACTTGACGCCAGTATATCGATACATTATGTACTGCAATGAGTTCTACCTGTACGACTCCAATGGTTTCACTAAAACTCCGGTGTATAGACGCTTTAAACCAAGCTTTTCCAACAGCAAAATAATCTACAGATGCAGATGTGGCCTCAAACTGATCAATGTAAAACAACTTTGATAGTAGCGGGTTTTTAAAACCATCCTTGAAAATATCATGTAAAAGTTTGCAAGTCAAAATTTTAAATAAATAAAAGCTAATCACAGTACTTTATAAAACACTCAGACTGATCAAGTACATGTCACATGAATTGCACTTACTTCTGAAAATCCAGCTTTACGAGTATCAAGATATCGCAATATATCCATCATTAAAAAAGCAACTTTATGGTTCCACAGCATGCAGGGAATGTGGTCTAGCATTTGCAAAATCCACCGAGTCGCAAATTTTCGAGAACGAGAAAGACGATGAGCCGAATACAAAAGCATGCATTGCATATTGTGTTCCATAGCGCGAGTATCAACACGTTTAGTTGGTTGACTATGCATAAACAATCTCAAGACCTCGTCGGCAATCATCTCGAGAATCGTATAAATGTCTGTGTTGTAAAGCCGCTCATCAACCAAATATCTGCACATAAAATCTACCGACATGATCCGGATTCTCATGGACTCGATATGATAAACTGCCAATAAATAAGCACTGGCTTGAAAAGATAATGCACGAAGCTCAAGAACTTTTGTCGGCATCATCGCAGACAAAAAGCCCTTGATCTTGCTTACAATCTGTATAAGCGGTTCCAGTATAATTAGTTGATATCGCACAAAATTCAAATGAAAGAACTTCATCTCAATGGTTTTATATTTTAAAATCTAATGATATTACTCACCGTATCAGGAAAGACACCTTGCATAATAGAGTTTGCGCCAAGATCAGCCTCTAAAGACCGGCATTGCTTGTCCAATATCAACGGTGGTGTTTTGCTGGCCACAACTCTTAGCATACTATGCCATTCCTTTGGCCATGTACCAGCAGGTGTCAACACAAAAAGAATCAGATATAACCATACGTTTCGAAAGTGGTTCAGAATGTCTTGACTGGTAGTTAAAAGAGATTGAGGATGAAATGACTCTTGTTCGCAAATCATTTTAACAATACTCATAATGTCTCGAAGTTCGGCAATTACATTGGAATTCTAATTTAAAAATAAAGTAAGAAAATGCCTCTAAACCAATAAAAATTAGATAGAAATCTTACTGGAAGGTTGCGTTGAAGACCTGCTGCTTTTTCAAGAAACAAAACCAGTAATTTTTCTAAATAAATCTCCAACAAAGCAGGTGCGCGGCCAGGCATGCGTGCAAGGGTATGACTAATCTTGGAGATCTAACCATTGTTTTAGCAAGCAGCTGTATTGTAAAAATCACAAGTCTAAATCGTATATATATAAGTTTTAAAAAAATAAAATTTACCTTGCTAAAAGTACGCTTGCTGTAATCAATAATGAATGTCACAATTTGACGAAAAACCTCCACATCATCTGATAAACCAATATTTCCAAGGTTTTTCCAAATGAACTCATCAAAAATGGTGGGCGAATCATCTAGTCTACGTGCCAGTGCAGGGATAGCAACATCAATTGTCTATTTATGTATTGCCATTGCAGATATATAAATAGAATGCATAATAGAATAAACGATATTTTAGGTAAGTAACTATATAACAACTATAAAAACAAATAGAAACCTACCTCTTTTGTTTTCAACGCTGAACAAAGGCTGGCAATAGCGGAAATCGAGTTTTGATAGCGTCGACCTGCGTCGGTTGCAGCAGTAGTGGCAGAAAAAACTAGCTGATGGGTTGCGTGCATCGTATTTACAAACGTATACAATGCTGTTTTACGTTGATTCGAGTCAATACAGGACTAAAAACCATAGCTGATTTAGTATAAACTATGATAAGCTGGAAAAGTGACCAACAACTCACGCTTAAAATATTAGACAATGATTGACAAGCGGCCTCTCGAAGTATGGCACAGGTATGCTCATCTAAAGCAAAAATAAAAATAGGAGCGGGGTCGACCATGAATGAAATGAGATTTTTGACTGCCGAGGTAGCATTGCTTGGCGAACTAGACGGTTGTTAAAAGTAGCATTAATAAAAACGAGCATTATATCGTGTTTTCAAGATGAGCTATATACATACCTAGCCGCCATAATCTCTAGACCCTCAATGGCAGTCAAATATAAGTCCAAAAAAGTTGATTCTTCACCGGTTCCGGGATCTTGAAGAATCGTTAACAAGCTCAATAAAAGACTTGCATGCAATGTTTGATTGTGAAGAGCACAAAGCACGGCAGTTTTCTGATTTTCATTGATTACAAGAATTCAAAACAAAATATTAGATAATGTGAAAATCCAACTAGAATGAGTCCGGTTTTGGAATAAAAGGGTTAATCATTACGTACCGTAGCAGAAGAAACAACATCACAAAGAAGCTCTTGATCAGAATTGCTATGCACTGCAACCCATTGGTGCCAATCCGAGTTAGAGCATAATCTAAATAATAGTGACACAACCTCCAAAAACACTGGTGTGTTTGCATTCTTTGATTCGCTTTTGGATTTGGCTAAATCAGTCCATTTTTCAGAAAGCGTATTTGAATCAAACTCTTCCAATTGCAGACTTCCAGCTAATAGCTCTTGTAGCGCGTTAACAAACGAAGCAACCCAGTTTAAAGATCCATAATCTGTAGTAACAGCAGCAGCAATATTCCATTCAGTCGAAAGCATTGACCAAGCCAAAGTGACTATCTGAATTTTCTCCTCGGAAAAAACGGCTTCGGCCAATTCAGCCAACTGCAAGGCATCCACAAAAACAATATCAGCCCATTCCATTTTGAAAGAACGATGCATTCCAATAAGAGCTGCCACAGTCAATCTTATGTGAAAATGACCTAGTATATGCAGTATAGATTGTCAGAAAAAATATAAATATTTTAAATATAGTCATCAAAAGAGAATCGTGACACACTTGTTGTTTCAGATATCTGAGCATGAAGATCTTTTGCCCATTTCCACATTGCCGAAGTAAGAGTAGCTGCACAAGATGGATGTTTTGCGGAAATTCGAAACATACGAGTACACAATTCATACAAGAACGAATCCAATTCGGCAAGAACACCTAAATGAAGCCAATAGATAAATCAGCATGACATTAAAATCTTGGATGCGGTCTTGACGAGTGATGAAAACAGCATATATATTGATTAAACTATATGCATTACCGCAATTATTGTATTCTGATTCTTCAATAATTAGATTTACATGTGAAATAAACTTTACTGCCTCTAGACAATAAGGAATATACTTTTCACAATCACTTTCGCTCGACATTGGTAATAGCTCCAAGATGCCAAGAACATTCATTTGCTCACTAATCGTCTGAAGTTGAAAACAGATAGATTTTAGATCTATGGTCAGCACAAGAGTTCAAACTCAATCATGCGATATTAAATGCAAATCGTTTCCATAGCAACCAGATTTACCGGAAAAGGAATGCCAATATCTGACCCATTAGTATCTCTAAGCTCGGCCTTTTCGATTGCTTGCTGACATATGTCGCTGAATTTGGCAACCTCTTTAGTGCACTTTTGAATATGGTCCAGTTCAGTGCGACCAAACACTGCCAATGTGCCTATAATTTCGGCAGCTTCGGACAGCATTACCAGTGAAACAGAGCCCAGGTCTCGCCTAGAATTGAAGGTTAATTCGTGTATATTTAGTGTTTTCAATGCATAATAGAGTGCTAGTTGGCTATTCTTGATGACATTTGATGGTTTCTGGAATATCTGGACTAACGAGATGATATTTGCAATAGTTCAAATAGCCAACTGTCCAGCATGCACATGACGGCATAACAGCCAAATCTTCGTTTTCAAATAAACAATCATTCATCCCGTATTCAAACATCCTCGCAACACACCTATAGAACATATTGGCTGTCCTGTTGCTGCTATTTGCCAGGTTCGAGTTTGCAGCAGTTTGAAAGTAAATCCACTACTCACGTGATGCATTGATTCCACTGCACTGATTCCATTGCACTGATTTTCAATTGTAAATTGAAATAACACAAATTCAACCAAATCTTACATAAAACAACACATTTGTAATTAAACCTCAAAATCAAATGTAAAGTGTTTTATTCGCTGTCATGAGCAACTTGATCAGTTTCTGAAATGTCTTTTTCGACAGGAAGCAGAAGAGCAAAGGTCAAAAATGAAGTATGGCCACGTACACTCGGCATAGGCTTTGATGCCAAAACAACATTCTCGCTAGTAGATCCGTCCATGTTTAGCTGTCTTTTATATATCTTTCCACTTCCTTTAGGTGTTGGTTTGTCTAGTGGTAACGCTTCGTTACTGACCATTTGGATATCATAGGGTCTGACTAGGCACTCAAACATTCGAATATCTATATTGTATTTGAGATGAGCAAGGTTATAAAGTGCACATCACGTCAGTATTCCTCAAGCAAATCAATTACACCACTCACCATGGAACCCAAGTCTTTGTAACTCAACACAAGTGCGCTGAACTTGCTCTATGCAGGGACTGAAGCAGCATATTCTACCAACACGTGTAGGATCAAATGTCAGCTTTGTATGCTCCAGTGCTTCCCATGGCGAGGGCAAGTCAAGAAATACTAGAGAAATTGCATATAAAATCACACTATTAGATTGACAATTATAACATCAAGCTAATATCAAAAACCGACATGTAGAAATATAATCAGTATACCTGCAGTAACTTGTTTCTCAATGCCAAATCCATCTTTGCACACATCACGATGAGAGCTGGTAATTATATGACTTAGTCCATGGTCGGCAAACTCGCTCTTGGCCTTTTCGGCACGTTCTTGATGAAACTCGTACGAATATACCATGCCATCAGGTGAAACAGATCGTGCAGCAGAGTGAGAAAACGATCCACTTCCCGTTCCTTGATATGCAGATTTTAAAGTCAATAATGCATGCTTTTTCATAAATTATCCATTGCCAATCATGAAATATATACAGCACCTGCTTCAATGACTTTAGTTCCAGGCCGTAGTTCCAAGAATGATGAAATGAGCGAAATATCTGGTTGGTATAGAATCTGAGTTCGATGCGGCAATACCAGAGTCCATAACTCTGGCGTAGGTTCAAGTAGATAAATGAATCCAGTATTGGTTCTAGTAGGTAACTAATGATCCAGACAGTGATCACATTCATAAACAGGAGTCTGTTATTTGGCTGCCAAGCTCTAGCAAAAACACAACCATCTCGAGATTTACAGATTCCAACAAGTACCTTGCATCCCCATTGCTTTCCTATCATATCGTGATGAAAAAATGTGCCAAATCGATTTTGGTACTTGCCGTCGATTGTAATTTGGATATTCTTCATATTTTCTGGATTCTGTTGTAAGAACAAGAGTTAGCATTGATGTGTATTTCCATTAAAACAATCAAGACACACATGACGCATGATAAAACCGAGATCATCCACTGACCACATATGCAATCACAGTATCTCCAAGCTGGATAGTTGTGTTTTTGGTGTTGAAAGACATTGCACTTTTAATTAATAATTTCAATAAACAGGCAGTGATTCCTTGTGCTGTAACCCAATTATTAACTAGAGGTTAGAATACAGCTGCTAATAGAGTCGATTATTTTTTTTGAAAACTACAGCGCTCGCCAAATGTAATGAATAAAAAGTTTTATAAATTTACAGCTCAAGACAAAAGGAATGAGAACACGGAAATATTTATACTCGACCCGATTTCATTATGACTTGGAAACATTCTGATAGCATCAAGCAGGCTGTTGTGATATTACACGATTGTTCTGAATTAGCGTGCGGAATGTATATATGTGAAGTGGTAAAACCCGTGTTGGAACAAGACCAGATGAGTGACATCTTATATTGGATCGACAGGATCAACAAACTAGTCATGCCAACAAGCCAGATTGTCATGATACAGAAAACACGAACAATAGATGCTCATTCCACTCAAATCAGCACTGCTTTCATCCAAGTCAAATATTACAAGTAATCATTGGGTGATTGTGCAATATATGGCTATTTCAAAAACAAGGTTCAAAGTCATAGTTTGATCTGAGCATCATGTAATGAACACCTGTTTTAAAAATTGAAAATGTCTATTAAAGAAGCAGTAGTCAATGTCTAGTAGGAAACAAAGAATATGTAACCACAGCAAAGTCACTGCAAGATAGTGCTTCATTTTACGCGAATACAACTGTAAAATAAATCATTTGTATAAACCTTTATTCTTGATTATTTGACTCTTAGTCGTCGTTGGCATATTTTATCCAAAAAGGCAACAATTTCCAAGGAAGAAGCTGCAGACAAAAGCATAGGATTGCTAGTGTTGCCTTTTAGCGAAAGAACCTGCTTCATCTCATCCAAAGTTTGCAGCATCTCGGTAGCAATATCCTCTGTATTCTCACAGAGTGTCTGGCATACAAACAATTGTGAAAGAAGAAGCAACAATAACCCTTCAATGATCTGTATACATACTTCGCAATCCGACCGCTGTCGAATAGTCAGAGTAGATCGAGTTGACGATTCCATAAATCCAAGAATTTGTCGAATGAGACTAAAAAGCGTACCAAACGAACTGGTTTCATCTCGTACCAAAGTCAGTTTCTGAAGCAACACGAGACTGTTGGTTGTATTATGAATGGTAATATCACTTCCTGACAGCATGGCAGTCTCTGCATTCGTTGTAATGACAAGCAAAGATATTAAGTTGCGAGTAATACGCCGCATTTTGATATGAATATGCTCAGATTCAAGTTGAGCTGGAGCTACATCTCCAGTAGTAGCTGTCCTATTGGAACGTATTGCAAAATCACATATAGCTGCAAGTTCCAATGGACTAGAAAACAGATGTGTAAAGTACGAGAGTATATAAAGGGATGCATTTTGTAGTGTCGATAGAATCTCGGGTTCCTGATATCCTAGTGTATGTGAGCGTGCTCCAAGAACCTGCGTCAACGAAAGTACTAATTCTGAGGCGTGTTCCAGTTCACTTATGTTGGAAAAAAGTATAGGTCCAGTAGCAACAGCTTCAAATGTAGATAGCAGGTTCGGCATAAGCAGTTTTAAAATGGAAATAAGCTCAAATGCAAACTGTGGACTATGTCCAAGAGCATCGAGCATCTGTGTTAAAATTGAAAGTGTGAGTCCCCATGAACGATGCATCCTGGCAGAGACTTGCAGAGTGATTGTACCAACAATGCCATTGATCATTTGAGAGGCAAACGCAGAGCTGGAAATAGCCGTCAAAATGCCTTCAATTGCAAGCCTTTCTGCAAACCTTGGATTTGAGGAAATGCACAGAATCGTATTTAAAATCATATCAAATGATTCTGGGCAATGTTCAAAAAATGGTGTGTCTGCCTTGGAGATAATATTCAGCATCAAAGGAATGATCTGGAATCGATCGAATGAAGATAGCCATACAGAAGAACGCAACTCTTTCAACTCTAAAAGCTCAATCATGAGAGCGTGTCCAATCCGTAAATGAGAATTATGTGTGTCTGTCAGATCGGCCGATAAAACAAACGAAAGCGCTTGACATATAAATGATACTAGTTGCTCGCAAACTTCAGCAATTCGTGTTTCCGAAACAGACGAGTCTGTGCCCTTGTTTTTGAGATATTTTTCACTGATTGAATGTATAAGCAGCAGTGCAGACATTAATAGCTCGATATGAAACTCGTAAATAGACAGATATCCCACTGGACCTAGTCCGTATGGTGATGGCGAGGTTAAAGCAACTTGAATGCTGCCAATTAATTGTAAATGCTCAGAAACTGCCAATGCATTGCCTTGAAAGGGCTCTGCTGATGCAGTTAGTGTCTTGGATCGGATCCACGAAATAGTTAAAACTCGAATCATACGCGCACAGAGTGTGCGATACCGAAGTATAACAGGCTCGGAACGTTTGTCATTATTCAATAGTGTGGTAAGACTGACAATGAGTTGAAAAGTATGGGATTCTTCAGCTAATTTGTTTGAGCGATGTGAGCCTTTTTTTGGCCAAATGATATCCCAAAGTTGGACGCAGAGCACTTCGATAGAAAATTCCATGGATTGTAATAATTGCAAAAAGGAATCTGCACGAGACCATTCCCAATTCAACTTTCCCAGATATTGGAGAGTTTTTTTGCGGTTGGAAAACAAACTACTTGGTGGAAATACGCCTTGTGTACTATTGGTTGCCACAAACTGTCTAGCCAAAACGTCAATGTCAAACATGTAGCGTTTTCCAAACAGGCTTTGACGGCTAAATGTGGCGGTTTGAGGAATGCAATATAGACTCAGATTAACAGGCGGATGTTCCTGCTTAACTAATGAATGCACAGCTTCAAATGAACCACTGCCCAAAGGAAAAGGCTCATTATTGAATATAACTGCAAATAAATCTTTTGATAGAAACGCATCGCCAACAAGTTTCTGAATCATGGAGCGATGAGCATCGCTAATACCAGCTACTCCAATTGAAAAATAGGCCTCCAAAGTCAAAATATGCAGGGCAAATGATTGCAAGGAATTTAATACGCACGGGATGAGATCATTTTGAGCTGACATTTGTACAGGCTCTGTATCGTCTGCTGATTTGCACTGTGACAAGACTTCTACTGATGTGACGGTAAGCATGCTATGCAAAATGTTCCAAAGAAACTTTGACTGGCGGAAAAAACTCAACGTATTGCGGTGATCTAGAGCATTTTGCCAAATCAAGTCAAAAAGACGCATGCTAGAAACAAGAACAAAGGGATGAAAGATAAGCCCCTGCTTCCAATCTGTAATAATATCCATAACTGCTAGAATTAATGGTGACTGTTTTTTTTCTGATGTGGTACCGCTATTGGCGGATTTAGCAGCAATGGGATGTAATGCAGGACGGTAAAAATCAGTGATACTGGCTGTTCCTGGTGCAAAAAGCAAGGCTGAGAGTCCAGGTTGAGATTTCAAAGCAGTCGTGACAAAGTGAAGTACCGCATCTTGCATCTCAGAGTTATACCTAATAGTTGCTCCATCGTTTCGTACAATCCGGCTAAGAGAATCAGCAAATGCTTGAGCGTCTTTTCCAAAGTATCCAACAAAAGAAACTGATTTTGAGTGCACATCTGATGTAGCCTGGCACACAAGCGTCAAAAGGTGTATGGCCTCTTTGGAAAGATTTAGATTATGTTCGTAAAATACATATCGGCCAACAATATGTACTAAATCAACAGGACTGCTGGCACTACGCTTGATTGTGCGATCTAGCAGCATGTTCTCCAATACCGACAAAGGTCTGCCAAACTTGATTCGACATAATATTAATGAACCAGCAAACCGCAAACTATCAGTAACGCAACGCTCCAATAGATTTGCCTCGACTGATCGATGGTGACGGTGCAAATACAACAACGATTCATTCCCCGTTCCAATCAGTTCTAAAAGTGCACTTGCATACTGTGAAGAATCTGCTTGAAGAAAGGCGTTGACTACAAAGGCATATGAACTTGCGGGAGTCATGTCTGTGGAAATCGTATTGCCTTTCAAACTCGCAAACTTCTCATTAGCCCAGCACACATGGTCAAGGATCTTGTTGAATGCTGCTAAAATGCTGACACCGATTTGAAATTTGTCGGAAATATTTTGATATCGCCACGAACGATAAGTTGGAAACACATCGTAAATCAGAAATGACAAGATAGATTGTAAAACCTCTGTTCGTGATGCAACATCATCAAACAACCCGTCACGCTGGTAAGAATCTGCTTTAGTATTAGCGGCGCGTTGTGTATCAAAAGACTCTAAAATATCCATTGAATCAAAATATGACCACTTGGCTTGTAAGGTACCTTGCGAATCATCCAAAAGATCCTGAAATAGAAGCAAAAATGACTTGGTAGCAAGGTATGATCCAGAAGATCGCTCCAGTGGCAAAATTGATCGTTGAATGTAACTGGTAGATGGTTGTTGCGGAGCCAACGGTGTTATAGAGTAGTGGGGTAAAAGCATGTGAGAACGGAGATGCCGCCACACCAGACTTGGATAATGAGCCAAAAGAAGTCTAAGAGTGTCAAGGCAATATGTGACTAGCTCAAGATGTGGCGATTGCTGTAGACACACTCTGTCAAGAATCAAAGATAAGAGAGCAACCAAACGTTCTTCCGGACGCTGTTTTTCTGATCGCTCTGAATTATGTGTAGGTGCGTACTGTTTCAGCAAAGAGCACTCGCTTAAATGCACCATCAAAGCATTGACAGTGGATCTAGCTGCATGACTGAAAAAAATACTCAGAAACTTTAGAATTGCAAGTGTAGTTTCGCCAGTGCCTATTAAGGGGCCAGGAGCCAATGCGTCGTCAATATGGTTTGATTTAAAAAGAAAAGACTCTAGCAGGACTTCAAAAAGCACCCACGCAGAGTAATGCATGTTTAAAATCACGGTTCCTTCGCCAGAAAGAGTTGCCAATGTGCCCACCGGAGCACAAAAAGACACAGAACGAGAGCCAAATACTAGTGGGCCTCCAGTCCAATGAAACTGCTCGCCAAATACACCATTCGGCGCTGGTTCGTATCCGCTACGAAGTAAATCAGAAAATGATGTGATTTCCGAAAGATACGCCAAAGTCACTACAGACGTTTCAGCACTAGAGGTGAGCGAGCCAACAAGTTCAAGAAAATGAGAAAATTCAATTGGAAAGTGCCTGCGGGTTGAATCGAGAAGTGATCGACGCTCATCTACAGGGTAATCCTCATCCCAAAATTGCTTGCAAAGTTCTCCTTCTCCAGAAAAAAGCTTCGACATGCAATTAACCAGTATATTTCTTTTTGGTAATGAAGGCACGTTCTGGGTCGTAAAAAAGGCCATAAAAACACCTTTTAAAATACTCTTGAGAGCTGCACAACTTCCAATTTCGCCGTGATAGGGCGATTGACCAAGCGACTGTAATAGTCCCTCAAAGACATTTTGTGAAAGATACGAATGCTGTAAAAGTCGCTGCGGACCATGATCTGAAACTGAGCTGTTGTCTCGTATCTTCAAGAGGAAATCGCGCGCAGAGCCAGTGGGGATAGCTGGAATGCGCAAAACAAGCACTTGCTGAAAAATGGCCCATGACATATTAGCCAGAGCATCGAAATTTCCAGGTAAATGTGAAGGTCTGTCTTGAAGAGAACTCCATATGGTATCTGCCATGTCTGAGAAGAGTGCAGGAATCTGATCATAGTCTGCCGAATCATCGAATAGCTGGGTCGAGTGGTTAAAATCGATGCAATTTTCAAAGCGAAATGTTTCAGCACAAACAACATTGCATAGGTGGTTAAGATATGACATGCGCTTATGCTGCGTTTCTTTAAAATAAGATCTATTTGGCTGATCTACGCCAAAAGAAAATTGGTACAACGTAGAATAAACCGATGTGATGGAAAATGGAGAACACGGCACTCTAACATAAAATAGCAACACTAAAATCTCGGCAAGTGCAATCTGTTCTTCCAGGTTTTGACAAGACCAGATATGGGCTAGATCTGGATCTACTTGGAAGTGTGTAGGAATGTTTTTTACCCCAGTTGCAGTAAGTTGTGATAAGATACGACTATAAAACAAAGCTCCATCGTCAGAAGCTGCAGATAAAATATTTTCCAGACTCTCTGATACAATTTGATGATGGAAATGCGACGGATCATAAGATATACGAAGCATGGTGGCCAAAACAGATAGCTTGTTGAGACGCTCATGAAAATAATAATCCTGAACAAACGCAAAGGTTTCATCGTCGTACTAGAGTATTGCCATTAAAGTACATGAAATAGAACACTCGTTACAGATATTTCGTATTTTAGTATACAGGTTGCATTCTGGAATACTTTCTACCTTTGGTTTTCCCTCGCTGACTATGGCTCGAAGTGAGACTGGAGTCAGCTCCACATGCTCAATACACTCTCGTAGAATAAGAAGACATTGCACTTGGTCAAGATCAAAATGGTCACTCATTCTCAAGAGAAAGGCCAGCTCTTTATCGTCACATATGGTCAACTTGATGTTTTGTAGTTGGATCTGCTTGGACTCGACTAGACTGCGAGATGCCGACGATGGAGGTTGATAGTAGTTTACACCAAGGATATGAAAGGGTTCATACTCGACTAGACTACTGTGCAGATCTTTTGATGAGAAGACTGGATCTTCAAGAGCTCTTAGCAACGACTGGCAGGAACTGTTCACCAGCCCATCATACGAACACGATAAAATGCTAATTAGCACGAACTACTGTCGGATCACTCATGACATGATTGCATTCAATGCTCAACTCACATGGTCGTCTTGAACAGTTTATTCGGAGAATACTTGGCAGTTGTCATTCTATCAACCGAATGCGCCTGGTTGGGCATAAACAGTCAAGTTCTGGTTTGATTTTTGTTGAAATTCCGTCAGAAATCCAAACTTGTTCAAAATATTATTGCTTTCCATTTTCCATTTTGGAAACTAATATGATTGCAAGTTTCATTAAACACTCCAGTATAAATCAACCAGTTTCATCAATATTCCATGTTTTAAACAGGATATAACACTCCAAAATACTATTATTGTCTTGTAAAAAAGCTCAAGACATTTTGGACTTGAAAGTCAGTGATAATATATGGCCATGGAAATCTCCTTTCGCTCGAGTCCACATTTCTCGTAAAACTCAACATTCTTGTCAGCACATGCAAGAAGCGTCTACATCAGCAAAAGTCTGGTCAGATCGTCTTTGTTATCTTGAGCTTAACCCCAATCGCATACTATACCTTGTACGCCCCCTTTGTTTTCCCTAGATGAACAAGCTGCTTAATGAGCCTAAATGGTTTATCAGAGCATTGTCAATCAAGATGAATGAACTTGTTTTTGTATTTAGCAGCCTTTCGATCTCATTTGCAAAGCATACCATTTTCCCAAGCCCTTTCCACGCTGTGATTCAGATATCACAACATCTTCAATGTGACCAGCCTATAAGCATTAAACATGATTAGTCTACTTCCCAACACATTAATACCTAATATTGAGATAGACCATACTAGCATACCAAACCACAATCATGAATAAACTTGTGCTCAAGTAGCAGATTCGCAGATCTAAAGTTGAATCAGCATTTCAATATATTTCAAATAGCATGGTCTGTTGCATATCGATTAAAAACATACCCAACAACTCTCTTGGTGCTACAATCATATAATACGACACACATATACTGATCATTCCGATCTTGCATCAATTTGAACCTATCTAATACATATACAATTTAGCACATTGTACCACATCCTACTTTCAATGTCAAATTTAAATTCAAATACTTTCAAACATCTCCTTTGTGACATTCCCCACAGTAGTCAGCTCTGCAAGCGTTTCTAGATATCCTGTCAACCCAAAATTGTATATATTTTGTTAGAAACAGTTGACCGACTTGGATGCAAAAAACAGTCATGTATCCCTTTATGTTTAGCTGTACAGCAAGACGTGGGCTTGAAATACATTTGATTTTTAGTTCATAACCATAACTCTATTGATATTCATACTGGTACGCATGTTTATATCACACAATAAAGTACGCAATATCACCCTGGCTTAAATCAAGTCAAATTTAGCAAAGTAGATTGACATCAAGGCAGTATATATGATTTGAATACGGCCACTTGGAATAATGAAGGCAGTGTGTCAAAGTCTAAATAGATATAGCATTGCACATGCCTTTTTGATAGTCATCCAACTCAAGTGGCCTCATATCAATTCCACTAGGCAGTTTTGAAAGAATATCCTTGCATAGTAGCTGGGCTGGAAACTGGGAGTTACACAGAGAAGTCATTCCGTTTTCGATCTGGATAAGAATTGTGAGGGAAAGCGCGTTTGGCCCAAGTTGTCTTTTTAATCAGATACGTTCGTGCTCTAGTTCAAGAAAACAATCTTGGGAATGTAACAGTTGCCTCCATGCTGGCCACGCAATGTTTACTTCGAATGTTCGTTTTGGAGGAAAGGAAAGTTCAAGGTTCAAAAGCGGTTGAATGAAATTTACGTGAGTACTTGAAAAACATGATACACGCTGATGGTGTGGTTGTTGACAATTTCTCATTTCATTTCATCTCGCCATTTTCATATCCTTTGTTTCTAGCCATAAACTTTGAAACTAAATGGCAGATACTTCAAAAGTCACGATATTTGTAGTAGGACCTTCAAAAGTAGGAAAAACTGCAATATGCAATTATATTGCCGAGTTATCTGATAGCATCAACAGCAGCGAATACCATCCAACTCAAGGTGTCCGGTAAGATACATTTCTTTTGTTGCTATACCAACGCATAATTTCATGCTACACTGCAGGTCAATTGCAAATATATCTGTAATATGGACCCAGGATTACCACTGGTATAGCATGATTTAACATGGTTTAACATGCATTAATAGAATTCTAGAATTTGACCGCAAGATTGTTTCTGATGGTAAAACACACAAGTGGAAAGAACTCAATTTGGAAGGTATGTGCATGGTTAGAAGCAATGGTAATAAAAACTTGATTATTCAGCAACTATTAAACTAACTTTAAAAACCAATCCACATTTTAAATTAGTCGAGCTTTGGGACTGCAGTGGTGATTCAGAGTATGTCGACAGTTGCTTTTATCATTAATCTAAACTGAAACAAAATACACATTTATTAAACTACTAAATCATAGATTCCATTCTTGTTGGCCGGTCGTCTCAACTCAAATACAAGGTGTATTATTTGTCACATCTCCAGATTTAAAACAAGATAGAGAGCTGGATCTATGGTATAATAGCTGCATGCTTATTTGTCCGTTGTTTCAACAGGTACTATGTCAAGGAAAATATCACTAAATTTTTAAATTACAGGCCTGACCTATTTCCAGCCATAAAAAGCAATCAGTGCGCAGTATTTGCTCATCGATTGGTTAATTCGTCCAGCAAGTCCAAGGTTAAAATGAGTAAGTGGTTATTATGGAGTAAACTTGTAGATCCAGTATGCTTGTTCATCTAAATGATCAGTCTAGTTTACCATGTAAGAGTATCTAATTGTTTCGCGTTGATTGTATAGCACATAAAACTTTGATAAAAGCACCATTGTTTTACACTTCTTTAGATCAGGATCCAGAAGCTATTCGTGATGGGTTTGATTTATTGTTGATAAATGTATATGCAGCTATGATGGAGACTAAGGAGAAGGAAGAAAAGTCGATTGCAGGATAGAATAAATTACTTTAATTGAATTTCAAATTCCATCCTTCAGTGCTACTAAATCCATGTCAAGGTTGTGCAACTTGTTTTACTGTCATATTCACGTAAGATTGAGAACGTCGAAACAAATATCTGGATTGCAATGAATGAATCTGGATTCAAACTTGGCTGTACAATGTATAATTATACCAAAAGTAGAGAAAGAGATGGTTTGGTTGTATTATATGATGGATGCTGTGTTTATGGAAGAGTTGACGATTAAAGTCAGTTTGTAGTAGAGAAGCATAACTGGTTTTAACCCTTTCTATTCTAAAGCAAAAGTTGCTGCAATACAAAGCTCTTTTACGTGAATGCAGTGATAAAAACTGGCTACATCAGTATTATGATCATCTCAAGGTTGCTACAAGCTGTGCCTGGAGTATTCCAGACAACCATCATGCCAAGTATCTCAAGACATCCGCTTCTCCCCATTCAATCTTTATTACAATGTATTACAGCAACTCCAGCACAACCTTTTTATAATACTGTTCATCCGTCGCACTCTCGCAACCACTTGACTAATGCTACATCTAATAAACATAACAATGCTCATATATCAAATTCACAGGAAATACCTGTAAACCATCAATACTCATCCCAAAATATGCATCAGCCCTACACTGATCCGATCTTGGCATCTGTTTTAAATGGTCAATGGTCTACAAAAAAAAAGGATAAGGAGCTCGACTCGCAGCTATTATTCCAGTTATCATCGCATTTAGATGCCGACAGAATTGCCAAGGCATTCTTGCTATTTCATCAGTTCGAAAAACATAATCCAAGTATTCTTAAACGCCTATCATCCAGTCATTTCAGTCTGCTCATCTATAGTGTCCTCACTTGCAGATTCAACATCCTTCGCCATCAATCAGTGGAAGCCAGACGAGACTATGCTGTGAGAATATTTCATATCATGCAATCGGTTGGTGTAAAACCAGATGCCCAAACCTATGAGCTTATGATCCATACTCATGCGTATATTGGAGATACTAAAACAGTGGAAGCTCTTTATGCTGATATGAAACAATGTGGATTTCCAACTGATACAATCTCAATCTTGAATGATCTCGCACGAGTCTATTTGCTATCATCGCAACAAACTCGTGGCCTAGCATACTTTGAAATGGCCTGCAAGCTTGGCAAGTCCGACGTAGCATTCAATGAACTAATCAAAACATATTTGCTAAATAATGACGAGTCCGCAATGCTGGGTGCTTTGAAATTACTGCGAAACACTGGTGGGCGTCCATCAACCTCGACCATGGTAGATATTTGCAGATACTATCTGTTCAAAGAAAATCACCAAAAAATTCACCAGCATCTTCAGGATTTCAAAGTAGAGGGTGGACTGATTGAAACAACTCTTTGGAATATCCAACTATGTGCTGCAAATCAAGTAGGCGATCATGTCATGACTCTGAGCTTACTGGCAGAAATGCGATTGTCACAGATTCCTTTCAACTACGAGACACAGGCAGAGGAACTCGTGGCGCTAGCTTATTCCAAGAATCGTCGTCGTTTTTGGCGGGTTTATTCGCTAATGATCAAGCAATCTCGACCTACGTTGCGGGTTGTTAAAGCCCTTGCCACTATGGAAGGCCCGTTGATCAACGATCGCGCTCTTCATGACATGCAAGCTTCTATTGCCATGTGCAAGATGATTCAGTTTGATACGTTGCTGGCTGTCATTACAGGATATGGTGTCATTGGAGATGTGCAATCTATCCACATTATTTTGGACATTCTATCCAAAGTAACTCGTGTTATCCCAGATGACACTTTTGAATCATTGATCAAGGCATACTGCATTTCAGGCAACGTTGGTGATGCATTGGAGTATACTAAAAAAACCAAAGTGGTTTCCATGCAAACATGCGAATTGGTTTTGGACACTGCTGTTTTGCAAAAACATGAGCTTATCAACAAGATTGTTGCTGAAATCAAGCAAAAATACCCTAGTGTAGATACTTCACTGTTGCTTTCTAAAGCTAACGATCGTGTTACAAATCCAATTTTACAAAAGTTTACAATTGATACCGAATAAAGGACGACTTGTTTGAATCTCGTGCTGTCAACTTTTAGCTGGTTGAGCATATTTACCATCAATTCATGTAAATCTGATTGTTTTGTTTGAATTTATGTAGACTGATGTGTGGCATACGCAGCAGTTTTTATGAATTTGTACAGCTTCTCATGCTGAGCACAATATCAATTACTAACACATCAAGTGAAATCTACGTGCATAATACATTACATTCAGCCACAAACTATATATGAAACCCAATCAAGAGTGTTAATTGCACCAAGGCGCAATAACTTTCGCAATAGCCCCGTAAAATTTTCAGCAGCTGATTGATTATCAAGCCAATAAAGTTTCAGGAATCCTCGGCATGCTAGGAATTTATCCATCAGCCCTGTAAGTGGAGGGTTAGCAGCCATCAATCATAATTGCACGTGTGAACAAAACAAGCTAATATAAACTGATTAAAATCCGAATAGCCCACATTCAAGGTGAAGATTTCATTGGATCCACTTTGCATTGCAATTAAAAAATAGTACTGCTACAATTACATTTACTATGCTGCTAAAAATTGCTTCTGCTACACTTGTTGCTGCACTCGCAGTATCTGCTGCTGTTCAAGGACCAACTCCTGGTCAAACACATCGCTACCGTGCTGCTGCTGGCGATTCACTTTTATCTCTTGTGGTATGTATAGATATACATTGATAATACGACTGATCAACTGGACTTGAATGTCAAGTGTCGAGTTTTATTTGTCAGCCATTGTGTTATCTTGTCAATATTGTAATTGGCCATGTAATTTAACATACTGCTGACTGTATCAACTATAATTCATATTACACGGCATTAGCCTGTTGACGGTGCCGAGTTTCTCCCTGATCAACATTTTGATATTTCTATCGAACTGCATAACATTGGTGCTACTGCCACTCCCGATCTATCACAACTTAAAGCCACTATCAACAATGTTCCCATTGATAAATTTTTCAAATCTTCGTTTGCTGCTGCCGAATCCTGGAATTTTACCTATGCCGTCGATGGTGCTGCCCGTGACGCCAATCAAATGACCACTGTCACTGCTACCCGTCTTGCTCTCCGATCCGTTGCAATCAAAAAGTCAGGCGACTATGTTTTGTCTCTCAAGAGCGGAAACCAAACTGTTGATGCCACGTGGACTGTTCGCAAGATTAGCAGCCGAAAAACTAAAAATCTGGTTTTATTTATCGGTGATGGTATGGCAGTAAGTCACTCATGCTTTGTGTTTTGAAACATTGTATGATTGCAGTCCAAGTAACTGACTCATGATATCATTGACAATAATTTAATCCAGCCATCCATGATTGCTGCTGCTCGGTATATATCCAAAACTACCAAGTTTGGCAAGTTTGGGTCCAATTTTCTGGAACTCGAAAAACTTGGCTCGATTGGTAAAATTGCAACTAATGGAATTGACGCAATCATTACTGATTCTGCAAACTCTGCATCTGCATATCTTACTGGTCAAAAAGGCTGGGTGAGTGGTCTGAACGTGTATGCCGATACGTCTGATGATATTCTTGACGATCCTAAAGTTGAAACACTTGCCGAGTATATTCGTGGTAATCGACCCAAAATGTGCATTGGTGTTGTTACCACTGCAGCCATATATGACGCTACTCCTGCAGCAATGTACTCGCACACTCGTTCCAGATACGAATATCAGTCAGTTGCAGACCAAATGCTTAAAGTAATCAAGCCAAATAATTTGACATGGACGCCAAAACCAGTACAAGCTGACGTACTGCTTGGTGGAGGTGGTTCGACATTCTGCCTCAAAACCAACGGTACAGCTTGCAAATCACCCGTTGACTATTATGCTCTTTACAAGAAATTCGGATACAATGTAGTCAAGTCCAAGGCTGAGCTTGAAAAGGCACCTACTACTGAACCGCTTCTTGGTATTTTTACTGCTTCGCACATGGATACATGGTACGATCGCACTCTTCGTCTTGAAAACTTGAAACTCAACAAAAAGTCTGGTCCAGATGGTGTTGGTTCTGCACTCGATCAACCTGGTCTAGAACTTATGACTCAAAAAGCCATCGAGGCACTATCCGATCCTAAACGATGCTCTGATGGATTTTTCCTTATGGCCGAAGCCGCATCTATCGACAAGGCAATGCACGCATTAGACTATGATCGTGGTCTTGCTGATCTGCTCGAATTAGATCGCACTATCAAGGCCACCAAAGACTGGGCGTTGAAACATGGTGACAATACTGCGATTATTGCCACTGCTGATCATTCACAGGCATTTGACACTTATGGTACTGTTGATACCAAGTACTTGAACGCGCTCCCAGACGATGATACCAATATTCTTGGTGCTGGTAAAGATGCAGGCATTCAGTTCCAAAAACATCTTGCTATTGGTGAATATGATACGGCTGGATGGATTGACTCTGTTATGGATGAAAATGACATGCCAACCAAATGGCAAGGACGTTACCGTCTTGCCACTGGTAAAGTAGATGGTCCTCAGAGTGTTGAAAACTGGCAAATTCGCGACATTCCAGGACTTGGTACGAACCCACTTAGTCGCCAAGCTGTGGTCGAGAATACTGTGCTTAAGAGCAAGTTCAATATTACTAGCCGGGAATCCATTTACCAAGCCAGCCCGGCTGAGCCATCTGGTATCAAAAAGAGCGGCATGAACCCTCCAACAGATAGTCAAAGTGTTCACTCTCTTCAAACTGTCGATGTTTATTGTCATGGACCATCTAACTGGCGCCAGCACTGTGCCAAAGTCATGGACAATACAGAACTATTCTTCATTATGGCAGAGGCACTTGGTCTTGGATTTCGATCTACCTACAGAAACAACTAACATTCAGCACTAGATTCTAAATATTTCATTTTAGATTAGTCATTTGTGTATTGATTGGAATATATTTGTAAATCTTAATGTTTTGTTGGAACGCTCAGATATTTAACATCGATTTGTCTGCCTAAAACGACACCATCATTCATTACATATTCCATTCTTTAATCAATAAATGCATTTATAATTGAAATATGTGTGGAGCATAAGAAGAGAGTGGAGCTCTAACTTGTTGCAATTCTAAATGAACTGTATCCAAAAGTTCATCAGCAGACAGACAGAATGATCTAGGACTGGCGATTCACAAATACGAGATCACTTGTTACAACAAGTAATACTTGAATAAAGAGGGATCTCTGCATTGGCCACCAGCTGCCAGTTTATGCTTGGATGGACTAGCGTTACTTGCATAACAGTATTCTGTGTTTAGCACCCATTTGATTTTACAAATAAAAGTTGCTCAAAAGTCGACTGTTGATATACCACATCAACTAAATATGACCGCAATGGTCAAGTGATGCTTGAATGCATATTTGCTAAGCACAGCATGATAATTTTGCATATCAAAATATCAGGATTGATAGTTGGAGCTTGTTCATCATACTGTGGTATTTTTATACCTTGCTTCATTATAATTGGCAAAAAGCATCTTATCAAGCAAGGCTTGCCTGTAGTGTGCAGTGCCGTCTAGCTGAAGATCAGAGTTGCAACCATCACATGATCTAAGGAAATATAATTTTACAGCCGTGTTCACGCAAGATGGAGCACTATCTCGCAATCACTGTTCTATACCTTGCTTCAAAATAAACAGTGATTAGATCTTTGCGCTTTCTTACTAGACATTGACTGCACAGCTTTTTCAATAAATAGTTTCAACTCTTCCAAACAGTGTTCATCATACGATATATATACAATCAGATATGGTTCTGAGCTGAGACTATCCTCATTGGCATAGTCATATATTGCACGATTACCAAGTTTGAAACCATATATTGAGTTTAATTTCCGATATTGTGAATCCAACTTTACAAACCCGTCTCTGTTATATCTTAAACTCGAATACATTCGCGTTCTAGTTTGAAAGAAAAAAGATTGCATGTTTCGAAAGTGCGACTGCTGCTCCTATGCCAATCACCCAATGCTTGTTTGTAATGTTTGGATTAGATGAAAGGAGAGTCGGAGATTAAACAAGTACTAGGGATATGGGATTGACTAGAACAGATGCAAATGCTGCTTTGAACGTTCGTTTAGTTGCTTATACAAAAATATTCACAGAAAAAGACCAGTGAGTTTTGATGAGTTTAGATACAATGTTGTCCAGTAAATTTGATGGGAATTATCATTTCATGAGACCGGCTGTTTATTAGACACCCTTATTTGGTGTTCCATTTGCGCGAATATGGCTGTGTATGGGGTTCAAAGGCTTGCTGAAACAATCCGACATTTATCAACAGTGGCTAAACACAAGGGTTAGTGGATTTATGGCTTTGTTCTGAGAATTAATTCATCCTGTAAAAATATAGTCGAATATAAAAGGTGTGCTTGAGATCGCAATTAAAAAATAGTACTGCTACAATTACATTTATTATGCTGCTAAAAATTGCTTCTGCTACACTTGTTGCTGCACTTGCAGTATCTGCTGCTGTTCAAGGACCAACTCCTGGTCAAACACATCGCTACCGTGCTGCTGCTGGCGATTCACTTTTATCTCTTGTGGTATGTATAGATATACATTGATAGTACGACTGATCAACTGGACTTGAATGCCAAGTGTCGAGTTTTATTTGTCAGCCATTGTGTTATCTTGTCAATATTGTAATTTAACATACTGCTGACTGTATCAACTATAATTCATATTACACGGCATTAGCCTGTTGACGGTGCCGAGTTTCTCCCTGATCAACATTTTGATATTTCTATCGAACTGCATAACATTGGTGCTACTGCCACTCCCGATCTATCACAACTTAAAGCCACTATCAACAATGTTCCCATTGATAAATTTTTCAAATCTTCGTTTGCTGCTGCCGAATCCTGGAATTTTACCTATGCCGTCGATGGTGCTGCCCGTGACGCCAATCAAATGACCACTGTCACTGCTACCCGTCTTGCTCTCCGATCCGTTGCAATCAAAAAGTCAGGCGACTATGTTTTGTCTCTCAAGAGCGGAAACCAAACTGTTGATGCCACGTGGACTGTTCGCAAGATTAGCAGCCGAAAAACTAAAAATCTGGTTTTATTTATCGGTGATGGTATGGCAGTAAGTCACTCATGCTTTGTGTTTTGAAACATTGTATGATTGCAGTCCAAGTAACTGACTCATGATATCATTGACAATAATTTAATCCAGCCATCCATGATTGCTGCTGCTCGGTATATATCCAAAACTACCAAGTTTGGCAAGTTTGGGTCCAATTTTCTGGAACTCGAAAAACTTGGCTCGATTGGTAAAATTGCAACTAATGGAATCGACGCAATCATTACTGATTCTTCAAACTCTGCATCTGCATATCTTACTGGTCAAAAAGGCTGGGTGAGTGGTCTGAACGTGTATGCCGATACATCTGATGATATTCTTGACGATCCTAAAGTTGAAACACTTGCCGAGTATATTCGTGGTAATCGACCCAAAATGTGCATTGGTGTTGTTACCACTGCAGCCATATATGACGCTACTCCTGCAGCAATGTACTCGCACACTCGTTCCAGATACGAATATCAGTCAGTTGCAGACCAAATGCTTAAAGTAATCAAGCCAAATAATTTGACATGGACGCCAAAACCAGTACAAGCTGACGTACTGCTTGGTGGAGGTGGTTCGACATTCTGCCTCAAAACCAACGGTACAGCTTGCAAATCACCCGTTGACTATTATGCTCTTTACAAGAAATTCGGATACAATGTAGTCAAGTCCAAGGCTGAGCTTGAAAAGGCACCTACTACTGAACCGCTTCTTGGTATTTTTACTGCTTCGCACATGGATACATGGTACGATCGCACTCTTCGTCTTGAAAACTTGAAACTCAACAAAAAGTCTGGTCCAGATGGTGTTGGTTCTGCACTCGATCAACCTGGTCTAGAACTTATGACTCAAAAAGCCATCGAGGCACTATCCGATCCTAAACGATGCTCTGATGGATTTTTCCTTATGGCCGAAGCCGCATCTATCGACAAGGCAATGCACGCATTAGACTATGATCGTGGTCTTGCTGATCTGCTCGAACTAGATCGCACTATCAAGGCCACCAAAGACTGGGCGTTGAAACATGGTGACAATACTGCGATTATTGCCACTGCTGATCATTCACAGGCATTTGACACTTATGGTACTGTTGATACCAAGTACTTGAACGCGCTCCCAGACGATGATACCAATATTCTTGGTGCTGGTAAAGATGCAGGCATTCAGTTCCAAAAACATCTTGCTATTGGTGAATATGATACGGCTGGATGGATTGACTCTGTTATGGATGAAAATGACATGCCAACCAAATGGCAAGGACGTTACCGTCTTGCCACTGGTAAAGTAGATGGTCCTCAGAGTGTTGAAAACTGGCAAATTCGCGACGTTCCAGGACTTGATACGAACCCACTTAGTCGCCAAGCTGTGGTCGAGAATACTGTGCTTAGGGACATATTCAATGTCACTGGCTGGCAATCCATTTACCAAGCCAACCCGGCTGAGCCATCTGGTATCAAAAAGAGCGGCATGAACCCTCCAACAGATGATCAAAGTGTTCACTCTCTTCAAACTGTCGATATTTATTGTCATGGACCATCTAACTGGCGCCAGCACTGTGCCAAAGTCATGGACAATACAGAACTATTCTTCATTATGGCAGAGGCACTTGGTCTTGGATTTCGATCTACCTACAGAAACAACTAACATTCAGCACTTGATAATACTCCTACTTTGCACAGTAAAAATGTGTGCCTGTAGTAAATAAACATTATTATGCATCGATTTTGATTCTACCACGTTGCTATAGCTTGAACAACACTTTTTGAATTGATTACACTGGCACTTGCTTGCTGTTTCAGCAGCAATTGAGTTTGGACCGACTGACAACAGTTTTTTAAATTTGGATTTAGTTTGTCGTATTTGATTGCATTGAATTCAGGTAAATTCTTGCATTACAACTTCCAAAGTTTGCAGACGACTGGTTCAAGTTTATTTCGATTTAGTCATACTATAGTCTGCTTTCGAGTAAGAAATTGGTGAATTAAAGGCATTGAATGAAACCGTGCTACTGTGGAGAGCAGACAGATGACTGTTCAACGCTTTCTGAAGTCACAAATTTATTAGAATGCAGCAAGTGTGGTCAGAGAATTCATTCATGTAAGTAATTATATGGGTTGAAACTGTTGGATTCTCATCTGCAACCTAGTTGCCAGAAAGTACTTTATAAACCTACTCGATACCATTGATTAGGAAGATTCAATTTCGCAATGTGCTGATGTTTGTATTAGATTGTGTTCAGGCTGTCAAAATTCCTATTCTGTTGTATGGCGACAAGTATTTCACCTATTACTGCAAAGACTGCTCGAAAACATCCACAGACTCATTTGAACGGCATTCAGTATCATGGTGAGTTTGTCAATGCTGCCTTGTACAGTTAGATAATCCACTTGCTCTTGTAACAATTTTATCTTGGCAACTATCGTGATAGGTCAGTGCTGTTACAGCTTGTGCTTTACTATCTACATGTGAGTCGACCAGCCTGCAACTACTTTCATATCAAGGACATTTATCAGATTCTTGACTCGGGCTGGGAATATCTGCGAGCTCAAACTGATCGTATGTATATTTGAAAATACAGTGTAGTTTTACAATGTCACTTGTCCATGACAATATATTAATTTATTTTATATTAGGGCCAGCAAAATGGAAATCAAATGTCGCTGGAGTGATTTCTACAACCCCAACTATATTTAAATCTGGTGTCAAGGATATGGGGCGAGTTGGCTACTGGACGCTGGTAGAGATCAAACTGCCTAATCAAAAAGCCCAACGAAATGCAATGCAATCGTTATCAAGCACTCCAACTGCAAAATCTGCATCAGTAAATCGTAGACCATTTAGTGGCTCTCCTCTAGAATCTGGAATATCAAGTGATACTGCTGCTGGTCAGTCTGCATTAAGATTTCTGGGAAGTCTATTAAAAGGAGGCTCTTTATCGCATGGATTGTTACCATTGGGTTCTACACCTACACAACGTGAACTTGAACTTGCTAGTAGCATGCTACAATCTGTCGCGAACCAGAATCTACGCAATATCAAAAACAAACCAGTATCAAGTGATTCATCTGGTTCATCTGATTCATCTGATTTGGAAGACGACTCAAATGTGTCTGATTCATTGCAAAATAATGCCAATACCAAAGCTTCTTCATCTCTAAATGCATTAAGCCAGTTAAACTCTGCACCAACTCAGTCTAATCCTGAAGAGTTTGCATCTTTTCCAGGATCACTCTTACCCAACTTTTTTTCCAATTTACAGTCAATCATTGCATCGGCGATTTTACCAGGATCTTCGTCAACGCCTCTATTTGCAGCGACAAATCGTGTATCACCACAACAGCAAGCAATGGCATCCACTCTTTTTGAAAAAAACGGCATTGATGGTTTCAAATCCGATTCGATCCAGCATGGCACGCCTTTATCTAGTCCTTTGACTTTTGGAAATAATTTGAGCAGTAGTGATAATAGTGTAGATTTAAGTTTTCAAAGTAACAATTCAGATTCTGGAATGATAGTGTCAGGCAGCGCAGATACGAGTGGCATTTTGAAGATTGAGTCAAAAGCGAGTGTTGGTGCTCCGGATGATACAATGTTGAAAAACTCACCTGACCAATCTACCTCACTTTCTACTAAAAAGCATAAACCTTTGCAGAAACCATTTACAAAACCTATAGATACAGTGACACAAGAGGATGGCAGTGACTCGACCAGAAAGATCAAGAGTCTAACTAGGCAGATTAAAAAGGCAGTTGATACGACCATATCTGATGCTTCAATTAATGGCGAGTCTACTGTGAACAACACAAATACTGTACAATCACGACACCTGGCATTGCGTTTAAGCGAATCAGTGACAGAACAGTCCGATCAGTTACGTACACCATCTATTAAAAAAACTAAAATGGCACACCGAGTGTCTAAAAAGTTGGCAAATCAAGTCATGGACGATTTTGAATGTGCGACAGCTGCATCAGCATTTAAAGTTGAAGAAGCAGATACTGTTGGTGAAAAGACTGGGATGATCAATATGGACGACACCAAAAGGAAGGCTGAGGAATCTAGTCCATCGATGATAAAGAAACCCAAAGTGGCACATTCAGTATCTAAAAAACTCGGTAATATGCAAATGGTGGACTCTGATCACGATTTTGAAAATAGCGAATGTTCTGCAGAGGAATTGGGTCAAACCAATCTATCGAGTGCACTATCATGTAATAAGGACTTGAAACCCCCAGGCTCTTATTCTACGGAATTTCAAGCAACATCACTATCAAATCCGTCCAAAAACTCGGCCAACAGATTGATTCAAAAGCCCGCCGCACGACCAAAATATCGGTTACTGAGTGTTGCCAACGAATTTCAATTACGATCTCAACTTGATATGGTGTCAAATTTATCCAACCCATTGTATCAGTTTCGACGCAAGCTGATTATGCGAAGCCAACGACGATTGCAAAATCATAAAGTGTTTAATTTGGATGCATGGATGGCTAGATATTTTCAGCAAACGCCAGGCGGAGCTACTCCCTTAGTCTTTCCATCACAGTTACGTGTCCGTATTCAGATGCCGAACGGCATGTGGGAAAGCATTGCTATGCCTGATGAAGATCCAGCTACTGTTTTGGAACGATTCAATGTAGCTAAAGATATCTCAAAAACTCTGTACTCAAAATCTCTGCGATCGTACATTTTGGGAAATCCAATGCTAAGAGACACGCTTACCGTATTTGGGAAAAGACATAGCGCATATACGGGGAAAGTGCTTGAGCCATACATTATCCGCAACTACAGTATAAATCCTCCAAAGAAGATGCTTTTGGAGGCAATCACTTTTTGTGAAAAAGGTAAGCTGATACGTTTTATAAAAGTCTAATATAACAGTTTAGCGAATGGAGTAAATCTAACTCGATGATTTGGACTGTTGAATCAATACATTGAATGCATTTTAACCTGATATTTTATACATGATCATCTTTTTTAGCAGTGCTTCCAAATGTTTCTGCTTCCATTGATCTTGTGTATTTTCATGAAATGCATGTCAATGCAGTCAATGATATGTTGTCGCGAGTGTTTTGGCCAGGTATTGACATGTCAGAAAGCTTAACCTATCCAGATTTTAGCATTGTTGCCTTGTACAAGCGACTTGTGATTGGGTGTGCATTTATGAATCCAGAAGGGTATATCACGTATCTAGCAGTTTTACCAGGATGGCAAGGATGTGGTATTGCGAGCATGATGCTGTATCAGCTCATCAAGGTAACTTGAATTCGACTTTGATTACTGGTCCAGACCTGTAATGATGTGTTATGTTTAGTTTGATGTATTGAGTTGGTTTTCAATTTATGTGATTGTGTATTCTAGAAAGCAAAAGCAGCATGCCATGATATCTGCCTTCATGTATCTGCAAGCAACAAAGCCATGGTAGTGTGGATATGAGTGCATTATGCTGATGCTTGATCATTGCTGACACTATTCAACTTTAGTTGCTATACCAAAAATTCGGATTCAAGTCTGAAGGGTTTTTTGTTGGATTTTATTCAAATTATTTTCCAAAAGACTCAAAAGAGTGTCCAAATGCTATATTTCTTCGACTTCGGATTCGTTGAGCGAAGCCTGTTGTGTTTACACGATTCAAAAGCCTATTATAGCTCTCGCTTGATCAAAATGACTCTTATTGCTTGTAGTTTTAAACCATACCCATTCCGAGCATCTAATACATTTATTACAAATCTAAATGGTCAATAGTAAAATAGCCACTATTTTATTACTAAAATTACAGGAAAAGGATGTATTGTATTTATTTCACATAGATGTTACATCTAATAGTATACTGGTTTAATGTTGAGCAGATGAAAGAGTAGGCTTGTAATCACGATTGTGTCCATAATACTGCAGTCTTATTTTGAATCAGTGTCATTTTTGACTAGCGAGGCGACAATCGGTTGTGGTTCAGCAACTAGGATTGAATGGGTGGATTTGTCTGTAGTTTCTATTTCAGGTGTGGCAGACAAGCGAGTTTCAACAGAGACTACAGGAGCACTCGCGACCTGCTTAGAGTCGGCTTGCTCGACAATTGGACAAGCAGTTTCTGTATCAACGAAAGTAGACGGTATGTTAGCTTCAGACTCGATTAAAGTGGTTATCTGTGGAATATGCGGGAGATCATTGCCGCGTGTTGTAGGAGCAACATGATCCTTGAGCATAGATTCTGTTTTTTCTGGAACACGAGGAAGCGTTGGATAGTCGGCATACGTGTCTGCAAAATATTGTGTGACTCCGAGTTCAGATACTGCAGGTGCAGAAAATGGAGAAAAGGCAGCATTCCCAGGAATAAAAGAAGTAGTTTTCATTGGTGCTTGATAGTATAGATTTGATACTTGCTCTGGAGCCTGATGGACTGCATTAGGACTTTGAAGCTGAAAGTGTGCTGCTAGATTTGGATAAAGATGCATTTCAGTTGGCTGGTGAGATTGGGGATATGCCTGGGCTGAGTTTAAATTTATTTGATCCGACTGTTGAAGTTGTGGGGACGCGATGTAGGCAGGCGATCGATGCATGTCAACTGGTCGCTGCATAGATTCAATGGTATGACCTCTTGGAGGAATAAACAGTGCTGCAGGAGAGGCATTCCCAGCAATAGTATGCACAGGATCTGGCACAGAAACAGTTAGGGGAGCAAAGGCATGAGGATAAGCAGGGCTGGAAGCTTCAACCGAGGTATAGGTCTGAGTCGGAGTTTTGAAAAGTGCGATGGATGGTAGAGGAGCTTGAGCGGAAGCTGAAGCCTGATTAGACATGATCATGGGTTCTGGAACAGCAGTCTCCATTAGGTTCTCAGCTTGATCACTTTTGGGCTTTCCCTGTTTAAAGATACGTCCAATCATACTCGATGCATACTTGCGTCCAAAGTAAATGCCAATTGCACACACCAGAAAACCCACGACAAGCACGACGATAAGCGTAGTATGGGATGGCGATTTTTGTGCTGATGCTGTTTAATTATCAAGATTGATGGTTCAAGATGGAAAAAACAGTTAAATTACAAAGACACCATTTACAACCCTATTCACATCACAGTACACCATTCACTTGTTTAATCTACAACTCTTTTCTCCAAACCAAACATCGAGTGATTGGCATGAATGATTGCTGCATTTCTGATACGTGCAATCTTTGTTTTGTTGGACTGGAACGCAAGCGTATGTGAATTTAGAATACAACAGATATGATTTTGTAGAGTTTGGCAGTGTATGCATCATATGATGAACATTGTGTTTGAAGAACTGAGAATGTCAATTGAGGAAGCAGTCACTCGAGTGTTCCAGTTTACGTGAATACAATAGAATATCCAAACAATCTATATTAAAGTACTTACAATAGCAGGAAAGATTGCAGGAGGTAGCAGTATCAAGCGAGGCACCACAAATGTCAGTATCATGGCCATCACAATTATCAGGAATTTTCGAAAACGTAGGCAATGCGCCAGATAAATGAGGATTTTTGCTGAAATTCAAAAACTGCAAGTCCGGTAGATTCCCCAAAGAAGCTGGGACAGATCCGACAAGGTTGTTTCCGCTCAAATCAAGTCGTTGCAATGAAGCGATCTTGCTAATTGAGTCTGGAATAGTGCTGGAGAAGTTATTGTTGGGCAGATAACTTGAAACAGAAATCCATTAGTGTTCAAACTTTCAAGCTGATGAATGGAGATAGTACTACAAAGTTAGGCTTACAGTGATTTTAGATTGGTAAGGTTTCCCAGAGAAGCAGGAATCGGGCCATTAAAGTTGTTGTTGGACAGATACCTATTTATTTTAAATGTGTATTGCGAACCCACGCCATATCAATGGGTTGGATTAAAAAGGCGATGCAAAGTCAGCCGGACGAATAATTTAAGCATGATTGGATCATGAAGGGTAAGGATAGCTAGGAGAAACGTACAGTGATGTCAGGCCATCCAGATTGCCAATAGACTCGTTGAGAGGAGCAGAGATGCCCAACTGCAAGAACCTGACGATTGTGGCAATGAAGAGGTTAGAAAGAGGCGTTAAAATCAACCACCAATGCAAGGATTAGATTTAGACTACTTACAATGATGATATACGGCCATTAGAGCAAGTGACGCCGCCAAACGAGCAGCAGTTGATATCAAAAGAAATTGTAGGGAAAACAGTGGTTGACAACACTTCGCAATCTCTGACAGCGGTAGTCATGATTCAATGATTTTACCGAGCAATTTCTTATAAACAGAAAGTCCAATTTCGACTCCACCGTTGACTAGCAAACTACTCGACCATCAATACAGTCCAAGTTGTTCATGCGACCCCGAATTCAATAGCACGTGTTTGGTATTCAACATTGTGGCTCAAGTCTGCTATTCTGGATGAAATGTTGTGCACCTTTATAAACTTTGAATCAATATAATTTATTCTTTGGCCATAATCAGGGCTCCTGCTTCAATCACTGCTCCTAGGTTCACTAAACATTGCATAAATGACAACGAGTAGTGATTCCAATTTGCCCATTCCATTTCAGAAAACGCCCCAGCAAGATTGGACTGATGAAGTTGTGTTTGCTCCTGTCTAAACAGGCACAATGTCATAAAGACGGCATCCCTCAGCAAAGGAAAGATGTTTGTACTAAGCAACTGTGGATCATGGTTATGTGCTGTAGGATCAATTAGTCGATGCTGGAACACTCTGGATGTAGAGTGGATCACTGTTCCAAGCATTTCAATAAGAACATGAAATCGTGTATCCAAAATCTGATGAAGTGCAATATTATCTGCTGCCCAGATACGGCCATACACCATTGTAACTGTAAGATAAAATAGTCGCTCGACACCACGTTGACAATCAGGTGAATGCGATACCGCTTTGGCTTCGCTAGATGTAAGCAGAATCTCCCCAGAAGCATCTTCAATCAGTACACGAAGTTTCTCTAATTCTTTTGCAATACCATCGGCTTTGACTAGTGCTTCATCTCTGAATACTGTAATGGAAAAATCCACCTCTTTTGTACCGTCATGATATGATAAATGAACAAACTCTTGAAGCTCGGCTATCATTGTCATGATTTTTCCAACACGCTCAGGGAGTCTAGTAGATGCTCGTTCTGACATGACAAAGGTCGACACGACAAACGAAATGGCTACACCCAGTACAACCAGTCCAATTCTGTTCACTGCAGAGACGTAAAAGGGTCGACTATAAAATGGAAGACTAGGATCCCAATCCTCTTCGTAATTTGGCTCGGCATATTCACCAAGCACCACAATGAGAACGGTTAGCAACATCACCATGTAAACATACGAGTATTTCGGCTGTATGACTCTAGCATAGGATATAATGAATGTGGCTACGAATAGACTGATGCTGAGAAGATAGGGTTTGTAGCTGCATTGAAGACAAAATGGAGGAAGAGCAAATGTAATGGCAAGTAGAGCAACCCCAATCAGACCACCAAAAACCGTGCCAATCACTCGTTGCAATGACTTGCGCAGAAAACCTCCATACGTTGCTTCGTATGTAGCAATAACAGTAACAGCAGCCCATCCCTTGCCATGAATCTGATCGCGCAATACATCAACAAAGTTGAATAGCGTTGCCAGTACAATGGCAATGGAAACTTGAAACGCGAATCGAAATGCCTTGTCAGTGCAGACGTAGAACCAACATCTGTGACCTATCTTGGCAGCCTTTGAATAGACGGTGGAAAATATACTCGAGTTTTTATTCGAGTGTACAAGTGGATTGAGAAGCGACACCTCTTCTTCGTTTAGTTCATCTAGTGCAGGATTCCGACTGGACTCTGTATAGTCATGATTGCAATCCTCCTGTGACAATGCTCTACCCACTTGCTGTTTCAGTCGTTCATTAAGACTAATAAGAGATTGCAATGTGATTTTTTCAGGATCTTCGTCAGTATCAAGGTTTTGTGCAAAGCCAGTATTCTGTGATGGTATAGCTGGTCTTGTTCTTAGCTCAGTAGTTGTATTAGAAAGAGCAGGAGAGTGCTGTGGATTGGCATTAGACATGTGATTCTGTAAAGCTTGAACAGACGACTGAAACTCTCTGCGACGACTGAATACATCATTGACAAGTTCCAACAAGGGATCGACTTTTGGAGCTTTTGCAGTATGGCTGAATGGTAAGATGGAAGCAACTGTAGCAGCTCGAGAGTAAGCCTGACCTGAACGCAACTTGGCATTCAGCTGCTGTTGTGTTGGAATCTTTGGGTTTGGCCACAACTCTTGAGCGTTGATATTGGTAGGACTAGTAGTCAGTCCTACAGAGGTAGATGCGGAGTCTACTGGAGTAGAAGGTTCATGAGGATGTTCGTAGGGCTGTGAGCTGTTAGACGGATGAGTAGCAGATCGTCCCCATTCAGTAAATCCAGCCGACACAGTAGGAATAAACCTGTCAGTCCCAGTTGATGGCGAAGCATAATAAAAAACACTCATGGGTCGTCGTTTAGTCTGCATTGCGATTGCAGCAGTAGGATGTTGAAGAGAAGATGACAGTTCTGGCATGATGGATTGGTCAAGTATTGATAAAGAACATTCAATAGTTATGCTTGTGGAATCGAACAGCTTTTAACTTTCAATCTTGATTCAAGACTTGTTTGAAATCCAACATCAAATGTGAATATAAATTGCATCTGCAATAAGTCTGGACTTGCTAGCATGACATCTTCAAACTCATTCATCACAGACTGTCATTCTGATCTCAACTCTCACAGATGGATTGTATTGGATTCAATTCTACACAGTTCTGGACTCTCTCTCTCCACTTCTGCTACAAAACATCGATGTATTCTTGCAACTAAATCCATTCCTGTCGGTTCAACTGTACTGAGTGAGCCTGCAATGGCATTCATTTCACTTGGAACCTTGTGTGAATATTGTTTATCTACATCAGATATACAAGGACAACACACTCAATTACAGAGATGCACAGGATGTCGTCAAGTTGTATATTGCAGTGTAGTATGTCAAAAAGCTGATTGGATTGCAGGACACAATTCTGCTTGTGCAGTTCTCAAGACTATCGACTGTTCAGCTACAACTCGACAATCAAATCGCAACGACATTGCCATGCTATTTAAAGTGGTTCGTATCATTTCAAATCCCTCATTTCAATCTACCACTTTGGATGATCGCATGGATCTAGATTGTCCAATGGACAATGTTGCTCTTGTCAGAAATATCAGATCCATTCAGCCTTTGGTATTCTTATCTCTCCAATCGCATGTGTTGGATTTTGAAACATGTCAGGCATCATATCCTCATGCAACCAATGCATTAAATGGACATTCCATGAAACAAATAGAGTCACAACTTCCATCAGCTGCCGTAAAACTCATGAATCTGCCTGTTTCAGATCTCATTCATCATCTGGGTAGATTCAGGTGTAACAACTTTACTATAATCGACTCCAACCTATTTCCCGTTGGAGAAGGAACATACCCACTTGCATCTCTGTTCAACCACGACTGCTGGCCAAACTGTATTGCTATATTCGATGGAAGTCGGGTAGTTATTCAGACCATTCGTGACATTGCTAAAGGAGATGAACTCTGTATTTCATACATTGATCCTATTTTAGATCATGATAGTCGGCGAATGTCACTTGAAACGAAATACTGCTTTAACTGTCAGTGTTCTGTTTGCATGTCAGAATCCTGCACTCCATTACATTCACCAACTACCAAAAAAGACGCACTCCTTTCACTTGACGAAAAGAGTGATGTTGGATGGCGATTACTGAAATGGTTTCATACTTGTTTAAAAAAATCTGATGACGAGTTTGAAAGAGCTCAGCAAGATCAAATCAGCAAGACAATCGCTCTAGTGTCCAAACGTGCTGTCGTTGCAGAGATTGGCAATGCGACACAAATGTTTCAAAGCCATCTCATGCGTCAAGATTGGGAGCAAGCATACAAGTCGGGACTGCATCTGCTTGGGCAATATCTTTTGCGATATCCCCGATACTATCCATTGGTATCTCAACACATGTTCTTTGTGGCACAGTGTATGTGGAACTCGGGTCAAACAGATGAAACCATCTTTTTGCTTGGCGTGATTAAAAAATGTCTTGAGATCACCTATGGATCTGTCATGAAATCGCACCACCTTATTGGTCAAGTGGATTCATTACTGGCTCAAGCACTTTACGAGCAATCGGCAATGGTATAGTCCCAGTTTCAAAAAAGTGTATCCTGGTGTATACATATCTGCAGAGTGTACCATTTACAACTAATAGTGAGATCATGTTCCAAATAAACGGCAACACCCTGGATAACAGCCTTGTTTTATCAGTACACGATTGCAAATTTGGATACAGTCCAATATAGACGATATCTGCTATAATTAAATCTCGAAATGCCATTTCATATCTATGCTTCATACGTCCTTTCATTGTAAACAACAATTAAACCAAATCACAAAAGCAATTCCCAAGTCTTGATGATTATCTACTTGTACATTGGGTTTTCTTTGAGATGGATCTGTGTCTGGCCTGGTTCGTAATCAGGGATGTTCTTTGAAATGCCCTAAAATTCGAAACGTATCAAATAGCATTGGTATGAAATCCATGACAGGCACAGGAATGAGTTGTCAAATATGTAGCATGGCATCCAAATCCAAAGTTTATAACTGTACCAGTTTGTCAAAGATGCAATCGTTTAGCTGTCGCTCTTCCTTGCGGCATTTTTGAAAACGCTGATTGGACATGTCAAGACATTGCCAGTGTTTAGTCCATGACTCATCGCAGTTTTCCTTGAGTTTGGAGATGCTGTATGGATTTGAATATAGATCAAAAGACGTTAGATGGATACATTGACACTTCACGTAGCCATAATGCATCAATATGAATGGTTGATTTAGAATAGGTTGCTGATGACTCTTGGTTGCAAGAGCTGAAACGATTAGACGTCATGACCAACCATTATTTTGATGCATGAACTATCTGTATAGCTGGGAGCACATTGACATGAATTGCAGCATTTATAATAGCCAATTCAACCTACAAATCCAAGGCACAACGAGTGACTTTACGGCCTTCAGCCAGACAGTCGCGGGGATCACCATTCTCCTTTTTGCAAAGGATATAGTCTTCGTTGTAGCTCTTGCAGGCAGCACCAAAATGAAAAGAGATGGATTGTAGAGGAGCCGAAGTACATCCAACCTCGTCGACTTCAGGGACACCTTTCAATGGTTCTTTCTCGACCCAAAGGCCATTGACAAAAATTCCTTCTCTTCCGTTTGACATTCTACAGTTACTGGATAAGAGAAAACACTATCACGAACAAAGTAGTAAAGTAACAGCAGTTGCTGTTGATGGCAGAGTGATGGGGAAATCTCGTCTGCTTTGCCCTTTTCAATGTGAAAATTTCCAAACTATTTTGCTTATATTGATGAGCGGGCTCGATCTTGCAAGTCCTTGTGTGAGCACAGTTGCTTTAACAGTCAAGACAAAGGGAATGGAAACGCAGACATGTTTATAGTTCAAGCCAATTTCAACATGAATTGAGACATTGATGACATGGCTGTTGATGCAACAGACAGTAACGTAGATCGTTGAGCAGACTGGCCGTGTTGACGAGTCGGATGGTCGCCGCGGTACACGATACACGAAGGTGTTCCTACTCTTCAAACTACAAACTATCCAACGATATTTACAGAAAAACATCAATTCAACACAAAAATGGTTGAATGAATTGTACGCAAATACCGCTCCAAACACATGACATTCACTGATGGTTGCTGACAATTTCTCATTTATCTCCGTTTCATACCTTTATCACCAGTCGTGAATCAACTTTTATATCTGTTGGTCTGCATCTTAACTATCGCTCCATCTAATTGAATCAAATGGCTCCTAATGTGCTGATACTCGGAGGTGTCGGATTTATTGGTCGAAACCTCGTATCTTTGCTAGTTGAAAACAACTTGGCTGCTTATATTCGAGTGGTTGACAAGGTGCTACCAGCCACTGCCTACCTGTCAGATGCTCACAAAAAGGTTTTTGCTGACCCAAAAGTCGAGTTCAAGCAGGCAAACCTGGTGAATGCTGGTAAGTGCACTAGAGGCTCTGCATCATTCTTTCTTTTGGCTACTTGATGGCAGCACTACAAGAAGTGTTATTTCTCGCCTCAAACCTATTACTCAGCTCGAAATATGTCAAACATGCCCTTGTTGGTGTAATGAACAAGATTAAAGCTTTGATAATTTCTGCATAGCTGAGTGCAACCATGACAGTTTTATTCTAGTATCGCTCTTGAACTAATTATATACTTTTATCTATAGCTTCTGCTGAAAAAGCTTTTACCAGAGAGGACAATTCCCAATTTGATATTGTGTTCAATCTTGCTGCTGAAACCAAATACGGCCAAGCGGAAGAGGTAGTTTTATAATGATACTGTTTTGAATTCTCTTTGTGCATACTGCTGTCGTGTACCGAAGACGATGTAGGGGTTGATTGTGGTTTGGCTTCGTGTAGATATACTACGTATTGTCTGGTTGAAAACGTCCCTATTCCTATGCACCAATGTGGTTTAATGAGTCGCTAGTAATGCCTTTTGAATCAGTTTAAACACTCGCATATTCAGGACGAATCTATCATGTGCTAGAACTAGCTTCCAATATTCAAACTGATGAGTAGTGTATATTTGGGCTACAAGGTGTATATGAATCTGCTCAAGCTATGCTTGCTACTGCAGCATAGTATACCCTCAAGATCTACTCAACCGATACTAGATTGCTTATCTTCTGGTCATTCATGTTTGCACATTATCAACTATTGACTAATAGAAAGCTTGTTTTAAACTTCAATGTATAACCCATTAGGTTTACGATGAAAAAGTATATCAGCTATCCATGGCTGTTGGTAAAGAGGCTGCCAAACGCGGTATCAAGGTTTTTGTTGAAATAAGTACCGCACAAATATACGATGCTGGAAAAAAACCATCAGCAGAGGATGGTAAACTCAAACCATGGACCCTCGTTGCAAAATCAAAACTCAAGGCTGAAGAGGAGCTTAAAAAACTTGCTGGGTACATTGATAAATCTACTTTGTTAAAACTGCACGTTCAATCTTTTAAATTGGTCCTGACACTAATTTTTTACTTAGTCTTAACCTGATTATTGCGCGTCCAGCAATTGTCTATGGCCCCAACGATGTTCTTGGAATCAGTATGTTGTATGATCCTTTTAGCGAGCATCATTCTATACACAATATGCCTTTTGCTAATAGATTAGTGTTGTTTGCATGGACCGACATTTTATAGCACCACGTTTGATCATTGGTGCAGTCTACAAACATCTCAAGGAAGAAATGACTTTGCTGTGGACCAAGGATCTAAAGCTAAACACTGTTCACGTTCGTGATGTTGTAAGTCTATAGATTGCCAAATATTGTTTAAAGAGTGATTTGATGTGCTTATTCCCTAACACTTTTACTGACTGGCTTATGATGAGCAGGCTCGCGCACTTTGGCATATGGCAGCAACCAAGGATGATAAAGGCGGTCGCGTAGGAGATGTTGTTCCAGGCACAACCTATAACATTGTTGATAAAAATGACACTGGTATGAATGGGATGATCATGGCAATTTTCATGTTTTGGGTATGTAATGGTATGCCAACACTCTTTTTGAATGTTTTCTGGTAGACCAAGGCATTGTGAACAAGCATATCGAGTCTATTTTTGGTATCAAAACTGGATTTCAAGGTACAATGATTAGCCAATTTGCAAAGGTAAACATTGATCGTTTGATTTGCTCTGTATTTGGTTTCATTCGGTGATATAAATATGCATACACAAACTTGGCATCCCACTGACGTATTCTGCCGTTAGCTCAATTTGGATTCTGTTACAGAGGACGTAAATGACAAGCATCTGCAGCCATGGTCAGAGCTTTGCAAGACAGGCGGTATTGCAAATACTCCACTGACACCATACCTCGACAAGGAGCTTTTAAAGGACAATTCTTTGAGTATTGAAGGCATTAAAATTGAAAAAGAGCTCGAGTTCAAGTTTGATCATCCAGTAATGACCGAGCAGTTATTGCGTGAAGTCATTGATGGGTTTATTGCACAGGGTATCTGGCCCAAAGATGTTACAAAATAACAATGTTTTGATCGAGGCTGCATACTTGAAAACCCAAACGTGCCAAGTATTTTGTTGTTGAAAACAAGACTTTTGCTTCAACGCCCCTTATTACTTCTTTTTTTAGCAATGAATGAGACTTTAAACCCATCACTACTGTATTTGGATCAACGCACAGGTTTTGAGTTTTTAAAAGTGGCTGGACAAACCCATCAAGTTTGGACTCGACTCAATTTTAAATTTAATCACGTCAACACTTCATTATTTAATGAAGATATAAAATAAAAGGCATTACACATCCGTTGGTACCTCGTCAAACAGATTCTCGCATTGGTTTCCAATTGAGATGCTTACATAGACGTCTGTACCATATCCCTCCATCGAATACATGGAGATATTTCCACCCCAGTAGTTGGCATAGACACGAGACATGGGCAGGCCCAGTCCCAGATGCAATGCACACGAGGGCAAGATGGACACTGACTCTGTTTTGGTTGCTTGGGATATAATAGGCAGTTTGTCAAATTCAAGATACCGCTTTTTGGACGAATCGTTTAAATATGACCACACTTTGGGCAGCGAGGATTGCTTGATACCACCTCCTTGATCAGATATACGAAACATGATATGTGTATCAGATTTACCAATGGTGACGCGAACTGGCGGCAATTTTGCTTGGGTAGGAACAGGTACTATTGAAGGCGCTACTTCAGATTTAATTTCTGCTGTGGATAATAATGAAGATGAAAATGAGGATGCTGAGGAAAGTGAACCAGAAAACAAGGGTGGAACAGAGAATGGTTTGAGCGAATGAAATTGTCTAGCAAGAGAGATGGAAACATATTTTGGAGTGGCAGTAATATGGCGTTTTTGTACATTCAAGGCAGATCTCTGTATACCTGAACTTTTTTGTTCTGGTTGTGAAAAATTGTCTTTTTCCACAATTTCTTTTGCAGACTGCAGATTGGTTTCGGATAGCAGTGGTGCCTGTGGTTGTAGAGATAGATGCTTTGCATGTTTCTTTGCTGTAAACCGGATGCTGTTTTTTATCAGTTCAAAAAGTATATATTCGATATGATCTGGAATATACGTAAAAGTAGCATCTTCAAAACCATCAATGATGACTTCAGGAGGTTCAATGTTATATGCCTGTCTAAACAACTTTCCTGCTAGAGAAGCACATTTATCTACCGCTGCGCGAGCATGACAGTTTATATTAACAATGCCAATCCAGTCTGGCTGAGCCTCTTTGGTGCCATCGAATACCTGGGACAAGGCAATATGCTGCTCGGCAAGAACACGACGGCCAATACGAGATCTGAGTGTTTCGTTGATGAATTTGTCTGCAGCCTGTGTGGTCATGTGTTGTTCAGACTGTGCAATACCCAATGCCAGTTCGGGAATAGCAACCAGATGTGCATTAAGCAGGGACTGAACTATGGCGCATAATTCTCTATTCTGTTCAATGGTCGTGATGGGTGCCATAGATCTGAATGTTTCGAATGCCTCCCAATAAAGATTGTATATGAACTCGATGTGTGGATTAGTGCCAACCACAAAGGGGAGCTGTTGGAATCGACTGCAAAGTAAATCATTAGTTCCGAATGGTAAAAAGTTGAGATTAGTTTAGAATCTGAGCAATGGTATCACGTCAACAATAGTCCGCGTACAAAGTCATGACTAAGGTATTCATAGCCACAACAAATGAAATCGGATTGGCATATGAAAGTGGTAAAACTAAAGCGCCAAGTGAAGAAATAATCCCGTTGCTTTGCTCTTGAAGCATTACAGACCGTGTAATACGATATACAGGAGCAGAATAAATGCGCTTGAAGGGGGAATGGGCAAGATGCAATGTATTAATCACTTACGATATTCTATGAGCAAGGCGTACAGACAATTCTGTTCGGATATAGTTGGCTACAAATAAGACAATACAGTGCATTAAAAGATATGAACGAATATATGCGATTGTCGAGCATTGACCAGGGATTAAGCCCATCACTTATATCCGCGAGCCATATTGATTTCACTCATAACCAGAACTATAATTAGACCAGCAGGTACACACCTGACCGCAAGACTTTTTCTAGATTAAAATTGCGACCAAAGACAGAGAGCTGACGCAAAGTAACTCGCTTAACCTCCTGCTCCACATATTTTTCCAACACTCGGTTGTGATAAAAGTTGGAATGAGATGCTGATGATGCAGACACAAAGCATCGATTCTGTTGTAATAAAGGTCTATGTGTGCAAGCAGATGACTGTGTGTACAAGGAAGAGCATCGAGGGATAACTGTGTTGGATGACAAGACTCGAGTAGTTATGCTGGCAGAAGCTAAACTTGGATGTCGGCTAGACAATGGCTTGAGCGATGACCGTGACTGTAAAGAGGGCGATGAGGATGAATGCAGTACTGTGTATGTAGAACAAGACAGAGTAGATGGTCTAGATGTTCGTGCAGTAAGATGCCTAGCAGCAAAGGTAGCATCACAACCCATCATGATTGCCAAGAATGTAGTGGCAAAAGAAAGTGCAAAGTAGGCGAGTTTTATTCGATCTATTGGCTGGCTTGACTAGTAATTGATAAACTCCAAGGCTTGGTTCGATTTGTTATCCAACGATTACAAAAGCATTGTGCTCTTAACCCAATACATGATGATTGGATAACAGACATCTCGCCCTATTCGATTTGCGGTTGATTCAAGGGATAAGAGCTAATTAAACTAAGCGCAGCGTTACATAGCTATGTAGCTAGGTTACAGCCGTATTCACACAAAATGGAACACTAAATAATAAACAGCCAGTCTTATGGCGATTCACTCCATAGTTACGGAATAGTGTGTTGTATGAATCATTCGACTGTGTTGATTTTTGTATCAATCAATGTTTACATTGCAGTAAATTCCTCACTTGTTCAATCTCCTTTCCTTCAAACCAAACATTATGGCATTAGGTAATCAGCATGCATAGCTGTATTCCCAAGGTATGGGTTTGTTAAATTAGGCGCGAACGTATCCGAGTTTTTAGGTTACAAAAATGAGTTTGTAGTTTGATAGCACCAGAATAGTCGGACCAAATATTTGGATTGCAACGAATGAATACGGTGATCGTACAATATATGGCTATGTCAAAGTGGGGAAAGTGACGATTTTAGTTCAAACTAGTCTAATTGCACTACACGATGGACGCTGTGTTCGGAAGAATTGAGAATGTCTGTTGAATGAGTAATCCATCTCTAGTAGGAAGGCGTAGCGAATATCTAGTTATGCTTATTCCAAAGCAAAAGAGGCAGTGATTGCAAGACAATACAAGGGCTTTACTTTGTGAATAACAGCGGTGAAGCATATTCATTTGAATTGAGCGTGGCTGCTCCACCGAATGCATGTGAAAATTCATGCTCAACTCTTATTGGCATGGCTGTTACATTACCACCAAAGGCTTTATACAGTCTCTACAATGGCTGCTCAACACTGGCCAATGTTTTGGAAATCATGTTGGAAATGGGCCGCATGTTCTAGCTGCAAAGTGAACTCTTCTATCACAGCCTAACCATATCTTTTAGCAGCACAATAAGATTTTGACCAAAGCAGTTTACTGAATTGCTTTGGCTATCAAGTTTAGATATTGCTGTCAATAGACCTCGACAGGATCTACAAAGATGATGAAAAGGCAGTCAGCATTTTGTTGAATAAAAATACATATTTATACTGCATGTAATACTATCAGCATATTACCAGAAATAGTTGTGGCTCATGTGGTGAGTCGATAGACAGTAGGTCAAATTCCCATGCACACGTAGATTGGCATCTATATGTTTAAACCATGCAATCTGGTTCAACTAATAGTAGATCAGTTGCAGCAGTTTGGAATTGCAAATATGGGCAGGATAAACTATTTTTCCATTTTGGGAATATGTTGCAAAATGCAAGATGGACATTTACTCTACAGAAAAGCATAGCCTTTTGCATCCATTACCAATGGGCTTCCTGACCAATGATAATTGTGTGTTGTCAATTCTCGTAGTAGCTCAACTCAGTTTGGTTAGTCGACAATGGCTTTGTCAAATTGCCATTTGCGCAGATTTGAGAAAGACCATGGTCATCCGAGCATACCAAAATGACTGAAATCGTCTTTCAAATGACAAGCATGAAGCATCTACACAATCGGCAAGATATCCATTTCAAAGAATGATACATTGTTTTTATTCAGATCTTCAAAACACTAAGCATCTACCTTTGTTTGGAGCTACGTGGCGTCAGTGGCTCAAGTTTTGAACTGGTTGGAAATTTACCAAACATCTGACAATATAAACGGCCGTTGTTTTACGGCCGTATCCATGTAAAATGCAGCATTATCTGTATTTATCTTGTAATCATTGCTCGGAAATAAACAATCGTTAAATATTCATTATTTTTCTACTACAGATTGGTTTCACGGCCTCTATAAGAGCTGCCGGTTTTCCAGTGTATAGGACAAAGTCATCCTTTACTATACTCTAGTCATTGTCTTTAGTTGTAAGAATGGATAGTATGGGGTTTCAATTTGCGCGACATTTGTTGAATGGTGGTAAATCATGTCTAATGAGGCAGCTGCTTTTGGGGCAGAATGCTATTTAGAATAAGATGCGTGTTTGGAAATACTCCATGCTGTTGTTTAGAAAGTCTTGACATACTTAACATTCACAGTTCCTTTGACTAGTCTCACACACCGACTATCATACAAGACACACAAATTAAACCATAGTTTTGATGTTGCTCTTTTACCTTTTGTTTGCATAGCCATACATTGTACGATCGACAGACTCATTCATTGCAATTCAAATATTCCAAATAAAGCCTAAACACATTCCTCGTTGCTAATCTGTTTGCCACTCACAAGTGTCGAGTTTTGTACGTACCATTGTTTTCAAGACTATTGAAATTGTTGGCCGAGACATGTGCGCTTGATAAAGGTCCACAAGTACGCTCGCAACTTCTCTTTGTCCAAGTGTTGATAACTACAAGACTATTACGTATCCAATTTTGAATGTCATATTGACTTTTTTCGTTTAGAATTCATGTTTGTCATGATACCACAAAGTGTATTTCTTTCAAAATATGAGCAGTTTTTGTCAAGCATCATTTCAGAAACTCAGACCACCAATAAATGACTTGGTGTGTTGTCTTTGTGACAATATACTATAAAAGGTTTTGATACGAGTGTATTGTTTGATACATAAAAGAGCATATTTGAATGCTAAAACCGTCAAAACCTGTTTCTAAATAATGATTCAAAAGGACACAATGTTGCTCAGTAAGGTTGGTGCCAATCAACATGAGGCTGATCGTTTATTATGTATTTTGGCTTTAATACTCCATTATACATGAATACGGTTGTAATCAAGGTCATCTGCCATGCGGTCAATAAAAATAGACTCGACAATATACTGCTTAGTCTTGCTACAATTGACAGTTGCGTAGATGCTGTGATAGAACCCATTTAAGAATCCGATATTATTCTGATATGTCAACAATTGGAAAGGTTCATTTACATGAGTATGCAGACTGAAGCGTATCAAGAATCAACCGCTACGTCATCAAATAGCAAAATCTAGCATATACCCGTAGTCTTGTGCTGTTCGTATTGCTGCCGTGTTCATCAGATGAAACTATGCATGTACTGATACTTGAGTCTGTATTCTAGTTCCGTGGGATGGTAATAAGCTTTGCAAAACGGCAGAAAAAATAAATAGCGCTGTTTCAGTTTTTGGCTAAGCAATCTGCTATTCGGTTACAGCTGGAAACAAAGGGAATGAAAAACGGAAGGAAATTGTTTATTTACATTTCAACAATCCAATTTCGCCATGCTTTAGAAACATTCAGACTGCAGCAGCAGCATTTGAAGATGATAACTCTCCGCTTGTAAATTGCACAATTGGTTTAGGCTAATGTAGACTATGTATGCAAAATCGAGCTCTTGCATCAGAACAAGATCAGCAAGCAATCATTGTTAGCAAAAAATGGGGCGTTGCTCTACACTGAGTAGATTAACAAACTGATCGTGTCGACAGGTCAGATTATCATCGTGGTACAAAAGATACGATCAATAGATTCTACTACCATTCAAATCAACAGATGAACAACCTATCTATATTTTCAAAAGAACAACACCAAGGATGATGGTTACTGACAATCCCTCATTTATATCTCCATTCTTGTGCTCTTTGCCATCAATCGCAATCAACTAAAACTAGTGCGTTTGAGCCGTGGTAGTTATCGACATATACAATAAACACAAGTTGTATAACATATTGAATATCTTTTCGTATGCTTGATTGATACATCTAATATTGAAATGAATTCGGAAAATTCGCTATGCCTGACACGCCCAGATCTTTTGATAGCCATTCAGTATAATAGATTATCTGCTTATTGAGAATAATAGCAATCTATTTGTCCACCATGATCAAAACTGATACAGCCATTTTACTTATGGCAAGCCAAAGCATACAATTATGATATTTGTGGATTAATCAATCCGTTTTGAATAGTAGCACTGCTTTTCATATTTTGCTGTGATAGACCTATGGTAAATAGAGCTACAGATTTGTCGTTAAGCTTGTTGGTGACTTGATTGAAATTCGTTGTAGGATCGTTTGTAGATTGTTATTTATGCGCAGCATATCCAAACCAAACAACTCATACTTATTAATATGTCAAAGCACGCATACCACGTGTTGTGATATTTGTCTTGAAAGCCACTCAACACCCATGACTGTTTCAACAATTGGCAGCCAAAGCATTCTACCCGGCTGAAAAAAAGGATTATCCATAGTCCTAGCTTAAAGCTATTTTCTCGGACATGAAGTCTAACAGGTAAACCACGCTATCTAGGATTAAAATACGATCACAGTTCAATCTTATGAATCGCTGAAGGATTAAAAACTACATGCTCGATTGTATTTAACTCGACACATTTCCATCATTTAAAGAATCGGTTTATTCTGATAATCAGGCATTCAACTTGAATAGTTCAAATGGTTGTTTCCAATATAGCGAGATTGGAACTTCAAGACTTTATTGGGATCGAGGACTTGAGTTCGTATATGCTGGTCTGCTGCGCGACTTTTGTGCATCTACTTTAGCATAATTTAGGGCTCTACCACAACAATGGGTAGTTCAAGCATCAACATACAATCAATGTCTGGTCCAATTCATCCTACCTATTTCTCTTATTTACTTGATAGCAACACTGCCCATATTGTCTAGTATTCCCACTTTACCGCAGCACAATTTTCTATTCTTGGTTTGCAATATTATTACTTTTTCTTCGCTGATATACAAACAATTAATCAACAAGATATTCTTCCATAACAAGCCACAGCCAATCAGATGTCTTGAACAACAACACAAAGTTTGGCCAATCATCAACACGTAAACTCGAAACGCTGCGTCAGAGCTTTCGCAGCATTTTTATTTGAAACATGTCCACAAAAAAGCACATTCAAAAACAACATTGGCAGCGAAAATTTAGACTCCGCCCTACATAATCAAGCGAGAGTTTATATTAAAATAACTTATTCCCCTCCTTTATTATCCATTCCATTCCAATTCTTCAAACTCAGCTCGTATACACGCTCACGTATACGTCCCCATTCATAACCCAACTATATTGTGCTTGCCGCTCATATAGTATTCATTATATTAAATCACCGCTCCACCCCACTACTTGAGTATTGAACCATTGAGACTGCATCGCATTTGTGCATCTTATCCACATTTCGGAAACTATATATATCCATTCCTTTTGTTCTTGTAATCCATCCGCATCAAAGTCTATCTACCTTGGCTCGTTGTCATTGTTGCTATTTGTATCCATTCAATAGCTCTTCAACTTGAGTAGATATCCACCCCTCCATTGTTACACACGAGTAGTATCCAGAATTCAACTTTTGATTCCATTGCTATCCATTGCCAGTTATATTTCGGAGCCGACCCCACCCATAGTTTAACCAGCACCAACCCCGCTCTCCCTTTATATTCAGTGACAATATCTCCCTTCACTGACTTTTGAATTCGTAGACATGTTCGCTACGCAACCTCAGCCCGCCTCTACTGCTGGATCCTGGATGGATTATCTTCAACTGGATAGTCCTACTGCTGCAGTCAATTCACACATTAATGCAACCAATGGAGCCCCATTGCCATCCAATCCTGGTCAATCTCCGCATTCGGGATCCTTAGATATGGGCATGTTTGGTTTTGCTATGCAACCACAATTTCCAAAGGTTGAACAACAGCCGAGTCAGGCATCTGCTATCAACTCTCCTACGACTCTATCTCGTGGTTTGACTACTGGGTATGAGGGAATGATTGGGTCTCCAGTGACCGCATATGGCATTGCCACACCACCTGCGGTTAATTCCAATTTAACTCAACAGTCAGGCCTTGCCAACATTAATAACACTTCCAACGTTGGAACCCCAGACCTGTCTTCTGCCGAGCCTACCATGCCAAACATTCAGTCCATGGCTAGCAATCCTTCCATATCTGCTGCATCTTCGCCAATTGTATCATCACTTGGTTTCCAGCTTGCCCACAGTCACATTGATCACAGCTCGCCCCAAATGCAACTGTCTTTGGCTTTTAGACACCCATCTCTGTCCAACTCGGCTTCCAACCCTTACTACTACAATGGTACCAATCCATCCACTTCTGCACACGGCCAAAATACATTTGATTTCAACCCCTCCGAGTTTGGCATGCCTTTAAATGAAATCCAGAGTCCCGCAAATGGTGGCAATAACAGCAATAATACCAGTGCAGCCAACAGTCCCCAGATTACGGCCAATGCAAGCCCCGGGTCTGTTTTTGACTCATTTGCCCATCCTGCAATGCAGTTTCATTTCGACCTAGCGGATCCTCTTTCAATGACCTCGTGCCCTTCTCCATTCTCAACCACATCTGCCTTGTCTGCCATGGCTTTTAATTCTGATGCGTTTGCCATGTCGGAATTTGGGTTTGGTCTTGCTCCCTCCATTAACTCCAACCCACACCAATCTCCACAGCAGCAACAGATGATTTTAGAACATGCTGGACTGGGTCATCCTCAAACAAATCGAGCCTTGTATCAAAAAAGGCGATTTTCCTCGGTTCCTGGTCTGTATACCATGAAGCCTCCTACTGGTGCAGATGTAACCGTTGCTGCTGCTGTCGCTGGTGCTGTGCTGAATTCTGGCGGAGCCGGAAAAGTAGTTAAAACACGTCCACGTTCAAAATCGCACAACTCGCATGCGCATGGACCTAGTCATCTCTCATCTGAATTGACCATGTCGTTGGACGGTCAATCGCCTTTTTCGCTTGTTTCATCCGAGTCGAACCCTTCATTGAACATGGATCCCAAGTATCCTTATTCATTTATCTCTGATGGATCCATCGATAAAACTTTGCCGTTTATGTCGGCACAGCCCTCCAAAATGAACCCCACCTTGATCGACCCAATGCTAATGATGGCCACATCTGCTTCCTCGCCTGACCTTCCTAGTTTTGGTCTAATACCCAGCATGATGATGCCATTTTGCGAAGGCAAAACTAGTCCTGCAATGCAATATCAACAGCTTCAGCAACAGGGAAAATCGTTTACTCACAGTATGTCGCAGCCCTCACCTGACATTGGTGCAACTGCCAATAACCAAAAACTTTCTACTTACAAATCTGCTGGTCAGACTGGAGCTGCTGCGTCTCGTGTGCAGGGTGCTACCAAAATCTCCAAAGGTGATCAGACATCATGGAAATGCTCTTGCGACCAAGTCTTTGATGACTGGGCACAGTTTCAACTGCATAGCAAAACCCACAAGGCTGAAAAGTGCCATATCTGCGAACATTGCAATCGCGGATTTACTCGTAGGCAAGATCTTAAACGTCACAAGCTTACTCATTTTCAGCTGATAAAACCTTTTCAATGCACTCAGTGTGGAACTACATTTACAAGAAACGACGCACTTCAGCGCCATCTCAAAGCAAAGAGATGCGGCTAGTCTAGAGCTCCATGGATTGAAACTTATCTTGGCTACTTTGTCTACATTTGTCGCTTACTTTTTACTAGCCACCAAACCATAGCCAAGATAACAACTTGGTTTTATAGAGGCTTGATTGTTATTTTCTCCATTTTCTTGTATATTAAGAATGCCGTATTTACGTAAAATGACACTGGTATTCATCTTGCAATGACTCTATCTTGCTCCAAAATAAACAATGGTTAAATACTCGTTGTTTTTTACTAGAAATGGGTTGCTTTGTTTTCAAACTGTATTGTATTCTAATATTAGATACATCTGCAATCTAATTCAAAAAAACATCAGCAATACAATTGTTGACAAGTGCGTACACTGAAAATCAGGGTTACATTTTATTTAGTTTTGGTGTGTCGGATGTGACTTATCCACCTGCTTTGGGTGGACGAATCTCCACATAGGTCTTGAACGAGACAATATTATTATCCAGCGTAACCAAATCGTCTTCACCAAGCTACACATACAATCATTCAGAAATACAAAGCTTGAATATTTGTCATACACATCAATGTCAATCATATTCAATCCACTACATGTAACAGCTTCAGACTTACGCGAATACTGCCAACAGTCTCTGCATACTGGTAGTACTTGTCAAGATCTGGATGAACCATTCCTGCCAACTGTCTGATTGTAGTACCAGGCTGTACAAACATACAGTCTCGAAACACTCCACCCATGCGTGTACCGCTTTTTCGTCGAAACAGTGTCCATATATACCAAGTTGTTCATAAATGCACATGTCAAACAATACAATGTATGCAGATCTTGTTAGCATGTCTTGAATAATACTGATCAACTACATAAATACCAGTTGGGCAGCATACCTCGAGCTTGAAAAGCTATTAATGTTGCGTACAGGAAACACTGGCACTAGTTTTAACAGAGCAATCATTTGCTGTAAACATTCTTGGACACCTGTATGGCCATACCGAAACAAGACCAGGTCTTGAACGCGCTCTAGTCGACTACAATCACCGATTAGTGGTTGGTATCAGAAAAAATGCAATTATAAGCTTTTATCAACACAACATACTTTCGTGCCTTGTCATCCAAAGTCAAAAGCTTTTCTTCGACACTAGGATCAACTTGATCTTCAGCAAGCTCAAACACATCTGTTCCTTCATGATACTTTATGAATTTTTGCTTGTGCAGTTTGCGCAAAAATGTTTCGGCAAGCGCACTGACCAAAACAATGTTGTCTTGGCCATATTTCCTGCTAATAAGATCAATATTTTTGTCAGAGTCTGGCAAATCTATCTTGTTGAGTGCCTAAAGTTGTAGCATGTATGCATTATTGACAAAGTCGGCTAAAACACATCAAGGTATATTGTAATGCAATTAAACCTATTCTTACCACTAGAGTGGGAAATCGCTCTGCTATGAATGCATTGACCATCATCATAACGGTATCGCTGTTCCACATGTCTAATGATCTTTTATCAGGAAATTTATCTAAAAATCGATTTACCATTGCCAAATTAGCACCGTATCCGCTAAACTGCAATTGCAATGTCTCGGCCGTTGACGATCCTACAAGTATCGACCAAATTAAATCCGTCAATCATTGGTCTATGCAACAGTTGTGTATAAGCTTGGCGAGGTATAGCTGTAATGTGTTGATGACGATACTCAACTGGTTGCCATGTGTCGACGAACAATATTTCCCCATTTTTTCCACAGATTAAAATATATCCAGCTAAACCAATTAAACCGTATTCAGCGTCAAGATGGTGCAAATCATGAAATATATCTAGTCATTAATCAAGACTGTTCATCCACCAACAAAAAACTGTAGATAACTGCATACTTGCTAATCTCTGACTTGAGCCAATCAATGTCGTTGATAGGATTATATCCAACAGTTACTTTTCCTGATTCATCTGTCGTTCCAGATACATCTACCACATGAATCAGTGCATCTGCAGTACGTAAATCATCCAAGAATTGGTTTCCAAGACCGTTTCCTTGAGAAGCACCTGGAACCAATCCAGCGACATCTAGAATTTTAATAGGAACATGCCGTTTTCCTTGGACGCATTTTCCTAAAATCAATCATTGTAAGCCAAACAGCTCTACTAAAGCCACTAGTCAAATCACATTTTATTTTTATTATGACAGGTCGATCCAACGTACTGAAATTGTATCAAAACCTCTACATGTGGATTTAGATGACTATTTATTGGATTCTGTCAATAGAGTTTAAAGCAAAATGCCAGTCAATCATGAACGTACCATATCGAGGTTTACACAACGATTGCTTGTCAAATCGGCTACATGGGCAGTCGATGAGGACATATGCCATCCCCTGGTTAGGTTTGATGGTAGTGAATGGAAAATTGCCGACTTTGGCAGTGGCATCCGATACTATACTCCGGTTACAACAAAGTGGCATAAGTATTCATTTAAAGTTTGACTTTTGATAATATAGCTTGGTTGGATGAAATGTTTAGAGGTGAATGCCATGATGATAATCCTTACTAGCATTTAAAAAGGATGATTTTCCAGCACTTGGTTTCCCAACACATGCAATCAAAACATCATGACCCATATGCTCAGTAATCTGCACAAGAAATTACAAGATTAAAAATGGGCAAATTAAAAATTGGGAGTTTTATGCTGCAATGAATGCATGAAGTGAGCAGATTTGATTGTTACAATTGGATCTGCAACAGAAATAATCGAGTAGAATTGTCATTTATCAACAACCAACTGCATTAGACAGTAGTGTTATATTACGACTGTTTTACTTGAGCATTGAGTAGTTTGATTACAAATCTATTTTATTACTGCATACTTGACTCAAAACCGTTTAACCCACCCTGAATCTATTAAAGCCGCAATATAGCATTCAACCGAATGAGTTGAATGATTATTTATAGAATATCTGACAGACAGATTGAAATTATAGATTCAAACTATTGAATAGAAATTATAGATTCAAACTATTGAATAGAATGATAGATTCAAACTATTCAATAGAATACTAAATATCATTCATCACCACTGATAATCAACCTCGTGGCGCTGAAAGGGTTGAATTAATATTCGACCCTTAAGGCATATCAATATCATCAGCCACAAACACAGCAAGTCGATATATATTCAAGACTATTCCAGCAAGTTAGTTTGGGATTCACTTTGAATCGCTAGTATTATAACTTGCAGCACTACTTGCCAATCAGTCGGTGAGCGATCGCAAGTCTTGTATATTCCAAGTGACTTGCTGCTGCCATACCACAACTCCTGTTGATTCAGCAGCAATACTAGAACATGTTCTCTAGTCCAGTATCAAAACATACAAGTCGCAAGTCCAGCAGTACCTATGCAACTCCACCACCCTCATCCCCTGCCTCTCCGCTACCGCAGCCATCTTCATTAACAGTTGAATATCCTGTTTCTGCCAGACGAGCCAACTCGGGCGGATATAGTCACAATAGCACTGGTGGTTATCATCGCACTCAACCACAACATAATAGCAACTATAACCAACAACGTAATCAGCAGGTTCCTTCAGCTGCTGTTCCATCTCATCAGAACTCCAGCAGCAGTCGGTCTGCGAATCCAAAAAAACCCCATTCTAGTGCTTTTGGTCCATACACGCTTGGAAAGACTCTTGGAGAAGGCGAGTTTGGCAAAGTTAAACTAGGACAGCATATGGATACTCGCAAAGAGGTATTTGTTGCTGAATATAAGTCTATGAATCAAGTATCAAACATCTTATGTTCTTATTGGCATCCAATTCAATAGGTTGCAGTGAAACTGATTAAAAAAGCATCAATCGACAGTCCTGCCAGACGAGAAAAACTCATTCGGGAAATCAGTCTGCTCAAGGTAGCCATTTCTTGTAGATTCAATATTCTGCATTTCTATTTATCATCATGTCCATATTGTCTTGGCTTATCACTGAAGAAATACCAGTTTTGATATCAATCTCATTTGAACCAAATTGCTCAATGTGATGTGGCTGCTGCAATGGATTGATATTACAGCTGTATTCACGTAAAATATAACATTTATCTTGCAGTGATTGTCACTGTTTTGTTTTGGAATATAAAGTATTCGTTGCACTTTCCTACTACAAATCGACTTTAATTGTCAATTCTTCCAAGCACAGTGTCCGTCATACAATCAAACTGGTTTTGAACTGATATAATCACATTTGGTGTAATCATACATTGTGCGATTGCCAGATTCATGTGTCATCTTTATCATGACACGATCCATCACCCATACCATAGCTGACATGCATATTATCCTTGTTGATTGACACTGTCCACATTAGTAATCATGAATTCAATACAACTGCTAACCTTTTGAACCATGTTTTTATTTCTAGTCCGTCAGTCATCCGCATATTGTTCGATTGCATGAAGTGATTGAAACCGAACATTATATTGGCATGATCATGGACTATGCTTCGGGTAATATGAGCATTTTACACATGCATTTGGCTTAATGCAAGCTTTCACTGTGGTTGTATCAAGACTAACCTAAGCTATTTTAATTATAGGCGGTGAGCTGTTTGGATATATTTTAAAGCGACGATATTTGAAGGAAAAAGAAGCTAGTGCATTTTTTGCTCAATTGATTTCAGGTATATATGCATCAACCCATATAATGTCATTGTAGAGTTGTAACATGGTGTTGATAGTGCAGTATGGTTACTGAGGTTTATGATTTGAATTCATGCCAACTGATGATTTGTAATCATTATAGGTGTGAGCTATCTGCACAAGAATCTCATTGTACATCGAGATCTGAAACTGGAAAATTTACTGATTGACAGTCACAGAAACATTGTGATTACAGACTTTGGATTTGCAAACACTTTCAACTCTGACTCGAGCAAATTGCTGCAGACATCGTGTGGAAGTCCTTGCTATGCGGCTCCAGAACTTGTCATCAGTGATGGCTATGTTGGCGAGGCAGCTGATATTTGGAGTTGTGGTGTTATTCTATACGCCATGGTATGCGGATACTTACCCTATGATGACGATCCAGCCAATCCCGAAGGTGACAACATCAATCTGCTGTACAAATACATTCTTGAAACCAAACCGGATTATCCGGAATATGTGTCAGAAACTGCTAGAGACCTCATCAGCATGATTCTCGTTCCAGATCCTCGTTACCGTGCAAACATGTCGCAAATCATTAATCACAAATGGCTGCGTTCATACGCGTATATGCTTGATATATCCAGTAACGGACATGCGATAGCTAATGAAACAATACCAGTTCAAAAGGTCCGCGAAACACCACCCCAACAGCAAATCCAGCCAAGCTCTCCAACAGCGTCGCCTTCACAGTCACCATTATCAAAAGCCTCATCGGGGTTGTATATTTCTCCACAGTCATCAGTTTCACACAATACTAACCAAGAAACATTGCAATCGGTGCTCTTGTTTCCACCCCGTTTGGAGTCAATGACGAGCTTGGAAAGCCCTGAGCCATTGGTATCTGCTGTACCAAAGAATACTCATCAGCCGTCAGTGTTGGACATTGTTCAAAAGCGTCAACGACAGGACCATACACATGAAACGATTGCAGTTGAATCCGTACCCGATATCGCATCCGATGGGGTTATTCATCAGATTGATGCAGGAATGGATGCCAACGAGACTAATGTCAATAGCACGTTGATCACTACACTGCCAACCGCTGAATCATTATCGGTCAACAATGCCGATGCACCAGTTGCCGAGGTTGTTGCGAAACACGATTCTCCCACCAGAGAGTCGAATTCTGTAGACGATAATATGGAATCTGGTCAGGCTTTTAATACTAAACCGTTCAGCGAATCGCTTACTCCAAAACCATCAGTTCAAACAATAGAACAAACTGCGTTTGCAGAAACCAGTGCATATGTTACTCAGAAAGTCATGTCATCTCAAACCACTGCATATGCAACTCCTATCAGTCCCACTAAAATGACATCTGGTTCAGATTCTGTTGCATCCATATCTACTATACCAAAGAATGAGCATAGTTCGTCACCAGTGAGCTTGGTGGATAGTTCGATTGACATTGCTGTAACACCTGATGGATCGATTGACATTGCTGCAGTATCTGATGAACCGATTGTCATTGACAAAGATTTCAACTCTGATATAAACAAGCCAGTACCAGCAAAGCCACATATCAATCTATCACATGTTGTGGATGCATCTAATCATTCAGGCAAGAGTCAGTCATTCGATATCCCTCGTGAAACACCCTCATCGATTATAATTAGAAAAACACCATATCTTGAACCACTGTCCCCTGTCGTGACTGACAATGCACCAAGCGACGAGCAATCTCCAACTGCTCGCAAACTGGTGCAATTCACTGTTGCGGATGAGTCAACCCGGACTAGTTTGCCTGCACCGTTCTCAAACCGTGGAAAGAGTTTTGACTCGCGCCGTTTGACTCAAGCTGAACGGGATATCGAGTCTGGTGCTTCTGTTGGCAAATCTCGTCAGCCATCCTTTTTGAATCAGCGTGTTGGAGCTGCCAATCAAGATGGCAATGATGAATCACACGGGTATGCTGGCCTATCCGCGGTACCACGGGCCTCCATATCATCTCAGTATACAACCAATCCAGGATCTGATTACTCACGTCTCAAAATACACAGTGGACCAATTGATCAGCGCGCATTGAGCTCCAAACCACCACGCGAGCTGATTTCAGATATTTCGGTTGTGCTTGGTAGATTGGGAATGGAGGTTTACAGGGTAGATGGCGAAGATTACAAGCTTCGTGTGGTGCGTCCAAAAGGTGGTGTGCCCACACAATCGCATAACTTTAGACCAGATTTACCCCATCAGTCGAGCAATGACGCTATTGAAAACACTGTATTCACAGGAGTTGCAGTTGCCATTCAGACTGATATGCCATCCAATGAAGCATTGCCAGTGGCTTTTGTTTCTCCCAAGGGGTCAAAAGAAATGAAACGTGGCAGCTCGATCAATATAGTGGGAGGTGAGAACAAGACTAAACATGGCACAAGCAATAGTAATGGTTCGGGTAGTGCTGCGCGTATTGCCAATGTCATTGCATCGTTTCCCATGTCACTTGTTCGTAGATTCCGCTATCTTGCACAATTTGGACCTCGATATGACAAAGGATTTGACGGTCACACTCAGCCAGACTCTATTCCGCCTGCTGGGTTACCGTCAATTTCGTCCAAATCAACCAGCACAGCGGATGATATTGGCGAAGTTCGTTTCTATATATCGCTGCATCGGATCAAAAACTTGCCTGGGCTTGCAGTGGTTGACTTTAAGCGACTTCGTGGCGATATCTGGCAATTTAAGCGGTTGTACAATGAGATTATTCCTCGGCTTTCGCTGCAGGAACAAACATTTGGACTTTTGTGATGTTACACTAGTTTTTGCTAATGTTTGTAATCATTGCACATTGAATGGGTTGAGTCATACATTTATTTTCCTCGTTTTATCATTTTACTCTAATGTACTTTATTTTTGGAACTATTTCCCGTCATTGATCCATGCTTGATTCCCACGTCAATGGCAGAAATGAAACACTATATATTGTCTTTATTTTGGCGTCATATGATTAGCTGTTGGTGGGGACATTCCATTCGGGATATGCAGAGTCTTTGCAGAAGAATTGGCCAACATATGTTGCTGATGCTTCATCATCAGCTGTTGCTGTATTCGCTGCTGCTGATCTATACTCCCAGCCGGCACTGTTGCTTCTGCAGCCACATCGCTGATAAGTTGGTGATTGGCTCCATAAAATCCTCTGAAATGGCCAACATAATACTCTACAGCGACCTTGTTGCCAATGTTGAATCGAATGGTTTCGGCCATTTTTCCAAGACTGGTTCCTTCAATTTCGCCCCATCTTAGTACGCCTTCGTATTGTTCTGATCCCATATCGTACACATTCAAGATTGTGTGAATTATTTCTGGGTTGTGTAAAGCGTGTTGATGGTTAGTAATGAGTGCAGAATACATATATGCAAGTCAATACAGGTGAATACAGGTGAATACAACATACTATCTCCTATATGCTTTTCAAACTTTAATGTCCGAATGATTCTACGATTGGTATTGTGCAACAGCTGATTGCGGTTATTTCCTATTAAAGTACACAAACATGATGAGCACATGAACAACCAATGAAAATGGGTCGTGTAAATGAGTGTTACCGGCTGAATGATTCAAAGGTCTATCGCTCAGTTCAATTAAAACTTCGCTGTCAGCCATATGCTTTTTACGTCGCCATTCGTCAATAAACGACATTTGCTTGTACTGTGGAAAAAACTCGCGATCCTAATATTTATAGGCCATCCAAAACGTTGGTATTTCAAGTATACAGTCTATATGAAAAACCATGGCTTTACCTTGCTCATCATGAGCATCATGCGATCGTTTTCGAGTTTCTTGGTGCTGACGTCTTCTTCTTCTTCCCATTCACGAATACGTGGCTGTTTCTGAGCTATCCTATTAGCATTGTATGCCTGTGCATTGATTTTACAAAGCACATCGATTGTTGGCTCTAAATACAACGGCTCTTCTACAATTGGCTAAATGGTCCAAAAGTACTCATTGTAGATCAGATATTCCATACGATATCAAGAATTAGTTTGTTTCAAAAGCACTCACTAAAGTTTGAGCCAAAAACTCTACACAGGCTTCTTCTGTCCACACAGTATTTTCTGCAAGTGACTGCTCATAGCCAAACTGCGATACGTCATTCAACAAACTCGTAGCAGTGGGTTTGAGCACAACGCGTTGAGGTTGAATATCACCTCTAGAGCCGGACTGAGCACTGCTGGAAATACTGTTATTTAAAGTGTTGTTTGTAGATTGAGCTGCATGGGATGTAGATGCTTGGTGAGAGGTGGATCGAGATGGAGCAGTTCGTCTATGATCATAGAGATCCACTAGCACTCTGCCTCGATCATATGTATTTGGCGGAAGCAAGTGGACAGCTGCTGATGGGATTTCCAATCGATTGATGGAGTCTATGATTGCCTGGATATATATAACGAGTTGAGTATGCAAGTCGTATTCAAAATCCGTTGTGGTCAAGCAGCAGTACTTGATTCTTGTCACCAATATTCAAGTCTAGCAATGAAATTCTTACCCTAAGAGGACCATTGTATTGATATGTATTTTCCTATGTAAAATATCCATACAGCCGAGTCAGCAATACATTAACTGTTGCAATCCAGAATAAGTTTCAAACAGGTCCCAAACAGGTTCCAAAGCAAGACTGACACTATCTAGTAAAGTGAAATACGACGGATACAAGTGAAGGGATAATGCCTTGGGTGAATGCTGTTGCGATAGTTGCGGGCCTTCCATTCAATCAACAAGTGTATGTAAATAGACTCGAATATTAATTTCACTTGAATCGAGTTTAAAGGTTTGTTCTTGACTGCACGTCAAACTCGATGAAATCGGCTTGCATTTGCATCGCTTGTTGCCATCAGAATGCTTGCATTTATCAAACATCTGTCATGATTCTTGTCTGGATTTTTATATCATTCTTGTCAAACATCTGCTATTTCTTGCAACTCTTCTCGGCAATTCAATATAATGTATTGCCAGTTTAAAGCACGACTGATTCAAAATACTTGATCAGGTTATGCCAATCTCAAATCACATTGCTTAATGTTTAATATTCATCCCATCACTTGAAGACTAGTACAAATAAATGTTTACAAAATAGTATGGTATTGACCTAAAAGTAATGTAATCCAGTAAATAGTGAGTTCTAGAGGGGATCTCGTTGGGAGGTATGGAGAAATAAACTAAACAAATTTACTTTTTCGAAGTTGGCACTGATAAAAAAAGTATATAATTAGTTGACCATGCTCACTGGACCTCGAAAAATGGCAGCAACTAAACTCTTGTTCATATGCTAGCTGGTGTATGTGGAAATAGAATCAAGTTGTACGCGCTTCAATGTCATCGTTAAGCAATACTAGTGTTGGAATCGCTTTCCACAACCTCACTTAGCAGTGGTGTTTCTTCTGATCCAAGCAGTTTAGTGGATACTTGCTGCTCTGATTGTTGTTGAGGTAGTTGCTCCTGCTGTATCTTTGGAACCGATTTGAAATCTGGTTGTTCCACTTGCTCTTTATGTAATTTAAGTTGCTGTTGTTGCTGAAAATTCAACTGCTGCTGAGTTCGCTTTTGATCCTGCTGCTCTTTTAAAGCTTGCTCGTTTTTCTGAGTAAGCTCCTCTTGCTGAATCTTTTTTTCCATATCACGCTGTCGCTTGAGTTCTTTAACCGAAGCATCTTTTTTCTCTTGTTCACGCTTGGCCTTTTCTTTTTGCTGATCCAATAGTTTCTGTTTATCACTAACTGCATTGAGAAGTTTGCGATGAGCAACACGAGCCAGTTGCTCAAATCTGGCTTCGGATGCTTCTTTGAGTATTAGCATATGTTGGCTCTTGGATCGCTCAGATGCCAATGCAAGTTTCAATGCTGCAATTTCTTGCTGATGTTTCAGATTTTCATCTACAAGAGCCATGTTGATGGGGTTTTCAACAGTAGGCGGTGGTGGGAGTCCTTTGAATGCCTCGGGTGCATCTTGTTCAAGATCATATTGAGTTTCTGCATTTATAGAACCATGCTGCTCAATATAACGCTCCTTGGAAACCAAGGCGATTGCGTCATAAATGGCTTGTTGGGAGAGTGATCGAGCTTGAGCATTGAGGGTACGATCATGAATTTTATCATCAGTGCACTCTGAACATATCTTGTGAATCACTGCGGACACAGTGCCTGGATTGATAGATTCTGTTTGAGCAGATTTTGACAATGAAACAGTTTCCTTGGTTTCTGGCAAATCAACAACTTCAATATCTTGTGAGTGCTGAAGAAATAGCAACTTGGCAACAGGCACATGTGGAGATGTAGATACAGTTTTCTTTTCTACTGTAGTAGTTTGAATCGATACATCTGAAGTGTCATGCTTGACTATTTTGGAAGAAACGATCGCCTTTGAGGGTTCGACAAAATCGGTCTGTACTGCAGTATCTATAACAGATGGGTTTGATGGCCCATCAGTCTGTGACGCATGAGTTTCAGTAGCTACAGAAACCAAGAATCTAGCTGGAATAAAGGAAGGTTCTGACAAAATGTTTGAAGTGTCTAGCGCAATAGATTTTGATGCAATAGCGTCCGAGGTATGATAGGGTTGACCAGGTGCGGTCATGTAAGGCAGTAAACCGTGGTTTTTGGTAGAAGACGAACCAAAATTGGACCAGTCGTTAAAATCTCCCAAAACACTGGCAAAGTCCTTGTCCAGCTCACCAAGACCAAGGGCGACCTGATGCATAGACAGACTGGTATTAAGAGCTTGAGAATCCCAACGATCTGTCAAGTTATCAGATCCAGTGGATGAGTTTGCATCTGACGAATGGTGCGACTCAATATCCTTGAGCGATTCTGGGGCAAGCAAAGACAGACGCGAGTTTCGTTTTCCAGCTGTAGTGGTAGACAGCGAAGTTGCAGATAGTGGTGAGCTAGCAATATGTGAGGTGCTGGAAGTGTTATTTTGGCCACTTACAGCGCTGTTGGCTATACTTGGATTTTTGATAGAACTGCTCGGTTTGACAATATCTTTGGTTACAGAAACTGGTATAAGACGAGGCATACTACCACTATTGGATTGTTTATCTGACAACGATGCTGTGCCAAGTTCAAGTTGAGAGCTGGAATTAGATTGTAAACTGGATTTTGAATTTCGAAACAATCGGAACCCGCTTGTTTTTTTGACAAGTGGTGCCGGAGTAGTTGATGAGGAGCGGGATGCGGGTGGATCTGATTTCAAAAATTCTGACAAAGACATGTCCTTGATGTTTTTGCGCTTCTGGCCTTCCATCAAAAATTCGGCATCGTCATCCAAATCCATTTCTTTGAGGGAAGTCATGCGCTGAATAGGTTGTGCAGAAGGACCAGGGATTAGATTAGTTATCGTTGATGGACTTGATGGTGGACTTGCAAGCTGCTGCATGAGTGGCTTGGTTGAAGATGTAGTGGGTTTTGGAGGGAAATACTTGGGTCCGGCCTGTTCTTCGGGACCAGTATTGCGCAGAAACTCCCAGTAAGTTTCATTTTTTTTGGGCTTGGGTTCATCGCCCAGTGCATCGTCGCCTATGACACTGTCTGTATCATTCACCTTGGATTTACCGTCACGTAGTAGTGTATTAATGCCTTCATCCTTGTGTCCTGCAGCATCTTTAGCCACCAATCGGATGTCCTGTATTTTTTTAATCTATATTGGATAGATACCAAAAATGGATTCAAACACATTTAGAGACTAAAAACATACATAAACAATCTGAGATGGATAAATACCTCAATGTGGCGCATACGCTCAGGAGTTGATGTGAGCTTTTTTGTTTCCTTTGTATTGAGCATTTTTTCAAAATCCATTGCAACAGCAGTGTCTTTGACAGCAGAAGTGCGACGGCTGTCAATGATAGCAGTGAATGCAGATACAGCAGACGAACGACTAGCAAATGATGCCGAGAATCGGTTGGATGGTGACGAGGGTGCAACTACAATACCACCAAAAAGGATTACATGGCAATCGTTGTGCAGATGGGATAAAGGCAGAATGTGTTAGCTCAGGGTTACGCATGGTGCTCGACAAGATTTCAAAATAAATCAGTGGCATGAAAAGCATATCTGAATGCAAGCTGTTAAACCCAGCATACAATAAAAAGCAACTTACTTGGGGCGGCAGTGGATGGGGAAGCATTACCGGAAAATACTGTGTCATGGGAGTGAACACGCTGACGAGTCAAAGAAGGAGAAGTTCTGCCTTGTGGAGGAGTAGGAGATACTGGTGACTTGATTGGGTTCTGGCTAGATTGTGCAAGATGCGATGATTGTTGGGCTTGTTCATGCAGCTGCGCTTCTATTGACCCCTTGGGGGCTTGTGATTGGTTTGTGGATTGGTTGGGGTAGGAAAAAGCAGCAGTCAGCGATCCCGATCTAGCACCCACTGATTTTCTGTTGCTTCCAGTTATATCAGTGAGAGTCGTCTTGCTTGCTGAATGTGGTAGAATTGATTTAGGCTGAGGTGGTGACGAAGTAGGGAGCGACCTACGGGTAGCGAGAGTGGGAGATTTCGTGGCTGAATGCGACAATGCATTGGTAGTGGATGCATTTGCCGATGCAGAATTGATGCTACTAGCGTTGCTAAATGGTCGTTGCAGGTAATCGATACTGCTGCTAGAATGAGAGGTTGAAAAGCCATTAGCCTGCGGGAAGGAAAGTTGGAGGATCGACGAGCGACCAGTACTAGAAGTGGCGGTCAAAGTAGGGGCAGATTGCAGAGTGGTCGTTGAAGCTCTAGTGATTTCTGGTGATATGGATGATGCAGTAGTGGGGTTTGCTGATGGTGGTAATGACAATGGACGGTCCATTGAAAGTCCAAAAGATGACAGGAGCGAGTCAGCAAAGCCACCATCGCCCTCGCTCATGAGCGAACTCTCCATACCGAAATCAAACATCAGTGACGATGAGGTTGATACAGGGCGTCCTGGAGTTGGGCTGGAGCCAGTAGGCATTTGAAAATAATGTTTGATATTAAAGATGTAAAGCGCACTTGATTCTAGAGCAATGGCACGCCTAGACTTGGAAAGTAGTGTATGGGCAATCCACTTGATATACTGACTACCGCAAACTGGTCAAACTTGCAAAAGGTGGATTGACCAATACGATTGGGTTTACTCGACGCGATGTGTGGGGCTTGTAGGCACACCAAATGGATCGTGGAGATGGAGTATTCGGATTTTTAAGGGTAAGCAGTGCTCACTAAGAAAGTCTTGTTTAAACCTAAACTTGACTATCTATTGCAACGATATTTAACTATGAATATGCAAACAATGTTGATTGATGGGCTAAGATTGTCATGGTAGGCGGACTGGAAAGAGGCACGTTTTATCCAACCAATGCTTATGGTGGTGTTGTGGCTCGTTTACGTAGCTTGTATGAGTGGTATATGTTTTGCGGCTCACTTTTGATGCAAGCTACATCATAACCACATGAATAGGTATAATTGTGGTACTCGAGACGACTGGTCTTGGCTATTTATTTTCGGGAGGTGCTTCAAAAAGTAAGCTGCATATTGTGCTCTGCATCCATCTATAAATGCGACTAAACCCATAGCACACCATCAACCCTAATCATCTTGTGTTCTGATAGCTTTTCGCCTTTGTTTATGGCGCTTACTAGAGCATGTCTGTATTTGAACAGTCAATTGCAGCCCTTGCAAGATAATAAATCTGCAATTTGATGGTAATAAATGTCAACACAACCACCCAGCCTCTTCAGCTGAAAACAAAAAATGACAAGGCAAAAATAATTATTTATTTATATTTCAACAACCCGACTTCGCCATGCTTTGAAACATTGATAGCATCAAATAGGCTGCAACAGCAGCCTTTTGGAAACGCAAGTTTTTCTACTGGTAACATTGCAGTTGTTTTAGGTTGGTGTGGACTCTAGATGGAGCGCCAAAGTTCTCGCGTCTGAACAAGACCAAACCAAGATCAGCGAGCAGCCGCCGTCAAACCAAAAGATGACGTCGTCCTATATTGAGTTGACAAGTGCAGCAGATCATTCAACAAACTGGTCATATCAACACAAATCAGATTGACCTCGTGATACAGGAAATACACTAAATGCTCATGCCATTTAAATCAGCAGACAATCTACTGATATTTTCAAAACAATACCATCAATGATAGTTTCTGATGGTTGCTCATTTATCTCTACATTCTTGCGCTCTTTGTTGCTAGTTGTGAACTCTGCTGATAGTTGAATAAAAAATGGTTTTGTCCGGCGTGCCAAATCAAATACAAAAAATAATATCTATTCAAAAAACGGTCCATTTGTAGTGAAAAGATGACATTTAAACATTATTCCGAAACTCTGGTTACACGATAAAATACAAGCGTTTCATTTGACGTGAATACGACTGCAAGTCTAAAGAGCCGCATCAACACCAACTCGTTACAATTTAAAGCCTATTTTCTTATATAGTTGTATTGATTTGAAATGGCAGGTTTGGAAAAAACTGACATGCATACAGCATTACACTCGTCAAGTACAAACGCAGGACTTCACTTATCCAACTCGAGACTATCGCCTGGAAAGTCTGGAGCTCGTCAACAACTCCCGCTTGGGCTGCCACGTTCAGGTCAGTCCGGACCAAGTGACAACCCTCAGTCACGTAGCAGGACCAATCTAACTGGTGATGGTAGCATGTCCATGCTGTACAAGTCAAACTCCAGACTAGATGAGCCTTCAAAGATACGTTCCGGTATACAGAGGCAAAGTTTTCCCGAGCTCAAACGAGTTCCTGGTAAGCCATAGATTCGAGTCTAGTGTATTGACCCACTCCAAGTGGAAGCATATGTCTCTGGAACTCATGCTCCAATGGTTTCCATATTGACAAATATGGCTTATCAAGTATTTGTTTTGGAGCTCATCAACTTATTAGAATATTTACAATATGATAATTATAAAAAGGCGACGGCAGAGAGTCCGAGCGAGAGCCGCATACAACCGGATGTTTAAAGTGGAGATTTTCAAAAACGTAAGATGAACTCAAGATTCAATATAGTATATCCATCTAAATGGACAAATCTGTTGTTCGACTGCTCGTTTGTGTTTCCAGATTGATCCCTGCAAGTCAATAATTATACCATGCTTCGACAATGCTATCCAGCCATATTTTTGCATTAAATTTACAAACCAATTTAAATATTTACAGGATAGAAACAGAAATATACTCGGTCAAGTTCTCTTTTGATGACGAATTTATCGTGGCAGCATGTGGTAACGCTAGTATCAATGTAAGTTATTTTAAGCTTGCAATATTTAATTTGAAATCATTTGGCGTCTGTTGATTTACTTTACAAAAACACCAATGTTTTAATTTCACGATTGTTTCAATCATACTTACTGGTAATAGGTATTTTCAACTAGAACAAATGCACGAGAACTAGAGCTTATACCAAGTGGAATGAAAACTATACTTCCATGTACTTCACTCGCATTCCGACCAGATAATGCCACATACAAAAACAAAAGTATCCTTGTTGCTGCATGTAAGCGGTTGAATTGAGTTGATCAAACTAAAACCAGTCGCTCAAACAGGCTTGAACTGATTTTGTAATATACATTGCATTTTGTCAAATTTGAATGGATAATCTAGATGCGGATGGAAGTATTCGACATTGGCATTATACGACTGGGCAACTTCTCAGCACTATCAATGAGCCTGACAACCAGATCAATGGTGTATCATATAGTCGCGATGGTAGTCAGTTTGTTACGTGTGGAAGTGATATGCACGTTCGAGTATACGATGGCCAAACGCATGCACTGACTTTTAGTGCAATGTCCGGGTAAGTTTAGTGTTTATTAAATTGTTTTGGTTAAAACACCCATTTTGTAGATGTATACTGAAAATCCTTTTGACAGACATAATGAGGTGACGGCAGGACACTCGAATCGAATCTTTTGTGTCAAACATCATCCCAAAGATCCCAACATGCTAATCAGTGGTGGATGGGACAATACACTTCAGATATGGGATAAGCGAATGCGCACCTCTGTCAAGAGTTTTTTTGGTCCCCATGTTTGTGGTGACGCAATTGATTTTAACGAGGACGGCTCACTGATTGTCGTGGGAGCTTATGTCAAAGACAATCCATTGACGGTATTGTGCTTTGGACAATTTGAATTTAAAAGTTATACTTTACATGAATTAATTGTTGGTGGGTAAATTATTGCAAAAGTAGATATGGTCTTGGAGCACTGGTCGAATGATGGAAGCAGTAACGTGGGCCGAGCCTGTTGACGATGAGCTGCCCATGTGCATGCTTTATTCGGCACAGTATAGTCAAAACACACAGAGTACAACCCCAAACAGGTATATTCTCGCCGGTGGTGGAGGCCTATCTAAAGAGGCTCGAATATTTTCAAATGATTCTAAAAAGGTAATTCCAAAGGATTGTCTTGGTGTTGATAATCACCTGTATAAGTGCATTTTTGAAGTTTGGAAACTGCATAACCAACGTGGCTGATTTGATGCATACTATCAATTAGCCGGCCGGATCCATCACCCACCTCAACAGCGCAGTGTATAGCACAGCCATTAGCTCACAAGACAAAATGGTGGCAATCGGTGGAGGAGGAAAAACGCTTATTGTATGCAATATTGAAGATCATTTAGCAGATATACGATAAACACATCAATCTATAATAAATCTACAAAGATTGGGGACATTTCACGCATTTGTAAGTTTAATTTAAAACTGTTTCGAAAGTAACAGCCTTTGTCAAAAACGATAGTCAAGTATGATGCTACAGCCATTTGTTTAAAAGGCGTAGTATTAAGCTCGTCCGCGACGATTCAGCAAGTAATTCAAGCCCATTAGTGCACAAGTAGAGATAAGAGCACCGACAGCAATTAAACGAAAGGGAACTATATATGAAAATGGAATACCATTTGAAGCAGATGCAAACCAGCTAGTAGGCTTGCCAATCTGAGTGTAGGCAGTGAAAGCCGTGGCAGTCATGAGAAGTATGACACCTGATAGTCCGTGTGCCTTGTGCATGATACGAGGAAATTTGAGATTGAATGCAAGGCCTCCAAAGATCAGTTGGGAAACAGCCCATGCAACAAGAATGCCACCATAAAATGCATGATCACTTTCAAAGTGAGGTTTGTGCTTGTAGTTCTTTGCAGAGTAGATGGCTGATTTGCATTAACAATAAAATTCAAAAAAGTTGTCAAGCTGATGCATTTCTATTGTCCGTGCACACCTTCAACTGACATGTAGTATGGATATCATACTACTTACCACCAAAGCCAATTAGTAGCATGAATACAGAAATAATGGCAGCGCCTCTGTGAGTATCAATCTGCTTCATCATAGGAAGTCGCTTTTTTCCATGATCCTTTTTGCGCAACTTGAAGGACTGGAAAGCAAGTAGAGCCTCAGAACCCAGAGCCAAAAAGCAGATCATGGCTACAGGATGGATACTGAACACCGAGTATGGCTTTGCAAAGTAGCATGCAGCCACCACCACTACGACCATAATCAGCGTAGACAGTTTCTGAAGAACTCTAAAAACAAACATGGTTGCTTTTTGAGCAAGTACAAAAGTGATTTTGAAATTACAAGTAGATTTTGCAACTTGAGCATCCAAACAGATAAGCCGATCGCCTTGACAATCATACTAGGTTCATGTGACTATATGTGTTTGATTGGAATAAACGCTTTTGGTTGTTTCCATCTCCTTATTGCAATATACATTTCTTGAACCTTCCAGTCCTATGTTACAGGTTTGTAGGCCATCCTGCTACCGTTGTATTCACGTAGAATGGAGCATTAAATAGTAATATGATAAACGGCCAATCTCATGAAATAATTCATGTCAAATTGACTGAACAGTGCCATTTGGGGTTTCTCCTGATAATCGACAGGAAGCCGTCACATTTCTGATAAGTGCAATCTCTGGTTTCTTGAGCTAGAGCATATCCGAGGTTTTCTGATACAGGAATTGAATTTGTAAAGTTTTATTCAACATATCAAAACAGCCAAACCCAATATCTGGGTTGCAATACATGAATCTGATTTTAAACTTGTCGATCGCATAATGTACGACTATTCCAAGTGAAGATAGTTTCAATGCAAGACTATAGTTTGTGTTGTATAATGAGTGCTGTGATTTGAAGAATTGACAAAGTTGGTGTCTAATAGGGAGATGATGAATATTTAACCCTTTTTTATTCTGAAGCGAAATAGGGACAATCCCTACAAGATAAATGTTGTACTTTACGTGAATAGGGTTATAGTACGAATTGGCAACCTTTCATTGAACAATTCATCAACTCTACTTGGACGACTGCAACTAAACCCTTTCATTTCCCTCTAACACATCTACTTGGATCCTAATGGGACGGCTGCATTTGTTTGGAAGGAGCTGTCATTTTGCTAGTGACGACCTTCCACTTCCTGTTCTTGCAAGCATCTTTATTCATTTAATATGGTATAATATTTTTATTGCGTAGCTTCTCTTCCATTCGCTCATGTTCGGTCACTTGAAATAAGCATCCTTTATAATACCTGCTTCCAACCTGACTGCATCAACATCTGTAAATCATGCTCGATAATAATCTAACTAATTGAACCTGATGAAATCTGTTATTGTGGCTAGGATGACTGTTGCTGCATATCTACTTTTTCAATCATCAAAAGAATGCACACCTATGCCCTGGTTGTCCATTTACCTGATCCTATGTATTGTGACATTCATTGTAGAAACAATAATTTTAGCCACAATTGGAGTCATTTCATTAAGAGGATCCATTGCTGACGATCGACCACGCAGACCCGTTGTCCCGTTTATCTACACCTTTATTGCGACTGTGGTCTTGGAGACTGTAAGTTTTGAATGCTCGATATCTATGCATTATATAGCCCAATAGTTTTTCATAAATTATAGCTGTATTCATGTAAAATAGAACATTGTCTTGCAGTCACAATTTTGTCCAGTAACTTGAACCAATTATGCCATGAGACTGGCGGCTCATTATGTACTTTGGTTTTGATGTTTTATTTTACGTGAATATGGCTGCAATAGCATGTGATCATTACTCATTGCTTATCTGGAATAGGTATTGCATATATTTGGACTGTCCAAATTTTACACCGAGGCAACGTACTGTCGAGAAAGCAATATATTTAATGCCGGATTTGTCATTGTCATTTACTGTTTTTTAACAGGAGTGCTAATCTTTGCAATTTCCCTTACGTTGCAATTGGCTGTGGGTTCTAGTACTAGAAGTATTGAGCATATGGATAGTCCACAGTTTTGGCAGTATTGCCTCATACCCTTTGTCTGCTTTCCCCTTTACATTCGTGGGTATAGTCGTAGTTCCACCGCTGCACGTGCTGGTAGATCTACTCGAACCACCACCATTCTCTCAGATGTCGCCGAACTTTTCACTGAGCTATTTGGCGATGTTCGCCTTGTGCCATCGGACATTTTGGCTGGTCTTATACTAGTTAAGCGCGCAGATAAACGTAAGAAGCGTGAGCAACAGCAGCATGAGATAGTGAATATTGCTATGGACCGCTTTGAGCCGTTGATTTCTATCCACAATCCTCCAATTCACCGTGATTGGAATTATATTGTTCACTATTACAAGTTTACTGAAGCCATTTACGGATTTCCATTATACATGCTAACGCACTTTTTTGATGGGTTTCGGCATTTGTGTTGTCCGTGTACGGGATCTAAACCTCACTCTGCTATAAACGCTGTTCAAATGTATATGGATAGCGGATGGTCAAATGGGTGTTTGTGCTGTTTTCCTGCCAGTTGTTGTTATTCAAAACCTTGCCGTCACGATGATTTGATTCATATAAGCATCACAAATGAGCTGTTCAAGTCTCCTTTCATGGTGTGCTTTGATCATGACACTGCATCTATAGTCGTATCCATTCGGGGAACTTTATCGACTACAGATTTGCTGGTAGATTTGCATTTCAGGCTAGCAGAGATTCGCATTCCTAGTGACTCGGGGGATGTGGTGATTGCTCAGACACACTATGGAATGCTCAGAACAGCAAAAAACATCTTTGAAGAACTAAAGCGCACCGATCTGTTTTCCATACTCCTGTCCAATGTCACGTCGGCCTATTCCAACTATCGACTGGTATGCACAGGTCATTCGCTTGGTGGAGGTGTGGCTGCACTTGTTGCTTTTTTGATAAAGACTAGTGCGCAATATAAAAATTTAGAATCAAGAGTCACAGCGATTGCCTATTCTCCACCTGGCTGCATGATCACAGCAAAAGGACAGGATTACTTTAAAACATTTTGCACCTCGGTTGTATTCGGCAACGACGTAATTCCTCGCCTCAAAATGCACTCAGTTTGTACTCTTAAACAGCAAGTTATTTCTGAATTGGGACGCTGTAATCATTCTCATAAGTTGGACCTTTTGACTGGGAAAATGATGAAGCCCATGATTCGAGCTTGCCAAAATTTAGGCGGGTTTTATGATCATCGCACCATCTCTAGCACGAGTCCCACACATACTGACCAGTTTATCGAACAGCAAACACACCCGACGATTTTTAATATACACAATGATGCTACAAACGAACGCTTGGGCGAAGCCAATGAAGAAACGAGCTCAAACGATAGCGCTTCGCAAACCCCAACGTATCTTCCTGGTCACATCTTGCATATTCGACGTGTAGAAAAGCCAATCCTTAGAAGGCAGAGTAGTTTTTTGTTTGAAGACGGCGATTTACCCGATGATCAAACAAATACTAATGTCGGGACTGACATATCAGATCGGTCTACTACATATACTATTTGTGGGTCAGAATATGAGCTTGTGTGGTCACCACCTGAAGCATTTGATTCTATTTTGATCAGTAAAACAATGGGACTAGATCATATGCCCAATCGGTTGGGAAGCGTGTTGGCTTCTTTGAAACTTTTGAAAAGTGATTCCGAATGAGTTTATTTCGATCATTCCTGTTAAACCTTTTCAACTCTAGTATTGCTTAAATTGCTTCTAGGCAACTACTTTTACTCTGTACATATTTGAGTTCAATGCTAATCGGTCTTTACAATGCTTATTATTTTTCAGCACACCTTATAATCCAAGAACAACTGCCAATAAATCATTTTTGTTATCTTGATGCTCTTGTTAACCGTATTCACGTAAATGAACCACTGAACAAGAGTGTCAGTGTATAATAAATAGCCAATCTCATGGCACGATTGTTGCCAATTTATTGGACAGTATTGTACAATGAACTTTAGTTGACTGGTATTTCCTTTGGTGATTCACATGGAGACAATTGATGTATTACCGAGACATGCAATCTTGTTTTCTTGAGCTAGAACGCGAATGTATGCGAGATTCAGAATACAACAAACTTCTTTAGTTTCATACTCGTTCCAGATATTCCTTGATTGTGTGTAGAGTATTCAGCTCATGCTTTTTAGGATTCCAAGCCAATGTATGCCAATGAACCTGTTGTTCAGAACGCGCATTTGCTATTGGGTTATCAAAGGTTGATAGTTGTAATTCAAAGTTGTTGTTGGAAACTATCCATGTCAGAAAGACAGCGTCTAGTTGATTGAAGTTGGTGTTTCTACTGGTACTGTTCAAAATCTTGGACATTTGACAGATTCGCTGTATATAAACACAACCATATCTTTTAGTTCTGAAACAACTCTTTGAATAGGCAAACCAATGGTGCTCGTAACGAATGTTACATTGTAGAGATCAGAGTTGTCGTTGATGTTTGAGATTCACATGCTGATGTGTGAAGAAATTGAAAAATATAAAAACCAAGTCAACACTCGATGAGAATTTGTAATTTAAAAACATTCACACATTGAACCACACTCTACTTGAATGTATGAATCTGATTATTATACAATTTATAATTGTATCAAGAATTCCAATCCAAGACATAATTTGTATTTCATGAATGTTGAAATGTGAACAATCATTGTTGCCACGTGACAGTTCAATCGAAATCTGTTTTTATCCTGTTTGATCTTCAATCCAGAAAAAAAAGTCGGTAGCATTTAACATGCCCGCTGGACTTGCATGCCGGATTGCTGCTGGATTGCCTGCTCTGGTTTCCAAATCTGCCACTCTATCGACCACAATGACCTTGTCTACGTGCCGTCTTGCAATCCGATCTGCTTGTTCTTTCCCTATTGCAACACATGGATTACCATCTAATATGAATAGATCATTACTGCGCCATTTATCTTCCACTGCATGTGCACTCAACAATACAGACAAACCTTTTAAATCTCCACAAAATGATACTCAATCAAAAGAGAATCCTGCTGCTGAACAACACACTGGTGCTGAAGGCATGGATTTGTTTGCTCAAGCTATGGCTGCTCAGAAACTCCGTGAACAGAAACAGTCTGGAAAGAAATCTGATAATGGCGCTGAAGAATCGACCAATCCCGAAGATATTGAAGCTGAGCGCATTCGTCGCTTGAACGAATCCACCCAGAAAGAGGACAACAAGCGTTTTGGAGATAATGTGTTTTTTTACAGCGGTGTTGGGCTTGCTTCGTTGGCTGGAATGTATGCTTATATGGGTAAGTTTTTTATTGTATCAGCTGGTCACTGCTACCAGATCAGTTCTGGTTAAATTGCATTGATGGTTGCAAAATGCGATGGACTGGAATGGCATTGCCAATATCATATCCTGTCTAAAGTGTCAATACTGATCATTTTACAATCAAAATCATGCTTTACATTTCTAGGCATGTCTGACGGAATCGACAAGAACAAAGAGGGCGAAAATATACTGGAAGCCCATAACCGTCGTGTTTGGAACTATCTAGTTGGATGCTACAAAGTGAGTGATCGTCAGCTATTTTAATGCATATATTTTTATTTTGCTCATATCTTTCTAATTTGGTCTGATAGTACTGGACTGAGCCGAGCATTAAAAAACTGCTTCCTGATCCACTGCCAGAAGACCAACAGGCGCCATTTACTCTTCTTATTGAGCACAATGATGCCCTGCTGCACCTTATCTGGGACGTAAGTGAATTGTTGGAAATGCTTTTTCAAAAGCGTTACTCGACTCAAATGTCTTGGTTATTTACTGAGAAACGATTGTATTTGTAGAAATCTGAAGGATGGAGAGCAGCTCTCAGACCTGGCGCTAAACATTTTATGGCCAATATGCGTAAATACTTTGAAGTTGTCATTTTCACCAGCACTCCTGGATACGTATGTCTTACTCTTGATCATCTGCTAAATAGTGTATCAATAATTCTCTCTAACCACTTGCTATACTGTATTTTTAGTTGTCTCAACCTGTTTTGGAAGCGTTTGATCCAAACTACTATGCTCCATATCGTCTCTACCGTGAGCACACTACTCTTGAGAATGGGGAGCGTGTCAAGGATCTGAGTATTCTCAACCGAGATTTAAGCAAAGTGATCATTATTGATACTCTTGCCAGCAACTATCGTTTGCAACCCGAAAACGGAATTACAATTCAAAAATGGCACGGCGAAGCAGGAGACAATGAACTTAATCGCATGGAAACATTTTTGGAAGAGTTTAGCTTCCTTCTTGCTATTTCACAAGCAGATGACGTTCGGCCTTTCCTTAAAACCCTTCGAGATATGGATGGTAACATTCCTAATGCATGGGATATGTACAAGCAGAAACTGCGCAAACTTACTAGCGAGAAAGACCAAACAATGCCATTAGTTTCTGCTGAAGATTCTTCTCCAAAACCCGCACAGAATACAATCATATCGTTTGTGGGCAGTTTGATTGGACTTAATAAGCCATTAACCAGCACTGCTGCTGCTGTTCAAACTCAACCATCATTTAATTTGGTGGATATGATTGAACGACTTGCCAAAGAGGAGCGTGTGCTGCTTGTTAAGCAGCTGGAAGATGAGAAAAAGCATATTGCTGAAATGCAAAAGTTACAGGAGGAAATGATCAAGAAACAGACTGAAGAAAACAAGGCCAATAAGCTCACCATGTTTGATGCTATGATGGGTGCTGGTCAACCCCAAATTACTGGTCAGCCCCCACTACATGAGCCTAAATAATGCAGCATCACTTTTAATATCATTCGATTTCCATCTATGATTTTTTTAGCTTCAATCAAGTTGTTTTGTTATTTTCAACTGCTTTTATTTACACCATATTACAGTCGTATTCACGTAAAATGAAACACTTTTCTGTATTTATCTTGGACTGACTCTATTGCTTCAGGGTAAACAATCGTTACATATTCGCTGTTATTGGAAATTGATTATTTCTTTTATTGAAACTCTATCCTAATATCAGATATGGTCGCGCAATGTTTGGAGGTTGTAAAGATGTCAAGGATGCGGAATGTATTGGAACAGAGATGTAAACATTCGCTCTGTACTTTTGTACAAGAATAAGCATGGAGAAAGACCAGTAAGCTAATGAATTCAAAAGGCACAATGTTGTCCAGTAAGATTGGTACCAATCAAACATGAATGTTTATTATACTCTTATTTAATGTTTCAATTTACGTGAATACGACTGTAAATAAAAGTAGATCACTAAATAACAGCTAAACAAGTATTTAAAGTTGCCTTTATATTACAGTTTTAATGCATCTTGCATCATTGACACTTGTTTAATCTCTAATTTTTATTTGCTACACTGAACTTTGCAAGTAAACATTGAGTAATCAACATAAAAACAGCAGTTGCATTACTGAAATGTGTAATCATTGTTAGCGGACTACAACGCAAATCTATCAGAGATTCAAAATACAACACATGTATGCGTAGATTTGTATTGCAACATTGACAGTCAAACACTATACATGCATTGCAATACATGAATCCGAGTCCGAACTTGGTGATCGTACAGTGTATGGCTATGCCAAATGTGTACAAAGTGTAGATTCAACATTATAGTTTGACTGTGTGTGCTATGATGGTTGTATATCAAACACACAATGCAGTCAAACTATAATAAGCCAAACGACCATTCAATTATTATTATTCCGAACTAAAGGAAAATTACTGCAAGTTGAATACCGAAGGGATCCATTTTACACAAACACAGCTGTAAAACGAAACCTGTGGTTACACAACACCCTTGAAGGTACGCTTTTTAAAATATCCGGTAAAGGGTTGTAGCAACATAGTCCAATCGACATCAACAGCAAATCGATCAATAGGATATTGTGGCTAGGGAGCAGCATGCTGTGGTTTGATATTGGCCTACCACAAGCAATCAACTAACCCTGTGTAGCCGGTCAACCTAAAAGGGTCAGGGTTGGTTTACTATACAAGAATATAAATACAATGAAATATGCACACTCTTGTCAGAATCAACAACACCAACTTTAGCGCTCTACCTCTCCACTAATTGCTTACTCATTCGTCAACCCGATGAAATTCACCGACATTTTACTATTACTGACCGCGGCGGCAACCGCCAGTGCAATACTGGTTACAGCTGATGAAGATGGCTCACTTCAAGAATCAGGCACTTCTAGCCAAGTGTCTGTCCCGACTAACGAACCCAATCCAAACACTATCGACGAACACCAGCAACAAACAATGAGTGGATACGAATCAGGAAGTACCAGTTCAAGTCAAAGGACTGTATTAAGCAAAGAAGATCGAAGAAATCTTAACACATTAAAGAGAAAACATCAAGTGTCTCTAAGAAAAGAAAGGAAAATATGCGATTATTACTATGACTATCTATCCAAGGGGCACAAACAAAAGTCAAGATTAAGAAATGGCGGAAAGATAAGTGGACCAAAGCACAACTCAAGGATTGAAAAGGCAATGAGATTACGATGTGAAGTTGCAACTGAAGAATCAAACAATGCGGAACAAGAATTAAAGGACTTTATGCTAAAGCATGGTTTGAAACCGAAAGGAGAGTCGGATTCAGATTCAGATTGAAGGTGTACCAAAAATTGATTTTGAATAAATTTTCAACTTTCTGATATGTTGGTATTTGTCGAGTATTGTGAATGGATCAATAACCATATTGTTGATTGGATACTGCATGCTTGTGTATACTGTGTTGGGTATTACATTGACAGTTACTGGATTGTTGATTGATACATTGACACGGTTTGTTCCATATACATCAATGACCTGATAACAACCAGTGTTATTTGTAACTATCAGTCGGACTTGCAATCACTTGTCAGTTGCATGGTTGTATGATATCACCAACTGACCATGTCATGCATTGTACAACAAACGGAACAATACACTTGTTCAAAGTCGGATGTAGATTGCGACATCAACTGGTTTGATATGGGTCAATTAGTGTTGCCAGTTTGCAATATAATATATGTAGTGTGGTATTACGCAGCATGGTGTTGGTAGTGTTGTATTGACAGCCGTATCGACGTAAAATGGATCATTAAATAATGGTGTTGGTGTACAATAAACAACCAGTGTCATGATATGATTGTTAATGTACTGGACAACATTGTGTCATGGATTTTAGTTTTATTCTCCTGACGATCAACATGAAAAAAGCAGTTGCATTACTGAAATGTGCAATCATTGTTAGTGGACTACAACGCAAATCTATCAGAGATTCAAAATACAACACATGTATGCGTAAATTTGTATTGCAACATTGACAGTCAAACACTATACATGCATTGCAATACATGAATCTGAGTCCGAACTTGGTGATCGTACAGTGTATGGCTATGCCAAATGTGCACAAAGTGTAGATTCAACATTATAGTTTGACTGTGTGTGTTATGATGGTTGTATATCAAACACACAATGCAGTCAAACTATAATAAGCCAAACGACCATTCAATTATTATTATTCCGAACTAAAGGAAAATTACTGCAAGTTGAATACCGAAGGGATCCATTTTACACAAACACAGCTGTAAAACGAAACCTGTGGTTACACAACACCCTTGAAGGTACGCTTTTTAAAATATCCGGTAAAGGGTTGTAGCAACATAGTCCAATCGACATCAACAGCAAATCGATCAATAGGATATTGTGGCTAGGGAGCAGCATGCTGTGGTTTGATAGTGGCCTACCACAAGCAATCAACTAACCCTGTGTAGCCGGTCAACCTAAAAGGGTCAGGGTTGGTTTACTATACAAGAATATAAATACAATGGAGTATTTTCAGTCTTATAATTAACACCAACCTCGACACTACTTGTATTCGTCGTTTAAACCCATTGACTAATCTGATGAAATTGGTTGATATTTTACTCGTGCTGAGCGCGGCGGCAACCGCTAATGCAATACTGATACCGTTTAAAAAAGATGGTTCACTTCAAGAATCAGGCACTTCTAGCCAAGTGTCTGTCCCGACTAACGAACCCAATCCAGGCACTTCCGACCAAGACTGGCAAAGTATAGCTGTTCAACCTGGTCTAAGCATATCCGACGAATACTGGAAACATTTAATAGATGAAGCTGGTTCGAGCATCCCCAAAGACTTGCAACAGCCAGTTAATCAACCCGATTCAAGTACTTCCGGACAAGACCAACAATACCCAGTTGATCAACCTGGTCTAAGCATATCTGACGAATACTGGAAACAATTAATAGATGAGGCTGATTCGAGCACCCCCGAAGACTTGCAAAAACTATCTGATATAGTCGAGCCGAGTACTTCCAAACAAGGCCAACAATACCCAGTTAATCAACCCAGTCCAAGTACTCCAAAACGAGGTCGGAAACGTCCAATTGATTTAACCACTTCGGACGAAGACCAACAATACCCAGTCAATCAACCCAGTCCAAGTACTCCCAAACAAAGTCGGAAACGTCCAATAGATGTAGTCAAGCCAAGTAATACTGCTCCATATCAAAAAGTTGAAAAAAGCAAAGTAATTGGAGCTTTTAATCTACAAAAAGAACTTAGGGCGACTATAAGGGAACAAGAGAGTGCATACCGATTATACCGTGACTATGCAGCCGCTGGATTGGAACAAAAATCAAAATTGGAAAAAGGTCTAAAGGTAATTGGAATAGAGCACGACCTAAAGCTTGAAAGGCAATTGAAACAAGATTGCAAAGATATCAAGATGAAAATAAGTATTTTGAAACAAAGATTAAGGGACTTTATACTGGCCCATGGTTCGAAATTTAAAATACTGGGTATAGAAGCAAATTTAGAAGTGGATTCAGAAGCAGATTCAGATTGAAGGTGTACCAAAAATTGATTTTGAATAAATTTTCAACTTTCTGATATGTTGGTATTTGTCGAGTATTGTGAATGGATCAATAACCATATTGTTGATTGCATACTGTATGTTTGTGTATACTGTGTTGGGTATTACATTGACAGTTACTGGATTGTTGATTGATACATTGGCACGGTTTGTTCCATATACATCAATGACCTGATAACAACCAGTGTTATTTGTAACTATCAGTCGGACTTGCAATCACTTGTCAGTTGCATGGTTGTATGATATCACCAACTGATCATGTCGTGTATTGTACAACAAACGTAGCAATACAGTTGTTCAAAGTCGGATGTAGATTGCGACATCAACTGGTTTGATATGGGTCAATTAGTGTTGTCAGTTTGCAATATAATATATGTAGTGTGGTATTACGCAGCATGGTGTTGGTAGTGTTGTATTGACAGCCGTATCGACGTAATTGAATCCCTTCGGTATTCAACTTGCAGTAATTTTCCTTTAGTTCGGAATAATAATAATTGAATGGTCGTTTGGCTTATTATAGTTTGACTGCATTGTGTGTTTGATATACAACCATCATAACACACACAGTCAGACTATAATGTTGAATCTACACTTTGTGCACATTTGGCATAGCCATACATTGCACGATCACCAAGTTCGGACTCAGATTCATGTATTGCAATACATGTATAGTGTTTGACTGTCAATGTTGCAATACAAATCTACGCATACATGTGTTGTATTTTGAATCTCTGATAGATTTGCGTTGTAGTCCACTAACAATGATTGCACATTTCAGTAATGCAACTGTTGTTTTCATGTTGATCGTCAGGAGAATAAAACTAAAATCCATGACACAATGTTGTCCAGTACATTAACAATCATATCATGACACTGGTTGTTTATTAGATACCATTATTTAGTGTTTCATTTACATGAATACTGTTGCAAATAGTGGCAAGGTGGTGACATCAAGCTCGAAAATCCTTTCGATACGCGTTTCTGAATGAATATAGCATTTGGTAAAATTGTTCGATATAGTGCTCCTGTTCTTCTGTTTCAATTGCCTTGTGACTTCGTCTTTTACGAATATATGCAATAGCATCCTCAGCATTTTCGCAGTAACCTTTGTATAACAAGTAGCAACAAACTATCACTCCAGCGCGACCGATACCTATTTTGTTGTCATTGAAACAAGATGAGATGTATAAAAACAAAAGACAGATGTACTTGGTCTAACTGGAAGCATTAACAATTCAATTGCTTCAAATTCACATACCGCCTCTACAATGGCAAAGGACATTCGATCCATTTTTTATACATGCGTCAATCTCATCTAAAACCAAAATAGTGTCCATCAAACACACTGGAGTTCCTCCCTCTATAATTGGAATACGAATAAAAGTTATGTTTAAACTATGTACGGTTTCTAGATACTCGTTGAATGGTGATCCTAACAAGGCTAGTTCTTCGTCATATAAACAACACACTACTGCTCGAACACCCATGGATGCAATACGTTGAAAATCAGACTTGATATCTCGGTTTACCACGGCTATTTTTTGAAGAGAATAAAACGGTTAGATATATGTACAGAATAGCATACATTGTGCTTTAAAGCAGTGTGAAATTGTTCCAACACGCAGTTACCTCTGCCGTCTACAGGACCAGTTGTAAGTCGAACTTTTTTTCCAGGGCACGAGCTCAAACAAATATTACCATGAATCAGTGGCCAAGTTGAGACTGGTTTTTCTTGGAATTTGGTGTTTTCATTTTGATAGGCGACTTGAAGCGTATTGCTATTGCTGTGACTATGATTATTCATGCCGTTTTTATACGAATTTCTAGAATGGTTCAAGGATTGATCAAGGTTTTGGTTGGCAGAATACACGGCAGTACGTCGACCAGAATCTAGATATCTGCACGAATAAGTCGTGCAGGGGTTCTGACTAAAACCAGACAATTGGACTGCTTCGAGCGACTGCTCCATATCTTCACAAGCCATACTCTGACTGGGATCCATTGTGGTTTTATTTTCTAACATGCCGATTGTGTCGAGTCCAGTAGACGGCTTAGCATCCACAGTCGAATTAAACCCAATCTGTGACAGCTGATCATTCTCTAAAAACGAGTCAAAAAATAATGGTACAGTGTGCTGCATTCCCATTGCTGGACGTTTAGGAATATATGGTAGTGGTCGAAGTTGTTTGGACCACTGACGAAACCGTGCCACGTAAGGCAAAATCTGCATCCGCTCTTGATCTGGACCACCAATATATCTTGTTGGAGGAAAATGGACAGCAGCCGAGGTTGCTGCATACTTGTCATGAATAGAGCTGGGTCCTGACGGCATCTGCTTTAGAAGCTCGTACTCGAAAACCCAGGAAAGATTGATGGGATGAGATTGTGATGTACGTGGCGGGACTTTGCCAATAACAGAGATTTGAGCTGCAGATGGAGGGCGAGATGTATTCAAGCCATTCATTGTGACTGGATAACCCCTTGGTAGCGATGCAATATTTGATTCTGAATGCATAGTAGAGTCTGATGATGGTATAACAGACAGTTCTGGCTCTAGTATAGCATCTGTCGATGGATTTGAAAACCCGTCAAGCTGGTCTAGATTCATTTTTGATGAAATCACTAGAGTTGGGTTAGCGGAAGCTCAGATATGCAAGAAATTATAAAGCGTCCAAAAAACCAGAAAGCCCTTTAAATCTTGAAGCCAATACGCCTAATCGTGTGATTGTTGGTGTTGCAATATCTATCCATTGTAAAAGCTAATACATAGTTGTTTCTATTACCGCCGTATTCATATAAACGGGACTCTAAATAAGAATATCTGATAAACAGCCAGTCTTATGGAATAATAATCCGCATCAGATTTATTGAAAAATAGTACTATCTGAACTCTTTAGTTTACTGGTATTTTTTGCTGATAATCAGCATAGAAACAGTAGCTGCATTTCTAAAACGTACAATCTTTGGCTTGTTGAACTAGAGCGCAAGCGTATCTGATGTTTAGAATACGGAAAATATGAGTCTGTAAGGTTTGGGAACAGCCAAACCCAATATCTGGATTAAAATGAATCTGTTGATCGTGCAATGCATGGCTATGTCAAAGCGGAGAAAGGGATAATTTGATTGTGTGCGTCATATGATGGTCGTTGTGTTGATTCAAGAATATATATTGGAAAAGCAGCCAATCTAATAGGAAAGCGCCAAAAGTATTTATCCATTGTATATCCCGAAGCCAAAGTATTATTGATGACAAGGGACAATACAGAGTTGCAGCCTTTCCAACTCATATTATAGCCATATTCACGTAAATAGCTGGAGTGTGGAGCAAACTAATATGTCTATCCATATAGTATAACTGAACATTATTAAACAAGACTCGATATACAGTATTTCAAATGAGCAATCTAACAACAAAGATCAGCAAGTGCAGTAATTCACCTAGTCTTTGTAGCTGGTGACAAAGGACATAAGATTCATTTTATTCCCACAGTATCCGATCATGAAGCGATATTACCTGTTCGAATAATTAAAAACAGTGTTTTGATATATATTCATTTTCTTTTAAAAAAATAAGCTATAAAGAGAACTAGAACCATGAGAGGCTGCGACTTTTCAAGAATCTTATAAATAAATTTAAAAATACTCATAACCGATCGTTTTGAAGCTACGGTTATAGCTCGTCTAGGATTTCTTTTCGCAAGCGAGGAAGCCGTGTCAGAGATGGTATCTGCAGCTTTTGGTACCGTCTGTGCAACAATTGAGTCCGCTGGAATATCCCCAGATTTTTGAATAAGCTCAGCTCTTTCAATAATTTTCGAGACGGTTCGCGGAGTATCTACCTCTTTCAATATAGTATTGACTCTGCGCATAGATACTGGAAATGCCTGGGTAGTAACTAAACCAACAACACTTTGTGGCAGCCAGCCTCCCAAATCACCATCGACGATTTGGAAGCATCGTGTCATGTTTGGTTTTGTTGGATGTGGACCAACCAATACACCCGCCAAGTGAGCCATCATACGCACATCGCCAGAAATAGATTCATAGTTTGGATGAGAGTCGATTGAATGAGTCACATTAAGATACCTGCCATCATCCAGACGCTTGACAAATGCTACCACAAGAGCATCACGAGGTGCAGTTGGCCATACACCTTTCGATCTTATGTACTAGGATGCCATGATCAGTCATTCAAAAAAGTATTTAGTGTTAGAACCACAAGTCATTCATAGTCTGATGCTGGTCAGAGTACTAATCAAAACCCAACCCAGTCTTGAATCTACTGCTCACATCAAACGATAGATTGGCCAGCACAAGCTTCCATAAAACACAAAAGACGAACCTGAATGTTGGTTGCACCAGAGACACTTTCGATTCTATCAGCAGTCTCACACATATCGTCCCAAGTGGGTCGAATGGTGATATCGGCCAGCAAGTCAAATGCTTCCTCTGGAGTAGATTCCAGATCCACAACAACCCGAAAGAAGACACTATGACCCGTTCGCTGATGTACTTGGATAGCAAAGTTGCCTTTAGTCTGATCCACCACTGGCTGCCACTTGAATGACGAACCAGTGCCTACAGGATCTGCTTCCAAATTGCAGAGGCCAACAAAGCGGTTAGCCAGCTCATCCAGTTCGCCAATGTATGGGTCTGGCTTTACTGATGCATGCTGGATCGATGCGGTGGAAGAGTTGTTACCGCCAGAGTCTTTGAGAATGGGATCAGATGCAGCAGCAGGTGCCAAAGTAGAAGACATCTCGGTTGAAGCCATTGACTGTATATTGAAAGTGGAAGAATGGGGGAAACCTTTTGGGAGGGTTGCATAGGATATAGGAAGATGAACAGCCTGCAATCCCTGATGTTGAGATGGACTGTCGCAATTAGAAAGAGTCATGCTTGCTTTTGGCTTCATTGCTACATTGGCAATATCAACTGCTGCCACAGCCAGTCCTGCCAGCAGCAGTTGATGAGTCCAGTCCAATGGCAATCCCAGTAATGTTACAGACAGCAGTGATGGAATAGCAACTGCTAGTGCGGCCACACTGATCAGTCTAGCTATCGAGTTCATCCATCCACTGACATCACTGTCTTGATGTGTCCGGTGCATAACCCTTCAATGTACTAGAGAGTATGGGTAGGTTGCAGACCATCAAATTATAGTCTTTTGAGTTGATCAAGTCCAGATGAAGCTTTTTTCAAATACCATTTATTGTACATGCTGTCCAGATCCAAAGCAATGTCTTACAGCTCTGCCATTGCAAAACACGAAAACAAATCCATCAATGGTTTTGATACATTACTATTGGAGTGGGTTTAACCAGAAAGATGGTGTTAAAGTCGAATTAAAAATTGTCATCTCGGGAAATCTCGTTGGAAACATAAAGCACTATCGTCGTTGCATATCTAGCCCAAAAACCTCTGTACAGAGTAGAGATTCCCTTGCTAAAATTTACCATCGAAGTCCAGATTCCGCCAGATTGTTTCTGTGGACCACTATGGCTGCCACCACCTCCATATATATCCTGCCAATCGGATGCTGACAGATTTAGGTTTTTCTTGGATTTGATGGAAATGGGTCGTCGTCCACCTTCCTCAAAAATAATCGAGTAAATGCAATTGAATAGTCCAGTATATGGTGTAGACGAAGTCGCCACGACAGATTCAAACGTTTGGGACTTTGATGAATTGGGACTCGCTACTGGGTTGGGCGATCGACGGAATGCATCAATCCGCTGCACTTGCAGACGTTTGCGGGCCATTTCCAGAGGTGTCACTATTGCTGCCTCCAATGCCAGAAATCCCAAGGTGGCTAGCCGATACATGATTGGAGAAAATGCTGGATCCAATCCCAACTCCTCCTGAATGATGCGAGACGAAAAAAATCGTACAAATGATCCTGCAGTATGAACAAGAACTGATGGCAGAAGAATTCGTGGCTGATAAAGTGTAGAAAACGCAGTGGAAAACGTGGTGGGACGCTCTTCATTGGCCATGTTATGCAGAACATGAATAGGACCAAAATATTTTCTCCTTGATGATCCTGTTGCCTGAACAATCAATCTATTCAACAGAATGCAGATTTCAAGTCAAAAATAAGATTTAGTTCAAATACTAACAATGCACAAAGCTGAAATCTCAAGTTTTCAAAGATTAAGCTTTGGATCAAATCTCGACTGATTCGTATCAGCTCACCGAGTTCTTGCAGTTTCGATCGGACTTAAAAGAGCACCAGTAATGGCATGACTTAAAATGCTCGTAGTTGGATTGACATCTTCAAAGACATCCAGCATGTCATTCATAAACTCCTCGATACCTGGCTGAATGATCGAAAATGAAGCTCGAAAGACAAAATCAGTAACATGCCCTAAACAAATAGTTGAATTGGTATAAACAGTTTAGAAGCAAATCACTTGGCTGGATACGATAAACCAAAACAGTCTCGATAGAATAAAAATTCAAGTCTAGAGATCCAGACTTGCATAAGTCGATACCAAGCACATTACCTTTGAAAAGACCAGAAACACCTTCCAGCTCACTGTCCGCAATAAGTCGTAAGTTTGAGGAGATGCCCGAGTGCATACGAGGAAGATGAAGTGGAATCACACGGCTGCCACTGCTGCCAGGGTGTACAGTTTCATAGTCTGTCGAAAAATCATCCTATTACGAGTCGATATAGAATAAACGATTAATATGTGCATTGAATAGCTGCGTCAACACAGCAACATATACACTAGCATTCATATATCACCAATCCAACTGTAAAGTGGCATCAAGAGTTATTTGGCAAACACACCTCGTTGGTAGCATCAATCCGTTTTTGATACTGCACATCAGTTAGGGTTTCCACAACCAGCAGTGGAGATGTCAAGATAGATTCCAGGTAGTGCTGAACAGCGAATGCAGCCCAGTTGGGCTCGTCCTTGCCAAAGTCCAACCCAAAGAGAAGTTGAGACTTAGTAGTGGCTGATGACCCAGAAGCCACAACTCCCTGGCTGTTAGCACTGAAACTGCCCTTGCTGTTAGCAAAGGTTGCCATGTTGCTGATATCTGTAGCTACAGAGTTTGCAAGTTTCAAAGGGTAAGATTCTGAAGTAATGTCATTGGAAGAAGCCTTTCCAAAGGCTGCCAAGGGATCTGATGAGCCAAGTCCAAAGAAGGACATTGATAGGGTCGGATTGCAGGTAACTTGCGAGACTGATTCTAGTGTGGATCTTTGATTCGCTTTCTTCTAGAATCCCATTCACCAGTAAGAGGCAGCGTTACTGTTCATGCGTTGCAGGTTTATTACTCTACATTCTAGTCATCTCATATTCGATCCACACTCCTTTCGGTACGTGCAGGTTCAATTCGCTATATTATCACGCAAGACATTGTGTCATGAAAAGTACTGATTGATGCTGTTATCCAACAAAAACCTCAAACTAAACTCTATTGTCACTACCCAAAGCATTGTTCAATCGGATCCATCTCAATATGTTGCATACAGCTCTTGTTGGACGCGTAGCAAGTCCAGCATTCTGGTTTCCCTTTACCACCGTATTCATGTAAAATGAATCACTCGATAAGTGAACCAGAGTACATGGTAAAAAGTCCCATGAAATGATAATTCACTGATTAAATATGGTCTGCCAACCATTCAACAAACAGTAATGTCGCGAGATGTAAGGATTTATATTGTTCATTCCTAAACCTTGCTGATTCTTGGTATAATAGAAAATGGGTTGTACGGCGTGAGATTTTAGATACAAACAATTGAAAATATCTATTAAAGAGACAACCAATTTTTATAGGAAAGCGCAACGAGTATTTAGTTATTTATTCCAAGGCAATCACTGCAAGATACACAAGCATTCCATTTACGTGAATACGGCAGTGAAACCAATATATTCAAATTCTTCTTCATATATGCAACACTAATTTCAATAGCTAAAACAACTTTAAAGTAATGCCGTTTGATCGAGTTACTAAATGGCTGGAACATTTTCGACCGTCTAGAGATACCATTCATAGCAATGGCAACACATCCGACATCACTGACAAGCCAATAGTAGCAAACTCAAAACTTCATTGGTTTTATCCAGCATGGAATCAAAAAGCAGTTTATCCTGCAGACTCTTTAGATATTTTATCTACTGGTATTTCCACTCAGACTAGTATCACTTTTTCTGACCAAAAACCATATACACACTCCAGCGTCTCTTCTCGCTTCTCATATGTGCTGGCGCAGATTAAAACTTTAAAAAGTCCTGCTAAACAGAATCACAAGCTTACAGAGCATTACGGCTCCACCTCAATATCTCCTGTGCATACTAGTAGCAATATGGACGCGTCGAAACTGCCAGTATCAAGGATCACATCGCCAGCATTTTGTCAACCCAAGCATAGCAGCATTGCTGGCGAAAGAGCACGGTTGAAATTACAATTAAAAAATAGTACACCTAGTACTGTGCCGCATATTCCCAAATCTCTTAGTAGAAAGTCTCTGCGTATTACCAGTGCTTTGGCTGCTACATCTGCATCATCATCTGCCGAGTCTTGCCTTGTACAAAAAGAAACATACGACATACTTTGCAGTCCAGCACAATCTATTGGTATTTCATATCAAGTTGTTGTTTTCTATATTGAAACCGATTTGAATAAATTTCAACTCATGTCCAAATCTATTTTTAGATGCGATGTCAGGTATGAATCAGTCATTGCTTAACCATACTACCACAAATACCGGCCCTGATCTGATTTTAAAATCAAACACGAGTATGCTGAATGTCGAGTTAATATATTGTATTTTCTGCTGGCGTGTTGGCTGATGACTACTTTTTTGGTATACATCTAATAGATTCTTCATATACTTCAAGCGGATCAGTATTGCTGTATGAATCGGTGCGTATGTCTATAAAAGAATCACAGAATCAATCACATGTCAGTTTTTTGGATCGCAAACTTGCCCAGCATGCAGAGAGTATGCCTGGTGTGACACCACAAAAATCATTATCTGACTTGCATATTTTCGTTTCTGATATCAACGATAATGATCACAAGTCTTTTAAAAAACCAGGTATTTTCCTCTTGATTCAACTGTTGACCATACACTAGTGTCTTTAAACCAAAATTTTGTATTGACGTGCAATTCAATTATAGAGAGTAAGTGGCAATCGATCAGGGTTAAATATGAACAGCTCGACTTGATAAATATGAACATGTTGCCAAAAACATGACATCTAATAATGCTTGTAATTTATATTTTGAACCAAACGGTGTGATGATGCTACAGGGACGATATCAGATAGAGTAACGAGACGCAAATCATCTGATACTCAACATACATCTGGATTCGTAGGCACAGTGTCGAAATCTAACACTTGCAAAGTTTTGAGTACTTCCAAGTCACTGAATAATGCCAATGCAGAATTGCTTGAAGCAAATGAAGGTATTGAACGCTTACCAAGTAAAGCCATTGTATCACATCAGACATGTGGAACTCATATGGGACAAATGACTGCTGGTTCGCAACTGTCCAAGCCAGGTTTCACTTTGACAGAGTTGCCGATTACAGCATCAACACCAGAAGGGATATCATCAGCCAGAGTTACATCTGTATCATTGACTACACCGTATCATGAGACTGAGCAAATATCACATTCACACACAGATCCGGATCTGCGGAAACTTTCACAGATTGGAGAGCATGATGTGAGCTTAAAGTGTTTTGAAAACAACAAGGGCAGCCTTAATCTGCAGCCCATTAGAATCCAGACTCATAACGGACAAGCTGAAAGTCGAAGCAACAGTACGACAAGTACTGGAATATCCATACATTCACCACTACCACCTTCGATATCTACTTCCAACGCCCGCTCACATCAATCGTCGTTTGATTTTTCTGGAAGCAACAAATTGCAGCGTGAATCAGTTGACAAGATTGAGGCAAGAAAGAGGCGGTTGGTGGCATCGAGCAAGCGAATGATGACTGAGTTGGAGGAACTCAAGTATGATAAGTTGCTAGCAAGTATACCCAGAGTGAGAAGCTACTATGAGATAAATGAATAAAGTTATTTTTGTTATCAATGCAATGAATTCATCAAAATAGCCAACAGCATGACTGATGTCGAGTATGAAAGTGCGCGATTGCTTTTCATTTCTTATTGCCAAACACTTGCCTCATATACTTGTCATTACTATCTGAACCAGAATCATTCTAGAGTCGTGAGTGTATGCAGTGTTGGATATTTAAATGTGTATTTCCTTAGAAGCACCCATTACAATGGGTGCACTTGAACTCTTGAATTCAAGACTACCAAACAGCATCAATGTTGGGCTTGTTGATGTCATGTGTATGGAAGTTTTTGGAAACATTGTCTTGCTGCGTTCAGTCTAGACTGCATATTGACTTGTTGCATTCTTATACTGACATTGCTAGTATTTGAAACCCTTAGACTCTTACTATTCAACAAAAGCAGTACCATCTGCAACCACACACCTAGTAGCCGTATTTTGTTTTATTCCAATGGGAAACCAGTTGTCTAACGGACGAAGCTCTCAGCAACAAGAGAATGGCTCAAACCAAGAACAAAGGACTTTACAGAGTGGAACAGCATCAACGACTAGAGCCAGACAAACACGAATGCTCCGCAGACAGATGCTTCCTGTCAATCCTTTAGTTCCAACATCTGTCCTACGATTCTTGGGATTACCGCCTCATGATAACGAACCATCTGCAGTACCTCAAAGCCACCACAATGAACTAGAGCACAGAGATGACATGGATGGGGTGTTGAGTCACGACCATCAGCCAGACCCCGTTCAAGAGTCATTCGTCTCCAGTCATCCCCGGCACTCGGATGCTGTTGGCTCCATTACAGGTGTGCGACAGCGTCGATCCATGCGTCCCTTACTGGCTGCTCGTCAGTCTCGTATTGACATGCGATCTGTGGCAAACACTGTTAGTGAATCCATGCAGTCTTTCCCTGCTGATGCTCCGCTTGATGCCAACACTGTGGAGGGTTCTCTGGGCTTGAATGACCAGTTTCCTCTGGAAACTGGCATTGATACCAACACTTCTCAGGGTTCAACACCTGGTCTGGCTGCAGCCAGTTCCAACGCTATTTCTACAGACATGGACACTACCACTGGTAATTATCTAATATTCTCATTGACATGTCTAACAGGTGTGTGTACTGACAGATACCATCTTTTACTGTTTTTGAAATTCCATCTCAGATTTGCATGCTTCACCAATCATCAATCAATCTACTGAACATGGCGATACATCTGATATGATGGATCAACCTGAAATCGAAGATGGCAATGAGAGTAACAGAAATCAAGACTCTACCACTAGTCCAAGACAGGAGAGAGGTCAGGTGTTGGATGGCACTTTGCAAAGCCTTTTGACTTCCATCTTATCATCCCTTCCACCTCATCTTATTCCTGGTGCTGTTATCCAATCTGAACACGCCCCATCTACCCAAGACATCCCTTCCCAAACCTCGTTACCCAATATCACTCAGTCTGATAGTAGACCTGCTCGCCGACCGCCTCTTGTTATTTTAGCCTTGCGAGCTCTTTCAACTGACACCGCATCTTCAGATTCTCCGGCAACCGCGCCTGAACAAAGAACAGACAGTGCAAATGATTCAAATTCCGCAACTGCACCCCAAGGCACATCCAACGAGACTGTTGATGGCACACCAACTGAACATGTATCTATTCCAACTCCTTGGATGGTGTATGTCATGTCGCAGTCAGGTGCTTTGTTGATGCGAATGGGCAATCAAGGTGCTGATCCGTCTGCTGCTGAGATGCCACTCACTGCTCCGCTGCCTGATGGCGCTGATTCTCAGGAAAGACGACCGGTCTTTGGTCCTATTCAACCACCCTCAACAGCTACACAGCCATCCGATAATGTAGCAGCATCTGATGCAAGTTCTACTCAACCGTATTTTAATCCATTCAGTATGTTTGCCAATTCTATGCTCTCGGGTACGAGAAACAGCTCTGGCTTTGCGACTTCACCTACATTGCCATCGCATGAACTGCCAGGCCAATCTTTGCTTTCTCCCGAGTTTTTGGGATCTGGGTCGGCTGCATCTGATAGAACTAATACTGCACCAACAGGTGGTTCTATTCCAATACCGAGTTCATTTGGTCCAAATGATCGACAAGGACTTGCTAATCTTGCACTCCCCTTTGCGCTTTCGCTCATAATGCGAACCACTCGAGCTAATTCAGGACTGCGTGATGCACAGCCTACATCTTCGACAGCGATGGATCCACAGCAGTCTGCAACCAACGACACGACGACACATTCTGACACTATACCTCGTGGTGTAGACGAACAGTCATCCAACCAGGCCCATTCAGGTGGTGATGATCAGAGGGGTTTGAGTGATGATGAAGCAGGTGAGAATGAGCAAGCAACACCACGCGCTTCTCGTACACGATCGCTTCCTGGATTAGGAGATGCTGGCACTACTCCAGGCAGTATGATACGATCACTTTTGCTTCAAACGCTTCTTGGAGCAGCACTATCAGGGCTTGGGCCGTCTTTGGATGGTGGTATTTTGGGGTCTACAGGTGATGGAGCGAATCGAGATGGCACTGGTGATGCCCAATCTGATGCAACAGATACCAATGCGCAGCGAAGATCTCAGGGATTAGACTATGATATGTTGCTTCAGCTCGGTGAGATGCTTGGTCCTGCTCGTCGCATGAATGCTCAACAGAGCGATGTAGACGAGCACATTCCTATGATTGTTTATAAGCATGCAGATGCACTACTGCCAAGAGTGTTTGCAAATACTGGAGTGGAGTTTGATCCTATGCCAGAATCAACATCAACCGACACAATTGTAGCCGAGAGTCTTGGAGTAGATGAATCGACAGATCATAGTGATTTGAAATCACTGCTGGTATCTAAACCGATAGACTATGGAGTGCAGCATCTTCTTGGTGAAACACACGAGAAATGTACGATTTGTCTGACACCCTATGAAGAGGATGACGAGCTACGAATACTGTCGTGTCGACATGGATTTCATAAGACGTGCTTGGATCAATGGCTTGTATCTTATCGCAACTCATGTCCTATATGCCGATCCAAGGGAGTAGCATCGTCCAATGCGCCAGACGCGACAACAAATGATACAACAGTTGGACAGGGAGCAGCAGGTGGTCGAGATGGTTCAAGGTCTGAACTTCCCAATGCAATTTTATTTTTACTTTCGTAATAGAATGATCGATACTAGTGCATTTTCTGGTGTAATGTGTAATTGAGTTGAGAGTCTGCGCCACATCTTTGCAATATAAAAAGAGTTTTCTTTTGAATGGAATGTTTCCTTACATAAAAAACTGACGAGGGCTTATACCAGGGATTGCAGGTCACACCATGTGCTTTCTATAAATGGCGCTACTCAATATCGATTAAATTATGCAGCTTTTCTAATGTTGATCAGCTAGATTCCTACCCGCTGTTTTTACTTCGCTGGCTGCATACATTTTGCATATTCAAATATATTTATTATTTCTTTCAATCGTTTTATTTCTGGTTTGGATGGGAATCGATTCTTGTACTTTATAAATGAATAAAGACGTTAGATCCATGTCTGCTCATGTTCCTGAATCAGGGACAGTCCAGATGAATCAAAACAACATTCCGTCGGTTATGCCTGTGCTTCTGAATGCAAGCACAGTAGAGAGTCCAGGTGTTCAAGAGCAGCCTGTTTTCAACAACGATGCTGTTAATGTTCAGGTTGAATCGGACATTGTAGACTCGATGGTTTCTGCAGACACCTCGAGAGTGCTGCTGATATATACTGGTGGAACCATTGGCATGCAGAATTCTCATCCGCATGGCTATCGACCAGTCAAGGGTTATCTGACGCAGACGCTGGCTAATATGCTGAGATTTCATACTCAGACAGCAGAGGGTTGGGCTCATCCTCACAACTATGGCCACGGGGCTTCAACTCCCATCCATTCAGTGCCTCGATTCACTAATTTGGTTAATGTGATTCTCGAAGACTCGAATGTTGGCATGTCGACTGCCAACAGCAGCACCACATCTAACCCTTCAAACACTCGTGTTGTCAATGGTACGCCAGTTAAACAAATTCAGCTGCCTGCTCTCATCTCACCACCTTCTCTCTACGGTAAACGCATCAATTACTCCATTCTCGAGTATGAGCCTTTACTCGACTCTTCAAATATGACCATGACCGATTGGGTCAAGATTGCTACAAATATCGAAGTCAACTATCGTCTGTTTGACGCCTTCATCATCCTTCATGGCACTGATACCATGGCTTACACGGCTTCTGCACTCAGTTTCATGCTCGAGGATCTTGGAAAAACTGTGATTGTCACGGGCTCGCAGGTCCCATTGGCCGAAGTGCGTAATGATGCTGTCGATAATTTGCTAGGTGCATTAACAATCGCTGGCCATTTTGTCATCCCAGAAGTTGGCCTGTTTTTCGATAACAAATTGTTTCGAGGAAACCGTTCTTCAAAAGTAAACGCTGTCGATTTCAATGCCTTTGATTCTCCTAATCTGCGTCCTTTAGTCAATGTCGGCATTAATATTGGTATGTATATGTTGGTGTTTTTTAAACCCCATGTTGATTTGGTTGCACTGTGCTGATCTATACTAGATGTATCGTGGGTGGATATTTGGAGGCCAAAACGAATTGCTGAATTTAGAACATTCAAGGCCATGAATCCTTCGGTAGCAACGCTGCGACTATTTCCTGGCATTACTGAGGCAACTGTGCGTGCATTTTTGTCACCTCCAATTGCTGGCGTAGTTCTAGAAACTTATGGATCTGGAAATGCACCAAGCAATCGTCATGAACTACTCAAGGCGTTCAAAGAGGCCTGCGATAGAGGTGTTGTGATCGTCAATTGCACTCAGGCAAGTCTCACTGCCTTTAGATTTTGATATGATTGGGTTTTGGTCGTATCATCTGATTCAAACTATGTTTTCAGTGTAAAAGAGGGCTTGTAACGGATATTTACGAAACAGGAAAGGCATTGACTGCAATTGGAATCGTGCCAGGAGCTGACATGACACCTGAATGTGCTCTAACTAAACTATCTTATTTACTTGCCAAGTATTCGGATGTTCATATTCTGCGCAGATTGATGCGAAAAAGCTTAAGAGGAGAACTTACCATTCCGGTGCGTCGTCAACGATTCACTTATTTTATGCGTCCAAGTGGTTCAACTGCCATCTCCAGCCACGGAAATTCTATTTCGTCCTTGCTTGCAATGCTAGGTGTTCATCGCCCAATACATTCGACATCTCGCAGACCAAGTGAGCTTCTCGAACAGGATTCTTATTCAAGTAGTTTGGGCCAACAGTTTGGCGAATCCGGTGCAGAAACGGATGATCCAGAAGCCTACTCTAGCAATTTAGAGAATGTGTTGGTTCCTCTCTTGCTTTGTCAGGCTGTACGCGCAGTTGATCTATCTGGATTAACTACTGTTTTAAACGAGTATGAGCATATGGTGAATGTCCAAGACTATGACGGACGTGGGCCATTGCACGTTGCTGCGAGTGATGGTCAGCGTGACTGTGTCGAATTGCTTCTTCGTCATGGTGCCAACGTTCATTTGCGTGACAACTTTGGGCATTCTGCCTTGTTTGATTGTGTTTCAGGAGGTCATGTCGAAGTGGCTTCACTACTAAGAAAAGCTGGCTCTCATTTTTCCTTGGAAGAGGAAACTGACGTGACATGGCTACTCTGCAAGTAAGTAGATTACATAAACAAGCTGTATCCTTTCAATTTGTTCACTAGCTGTTTTTGACTTGTTAGATCTGTTGTCAATGGTGATGTTTCCCGAGTGCGTATGCTAATGGAATGTGGCGCAGACATGAATAAACCTGTACAAGACGGTCGCACCGCTCTTCATCTAGCGGTTTCTCATAACCACATTGCGCTCCTTCAGCTGATCATCCATGCTGCGAGAGAGATTCAACTTAGCCAACATCTTGCTTCATGTACTGTCCAGTCTCCTATATCTCCTGATGTACCCCCTCTCAGCATGCATTCTAATCTCAGCTTGTCCAACTTGATGGACATGTCGAGAGGGCTGTCCTCATCGGCTCTGCCGCATACTACAGGTGTAAACCTTGAACCGGTGGATGGGTGGGGAAATACTCCCTTGGATGATGCAGTGCGGTTGGGACGTGACGAGGCTGCAGCGATTCTTCACGATGCACTGATACTGTCCAAAACGGACGAGTAATCGAGTCAGTGGTCCATTTTGGAACTCGGTACCAGACATACACCATTGCTCTGTAAAAAAATACTTTTAAAATAGATTCACACGATGGGTTTAAAGTAGTATTTATGTATATTGGATAAATGAGTGAAAATCGTGTCTCCAAGTTGGAAACAAATGTAAATCATAGCATCGAATGTGGATCCATATTCCACCATTTTTTACAACTTCCTTCCGTGTCGCTTCGGACATAGAAAAGAATATACGCAGCCTCGGACTATGTTCAACAGGTTAAATTCTCAAGTCAGTATCAAACGCCATACAATTTTGGGAATAAATCAAACAGCAGCAATAGATTCACATTACCTGAATGGTTTTTTCATCAATACTGGATATCTTGGAATCGTCAAAATTGTACCACTGTTGAAGAACTTCATTCTTTACTTGTGCTGTGTAATGGCCGCCACTAAGACTTCCAAAATGATTCTAACATCAACGTACAAGATCAGTATCAAACAAGAAACAATCCTACCCATCTGTAGATGATGCAACTTACAGATACAGCAAATAAATTGTACGAGTAAGTATTGACGTTAAGTAATAAGGTATTTGAAAGTGTACTACTGGGCATTAGATATGACGACAGGTTTAAATCGCTACACAGAAAAAATCAACAAAGTGTCAGGTATTTCATTAGACCATTCGATGCATTCACCATAAGCTTGTTGGTCTATTATCATCAAAAGAAATCGGATTCATGAAACATACGTACTTTGGTTTAAAGTATACATAGGTTCCCACCTTGTTCCTAAATGGACCATCGAATGAAAACCGTTTGAAATGAATCAGTAAAATAACAGGAAGCGTAGCAATCGTCAACTTTTTAGTAGCTCGCCGCCGAGTTTTGCACCTTGGACACATCCTAAAATAAAGCATATTGAGTCATGCATTAATAAATGTTTGACAACCATACTAGCTATACCAACTCACCAAGCATTATCCCCATCAAGAATCTCCTCTTCAACAAACAGTTTTAGACAATCATCCAACAGTACAGGTCCACCCTTGACTCCGTTTCGATTCTTGGTTGGAATTGGCAACGACAAGTACATGAATGGATTGAAAGTCGTTGATGTCTTATTGCATGTCAAGCACCGTAGACGTGACTTGAGTAGGCCTTGAAACGTGTCAACAACAATCGATTTGTTGCGCTTGCAATACAGCTGCCACTCCTTTTCAAGTAGTACTTCGTCTGGAATTCCTTCAGTATCGTCGTCGGCTTGTACATGAGTACCAGAGCGACCGTCGCGACTGATCATCTGCATAGGCTTAGATGTCGGCTCTGGACCTGTTCGTGAAATATTAAGATCCTCATGCAAAGCGTCGAGTAGAGCAGACAGAAACTCTTGAGAGTCGTGCTGATCATTGCCTGAAAAAGAGGGCAACACCTCGCTTATTACCGATTTGAATTCTGAAGGAACTACTACAGTTTCTTGTGCTCGGTAGATGGTTTGAATTAATGCACTATACGACTCTACCACGGTGCCTTTGCTTCCAAGTGGATTGGCTCTGTTTATAAACTTACGGTATGTGCCAGTAAGAAAAAATCGAGTGAGAAGTGTAGTTCCACTAAGGCATTGAATAATAGAATTCATAAAGCAGGTATTTCCAAGGTTACGAAGCCCAGCCATGCCTAGTTCTGTAGAGGATGCTCGGATTTGTAAAGTATTCAAATCGCTGAGGGTAGTATTTGGAGTATTCCGAGGTATGAATCTGTGAGCAACATTTTCGGGAGGTCGTAAATTTGGTAAAGGTAGTCGATTCATAAGTGTATTATTATTCATCGCCTGCAATGGATGATATACTCTTTGGGTATCCGCAGTTGTAGAAGGCGAAGAGGAAGACGTTCTTCGCATTGCAGTTGGCTTTGGAGTAATGATAGTGGACGAGTAATTATTAGCCGCTAAAGTGTTTGATGCTTTTGGCATCAAAGGTGAAGTTGAAAAAGATGTGGTGCCTATCAGTTCAGGATTAAATGCTTTCACATTATGGGCCATTGAACTGTGGTAATTAGTTGATGGGGGCGACGGAGGGGACAAATGCTGTCTAGAGGGTATGCTAGAAAAAGGATTTGGTTTTAACAATGAGGAACTTGATGGTGAAATTTGCTGGGTTGCCAAAGGAATAGTATTTGATTCTTCAGGGCTGAAAGTAGTATTAGGCATACGTGGACGTGATAGATTCATACGCTCTAATGCTGCCGGTTTTGCAGGAATGGCTGGAGCCTCCCGAGTGGGAGAACTTAACTCGGGGTATGCCGCAATAAAATCTGTCATTTCTGTATTAAAATCAAGTTCACTTTCCATAGTTGATGATTGAGCCATACTAGTAGTTGGATGCTCTGTATAAAAAGTATCCGTCGAATTTGGTGATTTTCTAGGATAAGGGCTAACAGCGGGATACGTTGCATATTCTGGAACATTTGGCGAAGAGCCTTCTTGAGATGAGCTTTTCTCCAAAGGTCGCTGTGATGCATTAGCACACATAATCGAAATACCCAAATTGGAATTAGTCGATTGAGGGGGTGTATTGGATAGTTGCGATGCACCTGATAAGCCACTGGTCTGATTTGTGTCATTGGAAATGATACTTCCAAATGGAATCCGAGTTGGTACTTGAGATAGAGTTGGCTCGTCTGCTTTCAAATGAGATCCAGTACTTTGTAAAACGTTATACTTTGATGACACGGGTGGTGGTGAAAAAGGTTTTGTTGATCCCAATTTCTGTTCCTGGTATTGATCTTGAATAGCTTTGAATTTCCCAGGCGGCATTCCAATACCAGATGTGTTCAACTGATTTATATTGCGCGATGTGACTGCATGATCGAAATTTGATGATGCTCCTCGTTGGTTGACGTACTCGTGAACACTTCGAATAACCTGAGGTTCATTTAAAGAAGACGAAGAATGTTGAGGAAGAGGTACGGGTGATTTTTGATGATCCTTTGAAAGTGAATTGGCGTCTAGATTCAAATGTGATGTATCTTTGGTCGAGAGCAATTCGCGTTGAGCCAAAGGGTAGTTGTTTGAAGAAATAGACTGCTGTAGTGGAGCCTTTGATTGATTTCCAAGTTCATCTACCATGGCTGTATTATCCACTTCGGTAATGCCGCATCCCTCTCCAATCTCAACCCAATCGCTTTGTGGAACAGGCAGTAGTTGAACGTAATCAGACCAAGCCGTATATCCTCCTTGTAACATCACAAGGTTTTCCTTTGAAATCTTGTTAAATTCAAAGTTACAAATAATATCGGCAAGCTGAAATGGTGTGGATGAAGAATCAACTGGAAAAGATGAGGCATCAAGCAACACAACAATGTCATACTGATTGCGAGCCTCAAAAAGCTTGGAATGCAAAATACTAGACCCAAATGCATTAAGAAACAGTTCAAAGCTGTCTGATTCAACACTCTCTGATTTTAACCACTCTGGCTCAATGTTAACAACCCCACCATGAATAATGGAGTTGGCGCTACGAGGACGCTTCCAAGCAATATGCCCGAGAATATACTCCTCCTTGGGTCGCACATCCAAAATAAGTACCGATTTAAAAGGACCTGCTATAATATCAAACAGCTGCTTGCAGGTTATACTAGCATAATTTCTTTTGCCAGATTTAAAATCCAAACTATCGAGATAATTGCAGTCAGATGGGGAGAAGGGTGATGATTTAGTTGTCTGGCTCGAGTAATTTTGCTGGATTTGAAGATGTCGACTTGAATCAGCAAAACCTTTTTCAGTGGATAGTGATGAATATTGTTTTGGTAAGCCATCTAAATTCAAAGTCGATGACTTTGTTATATTAGAATTTACAGAATTGGTAATACCTTTGGTTATGGTGGGGCTATTAGGAATTGAAGATGATTGTTGCTTCAGTTTTAAATCGTTATTTGACCGCTCCCAGCTTTCAGATCTGAAAATAATTAATCGCTTCAAATTTTCCACAGTATCCATTGCAACTTTGGCTTTCTAAAAAAATGGGTAAATATTTGAATCTTGAATGCAATTGCCAACAACTCAAACCAGCAAATCCAATCAAACTTACTTGCCGCAACAATGTATATTTAATATCATTTACATTAAAATCCCTGTGTTTGGGAATCACCTCAAGTACGATACTACCAAGTTCAAGATTTCAGTTAGTCTATTAACATCAAAAGGATAGATTATCCATGCTTTCAAGGTATACCAACAAGCTGATTATATCTGACAAGATTTTAGAATCAACTGTACCTGATTCCTTTTTGTATTTTGATAAATGCAGTGTCCAGTTCCCCATGAGCATAATCATTTTTACCCTAAATAAAGAGTAAAACAAGAGTTAGACAAGTGCTGATGCAATGACATTTTGATTCATTATTCCGGTCTATTCTGAATAAGATATAGGGTTGCAATTGAATATGGAATGCAGCCATGGCAAGCTTTCCATTACCTCGTCGAGCAGTTTATTGGCAGAATTGATCCATGTTTGAGAAGCAAGAGATGGATTATTTGCCAAAAGGTCAGCAGTTGATGCTCTTTCACAGAGGTCTCGATGTGAGGGAGGTTTCTGAGAAGCAATCATAGTGATGGCCTGGTTGGAATGCAGCAATCCTGGTACTTCATGGCCTCGACCGAGACTTGCATCCAAAAGTGAATTCGTCGTTGCAGACGCTTTGCTGTATTGCTGGGCAGGGATATCCGGCCTTGCAGAGAAATCCCTCGAGTCCATTATGCCGAGACTGCAGTGTTTTGCCAAATATACTAATTGGGCAAACTTGACAATTTGATTGTCAACTTGTTGAATGCAAACTGCCAAACTGACCGACAAATTGGCATTTTTATTGCTAACACTCGATGACTTCACAAGTTGTCTTTCCGGATGTTTACGGAATTGTTGAGAAGAAAGTGTACAGATCGTCATCACTGCAGCCAGCGTCTTATCCGCTGTTCAGACATGTCAAAACCATTCTGTCGCTCTCTCCAGAAGCACCTACGAAAAGCTTACTTAATTGGATAGAAGACAACCGCATGACTCTGGTAGGGTTTGTCTAAGCTAGATAGCTGCTGCGACAGCAACTGAGTTGGTATGGATATTGACTGTTTTGGTATAACTGTTCAATTCAGATTCATCTCGGATATCAGCAGCTCATCAAACCCAACACCAACAGCTGGAGACCAGTGTCTGAAGAGATGATCAAGGAAGGTTTGGAGTTGATTCTTAATGCAGACAAACACCCACTACTTATAATGTGCACGTAAGTCTACACTTGGACTAATGGCTGTAGCAACTCGTTCTAGTGTCTTTCCACAATGTTATACATACTGCCTCGTACAAACATATTGATAACTTTATTTCTGACAATCAGATCTGGAGTCCAAGAAACTGGTGCTCTTGTTGGATGCTTGAGGAAACTACAAGGTTGGAATTTTAACTCTATTGTCGTCGAGGTAAACCAGTGATTTGATGCTCTAAATAATATGAAATGCAAGCAGCTAACACATCAACTGTTCAAGTATCGAAGCTTTGCAGGAAATAAAAGCAGATATGTTAATGAACAGTTTATTGAACTGTTTGACTTGGATCTGGTAACGCTTCCAAAGAATCTTCCTTGTTGGTTTATAGAGCATCTGAGATTGCTACAGGAAGAGACTGAACTAAAAAACAAGCATTCAGATTCAATAGGTTTACCTTCAGCTACATTGTGCATAGATCATGCCGTGTAATCAGTATGCATATTTCTCCAATATGTTTATAAATACCAATCATATTTTACAACAGTATTCACGCAAAATAAAATACTTGTATTTATCTTGCAGTAATTGTTTTGAAATAAATAATGTTTAAACTCCAGCTCAACAACAACGATGCACATCTCAGTAATACAATTGTGCACGTCAATCACCATTGAATTGTCAATGTTGTCCAGTACATTGACTGCTTATTACACACCGACACTGCTATTTAGTACTTTATTCCACTTCAATACGGTTGTAATAAAAGTCTGTATTTTTTGAGATTCAGAATATATTGGTTTAACTCCAACATCTGCTCACAAACTGAACCAGTTCACGTGATATTCATTTGCTTTTGAGCTCTGCTGCTCACCAAAAATTCAAATTCATTTTTTGTTCTTCATTTATATTTTTGGTCCGTTTTAATGTTACAGGTGGAAAAGTGGACATCATTACTTCAATCGGATAATACTCAGGTTCTAGAAAAAGGTGAGTGATCACCAATATTGCTTGAATCGCATTTTCATCCAGCTCGAGCTACAATCTTGTTGGGCTGATTGATCCTTCAACTCTGCTGCTACTAAGATGCAGATTTAGTTCATTTTTTTCTGAATGAATGCGTCTACTAAACTCACACTTTGATTTTATTCAGCATTAAACTCTTTTGCCGAGCTCTCTTGCAAAATCGCAACAGAAGCTGTTGACAATGAAGTTTCCGAGGAATCCGCTTTTCTCAAGTCGTGGTTTAAAACTTCGCCAAATTGCTCAGAATTATTGCGAGTTTGGATATATACAACATCGGTAAAATTCAATTTATACAGCTTTAAAATAGAATCAATGACTAGTCAACGATTCAATACTAATCATTATATTCTCCATTTTAGAACTCTGTTACAACACTAGATTCGGTATTAGATTGTCTTGGCTATGCATTGATATCCTCTCGATTAGTCGGATATTGGGCTGTAGGAACGAATCTTTCAAAAACAATCATTTCCAATCATCTCAAGGACATTTACAATAATCTGGCCAGTGAAAAACAGTCTCTTGTTATCAGTACACTCAAACTGCTGCTATCAATGGCTAGCCATGGAGGCAGTGTGACTAGATTGTTGATGGATTCATTTGATTTTACATCCAAGGTAATTATGTTTTTGGAGTTGATATTGGTTAAAATTTGGCTGATCCAATGGATTACTATTTATTTTAGACTTTTACAGGACTTTTAAAAAGAAGAAAATTGGGAAAACCTACAGGGAAAATGCTTGAAGGTATATCGACCATTCAAGTTAAAATAATGGGTTAAACTCGTTGATCTTGACAAAAAAAGCTGATGATTTTTTATTTTCCAGACATTCGATCGTTGATGATCAAGTTTATTCTAGCATTTATCACTAATGGGGACACACTCGTTAAAAGCTCATTGTTAAGCGTCAAGAATCTATACACTGCAATTTTTATTGGCATAAAAGACGACAATTATGAGACTGTTCAGTTTATTCTTTCTATACTACAAACCAATATCGTTGATGATCTGCATTTGTCTCGAACCATAAAAATAGGATTTTTCCCGCGAATTGTACTGGATAATCTTGTTCCACTTTATTCGTTCAAAAGTCTAGACTCTCCGCGAGTAGTATCTCCGAGTAATCCAAACCAAACAATTGCCGACATTGTTCATGCATTTTTCATGCACATTTCAACCACTCCTGGAGTTGGTATTTGTTTTAGCGATTTGGGTTGGTATCCAGCTGTTTTTAAAAACAATCCCATTGCCACTATTGGTACTACACACACACTGGATTCTGGGACTGGCGCTCATCAATTTTTGCAGCAGCCAAAAATTGATAGTGGCAAGGTTTACAACAGAGCTTTGCTCAGATTAATTACATCTTTAAAACTTTCAGACGATATGCGTCAACGAGAACTGTTTCTTGGCATTCTTGCGGCTTGTCCAGAACTAGTGCATTCGTTTTGGGCCAGTTGCACTGCTTCACTGTCTTTCGAGCCACGATCATCTACTCGATATCTCTCGAATACAACCATGGCGCTTGCAATGATTAGATTGCCTGTTCCCACCGAATTTCTAGGAAAACTTTCTACAACTATACTAGCACCTCCTCCATTAGAGAATGCGCTTTCCAACATACTTCCCCCACTTCTTTCTCGAGCCCTTATAGCACGCGCACTTCAACACTCGTCGAGGGATATTAGATTTGCTTGCTCGTCTCTGTTGTCTGGAACATTAGAAAAGTATACCCAAGTCATTAATGAAACAGATGAAATCATTTTTCGTTTAAATGCCTCTGGTGTTGTAAATGCTTCTGCAGCAATTCAAATGTGGAAAAAATGGGTCATGGAACTATCTCAGCAGCTACGTCATCAGATGCCAGACGTTCAAATGGTCATTTCGCTTCAGCAAAACGTGGATCGGCAAGAAGAAGAAGATAGCACATCTCTTGATGATTTGAGGATTGCAGCTTTATCATTTATTCGTGGATTTCAAAGGCATTTTCCTGAGCTCTTTCGTGAATCTCGATTTGATTTTGGAAAACTTATTCCGCCGACGCTTTCTGAAGAATCTGTCGATTATCAAAAAGCTGTGGTTCTAGTTTTGAAAGAAATTTACGATTTTAAAGTATTGACAAAATATCCAAAATCAAAATGGACGCACTTTGTGACATTGATAAGAATTGCAACACAGAGCAATGATTCTGATCTTGTAAAAGAAATTTTGAATTTGTTGAACAGCACACTCAACCAAAACTTTTGCTTCCAAGATTATCCGGATTACTTTTTGGTAATTGTGGATTTACTATCTGTGTTCCCTCTTGAACAGCGCATCATTCTGATTGAGTATCTAGATAATGCATTTTGCAGTTGTAATCAAAACTGTATGATGATATCTGACACCATTTCACGACTAACTCAACAAGCCGAATTGAACACAATGCCTCTGCATAGTGTTTTACAATCCAATGCGATGGATGTTGATCTTCTTGATACTAAAAAGCCTAAATCTACTCAATTTGTATTTCCATTTCCTCCAATACTAATGTCGTTGATCAGGACTACTCTCAAAGAATGTGGGTTTGGATTGACCACGCTTTTTGTTGCATCGTGCGTTCAAGCGACTTTCGCCATGTCCACGTCTTTATTTTCCATCAAGCTTTTTCATCGCCTTCTTTACGACGATCATTGGCCAGATAATGCACTACAATCAAGCATTATGCCGCTTTGCAAATATTGGGTACGCTCTGTTATTGCAGACCTTTCTAATGACAATGAGCCTCTTGATTTTAATTCCAAAGACACGTCGATTGGATGGAAAGAAGGGAAAGCAATGATCAAACAATTCGTTTCATCCAACGTTAGTCCTGCTATCAACGCAGGATTTGTATGCAAGTACGCAACCAAAATAGTCACGTCTTTCAAGTCGCAACACAATTCACTTGGGGTATATATTCAAGTGTGCTCTCCTCTTCCAGACGCAAGCCTAATGCTTCATCTTATTGAATCTGGGGACAGTGAATTTTTTACAAGCAATCACTTGGCTGTCATTCCAAATATTTTTGGCCCTTTTGCTATGGATGCTCTTGCAGACCATAGCATTATTCAATCTTATTTTGTAAATCTATTCTCGCAACCCATCAGTTTGGAGAATACTCGGCTGTATTTGCTGCATTTAGGATCACTGCTGCTTTGGACAAATGCCTCTGTTCAAAAATCAAAGTCTTTCAAAGCAATAGAGTCTCGTGTAAAACTTTGTTTGAAGCTGGTGTCAGTGACTCTTAAGCAGTCTATTTTGACCGAAAACAATGCTTGCGGTCGTGCTGTGATTTCGATGATCTTCAACCACTCTTTAATTTTACACCTTTTTCTGAATTCCGAGGATTGCAGCACAGTGTCTCTATTATGTCATATTCAGGCTACTGATGAATTTCAAGTGGATTTATATGTCGAAAAGTTTTGGATCTATGTAGAATCGCTCATCAATCTATCAGCGACAGCATCCGAGTCATCAACGATTACGGATGTGGCATTGCAGCAATTCCAATCAGGTGCTTCTACTCTCATGCAGTTTTTAAACGCTGATGATATCAAGTCCCGAATAATGGTTCTGATTCAACAATCTGATCGAAATCGTCTACAAGATGAGATTTTGTTTACATTAATTTCCACTTATATTTCTGTTGAAAAATCCAGATCGCGCACTTGTGTCAAAATGCAAGGCGAGCTTTTTAAAGCACTGCTGCTAGCATTGACATGCCATCATGCGGAAGCTGAAAAGTTGATCACACAGTTTATAGGAAACCCACAAGATGATATCAAAAATATACAACACTACAGTATTTCTGGAGAACTCGCCGTTGGAATGAAATCCCAAAATCTTAACATTACTTTAAACGCGGATGTTCCTTTAGATATTTGGTCTGTTTTAACACCAGAGTCACTTGTATCTAGTATTAAGGCTTTCAACAATGACGATCTTTGGAATTTTGCAACTAAAAATGCAGTCGCGAGCATTCCACATGCTTTGCATTTGCTGCAGTTTTTTAAAAAAAAGGCTTCGTCTAAAAAATTCAAAAAAGTCCAGGATGGCAAGACTTCTCTGCAAATAAGATCCGCTCGTGTTGTTAGAGCCATTATTCAAGCGTGGACAGTTGTGTCAAATCATGGCTGTGGAAAGATCCAGTGGCTTGATAATATTGTATCTGAACATACGCTACTTTTAGCTGATGTTGCTGTCAATGTTGCTGATTTAGAGTTGAAAACCATAGAATCGTGTTTGACTGGAGTGTCTTTGGATTGTGATCAGCACCAATCTACGTTGACTGCATTTCCTGCATTTGCTCTTTTGTTTGATAATAGTTTGCCGTCCGATTGGCTGCCGAGTTTAGTATCCCGGATTTTAAAGACAACAATCAAATCGCTGGAATTATCAACATCGACACTCATCGCATTGTGGCCCATGTTTATAAATCTTTCTGATCGATATACAGATGTTCCTTTTGGCGATTTGGCTCTGTTTGTGATACATTCAGTTTATTCTCAAAAAAAGCGCGAGGCAATTGATTCACCACTTAAAACATCTCTTTCCACGATTGTTGCCTGGTTTGCTTCTTCTGAGCAGAGTCTTGCTTTAACTACAATACAGAATATTGCACTAGTTAAAGCAGTGTTTATGATTTGCCTTAAATTCCGGTTCACTGATCCCTGCGCCATGTTGCTTTTAAAGCATCTGGTTATTCGTTTCTACCCCAGCACGGTAAGCATTGTTGAATCGATATATTCGAAAAATATTTTTTTAAATTCTACTAATCTTCAAGTTTATTTTGCGACTCTGTTTTTGTGAAATAGACAACTCCTGCTGGACTCTTATCAGCACCCAATCTAGTGAATATGATTACATCGCACTCTCAGTTTGATGATGTTATGGAACCCATTGCGACTCCTGGTTTAGAAGCATCTCTGCGGTCATCACCTATTCCGCAAAATTCAGAAAGTAAATTTAATCTGCTTCAGCTATTGCAATGCATCATGGAAGTAGATCCAAACCAATGTTGTTTACCGGAATATTTACCAAAAATTGTACGGTCATACTATGGAACATTATCGCCCTGTGATCGTGCTACTTTATCACTTTTGTTCATCTATGAAACACATGCGTTTATCTCCATCTCACCTTATATTGGAAGATGGGGGGCTATTCAAACAGATAAATTAAATTCAAATGCGCTGCATCAACATACTTATGCCGATCCAATAGCTCCAATTAACTCACGGTGGATGGCACGCTCATTGGGCTGGTTTTCAGTTGGTACTGAAATGGATTCCTTTGCCGATGTTTCTGCTATAAATCCCAGTAATCCAAACGACACGAGCAGATTTGAAGTTCATTCTTCTAGTCTCGCGTATTTGTATGATCCCAATTTTATTCTCCCTCTTGTTGCAGGTGCTCTTTCTAGTATAAATCATCCGCTTGATCTACTTTGTCTTATTGAAAGCAATGCACTAGGATTGGTTATTATGGCTCTTTCTTCTAAAAGCGATGCTACACGTCGTTTGGCACACTTTATTCTCTGCAAGACATACACGGCCATCAGAGACTCGGATCTAACACAGCGCAATCAACTCATGATACTACTCCAAAGTCTCAAAAATATCATTATTCCAATATCTTCAATCAAAAATGCACCTCCAGACCCTATTCCAGCATCTATGGCGGCATTCTTTGCGCATGCTTTGATTGTTTTGCTGAAGCCAGAAGGAATCATGTTTCAACCCATTTACCGATTTCTTCTCTACCGACCATTGCTAGAAATGCGTAGCATTCCACTTCTCAATATTCTATTTTTCTCATCTTCAGACTCGAATGTTCGTGAGCGTATGTGGATTTTGCGTGTCCTTTCTGCAGGACTTAAATCCACATCTGACTATCGTCTCTACCAACACAAACATGTGATAGAGATTCTTATGAGCTATTTCCATTCCTCAATGGCAGATACAGGCACTCGCAAAATGGTACTAGAGATTCTGTTCAAGGCCACTAATGATTTGACTGTAGTCGCCACAATGGTGATTAGATCTGGTCTTTTAGGATTTTTAGAAGGATGCTGTATTCAACTGGATACATCCGAGGTATCTGAAATCATGCTTAGTCTATCGGTGTTAGTACATCGGATACTGTGCTGTTTTAATACTGCCATGATGTCTTGGACAGAGAGTGGTCGAAGTGGTGCTCATTTATGGATTGCTCAAATGGCACGCTTGACAAATATTCTTGTTTCCAGATTGCTGGAGATCAAGAATGGCAGCGGTCAGCGATATGCTAATTTGGTGTTGCGCATTCTTCAGGTCGTTCAAGCCGTGACTACCATTTCATCCAATGCTGGTGTTTCTATATGTATTCTTGGAATAGAGTCCATTGAACAATTGTTTATGGTTACCAAGTCTCTCTGTCCAACTGCCAATCTTCTTGATCCTTCAGTCAACTTGACTCGGTTAGATTCTGATGACAATAACCGTTTACTGCAAGATTCAAGCAGCATAGCATCTACTGCAGATGTGGATTTCCTTTTTTCATTCAAAAAACTATCCTCTCATAAAGTGTATCAAGAAGCAACACGCTCTTTTTTCTCAATCCTTGGAAATATCAATGTATCGCCCAAACTTGAACGTGACCAGTTTGTTCTCGTTGTAAGGCAGTTTGAAAATCTGGTAGATCATTTTTGCTTTTTGTTTGATGTATATCAACTTGAGCATATTGTTGCATGGATTGTGCGGTGTATTCTTGAATCTTCCGCTGAAGATAGCCTAGTTTTGTATCTGGTGCGCGATGCTCCTAGCACTTTTTATGGAGTACTTCGTGTACTTTTCACTGGATTAGATGCTGGTTACAGTCCACAAGGTTACACTTGCCATCGACTTTGGCATCTATCGTTGGCTGGTATTGTGATGATTGCCCGATCATTTACGCCAGTTGACTCTAAACATTCTGGTAAGATGTATCACGCCTTGCTTTAGTTTATTTTTTAATCATATCGATGTGTCTAACCCCAACTCTTTTTATAAACTTTGTAGAAACTGGCAAATTGGATGACTGGAGAGTTCGGATCTTGACCTCTGTCATGCCAAAGTTGACACCATTTGTACAATCTCCTCGATCGCTTTTGAGCGTGCCTATTGCATCAACTATTGACTTGCCTACTCCTTCATACGAAGCTGTCAAGCTTGGACAGCTTCTTCGGCTGGCCATATGCGCTTCGTCAAGTGATACCATCATTGCATGGAAGCCTGTTGTCGAGTTCTCCAAATAAATAAAGACTGATTTTCACTAGCAAAAATAGTTGAACTAGCCAAATTTGTGGTAGTTGAGCAAACGATATTGACAATGTTGCAAAAAATTGGCTCGACTGTTACTTTTTCGAGTTGTAGTTCTTATAGATTACCACTAGGCATTGTCTTTACGATCGCAGATATAAATCCAGTTGGCATTTGTAGAATGCTGCAATGGAAATAAATTGTATACGCAAACAGTTTGTTGAATTGATGATGTCAATTTACAGTAGAAAGCGCACGGAGATTCAACCATTGTTTATTTCCGAATCAGCCATTACAAGATGAATGAAGCATTTCATTTTATGTGGATATGGCTGTAAACGAGATACCAACTTGACAAGAAGCAATGAAAAGTCATCAAAGTACCTTTAATTATGGCTTTGTTGTATGTTTCAAACCTATCAAATTGTTAATGAAACAAAAATTTGGCTGCTTGCAAATTGACTACCAGGTGGTATAAACATCAACATATACTATTTGTATTCCAGTAATTGTACAAAGCAACTGCTTGTTTGTATGTCATAGCTGACTGTGTTCGAATTCGCGGTATTGAGCGCCTCTCGTTGAAGCTTTCGATCCAAACCAACATTACCTCATATATTTATTGGTTTGCAAATATTGAAATGAATTAAACTCACAGTACAGCACATCGAGGTTTGGTTAGTATGGGAGGCAAAAGTGGTGGCCGACTTACGGCCGTACTTTTATCAAATGAAAAAACGTATCTATCTTGTACTCACTGCCCCCTGCTTTGGGATAAACAATGGATAGAAATCAGTTGCACTTTTCTATTGGAAATTGACATTTTTAATTCAATAAACAACGTTTATTATATGATCTCAGCTCAAACTATAGTTTTGAATATATCCTTTTTCCACTTTTGAAATAGTCATAGATTGTACAATCACCAGATTCATCCGCTGCAATCCATATGTTGAATTCAGCTCATATGAATAATACTCTGCAAATACATATGTTGTGTTTTAATTCAGGAGAACAGCGATCGTGCATCCCAGAAATGCAATATTTGTTTCCATCTAACCACCCAATGCTATGTTTGGCTTGTAGCAAGGAATTGGAGATTGAAGAGGTATAGGATTTATTGGGACAGAGGTGTGAAAGCTGCTTTGAATATTCGTTTAGCTCTTCATACAAAAATGATCACGGAGGAAAACACCAGTAAACTTTTTCAAAAAGATCAGTGGACAGTGTTTTGGGCAAGCTTGTGTGAATTAGCGCCAATCAGACATGAGACTGGCTGTTTATTTAGCGTCTCATTTGTGTGAACACGACCATAAACTATGCTCGCGTTTGTTTCAGAGCAAACTGTAAACATCGTTGTTTCTTGATCCGCAAAACACAAGCTTTGGCGCCATGAGTGATGGAATGGATGTGCTGGTTAAGATGTGGATTCTTTCAATTTTCAAAAACTTGCTTTATGCAACCAAACTCGAAACCACAGCCACTCCTACCTTTTTCACAATTGCTATTGTTGTATTACAAACATAACCAGCATTATGCATTGGCCATGTTTGGCAGGGCTCAATCTATCTTGAAACCTGTATATATTAAGATCGATTTCCTACTCAATCTACTCGAATCCTATAATTTTGCTCTTACATTGCGCTGTATATTTCCTCTACTGTTTATTTTTAGTGGTCAAGCCTTTATATTCCCTACATAAATCAAGACTTCGATTACATCAGCATTCTGTTTATATTGTTCAATCTCAGTTTCCCAAAAGGTTTTGCTATTAAAGTAAATCCAACTCCGATTAACCTGCACTTTGACAAACAGCCCATTCACCAAATGCTAAACGGATCCTCATCCAATATGCGCATAGACGCAGACAGGATCATTGACTCTCCAGTTGCAATGGTAGCCCTTATTTCAACCGGCATTGCTCTTTTGGCAGGTGTTTTTGGCACGGGGCTGTTTTTATACCGAGGAACAGAGAACAAGTTCACCTGGGCTATCCTATCGCTGGTCATCATCAACTTCATGAGTGTACAGCTGCAAGCATCAGAGATAGCATATGTCTATCTACCATCCAGCCTAGGAACGCTGATTTGGCGCAATGTCATTTACCAACTGTGCGTACTATCTTTAAATCTACTACAGCTGGAGATTTTTGCAGTATTCAATGCTGGTCTGATGCATGTCAGCATATTTAGACCAGACAATATGAAGTGGGTTCGACTGGCGGCTATTATTGTGCATTTACTGTACGCGTTGCCCATCTACTTGCAAGGATGGGTTATTCCCATGAGTGACAATCGAGAGATAAAGGTATATAGTATGACCGCAGTAGCTATCCCCGACCCTTCATTCACTTATCCCCGACCTTTTGTGCATCTATCCCCGACCATTCGACCCCTTCCAAAGTTGGGCCGCTAATTGAGTTTCAAGCTTGATTATATCATTGATGAAAAAAGTGGTGGCGTTGCTTGGCATTAGTTCGTGGCGTCTTTTTATGAATTTTGCACTCGTGTTCATGTAAATGGAATACTTGTATCCATCTTGCAGGGATGCCTTTTGCTTTGAAAAACAATGTCAGAATCTTTGTTTTCTTGCTGGAAACTGAGCTGGATAGACACTGCCAATTCTTCAAAGCACAACGTCCATCATATGATGCTCACAAACTATAGTTTTGAATATACCCTTCACTTTTGGTAGCTGTGTGATCTGCAAATATTGGGTTTATTGCTTTCAAACTCCACTTTGTGTATCCTGAAATCTTGGATACGCCTGTGTTCTAGTTTAAAAAACAAGGGCTGTAACCCCAGAAATGCAACAGTTGTTTCCATGTCAATCCCATAATGTTTGGTTTGTAGAAAGGGAGGTTGGACAAATGTGAATTTATTGATGTAAACATTTGTTTAGAGAGCAGTGTTTAGTAAATTTGGTGAATTCCCATTTCATGAGATTGGCACTCCTATGTTTCATTTGTATCTGCTACTCAGCTTTCTAACAAAATCTGTTTGTATTCTCGATACATTTTTATTTGCTTATAGTGGACAGTCTATGGAGCCGCACTATATACTCTTCTTGTAGGCATCTGGGGTGTATTTCAAAACTGTTACATCTTGGCAAAATTACAGGCTCATTTCGCTGTGCTCAACAAGTCAATCGGACTAGATGACTTTCATACTTCCAACGCAGTTTCGCCATGCAAAAGCAACACTGATTCAAACAACACTCTTGTTTTTTTGGAAGCTGGCCATGAGTCTGATTCAATCTCATCGCCTGTTATACTGCCTCGTCGCGACTCCCGCCAATGCCTAACCAACGAAAATTCACATGTCAATAAGAGAGTTCAAAATGGCTCTCGTGTTATACAGCTCCTCATTTTTATCATGTTTGCCCTAGATATCACCTGTACAGTTACATTTATTATCTCTTCCATCACTAAAATCAGTCAGGACTCAATTGCTCACTATGCACACATGCAAATCAGTGTGTCCATCATAGGCATTCATTTGTTTTTGGAAACTTTTCTATTTACTCAAATTGTTGATCAGTTCAGAAAAAAATTGTCCGCTACCAACTCATCCTTATGCGGTACCAACGCATCAAGCTGTAGTCATGTGTAATTTTTGAAAGTTGATTTTATTTTGATGTTGATACTCATGTCTATTACTTTTCATTTTGAAAATCCTACCTTGATACAATGTATGTTCAAAAACTATAATTGTTTTTTGATATACACAATTTAATAAATAAATAAATACGGTATGTATTGTTTTTAATGACTGGCATTTATTTTCGACTTTTATGTTTTTGGATATTCTGACATCAACAAGCAGCTATTGCAGTTGTTCAAAAACGAGGGTTTTTGGTTTGTAAAACTGCATGATTGTTTAGCTAGCATAGACTCTAGATGTCATATTGGATATCGTGTCAACAAGACCAAATGAGTGATGCCATGTATTAAACCAGCATGAGCAAATGGCAGTTTAAACTGTTTAGTAAACTGGCTGTGTCGACAAGTCGAGTTGCTGCCATGATACAGGAAACACGAGAAATAGATGGTCGTGCCATTCAGATCAACAACCTACTGATATTTAGAAAAAAACAATAAATCCAAGTGTGATTGAGTGAATTTGATGCAAGTACTGCCTGACACAATACATATTGATGGTTACTGACAGTTTATCTCCATTCTCATGCTCTCTGTCCTTAGCAGTGACTAGTATATCAAAGAATAAAAATTCAAGTGGCATATGTAACCTTGGCATATGCCATTTTGGCATCGAATCCAAGCTGAATACACACAACTGGAATGCTGGATGACACAGTGAGGCCTACGCGTTACAAACTCGAGATGTGGTGTCGCATATTCTGGCAGTAGCCTCTTTTGAACTAGCCATCCAGTCTGTGTTATATATTTCGGATAGGTCTGCTACTCCTTTTGGTTTTAAAACCTTGAACTCAACTTTTAGACCTTTCTAATTCTTTACAAGGCATTGGTCGCTATAGAATAGAATGTTTTCTGAACTCCCATACATTGGGCTAGAAGATGATATTTTCTTACCGATTCCAATGATCGCACTTATTCTAGCTTGCCTAGTATTTGTTTCAGGGCTCGTTAGCATGGGAATATTTATATACCGAGGCTACAAGACTAGATACACCTGGACAATCATTGCACTGATTCTCACCAACCTGTTTGTTGTCCTGTTTCAAATCTTTGAAGCATTTTACGTCTATATCCCATACGACAAATGGACGATTGGATGCCGTAATCTATTCTATATGCTCAGTGTTCTTAGTCTCAATCTGATGCAACTGGAGATTATCTCCATCTTCAATGGCAATTTGATCCATGTTGGAATCTTTAAAGCAGAGAATATGAAGGCACTTCGCGCCTTCACCGTCATCGTGCACGTCTTTTTTGCACTTCCAATCTATTTGCAAGGATGGGTAGTATCGCCTCACAACACCTCCGTTGCTACAAAGGTAATTTCAACAAATTTGTATTGAACACCATATATCGTTCATTGTTGTGCATGTGTATCAGTTCTGTGTCTTGTATTCAGTCCCATATGTGTCGGGAATGCGACTTTGCACAAAATTTCGTTACCAAGAGTAATATGGTGGACTCGATTACTAGCAGTCCTGAATTCATGTTCATCCTTTGATTCTATTCAGTCATACTAACTGTTATTTGGGTTTCAAACATTAGTGGGCCGTCAATAGTGCTGCAGTATACACGTTTATGATTGGCATTGGAGGAGTCTGCCAAAACTTTTATATTCTCAAACATACGAAAGCCCACTTTGACCTCTTGGACAGCAGTGGTGCCAGTTCGTGTAGTAGAGGTGCATCTGGAAATCGCGGTTACAATGGATCCAGTTCAATTGGCTTATTGAGTCACTCCAGTCATATGGGAAAGAGTACAGTTTCTACATCTTCATCTTGTCGTAAAACAGCAACCAGTACCTCTACTTACAGCTCCAGTTCCTCCTGCACCAAAAATAAAAGGACGGCACGAAATATGCGATTCGTCTTGTTTCTCTTATTTTTTGTCGATCTTGTCACGCTTGTTGTGTACTTTACATCTGCTATGGTCATCACTTCTCGAAAGAACATTGTTATACACTTTGCGCTTATGCAAATAACTGTTGCTACCATGGGAATACACTTGGTAAGCGTCTTGTATGATCAAAACCATCACTTGCATTTATAAAATGACCAATACTAACACTTTATTTTTAAAATCACTCATTGCTTCGTCATGTATTGTCACTCAGTTTTTGGAAACATTTCTTTTCACGCAAATTGTAGCACAGTTTACAAAAAAACACACCTGCAATAGCCTTAGATCCAATTCCACTAGCAAGAATAGCCAGCATACTTGGAGCGGACACAGTGATAGCATCAAATCTACAGAAAGCGCTGTGATTCAAGTGATATCAGTGCCTTCTCCAATCAGTCCTCGACCACCATCACACTAATAATATTGGGCATATAAGCTCGACTGACACATCATATTCAGATTCGTTCAAACGTCTACAACACATCATTATTTCTATTTTCGGGTCTAGCTTATTTTTTTAAATCGTATTCTTCCATATGAGATTACAAAGCAGTCTGAAAATAGAATCCCTGTCGGGCATTTATGTCAAATGAACTATTTAATTAAAACCTAGCATGATTGGATTGATGACTCTGTTGAACGTTTTATTTCAAGTGAAAGATTTTGATGGTCCTATTACTAGAATCCATCTACTTTCATCTGCTTTTCGTCTAGACAAGCCAAATCGACACATTTTCTTGCTGATCCAGTCTAAATTGGTATTCAGCCAACACCTCGCTCAACTCTTCAACAATAGTCGCTATGCCCAATACAAATGTTCTTCTCATCAGACATGCAGAAAAACTTACATGGCACAAAGGGACAACGCCAGAAATAGATCAAAAGGCTGCATACATTGACAATCACTGCCTCTCTGCAAAAGGTTATGAAAGAGCACATGCTCTAGTATCATATTTCACCAACCGACATGAAATAGTTTCGCTTTATGAGCAACGACCACTGGCTGCAGTGATCTCGCAGGGCGTGGACGATGGACCCGATGCATGGGGGAGAAGCAGACGACCTCTTGAAACGGTTGAGCCATTGGTCAAGGCATGGAACCTTGCATGGCCATCTGTTGCCATGTCTGCTGTTGACAATGCGTCCTGTACTACACAGACTTTGACTCCACAGCGCTTGCCATTAATTCAAGTTCTTAAAAAAGACTTTGCAAACTTGACTGCTAGTATTAAAAATGGCGAGTTTGAGGGAAAGACAGTCATCATTTCATGGTCACATCAGCAGCTTCCTCAGCTTGCTACTGCACTGGGTGTACCGGTAGATCTGGTACCAAATAAATGGAAAGGCTCCAGATTTGATGTAACCTGGGTTGTTGGAATGGAAGAGGGTAAGCCGAGCACCTTTTATCAAATGCCGCAGCGTCTTTTATATGGCGATGAAGATACAGTTTTGAAATAAATTGCAGTTTATATTGAATCTATGTTTGCATCTCCATAAAGGTGCAATGCGATGCTTGTAGGCTTTTGCTAAAAAGATGAGATTGTAAATCAATAGACAAATCCGACTATAATGGATCTATTAGCTTTATTCAAATTGCATTTAACCAACAAGACCTCCAACTTTGGTGTTGATGGTAGCATTTGGATACTTGATCTGAAAATCCTTTTCGCGACGGAAGAGAAGAATATGTGGCTCTGGATCTATTAGGCAGTAGATATAGTAATAAAAACACAATGTTAGGCTTTAATATATGCTGTAGGTAAGATGTCATGATACAGTTGCCAAACAGCCATCCTCTCTTACTGTGAATCATGTAATGTACCCATCCTGGGCTTTGTTTAATACCAAAGCCTCTCCACTCATATTCTGCTAGTAGCCGTCCTAGAAAATCAATCAGGATCAGTGATTGAATCAGTGATTAAAGTCACAAGAGTATAAAACAAACCTTGAGGCATCCATCTCGCTAGAAATCCAGCAAGCAAATTTAATACAGAGTTGAACATGATATCAAGACATGCATAAACGGTAAATACAGATTATATCGGCAAAACACAAGTGTCATTTGCATTAGGCAACGCATGGATGAAATGAGAATAAATGGAATATGCCAGAATGAGTCGAATAGTAATGAATGTGATTTCCAAAAGAAATTAAGCGCCTTACCAATTTGCTTTGGTACAGTAACATGTCGATACTCGTAAAGATCATCATTGTATTTTGGGCTATAGTAGACATCATCCTCCTGTGATAACAAGCAGGTTGTATTATTCAAGATCACGAAACCATGAGATATCGAATGTTAGTGTCTGAAAATGCCAAATCTTTTTAGAATATTGAAGATTGTCGGCCATCTCGTTGGTGTACAAAAGTACTTGGATTGGATCCATATCGGCAAGATACAATCTCTATAGATAAAATTTCATCCATTGTATGTATTATATCCATCGACTTGCTCTAGCCCATACCCATAAAACAAGAACAGTCACTAAGCAGACAGGTTCACATTACATGGTCATGAATATCCTGGTCCCGCTGCTCGGCCTCTGTGAGCTTTCTGGACGTTCGGCGTGCATTAATCATTGTCAGGGCTAAAGAGTGAAATCAACTGTTATAGATAACGTCGTCACAAACAAGCTGCTAGTTGCGACAGTCAGTCTGTTGATTGTCAGTTGATAACTTGCGAGCGGGCGGTGATTGGAATGGTGAAAAAGGAAATAACCCGAATGGAACGCTTGGCTAAAAGGTCGCTCTGAAATCCAACAAATGTGAAATATGGAACTGACTCGACATATGTTGATCGAGCCCAGTATTATCAAGCTGATCTTCAAACAGATCTGACCTGCTGGCTTGAGGAAGATATACACTGTGATAACCCATATTGTAATAGTCTTGCTTTATTCAGTCCCTGTATCATCCATTTGAACTAAATCTGATACACCATGATTGCATCGTCACGACTGCTGCCACTTGCCCAGATCATTGCAAAACCTTCAAGTATACCAACTCTTTAAATATCATAGGCTGATTGGGTGTCTTTTGATACAGAGTATAAAACACATTTCTTACAAGATTTACTAGCCGATGCAAGTAATGCCGTGATCTGAAATCTGGAATCTCGCTACCATGCCTTGTAAAGCAATACCATCTGATTCGTGATTTCTCTTTTGGCATGAATACGGCATTTCGGCAAAATAAGAAATGTCTGCAAATGTTGGTATCTGAGACTACACGCATACTGGTAGATTCGTTAAAGCATGTTTTTTGAAAGAATATTCGAGTTTTGCAATTATACCATAAATAGTTGATGTTTGGATAGTTATCGGTGTGTATTTTTCAGCACGATTTGATGCAATGCTTTAATTAAGTGATGAGATTTTTGGACTGTTTATTATCAAATTAACAGATAGGTGTAGTACCTAATCAACATTTAACTAGCTGGTGTATTGCTTTCATTGAAAAACGACATCGAACTAGAACCAAGTGCTCCAAGAACAATACGATCTGTTGCTACTCGCGCTTCTTGGGCTGGATCGTGAGTGATCCAGATACAATTTAGTTTGGTAAGCGATGCTTCGACTAATCTGCACGTTTCTGGATCTAATGCGCTCGTCGGTTCTATACCAAAAATGAATCAGTCTTGATCACGTAGTAGTATATTTTTAAACAACACAGTATTGATACTGTATCAGGTTAATCATAGTACCATCAAGAAGTAGAATATCCGGTTTGCGAGAAACACCAAGTGCAATTGCAACACGCTGAAGTTCACCACCACTGAGCTGATTCCATGGTCTATCCCATACATCTATATCAAGATTCCACCTTTACCATGGAGTTAGTTTACATTTTGTTTATAGACCAATGGCAGTTTAATACAGACTTTTGAGAAATTTCAATAGGATCGAGAGGTCCATCAACTAATCGGTCCCGCTGGGCTTGAAACTTGGAGATTGTATCGATAAAATTGCGTGGTGATCCGTCAAGAAGAGGTGGGCGTTGGGGCACATACAATACTCGAGATCTCCACTGTGGGATACCATACTCGACAGATTTTCTACAGCCACAAAATCAAGGCAAATTGGGCCGATGAGCTTACAGACATTGAGATAGTTCAACATAGTTGCAAGCTATGAATTAACATTGAAATTAGACATACTTTGAGTTTAAATATACAGATCCAGAATCATATGGAATTAGCTCTGCCAAACATTTCAATAGAGTTGTCTTTGAATCCCACGTTTATGTTAATACATTAGGCTATAGTAATACTGGCTAGAATAAATCATTGGTCTTACTTTTCCAGTACCTAATTCAAAGTTGTTGATAATCTTAGTAGGTGAGCTTACTCATCAGCTGTATTAATCACTACTCACCACTGGCTCCACGAACAGCTAATACAAAAGGTCCGTTGCAATCGTCCACTTGAATGCATAGACCATCAAACAGATTGACGCCGCTAGATAGCTTCTTTGAGAGGTGATCGACTGTAAAATTGACCATGGTAAAGCTGTTTTAATCTGTTGAGCCACAAGAAATGATTGCTGATATCTACTGTTTCTCACAGTTGGTGACAATAAGAATAATGAGAGAATAAAACTTTATATTTCAATGCAATTTCATCATGTTTTTGGATATTCTGACATCAACAAGCAGCTATTGCAGTTGTTCAAAAACGAGGGTTTTTGGTTTGTAAAACTGCATGATTGTTTAGACTAGCATAGACTCTAGATGTCATATTGGATATCGTGTCAACAAGACCAAATGAGTGATGCCATGTATTAAACCAGCATGAGCAAATGGCAGTTTAAACTGTTTAGTAAACTGGCTGTGTCGACAAGTCGAGTTGCTGCCATGATACAGGAAACACGAGAAATAGATGGTCGTGCCATTCAGATCAACAACCTACTGATATTTAGAAAAGAACAATAAATCCAAAAGTGTGATTGAGTGAATTTGATGCAAGTACTGCCTGACATAATACATATTGATGGTTATTGACAGTTTATCTCCATTCTCATGCTCTCTGTCCCTAGCCTTGCTACCAATAAAGTTCAATGGCAGTGATTGTTAGTTTAAAAAGGATTTCAAGTTTGATACATATTGGTGGCCAAGTATTCGGTTGTTAATGGTTTTATTATGCTGAAAGTAGTTTATCTCACTCAACCAGTGTCCATCTTTTATTCATGCTCAAGATTCTAGTGCCAGATTCATGACATTTCGAGTCAATTCTGATGGTTTAACCCAACAAAGTCAATATTTATTTGATGAAAAAATGACTATCCAAATGTAGGTGCAAGCAGATATGTACTAGAATATCGATCTCAACTGAAAATGAGCTCAGCAAATGCCAAGATTGGCACGAATGTTTAATGAATCTTGTCGACTATGTTTTGGCTCCACTCCCATAATTTCTCAGCAAGATCATCATCTTTAGCAAAGGGAGTGCAATCGTCCGACTCTTTACCAAATGGAATAAAGTACTTGCCACTTATACCCTGGTCAGAGATGTCAGGCGAAGTAGCCAGATACAACTGAGTGAGTGCACCTTGCTTTGGTGTCAATGCAATCATGCCTGTCAGTCCGGTAGCCAGCCAAGATAGACCAGAAAATATTCCCGTCAAGCCATACAGGTTTGCAGGACCTCGCATAATCTCAGTGTGCACCACACCTGGATGGAGCGAGTTGACATAAACTTTACTGGATGCCAATCGCTTGGCAAGACTGCGCGCGAAAAGGATATTAGCCAGCTTACTCTGGCCGTATCTCTGCCAAGAACTGCATAAAGACTCGTCATTTATTCGTTCAAAGTTAATGCCCACTTCAGTTGTAATACTGTGACCAAACGAGCTAACACATACAACTCGAGATGGAGCAGCCTTTTCAAGAGCCGGGATAAGAGTTGTAGTAAAGAGCTGCAGATTTGGATGGCAGTATGTAATAAAATAAAACCAAAGGAAAGGAAATAAGCTTGATTAGGGAATTATTCTTATATCTGCTCTTACTGGGCAAGACAATATCTATCAATGAGCTTACAAAATGGCCAAGATGATTCGTGCCCATCTGAGATTCGATCCCATCCTTGGTCAAAGCAAACGGACAAGCCATGATACCAGCGTTGTTTACAAGAATGTCAAGTGGAAGGGACATGGCCAAGAAGTTGAGAGCAGCTGTCTTGGTCTGTTTCAAGTCTTGCAAGTCCAATCTCAGAAACTCGACCATGTCGCTCTTGCCAAGATCTTTGTGAATCTTGGCAATAGCCTCAACAGCACGTTCCTCACTGCGGCTCGCCATGAACACTTTTGCTCCAGCCTTGGCAAGCGCATGCACAGTTTCATAGCCAATACCAGTGTTTCCCCCAGTAACAATAGCAACCTTTCCAGTGAGATCCGGGATCATATCGACAGAGTATCCAGTCTTGACATAAGTGAATGGACTGGGCATGATGTGACAATCTTGGCAAGCCAAGCCATCAACTCAACGCAATAGTAAGACTGTTGGCAAGATGCCTGAGGATGGGTTGGTTATTGTTAAGCTTTGAGTCGAACTGACTTGAGCTTCTAGTCTATTGTGACCCTGGCACATTCAAAGCAGCTCCATTAACCAGCGAAGCCACACCAAACTTTACTTTTTTATATTTCTTTAATGGCTTTTCAAGGAATCCGTCGAGGTTTGGTGTCCATGAATGCCGTAGACCCGTTGCTGGCCAATTTGCTTCATGAAGAGAAGGATGTACTCAAAGGTCTAGCCAACTTTGCAAAGGAAAAGGGTGAAGGTTAGTCCAAGTAGTATCGTATTGACAGCCTTTATTCTTTCAAAATAGCTCTTGTTCCATTGAGTTATTAGCGATTGCTACTTTTCTCTTGCGGCAATATACTACTTGTCAAAGCCAGAAGGCTGGATTGCTTATAAAAGTCCAGCAGCATTGACCTTTGCTATTGAACAGTATGGAGGTGACTTTTGAAACGGTGTAACTGACAAGTAGCGGTTCATATTTTATTGCATACTGCCATACAAATACAGCTTCAAAATTCCTTGCTTTGTGGGGGAATGTAGAGCATGCAGACATCAAGGTGAGCTGGTTTACCTGCTATAGTTTGCCTTGATAGCTTATTTTCGATCGACTTACAAAACTGACATGCTTTGAATCAATCATATCGGTTTAGGATATTTGCGATCGAGTCAGGGACATGTTTGAGGAATTACAAAATATGTTGGTAGCCCTGAGTAGTAAGTATAGTTGCCATGGATGGGGATTACAAAATGCATGATTTCAGTAATTCAAGTGTTCGTCTCCAGGGGCCATACTAATGAATACATTCTACATTGTGAATGATGACACTACTTGCAGCTGGATACAGTATCTATCGAGACAAACTCAAAGACATCAATAAGGGTGCAGAGGACCTACACGTTCAGCAACAAAAGTTACGATCGTGTCAGGATAAACTTGCACATGCTATTAAAAGTAAAAAGCCTCATGAACACTTGCAAGTTGAGGTTGCCGTTGTTGAAAAGGAAGTACTTGAAATGGTTGCTGGGTTTGAGTCGTCTAAACGTGCGCTGCTCAAGGAAGGTCTTGAAAGTCAATTCGAGTCGTTTCAGTGTTTTGGTAAACAGTTGGTTATTCTTGGGACTTTTGGAAAGCATATGACTTCACAGATCCCACAGGGTAAACTGGCGGCTGGACAAGAGTTGCCGCTTTATAAAGGTAACTCATACGTTTAAACAGTTGCTAGTACATGACTTTTGGTTGATTGTAATATTTCTAAACGATGAATGTGTCAATGGTATTTAGGAAATGAAACTACAAAACGAGTTTTTTCAGATTTTACCAAAGAGCTTAATGATGTTCGGTCCAAGAAACCGGTCGTCAAAAGAAATAGTACTCTTGGATCTATTTCTGAAACAGCTAACAAGCCATATACTGCTCCTCTGGCAATGGCTCAGTTGGATACTCGGCCTCGTGTTACTGCAAATGATGGGTTATTGTCACGCTCATCATCTCCTTTACCACTACATAACCGAAAGGCTTCAATTCAAAGTATAGGACAGCCTACCAATTTGAATGATGGAATGAAACCAACACAGGCAATCTCCAGCCAGAGCAATGGGTTTTGGCCAAGAGATGCCAATGTGCCTCAGACCAACGATTTATACTCTCAACAGCAACATTTTCAAAAATACTCGTCTTCACAAGCATTGTATCAAACAGGCCAGTACCAGAATGGGTATCAACAATTTCCTCCTAATCAACAACAAAGCTGGATGAATTCAACCCAGCAGGCACATACTTTTGACGATTTTTCAACCAATGCACAGCCCTTGAGTTCGAATGGCAATTGTGAACTGTCACGGTCCTTGCCTATGCAGCACATGTCAGGTTTTCCATGCCAGAATGAGCCGTCCGAAATAAATAAAGGCAATAGTTTTCATCCTGACTCGTTACAGCATGGTCGTGCGCGTGGATACAGCCAGACAAGTATCGGTCATGTATCAGGAATTAGTGGCAATACTGCAAGTGTAAATTACAGTGCACCACAGCTGTCGTCTTCTACAACGAATCCCCAATACGAGCCGACTACCGTTGAGTTTTATCGCTGCGTTGCCTGCGGTCGTGGTGTCACTGGTAGCCGTATGGGTGATCATCGTGCCAGCGGATGCGTAACTCATATTGTTGCACCATAAATTAATTTTTTATAGGATTTGAAAATCAAATCTATAATTGGCACAGACTTGCCGGTTTCCAAGCATATTCCATTAGGATCATTTTAAAGTAATATAATATGCCCTTTTGGTTGTTCCATTGCTATATCAAGTGTGTAGTTTAGATTACCACTGTATTTGCGTAAAACGGAACACTAAATAAAAATCAAAGTATAATAAATAGCCAATTTCACGAAATAATGGATGTTATTTACTCGACATTATGTCATGAACTATTTGAGTGTTCTAGTAACTGGCACGAAAACAACCGTTGCATTCCTATAATCTTGAACTGGAACGCGAATGTGTGATTCAGGATACAACAAACGAGTGTACAGAATTGTATTGACAACATTGGCAGTTAAATCCAATATCTGGATTATAATGGATGGATTAGAGTTCAAATTTGGTGACTGTACAATGTATGATTACTAAGAATGCACAAAAGTGTAGATTCAACACTATAGTTTGATGATTGATGGACGCTGTGTTGATTCAAGAAGTAGTAATTTGTGGTAGTACAAGGAATATCTAGCCATTGTACAGTTCAAAGCAAAACAGAAGCAACCAGATGAATGTATTTTGGTGAATATAGAACAAGACAATGAAAATCTCAACCCATGCATGACTCATGACGTGTTCTGATTGGCTGTATGATTCCGCGTCAGTCTTCAATTCGCGTCAAGTTGCACAAGAGCAAGTCGAGCAAGTCAAGACAAAGTTGGTAATAAGAGGATGTAGTTGAAGGGATAATCGATCATAATGTGTAAGTTGTAAACTAGTGTGTTGATAATACCATGTCTTGGTTGAACAATTTTAATGAGTTCAAACGTATTTCAATAGGAATCGGCTTGAATGCTGCTTGGAATTGAGCTTCCGACTAGTTTTTAATTCTTTACTTGAAAACTTTAGTTGAATAGCTGCATAATCCGTTGCTATATACTCGATCCCGTCCCAAGTGGGTTTGCTCGAGTACTAATCAAAGTGTTACTGAACTGCTGCTCAAGAACATCCCGTTATTTCTGGTTAAAGTTGACATTGGCTTTTTAATTTACAACTTTCTAGTTCTATAGTTGCAAGTCTTTATTAATTGATACTGCCACTAGTCTTATCTCAAGCATCCATTCTACTGTTCTGCATTCGTGCTACTTCTCTCTTCAGTGTTTGGATTATCTAGTCTTACCTTGTCGAATACTCTTTCAAAGTGATCATTTGGTCGCATTGGACTATAGTCTGCTTGCTCATCAGCATTTCAATCAGCATTCATTTTGGTTCAATCTCTGTTTAGGTCAGATTCCTGGTCGTTTTAATAGGACAACTTTTATCACTTCAAGACTTTACTTTTCTATAATAGATCATTATACACTCATCATTATAGCTGTTGATCCTTCAACTCTCATACCCTCACGACTATACTCTTTAGACGATACTCGCTCATTCTCTCGAGACTTTTAAGCATTACACTCTTCAATTATATTGTCCATCTCAGTAAACAAACTAGAACTCTTTTGCGTTCAAATTGTGTAGTTGTGCCTTATCTATTGTCTTTGAAATCACCCGTTATTTTGGTTTTTTAAACTCGATATTCTTTGCATAACTGTAGCGGTTCTCATCTATGACGGATACCAATTGGGAAGACTTTGATTGTCCCTTACTCGACTCACTTTTGGATATGGGAAATGGTCCTGGACAAGAGTCATTGTCCACTTCAGACTTTATTCAAACGAGACTTTCCAATAATGCCAATTTTGTCGACCCTTTTATCACTGCAAATAATAGTAAACTGGATACTGATTTGGATAATACCAAGTCTGTAGAATTTGGACTGTCTTGTGTTGCTTCGTCAAGCTCTTCAGCATTCATGCATCCTGACTTGATATCTAGACAGAGCGGGCAGAGCCGTCTCTCCAACCTATCATCGGGTTTAGCTGCTGATTTTGCTTCTAGTTTAGATTCTAGACCTGCTAATGATAGTAACCCTGAAATAGGATCTGAATTGATGCTATCTGAAGATGGAATGTGGCCGATTGAAAAGATTGCATCTTTGGTTGGTTCAATATTTCCATTCGGACCCTCTGCCAATTCGATTGAGCCCTTATCTGCTTTTAATATGGCCGGATTGCAACAACAAATTCATCAGCAACTTAACCAGAATCAACAGTCACAACCATCGTCGATATATACAGAGGGTGTAGCTCTTGGCCAGTTTGATGGTGTGCAAACTAGAGATTTTCAGCAAGATTTTGATTCATATGTGTTGCCTCAACGCACGAATAGTACAAATGAGACCAGCAGCAATATAGGAACACCGCATCGCGATTATATATCTGCAATGGAAGAAGCAGAATCATCCATGGCTTTATCACCGTTTGCAGAGATTGAAGAGGCAGCAGGAAGAGCAGATTCAGATACACCCGAGTTTAAAAAACGACGAAAAGTCGCACAGGCTTGTGTTCACTGCAAGAAAGCTCATGTTTCGTGCGAGGTATCGCGACCATGTCGACGATGTATTAAAAAAGGCATGTCAGATTCATGTGTCGATGCACCTCGTAAGATTGTTCCTGTTCCATCCGTTACAAGGTCATGTCGAACATGTCCTATCAAAATTTTACCCATGCAGAATATTACTGGATCAAATGTAGGCAGTACTCTTCAACCACCATCTAAATTATCGACCACTATTGGATCTAGCACATGTGTTTCAAGTCATGCCATTCCTTCATCGTCAAGTACACATACAAGAGAGCCTGAAGCGAAATTGTCGAGATTGGCCATCAAGCGTTTAGGATCGACTCCTATCACACATCCACCACTTTCTGCTGGCCAACACAGTTCTACATCTGCACATACACGAACCTATAACCATCATGTCATGCCACCTGAAATAAATATTTCCTTGCAGCGACAATTATCACAGTCTCGACGATTAGCCACACACGAGCAGCAACTTCCACTTTCTACTGAAAGTAACCATAACAATCAGCCCGATTTAAATGGGCAGCAATCGCCCGCGTTAGCACCTGATGCAAATTCGTTAAACCTATTACAGGAATTGGTTAATGCCAACTCTAATGATCAGCGCTGGACGCTGACACCTCAGCTAATTACAGCCATTCAATCCCATCTTTCCATGCTCAACATGGCAGTCAATACGGATTTGAACCCAAATAAATCTGGGTCACTAGTAAATCACTGCAAAGAGACCAATCCATTAAAGCGGTGTACCTCGTGTGCACATGGTTTGGCATGTTCAGATTTGGTCAAGGAAGAAGCCAATAAAAAGTCTGATGGAGCACAGGATACCATTACCATACATAATAGACGAGTATCTGCACTAAGTTTGGGATCTCCTCAAGTCAAAACGGACAGTTCAGTAAGCAATGCATTGGCCTCGCCTGGATCTACACCTGATCTAAAGTATGGTCATAGCACACCAGGAACGCTTACAGCATTGCAATTGACGACGAATCAATCCAACATTACACCCAATTTCCACTCGACAGCTCCACTAGAAGCAGCTTTTACAGTGCAAAACATTGAAGTGGGAGTTTCGTCGCACATTTTGTTTCTGGTGCAGCAACTATCGCAGAGTAAGCCAGTGCGAGCAGGAGTCCATCCAGCACTGTTGAATTCCCAACAAGTACACGTAAATGACTATCTGATGCTGCTATCCAAAGCCATTCCAGCAACTCCATCGGCAGTGTTTTCGTCGTCGGGGATTATCTTTACCTGTAATGCAGCATTTGCAAGACTGGTTCAACTGGACATATCTGTTCTCGTATCTGGACGTTTCTGTATTTTTTCGTTGGTGGACATGCCATCGATGCTCAATGTACTGGATCTGGCATTGAGTTTTGCATTGAAAAAAGAAGCGCAGTCGTTTGGACGCTGCTCAGTGTTTGCAGGTGGAAATACAGGAACGAATCCACACCAAGCCAATCAAGGACAGAGCCATAATGGACAGCGAACTTGGGTTCGTCAATGTGCACTTGCCATTTCGACTCTTCACGACTCTGGACTTTGGATCGTTGCTCAATTCATTCCCATGATGTAACAGTTGACATCATGGGAATAAATCTTGTAATCTAATATTTTAAAGATGCTTATACTTGTGCATACCACATAACTTGCTAATAGAAGAGTTGATATTGATGGTCTGTATTTTTACGGATTGTGTGCAATGGGTTAAAGAATAGCCAACATGAACAAGAGATTAACAACGAATGCGATCATGAATAATCCTGCAGTTGATCAAGAGTAGACGAATGGCATGTCCAGATCATACATGTGACGTGTGTTGAATGTTTGACCAACTGTACGAAGCAACATGAGCATGCAACCGCAGAGTAAGTGTTGGTAATCAATGTTACTAGCAGACTAGTCTTATTTCAAACATGCAGTTGATTTCCATGAGACCAGATGGGAACTGTCTGCATTTACAAGCAATATCCACGTAATGATATCCCATCTATTGCTGATAGTACTGGCAATACTGACCATACTTCCGTTTCATCATGTCACAGATCCCTTTCAGAAGTCAGGCAAGAGACTCATTGTCTACCACACCAACTGGGCCATGTATGACCGCAAGTTCAACGTTCGAGATATTCCCATCTATTACTACTCTGACATCAACTATGCTTTTGTCAGTCTAACCATGAACGACCAGGGATTCTATGTTCCTTCTCTTTCTGATTCCTGGTCTGACACTGACAAACGATTCACTGTTGCTGACGAGTCTGTGCCTCCTCTGGATCCTCCTGACAATGGTCAGCCTTGCAAGCCTGGTCAGTACTATGGCAACTTTGGTCAGTTTCGCAATCTCAAGACGATCAATCCTGCCTTCAGTCTAGGCTTCTCCATTGGTGGCTGGACGTTGAGTAAGCATTTTTCAACTGCTGTTCGAACTCCTGAAACGAGACAGGCCTTTGTGCAAGGCATCCTTGATCTACTGAACCAGTTTCCACAGTTGTTTGATCGGGTAGACATTGATTGGGAGCATGTGTCTCCTGCTGGGGAGAACTATGGAGACGAAGGCAACACTACTCATCCAAAAGATGGTGAACACTATGGCTTGTTTCTGCAACTGTTGCGATCTACTCTGGACTCCATCAACCATCTACGTCATGTTGGTATCACTGCTTGCATTACTGGCGATCCCAATAGGATTTCGGCTCTTCCTTTGGCCATCATGGCCCAGACTCTCACCAGCATCAATGTCATGACATACGACTATGCCTCGTCTAGCTGGGGTCCTGTTGCTGCGGGCCATCATACAAATCTATTCAGCACACCTTATGCTCCACTGTCTATCCACAACATTGTCGAGGCTCTTCTTGCTCGTGGTGTTCCCGCCAACAAAATCGTTATCGGCGCCGCCTTTTATTCTCGTGGCTTCGCCAATACTGATGGACTCTCTCGTCCATCGTCTGGAACGGTACCCGATCAGTCCTGGGAGGCTGGTCTTTGTGATTACTTGTCTTTGCCACGTCAAGGTGCCGTGGAGCATTGGGATGACCAAGCCCGTGCAACTTACTCGTATGATCCCGTCAAAAAAATTCTCAATTCCTACGACTCGGTCCAAAGTGTGACGGAAAAATGCAAGTATGTATGGGATAGAGGTCTGCAGGGTATTATTGTCTGGGAAAGTTCTGGCGATTTCAATGTTAGTCATCCAAGAAGTCTGTCAACTGCCTTGTACCATGGTCTTACTCGCGATCCTCGTCAGTAAATCCATCAATGTCTTGTTCTATCCCCTTGTCAAGTCTCATGTCACTCATGTCTGTCTATCCCTTGATGCAATTCATTATGACGATTTGTATTTTTATTTTCAAAATAAAAACTCCAGATTAAAACATCACAGATTCCAATCTGTGATGACTTGTACCAAAATCAGTTTAAACTGATCTATTAAAAAAAAGTAAAAGCATGTTGAAAAAGTGCTCGATTTGAATATCAAACGACACTATAGCTCGCCACGAAGTACACCATCAATGCATCGATGGATATACTCTTTTTCGCTGCTCAGATCATGTCCAAAGAATTGTGACAACTGTTCGCGTACACTTTTCTTGGTGACCTTCATCAAATCCGTTGTGGCTAAAATATGTCGCACCTCACGAAGAATCTCTTCATCATTAGGAAACGACGTATTGTCTCTACGAGGTTGTGCTACCAATTCAGGCATGGGGCCTAAATTCGCACCTGCATGGGCCATGGGTCCCATATTATTTGCATACTGAGAAAGCTGCTGTTGAGGCGGTGGAACAAATGGCATATTGACAGCTGGATAAATATGTCTATTCATGCCACCATTGCTACCGCCATAAGCTGATCCCGCATATGATGGTGCATTCGACATACCATAATTGGACTCGGCATACCCTGGTGCTGGTCCAGATTTATAGGTATATCCAGAATGATAGGATGTCACGCTTCGCGTTTCGTCCTTGTCACTAACGCTAGCCTTTCGCTGTGCTTCATATTCTGACCACTTCATCAACGGAATAGAGTTAGGATCATACTCTTCAACTATCGCAACATGCTTGACATCACCCTCGGCTTCAGCGGCTTTACGCGTATTACCCCAGCTGAAATCATCAAAATGCCAGAATGAGTAGATTGGAATGTAGAGTGAAAACAGCGGAATCGCCAGCAGATAAATCACCATCCATCCAATGTGCTGCCATTCAGTACGGAACAAGAAAATAATGACCTGAAAACCATACACACACGCAATCATAATGATCGAGATAATGGGAAAGTTGGTTGTGGGGTCTGTAACAGACGCATAGATAAGATAGGCAATGTAGATCAAAGCAGAAGGCTGAATGAATGTTGCAATCAGATCAATAAAGACAACAAATCGCATTGAAAGACAACAGAAGCCACACAGCTCCTTAAGCTGCAACAGCTCAAGTAGGTTATGTACAGTAGAATTAATCCAACGACGACGCTGAGAAAGCAGTACGGGCCATTTCTCGGGTGCGTAGGTTTGGCACTTGGCATCAGATGTAAATGTCGTTTTCATGTGAGGAAAGTGCTTCATAATCAAAGTGGTTAGGTATCGATCTTCACCGAGATGCAGCAGATTTTTCAAATGAAGTGTATCCACTTGGTTCTCAGAGTAGTTGGAGATGACACCGGGAGCAATGAGAACAGGTATATTCTTCACAGGCGTGCGAATTCGGTACATGCAGAAACATCCAGGTAAGCAGGTAACGGAGCCAAACAGAGACTCGAAGGCTTTGGACAAATGATGAGAAATAAAATATTCGTACACCTGAATCATACTGGTAAAACTCTTTCGCTCGTTTGCAATCGTAGTCTCACCACATGTGCCTGAAATGCGAGCATCTCGCGTCATGTGAGAAACCAACATATTCAGCGAGTCTTGGTGCACTTGGGTATCAGCATCCACCATGAACACGTATTCATAGAACGATGGGTCCACACCAATCACATCTTTCATCTGATGATACAGTTCAATTTCAAGAGGCGACATGCTTTGGTTGAAATGCACACGAGACAGGAATTGCATCAAAACCATCTGAGAATCACGCTTGCCTCGATTACCAGGTTTACCACGCTCAGATGGTTTACCAACCTTGACAACAACAATAAAAGGAACAACATGACCATTGATTTCATACAGACCAGCATAAACCTTGCCATAGTTCAACTGCGCGTTGCCCTCACCAAGAGAATGGAATGGCATAGCTGGAGGATCGTGCGAGGGATCGACTCCAAGAATGTCCAGTACGATACGAGGAGTAGGTCGATCATTTCCAGAGCCAATGATCATACCATCGCAAACAATAAACAGCAGTTTGTGCTTGTCATCATATCGAAGATTGGAAAGCGAGTCAATTGTACGGTGAAGAGATACCTCACCCTCGGTATAACATGGCACCTGACAAATAACAAACTTGTCGTGATCTTCAGGCTGGCGTTTGGTCGAAAATTGTAGGGCGGCCAAGAACTTGAAGCCAATGATTAGCATAAGCACAGCTGATGCGACAAGTAGAATATAATTGGGAACAATGCACTTGATATCATTGCGATGATCTACTCTGCCGGCATAAAACAGGCCATTCAAACACTCCATCACATTGTTGAACTGGGTAGCATCGTTTTTCCGGAGATATTCAAACAGTCCCGTCACGTCGTTATTAGGGCTGTTCGAACTGGCATCTGATACATTCTTGAAGTATGAGCCCAGAAAATAGCTGTTGAGTTGAGATGGATTCAGTGCAAGATTATAAAAGGGAGTTACTTCGTAAACTTTGTCATATATTGTGAGGAAGCGACGGCTGGTCGCTAGCGCACCTTCAATCGTGGATTTATCCCAAACAACATCTCCTTTGCGATACGGTTTCAGCGCAGACATATAGTCCTTGTTGGTATGTGGCCACCACTTGGAGCCATTGGGTATAGGGTCTTTAAGAGAAAATCCACCGGGTTTGATAAAGTTGGGACACCAAGTAGGCCAGGCTGCATTGTCATCGCGAGGAAACATAATCGACACCTCATGGCCAAGCACTTGTGATTCCCAGTACTTGTTCGAAGCACTGGACATATCCATATAATTTGAAACGTGATTTGTCACAATGCCAGGAATAAAATAATAGGAACCATACATGTATACACCAGCTCTGGAACCAAATGTATACAGTCCACTGATTTCACCGGGAGAAAGTACCGCCTGTTTTGGGCACAAGGCAAATCCAAGACCTATGATGAAAAATAGAATAAGTGCGTTCATAAAGAAAATGATGATGCACAAGGCAACTTTTTCACGCCATGCCATCTGACGGTCCTTGGTTTTCATTCCACAGAGCGATAAACACGGAGGTAGCCAGCAGAATGTAGTAGCCCAAGTAAAGGTAAGCCAGCAGCATCGGAGACGAGTTCTGGGTTTGATTTGTGGTGGAGGTTGAGAGGGTTTTTTGTTTTTTAGATTGCCAAGTTCAATATCATTGACTCCACGAGTAGTGGAACCAGGCGATACTTTTCCTTCTTTACCGACTGCAGCACCAGCACCAGCTTCATATTCAAATTCAGAGTCAAAATGACTAGCAGCATCACTCTCACTCCGAAGTGATAGATCATCCTGTGAGATTGAGCTGCCAATCTTATGAAACGATTCGGTAAACATGCTTTCTACAGACGGGCTTAAGCGACCGCTGGTTTCTTCCATAGGAGTTGTAGTGCCACTGATGTTGGATGCAGATCCATGACCAACATGATGTTTGGATACGACTCCAGTTTTTGATCCACCGCGAGCCTGATCCTGCGTCTCTTTTGCCTTTAATTTATCCTCGAGAGATTTCCATGCAGATTCACCAAGAAAAATGCTGGAAGAACCGATAATTGCATCGTTTTGGGACCAGTTACGGTAGCGATAGAGAGATTCACACGCAGCCTTTGGCTCGCGTTCCCACAAGGACACGACAGATTTATAACGAGTAATAAAATCGGCATGGGGTTGAATGGAGGTGTAAATTACAGCAGGGTTACAAGAAAGTTCAGTCAAATGGAATCCAGTAATCTGTCGCTCCAATACCATTCTGTCCGGTTTACCACCAGACGACGCATTGGCCGTCTTGAGATGGAAAATGTACCAAGTTTGAGATTCACTGATGGCATCAATAAACTGGTTAAACGATGAGCGCAACTATAGTTTGAATAAAATAGTCGTGGTCAGAATAGTATCATACGACAATCACTGTATCAAAACATATCTACCTCATGACCAACAGTGGCCGTGGCGTCTAGCGACTCGTTCTCATCATCAATAGTCTTGGTTGTCTTGCGGCGTAAAGGAGCACGGCCTTTGTTGTTTGCAGAAATAACTGTACTGCCATCAGAAGCCAAGGTTCTAGTACTAATTTGCTTGTTTGAAAAAATGGTTCTTAAAAATACATTAGTGGTGCCAGGTTGTTCTGGATTGCCACGAATTAAAGTAACAAACTCGGATTGTAAAATGTCATTGTCAGATTGACCAAACCCACGAACATCATATTCCACAACACCTCCATAATGGCGCACGCCAAATGAAAATGCAAGTTTTTTGGAGCTACTTGAAATCAGACAGCTCGAGTCTTGATTGGATTCGTAGATTTTGGCAGTCATCTCTTCATCAGATCGATTTCTTGCAGTGTAATGATCAATCAAGGGAATAATTCCAGTACGAGCTCCAACCAGCAACGTCAAAATGGAACGATCAAAGGGGGACGTTTCGGGAAAAGGGATGCTTTGAGCCATAAAAGTGGTTTTAGGAATTTCAAAAAAATCGTTCATGGCATGTCCAATCAGCTGCTCGTTTGTATAATTAACTAAGAGCCTGTGAAAGTCATTGCTTGAAGTATCAGTACCAGCCATACCGGGTGATTCCAGTATGGACACAAAGTTGGCCCATTCAGATTCGGGCTGACATAAACGAAGATTAATTTGTTCAAAAATCCAATCGAATGCGACTGCGTACAAAGAGCGGGCAAAACAATCTCGTTGATGTGCAGCGCCAGCAGCATTAAGAAGTTCAGACACAACCTCGGTGCCGATATGGCGAGATCGAGTTGTGAGTAGAGTCTGCAAAGCCAACGAAGGGACACCTAGCATATTTGCCACAAGCTGTAATTGTGGATAATTGCATACCGTACATACACCACCCTCTTTTACTGAATCTGAAAAAGTCAAGTTGCCAAGGTGCAGAATAGCAGCAAGAAGCTGCCACAATTGGACCTGTTGACGACGGCCCACACCAAGGGTTTTAAGGTTCTCGCGAATCTCATCAAGCATTGCAGCACCCTTTCCTTGTGCATAGCTAGCAGTGCGCATCTTGGAGAGATTTAGGAATCTAAAATGAGCAGCATCAGATAAATGCCATTGAACACGTTCTTCATGGGTAGCACCTTCCAAGAGATAGTAAAAGATGTGAAAGCAGTAACCACCATCTTGGGCACCCGAGACACGAGATTTTTCAAGGAGTGATTCAATGAGTTTTAAACCAACCATACGGCCAGAAGAATCAAACTGTAATTCGCTGTAGCGAGTAACGCACGATGCATTTGTATTTGTAGGAGTAGTTGCATTTCCAAAGGCAGATAAAACAGTGTCGACTTTGAGAATACTGGATTGAGTTTTTGTTTTTTTCTTTGAAGATTTGCTGAGATCACATAAGCTACGCATAAGCATTCGTTGAGATTCTGATTTTCCCGAAGCAGACTCACCACTGGAAAAGATTAATAACAGAGAATAGCGAAACGGGTATCAAGGCATTAAACCAAGCCCATGGATTTGAGGTTGTGCATAAACGATGGTCCGAGATACACGCATCATCAATGTTTGGAATATCACGAGTGCATAAGGGGAAAGTGGCGTAAATGAGTCGAGGTAAATTTCAAGATGGATAAATGGTTACAAACACGGCAGAAAGAGTAAGTTAGCAATTACAAGAATAAACAAAACAGGACTCGAACCATTGCGACTGTATTCGCGTAAATGAAATACCAAAACAGGAACGTAAACCGCATAGCAGTTTTGTAATAATTTACTGGATATTGTTTTTGGACTCTTTTGGTTGGCTGGGATTTCTCTTGGTAATTGGCATAAAGTTGTATTTCTGAGATGTTTTCTTGAATTAGAGTATACATGCATTTATGATTCAGAACACAACAGTGGAGTTTGAAAACAGTCCAACCCAATACATGAATCTGATGATCGTACAGTGTATACCAAAAGTAAAAGAGATCATTTTCAACACAAACTATAGTTTGTGTGCATCATATGATGGACAGTGTGTTTTGAAGAATTGAGAATACCAGTTTGGAAAGCGCAATGCTCAAGTATTGCGCTTTCCAAAGCAAAGCAATGATCCATTTTACGTGAATGCGATAGTAAGCAGAGAGCAAGCCATGGCTCTACTAACTCTTTCAATACTATCAACAACAGGCTTACTGCACAACACACTTCAAGTCAGGCTTGATAAAGCCTCTCAAGCCAACATCACCCGTGGCTGTGTGACCAATGAGCTCAAGCTCAAAGCATGGCCAGATATGCAAATGGGCGTTGAAAATAGGATAATAAAGCAATTGATAAATGGTTGAGGGGTTTGAAAGATGCATTACAGTATCATATCAACAGAAGATATAGATAGGATTCCAGTAGACTTACAGCAAGACTATGGCCTGGTCCACACTCGAGCGTAGCATGTGCTGATAAGCAGATGCAGCAATGCCAAAGACATGTGGAGCCTGACTAGTGATTTTGGAATGAGGATGAGCAGATGGAGCAAGAGTAGTCTTGTATACATCAGCATACTCCTTTGAAGCAGCATCAGTATTTGATGCCAATGAGCGAGCAGGACGAACAGCAACCAATGCACGGTTGCCTATACGAGTATACATGAGGTCTTTGGACAGTCTTTGCGACAAGCAGATGGCAACATCGGCAGTAGTCAATGTTTGAATGGGTTGAGTGTCAGTCTGCTTGTTCCTGTAAGGAAGCAGCAAGGACAGATCGTCAACTGAATCGAGTGGTTCCAGCCCAGTATCAACAGCATATATATTGGCACGACCAGGACGAACCATGATGATTAATAGACAAGAAATTAGTTTGGAATTTGTAAACTTGCAGTGGATTGCTTTGCTATTAAAGTTCACCCGAGTTGCCCGCCAGCAGCGCATCAAGTCAATACTTCAAGTTAGTTGTTAGTAGATCGAATGCATTTGTACAGTCTGCAACTCAATCTAAATCTGAATCTGGATCGTTCTATTGCTCACTCTCGCTCTAAACTGTGCATTTTCGACTCGACTACACTCGTTACTCTTACGACTCGTTCGTATCTGCCATTCACACCTCCTAGTCTGGACTCGCCATTGCATTCATTCCCTTGTCCTTCAGTACTCATTCAAGACTCTCGTATAACTCATAAGACTGGCTCGTCAGACTGGAGATTAGGCCCAATAGCTGTATTTTGGTACGATTTTATTACTGTCGATATGGATCCTGACTTGGACCAGTCTGCAGACCTTGGTGTTGACCTTGGTGTTGATAATCCATCGTCTGATGTTCCTCTGCAGCAATCACATTCTGTCTTGTCGGATACTGCAGACCATTCTCAGCACAGAGTGCTGACAAGCGGAGTGTTTGTGCCTGTTGCTTCTCCATCAGAAGGTGCGAGTCTGGGTGTGTTGCATCTGTACAAGGACAAGAACGATGTTATGCAATATCTACAACTCGATCCTCCATCTGCTGAATCTGCAAGTCAAGTCTCTCCCTCTGATGACCAATTCAATCAACTGCTGCATGTCTTGGGTTCCATTGTTGCTGTTCTTGCTGTTCCGCCTCATATCATTCCTCAAGAGTTTCTTAAACTCATGGGTGCTTGTCGTAAATCCATGTCACATTTGCGCATTATTAAAGATTCTGTTCCAAACAGGTTTATTATGCTTCTCAAGTTTCGTTCTGCAAGAGCTGCATACCGTTTTTATGACAACTTCAATGGCAGATCTTTCAATTCATTCGAACCTGAAATCTGTCATGTCGTATTCATCAAATCTGTCGAATTCGATTCTCCTGACATTCCAAAATATGCTTTCTCGCCTGCTTCGCCAGATCCTGCTTTATTACTCAATTCAGAATCTTGTACTCTACCCAACACCATAACAAATTCACAATCCATTCAAAACAATCTGTCACCATTGCTCTCCGATCCTCAAAAATCATCTTCCTTGTTAGAATTGCCCACTTGTCCCGTGTGTCTAGATCGCATGGATTCCTCTGTCACTGGTCTTTTAACTATTGTCTGTCATCATACTTTTCATTGCAGTTGTATCATGAAATGGGGTGATTCCACCTGTCCTGTTTGTCGTTACTCTTCTACAAAAGAATCAGACTCTCTTCATCCGTCTTCCTCCCCATTGAACGAGTGTTCCGATTGTGCATCTACAGAAAACCTTTGGATTTGTCTAATCTGTGGCAGTATTGGTTGTGGTCGATACTTTCAAGGTCACGCATTCAAACACTATCAAGAAACAGGCCATGTCTATGCACTGGAATTGGAAACACAACGTGTATGGGATTATGCTGGCGATGGATACGTGCATCGGTTAATTCAAAACAGAACTGATGGAAAACTGGTCGAATTGCCTGCACCTTCTAGCTCGCTGCATTCTTCCATCAATGGTCTTACTCCTCATTCCAACGTGTTGGGTCCTGTCTCGGCTTCCCCTTACTTTGCTGCCGATGGAAGTGTTCCTAGTTCAAGCGCAGGCTATATCTCTCATGTACTTGGCAGACGAGCAATGGGTCTAGATACTCTCGATCCACACTCCATCATTACTGTCCAGGATGCTGCTATTGCAGAAAAAGTAGATGCACTGGGTCTAGAGTACTCGCATATGCTACAGTCTCAGCTTGATACGCAGCGTAAATGGTTTGAACGACAACTTACCAAAATTGAAAATGCAAGTGTAGAGCATATCTCTTTTCTTGACCAAAATCTAGATACACTGCGCGAAGCATATCGACAGACATGTGCAGAGAGGGATTCGCTTTTGAGTGTAGTCAATCAGCATGTACGTGAAAAAAAGCAAACGGATCGCAAAATGGAACAGCTATGTGATAGGCTAGGTGCGCTAGAGCGAGATACGCGCGAGGAACAGGCATTGAATTCCGGCTTGCAGGATAATCTAGTCAAGCTAAGAGCAGATTTGGAAGCAAGTCTGCATGCTGGTTGTAAAAAAGATGCATTGATATCAGAATTGCAGGAACAAGTCAGAGATGTAATGTTTTATGTGGAAACACTACAAAAGGTTGACAGTGGACCCTTGGCAGACGAATTGAAACATGCAACGGTTGTGGGTGTTGCCGACGCTCCCATACCTTCTGGCTCAAACTCATCTATACACAGAAGGCAAAAGGGTAAAAGAAAATAAATAGCCAACTCTATAGAGCATACCCATCCTTTTAAATCTGGACAGAATAAATTGTATTGCCTACCCCAACTTTATCAATAATCAACTAGTTAAAATAGACAGAATTCATTTAAAAGTATTCAACTGTATGGCCTGACACATTGAGGGCTGTTTTAATCCATGTTTGAATCATCAAGAATCTCTTCTGCTGCGTTTGCGATCCCGAGAATCGCTACGATGCACGGCTCGGCGATGTGCAGGAGAAACGGATGAGTCAGGGGAAGGCTTACGACGATACTCACCACGATAACTGGATGAAGATTCAGATGGTGATAAGGAGGGTGATCGTCTTGAAAGACGCTTACGAGTAGCTCTACCAGGTGGGCTACGTGAGCGAGGAGATTGAGAAGGTGATCGACGACGACGATGGATACTTGGTGATCTGCTGCGGCTCGTGTTTAAACCATGATTGCGGTTACGAGACCGATCAATGCTGCGAGATCTACTACGGTCTCGACTAGAACTCTGACGATAATTACGAACACGATCCAAACGATGATTCACACTACGGGACCGACTACGATCATGAATACGGCTTCTACTTTTGTCAATGCTGCGATCTCTGCCTCTGTCAATGCTGCGATCTCTGTTTCTGTCAATGCTGCGATCTCTACCTCTGTCAATACTGCGATCTCTACCTCTGTCAATACTGCGATCTCTGTTTCTGTCAATGCTGCGATCTCTACCTCTGTCAATACTGCGATCTCTGCCTCTGTCAATGCTGCGATCTCTGCCTCTGGCAATACTGCGATCTCTGCTTCGTTCTCTATAACGATCACGACTCTGATTTTTGTTACGATCAGTATCATTTTTAAAAGGAGCACCTGAGCTAATAGAACGATCACGACGATGTGGAGAAGTCGACCGAGTTAAATGATGACTGGCAACACGACGGACAGAACGTGGACTATGATTTGATCTGTTTTGAGTACTTTTTGGGGAAGCGCGCCTTCGATTGAAAGATTGTTTTTGGCCAGCATCACTGGTATCAGTCTCTGATCCACTCAAAGAATCACTGGATGAATCACTGGATGAACTGCTAGATGAGTCTTGACTGCCACTTGAATCAGACTCGGAGTCGGAATCTGAAGAATCCGAGTCACTATCGGACGAAGAATCAGAGCTAGAATCAATAGCTTGTTTTTGCTGCAGAATCAACTTGGGTGCATTCTTGAGATGCTCACGTAGATCCTCAGTCAGTGAACCTAATCCAATACTGGTAAAATAATTGATTGCAAATCGAGTGTTTTTGGGATTGTCTTTTGGGAAAAGACCGTCAAAAGCACCACGTAGAGCCATACCACCAGATGTAGCAACAGTAATGGTCATAGTCTTGTAAATAGTCTTTCTCGTAATTTTTTAAGACCAAATGACTCGGACAAATCCTGAAAAATGGTTTTAAGGAAAATACGCGATGATGCAGTGGTTTCGGCTTCAGTAATTCGCACAAGAGCAAAAACCTGCCATGTCAAAGCATCAGTAGCGAGCAAATGGGAAAAGTACTTGGCAGTGTTACGCAGTCTATTCGTCTCAAATCGATGAATGGTTTTGTAAGTTTCTTCAAAAGCCTGCGCAAAGCTAGAAGCCCATCCTTGATTAATACGGCAAAATCGCTCACCAAGCAATCCATAGAAATTAACATAGGTACGCTCCTGACTACAACACTCGATAATCATGTTGCATAGTTCAATTTCTTGCCCTGATTGAATATTGAGCTTCATGAGCTTGTGTGCACATTCCTCAAAGTTGAGACTCGACATAATGGTAAGATAAATACCACGACGAAGATTAATCAGATTGGTATTAGTCTCATCTTGAATCACAAGCTTTTTTTGAGCATCTTCAAAGCCTGCCTCTGCCTCCTCTTCATCTTCGTCACTGCCATCTGCATCGCTTGCCGAACCAGATCCGGACTCGTCAGAATCATCTCCAAGAATCTCTCGTTTCATAGCCTGGTATTTTTCCTCACTGTCTAAAAAATCTGGATCTAGTTTGAACACATTGAGGATATCTTCAGTGACTAGCTCATCTGGAAGACTGACCATGTGAGTGATCTGATCAGCTTCTTCCACAATATCAAGTCCTTCAGGGATAGCCAGATTATCTTTGAATTTATCTTTTCGTACTTGAAACAATACCTCAATCATGTACTGGGTACGCTTATCGATTTGACTTTCGTGCAGGATACTACGGAACCGCTCAAAAACAGCATTGGTTGCTTTGGGAGATTCCTCGGTTAAAAATGTACCAACCTCACGCATGAATCCAACAGCCACTTCAACCGAGTCATCTGTAGGTCTTTCAATTAGCAAAGTAAGGATCTGCAAAGCGATGATTTCGTTTGCCACACGATGGTTCACCAAATGGGCGATAAATTTGCTGGAAGCCAAACAGACTGTCTTATCACTGCGACGGAACGCACGACGAAACTGGGCCAAAAGTCGATTAAGCAATAGATCACCAATAACAGGAAACTTGGTATTCACAACAGCAATCAAACTGGCATAGACGGGAGTAAAGGGCAGAGAAGCAGTTTGGGCTTTCATAATACTTTGACACAGTAAACCTCTCCCACGAATAAGATTTTCAGAAAAAAGCTCTGGGATAATGTTCTTGATATTAGCAACGCTGACTTTGTTGACGAGACCATTAATGCTTTTTTTGAGAGCTTCCCAAGTCATACGCTGGTAATCTTCACTTGATCTATCAGTGATGGAAGCCTGCAATGCCCTAAGTCTAGCCGGAGGAATGTATGCACCTCCAGCTCTACCATAAAGTGATGTCTTGGATGTAGCAGTTGGATTCTGACTAATTAGAACAGACTTGTGATTTTTAGTGTCTGGACTGCTGTTGGGAGTAGGACTGCGAGCATCTCGGTTGGAACGAATTTGCCTTTTATTGTCGTTGCTGAATGATGTAGAAACTGGACTCTGAGGAGACCTCGAGTCAGAAACCACCGATGCAGTGGTGGTTGGCATTGCTAGATGAGTTGTGTTGAGCCAGTCAGTTCAAACTCAACTCTCCCGTCACGTGAATTATTCCACTTTTGACATTACAGTCATATTCACGTAAAATCAATCATTTTTATATCTTGTTGCTTTTGAATATAAAATGATTGAGTGATCGTTGTGTTTTCTTAATGAACATTCTCGACCCAATATAAGCACAATGATCATCATATAATACAAACTGCTCTTTAACACTCATACATTGTATGACCATCAGACTTGTCCAAATTCAGACATCGAGTTCAACTGTTGTCAAACTATTGTTGTATTCTAATCTTACAGATACGCTCGCGTTCTAATTCAAGAGAACATCACAAATGACAATCATCAAGAAACCAGTCAACTAATGAGTTCAATGTTGTCCTGTCAATTTGACGCCAGTCTACAACACTGACTATTTAATATTTCAACACTTTGTATTTCATTTTACGTGAATACGGCTGTAAACCAAAGAAACAAAAATATTCATTCAACGGCCTGCAGCCAATTTGGAAAGATGTGCCGGCTGAAATGAAAAGCCAAACAAGTGAGTAGAGTAATTAATCGCTTTATATATAGAGATATATAAAATAATACCCAAATGTGAAAACGTATGCTACTAGTAAAGGATGGGTGCCATAGCAGAGCGGATTCTGTTGTAATCTTGTAGGGCCTCAACAGGGCCATATCCAATCACTGCAACTTCACGATCGTAGATGTACTTGGAAGACACTTTCATAACATCATTAACAGTGACAGACTCGATCAAACCATCAATCTCCCATGGAGTTAATCGCTTTCCATAAACAAGCATTTGACGACCAATGTCCTCTGCAATAGGAGTGGTACCATCAAGAGCAAGAAGCAAGGAGGTCTTGAGCTGATTCTTTGCACGGAAAACCTCTGCCTCGGTTATGTTGATTGCAAGGCGGTGCCATTCCTTTTGAATGTAGTGCACTAAATCGGAAAGGTGCATGAAATTTTCAGAAACTGCATAAACACCAAACAGACCAGTATCCGAGTACGAGGTGTTGAATGACATGAACGAGTTGGCAAGACCGTGCTCGCCCACCTTCTGTGCAAGCTTGGATGACACATGTGAAGCAGCACCAAGAGATCGATCCCATGACCCAATAATGGACTGAGCAACGAGGAGTGGCCAGTAGTCAGGGTTGGTCCAAGAAACACCTTCAACAGCAAGAGCAATGTGTGCAGTAGGATGGTTGTCAAAACGAGCCTTGACATCTGAACCAATAAAGGGGGTCTTTTCGGGTTTGGTTTTTTCAGGCCCAGCTTTGAGAGATCCAAAGTGCTTTTCGGCTAGCTTGACAAGAGCATCGTGGTCAACACCGCCAGCAGCAGAAAGAACCATGCGGTTGGGCTTGTAGTTTTCAGAAATATAATTGACTAGATCCTGGCGAGAAATGCTCTTGATGTTTTCGCGAGAACCAAGAATGGTGCGACCCAGAGATGATCCCTGAAAAGCAGCACCATGAAGCAAGTCAAAAACGACTTCTTCCTTATTCTTGTCAACTTCCTCGGACTCGCGCAAAATCACATCACGCTCACGCGAAATGGCATCTTCGCTAAGAGTTGAGCCTTGGAGAATATCAGAAAGGATTTCAACAGAGGTACCAACATCACCAGCAAGTGCCTTGGCGTAGTAGACAGTTTGCTCACGAGAAGTATATGCGTTCAAATGTCCGCCAATATTTTCAATCTGAGATTCTAGCTGCAGCTGTGTGCGGGACTTGGTTCCCTGTATATTTGAATTAGTCAAAGTTGTAATTGAGTCATAAATTAATAAGTCGTGATCAACATTGAAAATTGATTGGACAACATTGTTGTAAACTCTTTAGTTCACAGGTCTTCAATGACTGACATGAAGACAACTGTTGCATTCCTGCAATCTTGTTTTTTTGAATTGCAATTCAAAGAACGAGTTTTTAAAATACAACAGTGGAGTTTGGCCGACAACAGTTGAATCCAATGCGGATTACAATGCGTTTGGTTTCAAACTTGGTGATCGTAGTGTATGACTATACCAAAAAGGGAAGATTCCACACAAACCATTCCAGTTCAAAACTATAGTTTGTACAATGAATGTTGCGTCTATTGAAGAAGCAGTCAATTTGTAGTAACAGAGCCAAGCGAATATTCAACCATTGTCTATTTTAAAGCAAAATAGCGACCGCAAGATAATGCAAGTGGTTCATTTTACATGAATGTAGCTAATATAAATTACCTTGAAAGCCATATGTTCTAGAAAGTGAGCAGTGCCATTGGTTTTTGCAGTTTCAAACCGAGAGCCAGCATCGATCCATACGCCCACCGTAGCTGTCTGGTTGTTGGGGTTAGATTCTGTAGCAACAGTAAAGCCATTGCTAAGACGGGTGACCTTGGTCTCTGGCACATTAGCGAGAGATGCTGGGTACGAGTACTTTAGCTGATCAGCGCTAGGGGAAGGACTGGTAGCAATAGCAGAAGAATAGTTGCGAGACAGTATAGTGCGCTGCGACTAAGCCAACAAGATTCCATGAATTTATCAATAGATCAAAGTTGTATAATGCAACAGTAAAAAAGAGTTAGATTTGCCAGGAGTATTTGTTGGGTTTAAAGTGAATTCAAGGAGAAAATCAAGCCAGTGTAAAATAGCAGCAAGAGCAGCAACATGATTGGCAAGAACCAGACACTCTTGAGCAAGTTGTATTTTAACATGCATTAGTGAACCCAATGGCATAGCACATGCCAAGTCTATCCACTGACGTTTCAAACAAAACAACAGAACTGCAACATCCTTCATTCTTGGACTTTCAACCAGAATCATTGTAATTTGTGGAAACAGAAGATTCAAGCAAGAAGAGTACAGCGGTATAATGGGTATGCCATGTTAACACACCTTGGCAGCAGCAGCGGTCTTTACAGCCAACGACCTGATCATTGGTATTCAAAGTATGGCAAGCAAGAAATCAATGTTTTCTTTGGTCAATTAACGTAAAGAGTGCATTGATCTATATCACGTGACTGATATCAGTTGTCTTTATTGGACTGCAGTTCACATCAATCCAATCGGATCTTCAGACTAGCAAGTGAATTCGTGATCCAAACCGGATATCCATCTGCTCCAATTATCTTGCCTGGATCCTTGTCTTTTTCTGCTTTTCTCTCCTCTTCTATTGATACACTTTTGGATCCTTTATAATAAATGCGCATGTACTCGCAAATAAATGCTGGAAAATCATCCCGTGTGATGCTGGCCCGAATATCCCTCATTAGTCGCATTTGGTATGCAATATTATGAATACTAAGTAAATGGCACCCTATTGTTTCGCGTGCATGTATCAAGCGGTACAGATAGCTTCTTGTATGGTTCTTGCAAGTAAAGCATACGCAATCTTCTTCAATGGGTCTATGATCCCGCTGATATTGCTGGTTACGCAAACGTAATGCTCCTGATCTTGTAAGTGCATTCCCAAATCGTGCTGTTCTAGTCGGAAACACTGCAATCATATGTTTTTAAACACAAAGTCAGATATTGTCAAGTGATTACTTTTAAAAACACTTGCTTCACTTACCACAATCGTACATGTCTACGCCCAAAGCAGAGCATACAACCAAATCTTCGCCATACCCTACCCCCATACAATATCTCGGCTTGTCATATGGCAATAAATCTGTGCACAGCGAGACAATTCTCCAAAACGTGTCTTTGGATTCCCCGCCTGACAACCCGCCAATAGCATACCCATTTGCATTGCGTTTGGTCATCTCCTGAATACAAGTTCGACGCAAACGCTCATCTAATCCACCTTGTATTATTGGAAACAGGCTTTGTGTTTTAGGTTTGGCGTGGGCAGAAAAACATCGATCTAGCCAGCGAATACTACGCCACATGGCCTCCTCCACTCTTGGTCCTGTAACAAGCGACGATACAACATCGTCAAGTTGCATAATAATGTCGGCTCCAATTGCATTTTGAATCTCAATTGAATGTTCAGGTGTCAATAACGTCATTGTCTTTTCATCAAATGGTGACATGAATTGAACACCTTTTTCAGTAATCTCGGATAGCTCCAATAGTGATACCATCTGGAAACCGCCGCTATCATAAATTAAAAGTGGAAACATACGGTTAGATACAATAACAGATCAGCGTGACGAGTAAATTGGAAACTGTCATGATCAGCCAATATTGCTTCAATGAGCTTGAAACTCAGTAGCAGAAATGGTCAGATCGATTGACTCTATCCAGTAACTAAAAGGACTATTCTGACAAAGCTATACAACAAATCAGAGCTGTATCCTCAGACAACAGCAGTAACCAACAGTTCAAATAAAGCAGAATTTATTTATACAAACTACCTGTCTGTCAGCATGCCCCGATTCCAATTCATAAACTTGTGAAGTCCACCCACTTTATTCAACACCTCTTTTCCTGGCTGTAATGCCAAATGATAAGTGTTTCCAAGAATAGTATGGCAATCAAGCTGTTCCATTTGCTCAGTTGTTAAACCTTTCATGCATCCAGATGTCCCGACAGGCATAAACATGGGAGTATGGGCAGTGTAATGTGGTAGTCGCATATGTGACACTCTGCCCTTTGTGTATGAGCATTTCGCCTGGATATCAAATATGAGTGGAGACTGGTCTTTATCATTCGAGTCCATGGCTTGTTGATAAAGTTTGGAAATTCAATTTTGCTGACATCTCAAAAAATCCTTGCAATCATCATATAATACAAACTGCTCTTTAACACTCATACATTGTATGACCATCAGAGTTGTCCGAATTCAGATATCGAGTTCAACTGTTGTCAAACTATTGTTGTATTCTAATCTTACCGATACGCTCGCGTTCTAATTCAAGAGAACATCACAAATGACAATCATTAAGAAACCAGTCAACTAATGAGTTCAATGTTGTCCAGTCAATTTGATAAAAACTGATTGTTTATTATATTTTGACTCTTTTATTTGATGATTCATTTTATATGAATACAGTTTGAAATACTCGAGAAATATGTTTATTTACCACAAAATGCTATTCTCCATATCCAGGTTGCTGTACAATCCCATCCAAGCTTCAATCAAAGCCACTATATCCAGCTCTCCATTGGAATTAAACAGTTGAAACTGTCTCTATAATTTTCAATGATATAATAGTTGGTAAATATATCTATTGATCAGACTACAGCAAGATATTAAATTTGAAAAATCTACCTGCTGTGAAAGTGATTGAATTTTCAAGGCAAGCTCTTTGGAAGGATGCAATCTAAGCTGATCATGGTCAAGGGATTCCAGATTGGATTCAGAGATCAGCTTATGTGTAATGGCTGTTCAAAATCATAATTAAAAAACCATGTAAGTTGTGAATTCGCGCGGTTTCAAAAGTTGGTCAATACAACTCACGTTTGTACTCTGTTTTCAGCCAGCTGATCAGCTGTGTCGCTACTTGTAATGTTTCTTGTGAAAGACTGGCATGTGTTTGTACAAGTCTTTCAACATCTGATGCGATCGCAGCTGGATTTTGCAAATGCTTATCTATACGAATCTGATCCTGTATCGTGAATAATACAATTGTAATTTAGATTCATGTCCCACACCACTACATTAGTGTGCTGGAAAGCAAATCTGAGTAGGCATTCAAAAATACTTGCCAATGTATCTTGAAGAGTAGTGGCCAATTTTTTAAACTCTTTTCCCTGCTGTGTCCATGATTTTTGGTTGTTGCTCATTTGAATAATTGAATTAAGCAGCTCATTGGTTTGCAATAGTGTCTGTGCCTATTGTAGTGATAAGGTCATGAAATTAGCACTGATTTTCATATAGTTCTGCATCAAACAAGACAATTATATTACCCTGGTGAGTTTGAGCTGGAGTTCAACAGGAAGTGTAAGAGGAGGAGTATAAACTGGAGGTATAATGGCACGACCATCATATGTAGATTCGATCTTAATCTGATGGCTTAGTAAATCTGATGTGATTGCCAGTATCAATCTTTCAAACCTATTGATTTCAACAAGTTGATTAGCATTCTAATTTTATAAAACAGTATGTATAACAGTGTGGTACAAACCGATCACTGCGAACATTGTCCAAGTCCGATTTTCGAAATGTAAGACGAGCTAGTGCAGGTAGTTGAATAGCACGAGTCTTTCGCAGTGCATCCAATGACTTGAAAACAACCAGACGAAACTCTTTGGCCTGCAATAAAGTAGTGGGTGGATAACAATCTGTGAATCTCTAGTAAATGCAATACCAAAATAAAGGTTAGCACTGGTTTCAAGGTATTTAGACTAGCCATCAATATGAGCAACACCATGTTGATATGTTTCAATACTGGAAATAAACTGTTTTGTACAAGCTAGCTTGTAGCCCAGTAGTGCTTGGGTTGGTTTCAGACTCTTTACCTGCAGTGATGGTGGATCTAGAGCAACAACAAGATAATGAAGAATATGCTCCCAAAGTCGGCCATTGGAGGTTTTTCCAAAAAGTTTAGCAGATGGATCCGAAAGATTAACCAGGAATGGACAATTCAACAGAGTAAGGGATGTAAGTATAGCTGAATGCATTCCAAATTGGATTCAATAGTGAAACTCGAATCCACCATCAAAACTGCTATTCACGTAAAACATATTTATCTCGCAGTGACTGTCGCTACTCTGTTTTGAAATATGTAATGGTTAAATATTTGTACTTTTCTACTAGAGATCAGCCTTAATTCAGACAACGTTCATTATGAAACTGGCTGTTTGCTATACAAACTCTTGTTTCATTTACGTGAATACGGCGGTGCAGTCCAATGACAGCAACTCGCGAGCTTTGAATCTTTAGTTGTCCAAATGTGGGTTCCTAATGACTACACAGCCTGCTCAAGTAATACATGGATAATTGCAATAATGCGCTGTAGCCATTTGGTCATAGCAGGGGTGGAGTATAAGCAATGAATGGATAGCAAGTTCCCATAATGTGCAAACAGCTTCACGCCACAAAACAATCAAATACCAACAACGATCAAAGCCACTTTGCTTCATATCAAAGCGTTGTGGTGGATATAAAACCAGCTTGTTTCCATCTTGTTGTTACTCCAAATTCTGCAAAATGGTCAACGTCTACTCCTCTGTCGCTGCTCTCGCTCTGTTTGCCAACTCTGCTGCTGCCAGCACCAAATGGTCTGTCTGGACAGATGCTGCCTGCACAGCTTCCACTGGTATCTCACAGACTCTTAACGATGGTCAGTGTTACTCTCCCACTGATTTCTGTTCCGTACTTGGTTCCAACTCCACCTCGTGTATTGAAAAAACCAAGGCGATGGGTATGGTCTCTTTCAAGGAAACTGTTCAAGGATCTTTGCTATCTATCATGTCCTACAACTGCACTGGATGTGGACCTTGTGCTGGCAGCGCAGTCCCCTTCCCTTGTGGACAATGTATTTCTACAGGAATGTTGATCGGTGCTGGGCCTAGCGCCTACTTCAAAGCGGATTGCTCTGCTACTTCTACTACCATCCCTACTGGATCGCCTGCTGCTGGTGCTGCCGGCTCCTCAAAAAGCAGCGGTGTGCGCTCCTCTCCCTTATTGGCTGGCGGTGTGTTTGTTGCCACATTAATCACTGCATTCGCCATGGTGCTTTAGTATCTGTAACTGCCAACGTTGACCTCGATCTCTGAATGTTATCCAACCCTTGACATACTGTTGACTATGAGTGCTCTTGACACTTGAGCTATTTTTATCTTAAGCCATAATTAAAAATGTTTTCTCAATTTCATTTCAAATGCTGTTGGTTCAATAACCACTGTCGAATGCCCCGAGCATGCAACATTAGAAGCCACATTGGGTGTATTTGGAAAATGTATTTATTAGATTGTTGACCAGTACTGTTGACCATTGTATGCAATATCCACTCTAAAACAAATGAAAATCTGTTGTGAGCGGAATGAGACACGTGGCAATGTGGATTAAAAGGGTGAAAACAATGGATCACAAATTCACCAAAATTGCCCATATTGAAACCCTTGTCCATTGAACCAAGTAAAAATGCAACATGGGCTGAAATGAGTGCACCGGATACTATGACGCATAATTAAACAATTGAAGAATTCACCATAGTAGCGTGTTGGCTACCATCAGTAAAAGTAAAATGACTAGCTTGTAGCGGTACATTGCAATAACTTTCAGTGGTTGTGGCTAATCTACCTTGAGTAGTATACATCAGAGGTGTTTTGTATAAAATCGCACTTGACTGTGGAGATGATATACCTTTGGGAGAAATAGATTCAGCTGACATTCTCATACTGGTTGTAATCATATCAGGCAAAAGATCGTTGCCATCTTTGGTCTCTTGAAAAGACCGAGATGCCATACTTGGTGCCCAGTCATTTGTCATTTCATGAGTGCTAGAAAGTTGATTTAACATGGACGCACCAACACTCAAGTTGCTTTGAGTATCCACATAATCATTATGACTAGTCCTGAGTTGGGTTCTCGAGGAAGCTGCCAAAAACCCATTTCCTTTTGGTGTCGAGATTAATGGCAGCTCTGTTGTGATATGTGGTAAACGCGATGCTGGAGATAACAATGCGCTGCTTGTCGCAGGTATTTCAGCCATACCAGATATAAACCCATGCTGTTTCTTATTGTATACAGTAGACTCACTGGTGGACGCATGTTCAGTCACTAGATCTTGGATGGGAAGCAGCGATCTCGGTGATTGTAGTATAGGTTGTAGAGTGCTTGAAGCACTGGGCTGAAAATTGGACTCGGTGCTTAAAGGCATGGAAATACTGGGTGCATATGTAAAAGAAAAGCACATTGGAGTACTTTCTACCAGTCCATTCGTGGTATTCATGCCAGGTATATTTGAGTCTGATCCAAGTTGTTTTGCCACAGTGAGAAACATTGTTTCCGAGTCATAAGGGTAGCTTATACTTTCTTGAGTGCACATCTCTTGTGTTCCCTGTTGATTGCCTATCTGCATTGGAAATGGCATGTTCAAAAACGGCTGTACAGATTGTATATCTGTGGATACACAGTGACTCTTGTCAACAAAATGCGCTTGCTTTGCCGACTGTTTGAGTGGAGAATACGACCCACTTACTAAAGGTATTCCAAGTCTCTGCGGCTGATTGGGGTTTGAAAATAAAAGATGTGACTGTCCAGCCACAGAATTCAACTCTTTTTGAGCAGCCATGGCTGCTGCTCTTGTTTGTTTAAGATTCTTTTTTGGACCCTTGATTCGATCCTTGCGAGGAACATCAGTGCATGAGAGCTCAATACCGTGAATTACACAGCGATTACAAGGTCGTTCATGGCTGCATTTTTTACATGCCTTGCGACAATTGATGCATGCGGTTTTTACCTGATCGCGTTTCCGCTTGTTGGCTTCTTCGGTAAGCTTTAATCGAGCCAAATGTGCTGCATACAGTTCTGTAGAACCATCTATCCACAGTGGGGTAGATGTGGCTGCCGTAGATGAAAGTTTATACTCTGCTCCAGAATTGGAACTGGTCGATATTTTCATTGCAGTAGTTGAGAATGATGCATTGTCTGATTGCGATTTGGATGACATTGTGGGTGATGCAATTGTAGAATGAATCATATCATTTGTAGATGGAGTTTGCTCAAATAACTCAGCAGAGACATTGATGTCATTCCTCTCATTGCACTGCTCAGCCTGAAAGTCGCAGTGTTGGGCATTTTGTTTCTCCATCACAGATTGATCCGATCTTGAAACATGGAGTCGTTTGGATGCTCGTGATTTACGTCTTGGTTTACAAGCTTTGGAAACTACACCATCGTCTGTATGAGGTGTGATGAGGGGCGTAGGTGAAGGCTGTCGTGAATTTTTTCTGGATAAAGTCTGGGAATTAGCCTGGTTTTCATATGCATATATACCGGTTGAATCCATCATGCTTTGGTGGGCCGCATCTCTGTAGGCATTGACTGAGTGGATTGAAATGGGAGGCATATAGGCTTGAAATCCATTAGACATTGATTCATAAGGGTAGCCAATCAAGGTTTGGTACTGGGATGAAGGCAACAGAGTATGAGGCTGCAGTTGCAATGGAATAACTTGCTGAAGCTGTGATGGATGATGAACCGCATCTTGATATGGATAGATATTGGTGGGCGATACTTGCAGTAATTGATGATGAAAATCAACCCCAATCTGTGCATAATGACTGGTGGGAAACCCAGAATTTTGATGTGGAGCATACATAATCTGTTGGGTTGGCTGCTGTGCGTAATACTGTTGGGAAGGCAGGACAGCTGATTGTGCACTCAAATGAACAGCATTAGATGGAGTATATACGTACTGCAATGGCATAGATGCAGCAGTATGCATATATTGGTTTTGGTCATAAACGCTGTTTGAATGAATTATCTTTTTGGAGTTGGCATTGCAAGTGCCACTATCTGTATTGGCACGAACACGCTCGATTATACGCGGCGGAGACGACGCGACCAGCTCACCAGAAGTAGTTGAATTATAAGTTGCTTCAGTAACAGTACTCACTGACATTACGGGTGATATAGAGGTGGATACAAGGTTATCCGATACCCTATTTTGCTGTTGAGCAGTGTTTATCGCATAAGAAAGATAGGCTGGGCTTTGATGCAGTGCAAACTGATGTTGAATCTGCGGGGTCACTTGGACAGAATTGATATCATGTACATTGGCAGGCTGGTGATGGTATTGAATGTGCGATAGCCCCAGCTGAGTATATCCTTGAAGGTGTTGTTGGGAAGGGGAAGATGAATGAAGATGCAACAATGATGGCGGAGGAACAAGAGGCAGGCGGTGTTGCTGAGAGTCCATGTCAATAGCAGGACATAAGCCCGACAGATTCTCAGCTATACTCTGACCACTGTGTGATGCATTTTCTGTCTCTGCACTTTCTAACAACAAGCAGTGAGTGAGCATTGTGTTTCAATTACTAAATATATATAATTAAGCTGGTATAGATCTTGACGCAATGATGTAACAGTAGTAATCTAAATCAATTGGATCTAAATACAGAGTACAGTTGACATGGAAAAATAAGTAATCTGAAATTTCATAATGCACATTCTATTTATGCTAAAGACAACCCAATAGAATACGGTGTAGTAGATTGCAGATGATTTAAATGTAAAATATCAACTTTTTAAAGATCTGTATGTTATCAATGGTGTTGGTTTAATGGAAACGGAATACCTTATATATCTATTGCTCCGCAAAAAATACTTTGGTATAGCTGAATGTAGGGCCGACGAAAGCTGAAAGTTTGAAAGTTGGATGAGTAGCAAGAGATAAATTCTGGCGGCCAGATACTGTGGCAAAATATAATTAAAAGTTCAAGGTGGATTTAGTACAGCCTCCCAAACTACAAAAATGCGAATAAAGCAGCTAGATAATGTGCAAAAAAGGGGGAGAGGCATAGTGAATATTAGATCCCATCAACTGACCGCATAAATATAGACACTTGTTGAATCTATTGCAAACTCAGCTCCAACACGAGTAAACAGATGTGAGTTGGAAAAGCATCAGATGGGCGGAGAATATGTTTTAATCTATTAAGGAGGAAAAAGTCAAGTCGAGTGCTTGTAGTTCAATATATAGACATGTGGATGCCACATTTTTTCCATAATTCCGACATACTACCATCGAATACTCTCGACAGACGCGTCCAGCCTCAAAACTAAATTTTATATGGATATTCTAGTTGGAATGTAGTAAATGGCTAAAATAGGCGGAGTTTTGGGTTCATGCAAAACGAAGTCGAGGAAAGGCTACTGCGAATACAGCCGAATAAAAAGCAAAGGTTGGTTTGGATATACATGACGCTGGTATTTTACCACAAACAAATATCATACTTTTGAGCAACAACCATCTGGACCTCTGAAAATTGTATTTTATCATCATATCAAGAAATTAGATTGTATTAAGTGCTAGTTAGAGATTGAAAAATCTAGACCAATTCAATACATGGTATTTCAACTAAATAGCAAATATATTACTCATTAGATTCAAAATAAACTATGACAGTCTGAATACTTTATTACCAATCCAACCTTGATCATTTTATATAAAACCAGCACATGTGAATGGAAATACAAGATGTGTATAATGAAGAGTGTCAATTTTACATGATGATTTTTCTGGCACTAAAAGCTCTTTGATATCCATCTTGTACAAGCGATTACACATGTTTGAGTATCAATCTTGTTATTAGTGCAGAGTTTAGCAGTCCTTTTGCATTTTTCTTTCAAGTAGACATCTGTTTTCGTTTCGCAGAGCGCGACTCCACTATTTGCTCGTCACCAGAATTCGACATACAATCGGTATCAACCTCGTCTTTATCTTGGGTGAATTGGTCGCGTACAGGTGCTGAATTTTCTTCTATTGATTCTCCATGATTATTTACTGTTTGGTCCTGTTGGTGCTCCAATGTAACAGGCCATGGTGTAGTGCACTTGTAGCAATTGCGAATTGCTCGGTCCCCAAAAACTTTAAAAACACAGTGTTGATGTAATGCAACATTACATTCGTTATTGGCACATTGCGTTGTCTAGTATTTTTAAAAATCAATGCCATGAGCTAATGAATACCAAGCATGATGAATAGCATAATTTGGAAATTCTTACATTGGTGGTAAGAATCTGGAAACAAGACGAACATTCAAAAATATCTTCGGGGTACTCTTCCAACAGATATGGACGCAATTCAAAGATGGATCTAACTCCAAGAGTCAACTTTCCATTTCTGCAAATCAAACATTCATGATCCCAATTAATTACCTTGTAAGCACCAATATACCAGCGTTATATATCAAAAATCAGCAATTAAAAATAAATGTACCATACCTATCTAGTAGCCAATTATCTTGAACCAAGCGAGAAATAAGCATTTCTGCGTTTTCTTTGGTTAGTGCAGGTTTGACATGAGATGCAGCTCTTAATGCCTTTAATGAAGAAAGCTCATATAATCCATTGGATTTTTCTACAATCAAAAGCTCAATCTAGATATCGTATAAATTAGTATGATGTTGCATTCAATTGATAATCCATGACTATTGCAGATGGTGGTGCGAATACAACATACCATCTTTTTGAAAAAGCTGACTTCGCTAGGAGTGTAGGCAGCAGCCAACTGTGCAAGTTCATCGGTATGAATATTGATCTATATCATATGCAGAAATAGAATGAATGGTGGATGCTTTGAACGCATAATGAATACAAAAATCATGACTATTATGCTATTATGTACCAAAACCAAAGTGTCTTTGCCAGTATTTGGATCAATACCTCTCTTGACCTCTAACCCTACTTTGTTTCCTAATTCGGCATTGATCTGGTTTACAAAAGCTGCAAGCCCAAGCATACTTGTTTTTTCTAGATCATTGGCATATATTTAATGTTTAAAAGTGAATCAGATACAAGAGTAAACAAGTTGGTTAGCGGTATATTAAGGATTTCAACTGCTGAATAAATGCTCTAACCAAAATTACCTTGCTGTGCTATCTTGGTATACAGTTCTGTAGCATCAGTAACAGTCATGACTTGGCGAACCATTAAACCTTGCAGAAACATGCGATGCACATCTCCATATGTGGATTCATTTGTTAAAGTATGTTCAGTAATATCAGCATGATCAGATTCTATATCCACATCAGCAATGAGTGAAGAAGCAGAGCGAGTATATCCAGAAACACCCATGATAATAAAATGTTAAACTTGAACTTGAAAACCATTCACGTAAAATCAATCATTTTTATATCTTGTTGCTTTTGAATATAAAATGATTGAGTGATCGTTGTGTTTTCTTAATGAACATTCTCGACCCAATATAAGCACAATGATCATCATATAATACAAACTGCTCTTTAACACTCATACATTGTATGACCATCAGATTTGTCCGAATTCAGATATTGGGCTCAACTGTTGTCAAACTATTGTTGTATTCTAATCTTACAGATACGCTCGCGTTCTAATTCAAGAGAACATCACAAATGACAATCATCAAGAAACCAGTCAACTAATGAGTTCAATGTTGTCCAGTCAATTTGACGCCAGTCTACAACACTGACTATTTAATATTTCAACACTTTGTATTTCATTTTACGTGAATACGGCCTGCAAGTTGGTCTGTATATAGTTATTGACTGGCTGCTACTACTATAATGTTGACTACTGGAATCACCGAACCACAGCCAATTCTAGATCAATTCACTAGTCCAACTCGCTCTAAACAGCGCACTGCAGTCTTTGGCACTCCAGGCGCTTATCACAAATCCGCTCCTCATATCGTTTTTTTGATCGACTTGGCTGGCCTTGTTCCTACAACTAACAAGGCTGCATTCAGCAGTACGGAGCAATTCAATCAGTCTAATATCCAAACTACTTTGTTGGCATCTGTTCTTAAAATCCTAGTTTATTTCCATGTTCATATTAATCCAAACCTGACTTGGGGTTATGAAATCATTAATACTGCTACTTGCAGCAGTCAATCGAGCGAATTAGCTGACCGATGTGGCCCAACTGCTGGGCCATACTCATCTACCATGGCCGATAAAAATGGTAGTTGCCATTCTGAAAAGTCCATTTTAGATTTAGGATCCGAGGCAATTGTTGGTCTCAACAATGCGATTGCCAAACACATTGCAGCACATTCAACACCAGCCACTAGCTCATCATCCAACCTTGTTCAGATTATAAAAGTATGCAAAAGACTTCTGGTTCAAGTTCCTTGGCATAATGGCCCAGCAGGAACATTTCAATCTCCTCTAAAACCCACATTAACTAAACTCGACACAACCAAGGGGAACATCAAGAACCGATCTTATCTTTTTATTATTTCGCGAATTCCGTTTACAGCAGCCGACCTTGCCAAATCTATCGATATGGTAGATCCAGAACTTGTCGCATCTGCAGAAACACAGGCTGGATTTATGTCTATTTTGATGTATGCCAAGAATGAGTTGGTGTCCAAGAACATTTGGGAGGATTTTGTCGGACGACGTGTTGCTGTGTCGTGGATTTTCCCGATGCCAATCAAACCTAGTTTAGATGGATACAGAATCCAATCAATGGTTTTTGCTGTTGCAAGGAGCTATGGTGGATCTGTAATGACGTTTTCTGAATTGCTGAGCACGAAAAAATGGACGCAGTCATTGGAATCCATGCAATTGATATATCCGAGAACAGTTGAAACTGCACTTTCAAGGCAAGTAATTCAAGCCAAATCAGAATTGGCTTTGATTCAAGTTATGCAAAAACCGCTTATTCCTGTCGGGTCGCTTAAATATCCTTGCCTACTTACAACACGGGCCATGTGCACTATTTCTGGATACAATATCAAACCAATTCTGTTGAAATTCACAAGCATGCTAGTGTAGGTTACGTATGCTTAAATCACTTGATGTTTTAAATTGATGGCTAAACTATACCTTTGTTACGATATTATTTTATTGCATAGTTCCAACAAAACTGCATCCCCATTTGACACATCGGTCGATTCTATTCAATGTGCAAAAACAATTCCGTTAAATCGACTTGATAAAGTCTTTTTTTCTGAAGACAAGTTTTTCTGTGTATGTCAGCAACTTCCTAATGATCAAGTTCTTGCATCTACGTCTAAACTTTTACCCGATGGTAGTGATTTTGAAAAAATTGAGATTGAGGCGGATCTACTGATAACAATGCTGGACTATTTTCAGTCTGCATTGGTTGTGTCTCTTCCTATGAAATCGCAGTCTAGTTTATCCAACAAAGCGACTTCTTGTGAATTAGATAACCCGTTTGAGAACCCATTTGGAGACGTGGCATCTGATTTACCATCAACCAAAGTAGATACATTTGAAACACGTACGGCAGTTTTGATTCCATTCATGTCTTGTATGTTTTTATGCCACATCATTTGCAAAGATCAAGAAGAAATCTTTTTAGAATCAACAGTCGGAGGTATTTTGGATAAAGAAAATGACGCAGTACATTTGGCTACTGATGCAAGTGTAGATTCGTTAGTTTGGAATTGGTTGCATCCAAAGAATGTTTCAGTTTTGTCAGATTTTTTAACAAAAAGTCACTGGACATACGAGACTGCTGATGAACTGCGCCATATGCTGTTTGATCTATGGTCACCCAACATGATAAGGTATAGTTTTGTTTACAGATGCGCGGTGGATGTTTGCTGACTTACAATCTAATGTATCTGAATTCTGTTTTGATTGGGTCGCAGTCAAACTCCACGCAGGCAACGGTTGTCTGTCAAAAAACCTGTAAAGGCAATTGTTGAAGATCCTGAAATAACAGAACCAGATGTTCCAACAGTGGCATTTGACTTACCCATGACAATTTCTGGCGTGCTGTCAAAACTAGTGTATTGCTACTATGATGTTTTATATGAAAAGGTATGATTCGTGATTGAAATTTTAATGATTGGGCACGAATGAGTGGTTTACATTTAGTTCAATTTGATAGACAACACTGTCCCAGCTGATTGGCGATCAACTTCCATGTATATATAATGCACTTATTGGCCTCGTATCTTCTGATGAGAGCATGGACGCGGTAGGTTGATTTTATATCTATATCATGCATTACTTTGTGAATATACCAAGTTCAATTTGGCTATTCGCTTTACAATTCTAATAACTATAACAAGTAATACTTATTTTATGCTATTAGACTGAAATTCTGTTAAATTTTTATCAAGAAAAAATACTGCTATCTATTCAAGCACAAAAAAAGCGTCATCAGCTTCTTCCGTCACAGTTGTCTGAAATCTTTTCTTCATCAAAGCCCATCAATTTAGTTAAGGATGAGTTGAGGATAGAAGAGATCTCAGCGGCAATACTATGGGCCGAGCGATTAAAGAATCAATTAGAATCCCATCAAAAGCAAGATCTAAAAAAAGTACAGGGCGAGATTCAGTGCCAAGCACGACAACTACGGACTAACGAAGCCTTGTTGCAAATGACATTTTGGATGGAGTGTTTGCGTATTCATATTGATACAGGACATCCTTTGCCAAATATGAAACTTATTGAACCGGAACCAGCTAAATTTGGCATAAAAGGAAAATCTGGGTCAAAGTCCAAAAATAAACCAGATATTGCTGGGGTAGGCGGAAAGGAGCGACGAGAAGAGATCGTCAAAGCAATATCAGAGCAGATGGATCAGGTGTGTATCTGGTCGGTTTTGAGCAACATGAATACAGAAACAGCCAAAGGCATACAACCGGCAGATGACCGACAAGGCAATCTTCTTTGGCACAGTTTTGTCGCGCCTGTAGCAATTATGTTGTAAGTCATCAGTTGCTTGGTTTGGAAGCAGATATTCTGGTTTTTCGTAGCATTGTCTTTTATAGCACAATCAAGTCTAATATACTTGTTTGGCTGGGGTTATAATGCATTGGCTATATATAAGCTATCAAGAGCTATTGCCTGATGTTGTGGAGCTTTTGATTACCAAAGTAGGAGGAGATGCTACAGAGCAAGTATCCCAAGCCGAGCCAGTCACGCCTTTTTTTAAAAAAACAGCATCTTTATCCATGTCAAGCCAAGCATCTGCCAAGCGCAGTTTGGACCATTTGAAGACGGAAAAAAGTCGTCTCAAAAAACGGCCGAGTTTAATTGATATGTTCAAAAACGTACAAGAGGATTCTCACGATGGTATCATGAAAAAAAACATGGGAGATCCATGTGACGAAGAGCAAGTGTATCGGGGTCATTGGTTTCGATCTCGATCTGGAAAAGAAAAACCAACTCATATGGTAAAGACAGCAACAGCACCGTCGCTTATTAGTACTGCAAATACAATGACTGCTCGATCAGCAGCATTAGCACAGCGTAAAACCCGATCTGTATTACGGAATCTATCTCGACGACAGATTCAAGTTGTACAAACTGGTGCAAAAAAATCACGGACAGGGCAGTCAATATCGATGAATGCGGTTGATATAGCTCAACCTAATACCGATAGCGTACTGAATACGGGCAAATCATCAGATTTGAAGCAACAAGCTTCTCATGGGAAAATCACACTGGATGAGTTTCTTGGAAAGTTATCCCATCCAATAGATGTTTCCAAGCCAAAAACAACGGCTGGTCCATCGGCGTGTATTACATTGGTACCATCAACTCCCATGTCCAAGCGCACGTCAAAGCAGCAATATATATTTCCGAAATGCGGACTGAAATGGCAGACTGAAGGGCTCAATATATTACCAAAGGGTCACGAGAGCAGAACTGAATTAGCAGAGACTGCCGCTATATTCATGTCACCAAAAAAACGGACTAAAATGATATGCAAGGATGCTGATGTGTTTGGAGAGTAAATTGCCGCCATATCCAAGTAAAATGGAGGGCTAAACAAGGGTGTCTATAATAAACAGCCATTTTAAGGGATGATTGGTGTTGATGTACTGACAGTGATGAGTTTGACAGCATAAAGCAGTCGAGTTCAATATCTGGACTAATGCATGAATTTGGGTTTAAAGTGGGATCGTACAATGTATGGCTGCGCCAAAAAGGAATAATTGTGGTTCAAAACTATAGTTTGTAGTATAAGTGGAAGTTGTTTATTGGATTGAGAATGACTATTAAATCCAACTCTAACGAGTACAACGAATACCTAGCATTATTTCCAAACAGTTGTACAGAAAAGCACTTCATTTTCATAATTGTATTTTGAAATTTCAAGTATTTCTGATATATGACGCATGATGACAATTTCTTATTCCATTGTCGCTGGCTGCGATGAAAACAATTCTTGCATAAAGCTCATTTGACCACTTTTGTGATTGAGTTTTATTCTTGTGACAACCAACACCAAATTTAGTGTTCTTTTGGAACTCGAAGTTTTGGGAGTTGCATAATGAGCTGTTGATTGTCCAATGAATTACCCACTTCCACAGCACCGCTGCATCGTCCAATAGGGACATGTAGGGTCTCACAGCACCGTCGCATCATCCCTTATGACAAATGGCAATATTGTTTTCAAGCCTTGGCCCTAGCTTGAATATTGTGCTCGCAATTTTAATAATAGACTCATTTCGTGTTTTTGGCCCACCATAAATGTGTCAGATGATGCTTCATCAAGATGGATTCCACCTGTTGCACTGCTATATCAAGCGCATGCGTTGCCAAATACTGTCAGCCTACTGTAATTGGGTTGCTTGGTTCAAAAGTGTGTTTTGAACTATCGGTAGATTGTATGTTGGCTTGAATGACACGAGCATCTATCGTGTCTCGTGTATCACAGCGACAATCTAGTTTGCTGAGTTTGGTGGTCTCGATTTAATGCGAGAACTTGTAGGCTAGATACAGTCTGTGCTAGTCTAAAACGACAATGAAATGTCTAAAAAACCTGCAAAGATCAATGCCATCAAAATGGTTTCAAAACACGGCAAAATTAGGTTGAAATATAAATAAACATTTTCTGCGTTCTCATTCTTTTGTCTTGTAAAATCAAATCCACGAAACAGTTCGGCTTGAATTGATCCAAAGTATATAGCAGTCTAGCCACTCGTTTCTACACCGATATCATGTTTAAAGTCTTTGATAGACTTCATCAACGCAAACCCATGGCTGGGTCAACTATCCAAAAGGTAGTAGTCTACATGAAACTGCAATTCATCCACTGGACTTTCTTGAGCACATGGCTTCTGTTTGCACTGGATAGTACATGCTATTCTGATTGTCATGGTCTTTAGCTTCATTCATGCAAACCATGTGTTACTACATTGATGATTTCCATTCGTGCATGCCATACACATGTATGTGTCTGTAAGTTTTACTAATCCTTTATGTTGACAATTCTTGATATTAGCTGTTAACCACAAAGACGGTCGGATTCTTGGGCGGTTTTTGCTTGCTTTTCAATCAAATGACTGGTCCTGCCATTCCATTCACCAGTGCCAACTTCCAAGATCCTGGGTGGTTATTCACTACAATCATGTACTTGGTCTTCTCTGTCGTATCCGGCTTCTCTGTGCTATTTCTAGTCGAGGCCATCAAGGTTATTCCCGGAAATTCAAATTTTCAGGTATCGACAACTAGTATTTCTTTACACCATCATCAGCACTATCCTGTCTAACCTGTGATATTTTACATTGATTGTTTCCTACTTGCTGTGATGGAACATAGGGTGACGTTGAATATGGCACAATTATAAATTTCTACTTTGGCAAAAATCTGCACTTTGTTGCTCAGCTTGTCCTCTATGGTGCATTGCAATCCAATGCAATACAATGTATTGTTCTTACAGCCCAGGTGAGCAGTGTATTTTACTGGAATTACCGAAGCTGGTCTTTTGATGCTTACTTTGAATTTCTCTTTGTTGTTGACTTTGGAAATATAGGCTACAGACAATTTACTCATCAGCTTATTCGGTAGTACATGTGGCCTATCCTTTTCGAATGGATGGATGTGTGTAACCCAGCAAAGTATCTATGTTCCATCTCCGTTTGAAAGCAATCTGATGGTTTTTACCTTTGGACTGCTAGTTGTTATTCTATTTTGCCTTCCCCTTAGTTTCACCGACATGGACAACAATATTATGTTCAACATCTGTAAGTTTTCATGATGTTGATACTATGTTCAACTATTTCAATCGATTTACCCAATTACTCTCTGCAATAGTAATGGCCATGCTTTCGATTGCACTCGGCACTTCCTGGATATACTCGTCATTTGTTACAGGATTAGATACTCGCCGTGTTCCTGCTGTAACTGGACTGACTCTCAAATACGGCCAAGTCGTGGGCACAGTATTACTGAATCTAGGAGCAACTACTGTTGTTCCCACCTGGATCAATCTCAAGCATCGGGACGTCAGTGTACAAAATCTGGTGTGGATTGCTATTGGTGCATCAACTGCCTACTACATATGCATTGGTGTTTTGTGTGGTTTGGGATTCCCCCTAGACGAGTCTGGTAACTTGCTGCATTCTTTGCTGTTAGTTGGCAAGCCAGAACTGGTTGCTACCATTTCCATTGGCGTGTTTGCGTATGTCATGCTTTTGCCTTCGGTTCCTGTGAGCTTCATGGTTTCAAGAGACAATTTGGTTCAAAACGAAGTCATGTCCAAGCAATCTGCATCGTTCTTGTCCTTTGTGCTTCCGTGGATTCTGTTGATTCCACTTCAAACCGGTGTTGTCATTTATGATTTTCAGACGTGGATGTCGCTATTTTTCACTGCCACAGCAAACTTTGTTATTCCATTTCTCATGTATTTCAAGTGTGTGGAGTTTCGTCGTAACTACAACAAGAAGCGTATTTTAACTCTCAACCAAGTTAAAATTCTTCGTGCCATTCACAAAATATCGGATAAAATCAATCAATACATGGATAAACGCGCTAGCCGTCTTACAGGGACATCTTCTCAGACCATGCCTGAAATTCAGATTAACAATGTGCCTATATGTGCTCCTATACCAGATACTTTGTCCGCCATGAATAGTGCCACGTCATCCTTTTTGTTGTGTCCTGGCTCTAAACATTCTGATTTATCTACCGTCTCTAAACCTGGACCTTCTGAAAAACTCTCTGATATCCCTGCTCCATCAGTTGACGAGCCTTCCCGACCACTCACGCCATGTCCGCTTGGTGCCATATCTGATCGAGATTCGCATACATACTCACTCGCCATATCACATGGAAAACACTCGGATGATATCAGCCAGACATCTCGTGATGCTCAAGTTGTATTACGACATGAGTTTGCAGTAGATGGCACACCATTTGTTGATCCGGCTGATCTTGGGCTCCCTGTATCGTTTTTCCAAGATGATATTCCTGATCCTATATCACCTGAAGAATTGCATACTCATTCAGCTCTCCATTACGATCCACATGTAGATCATCTCCATACACCGCGAGGATTATCACAAATGCTTTTTGGAGAAAGACCTCGTAGCCCGATTGGTGTTGGCGGGCTACCTTCGATCCACATTATACCTGAAAGTCAATCTGATATAGGAGAGCATATTCAGCTTCAAACCAAGAATCTGAACAATGAAATTAAACCAGTTTTGGAAGGAGATTCAGGTGATAAACATATGCTACCAGGTACCAGCGGTGCCACTTTACTGGGACCATTCCGATCACACTCTCCCGACCATCTTTCTGTAAACGTGGTTTCTTTTCGAAAATCAGGAGACCAAAAGTCACGGCCTCATTCCGAAGATTCATCGTGTTCTTTTCCACATGAACGCGAATATATTGCTCCACCATTTCGAGTTCTTCCCAATTGGCTGCATATTTCTGAACGTATGCTGGCACAAGTCCTTCTTGCATGTACAGGCACGATTTGTTTTGCAAACGTTGTGTTTTATGGATACCTCCAGGCAACTGGAAGTCAATAGTTTTTGTGTATCAATTTCCAATTCATTATTCACTTTCGCTTTTTTACGTTTAAATTAATTTTTGCTTAATGCCGAGTTGCTCAGACATGAATTGTTTATAATTTAATGAGATTGGGGTTTATTGTTAATCGCCTGTAATTTTGGCTGGACATTGTGTATACACTCGATATCCAAGGTATTGTCTTGCCAAACATCGACATCATACCTTTTCGTCTAGTTTGAATTTCAAAACTTTGGCGCGGAGTTGCTCTTTGGTTTCCTCGTTGGCAAAAATATGGTCGATGCCCAGCTGAACCATGGTAATCACATCGAGTTTGGACATATTAAAATGATTGGCAATCAGTGAGTACTCGCTCGACAAGGTACATTGAAACACACCCTTGTCATCAGTCTATTTCCACAAAAAAGCATCATGTTAGTTTTAAAAATCCGATTCAAAATGGTTCTATATTCTTTTGCACATGAATACTTGCACAGGGAATACATGGATGCCCTTCAAAGTAAAACCCATTGAAATGATGATCTTCGATACGTTCTACCGTCTTACACAGCAAGTTGGATGTCACACAGGCCTCAATGGGAATAGCATTATCAACGACATGCTCGCGTAAAGCGTCTTTTAAAAATGTTCCATGTCCAATTCGATCCGGCATGAAATGAATCATATCTCGTGTTTCTTGCTCATGGTTTTTAATCTCTGCAACATGGAGGGTAACTACGTATCAAGGATGTGTGAGGTTTGGGAGTTGAGCAAGACTCATACAACATATGCATTTCAAAGTTTATACAAACTTTGCAATCGAGTAAAGCAAGATCGCACCTTTCAGTCCTGCTTCACGAGCCTGAATAAAAGCAGGTTCAAGATCCTTGAAGTTTCCAGCAGATGGCTCGCCACATAAATCCACTCCAACCACGCCTTGATCCATGAATTCTTTAGCAAGCTGAACTGTTTCTAGTCCATCCTCCAACGAATGTCGACGATCCAAGCTCAAAATCCAACGCACCTGAATTGCACCTTTCAACATTTCTATTGCATCCTTTGTTCCTGCCAAACACGCTTCGATGTAAGTTCTTTTGGAAACAAGATCTGTTTCTGGATTAGATCTCGGTGTTGAGCGAAGCTCAAGGTATTCACACCCATCGGTGGAAAACTCGACAATAACTTGCCGAGTGATGTACCGAACATTTGCAATGCAGTTACTGACAGCATATACAAACTTGAACAAGGGGAAAAAAGAGTGAATGGAGGTGAGAGAACACTGCTTTTCAAACGTAGCAAAATCGGCTTGAAGAGTTGCATTGGAAGGTTGCATCGAGATGAGATGACGGATAGTTTCACGGGATACGGATCCGTTGAGGTGAGCATGCAATTCCTATAATAATAAAGAGCATGAATCAACTGCAGGATACTTTTTACTCGAGCATTCTGATTCCAAACTGGGCTTACAATTTTAGGCATTCGCTTGCAAAAAGCAACCATATCACAAGGTTTGAGAGCAGTCATTGTAGTATATAGAAATGCAGTCCAACAACTCCACAATAAACAAGTTGAAGGATAAGAATGAACAACCCTGATTCTAACCCATTGATTTATGTTGATATGGTCTAAGCATCGGCGGAGTGACTGTCTAAACCATAGCATAGCACTGCGGATCCATACTATTAGTGCTCGGCCACATTCAAACTGTGGATCCGATTTATTTTCATGTTGAATTCGGGTGTTGATCATACACGAACACCTTGTTTAGTAATCCGTTTTGTATGAATACGACAGTGAGTGTATGATGATGGCATAATGATTCTCATGAAATTTACTGGGCAATATTGTGTAGTTTGGTATGGAAACAACTGCGTTACCGAGATGTGTAACCATTGCTAAACTAGAACGCGAATGAGTCTAGAACACGCAGGTCTGTAAGCTCGACAATAAACTCGATATCTGAACCTAGTGATCGTACAATGAGTGGATAGTCGGTTTAAAACTATAGTTTATTAAAGAATTCAGAATGTCGGTCAATGTGTAGTAAAATGCTAGTTCTTGTACAGTTCGCATCTGGTAGTTTTGAAAAAGGGAAGAGCAACTGATCTCCGATATGGCAGAGTTGCAATAGCAGTGACAGTGTCTTCTGGCAATTCAACCCATTCCTCATGGTCCATGGCAGCCTCGCACATTAACTCCTGCAGTTTCCTCAACTGGCCAAGATTTTTGATTCCAAGAACCACTTTATGCATAGTTTCCAACTTGTCAAGGTACTCGACCACTCTAGAATCTGTTGGGTGCTTTGCAAGGACTTTTGTGACTGCATGGCAGGCCTGAGTTACCATACTTCCCGATGGCCATGTCTAGATTCAGAATAAAATAACAATGGTCAAACAAGGGTAATTGTGTAAAAGCTAGAAGGCAGCTGGATGGTAGGGATTAAATGCAATGGATTACCTTTGCCAGATCTTTTCTTAAAACAATATACATGACAAGTGGATCATCTGCGGGATTGGACTGTATACGGGAAGCAAGATTTGAATCCAATGCACAGTCGAGTGTAGCAGACATAGCCCGCCTGTGTCTTGACAGAATACCAAGAGATTTGAACAGCAGAATGGTTTCGGCTTACAGGCTTGCACAGACGGGTGAACATTGACACAATTGAAACAAGCACGTGATTGACACGTGATGAAGCGTTGTGAAGCGCAGCCAGCAGATTTGTTGCCTTGACTAATCGACTCGAGCCATCTGTTACTGTCGAAGAGGATCATCTAGTCTTGATTGTACTGCCACTACATTCACTGCTGCTACAAAGAAACTGCTTCAGCAACTACTAGTGAAGCCAACATACAAATGGGCAGGTTTAATCACCTTCTCGAATTCATGGGCATAGTCGATCAGCAAAGCAATCCCACTCACCAAGCCATTGGAGAGCGAACTATTATTCTGAATGACCCTGTCAAGAACGGTGCTCAAAAATACCTTCACAATTCCGTCACTACTGGAAAATACACATTGGTTACCTTTCTACCCAAGTTCCTGTTTGAGCAGTTCTCCAAATATGCCAACTTGTTCTTCTTGCTGACTGGTACTGTTCAGGTGTGTTATCGCCACTAACTTTTCTTGGATGTATGCCAGACATCATCAACTGCCCATCGTAGAACTCCATTCTACTCTCATACACATTGAGGATTCTGTTGGCATTTTATCATGATGGATATAGACCGTTTTGATTGGGATTGTTAGCATGTGCTATGAACTAGCCACCTCAACCACCTGGATCTCAGCTTGTCAAATCCAGCAATTATGATGTTGACTTTACTAGTTTCCTTCCCATCTTAATTCACTTGCAGCATGAGAAGTAGAATTACAATATGCGTATCTGCTGATGGCCACATCCATGACTTTTGATGGATTTAAACAACACCTGGATTCACCATATTAAGGGGTGGAGGGACGTATTTAAAAATGCCGTTTTGACCCGCGAGGCAATGTCAAATCTGCCTCGACAAGAGCAAAGGGACTCTTTAACTGCATCAGGGTCGATGCAGTCAACTTGTTGATGCAATCTAGTGTTGGAATCTTTCATACAAGTTGTCATTTGCTGCTCTCCCTTTCCCATATTTGCATTGCTTCCACCATCTAATTTAATTATTTTGGTTTTGCCAAAAGGTCGGGTTGTCACCGCCCACATTGAAGATTGCGCCACTTTTGAATTTATTTTTCATGTCTGGACTGCTATAGTCTGGTGCTTCCAACTCCATCCTGTTCCCACTAGACTTGTGTTTGCTTGGTTTCAACCCAACTAACTCGTTCTAATATTCGATTCTAGCTTATTCCTGGCATTTCTCCAACATCTCGGGTCGGTACTATCTTGCCGCTATCTGCTGTATTGATTCTGTCTGCCGCAAAAGAAACTGTAGAAGATAGCAAGCGTCATCGTCAGGACGCTGAAATTAATGCTCGTCTTTGTAAAGTATTGCATGGTACTGCATTCGTTCCCAAAGCCTGGCGCGATATTGTTGTGGGAGATATTGTTCGTGTCGAAAATACCGAATACTTTCCTGCAGATCTTGTTGTCTTGAGTTCTTCAGAACCCGATGCTCTTTGCTACATTGAAACCAGCAATCTAGATGGTGAAACTAATTTGAAAATTCGTCAGGGTATTCAGGAGACCGCACATTACTTGTCTCCTGATGCTGTAGCCTCCATGAATGGCCACATCAAATCTGAATTACCAAACAATAGTTTATATACGTTTGAAGCTACTCTTAATTTGAATGGCAAAGAAGTTCCATTGGATCCTTCTCAGCTTCTCCTTCGTGGTGCCCAATTGCGTAATACCCGGTGGATCTATGGCATTGTTATCTTCACTGGCCACGAGACTAAACTTATGAAAAACTCAACCCCTACTCCTATCAAGCGTACCAAAATGGAGCTAATTGTTAATATCCAGATTCTTGTTCTGTTTATACTGCTTGCTATCATTACCATCTCTTGCGCTGCTGGACAACTTGTTCGTCAGTTGAATGGCTCGTTTGAATTGGAGATTATCAGGATGAATAGAAATAATTCTTCCACTGATTTTGGCTGGAACATTTTAACCTATTTGATTCTGTTTAATAATTTAATCCCTCTCAGGTAAACAGATTTGGTGCTTTGCTTTGTAGTTTTTGTATGGTCTTGCCAATAGTTATCCATATGCTTACAATCCTTTGCTGTCTAGTTTGATTGTCACCATGGAGTTTGTCAAGTACTCACTGGGTACTTTGATCAATGCCGATCTGGATATGTACTATGAAGAGAATGATACTCCTGCCACTGCTCGCACCTCGTCTTTGGTTGAGGAGCTTGGCCAGATTGACTATATATTTTCTGACAAAACCGGCACGCTCACTCGTAATATCATGGAGTTTAAAATGGCTTCCATTGCCGGTATTGCTTATGCCGAGACCGTTCCAGAAGATAAACGTATGCGAATAGACGAGCATGGGCAGATGATTGGCTACTATGACTTTAAAACGCTGATTGAACATCGTGACAAGCACGAAAACTCGAAACTGATTCGCGAGTTTCTCACCATGCTTTCCGTGTGCCATACTGTCATTCCTGAAGCGGATGAAACCAATCCAGGAAAGATTACCTACCAGGCATCGTCTCCAGATGAGGCTGCATTGGTAGATGGTGCTAGTTCGTTGGGATATTTGTTTCATACTCGCCGTCCCAAATCAGTAACTATTGCTGCTGTAGGTGAAAATATGGAATATCAGATCCTCAATGTCAACGAATTCAATTCAACTCGCAAGCGTATGTCTATTGTTGTCCGTGATCCATATGGCAACATCAAGTTGTATATTAAGGGTGCAGACACTGTTATTTACGAACGTCTTTCTGCCAGTGACCATTTTGGCGAAGCCACTTCCATTCATTTAGAGGAATACGCCAATGAGGGTCTTCGTACTCTTTGTTTGGCATACCGTGATGTTCCCGAGGCGGAATACCTTGCATGGGTCAAGATTTACGAAGCCGCTGCCAACACTATCAATAATCGTGGTGACGCACTGGATCGTGCAGCTGAATTGATTGAAAAGGAACTCACATTGCTGGGTGCTACTGCCATTGAGGACAAGCTTCAAGATGGTGTGCCCGACACTATTCACACTCTCATGGAGGCTGGCATCAAGGTGTGGGTTCTTACTGGTGATCGTCAAGAAACGGCCATCAACATTGGGTTTTCTTGCAAACTTGTCACCTCGGAGATGAATATTTTCATTTGCAACGAAATCACTCATGCCGCTACTAAGCAATACCTCGAGCAGAAACTACAGTTGGTCAAGACTATTATGGGAACAAATGTTCCTAGACTAACCAAAATGTCAGGCTGGACTCGCTTTTGGAAAGGAGGTCTTGCCGTTGGCAAATTTGACAAGGATTTTGAGTATGATCTCGAACCACTTGCTTTTGTCATTGACGGAAAGACTTTAACTTTTGCTCTTGAGGATGACATCAAAGACATTTTCCTTGAACTTGCCATGATGTGCAAAGCTGTTATTTGCTGTCGTGTTTCTCCCTTACAAAAGGCCTTGGTTGTTAAACTTGTTCGCTTTGGTGTAACTGAATCTGTTACGCTTGCTATTGGTGATGGTGCCAACGACGTGTCCATGATCCAGGCGGCCCACGTTGGTGTGGGTATCAGTGGTATGGAAGGTCTTCAGGCTGCCCGTGCTGCAGATTTTGCCATTGCTCAGTTCCGTTTTCTACGAAAGCTACTTCTTGTTCATGGTGGCTGGGCCTATGCTCGTGTCAGCAAAGTTATTGTGTTTTCTTTTTACAAAAACATTACGCTTTATATGATTCAGCTTTGGTTTGCTTTGATGAATGGCTTTTCCGGACAAACTCTTTTCGAAACATGGTCGTCTGTCTCGACATACAACGTTGTCTGGACAATCCTTCCGCCCATTGCTATTGGTGTCTTTGACCAATTTGTATCTGCTCGCGTTCTTGATCGTTACCCACAAATGTACCAGCTTGGCCAACGAAACTCCTTTTACAATCATACAATCTTTTTCGGATGGCTGTTCAACTCCTTTGTCCACTCTGCTGCCATCTTCTTTATCTGGATGTATATTCTTGGCGACTCTGACACACTCAGTGACGGTCGCGTCGTGGATAACTGGACATTTGGGTCTATGGTTTATGCAACCAACCTGCTTACTGTCATGATCAAAGCCTGTCTGATTGCTGACCACTGGGTCAAGGTCACCTTTATTTCCATCTTTGGATCGTTTATTGCTTTCATGATTCTTTTCCCACTCGTAAGTGCACGTTTGCTATTGAGTATTTTAAAATATTTTTTAGCATGCATTTTACTAATTAACCCATCCCATTTTAACAATAGTACGTTCTCATCAATCCAGTTACCTCGCCTGAGTTGAGAAATTTGATTTATCCCATGTTCACTAATGCCAACTTGTGGTTAGCGCTTATTCTTATTCCGGTCGTCGTAAACCTGCGTGATCTTGTATGGAAGTACTACAAGCGGACTTATAGTCCAAGAACATATCACATTGCTCAAGAGATTCAAAAGTACAACATTCCCGATTACAGACCTCGTATGGAGCGTTTCCGCAAAGCTGTACACAAGATTCGTGCTATTCAGCGTGTGAAACGAACCCGTGGATTTGCCTTTTCACAAAACGAAGGTGGTCAAGCATCACTTATTCGTCAATACGATACTACCCGTCGCAAGCCTCAGGGTTAAACCCTTGTGGTTTAAACTGGATGGAATGTTTTTTTTATTCACACCCATTGAGTCGTATAGATTCAGACTACTTTGCACTCTTTTTTATCACCTCTTCGATTATTTCACTCCTCACTTTGATTATTTCACCCATGCTACGTTGAGATTAATAACACGCTTTTGATAAAACTTTTATTTATTTGTTTATATGGGGCTTGCTATTGCTAGAGCTTAAGTATGCTGCAAAGATGTTGTAGTCAAACAACAGAATTTAGTTGAAATTTGATTCACGAGTTATTTGTAAGATTTTTGACTGCTACTAGATCTCATGCTAGATGCAGATCCTGAACGACTTTGCTGGCTTAGTCGTTGATTCACATTGGCTGGAACACGAGATGGCCTGAATTGGCCATCGCTTCTTATACTTGATACAGATTCTGATCGACTGCGTGGCTCGGCTTGTGGCAAACCAACCGTTTCTAAAAAATATGTTAGTGATTGTCGTCCTGTGAGATGAAGAGTCAAATATTTAAAGCAAACTCGATTGGTTGTGCAGCTTACCGTTCAAATTGGTAGTTGAAATCTTTATGGTGTGGCCCACCTTTGTTCCTGCAAATATTCCACTACTTTGGCTGCCGGATTTGATCTTGGGAAATTGTGTTGATTCCGCAGTACCCTGTGTTTGTTCTGCTCTGCTTCCAGATCGAGAGTTTCTTTGAGAAGTGAGGGATTCAAACTCGAGTCGATCGTCGTGTGCATTTCCAACTACACTCGCGGCTCTAGAACTCACTCTAGAAAGCTGTCGAGAAGGTGGAAGCACACCTTGTTGTTGCATATGACTCCAAAGAATCTCTCCAAATTCTGGAAATCGTACACCAAGCTTGTTGAGTTCCGTAAGTATGGCAGTAGATACTTCACGCGCTTTTCGGACCCCAAAATCAAGCTCTTCTTGCGTTGGTTCTTGCGATCGTGCATTTTGTCCTTTGCTAACACGCAGTTTTTTGGAGGCAGTTTCTATCATCTTATTGGCACGATCTCGCTTTATCTGTTGATCCTGGATTTCCCTGTATATATTTTGTAATTTTGCTTCAAGTAATTGAACTGATTTTAGTTTTTCGGACTCATCTCCGGATGTTTTAATCAACAGCTGCTCCAACTGGTGTAATTGTTGCTGCAGATCCTGAGCTATTTCTCGCTTTGATTTATAGTTTTCAATCACCTGTCGATACTCTGTCTCTAGCATCTCTTTATGCTGAATATCTTTACTATCCAGTTCTGCTCGATATAAATTCATACGATATGATTCGTTGCGATCATTCATCAATTTGAGAGTATTTTCCAATGCCTTGATTTCCTTTTCAGCTCGTCGAATGTTTGCGTCAAGTTCGTCTCCTTTTCGCTGTAGCTCTTCCCGTTCTTGTGCTGCTTTGATAACATAAAATGCCTGACTATGATCTTCTTGATCTTCTTCTGGTGCAAACTGAGTAACTAGAATTTCAAATCGTTTTTTGAGTTTTTCAACCTTTCCTACACGCTCACGAAGCTCAGCAGCAGCAGAATGGCGCTCCTCTTCGGCATTTTTAATTTGAATACAAAGCATGTCTTTATGAATATCAATTTCTTTTCCACGCTCCTCCAAAGCCAGTTGAAGTTGCATTTGGTGTGATTCAAGATTGAACACCTTGTCCGAGCGAGCATTTAAAAACCCGCGAAGTTTGCGAAGTTCAAGACGCAAAATATTCTCCTCGACCATTACCTCTTCCTTTTCTTTGGTTTTTGCAATAAGCTGATGAGATGCACTTTCGTTATACATGGTTAGCTCATCAATATTGGTAATGATTGATTCTTTGGTTTTGGTGAGTTGGTCCAACTGTCGCTTCGCGTGTCTTAACCCTTCTTGTGATCGCTTCAACTGGCTATTTAAAAGAGTCCATCGGGAAGATTGCTGATCAAGTTCAAAATTGAGTGTTTCGATTCGTTTTAGCAAATTCTCTTTTTCTTCGTCAGTTCGATCTCCTTGTGCGCGTCGAAGCTTTCTTTCTAGCTGTTGAATCTGGAATTCAATAGTATATAGTACAGCACGCTGTCGAAGTGCTTCTTGATCTAGCTTGTTAATTTTTGTCTTGAGATTTCGTACAGATGTTTCACCGCCAACAATCTCTGCCGCGAGATTCTTTTCTTCTTGACGATACTTGAACAGCTCTTGACTTTTTTTAAACTGAGCTTCACGAAGTACCTTGGTTTGGTGATCAAGCTCTTTATCTTTGATCTCTTCTTGTTTAAGTATGGCCTGAATTTCCTCACTTTTTGCCTCCATAGTCATGGTATCGTCGTCTATATGGATACGCTTTTGTTTCATGGCTTCAAGAACTTTGTGGTTTGTGTTGAGTTTTTTATGTCGCTCTTGCAGTTCTATTTTTAAATTGGTCAGTTCGTTTTTTTTATTGACCAGTTCAATTGCAGATTTGTTGAGTGTATTTCGAAGTACTTCTACTTCGTTTTTGTATTGTTGAAGTGATGTTGTTGCCTCGACATGTTGTTCGCTAATCATTCACACGACAAATATGAGTTTGCAATAGCAGTTTAATGCATGCTGGGTTTATCCAAAATTTAATCCCTTTTATAAAAACAAAATAGTAAATTCATAGTTCACTACATACCGAGATTTGGCAATATTTCTCTCACACATGGTAATACTTTTTTCAATCTCACTGTTTTGAGTCAACTGCTGATTGAAAAACTCTTGACGATCTTTGAGCTGCTCTTGTGTGTTGCGAATCACTTCTTTCTTGTCTTGGTAAGTTGCTTGACAGCGCTCAATATCTTGGTCGCGCTTTTTCATGTTATCAATAACTGCCTCCCATTGACTGATTAGGGTTTGACGCTCTTGATGAAGTTGTTTAAAAGCCTCAGTTGTTCGATCAAGCTCAATCTGTGCAACTTGTGTTTCTGTAACCTAATTGCATGCATTCGAGCATACGAGTTTCAAATCATGATAAAAGTCAATACCGCATTTATTTGCATCATCAGCAACAATAGCTGTTCACTTAAATCTTAGTTTACCTCTGCGCTCAAAATTGCTTTTTTCTTGTTGACTTCGTGCATATATTTTTCCATGGACAAATTCAACTCTTTGATTTTAGCTTCGTCTTCTTTAGAATATTTAAGCAAAGCCATATTATCCTCTTCTTTTTCAGATTGTACTCGAAGCCATTCCGCCAACTCCTCGTTCTCCAGTTTTAGCTCGGTGCGAATTGCTTCAATTCGTTCGTTTCCGCGGTATACATTGTTTTGCATCGTGTTCAACTTTAATATACATGATTCAGAATCAATCCATAAATAGAAAAAGTACATATATTTAATTTAGCAAATTGCCATGATACATATTAAAACTTACATGATCGGTAATATCAGTAATGTCTTTTCCCAAACGCTTGATTTCTAATGCTAGGCGACCCGATTCTCGTTCAGAAAGCTGTTTAAAGTGCTCTTCAGTTTCAATCTGACGACCTTTGGCGTTATATAATGCCTAAATTGATGATAAAATATGTACAAGGTTGTTTTAAATCAAGTTGGTCCATTAACGTTAAACATGCTTTACAATGTTCTAAACTATACACGGGCAGTTGTAATGGATACATGATTAACATACAACAAAATTTAAGCATGGCTAACCTGAGTATGATGCAGTTCTTGTTGTACATTCTTCATGTGCCCAATAATAGAGTCGCCACGAGTATAGTTGTCTTCAGCAGTTGCCACAAAACTGTTTCGTTTAGCTTCAAGAACCTTGATCTGTTATAATTGAAATTAAACAATTTCAAGTCAGTACTACATAAACATGTATAGCAGTCAATGCAGCCTTGCCAAATTTAAACCAGTACATGTTGCAAATGTATTTACAGTAGAATTAGAAGCCTACCATGCGACTGAGCTCCTTGTTTTGCTCATTTGCAAAGCTTGGTAATGAATGAACATATTGGTTGTCTTCTAAGTCTGTATGTCCTGCTGCTGTCAAGTTTGCTGAGCTGAGCATTTTTTGTATTGAATATTGGACAAGTTTAATTAGTCGCGCTCTAGTCGAAATGAAACGCGTAATTGGATATTGGCTTAATATACAATACTGTGTATGATTCTGCTTGAATCCTATTGTAAAATTGCAGTGCATATCAACTTTGATGTATCCTACCAGTAACTAGTTTTAAGCTCGATTCAGATTTGTGGATCAGTTGGCAGCAATACTCGTTGGCCATTAGAATGATCAATTAAAACTAAAAACACGAATTGAGATTCAAGCAAGTAAATTGTTTACTGTGAATAAATCTATGTATGTGTCTAACCAAATCAAGTCAAGATGATAGTTTAAAACATCAAGATTTGCAGCACAAGTTTTATTTTAAACCTAAATTTCTAAAACTGAAGTGTGATTGAAATTTAATCAAATGTATTCAAGGATTCGTTTTTGGACACTGCCAACAATGATTTATAATAATGCAAACTCGATAGTTTTAAAATCTATGCAGCGTCCTGCAACGATCTTTGAATGCCTTCAAATACAACTTTGACTTTATCTCGTCGTTTTGCTATTGCATCCAAAGTAGTCATAGCTAAAGCCTCTCGCTCCATCAAGTGTTTAACTTCCACGTCCAATTTAAGCACATTCTCATTACATGAAGTGAGAGTAGACTGTAATTCTTTTGATCGCTTGGTATATTTGTCAATAAGATTTTCTATTTCGATGGATTCTGCTGTACACGAAACTATTTTTTCACGAGTTGATTCAAGACTAGCTTGTTTTGCTGTTCGATTTTTTTCCAACAAAGCAAACTCTTCTTCCAATAGGACGCATCGTTGCTGAAGCTGTTGATACTGTGCTTCGTATCTATTTGAAAATACAATTTAAACGATATGCATGAATAATTAACTTTAGGGTAATACGGCTAATTCAACTTTGTATACTTGCATTGATACCATTTGTGCTGGATCTTGATCAAAATCTGGACAAAACTTTGACAAAACCTCTTGATTTGCTTGAATTAAGAATGCCAAGAAAAGCGGTCAGAAATTCAAACCTAAATTGATATCCATATATTACTCGTAGTGTTTGATTAAAATGTATGTACCTGAACACGAAGAGTTGGGTCTGAATACTTGTAGATTTAACTTTGCCGACGATGCTGACAGGATATCTGATTTGCAAGAATTTGTCCTTTGTTTTAGTGTTTGATCTGTCAATGTATCTGTCGCATTCAAGATCTGCCGTAGCGCCAAATTAGGAACATGCGCTTGAATTTTCATACCACAACAATTACATGTTATTGGCCGTTGATGTTTTTGAGAATCATCAATATATGTGTTGATGCACTAAATTTGGTAGAATGAATTAAGCTGGGTACACAATCCATTGGGTGACTAGTATAAAACCGAATGACAACCCACATTTTTACAAAACGAATGTCCACAACTAATATAGAACGCATAATGTATTAAAATCAACGCAAAAACTATAGCAATATCAAAAACAGCCTGAAAATTACTTACGGAATAGCTAGTACAGGCATGCTCATTTTTTGGTGACAGATAGGACACGCCCATTCCTCTATAACAGATTGGTTTTCTCTTGAATGACCGGTTTCTATAGGCTGACTATCAGTTCTTTCAACTGATGGCATATTTTGTAAAATCGGCTGGCTGATGCTAGGTAGCAGACACCAATTTTTTACAAGCAAATCTGAGCTATTCTCAGCTACCAGAGTTTTTTTGCTAGCTATGGTTGGAGTTGATGTTCGTGCAGCCTGTATTCGAGATTCATTTTTTTCTGGGCTTGCAGCAATAGCAGAGCAGTATAGTGAAGTATTTTTTTGAACCGAAGCACTAGATTTCTCTATAGTCATTTCTGTCATCCATAGTTTTTTCCGACTTTCGAGTTGTCTTAATCTGTCGTCTTTTGATGTGGTTTTCTGTGGAGATGTAAATTTCTTTGAGTTTGATGTAGAGCAAAATGACATTATAACTGTATTAAAATATATCAAGTTTGAAGAATGTGGGTTAAGCACTCAGAATTGTTGAGTACTGCTGCAGCTAGAAAAGAATAAATATTTGAACGCGTTGGTTAAACTGTAGGATCTTGATGTTTTAATCTATCATCTCGACTTGATTTGGTTAGACACATACATAGATTTATTCACAGTAAACAATTTACTTGCTTGAATCTCAATTCGTGTTTTTAGTTTTAATTGATCATTCTAATGGCCAACGAGTATTGCTGCCAACTGATCCACAAATCTGAATCGAGCTTAAAACTAGTTACTGGTAGGATACATCAAAGTTGATATGCACTGCAATTTTACAATAGGATTCAAGCAGAATCATACACAGTATTGTATGTTGACTGCGTAACCAGCCCACTATTTCATCACATGCCATACTCGTTTTATTGTTGCTTGTAAAAGCAGTTGTTTTATTCAACATCATCAAGCAAATCACAAGACTGTATAGTAAAGCTTAAAAATGGACTTTACAATGTTCCAGAAAAAAGTGCTGCACCACATCCTGGTTTACTTGCAAAAATATAATCATCAATTTTTGCAAGTGCATCTGGATCAAATTTCCACATGGGCCACTTTGTAAAATAATATTCCTGCTTTACTTTTTCAATAAATGCCTTTGTATCACTTTCCTTGATAAGCGAGACCGTACAACCTCCCCATCCAGCTCCAGTAAGTCGCGATCCAAATGCACCAGCATTTCTAAAAACAAGCCAATTAAAGGGTTAAAAGTCGTAATAAAGCAAACTTGATCACATGCCAGACATTTAGTTTATATTAAAACGATGTTTTGTAGCACGTACCGACAGATCTTTGTCAGTTGATCAATTTCTGGACAGCTACAATCGTATAGATCGCGACAGCTATCTTGAGACTGATTCATCAAGCAGCCAAGCTCCTGCAAAAAACTGTCCGAGTTACCGTCTACTGACGCACAAGTATCGCGGAACAATAGCACTCGGCGTGCCTCTGAAAAAACATGCATTGCACGTTGATATAGCTTAAACCCATCAGCTTCATGGATGGATATATTCTCAACGTATGTTTTTCGAGCATTATTTTCATCAACACCGAGTAGTTGAGCCACTTCGTTTAGTGTATAGGGTTCACTTTTTATATGTTCAGACACCAAACCCATAAGTATTTTCAGTTGGGCTGTATCAGCATGCGCGACTGTGCATTTGCTAAAGTATAGGTTTTGAAGGTGACGCAGTGTAAAAAGCTGATGTGCGTCAAAGACACCTAATTTTTTAGCCAGCAGTGCTGCCACAAGGCGAGTTTCAACCACTCGAAGGTTATAGTTGCGATGAGCAGAAGCATGCTTATCAGCAGTAACCAGCGTGTTGGCAATCACAAACACTGGCGTTTCAAACAAAGTGGGAAATGTAATGGGAATCGCCGATAGGGTTGGATAAAAATGAATCAATAGTACTGATCCTTGTACTCCCATAATTGAGATAGATTGATCCATGCCACCAGTCTGCACTCCCGCGTAGTGCTCGCCCTGAATTGCCATGTGAATGATTTCGCCTTTACTTTTCAAAATGTCATGGGATACTAGCGTCGCAATCGTTGATGCACATACAAATGCCGAGCTGGATGATAGGCCTGCACCCTGTTGCAATAGACATCACCACATACCATTATATAGTCAGATTGCATCAGATAGTATAATAAAGATGACTTACTGCTGGAATTGTGCCAGATACCAATGCCTGAATTGATCTGCGCGATATTGGGTCAATATCTTTCAATGCACCCTATCCATATACAATTCAAGCAAATTACGATTTACTTGGACGTAATCTTTGACTGACATGGTATACAAACTCGACATCCATACGAACCTTGCATCCACATCTAAAGTAGTTACTCCACTCGTTAATAGTTGAATCGATCTGGATTGGTTGCTCAGAAGCAGTTTCAAATGACCGAGATGGATAAACGCTGTCGTTCATGTTGCAAACATCAATCTTGAATGTGTCTTGAATGGGCCGAGTCGATACAGCAATCTTTACAAATACCCAAATTTGAATTAGTATCAAGCATTCGTAGACTCGGCATAGAGCACGATATGGAATCTTGAATTGAAACTCACCACAACATCTCGATCAATGGCCATCGGGAGAACAGAATATCCGGCATAGTCAATATGCTCGCCTAAAGACAATTCCAAGCAGTAACTGTCATAAACTCGCATTGACACCAACGCAACTGTGCATAAAGAACATTCAGCTTGACATGATAGATATTTAGTTACCGATCAAGTTGACTCGACCAGGAGAACGAACAAGCCAGTCTGGACGTTTGCCAAACTTGTCATGATAAGCCTGGATAAGGGAAGAGTATCGATTCCTATATAAAACATGTGAATATTAGACGCTGATAGACTCCGACAAGTCTAGATGCATCGCTCATGTTATACAAACACTCTGACAGTCAATGCAATTGATATCGCAATAAACAGTGTTTACCTCTGGAAAAAAAGAACAGAACTGTCATATATCTGATCAAGTCGTTCGACTAAAGGAATACACGCATCAGATTCTGTCATTCAATGCAGTCGTGGCAGACTTTAATCAGATAAAGGAAACGCCAACTTGACCAGATTTCAGTCTTTGGAATTAAAGCATTAATATGATGTTTAAAAAATCAACTTTATTTCTGTTGTGCGGAGGAGATTAGTATCATAAAACCCAAAGGCAAGTGCAAGAATATTAAAAGATAAAAAAAAGATCTCGGCTTAGTAACCACCGGCTACGAGTCTTTGAATTGCTCGGGCTGTATGACACGAGACATAAAGTTGGCAACCATGTTCATGTCTAGATCACCATCGTCTGCTTCAACGGCAATCAGTAGTGGATCAAGAAGGTACCCAACATCCTCTAGTGCAACGTTGCAGCATGCAGCAATAATGCGTCGGCATTTCAGCTCATGCTGACCTGCACTACCGCGCAACGATACCAGATCCTTTAGTAAACCCCTATTGGAATCATCCATATCCTTGACTATCGACCGAAGACGTTGAACTTCATGCCTCAGCGTTTCAGGCGAAAGTTTTTCGTCATCTACAAGAGCATTAAAATGTACCGGTGTTTGAGAAGAGCTGCCTTGTATGGCATCGCGCGATCGATCGATTGGTGAGGTATTGTGACCGAATGGTTTACACTTCATCTCCTCGACAAGTGCATCTTCAAGATTGCGGATTCGTAGCTTGAGCTCTGGAATCTCTCCCAATCGCGCCTGCAAACTCTCATTATTGCGACGAGATTCAGCAAGTTTATGTGCCAAGTCACGCAACTGGGCTGAAGCATCTATTGGAACAGAGGGAAAAGCCAATGAGCCAATGGCAGCAGAATCTGTTATCTGACACGTAGATTGAATTTCTTCCTCTGTCCTCACGCTAGGATAAACTACCAGTGTTCTATCAGCCTTGGTCTCCATTGATGTAGCATTTGTTGGCATTGCATGATCTAAAACCTGGGCAGGCTAATATCACAGATAGTGTCAAAAGTAAGAATAAAGAGAATATAAAAGGTTGAAATGGCCAAACAGATTTAAAATCAGCAATTCAGAGGCTATCAAAAGGTAGACATACCATAGATTGTTGAGTGGCAAGCTCCACCATTTTAGTAACTGGGTTGATGTTAAATCCAAAATCAGCCGGACGAAGACCTGCATTGTTGGCAATGTTGAAGTTGGCACCTGCGTTGAGCAAAAGCTGAACAATGCTTCGACAACCCACACGAGCCGCAACATTAACGGCTGTATTTCCTTGATTGTCTGCCTGATTCAACATACGCCCTAATGAAATATCCGCCTTACTAGAAAGAGCCAAACCTGTTTTTTCATCTGCAACACTAGTACTTTTGTTGGCATCACGAGCAATAAAATCAATCAGACACTCCAGATAGTAGTTGCAAGCTTGAGTGTGACCTTTTACCGAAGAGGCAAGAGCAATGTGATGAAGAATCGTTGCATTGTTACTATCTAGCAAAGGAATCGTATCTTGGAGCATACTCATGAGGTGTGGAAATGTTTGCATATCAAAATTATTCAGTTTACGAACAGCACGCATTAAAGCAGTTTCACCAAATTTGTTGCGAAGAGTAGTGGAAGCACCCTTGTTCACAATCAACTGCAACACCTCAATTTGAGCTAGTACTGCTGCAAAGTGCATAGCTGAGTGACCCATATCGTCAAGTGCCATATCAATATCAAAATTGGGCGGCAATGGAATGCCAGGATAAAGAATAACGGGATATGCAGTCGGACGACTGTCGGTCATAAATAAGGCCAACAATGACGATCGATGGCGCATAGTTTCTTCAGCAGCAGATTGTGCGGGAGTCATGGCAGAGGTAGTTTGTAGCCTGGCAGTCATGCTATCGATCGAGGGTTGTTGAAGTAGCGGTTGTGAAGTCATGTTAATTTGACCATCAAACGACATGTTGCTCAACTCTGCAGCAGGCGCAGCACCATACATTCCAAAGTTTTGTGTTGGCGAAGAGGATGGTCGCGTAGTGCTAGGAGAATTCAAGAGTTCACTAAATGCACCAGCTGCAGGATTGGTAGAATGTACGTAATGCTGCATGGCGGTGTTACGAATCGACTCTATTTGGGACAGTTCTGAAGGAGCGGCAGATGAGTCAAAAGAGGCGGGAAAAGTGCTTATTGCCGTTGTAGTAGCAGGCACGCAACGACGGCGTTTAGGGGGATTGGAATCGGGGTTATTGCCATTTGGATTAGCAGAAGCGGCATCTTTTTTCTTACGAGTACCTCCTCCCGAGGCACGGCGACTGGAAGCTTCCTTGGTATCTTTAATATAGGCAGAAGCAGGTAGCTCGGCAGAAGGTGAGGGAGATTCATCAGGAGCAAAGGTAAGCAACGGCTTTAGCAATTCTTCTAGCTCGTATTGTTGAGCCAATTGAACACCACAAGTAAATGGGATCCTAACAAAATATAATAATGCAATGGTGAGTAAGAATATGATTGCAGAAAAGACTGACGTGATTAGCCCAATATTAGTATAACCCTCAGTGATAAGCTAGAATAGCAACCCCAATAAACAATAAAAGCACATGCGGGTTTGAATCTGTTCAACCCTAAAATAGTGCACAAAACTCCACAGTTCCGTTGTAAATATCAGCAACCCCATGCACAACAAGTTCATCATTACCACTTTTGAAAATAGTACGTGACAACACCTTTTTAAAAGCAAGATGCAAGCCTTTGTAAATAGCCTATGCACGCTAATGCATGTTTACTGGAACACTGAAATCTTCAGTGACATACATGGCTCCTATAATAGTAAGGGCCATGTGTCCATATATAGGTATCTATGCGGCATGTCTTAGCACAGCCAATCTACACCCATCATTACTTGTGTATTTTCAGCAAAATGCTGGGCAATCAAACCACTTTATAGTGACATAAAGATCACTTAACCAATATAAGTAGGCTCAAGAGGAAATGCGTAGGCAATGAAATAGCCAACACATTTGATTGGGTATTTGCTTTGTTGTAGTCATTTTCAACAGCAGCTAAAAACGGAATGCCGATAAATTTGAAAAAAATGAAACTCACCAGGTGCCTTGATATTTGCCATAGCCGCCTTGAACCTTTTCATGGTCACCTTTTATAATCTGCTTTTCAAGAATCTTGGTACGTCTACCCTTATCAACACCAGCAACTTTGAGAAGCTGAGTGGCATTCAAGTACGAGTCATGACATCTACGCATAACAGCCACATCGCGACACATCATTTCATACACTCTAACGCCAGAGTATACTGCGCTGTATATCAGCGATTGTGATGTTGATGCTGCACGCAAAAGAGCTGCAGCTTCAGATTTTCGACTCCGCGCATTGGGAGCACGACTTTTAGCGGTGGTAGTGGCTTTACTTGTTGATAGTGCAGTTCCGATAGCAGCAGTAGTTGCTGTTGAAGCAGTTTTTGAATTAGCATTATTTCCTGTTGAAAATTGAATACCAGCCATACCACCAATAGCAGTAGAAACAGACTGAGTTACAGAACTACCAGATGGGTTTCCTATAGCTGAGATGGACAAAGACTTGTGCAAATTACTATTATTTCCTGTATGGTTGTCTGAAGATGTACTGTTGGATGAACTCTGGTCGACAGTTAGACTAGTACCACCATAATCTTCTATAGATGCAATATTGGGACTATTTACAGTCGAGTTATGCTGCTGTTGCTGAAATGAATGCATCTGTGGATGTTGAAGCAAATGCTGCTGATGCTGAAGATGAAGTTGTTGCTGCAACTGTTGCTGCTGCTGCTGCTGGATCTGGAATAGAGTGTGTGGGTAATGGCTTACAGAATTAGACTGTTGGTAAGGCTGATACATATAATGTTGCATCGGTGCACCGCCGCCATGGTGTCCATAAGCAGAATGAGTCAATGTTGGCTGTCGATACACATTTGGATCAATGCCCATAGGCGGTTGTTGCTGTGGATGAACAAGGCCGTGCGAGTATGGAGAGTGTTGCGAATTAGGCCCAACTTCGGTCGATAATGAGTTGACTGCACTGACAGCAGACGTTTCGTGGTCCATGACGCTAGTAATGAGCCCAAAAAATAGACAAGAATATTGAGAAAGACCTGAACAAGAAAACTATCTGTACTATGGCACAGTGGTTGGGTAATCCACACAACAGTTGATGATTGTTACTACGACAACACTAAAGGAAAAGATGATAAATGCTGGAAAGCGAATGTTGTTTGTAGAAACGAAATGCAACCAATATCAAATGTTGAAATAATCGCAATCTTTGAATTCAAATGTTCAAGTCGTTCTAAACCAAGAGTACACATCAATATTTATTTTATCAAAATATTTGGAAATTCTAAATTAATAGCTTTCGTCCATAGAGCTATGATTAGTATGATTATTACTGTGACTAGTATCATTCTTGACAGTCAAGTCATTGCTTGTGTTGAGTATTTCATCAGATAAGCTTGTCATGGGCTTCTTGTTCGTGTCTGTAAAAAACGTATGCGACCCAGTCTGTACTGGACTATCCATATTAAGACTACCTGAAGAAGATGGCCATAAATTAGGAAAACTATCACTATATTCTTGCTTGCGTTTTGCGTCTCGTAAATATGGTCCTACACGAGTAGAAAACTCTTTGATTCATGAATCATACAGCATAAAAGTTAAAAATCAGTCAGATAAGTGGGTACATTTACATGCAAAATACTACTATACATCAAGTGCACCACCAAGATATTATTGCTCAAACTCACCAGAAGATCGTATATACACTAGGGCATATGCATTTGCATTGGATCCTGTCGTATCAGCAAAGACTTCATGTTCCAACACCTCACTTACAAGTGAATCATTATATTTGAGCCAACGACCTTTGCCATTGTCTTGTAGATCATACAAAAAAAGCCAATAATGTCCAAAAGTAGCCTCTCCTTCGTGAACCAAAACAGCATACAATTGATATTCTTTGCCATTCATGTGGCTATATATTTGGCTACGCTTGTATTCAAGTTCTTCGATTTTAGGTTGTAAATCTAAAGATTACATAGATAGGAAATGAGTTGATAAATTTACTCATACTTTTCTACAAAAACCCAACGAGTTACCTGAAATCTGCTTTTTGATCTTGTCGCAAGCAATGGTAAGCTGCTGAAAAACTAACGGATCTTTACAATGCTCTTGATGTGCATATAGAATACGTCGAGAAGTCTCCATCAATTCAAGAGGAGGCACCGGTAAATTCTAGCAAGTGTCATGATTAAAATTAGCAAACCAAGATCTCATCACACCAAGCAATAGGTAGTCCATCATTATTACGTTAAAAGTTGTTTTGGAGTGCAGTAGATGACGCATTCTGATATACTCATTCGTCAGTTCTTTGTGCTGTTTGCGAAGTTGCAAAACAGTTTCCAAATGGCAATTAAGATATCGCTCTAATGAAATATGTTTAGCATAGCGTAGATAATTGTGCGATTTGTACGCACTATTTGTGATGCGATCAAACTTGACACGCTATACATGGCCATAAAATAGCATGTTAGTTGGAATATTGCAAAATGCATATCATGTATCAAAATAAACACTTGCGTTTATCTGAATAGTAAGAATAGGAGGGAAATTTACTACAGAAAGGCATCGAATAGCACTAGTTCCTTCAAAGTCCACCTTGAACCAATAGTACAATATCAAATATTATTAGTAAATCAAAAAAGCAATTGGTGAGCAAGGTTTCAAATATAACGGAAAAACTTGAAATCTACATACATGTTGAGTAGCAAAATATGCGTCCAATGCAGTGTATAGATCTTCATCCGCATCAACTATAAGTTGGTGAAATGATTCATCTTTTGTACTAACATGATCTCCTTCAGCATCAGTGTATCGAAGAGTCTGGCGCGTAGTGCCGTAAAAAAGACTAGAAAGAAATACAAAAAATGTAAGCAGTGTATTTGTCACCTTGCACCAGTTTAAATATCAACAATATATTGAATATAACCTACTCTTTAAGTAAAGTGCAACCGTTGGTGCATTTGGCATCAACTTTACCAAAACCAATTTCCATCATGTCCATAATATTATCCATGCATTCTACAACGCAAATAATTATCATTAGATATTCACGTCTTTATCAAACGTTTATATAAAGAAATTCAACTTGAAACAAGCCTTACCAGTTAGATCATGTTGAATTCCAAACGTTGCTGATGAGTATTGAGAGGTCAGTGTAGTTTCTACCAAAGCTTTTTCTGGTGTAACACTTGGCTTATCGCTCCATTGAAGTGTAGCAAAAAGTCTTTGAAGATGGAAAATAACTAGACACGATAACAATTTGTCAAAACTAGTTTAAACATGCTATTCAAATTAGAGACTTGGTATAAACTCTACTGTACATTTGTTAGCATGGCGCTCTCGCTCTGTTAGTTCGGATTGAAGGCGTGGTTGAAATGCAAAAACTCGTTTTCGCAAATCTGGCAGCGAAAAGTAAAGTTGAAGCAACGAATTAAGATAGCAGCTATAGTAAAATAAAACGTAAAGCATCAATATCTTGACTAATATATACAATCAAATCAAATCGACAAGGTAGACTGAGTTCGAGTGATCAAAAATTATTCAAGACATGCTGTATTGGCTTACGTATTCCATAGATTGTTAAGACCAATAGGACTGTGTATTTAAACAAACTATCATGTTAAAAATAGCCTTACATATACTACACGTATAAATGCTTACAATACTGTGGAATCCGTATCCATAGGTGCAGTCTCGTTAAATTGTGGTGGCTCTTGCCCTGTGTGCAAGAAATGTTTCAAAGAACTGCAAGATCTGGATATTTGAATTGTTTTTAGTGCCTGTCGTAAAACAGCAAGCTGGTGGGGATTTTTGACAAACTAAACATCAAACAGAAATATCAGTAATTGTGACCACTTTACAAGCAATTAAAATAGGATAATTTAAAACAAATTCTACTACAAAATACAATATAGAGCCTCAAAGTTGAACAGATAAAATTGCATGTACCTTGGTCTTGAATGCCTCAATGATATCATGTGCACTCATCTCCTGCGATATTTTTTGTCCGAGTGTAGCGTATGCTTCCTTTAATTGAACCTCTGATACCTTTCCTAAAAAAGTGAATTTAAAAATATGGTAAATGATCAAAATCAACACCGGCACGTCTATAAGCATAAAACGCACCCTTGGACTGATCTGTGTCGATAAAATCATTCAGCAGGGAACTCTTTCGAATTTTTGCAATTTCAATCAATGCTTTCTAAAGTTGCATTCAGAATTTAGTATATACTCAAATGCATTGCATAAAATTTGCTTCGGCCAGCTTAAAAACTTGCCAGGTATTTGGGTTGAGATGTCGGATCAAGGTGGCAGAGCTCAATGTATATATTTTGAACACAATAATCGGTTATGTTGCTAAAATTGTAATGAATTTGACACCAAAAGATATATATACAAATGAGCAATCTGTTTTGTTTGTGAAAACCAAAAACATATACTATTATATGGTGTTTACCTCATAGTCCCAAGAGTTTCATACGCGGGGTGAAGATCAGCTATCTGCGTCCAAAATTCTGATAGAAATGAGCTTGAACAAGAGCCAACATCTACATGTATAATATTAGCCATGTTAAACCTTATAAAATGTGCAGCGAGCGAATCCTTACAATCAACTCCAAATAGCATGCAAAGCGACTCTGTGGCCTCGCTGAATGAAAACATTTGACTTTTAGATGAGCCTATTTACCCAAAGAAAGTCAAGTTACCAAACACAAGGCTTGATGCAATTCTTGCCATTAAAACATATAAGATCATGTTACCTGCACCAGCTTCTAAAAGAAATTTGCGCAGCGATATTTCTTCCATAATCAAAAGAACTTTTGCCCTATCAATATGCTTGGGATTTGCTGGAACAAAGTACTTTCCTTCCAATCTGTAGCCAATCTCTTGTAAAAATGATATACTGTATTCATTTTTGGAATGATAAAGTAATCAGACGTGTGGTTGATGGATACATGATGGTAACATTTAAAGGTATGATCAAAAAGCATGAAGCAAATGTCAAGAGTTAGTCTCTGAAAATAATCCATGCAAGAAATTCAATATCAATGGAATTTCTAGATGAAAACTAGCTGCATAATTGTATTTTCAGACTCTAGAGTTGGATTCATAGTTTTAAAATACGCACAACTCACCTTGCCTCTGTAACACCAATAAACTCAATAAAACGTGGGTTTTCAGTATTAATGGGTTTTGTAGGAACGCCATGAAGCAAGTTGTCCATGTAAAACGTAAGCATAAAAAGCACGGTTGCTTGACGAGAAAGATCCATGTTTTTGAGTAGATTGCACATCATATTGGGCTGGGTAGCTGATTGAATCAAGTTTATCTTCCAGGTCAGTTGACAGTATTGACAGGCTGCACTGAATCCAATTCTTGACTGATTATGTTGGACTAAACCAACTGTTTTAAACAAATGTACGTTGGGAGATTTACACAAATCATCGCACAGTGCTGTTTCTGCAATGGTGGAATCTGATATTGAATGTGGCATCGATCCTGCGATTGACTTGTTAATGCAGTTATTGGATGCATTGGGATCATAAGTAGTCTTGTTTTGGGGGTTGCTTGAGCTATTTACGGCAACCGCAGTTGTACAAAGTAGATCCAATGGACAAACTGAGGAGGACTGAGAAGCAAAAGAGTTTGTTTCGTGTGATGGCGGCAGTCCAGTTGATCGAAGCGAATGCGTGTTACTGCTCGATTCCATTTGATAATCCAATGCCAACATATCACTTCGAGGTGTAGTCATTGGTGAATGGAGATAAGAATAAACTCCAGAGGGTGGTGATGAAATGGGCGAGCCAGTTATGGATTTAGAAGGTGCGGTTGAACGTGAAATAAACAGATGCACACTACAGTGCTTGCAAATAAATGTAGGCGAGGCATCATCAACTGCCAGAGTATCCTTTCCCGCCAGTCCGTATGTGTTTACCCTTGACATCATTTCGCCCTGATCTTGATGAGATGACTTGTAGGAAAGTTCTGTTATGGGAGTATTTGGTGCAGGAACAACTGCCGATTGCAGTGTCAGTTTTGCCTCGCGCGAGCGAGTAACTGTAAGAAAATGGTGTCGACATTGCTCAGTGCCAGCAGTGGATATATGATAAAAGAGTAGTGATGGCAGTAGATAGCGTGTATCTTGAGCAAAAGGCATATCTTGCTTTTCTGGCATGTATATCAATTGAATTCTGATTCAGCCAAATATGTATATAATTTCAATGTTCGATATTATGGGACAGTAAGCTGCAAAAATTCAAGAGTTGAAGATGGTTTGTGTAGAATAGCTGTAGATGTTGGAAAAGACTTTAAAAACTCGTTTAGCATGGTGTTGTGGATTAGTCTCGACTACAGAACAATGCATATTTTACAATTTGCACATCAATCAGCACTTACCAAAAATATGCTGTAAATTGAAGGGCTCGGCGAGATAAAAAGCAGCTGATTTCAACAGTGGCAGTACAATTGGTGGAGTAGCGATATAATACGTAAAGGATTTGGATTGGTAGGCGAATAACCTGCTAGTTGATAAAGCTCTTGCGAGATTAAAGTGTCGGCTCAACACTAGGCGCATGAAATAGGAAAACACTTGGTAGTAATATAAATTACGGCAAGTTAGGAAAGTTTTGAAACCTCACATTGACGACAGTGCATCCATCAAGCTCATGGCTCAACACAGTAGGTGGATAAATTGATGGTGCAGCAGCGAGAATAATTGTTCTTGTATGCCATTCAGCCACTAAAAGCGCAGCTGCCTTTCAAGACAAATCAACCCCTCATCAAAAGGAAGCATAACCCTGATAGTCACTAATAGCTGAGCTGTCGAGTAGCTCAATAGACTCGGGATAGTAGTGCTTATCTATTGCATTACGAAACAGCCACTAGGAATTAAATGGCAATCCACTCAAACATGCTTTCACCAAAGCCTTGGTAATTCATTTTACAACCCATTCGTAGATTTAATGCCTATACTCTTCAAATACATTCAATAGACTGCATTCAACTTTTGTAGTTTTGGTCATCCAAACAACATTCCTTCGATCACTTCAAGTACACTATGAGCCTGCTTTCACCATCATACATGTCAATACTGTCATTTCCACAGTTGCTATCTTGAATCATTCGTACGTTTATCCGCTTTGTGTAGATGGCTTCTCATGCAAGCAAGAAAATCATACACCTTGCACACCGCCTCAGTTTGCTGATTCAGTTTAATTCTCCCGAGCCTGCGTGTAGATCTGCAACCCGAGTGTGATTAGACAGTCCGAATACATCAAATTTTAAACTACACATCATTGGCTATTCAACACTTGCAATCATCCATCATCACCAACGGATTGCTTCAAAGTCAAGAATCAACACCAACTCGCAATAGACACCATTTAAAATCAACACATGTTCATTGTAAAATCAGTCGACACCACAAAAAGTCAAGGTTTGAGAAAATCAAAGCATCATATTTGAGAAATAGCCTGCTGAGTAGTCACTGCCTCGGAGTTTAAAGATTGAGCAGATACATCTAAACCATCAAGCGGCATTGTAAAGCATTAGAATCAGCAATGTTGGAGTTTCACAATATGCAGTACTAAACAGGATATGTAACCGTCATACAAACAAAATCCCAGTCTATAGTCACTCACAAGGTTTTTGAATGCCATAGCCACTGGATTTGGAAATACCTTGGGAGACGGAATTGGGTTTGCTTGAACCAAGAGCATGTGTAGATGCTTTCTTGCGGAGAAAATCCTGATGGGCTGTAGTGGTTTTGAATGCTGGATCAGCTGCCACATCGCGGCCTTCCGCCGCTGGTGGAACAATAGCATCTTTTCGAGAGAGTCCAAAGTTACCAACCGACTTTGACGTGCGTAGGGGTGTTTTCTTACCAGCATCAGCAATAGAAGCACTAACGCGAGTTTGAGTGGGTCGTCGAAATATGGCAGGAATGCTCGACTTGGATGCAGCGCTTACTTCAGCCACATTGGTCATGAAAGGAGTAGATTTAGAAGCAGATGGTTTCACTGTGCCATGACAGGTGGCGGACATTGATTGAGATGGGGCATTGAAGGTTCCAGAAGCAGTGCGAGACCCTGCCGACTCGGGCTTTGAATTAGTAACTGAATGACCTTTGGTTGCAACACTAGTAGAATTCAAGGTAGCATTAACGTTTTTGGGTCGTTTTTTAACAATAGATCCAGTGGATGACAAGGGAATAGAACGATCAGAGAGCCCGGCACTATCCTTTTCTTTATTATGAATTGACGTGCGTGAGATTGGCTGACGCGACAAGGTAGGACGAACGGTTGTGGATGTCGCTGATTTTGAAGAGACTGCACGAGATTCAGTCAATCGAGCCTCCACTAATCTCGATACAAGTGACTCGATATTTTCATCTATGCCCAAGTTTGTAGATCTCAAATCCTTATCCGCGACATTCTCATTAAATCGCTCTATTTGATGGCACGTAAAAAGTAGGATTAAATCAAAAGTTACAATGCTATCAGGTCAATTCAACCAAGACTAAAATCAACAGCATTACCCTGCTTTGCTCTCATAAATTTAAGGACCGCACCAAGTGGAAGCGATAGCGTCTGCAGTGAGGGCAAAGTGATATCCTTGATAACATCCCACTCAAGCAACTCTTCTTTTTCAAACACAGGCACAAGAGATCCCAAATTTTTGCGATCAAGCCACTCCACGACCGTCTCGGATTCCATCAGATTATCAGCAGTTGGGGATATTTGTATGGCTACATAGATGATTAAACAGTATAGATTAATATACATTAAAATGGCATGCTAGTTGTTACGAATTGCTAGAATCAGCTGTCAGAGTGGAGTTTCATATTGCTCATTTCGTAAAACTCCATCTTGAATCAAGGTGAAACAGATGATATCAAGATCTACTAGAGCAAGCCAGATTACCTTTGGAAACCGACTGATCCGCAGTCAAAGCCGCGGTCTGGATATCAGTCATTATAGGATCTACCTGATTGAGAGAGGAAACCGATTCTTGACGGGAATGGGCAAGATCTGCAACTTCCGACTCCATATCTGTGGCCTGATGGCTTTCAATGAACCTTGCATCATCGGCCTCCATTAGATAGGCCTCTGACTCAGTGTCAGCCATCACGAGGCTTTCTTCTAGTTGTTCGGATGTTACATCAGCACGAGTATCTACAACAACAGTATTGTCGCCTGTTTCGTCGTCAAACGGATCGGCAGTATAGGTGGTATCGGCAATATTTGAGGACACAGTATCTACCAAAACAGATGCATCCTCCAGTTCCTCGTTTCCCTCTTCTGACTCGTCAACAGAAACATTGTTGGCATCTGGAGAAGTAGTAGAAGAAACATGAGCAGATGTATGTTGCTCGTTACTAGCGTTGCTGGCATGATGAGCTTTGAGAGCCTTGATACAGTCGGCTCGCTATCACAAACATGGCAAAAAGTTAGCATATTAATGCCTTGTATTTTTCCAGTGGTTTATAAATTAGATGTAACAGTGCATCACAGTAGATTGGGTTATGGCTCGCCAATATAAAGCGAGTTGGATTATTTATTGGACAATCACTGGTTTGTAGCACAGGTGGAACAGTGCAAACCTTTTTCTTTGCATATCCAGTAATGCCAGCATTCTTTAGTAATTCAATAGCCTCACTCCTAGAGAAACGGTCATAGTCCACAGCGTTTACTTCCATTTGTTGATATCGGTATAAAACGTCGAGATGGCAAAATTGTAACGAATATTCGGACCATTTAATGAGGCCTTTCACAGCCGTATTCACGCAAAATGGACCACTAAATAAGAGTGTCTAACCAACTGCTAGTCTCACGGCATGATTGTTGTCAATGTTCTGGACACTGTGTTCTCTAAACTCTATAAAGCTGACTGGTCTTCTGGTCATTGGCATGGCAACGGCATTCGTTCCTAGGATGTGCAATCTTTCTCTTGAACTAGAGCGCGAATGTACGAGTTTTTGGGATACAAAAATGAGGTTGTACAGAGTTGTATTGAAAACAGCTGAGCTCAACATCTGAATTGCCATGTATGGCTATGTCAAAAGTGGAGAAAGAACAGGCTCAAACCTAGTGTGTGTATCATATGGACGGTATGTTTTGAAGAATTGAAAGTGTCGATTCAATGTGTAGTAGGAAAGCGAAGCGACTATTTAAGCATTGTTTATTCCAAAGCAATCACAAATACAAAAGGTTTCCCATTTTACGTGAAATACGACTGAACATTCAGTATGACTATATCCTCCACAACTAAGCGTGTTCTGTGTTTTGGATCGATCAATATCGATGATGTATTTACCGTACCAGATATTGCAAAGCCAGGTATGGATGATTGTCACTAATACTTGATTGCATTCATCAGTCTATTACTTGCATTGTGGAATAAAAGACCAACACTAGTTTGACGTTGACCTAAACAGGAGAGACCATTTCATGTTCGGATTACAAAATGCTTCCAGGCGGAAAAGGTAATTGTTTCATGTTTTTGCATACTCCAACACTACATTTTGACCAATCGCTAATCTACTGTTTTGGCTGCATTCAACTTTATCAGGTGCCAACCAAAGTGTTGCTCTGGCCAAGGTATGTTTTATCCTACACCATCACCAATAAGTTGTCTCGAACTGATGGGTGATTCAAAATATCTCTATTATTGATTTGGCTGTGTTTGGAGCATTCAGCCTTGAAGTGCATGACCGATTGCTTAAAAAACAGCAGTTTTGGTCACCCTGTTTACAATGTCCCATGATCACTCCCTGTTGAGTTTGTTGGGTGTGGACAGATATAGTTGGTGGTGGTGCTGATAAGCTTCGCAGGAACTCTTTTAATCTCATTGCTGGTTTTTAAACATTAGGCCGGAACATCTGTCGTTCACGGAGGTAAAATTGGAAAGGATGGTCAGTGGGTACTCGATCTTATGAAAGACTATGGTGTCGATACATCCATGGTGGTTGTTGATCACAACGCTGTAAGTTTATCTTGTATAGTAATTTCCATAAATTAAAACTGTCTGTTGACCAAGGGTACCAATGAATCTAGTTTACTGGACGTGCTATTATCCAAGGTTTCACAGGCCTCGCACGATAATACGATTGTGCTGAATCCTGGCGCAAACCATCAAATCACTGCTCAAGATATCGACAAGGTCTTGTCCCAGTTCAAATCAAGAGACTTTGTTATTCTTCAGAATGAACTCAACTCTGATGCTACCTTGTATTTGCTGAAATCTTGCAGTGCCAAGGGTAATTGATATTTGCATTTCATAGAACCAGTAATGGTTGCTAACAATGTGTTGACTGTTAGGCATGGTGGTATGCTTGAATCCGGCTCCCTGTCCCAAGAATCTTGCGTCCGTGCTGCCACTGGAACTTGTTGATATCCTGATTCTGAACGAGTCCGAATCTGAGTCACTTGTGTGTCAACTTTCCACCTCGAACGTCAATCAAAAAAAATGCAATGATCCTGCCACTATCTGTGAGATCGTCCTTACCTCGTATCCTGGTCTCTCTGTCATGGTCATCACGTTGGGTGAGCGTGGGCTTGTTGCTGGTGCTCGCTTGCATAATGGTGCAGCACCCACTATTCAAAGCGTGCCCATCACTCGCAGTGTCAAGGTTCAGGATACCACTGGTGCGGGAGATACTTTTGTGGGTTTCATGTGCGGTCATCTCATTTCCAACATCAGCTTATCGTCAGACCAAACGCATTCCAAAACCGACATCTTGACCGCAATCAGCGCTCAGCCTAATCTTTTGGAGATGAGTCTTCAAACTGGTATTCTTGCGTCCGGAGTGTGTTGCGAACACAGTGGTGCAATGATCGCTATTCCAACTAAATCTGAACTAATGAAACTTTAACTTGCATTAGGTTTATTCATATCGCTCTTGTTTTGATTTCAATGAGACTATTAACCTATAAAAACACAATAACTCGTTTGAATCCAGATAAAGCAAACCATTACATTCTGAGTTTGAAAATTGATAGAACACTGTGTTCATGTAAAACAAACCACTGAATAAAAAGTCGGCAAGACCAAGTCTATTTATATCCAACAGATTGTTGCAGTGTATACTACACGTGACTATGTTTCTGTTTATTGCTATGTTTATGCCAACAGTATTTTCTATTACAGTCATATTCACGTAAAATGAATTCAGAAAAATCCAAACCAACCAAATCTGCTCTCAAGTCATTTTTGTCTGGGGCATGTGGAGGGTTGACTCTGGTAAATAGCAATGATAGGATCAGCTTTGTTTGAAACAATTTAATTCCAACTGAGCAATACTACTTGGAATGGTGTTTTTAACTCAAAGTGCACCGACTTTGATCAATTTGCCAACCATTTGCTTTGACTCGAATTGATCTAATGCAAAACTATGATGACAGGTTTCAGTTGCACATCCATTTGACTTGATCAAGGTGCGAATGCAAACAGCAGGACCCAATGCTCCCTCTATGTCTACGTTTCAGGCTGTCAAAAAAATTGTTGCTGCAGATGGCCTTTTAGGCTTATATCGAGGAGTCACTCCAGTTCTGCTGGGCACACCAGTTGAGTAGTCTTGCCATATTTCAACAATGTTTTGGTGATGAGTGCCTATCGGTAACTGGCTGGATGCTAACGGTTTGATATTTTGGTACAACTAGCCAGTACTGGCTACTAATTTTTGGGGTAAGCTGATATGTTTGCCAAATACTAAATGACTGGAAAATGCAAGTTTAAACTCATTTTAAATAGCCTATTTTTTGTGCCAACAAATCGTGTTTGACCTTACTGGCGGTGGTCATCGATATAGCCAACTCAATAAACAAGCCACCAATTCAGATTCCATCGTAAATCAGCTTTCACTCAATCAGATCGGCATGGCAGGTGCCTTGGCGGCTATCCCAACATCTATCTTGCTAGGACCAGCCGAGCAACTCAAAATTCGATTGCAAATTCAAAAAACATCGATGCAATCTGGGTCAGTCAAACGTCAAGGAGTAACAAGTATTATGCGAGATATTATACGGGAGGGTGGTGTTAAAGCTATTTTTCGTGGCACAGGGTTTACGATTCTAAGAGATACGCCCGGAAGTTATTTTTATTTTCTAGTATATGAAGGACTCAAACGGTGTTTTAAGCGTGATGATTCAGACTATGTTCATCCTGCTGCTGTTATGCTTTGTGGAGGTAAGTTTTATACATTGCCGTAAACTCTCACATCAAGTATAAATTTGTAGTGTCAATATTGTATTCATTTTTGGATCTAAATATTGCTCAACTCAGGTGCTGCTGGTATGGTCAACTGGATCATTGCAATTCCAGTGGATACAGTTAAATCTAGACTGCAATCGGCTGCTGCATGCGATGCATCTGTGAAAAAAATAGTGGGTAAACTGTTGGCAGAAAGTGGTCCAGCTGGATTTTTTAAAGGACTGGGTCCGACTCTTCTCCGTGCTTTCCCTGCCTCTGCTGCTTTCTTTTTTGGTGTTGAAACCAGTAGTCAATTTATGGACCGATATTTTTAATGGGATTTCAACTCATCTCTTTTATTTCTTTGAGGTTTCACTGCCGTATTCACGTAAAATGAAATATTGAATAAGCGTCAGTATAATAAACAGCCATTGTCATAAAATGATGGGGTTAATCTGCTGAACTACGTTACGACATTTGAGCCACCTACGGTTGGTGAAAAGGCATGAGAATCGAGAGAAAATAAAGAGATTGCAACCATCACCATCAGTGTATATCATGTATTTGAAAAGTGCTTGTATGACTTTATTTAACCCAACACCCATCCCATTTAAACAACATCCCATTCCATAAATCAACTCTTCAATTCGGTGATTTACCAATCGTTCAACAACCGGTGCGCAGATTAATGGCTCAAATATAGTAAAGAATGAGTGTGTATCAAGCAATCCAAACACTGAGAATGTCAATTTCTAGCAGAAAAACACAATAAATATTTAACCATTGTACACTCCAACCCAAATAGAAAGTCTGCAAGATAAATACATGAAATGCTCTGTTTTACGCAAATACGGTGGCAATTATGATTTTTATTGAAAGCCATGAGAAATGTTAGGATTACATTACACTCACATCGTGAAGTGCGACACATACAACTGCTTTCTGATGGCCATTGTAATGTCGAATTGCATCACCCGACGATAGATCCCACAGTCGAGCAGTATGATCAGACGATCCTACACATATCACATTCAAGTCAAAACAAGCATGATAGATATTAGGTAAATAACTACAAACAACACAATGCAGCACATGGATAAGCAAGTTACAGTGGTTTCAAGAAGATACCTGTGACAAGATAGGCTGAATCGGCAGAAAATGCACAATCCCATACCCATCGCTGATGTCCTTGCAATGTTTTATCAAGACTGAATCGGTATCGACTTGCATCCCAAATCTTAACAGTGTGGTCTGCTGAGCACGTAGCAAGTAGTCTAGTTGATCCAAAGTTAAAATGCCACACGTGCATAGTGTCAAACATTACATTAGCATAAATGCCATAAATATCATAAATACATCGTAATGAGATCTATATCTTGCCTGTTGTCAGGACTAAGTAAACACTTTGTGATGTATTTGTCATGCGCAGACACCTTTGTAAGTGCTTCAAACTCTGTCGTGTCATTTCCTGCTCTGGTTCGCCAAACATAGTAGTTTCCCTAACAGATTTACATTGATTGTTAGTATGTGTGCGTTTGAAAATAAAAGATGCTTTAATAAAGGTTACCTTGTTGTTAGCAGCCACCAAGAGCGATCCATCTGCCGCCATAGTTACTGATCGAACTGGAATATCCTCTTCAGGAACCAACTCATGTGTACAAGAGTTTTCCGCTAGATCCCAAATACGAATGGATCCGTTTTGATCACACGAGACCAACTCGCCTTGGTTAGGATGAATAATAACATCATTGACTGGTGACTTTAGCTCATAGTCACGCTGGATACCGGGTGCTCTGATAAGCCGAAATGCCAATAAAATATCAAAAACAGATCAACAGCTTGATCGAGATCTGTAAAAAGTAAATTTAGTGTCGACTAACCTGACATCAAAAACCTTGATCGTTCCATCCTCACTTCCAGTAACAATCCAACGCCCAGCAGACTGAAATGCAATGGATGTAATATTTCCAGTATGACCTTCAAATGTCATGGCGGGACTTGGATTGTTTGACTGTATATCATATAAACGGACATTTGGATTTCCTGTTTTTATTCCCAAAACAATAGATCCAACATTACAGACATGTATTAGTACGAGTTTAAAGCCATCTATACTCATAATACAACACATTGATGGCCATGGTGTGGTAAATTACCTGCAGCTGCCAAGAAACGCTTATCTGGCGAGATGGCAAGTCTGTTGACCTAAAATGCATTTTAGACGAGCTAAATGTGAATATATTAAGACGCAGCGAGTACATGAATACACTGGAAGAGAGTACAACCCACCGAATCCGAGTGCTGGATTGTTCGTAGACAAATCCCACTAAGTGCTTCCCAAAACCGAATAGTGTGGTCGTATCCAGCAGTAGCAAGCACAACCTCTGTTACAGGAGCCTGCATACTATCATTATATTGAGGATGTTGCTGCGGCAGAGGTCCCTGCTGATTATGCTGAGGAGGTTGCTGTTGCGGAGGATGCATTACGAAATAACAGCTATTTAGAAAGGGTCGATTTGCTACTAAAATCTGTAAATCAAGTTGAAATCAAACCAACTTATTATCTGTAGTTGCAATCTGATGATAAAACCCAGTTTGAACATAAACCAATCGTATTCGTTAATATGGATTGAACATTATAAATCAAATGAAGAATGAGTTGAATTCATGCTATAAATGCTAGTCTATGCAATACTTGAGTCAGTGTAGTGCATAAACTAGTCACTGCCAGTAGTGATTCCAAGATCGCAGTTGGTTTCGTTTATTCATAAGAATTTCCAAATAGTCGACTGCGGAGTGTTATTTAAAGTTCAAGCATGCATTGAACTTGCACCATCGCAAGCAAAGCAACTTTGGAATGAACGGCGATCTAGCTAGCAATATGAAAACTAGTGTGCCTATACTGACACTTTCTGCTGAAGCTTGTCCTCCTGTTCCTGAAGGCTATCCATACAATGGTTTGACAGATGAACAACGACAGCTTGTAGATCGTTTAGCAAAACATGCTCCTACACTCTTTGACACTAATGGCACTCCAGAGCAACAGGCCAAAGAAGCCAAGTGGACAAACGCTGTTTGTCTAATTCGCTATCTCAAGGCAACCAAGTGGGATTATGATCTTGCTGGTAAGGTTCCTTTCAAACTCATTGCACACTGCTGGAAATGCAGCCATTAGTTTCTGGATGATCCAATCTCATGGGTGTTCATGGTTGAGCATTTGCTAATGGTGTTTTGATCAACTAGTCACTCGATTGTCTGCTACTTTGGCATGGCGCAGAGAATACAAACCAGACGAGATCACTGCAGATGAAGTCGCTCCCGAAGCACAAACCGGCAAAGAGTATCTTTGTGGTATGTCTCCAGCTAAACATTGTTTATTTTATGTCATGAGTATGGAGATCATAACTCTTGGTTTTTGGTAATATTTTGTAGGGTTCGATAAGCTTGGACGTCCAATTAGTAAGTTTAACCAACGTTTGTGTCTAATCTGTCTATCCATCTAACTTTGTAATCAGTATATCTTGTTCCTTCGAGAGAAAATACAAAGACATACGACCGGCAACTCCGATTTGTAGCTTATAACATTGAAAAGGCAATCCTGTAAGTCCGCCTCAAAAGTAAATACTTTATTATTGTCATATTCACGCTGAATTCTACAAATTCCAATTCCTTTATAGAGCAATGCCATATGGAGTTCAAAGTATTTGCATGGTTGTGGATTACGAAAACATCAGCATGTCTACTGCACCTCCTCTTTCAGTCACTCGTCGCTTCCTTCAAATCCTTGGTGATCATTATCCAGAGGTAGATGACTGCTGCTCTGTTTAAATCGTTTGTAAAACTATATTCTTGTGCCATGTCATGACCAACTGAAATGCAATTCGCTTGTAAAACTCTAGCACCTTGGTACGTCGTTTATTATCAATCCAAGTTGGTACCTCTCTGTTCTTTTCAGAATCATTACTCCTTTTATGGATCCTGTAACACGATCCAAGTTGCATATGTGCAACCTTAAAGCATTAATAGCACAAGAGCGTTCTGGAAAAGATGCATCCAATACTGCAGCCGCCGGAAAACCGACTGAAGGCACTGGAGGGTGGACAGACATTCGTCACTACATCTCAAAAGACAATCTTGTCTCAGAGTATGGCGGCGAGTATAACTTTGAATGGAATTTTGAAACCTATTGGTCTGCTTTAAGCTCGTTAAAACCTGGAAATGTTGATACACACTAGTGATCACTGTCATGATTGACTTTTTGAACCGGTAGGAATAAAGCTAAATCCAATTTTAGTAATTTCATATATTTTCCAATTCAACTTTAAAGATCCCAATCTTCCTCGTCCGAGTGCTCATCACGTCGGCGATTGTACTATTTGCAATTCAATAAGAAATATCAGATCACTCAATCCATGCAATTCATGCAAGTGTTTAAAGTAACCAACCGTAATCTTTGTACTAGACTGTTGATGTGTGTTGATTTGTTCCAAAAGATCAATCAGTTGAGATTCGCCAACCTTTCCTCGAATCTGTCCTGTTTGTGCCTACAGAATGTAACGTCGCATCAATAGACTCGACAAGTATATCTGTTTTGCATGAATCCGAGTCAAATCAACTATATCCAAACATTGCATTCATACCATTCTAATTAGCATATCCTCAACCGCTCTGGCCTTGTCGCCTTTAACCATCTTGATACGAGCCAGTCTTTCCCTGGCACCGTTATCCAAGATTTGATAGACCTACACATTAGCAAGTTAACAGTCGGATATCAAATGGCAGATCCCAAGTTTACCAATACTAGTGTTTCTTACCATGTTCCGCCGCATTTCTTCTTGATCGCTGCAGTTATAAGTTGAACATATTATTGTTTGATTAGTTGCTGCCATTGCATATGCCAAAAATCCAACCAACTATCAGGTTGTAAAGTGCCTACTTTTTTTTGGCTTCGGCTGCTGCATCTCCACTACCAGCTCGTTGTTGACCCAAAATAGAAGATAAATCACTTGATTGAGATCCCTAAACAAGACACAGTGTAGTGTTAGTACCTCAACATATGTGCACTAGTCTGTTCAGTTGGTAACTGTTGGCTTGGAAATAGAAGCCAAAGGAACGTTATGCTCGAGTGTAGAGCATGGTCCAAGATAAGCCAAACAGCAATACCACTGACAAGACAGAAACAGTAGAATTCTTTCAAGTGATATAAACCTACTCCGCTTTGGGCTTTCATCTCTGCCATACGGCGAGCACGAATAGCAGCAAGCTCACTGTCCTCCATGTACTTGATTGCTTGAAGATTTCGATTTCAGTCGTATTCACGTAGAACACGATAAAAGTGCAAACGGAAAGAAAGACTTTGATTCAAAACTATAATTTGTACAAGTTGCGCTTATTGAATAAACAGTCAATTTCTAGTAAGAAAATAGCATTTAATTGTTTATTCCAAATCAATTATTGAAAAATAAACAAGTTTCTCGTTCACACTAAACTCGAATCGTAAAAACATTGCAATCATGCAGACTGAATCCAAACTATTTATTGGGTTTGTCAGAAAGCTATATGCAAATGTATTGATAATAACATTGTTTAGAGATATCAACACTTTTATCAATTACACATGTCGTCACTACTGCTGCTGAATCAAAAGTCAATGTGCCATCTTGCTCGAAATAAAGGTTTAAACACACCATTCATTAGACTATGCGACAGTATTGGCTCCCTGTCCGCCAACTTGAGTCCATCGATGATTGCATTCACAACACGCAAAGAATAGCTTCATCGTAGCGTCAGCTCCTTTTGACCGAGATTGAAAAAAGACTGCTTCCATATGTGAGCATTTTGGACATTCTGTTTTAGATCGAGGAAATGTTGGATCGCTCTTGAGATCGATCACTACCAGTGTTTGTTCTCTGATTATATAATGGATCAGCGAACAGAATCCAAAATATCAATAAAGATACAACTTTATAGATCTTGCAATATGCAAAAGAAACTAGCGACAATCTTAGAAAACCCGAAAGATGATTGCTAGATCTGATATAGTAGAAAGAATGCGGCAGCTTTAAACCGTCTAAAACAACAGTAAAGACCAAGGTTCTTACAATGGGATATGTGAGATAGTATGGCTATATACGCATGTATTGTCCGCTTCTTCGACATGGGTACAGTTTCGACAAGCAAACAAAAGCTTCCTTTCTCTTCGGTCTTCCTTTGGATAAAGCATATTAAAACTGAATGGCCAAATGAAACGGGATTCAAACGTTGATGAATATAACGGTAAAAATGCACATCAGGTAGAAATAGTAAGTATCAATGTATATTACTCTGGGTGTTTAAACTAAATCAAATCAGTATCGATGCTTCAAGTTGAGTGTTCAGAAACTGCAGTAACTATTAAATGACAAGTAAATGACGCTAAAAGAAATATTGTCCAATTATGTATCCCACTCTATCATTTTCCATATAAATAAAGATTCAAGAGTACTGCTCCTGATTTATTTAAACACTTGCCATTCAGAACAGAATCGGACTGTCGCCATGCTTGCCAGTTTCTAGAGTTTGGAGAAAGTTTTCACGCTCTAAAATCCCATATTTTGGGCAAATCAAAAATGGGCAAATTAAAAATTGGGAGTTTTATGCTGCAATGAATGCATGAAGTGAGCAGATTTGATTGTTACAATTGGATCTGCAACAGAAATAGTCGAATAAAATTGTCATTTATCAACAACCAACTGCATTAGACAGTAGTGTTATATTACGACTGTTTTACTTGAGCATTGAGTAGTTTGATTACAAATCTATTTTATTACTGCATACTTGACTCATAACCGTTTAACCCACCCTGAATCTATTAAAGCCGCAATATAGCATTCAACCGAATGAGTTGGATGATTATTTATAGAATATCTGACAGACAGATTGAAATTATAGATTCAAACTATTGAATAGAATTATAGAAATTATAGATTCAAACTATTCAATAGAATTATAGAAATTGTAGATTCAAACTATTCAATAGAATTATAGAAATTGTAGATTCAAACTATTCAATAGAATACTAAATATCATTCATCACCACTGATAATCAACCTCGTGGCGCTGAAAGGGTTGAATTAATATTCGACCCTTAAGGCATATCAATATCATCAGCCACAAACACAGCAAGTCGATATATATTCAAGACTATTCCAGCAAGTTAGTTTGGGATTCACTTTGAATCGCTAGTATTATAACTTGCAGCACTACTTGCCAATCAGTCGGTGAGCGATCGCAAGTCTTGTATATTCCAAGTGACTTGCTGCTGCCATACCACAACTCCTGTTGATTCAGCAGCAATACTAGAACATGTTCTCTAGTCCAGTATCAAAACATACAAGTCGCAAGTCCAGCAGTACCTATGCAACTCCACCACCCTCATCCCCTGCCTCTCCGCTACCGCAGCCATCTTCATTAACAGTTGAATATCCTGTTTCTGCCAGACGAGCCAACTCGGGCGGATATAGTCACAATAGCACTGGTGGTTATCATCGCACTCAACCACAACATAATAGCAACTATAACCAACAACGTAATCAGCAGGTTCCTTCAGCTGCTGTTCCATCTCATCAGAACTCCAGCAGCAGTCGGTCTGCGAATCCAAAAAAACCCCATTCCAGTGCTTTTGGTCCATACACGCTTGGAAAGACTCTTGGAGAAGGCGAGTTTGGCAAAGTTAAACTAGGACAGCATATGGATACTCGCAAAGAGGTATTTGTTGCTGAATATAAGTCTATGAATCAAGTATCAAACATCTTATGTTCTTATTGGCATCCAATTCAATAGGTTGCAGTGAAACTTATTAAAAAAGCATCAATCGACAGTCCTGCCAGACGAGAAAAACTCATTCGGGAAATCAGTCTGCTCAAGGTAGCCATTTCTTGTAGATCCAATATTCTGCATTTCTATTTATCATCATGTCCATATTGTCTTGGCTTATCACTGAAGAAATACCAGTTTTGATATCAATCTCATTTGAACCAAATTGCTCAATGTGATGTGGCTGCTGCAATGGATTGATATTACAGCTGTATTCACGTAAAATATAACATTTATCTTGCAGTGATTGTCACTGTTTTGTTTTGGAATATAAGACATTCGTTGCACTTTCCTACTACAAATCGACTTTAATTGTCAATTCCTCCAAGCACAGTGTCCGTCATACAATCAAACTGGTTTTGGACTGATATAATCACATTTGGTGTAATCATACGTTGTGCGATTGCCAGATTCATGTGTCATCTTTATCATGACACGATCCATCACCCATACCATAGCTGACATGCATATTATCCTTGTTGATTGACACTGTCCACATTAGTAATCATGAATTCAATACAACTGCTAACCTTTTGAACCATGTTTTTATTTCTAGTCCGTCAGTCATCCGCATATTGTTCGATTGCATGAAGTGATTGAAACCGAACATTATATTGGCATGATCATGGACTATGCTTCGGGTAATATGAGCATTTTACACATGCATTTGGCTTAATGCAAGCTTTCGCTGTGGTTGTATCAAGACTAACCTAAGCTATTTTAATTATAGGCGGTGAGCTGTTTGGATATATTTTAAAGCGACGATATTTGAAGGAAAAAGAAGCTAGTGCATTTTTTGCTCAATTGATTTCAGGTATATATGCATCAACCCATATAATGTCATTGTAGAGTTGTAACATGGTGTTGATAGTGCAGTATGGTTACTGAGGTTTATGATTTGAATTCATGTCAACTGATGATTTGTAATCATTATAGGTGTGAGCTATCTGCACAAGAATCTCATTGTACATCGAGATCTGAAACTGGAAAATTTACTGATTGACAGTCACAGAAACATTGTGATTACAGACTTTGGATTTGCAAACACTTTCAACTCTGACTCGAGCAAATTGCTGCAGACATCGTGTGGAAGTCCTTGCTATGCGGCTCCAGAACTTGTCATCAGTGATGGCTATGTTGGCGAGGCAGCTGATATTTGGAGTTGTGGTGTTATTCTATACGCCATGGTATGCGGATACTTACCCTATGATGATGATCCAGCCAATCCCGAAGGTGACAACATCAATCTGCTGTACAAATACATTCTTGAAACCAAACCGGATTATCCGGAATATGTGTCAGAAACTGCTAGAGACCTCATCAGCATGATTCTCGTTCCAGATCCTCGTTACCGTGCAAACATGTCGCAAATCATTAATCACAAATGGCTGCGTTCATACGCGTATATGCTTGATATATCCAGTAACGGACATGCGATAGCTAATGAAACAATACCAGTTCAAAAGGTCCGCGAAACACCACCCCAACAGCAAATCCAGCCAAGTTCTCCAACAGCGTCGCCTTCACAGTCACCATTATCAAAAGCCTCATCGGGGTTGTATATTTCTCCACAGTCATCAGTTTCACACAATACTAACCAAGAAACATTGCAATCGGTGCTCTTGTTTCCACCCCGTTTGGAGTCAATGACGAGCTTGGAAAGCCCTGAGCCATTGGTATCTGCTGTACCAAAGAATACTCATCAGCCGTCAGTGTTGGACATTGTTCAAAAGCGTCAACGACAAGACCATACACATGAAACGATTGCAGTTGAATCCGTACCCGATATCGCATCCGATGGGGTTATTCATCAGATTGATGCAGGAATGGATGCCAGCAAGACTAATGTCAATAGCACGTTGATCACTACACTGCCAACCGCTGAATCATTATCGGTCAACAATGCCGATGCACCAGTTGCCGAGGTTGTTGCGAAACACGATTCTCCCACCAGAGAGTCGAATTCTGTAGACGATAATATGGAATCTGGTCAGGCTTTTAATACTAAACCGTTCAGCGAATCGCTTACTCCAAAACCATCAGTTCAAACAATAGAACAAACTGCGTTTGCAGAAACCAGTGCATATGTTACTCAGAAAGTCATGTCATCTCAAACCACTGCATATGCAACTCCTATCAGTCCCACTAAAATGACATCTGGTTCAGATTCTGTTGCATCCATATCTACTATACCAAAGAATGAGCATAGTTCGTCACCAGTGAGCTTGGTGGATAGTTCGATTGACATTGCTGTAACACCTGATGGATCGATTGACATTGCTGCAGTATCTGATGAACCGATTGCCATTGACAAAGATTTCAACTCTGATATAAACAAGCCAGTACCAGCAAAGCCACATATCAATCTATCACATGTTGTGGATGCATCTAATCATTCAGGCAAGAGTCAGTCATTCGATATCCCTCGTGAAACATCCTCATCGATTATAATTAGAAAAACACCATATCTTGAACCACTGTCCCCTGTCGTGACTGACAATGCACCAAGCGACGAGCAATCTCCAACTGCTCGCAAACTGGTGCAATTCACTGTTGCGGATGAGTCAACCCGGACTAGTTTGCCTGCACCGTTCTCAAACCGTGGAAAGAGTTTTGACTCGCGCCGTTTGACTCAAGCTGAACGGGATATCGAGTCTGGTGCTTCTGTTGGCAAATCTCGTCAGCCATCCTTTTTGAATCAGCGTGTTGGAGCTGCCAATCAAGATGGCAATGATGAATCACACGGGTATGCTGGCCTATCCGCGGTACCACGGGCCTCCATATCATCTCAGTATACAACCAATCCAGGATCTGATTACTCACGTCTCAAAATACACAGTGGACCAATTGATCAGCGCGCATTGAGCTCCAAACCACCACGCGAGCTGATTTCAGATATTTCGGTTGTGCTTGGTAGATTGGGAATGGAGGTTTACAGGGTAGATGGCGAAGATTACAAGCTTCGTGTGGTGCGTCCAAAAGGTGGTGTGCCCACACAATCGCATAACTTTAGACCAGATTTACCCCATCAGTCGAGCAATGACGCTATTGAAAACACTGTATTCACAGGAGTTGCAGTTGCCATTCAGACTGATATGCCATCCAATGAAGCATTGCCAGTGGCTTTTGTTTCTCCCAAGGGGTCAAAAGAAATGAAACGTGGCAGCTCGATCAATATAGTGGGAGGTGAGAACAAGACTAAACATGGCACAAGCAATAGTAATGGTTCGGGTAGTGCTGCGCGTATTGCCAATGTCATTGCATCGTTTCCCATGTCACTTGTTCGTAGATTCCGCTATCTTGCACAATTTGGACCTCGATATGACAAAGGATTTGATGGTCACACTCAGCCAGACTCTATTCCGCCTGCTGGGTTACCGTCAATTTCGTCCAAATCAACCAGCACAGCGGATGATATTGGCGAAGTTCGTTTCTATATATCGCTGCATCGGATCAAAAACTTGCCTGGGCTTGCAGTGGTTGATTTTAAGCGACTTCGTGGCGATATCTGGCAATTTAAGCGGTTGTACAATGAGATTATTCCTCGGCTTTCGCTGCAGGAACAAACATTTGGACTTTTGTGATGTTACACTAGTTTTTGCTAATGTTTGTAATCATTGCACATTGAATGGATTGAGTTATACATTTATTTTCCTCGTTTTATCATTTTACTCTAATGTACTTTATTTTTGGAACTATTTCCAGTCATTGATCCATGCTTGATTCCCACGTCAATGGCAGAAATGAAACACTATATATTGTCTTTATTTTGGCGTCATATGATTAGCTGTTGGTGGGGACATTCCATTCGGGATATGCAGAGTCTTTGCAGAAGAATTGGCCAACATATGTTGCTGATGCTTCATCATCAGCTGTTGCTGTATTCGCTGCTGCTGATCTATACTCCCAGCCGGCACTGTTGCTTCTGCAGCCACATCGCTGATAAGTTGGTGATTGGCTCCATAAAATCCTCTGAAATGGCCAACATAATACTCTACAGCGACCTTGTTGCCAATGTTGAATCGAATGGTTTCGGCCATTTTTCCAAGACTGGTTCCTTCAATTTCGCCCCATCTTAATACGCCTTCGTATTGTTCTGATCCCATATCGTACACATTCAAGATTGTGTGAATTATTTCTGGGTTGTATAAAGCGTGTTGATGGTTAGTAATGAGTGCAGAATACATATATGCAAGTCAATACAGGTGAATACAAGTGAATACAAGTGAATACAGGTGAATACAACATACTATCTCCTATATGCTTTTCAAACTTTAATGTCCGAATGATTCTACGATTGGTATTGTGCAACAGCTGATTGCGGTTATTTCCTATTAAAGTACACAAACATGATGAGCACATGAACAACCAATGAAAATGGGTCGTGTAAATGAGTGTTACCAGCTGAATGATTCAAAGGTCTATCGCTCAGTTCAATTAAAACTTCGCTGTCAGCCATATGCTTTTTACGTCGCCATTCGTCAATAAACGACATTTGCTTGTACTGTGGAAAAAACTCGCGATCCTAATATTTATAGGCCATCCAAAACGTTGGTATTTCAAGTATACAGTCTATATGAAAAACCATGGCTTTACCTTGCTCATCATGAGCATCATGCGATCGTTTTCGAGTTTCTTGGTGCTGACGTCTTCTTCTTCTTCCCATTCACGAATACGTGGCTGTTTCTGAGCTATCCTATTAGCATTGTATGCCTGTGCATTGATTTTACAAAGCACATCGATTGTTGGCTCTAAATACAACGGCTCTTCTACAATTGGCTAAATGGTCCAAAAGTACTCATTGTAAATCAGATATTCCATACGATATCAAGAATTAGTTTGTTTCAAAAGCACTCACTAAAGTTTGAGCCAAAAACTCTACACAGGCCTCTTCTGTCCACACAGTATTTTCTGCAAGTGACTGCTCATAGCCAAACTGCGATACGTCATTCAACAAACTCGTAGCAGTGGGTTTGAGCACAACGCGTTGAGGTTGAATATCACCTCCAGAGCCGGACTGAGCACTGCTGGACATACTGTTATTTAAAGTGTTGTTTGTAGATTGAGCTGCATGGGATGTAGATGCTTGGTGAGAGGTGGATCGAGATGGAGCAGTTCGTCTATGATCATAGAGATCCACTAGCACTCTGCCTCGATCATATGTATTTGGCGGAAGCAAGTGGACAGCTGCTGATGGGATTTCCAATCGATTGATGGAGTCTATGATTGCCTGGATATATATAACGAGTTGAGTATGCAAGTCGTATTCAAAATCCGTTGTGGTCAAGCAGCAGTACTTGATTCTTGTCACCAATATTCAAGTCTAGCAATGAAATTCTTACCCTAAGAGGACCATTGTATTGATATGTATTTTCCTATGTAAAATATCCATACAGCCGAGTCAGCAATACATCAACTGTTGCAATCCAGAATAAGTTTCAAACAGGTTCCAAACAGGTTCCAAAACAAGACTGACACTATCTAGTAAAGTGAAATACGACGGATACAAGTGAAGGGATAATGCCTTGGGTGAATGCTGTTGCGATAGTTGCGGGCCTTCCATTCAATCAACAAGTGTATGTAAATAGACTCGAATATTAATTTCACTTGAATCGAGTTTAAAGGTTTGTTCTTGACTGCACGTCAAACTCGATGAAATCGGCTTGGATTTGCATCGCTTGTTGCCATCAGAATGCTTGCATTTATCAAACATCTGTCATGATTCTTGTCTGGATTTTTATATCATTCTTGTCAAACATCTGCTATTTCTTGCAACTCTTCTCGGCAATTCAATATAATGTATTGCTAGTTTAAAGCATGACTGATTCAAAATACTTGATCAGGTTATGCCAATCTCAAATCACATTGCTTAATGTTTAATATTCATCCCATCACTTGAAGACTAGTACAAATAAATGTTTACAAAATAGTATGGTATTGACCTAAAAGTAATGTAATCCAGTAAATAGTGAGTTCTAGAGGGGATCTCGTTGGGAGGTATGGAGAAATAAACTAAACAAATTTACTTTTTCGAAGTTGGCACTGATAAAAAAAGTATATAATTAGTTGACCATGCTCACTGGACCTCGAAAAATGGCAGCAACTAAACTCTTGTTCATATGCTAGCCGGTGTATGTGGAAATAGAATCAAGTTGTACGCGCTTCAATGCCATCGTTAAGCAATACTAGTGTTGGAATCGCTTTCCACAACCTCACTTAGCAGTGGTGTTTCTTCTGATCCAAGCAGTTTAGTGGATACTTGCTGCTCTGATTGTTGTTGAGGTAGTTTCTTTTGAGTGGGTTTAAACTACGTGTATAATACGATGTTCTACTCATTCGATTGCTTCACTAGCCACATCAATGATATGACTGAGATTGTTGACTCCAGACCAGTATCACATGATATCAACTCTTGTCACGTGTAGTGATTCACTTTCTGGCGATTGGAATGAAATATTGCAATTGGAAAGTTGGTTTGACCTCCACAATTTCAACAGTAGCAATGGTTGGTATTGACTGTGTTCTGTGCATTCCATCCATCCATCCATCCATCCATATGATGATTTGTACATGCATGGAACCATCACATTCATGCAGTAGCTTGCACCTATTTTGTATTCATCTGTTTATGATACTCAACCTGCAACTTAACTATGGTCCAACTCGATTCTCATGCCGGACCTATATATTATTTGGAATTTTCTGCAGACTAGTATGGGTTGGAACTACCACTTTGTTCTGAGACTTTGAGCAATCAGCATGAACATTTTATTTGTCAAATTTCGATAATGCAGGATCAATACTTTTTGCATTCAACAGGACGATCGTATAAATTAACATTATGGATGGATGATGGACGGAATGTGTATTATTATATATGGGAGTGATTGATGAGTCTAACATGTACTGTTTGACAATGATTATATTCAGGTTAAGGCATACGAGCTCCGTACCAAGGATAAAGAAGAACTCACTGCTAAGCTCGCAGATCTTAAGCAGGAGCTTCTATCTCTGCGTGTGCAAAAGATTTCCAATGGAAACTCACCCAAGCATGCCAGAATGTAGGTTAACGAATTTTGTGCAAGGATTGCAAGATATCAAGACAGGATTAGTTTAAAACAGTTGAATCTGACTTTGCAATGGTATAGTGGTAGTGTTCGCAAGTCGATTGCCCGTGTTCTCACGGTCATGAATCAGACCCAGCTTGCTCAACTGCGTCTGTTTTACAAGGACAGAAAGTACCTTCCACTGTTCCTCCGACCCAAGCAGACTCGTGCTATTCGTCGTCGCTTGACTGCCGAAGAGCTTTCTCTCAAGACAGTTCGCCAGAAGAAGAAGGATGCTCACTTTCCCCTTCGCAAGTATGCTGTCAAGGCATAAATAACTGAGATTGAGTCATGTGGGTTTGTTTTGATGCTGCACAGACCACAGCAGTGTTCTTGAAGTCTTAATAAATCGATGTTCAGAATTAGTTTTGTTTGAATTGCAACACGATTTTAGTTCCATCGACTCTTCTGGGTTCTATTTCAATGGTTGCTGTGATTATGAGTGTAGGAGATGTGGAGGAGGGCGAAATCAGTGACTCTTCTCTCCTTGCTGCTGTTACTGATACTATGACTATTCCTGCTGTTACTGATACTACTACTACTAGTGCGGATATGAATACTGAACCAACATTCCCAGTTGGTCTGCCTTCTGGAGTTGCTGGTAAGCTGCTATACAGCGAATGTCATGTTTGTGTCTATCACTTATTCATCCTGTAAACATGTGTGAGCAGATAATAGTGTCATGGAAGATGCTATCGAGCATCATATGAAAAGGCAGCGTAGTGCTAGTCCAACATGCAGTTATACAAGCAGCAACAGATACAGTCATTATGAAACTGACAAAAAATATGATGTTGCTCATGACAAGAACCTCCACAGTCCAGCAGAAGACGTTTCTGGTCATGAGGAGTCGTATGGATCTCGTCCCTCGGACCGTTCCCATCGTGGAGACAAAGTAAGTCGCTCTGACAAACCCTATAGCTCTCGAGACACTGAGTCTCGCAGCAGACACTCTTTTAGTCGTCATGAAGGTAGCAGACATAGATCTCGCTCAAGGGACCGTAGTAGTCGCACACGGGACTCTTCGAGACATCGCAGCAGTCGTCATCGTTCAAGTCGGAATAGAGAGCATGATAGGCATAGAGAGTCTCATAGGGATCGGGATAGACCTTCCGACCGCTGTCGTGACAGAGACGACGCATACAGTCCAGATAAATATCAGGACAGGTCGTCTCGTCCCAACACTCTTCGTCTCGAACCTGGTATGCCTAGTATTTTACTTATTCAAGTTGGTTTAGTCTTTCAACTAATTCTTGGTATTGCATTTGGATTGACATCTTGATCCATATATTCTGTAGCTGAAGAGAAATCTCGCACTGTTTCCAACGAGAAGCCACAGTCTGGAGAGACTTTTGCAGTAGATTCAAAAGTAAGTTCTCCAAAAATCAAAGGCGCTACTCCCATGGAGGAAATAACTTGTACAGAAACATCATTTGCTGTTGATGAAGTAGAGGAAGATTTTGTGTTTGGAGTCAAAGAAGTTGATGAAGACGAGCTTATTGAGCAGCGTCGAAAGCGTCGTCAAGCCATTTTAGAAAAGTTTGCTGCTTTGCAACAAGAATCTACTCCAACTACTCCTGCTACTGTATCGATCGTTTCAGTTAATGTAACTCCCTCTTCCACTACCGAAGGTATGTTTTTATTTGGTAAACTTTGAGTCGGTCTATTCAACCACTAATGCGTGTTTGCAATTTTCTTTAAAATCCCGATTGCATCTAAATTCATTTTAAACATTAGAGTCTCCTATTCATTTAGCCAAGGTAGATAATGGTGTTGTTGACAAGAGTGAGAGTACTTTGAATAGTGCAACCTCCCGCACTGTTGATTCTACAGATGAAACGTTGCTGGATACAGACGAGGTTGGTATTTCTGCTGCAGATTATGATCCAAATGCAGATAGAGCTCAAGACGAGCAGCGCAATACTCAGCGTCATGAACATCTGAATCATCGTACACGAGCTGATGACAGTTTAGACTCCAATGGTCTTGGCAAAAATAAGACTGCTTCTCGTGTTGGTCAAGCCAATTACACATACATGTGTAAAGATGACGACATATTTGCAGATGATGATATGTTTGCTTCCGAGGATGACATGTTTTCCAATAGTCCTACAAAGGACAGTACCAAGGCAACTGGAGGACATGTACGTTTTTTCATGTGGCGAATCGACGAGCATCGTTTTTTGTAGTCTTTGAGCTAACATGTAGAGTCTGAACCGTGTAGATTCTGGATCTTGCTCCAGTCGTTCGTCATGCCAATCCTATGTTGGTAGATAATTGGGACGATCCAGAAGGATACTATCGAATTATTCTAGGTGAACAACTTGATGGTCGCTATCATGTGTATGCCAATCTTGGTAAGGGTGTGTTTAGTGCTGTAGTCAAAGCTCGGGATTCTGAAGATGGCGACAGAGATGTTGCTATTAAACTGATTCGCAATAATGATGTCATGTAAGTGTTTAAGCTTTGAGATGTCCATATTGGATACCAGTCTTACGTTTTGGGGTTGATGTTTTAATCAGGTACAAGGCGGGACTAAAGGAGCTTTCTACTTTAAAGAAACTTGCAGAAGCCGATCCAGATGATAAAAAGCATGTGGTCCGGTTACTGCGACATTTTGAACACAAGAATCATTTGTGTCTGGTATTCGAGTCTCTCAGTATGAATTTGCGTGACGTTTTGAAAAAGTTTGGTAAAGATGTTGGTATCAATATCAAAGCTGTCCGTATTTATGCACAACAACTATTCTTATCCCTCTCGCTATTGAAAAAGTGCAATATTTTGCATAGCGATATTAAACCAGATAATATTTTGGTCACGGAAAACAAATCTGCGCTTAAATTATGCGATCTTGGATCTGCATCTGATATTTCCGAGAATGAGATTACACCTTATCTAGTCAGTCGATTTTATCGTGCTCCAGAAATTAGTAAGTCGGTAACTCTTTTTGCCAGGGCATTTTATTTTTTGATTGTTGCAACAAATACCACATACTCAGATTTACATTTTAAATAAAACAGTGCTAGGACTCACATACGATTATGCACTGGATATATGGTCCATTGGCTGCACACTCTATGAAATGTCGACAGGAAAGATTTTGTTTCCAGGTCGCAGTAACAATCATATGCTGAGATTGATTATGGATCTCAAGGGCAAATTTCCTCACAAGATGCTCCGCCGTGGCCAATTTACTTGCGAGCATTTCGACGATAGTCTAAATTTTTTACAGCAAGAGACTGACAAGATTTCAGGAAAGGTGTGTATTTTTGATTGAAAATTTGGGTATTTGTTTCAACATATTAAATTCATTGGCACGGAATGATGTGTTGCATTATAGGATGTTGTCAAGACAGTTACTTTGATCAAGCCAGTAAAGGAACTCAAGCAGCGACTTCTTGTTGGTGTGAACAAACTTCCCGAAGACGAACAGTGGCTTATGAACCAGTTTGTTGATTTGCTTGATCGCATGTTGCATTTAAGTCCTGAACGCAGATTGACAGTAAAGGAAGCACTTACTCATCCATTTATTTCTGGATCTAAATGAATCCGTCCTGCGCTCGTTACTTTGGAAATATCCAAATGCGAGTTTCATTTACCCTGTTTATGCAGCACACAACTTGGCTGCTTTAAATGTCGATCAGGTCCATATGTTTCTAATGTGCGATCTGTAGCAAGTTTCGATATCAATTATTTAAATAAAAATGGATTGTACAATGAGTTGGTATAATGCAAGTGGTGAAGAGCTTGATGACCAGACAGTAATATTCAGGGCTGACATTCGATTGTTTTATTTTTTGGCTTTGTAATCAAGAATCGACCGATAGCCATGGCAGCACATCTGACACAAGTGTTTGCTACTGCCAAACAAGAAAGTATGTTGCATTCCAGCTAGATTGTTCAATGACAGAGTTTTGAGTCCTGGCTGGAATGCATGGCTGCAGTCATTCCAAACGATTCCACTAGAAATGCTGTCAAACGTTCATGATTGAATAAACACATGGAATCATGCTGACTGGACTGTATTCCAGTTGCAGTCAATATGACTTGATATTCTAGTATTGGTTTGTAGCTAACTCCAATGGATCTTGATCAATGCTGGCATGTATGACTATAGAACGACCTGCGTTTGTAGCTTATGTGACAGCTGGGTTTCCTGAAAAAGAAGACACTGTAGATATTCTACTAGGCTTGCAAGCTGGTGGTGCAGATATCATTGAACTGGGTAAGTGTTGTTTGGCTGATGATTCTTGGCTAGACTGTTTTGAAACCTCTTTTAATCAGACTCATCTGATCATCGCATAATATTCGATCGTATTGTCAGGCGTTCCATTTTCTGATCCCATTGCAGATGGTCCCACAATTCAAGACTCCAGCTTTGTATGTTGAGTGCAGTCTATGTTTGTAGTATGTGTGCATGCTAATCTGAATATGTCGAGTAGATTGCACTGCAGCATGGCATTGATATTCCTGCTTGTCTAAATTATGTGAAACAAGCTCGTGCAAGAGGACTGTGTGTTCCAGTCGTGTTCATGGGCTATTACAATCCATTTCTCAACTATGGCGAGCAAAAACTAATGAAGGATTGCAAGGAAGTCGGTGTTGATGGATTTATTGTGGTAGATTTGCCTCCAGAAGAAGCCGTGCGATTTTGCGATTTAACTTTTGAGCAAGGGCAAGTTGTTGATTGGATTCAACTTTGTAAATATAATTGTCAAGACTAATCTGGACATTCCAGGCTGAGTTATATTCCACTTATCGCGCCATCGACTACTGAGGCTCGCATACAGCGTCTTGCAAATATGGCGAGTAGTTTTATCTATGTGGTCAGCACTCTGGGTGTCACAGGTGCCAGAGAAAGTGTAAACAGCGATCTTCCTGGTCTTGTTTCTCGGATAAAACAGTATACGGATCTTCCTCTGGCTGTTGGATTCGGTGTTTCCAGCCGTGACCAATTTGTGCAAGTGGGTCTACATTCTGAAGGTGTTGTTATTGGATCAAAGATTATTACAGTTATCAAACAAGCTGGTAAGTTGGTGGCTGGAAAACCATCGTGTCTTTTACTTTACTGAATTTGTGGTCATGTAATGTTTCTAGAAAAAGGACAACGAGCTGCTGCTGTTCAGGCATTTGCACAGGATATCACTCGGCGTGAAAATGTTGTTGGATCATACTATCAAACTTTACCTACTACAGATGCTGTGAAAAAAAATATCGATGTTAGTCTGGATTTCTTGACTGTAATTTGGATTCATGAATTGGTGCTAATCGTGCCCCACGTATTTTATTAGCAATTGACTCATGCTCTTCCACCTCGCTTTGGTGAATTTGGAGGGCAGTATGCTCCAGAGGCACTGGTTGATTGTTTAGATGAAATTGAAACTGTAAGAGCATGTTTTTTGTATGTTAAAGCGGTTTTTGTTTTTATCATGGTGATATAACTATGAATGCACTTTGCCACGCTTCACAATGCTATATAATAGGCTTTTGATGTTGCAATGAAGGACCCAGCTTTCTGGAAAGAGTTTCAATCTTACTACCCGTACATGAATCGTCCATCATCGCTTCATCTTGCAGAGAGGCTTACTGAAGAGTGTGGTGGTGCACAAATTTGGCTTAAACGTGAAGATTTAAATCATACCGGCTCTCACAAGATCAACAATGCACTTGGTCAGGCTTTGCTTGCCAAGCGACTGGGAAAGCGTAGAATCATTGCTGAAACTGGTGCTGGACAGCACGGTGTTGCTACTGCTACTGTTTGTGCCAAGTTTGGTCTTGAATGCGTTATTTATATGGGTGCTGAGGATGTGCGTCGCCAGGCACTCAACGTATTTCGAATCCGTCTTCTTGGTGCCAAGGTCATTCCAGTCAAATCTGGATCTCAAACTCTCAAGGATGCAATCAATGAAGCTTTACGTGATTGGGTCACCAATGTTAGCACAACCCATTATTTGATTGGATCTGCAATTGGACCGCATCCTTTCCCTACTATTGTGCGCGAATTTCAGTCAGTGATAGGACGTGAAACCCGTGAGCAAATGCTCTCATTGACCAACAAACTCCCTGACGCAGTCATTGCCTGTGTAGGCGGTGGTTCAAATGCGATTGGAATGTTCCACCCATTCATCAATGACTCCAGTGTCAAAATGATTGGTGTTGAAGCCGGTGGAAGTGGTAAGTTGATCACAATCAACTTTGCTCAATGTGGTTCGAGTCGTGATGGTTGATTTTTTGATTCCATATTCACATGCTCAATGTATTTTAATCTAGGTATTGAATCTGGGTATCACTCTGCTACTCTCACCAAAGGTCGACCTGGCGTGCTTCATGGTACCAAGACCTATTTGATGCAAGATGAAAATGGCCAGATTCTTGAAACCCATAGTATCAGTGCTGGGTTGGATTATCCAGGTGTTGGACCTGAGCATGCCTGGCTCAAAGATTCCGGTCGCGCTCAATACGTTGTTGCCACGGATGCGGATGCCATGATCGGTCTGCGTAAGATTTCTCAAAGTGAGGGGATTCTTCCTGCTTTGGAATCGGCTCATGCTGTTTCCAAGGCGTTAGAAATTGCTGCCACCATGCCCAAAGACTCGAGTAAGTTTTAGATATTGGATGACCTGTGAGCCGTTTTAGTTGATAACTGAGTATTCTTTGTAGATATTGTTATTTGTGTTAGTGGACGTGGAGACAAGGATGTCGTGTCGGTTGCAGAGTCACTGCCTAAACTGGGTCCTCAAATTGGATGGTAGGTGTATAGATTTAAAAGAATGTGGTGTTTAAATAGCATCAATATTCGATTTATTACAAGTACTGAGGATAACCTAGATAGAGTGAAAGCAAATAATTAATGTACTGAAATCCTTGAATGCTTATATAGGGACCTAAGATTTGAAGGAAGTAAATCCGACATCAACCCCGCGCATTAAATGTGGTAGAACTATTGTGAAGCAATCGCAAACAAGACATTTCAAGTAAATGAAGCAATTCAATGCGTCAAATCAAACAGTATATAGTGATGAAGAATATGAAATATGTTAGCAAAATAGCGGTACAAGTCTTTATAGTAGCTTCTTGGCCATCAAACAATCACACATCAAGGTTACCTCGTTGAAATTAAGTCGAGTGCCAAGAAGTTTAAGATTCTGATCCGGATGATCGGAAAGCCTGGACAAGAGAGTTTTGACCTGAGTCTAGACAAGCATTATAAACAGCTATTGAGGATTTTGAGCAATCCAAACAAAACCTCGAGCAACAACTTACCTGGAACAAATCGATAGTGTCATGGAGCTTACCACGAGCAATGTCGATTCTGGCTGTTGAAGGAAGTGTACAAGTTTCATTCAACGATTTGGGCTGTAGTCCATACTCTGTCTAAATAATCAACAGTCCCGGTATTGAAACAACGAAATCATTACACAAAATCCTCAAGTATTATTAGGTGGAATGCTACAAACCAAAACAGTATAAGCTTCCACATACCTCCATCTGAAATTGATATGCCGAGTGGATTTGATCGTTTTGATGTCGCTGTTCATCAGCTGCAAGACTAAATATGCTTTCCTGTAAATATAAAAAGGTTAACTCCAGTCAAAACATCAATTGCTTTAGCAAAGTATACCTGCACTTTGCCAAATGCCAAAACCGTATCAAATATTTTGAATAGTTTTTTGGAAATAGTAGTCTATATAATTGGGTAATATATACAACTATTCAATGGTTAGAGTCCTATTCAACACAAGATCAAAATGACACTATTGGATCAATTGGCAAAATGATAAAACTCGCCTGGCCAGGAAGGGCAGCCAATAATCCCTTCATTGCAATTGAGTTGAGGTATTTGTTATGCGCAGCAATTAATAGATCCAAATCACCAGATTTTCCCTTGATGTAATTTACAAGTTCGTTCCATGAGCATTCAATCACTTCAAAAAAGATGTAATGCTGAAGTTGGTTTATAAAGTGAATCATTTCTGACTGAAGCGCAAAACATTGCTGAATGTCCTTGGAAAACACTAGCATATTTGTTGAATACAACGAGATGTAAAAGTGCAAAGATGTCAATGTATATACTTGAAGCGTGATGTCACTACAAATTAAACTACTTACTTTGAACAGATCGCAAGGTTTGCATTTCCGACGTGTGTTGGCGCCAACTCGAGGACAAAGAGTGTTCTATTCGCTTCAAACGCCAAAGAAATGTAAATAGTTTGAGGTAGGTATGCATTGTTTGCTGCGTCAAAATTGTATTGATTGGTGAATCGACTTGATAGTCCAGTGCAAACACATCCCAACCAAAATCGCCTTCAGTTGCCTTTATGATAGATTGCACAAATGTGAATATTGGCATATTAGGAAAAAGTAGTGGTTGAAATCAATAAGCGGGTTACCTCCAACAGTCGCACATCCAAGCGCCTCAATATATCTGAATCAAAATACCGGGCATTTGAAGAGCGAATGGCTGTTTCTAGAGTTCCAGTGAGATTGTGGAGATAAAGCGAGCTTGCTGGTTTAGATAGAGATGACCTAAGAATTATATGCAGGGGATTTATATATGAACTATAGATGGGCATTCACCGAAAATATCAAAAACTACACATACCCAAGAGAATCTAGCAAGCACTGTACAAAATCACCCTGACCAAGAAGAACAAATCGCTTGAGTGCCTGTAAATGCTCCATTAATTTGAATTTTTCAAACAAGACGGTCAAAAGATGGCTACTACTTGTCTGATAGGCTCTGTCAATCGAATATTCCAACTTCTTCAAATCGCCATATTGTAGGTCAGAAGACTGCTGGGACCATAGTATAAATGCGCTTTGATCTGAACAACTATGCCGAACAAAATTGAGTGATTTTCCAATTAGAAATATTTTTTTTGCGAGCGCCTTGCTAATGAATCCTGGAACCAGATTGTGGTTAAGCATGTATTTGGATCTCCATAAATTGTTGTTATCTGCTGCCAAATCTACAGAAACAAAAAAATCATTAAAGGGATCTTCCAATTCGCCTTCGTAAATCCAGCGCTTCAACATAATGTAGAACGGACGCGAGATCTTGACAAATAACAAAGTGGTTGCAATAAAATAGTGTCAGCGTACCATACCAAAAAGTTGGTGTACTTTCAAATACAATACACTAAATTAAACATTGCATTACCTCTACAAGCAAGCGGCGAACGTATTCATGTACTGATGGATCTCCGTGGATTACATATGTATGAATTGTTGAAATAAGAGATCCGCCTTTACAGTCTGTTCAGATTCAATAGACAGTAAATGACGTGTATTAATGATTAGCGAAACATCATTTTTCAACATTGCCATTTGAATACATACCTTGGCAAACCTCTATCAATGAGCTCAAAATACGTAGTTTTTGAAGTGGTTTTTGAATCAAGATATATAAACGTCTCAGGGTAAGTCCATCTGAAAAAAACGATTCTTTTAAAGTCACACTTGAATCTAGCTGATTTTCAAAAACCGCAATCATTTTGTAGTAGTCCATGAGTTCAGCTTGAATGGTAGCATAAAAACTCTGTTCATACAGTCCAGCAGATGAAGAGGATTGAGAAGCTTTAATGTGATGGTTGATTTTCCGATAAATCCAGCCAGCTTCGCATGGTTTTTGAATGAGATCGCGAGTAGGTCTTGGAAGAGATATATTTGGATCCACAATAAATGCGTCTGCTTCCGTGCTATATTTGATATATTTGCCATCAACTCCTTGGAAAACAAACAGCATATCATGAATAAGCATCGACTCAGATATGCGTGGGTTTTGGGCTAAATATATAAATGTTGTTTAGCCATCAACCGTATCTATACTAACAAGACACTTGCCAGTATGCATACCATCTTCAACATAAGGCGGAATGTAGTAAGAGTTGAATACGCTGGCTCTCGGGATACGTTGTTCAGGAGAATATGGTTTAGCATTAGATTCTGGCTCTGGAGTAACTGTAGAAAATTTCTTGGCGGGCTTGGCATTTTCTATCAAAGGCAAACCAAGACGTATTCCAGTAGTACCAGTAATCTAATGAATAGGGTTAATACTGTTGGCTTTAATCTATTCAGATCCGACCTGCTTACAATACTGTCTACGCTATTATCACCACTATCGGATAGACTCAACAGAAAACAAAGAGTCGCCCATCGGCGCCTTAAAATTGACTAGATATATTCGAATTATCAGATAAGCGTGTCTACAATTTAGCAGGCATACACATCAAGTAAAACATATATACCTTTTCAGAAAGCTTTGCCAAAAGATTGCTAAGCCGAAGAGCCTTTTCGCTCGAGTGGTCATTTCGGGTTACTAAATAAGTAAATATTTAAACAAGTCAATTGCGAATTCAATAGCCAAGTGATATCCAAGTATCAAACTAACAATGTTTCTGCATTTGCGCCGAAATATGGCCTTCGTCCGACACAATTGAAGCCGATATCCGACTAAATTTCACAAGCAATGCATTAGCCAATCCATCGACAAAACACTATTAGCAACTACATAATTTCTAAAACTAGCTGCAATGTAAAGCAATCAAATTTTTTGGATAGTTTTGGATCGTAGCTCATGATCTGATACTTTAGATTACCTTCCAAGAATACGCATACAGTACTCGAACATTTTGCACAGATGGGTATCAGATGCAGCCGGCTTGGTGATTGTAGGTGTTTTTTTGTCCTTTACTGTGTCTACAATGATTTTTGATTTAGGAGATAAATAGAGAGCTACTAGCTGATAGACAGATTTTGCAACAGGCGAAGTGCCAATATCTAAAGTAAACTTGGCTTTAAAAATAGTTTCATTTGGGATTGAAGCTGCAGAGTCCATTTGAGAATAACCATTTCCCGAGTTTATAGTAGCACTCGTATGATTCGTCGATAATGGCATAGTAGATGTAACTGATGTCTGTAGATTTGATTGTCCGAATGTTTGACGAAATGGTCTGTCGGATGCAACAGTTGATTGTGTAGATTGGCTGTGAATGTTATCTTCTCCCAGCATATATGTCATGCTCCAAAAGTCAGTTCAGCTAAATGATATTTACTGATGGTAGTTGACCGATGCACTATTCTCCGACAAATAGCACTGATAATTGATGGTCAAACTAATTATTCAAGAAATTCCTAGCTGTTTGAAGATCGTCTACGCTCTTATGTGATAGTGTCAAACCATTCCAATACATCGATTGCACTATTCATACAGCATGTCTGAGCCAATGCATATTTCAAAGGTATTCGATCCACTTGTTTTGCTTGGTTATGCCATACTTGCACCTTATTAGATTTCTAATGTACATTTTGACCATTGGCTTCAGTCTATCTGGATTGGCTTTCATGTTTGTCAATTGGGAAACTAACTATGCTCTCCGTAATCTGTTTTGGATTATTCAACTGTATACAGATGGAAGAGGAATTAAAAATATTGCTAAACAAGTAAATTGAATGCATTGTATTTGACACTGTTAATCGTTACTTTTTCCACGGCCATCTGATTCGCATTCTCTCAAATGTGTAGTTCAATGGAAGATATCTTGGCAATAGTTATATGCGACAAGGACGGTGTTATCCTTCTCAAAGGCAAGTCTTCAACTCAATATTTTGCTTTACGAGATTAACAATTGTATTTACAATCGCATATGACCATTTCAACTCAGCTACCAGACCCAATTTTCCAGAACATGCTCTTGAACCTGCATTCACTGCATCATTTATATTGACGAGCGATCAGGTGAATAACGCACCTTTAAACTATCAAAACCAGGATTTAGCTTGTATGTGGATCTAAACCAAATTCATTGATACTCTGTAGATGATGAAAGCAGGATTTGGAAAGACAACACAGATCATTAGCGCATCGGGACAATATTGCACTATACAGTGGGGTGTAGCATCGCTTTTTCTGACACTTTTTGCAACACAGAATGCCAATATGGGTATGATTTCACTTCAAAACATTGAATCGAGTTGATTGTGTCTATGCTGGATATTGATAACATTCAATAGCTGACAAGTGCTGGCTATTTTTAGGCATGATGATAGATATTGGAAAGGACTTGCACTCGTATGTTCAAAATGTTTCAGACTCGTGCGATTCGTGTCGATAAACTTGGCATTCTATTTTGTGCAAATCATTCAGCTGTCATCTAACTACCTATTCATCACATATTCTGGTCATTCTTGGTTTTTGCTTCGTCTTGTGAATGAAATCCACCATTTTAATCCCTATAACCTATTTTTAAATACTTGATTTTACACCAATGTAGTTTATTTAAAAACATATTGTATGGATTGAACACAACAGTCTTGTATATAAAATTTGCATAGAAATCGCATCAACTCATCAATACTGACAAGTATTTCATTTTACATGAATACGGCTGTAAATTTTCAATTTGCTCAATTCATCAACTTTTAAAAATATTTACAATGACAACATCTAGTGCCAAAAAGCCTCTACATTCGCTAGTGTTTTGCAAAGAATGTGGTTCACTGCTGGACCCTCCTAATGATATTGAAGACTATGTTGTTTGCCATTGCTGCGCTACAGTGGTGGATGCAAAAGGTTTGTTTAAACCTGATTGCATACAACTGAGTCGACATTAAATAATCAGGTTTTATAACTCCACATTTGATTTAAACCCCACTACTATCATGAACATCCAATTTGGATCAGAAAACTTGGTATTGAACAAAAGAGTACAGGAGGATTGTCGACTGATTGGATAGCACTTGCTTAAACGATCTTTGTTTTGTCTGCCTTCAATTTTTTATAATACCAAATGATATTTCAATGTTTTTACTAATTCAATGCTCAATTTTGACTGTTGATGAGTTTAGAATTTGAATTACGCCCAGTTGTTACAGTCAGCAAACAGGCAACATTTCCCGACAAACCAAAGCCAATTGTAGATCCATCGGATGATAATAACGATCGGACGAATGCACATTTAAGAGACGGTGCAACGGTGTGTATCAAATATTTAAAACCATATGTTCAAGTGTATTGAAATGATGAATGCTTATCAGTAATCCTGAATTTATTGAAATATTAGATTCAAGAAAAGTGCCCCAAATGCGATGCTCCAGAAATGGTTTTCCATACTGCTCAATTGCGTTCTGCTGATGAAGGACAAACTGTTTTCTATAGCTGCGTTGTTTGCGGGTATGTATCGATTGTTGACGTGTACGTTTGAGATGGACCGTGAATGAAACTAACTGGCTTTCTACAGTTACAAGTACTCAATCAACTCTTGAGCGGATCCATTGGAAACGTGCAGTACAATAATGGTTTTTGTTTTCAATGTGGTCAAGATTCACAGCTGTATTCGCGTAAAATGGAACTTGTACTCGTCCTGCAATAGTTTGCTTTGGAATCAGAAATGCTTAAATATTCGTTGCAGTTTTTGACTAGAAATTGACTACCTGTTTAATAAACACATTGTCCATCATATGATGTTCTCAATTAAACTCTACAAACTCATCTTTGTATTCTAAAACCCGGACACATTCGCGTTATAGTTCAATCAATATTGCAACGGTTGTTTTCATGCCAATTGCCAAGAGACGGTCAAATAAAAAGTTTAAAAGACACAATAGTGTCCAGTAAATTTGACAGTCATGCCATGAGTCTGACTGTTTATTATGTACTTTGACTTTTATCCAGTACTTCATTTTACATCAACACAGTTGTATATCAACTACCAGCTATTTTGAACCTTTCTGTGAAAATATATACGCTTTGATTAAATTGTACAAAAATGCATTATTGTATTTTAAAGTATATAATGTAAAAGTATACTTATATACAAGAGTCGTCACACTCGTGATTCCAACAAATTAGCTCACAAAAACTTGATTCAAACGCTTTAACCAGTATTATAAACACCCTTGGATTCTGTAGACATGTCATCCGCTGTAGCAGCCGCAATGACGGCAGCCAGTGTAGCGTTTGGACATGAGAAAGAAATGGTGAGTGTCTCGAAACAATACTCTTCTTTAATGAGATTCCTTGGCATGGTACTGCAAGCGTGTTATTAAAATCAACCCAACATGTTATATAGAAAAGAAACAAGGAAAGAAGGATCTTGCCAAAAAATACTGGTATGTACAATGCAGGGTTTACACTCGAATCAATACTAGACTGCTAAACAACTGTATTACGTTTGATTACAACACGACCTGATAATTATAAATGCAAAAACGGTTTCAAATACATCACTTTAGCATCTCCACGTAGCAAGATACTTAAGCTACCAGATATCAGTAAACCACATGTTTCTCTAGTGACACCCAGTGTTACTGGTGCCAAAAATGAGACAAGCGGTAAACATGGAAAAATAGAGCGGAATCCATTTCATATGCCATCTGACGTAGAGGTTTTCGCAATGCGAGAAGAAGATCGCCGTGTCAAATTGGAGGTAAAATTAGTAGAATCTATATGTATTAAACATATGACTGCTTGCCAAAGTTGATTATGACTAAAAACCAATCAAATTGATTGTGGACATTATTATAATTCCTAAAAAATGTGGCAGATCAAAGAAGCAATGAAAAATCTCAGCATCTACGAAAAGAATACTGTAAAGCGCAAAAATTTCAAAAACCTGCTAGCCGAAGATACAGATGATGTAGATTTTTACAATGTCCTTCGAAAGCGGGATGCAGATAAATTTCTAGTCAATCGACAAACTCGAGGTGGATTCCATAGTTATGATGAACAATTGAAATAACGTGTATAAGTTGGCACTGATTCATTATTGTATAGCTGATAGACACTTTGGAAAGGAGAATCTGCATGATTTTATTGCAAAGAAACGAGAAATGTTTCTTGTTCAATATGCACTGGGTGTAAAGCGAGAAGAAATGCGTAAACTAGAGGAAATTGCACAGGTACTCATTGTGTTTGCATTTAGAGTGCTATGTTCATTTGCATATTCATTGAATGTTCATCATAGTGGTATGGGTTTGAATTGATGTTTGACTTTAACTGAAATGATGGATAGGCAGAAGAACAAAAGCTTTTGGACGATGAAAAGGCACTCGAAGAAGACGCTGCTAAATTTGATGCATTCTTGAAGGAGAACGACAAGAACTCTGTTGAAGCAATCAAAAAGTACGGTTTAGTATAAGCCCAACACTGCATATCTAATGATCACGCATGATTGAGTTTATACTGGCCATGCTTACTATTTACTGCCACTGAGTCATTACATCACCGATAGTCGTACTAATGACAATCTGATGCTTTTAGGGCAGAATTGGAAACAAAAGCCAAAATTGAAAAAATCCAAGAAATCAAGAAACTCAACGTTCAAATTATGAGCATTCGAAGCGATATGTCTAAAAATGAGGATCAACTTAAAGATTTACAGAGATATCGACAGTTTCTTGAAAAACTTACCCCCAAGGAGTTTTTTGTCGCTCAGGTATTTATTATTATTGCATATCGGCTGCTTTGTCAAATGATCCTCACATTGAGACTAGATCTCAAAAACTGATCCACACAAGTATTTTTGGAAGCTTAACAGTCAATGTACAATATACCAAGAATAATAAAATAGATCAATCTACCATACTGGAAAAGTCTGCACAAAAGACTTTATTGGATAAATCTCAGAGTGACTCCAATTACATATCATCTAGAGATAATCCGCTTGCCCAATCAAAAACCGGAAACTTGGGACCAAATCACACTACGCCATGTCCTTTGACAACACCCGCGACAGACCAAAACAACACCGTTTCATCAGACGAATTGGCCGACGAAGAGTTTTGGGAAAACGATCAAGAGCCGGCAATGTTTTTCAAAACTCCTGAGCAGCTACTTGATATATTTTCTGAACTCGAGGAAAATAATTTGGCATTGATTCAGAATTGTCAAGAAACAGAAGAAACATTAGAAGAGCTCAAAACCAAGATTGCCGATACGTCTTTTAAAATGTAGGCAGTGTGCTTGTCAAATCTGATTTGGTAGACATTATGCTATTGTGCTCACATGTAGTTGTTTGCCATCTGATACAATTGAATGGTTACATATGCATGTCAAATAATAGGGAAAACGAAACGGCGAGCTTAAACCAACAGATTGATTTTTTAAACGCAGCAATCTCCAAAGAAGAAGAAAAAGCACATATGCTTGAGGAACGATCCAGGTGATCTGAATTGTTTAATAATTAGCTATTCAATATCAGTATACAAAAATATTAATACAGATCGTGTCAATATCATGGATAACATCGCATAGGCAATTCACCACTGGGGTCGTTGGTGCAGAGCCACAAGAAAAACTGCTTGAGGACTTGAATCACAAAGTCAAGGAAGTATACCGCAGGTGTTTTGGAGATAATGATGGAAATTTGAGCACATTACAGATGCTTACTAGTATCGAAAATCGTCTCGAGCAGCTTTTTGAATTTATTGAACTGATGCCCCCAGAAAAGGTTGAGCAGGCAGAAAAGGTTAGTTTGAATGCATGCAAAAAACTGACTACTATGGTTGGGATTCATACTAATGGTTTGGTTTCATGTATATTTTGTGGTTGATTTTTGGTTTGCAGGTTAAAGACAAGGAGAGACGTCAACGATTACGTGAAGAAAAGATGGAAGCTCAAAGAGTATTGCAAGAAGAACGTGTCCAGCGTGCACTTGAAAGAGCTCGTGCACCAGTTAAAAAAAAGGTATAGCTTTAAAATTGTTGTTTGAGACTATAGTCTATGTGCTGGTAATTCAAACATCAATTTGAATGCATTCGTGTCATGAATATATACAATAGACTGGCAAACCAGTGGTATTTCGATCAGCACCTCCGCAAAAAAAGAAGAAAAAGGAAGAAGATACAAAGAAAAAAGAAGAAGGTAATCTAAATCTTGTGTATATCAACGCCATTGCTTGATTAAATAGTTCAGCAACTGATTGTTTGAACATTTTTAGACGATCTCGAGTATTTTTGGAATTGAAATAGTTGAACAATACAATGCAGTAGCGAGTGGTTTACAGCCAGTTTATTCCAAAGCAAAACAAGCAGTCACTGTAAAAGTTTTATTTTACGTGAATACGATTGTAAACAATTCATTTTCAAATTTAAAATAAGTTATCACCAGAATTGAGGTTAAACTGGTGATGATAGATAGAGATAGGCATATAGTGGTTGGAAAAAATATTTTTGGAATTGAACAAGGTATTCAAAAGAGACTTGGAATAATTAATTTTCAAAAAGCATTAAAAAGGGAGCACATTGGGAAAAAACAATTGCAAAAAGCAAGCAGATGGAATATAAAAAGATTCAAAAATAGAGTTACAGTCATGATCGAGGTCAAGTATTTCCAATAGTCGGTTGAAAACTCCATCCACCACCAGGCTCATGAATAATAACCGCGTCTGATTCAAGACCTACAGTAAAAAAGTAAATGCGTTGCATTGATTAATGAATAGTTGTACGTCTAAAAAGTGTATATTCACATACCTCTAGAACATGGATCGCACAGAGTTTTACTGCTGCGAGAAAGACATTGTGAGCAAATATCACGATGACACTTGGTGCAAAGTTGCTAAAATATTTGAATTGAAAATAAAATCTGTCAGTTATGGAGTATAACTACAAGGCATGCCATATTCAATACATATAGTAAATAGTACCATTGGACGTAAATACGTATATATCCCACAACAGAGCGAGCAACCGTTAGGCAGATCGGGGTGCTAATAATATATGTCGAATAGAACTAGTTAGACCATATCAAGTAAGCTATCCAGATCAATACAACCAAAGTTACCAATGCACCCCACAGAGTGGCAGTGGAAGCAGCCATTGATGATGACAAAAGTGATCCCTTGATACTAAGTATAGATGATTCCGAACTATCGCTAACTGTACTCGGAGCAAAATCAACTGCTTTGGATCGACGTGGAAGCGTAGTCCTTTTCATTGCACTAGGCGCAGAAGCAGGAAGCTCGGTTCTTTCATCATCGATCGATAGCGGATGAGGAATCTGAACACGAAACTTTTGATCGCGTACTATATCCTTGAAGCACATATCACAACATCGCTCCAGTCGTTCACCATGACCATGGGGAATATAAAATGATTTGGTCGAACATGAGCCGCAAACAATGTTTCCACATGCTCTACAGTGGTGTTTACGATGAAACAAAGTGAATTCTTGTTTGCATATATGGCACTTGTCGGTTCTGTTATCGGGGACCCAAACTGGAGCAACATAGTCGCATTGATGTGTTTGTGCAGATTTTGCCGTTTTAAATGACTGAAGCGATGCACACCATTCTGCAGTTGTGCTTGTTAAAATTTCGATCCATTTGCTTTTTTGCTCAAAAGTCTCGGCATATACTGCAAAGGATTTTTCACTGGCCACTATTTGAAAAGCATTTTTGATTGTTTCCGTATCTGGAACATGCTCTACTCGAAATTGATCAAGTGGAAGCTTGCGATGAAATAGAAATTGATCCTCTAGCAAACCAGGACTGGCATATATAAGCACATCCGAAAACAGAATAAGCTCTCGTGCTTGATGGCTTTTGCGTGAAATTTTCGTGACAGCACCTCGATAAATAAACCGACGACCTGGGGCCAGCAAAGACTGATGGAATGTAAATGACAGGTAGGGTTAAAACGTTACAAATGCATTAGCATAGCGTTCTAGTGCATATACTGCGGTCATTTCAAGTCTGCATTACCTCATTTAAACCAGCTAGTCCCTTTTGAATGTCGATCATTTGCAGCACATTCTCATGCATACGTATATCTTCATTTACAAACGTAGCAACTTGCGACACAAGCTTAAGTGCTCTAACCACACCAATATGGTCGGGGTGTTGCGTAGGCGTGCGTTTGAGTAGATCTTCAAGAAGTAGTTTGTATCTGAATGTAAACATTGGTAGTGCGTAAGAGTCAGATCTATGCCATTACGGTAATTGGCAAACACAACTCACCTTGGAATGCGCTGTACCGGCTCAATTAGGAATGTTTGAAAAATTCTTCCTTTGCATTCAGGTTTCATTCCTTGCTCCTATTTATAAACTCTGTGAGCAATAGTGAGATACGAATCGTATTGGGAAAAAACGAGTGGTACCTTGATAAATGTTGCAAAGGTAGTGTTTTTTTGAGAAATATCCGAGACAAGTGCGATCGCATGGTTGAAATTCTTCACGTAGAGAGAGTACATTTTAAGATAAGGTGTCTAGTGTCGAAAACATTGCAGCAATGTGTCAGTTGTAAGCACATCCAACAAGATAGATTAGTTTCAAAGCTTCACTTGCCAACATCAAAAAAATATCGCCGATGCATGTTGTATCGGGATCAAATGGTTTAGATTTGATACGCTCCTTGAGCTGTTTTTTTAGCTCACAGTTCACACCGAATATATCTTTCAGATTGGAGAAAACCTCGGTGATGAACTTTTTTGCAATAATCTCGTTTGGTGTTCCACATGCTTCAAGCAAAGGAGCATAGTAAATCTAGAGCGGTTGAATGGGCAGTGAAGCGAAAAGGGTTAGCTATGTGATTTAGCTTTCAAAGTATCTCGAAATTAAGGGAGGATATAATTGTACAGCACAGAATTACGCAGCGACAATTTCATGATGCAAGATTTGAAAGTAGCTTTTACATACATCATTCAGTATTGTCAGACAGTCGACATATCGGAGTTCGGTTTCCAAAATTTCTTCAGCAACTTTTTGACGTTTAGAGATGGGAGTAATTGGCAAGTCGGTGTTATTGCAGACATGTGGAGTGGGAAGCTGAGGTGTAACTTGTTTTAATAACGCTTCATGTGATTCATAAACCAACTCCGACGATGAAGTTGAAAAAGTTGAATTTCGTGCTGTGGATGAATGGCTAGTAACGGACAATCGGGATGGACGGTGAGAGTTCAAACCGACGCAAGAAGAGGAAGGAGGTTCATACTTGTCACTTAGTTCGTCCTGTTCCTGTTCCTGTTCTTGTGAATGGGAGTGAGTTCGTGGATACTTTGGCTGTATAGGCTTACTATCCTCGAATGCAATGTGGCTTTGGACAGATTTGATTGCAGATGTGATGACAGACGAAGTCATTCGAATCAAAAACAGACCGACAGTAAATGCACAAAGTGGTCAGACAATATTAAAATATGCTAAAAAGTAGTTGTTGAATAAAGTTGAAATAATCGAATAGACTTTAATACGATAGCCGGTATTTTCGGCCTATAATGGAGATGATCAATTGCACAGCGCTTAAAATTCGAGTCAAGTTGTGCGATTTCAGGAAGGTGCAGAAATAACAGCAAGAAACTGTAATTATTGAAGAATTTCACAGCAATTGACTCGTTGAATTTGCATTCACGTAAATGGATTACTTTTGTTTTAAAGCGGAATGTTGGTTTTCTATTACAAATTCACTTGAAATTCACAATTCTTGTTTGGAATTACTCGATGAATAAATTCATTATTAAAACAGTTGTTGAAAGGGTTTGATTTAAAATGGAATTGTATGCTTTGATACTATTGTTGAACAATTGTTCATGAATGAATTTGCAGTTTTGAAGAGTTCAAGACAATGCAGTTTTGCTCAGATTGAATCTAAATCAGAAAATAATCATTTTTGATCATTTTCTAAATATCAAAAACACTCTTGTCATGGTTTGGTATCAGTCATTCATCTACACTCGAGTTGGTTATTACAAGATAATCACACGTGATGCTTGAATATTAATTTATTTTGATGAGCAGCAATCCAACACTTGCGTCAATATCTGATATTAATCTAGTATCGGAATAGTATGGATTCATTGAAAAACATAGCAGAACAACTGCAACTCCAGATTTCTGATGGTACAATTTCAAAGGCTGAAGAACTCAAGCGACGAGCAGAAGCTCGTGGTCCCGTTGCGCTTCTAGGCAGTATCTACTACAATGCAGATCCACGACTCTTGGGAACTCTGTGTCTTCATATTGCATGCGAGCGGTAAGTACTTGAACTTTACTGCTCTTTATGCTGTTTTTTATCCATTTATTTTATGACAAGATGCACTAGACTACTTTGATACTGCAATCTTGTATTTCGGACATGTTGATTTCATTTCATTTCACTCAGCAATCAAGCCTAGCTAGCTGCTAATCAACTTGTAAACCATTCAATATCAGATCTTTAGAAAACTTTGTTGATGTTATAACAGTAGCAAAATACCTTAGAATCAAAATCCCTCAATACAGACAGTTGAATCGACAGCTATCGGAAAAACTCGCACCCACTGTTTTTATTTCCGGACCATTCTCCATCAAGAATTCACCATCTTCGCGAACTGCAAAACTAAAGAAAATGATGGTTCAGTTTGGATGCACACAGATTCATTCACAGGTCGAATTGCTTCATCATGGGTTCAAAACAAAATACAGTGCAAGCCTGGGAAGTGGTCTACGATCCACAGTTGATTGGTATTCAGATGACATCGCCAATGCTGTTTTTTTCTCTGCGTGCTCTGCAGCAAAGGTAATCTTGTTTTTGATGGTTTGCTATTGTAAATCTGATCCTTGCCAACCATTCATGCTTTATTTCATTGGCAGATTAGTATCCCGAAAATTAAACGAGATAGTGAAGGAGCATCGACAAAATTGGCCGTCAAGTACATTGAATTCATTAAATCTAATTGTGGTCCAGAGCTTGATGCCATTAGAGCTCATGTGTCTAAAATTGGGTCTGCAGGTCAGACGCCATCTAAACCTGCACTTGAAAAATCAGTTACTTTCAAAAAGAATGGATTGGCGAATCATTCTAATTCAATGGATATAGATCAAGAATTGCCTATCCCACCCAGTGCACCCACGAGTGATGAGAATCATGGTATTCAGACACCTACACGACACGGACTCAAACGATCACCACTCAAAATACTCAATCAAGTCACAAAAAAGACTCTTCCTGTTGCTAGCAAAACAGCAGCACCACAACGGCCGCGTCGTCATACTGGAATAAATAATCTGGTAAGCACAAGTACCACTTGGTCATATTCCTCAACTGCAGTTGGTATCTTTACACCAACTTTGTGATTTCATGCATGCCTTTTCACACGGCAATTTAATAATCAACATAAAATAATTTTATAGGTGCAATTTGAACATATCAAAACAACTCGCAAATACAAGCAGTACATGGCTTGGAGAGCCAGTCTTTTGGAAAAATTAGTGAAGAGTCATGATAAATGAATACAACTTTAATAGCCTTTCATTGTTTGCATTCTATTCATCAAACATTACCAAACTCAAACACATTCTAGCCGAATCAACTTGCACGTGTGCATGTGATTTTGCTACAATACGGTTTAGGCAGTAGTCAAGGCAGCAAGCTGTGCTTTGAGAGCTAATAGTGCATCTACGGCTTCTTTGACAACATTTGGATCAGCTTTGGCAGTTTTGAGATCGCGAACAATACCACCTTGCTCAGCAATCCGAGTCTCGACAGCAATCATTTCAGGAGTCTTGACAACATTACTGGCAGGCACTGCAGCCTTGGCGCTCTTGCTCTTCTTGCTCTTGCTACCCCCAGTTGCTGTTCCAGAATCAGTTCCCGTCTTTGCAGCTGGATCTTGCTTTCCAGAATACTTTTGGCGAAGCTTCTCTTCAAGAGATTCATCCAACCTTTTGAATAAATACTCTGCAGCACCAATTTTATGGCCAGCAGTGATATCTTCTGCATTCCATGTGTCAGTGATGCGGCGCATGGGAAGATTGAGCTGACGAAGAATACCCTCGGATGTGGACGGCATGTAGGGATACACGACAGCTGAAATCAAGTATGCCAAGTTGGCTGCAACGGCAACAACATTGTCACAGCGCTCACGCGAGTTTGCAAAAAGACTATTGTCAATACGATTCTCCTGAAGATAGAGATTACCGCGAGCAGAAATGTCCATAAAAAGTCGAAGACCAGTACGGATCTTGACGTCATTCAAAGCTTCAATAAACTGATGAAGCAAGGTATTGACGCTAGAAATAAGCTTGGTTTCAGGCTCACCAGTCGTCTTGTAAGCTGGAATGACACCATCATACTTGGCATTAATAAATTTGACGAGTCGGTTCACAAAGTTGCCCAAGTTTGCAAGAAGCTCAGTGTTGTTGGCCGCAATAAATGAGTTCCACGAAAAATATGAATCGCCACTCTCTGGACGAATCGAAAGTAGATAATAGCGCCATACTTCCACTGGGATACCGGAATCAACCACATTGTTTCCAAACACACCAACTCCACGAGATTTCGAAAATTTGCCAGATTCATACTGAAGATACTCTACATTTATGGATATAGCAGACAACACACAGATTTAGTGAAAATAGCAGATAAAATTTGAACATCAGATAAGAAAAAACTGCATACCAGTAGTGCTGAGATGGTGAAGAAGAGTCCAGTTTTCATTAGTACCAAGAAGTGTAGAAGGAAAGATGACAGTATGAAAAGGCACATTGTCTTTTCCCATGAACTGGTAGAGTTTGACATCTTTGGGATTCTTCCACCACAGTTCCCAATCCTTGGTGTAGTTGGCAGTGATGGAAAAGTATCTAAACCATTTGAAACGTATATTGCATCAGTGCACTGGAGTGATAAAATATAGACTCATGCATAGAATAATTTAGATTTACCCAATAGGAGCATCAAACCACACATAAAACACTTTGTTTTCATATCCTTCTTTTGGAACTGGAGTACCCCATTTGAGATCTCGAGTAATGCAGCGTGGTTTAAGACCCTCTTTGAGCCAACTGTTGGTAATTGTTTGACTATTTGCAGACCAGCAACCTGTATACGCAAATTAAAAATTATTATTTTCCCGTTCAGTGTTGCGCAATAGCAACTATCTTATAACAGATCAGCTCCAAAAGTAGAATTTGCATATACCTTCACTGCTAGCCTTTTTGAACCACTCAGTAAGCTTTTCTTGTTGGCCGGTAAGATTCAGGAAAAGATGTTTTGAATCGCGAGCAACTGGAGCTGCGTTATCAAGCTTGCATCGAGGGTTCTTGAGCTCAATAGCATTGAGAAGTTTGCCACAGCTATCACATTGATCACCACGAGCATCCTGGAGTCAAAATTAATGATTCATCAAGTCTTCAATTAGCACAAGTTGAAGTCAAAAGACATCAAGTATCTGCGTGATAAATATATTCAATCTCACTTCGTATCCACAAAGCGGACAAGTACCCTCGACAAATCGATCGGCTAAAAACCTGAGTTTACAAATCAGGTGAGTACATGCTTGTTCATGTGTATTCCAATATCACAAAGGTTATTTAAATGAACATACGACTCATGCTGGTTACAGTAAAGCTGAGTGACAGTGTCTTCCATAACGTGCCCATTTTTCTCAAGTTTCAAGTAAATATCTTGGGTAATTCTGCCACGCAAAAAATGTGGTCCAATGCATTGAATTGATCACGGATTCAAAAATATGGAGTATATAAGTAAGTTTAGTTTAAAAACACTCTAGTATACCAATGAGTGTACATACATTGTTTGCTGTTCGGTTATTGTACGACCAAAATGGTCAAAATCGATTTGAAACCATTTATAGGTCTCATCGTGAAACTTGAAATATTTATCACACAGCTGTTTGCATGATAGTTTTTCTTCAATGGCCTTTGTTTCAGTTGCAGTACCATACTCGTCAGTTCCGCAAATGAACAAGACATTTTCACCACGAATTCGTGAGTATCTATAGCAAACATAGAGTCAGCTAGTGCATCTTGGCTTAGATAATACCAAAATATTAGTTTCCCGAGTAGTATATTTACCAACCTGGCATACACATCAGCACTCAAGACCGAGCCAATTAAATTGCCCAAATGAGGAATGTTGTTTACATATGGCAAAGCACTCGTAATCAGCACATTGCGCTCATTTTTCTTGGGAGATCTACAAATAATTAAAAACAACTTGATGGTAAGTAACGTTTATAAAATCGCTGATATGGTTTGTACACTTACATTTTACGAGAATGATGATCTAAAGCAATAACTACATCCGCATTGACTTTTGGTGCAGGAAGATTGGAGTTGGACAAAGCTTCCTTGGTATTTTTACCATCTACTCCAAGTATGGTGGCATTCTAAAAAATAGATGAGTAAATGACACAATGTGTAGGATATCAATCTACTCAAAAATTGATACCTTCCATGCGGAGATTGCAGACTTATACTGGGGACAATCTTGCATAGTACTGAACCATTTGTTCAGATCAGAGTATTTTGTGACAAATTCTTCAAGCGCAACTAATTTGGACCACATTGGGAATAAAGTTCCAAAAAAGACGACAGATGCAGCACTGTTTTCCTACGAGTATGATTTTAAAACCAATAATCAACACAATAAGATTAAGATATGATTTTACCTGAAAGTTTGCAAGATTGCTGAGATGGATATTGGCAGCAGCGAGTGCTGAATGAGCTGCTTTGGTTGTCAAATCAGAACAGGTGATAACAGCACCAAGAACATGCAAATCCCACTCGACAATGGAATCCAATGTTGCACTGGCAACATCATCTTCAGGCTTGAACTTTAGTAAAATGTGTCTTGAATAAAACAGTAGAATTAGCATTTCCAGAGTCCATCAAATGATGCATTCGCTTGACTTGGTAAAAGTATGGCATCAGACACAACAAGGTTGAACATACTGAACAGCAGTGTTTGGATTTCCCAAAACAAGACCAGACGGAGTCAATACAGACACCTTTGAATGAAATGGCAGAGCTGAATAACTCAAAATAATAGTTGTTAGCCAGCTGATTGAAGCAATCGCTTGAAATGGAGTGAATATCAATTGATAGATGCGATTACCAGGCGTAGAAGCAGTTACAACAGAATAAGGAAACCCAGCGATTTCAAGGGCTAAAATGAGTTTAAGAGCGGATGAAGAGCGAATGGCATCGGAGTGGTTTGAATCCACCAGCAGCTGGTATTGGCTGGTTGCAGTGATGATGCTCTTTGTAGCACTCATTATACGATAAGGAAAGAAGATTTATGTCGAGTTGACTTGTTGCCAATAGCAATCACATGGCGTGTTCAATCGAATTGGTCGACTCATTTGAGTTCATCTAAACTCGAATGTTACAAACTATTTATTGAATTATTCGACTGTAAGTCTGATCATCAATTTTATTGACATAACGATGTTCCTTGTCCAATAAAGTTACAAATATTGTCTATGATTGATGCTTGCCATGAATAGATTTCAATAAACGCTTTCAACTGATAATAACTCCTATGTAAGGATCATTCCCATGCAAGTTAGATTTGGCTTTTGTATAAAAATCAGTCAATGCACTGCAATTCTAAACAAATAGTCTTACAAGATATGATATGTAAGTGGCAAATTATTGTGCCAGCGAGCAGTTTGTGTTCCATTCGAAACAAATGTCAGGATCGACGGAAGTGTCATATTTCCAATATAGGTAAACACTCGTCCATTTTGAATTCTACAAATATAAATATCAATAATTATCCAATGCAGCAGATATCCAGCAGAGTGCATTGGTTCTTACAGTTTGAGAGTAGGCAGTGATTTGATTTCCAGAACTGTTGCTGCAACGGGATTCTGTCCTATTTCAACATTAGCAAACCGAAGTTGATGGTCATGCTCAAGTCCTGTATGAATAATATATGGCCACATTAGCTGTAATCTTGCTGAGAATGAGCATCTCCGCTTTTGATATCTATAGAATGTTTAATGAACAGAGTGTGGCGACAAGTAGCAACATTAGCAAGTTCAACACACTGGCCATAAAAAGTATTCTAATGCAACTTACAGCTGAACAACCCACGACCCATTGTAAAGCATAGTATAATTTTGATCTGTAATGATCTCTGGAGCAGACTTATGTACAGCCAGGTGGGTATATGTAAAGTTTGCGGATTCATCAAACTCGGATGATTGAAAGTAGGCCATCTCATTGTCATTGGAGACATTTTCCATTGTATTTTCCATAGTTGAATCAATATACTCTGCATTGGTGCATATGGAGTAACTGCCAAGCCCTGCTAGAGCAAATACAATCATCACTCCATTGATTGGCTTCATGGTTGAATTGTGGGCAAAATTCAACATTGAACTTGACGATAAACCAGTTCAAGTCACGGGATAAATTTGGCATTTCACTTGTATTCACATAAAATGAAATACTATTTTACAAAACACTAGTTGAATATTCGTTGTGTTTTCCTATTAGAAATCAACTTTAATTTCCAATTCAATAAATACAACGTGAATTATATAGTACAATCCATATATCCCCTTTTGATATATGGATTGTACGATCAACAAGTTTAAAACTAGATTCGTCCATTGCAATCCAAATATTGGGTTCGGCTGTTCTCAACTAATTATATCGGCTTATAATCTGCGGATCGTGTAAAATTATTTTTAATCCATACTCCTCATTTATATAGCAACTATAATTGTAGCATGACTAGTTTGTAGTTTCACATCGTGACTCAAGACTCAAGCTTTATTGTAGCTTACAATACGAAATCCAAACGACTATCTATATCCATCCGGCAATAGTCTTTTCAATCACCTGCAAATATATTAAATGGTTTAAAAAATAATGCATTAATCACCCCGACAAAAACATCAAGATTCATACAACGAATTAAACATAATGCAATACCTCTTTGTTTTCAAGGAAAGCAAGCCAGTCTGAAGTTGCTGTGGGAAGTAAACCCATTGCACCGCATTTCCAGACACCCAGCGCTAGATTCCCTGCTTGGATGAGAAAAAAGGCAGTCATTGGTAGCAATAGTGGGTTAAGCAAGAATGCCTTCCATGCAGCAAATCCGGTCAACTTGGCAGTAGATGTTACGGTCTGAAATCGCTCAAATGCTAAACATTTACACAAATTATTGAGATTTCGTTACCAAATCTACAGCTGCGTAGTTGTAAATCCTAATCAAATAAACTTACCTTGCGAAACACACATCATAGATTTAGCAGAGTTGAATAAAAGCATTACTGTGATGAGGATACTGAAGATCTGAATACTGTTTCCCGACATATATAGCATGAGTGCGTTCATTGGAATACTTTTTGCAGGCGCCAGAGCAGTATCCCATGCTTTCTGAATGCATCAATAAATCAAATAGATCGTGTATGAGTTGATCAGCGTTTTAATAAACATGTATTTTTCTGGCATGAATGAGGCTCACCTTGACTTTGAGATTCGCAATTGTCAATTCCATATTCTCATCATCGCTAGTACGATGCTTTTTCTATAAAAACATTGCAAGGTTTCAAGGTTAGTTTTTGGCTACCAAGTTTAAACCATAGAATTGCTTGATGTATGGCCTTTATGATAACGGTCAAGTTATTTGGCAATAACCATCAGTGCAACTATATATTTTATCATGTACTGATGTAATCTGAATCTGCCATTGTATTATCAAAAGGCTGGATTTAAATCGTCTTATTGGCACTCTTGTTTACCAATGTTAAAGTACTTGCTGCCAATACATGAAAGTATACCACTTGGATCATAACAGCACCTTGTAGTACTCACACTTAGACGAGCACTTTCGCTGGCAGGAACAAACCCAGGAGGATCGACAATATCTTGATTTCTAAAGTTGAAGATAGCAGAGTCAATATCATTTATAATCCATTACTTTCAACACATATCCAGATACATAGTTTGCTGCACTAGAAAAAAGTAATGATTTATACAAGAGTGAAGTGAGCATACATGGATGCACTGGCGCAGCTGTAATTCCACTTGGTCATTGTCGAATTATTGGGAAACTTGCTAAACCCAAACATTTGAATCGCTCCCATTTTGACAACCAGATTTTTACATCACGATATAAATAGGCTTGAACAGACCAAAATGGTTGCAACAAGGCAAAACAGAGAGAGTTTATACACCATGAGTAGACCATGTTATCAAATATTACGCTTATTCTTTTTGGGTTTCATCGTGCCTAGCTCTGCTGTTTTTGTTCCCAGCTATTCGACAACTATCGCACCCATCTCGAGCCAGATATGTTCACTTTCCGCTTCATCAATATTTGACCCTACTCAGTTACAATGCGTTTCTTGTCCTCAACAAACAGTATCTGGAATAAGCAGTTAGTCATTTGATGCGATTTTATTCAATATATATAAAGTTGAATGTTGATTTGTTATGCCAGATGCTTATCAGCTATTATCATTTTGTATTAGCATCGTGTAGCTGTTCTACAGGTGTTCGCCAGATAGGCGTTTCATGCGTGACGTGCACACTACCTCTGGTAAATATATAGTATTTTTTATTGCAATAGACTATTAATTAGTCTGAAATAAGCTAACTATTAAAAATCAACAAATACAGATTCCGTCAAATGATGGAACATTCTGTGTATCCTGTCCATCAACTGCGCCTGCTACTCAAATCACCTTGCTTAATTCAACATTTAGTGTCTGCAATTGTCCTGCAGGCCAGTACTTTTGTAAGAACATCTCGTTCCAGTAACTGATCAAACTGTATACCAGATTTTCAACAAAACTTTCACAATAGCCTTAACCATATGTGTATTAAATTTTAGCGGACAGAAATACCAATGGGAGCTCATTGGCAACAGGCGTTTGTACGGCGTGTCCAAGTGGATACTATCCATCACGCGATCTATCCTTTTGCATTGCATGTCCAGACACACTGAACATGGTTGCAACATTAAACTCTGGCTCCTATACATGCTCGTGTCTTACCGCTGGCGGGTATACATCTCCACCAGTAAGCGAACTAACATGGTTTCAGTACAAAAATGATGATGTGTCGGGTTGCTGACTATGCAATTGCTTTATAGCAAGGATCAATCTGCATGTTGGCAAGCACTGTATCAAATGTGATATCCACATTTGGAGCTGTGGATGCGTCAGTTTCATTCAAGGTAGTTGTTTAATATCACTAATTTTTATTGACTTTTGATTAACAGGTTATTTTGGTTTATAGGACATGATTGACATTAATGGGAATCCAACTCAAAACACGATACAATCCGACACAATTGCCAAAAATTATATTCAGGCTATTGGTAAATGTCAGGCAAGTAGTTGGCACTACTACTGTAACGGCAGTCAGCATGTCTTGTTTTTAACATACAACTTTCAAATCTTGCACATTTGCAACAACCTGGAAATCGTTTTTAGGTGGATGGAAGTCTACAGTATTGTCAAGTTTTAGCAAATCTGTGTGTACTTGCAATATATGACCAATCCAACAAACTTTGTGCAGCATATCTCACAATGGCCAAAAGTCGACAAAGCATTCTTTCTTCACCTTACGATGATCAGTGAGTATAAATATCTGTATAATTATTCTGCACATTATTTACTAATACACGGTAACATAGACCAATAGGTCTTCCATGGCTTTATTATGGAATTGTAAACCACGAGTCACCTCAAACTACACAGCAAAAAATTCCAAATGTAGTACTCGACTCTACCGGTCTATCTGTAGGTTTTATATCTTGCGGTAAATCTGAATGTTATCACTGGCTTACTGTATTGTTTTTAGGGATCATTGCGACTGCCATTTGTACTTGGTGTTTATCACCTAAACGGCAGTTTTTTGGGCTATCAAAACCTTACCACTCAGTTTCAGGTGACATAGAACCTAATTTTTGATGTATGAATTCAATTCAATTGATATTGAATGAATACATGACTCAATTTGAATCATTTGTGTGCATGGATTTAGCTATGCAGCACAGACTCATTGACGGCTTCAAATTGGGACAGAGTGGCAAGAGACTACACCAATACGTGTTTGCTTAATCTTTATAATTTGGTATCTCAAAACTACGATACATACTTTTATGAACTTTGTAAGTACAATTTATTTGAATGTCGAGTTTATCTTGCAGATATCTTATAACTTACTGTTTCTGTAAATCCCATCATTTAGTTTTAGCGCAGCCATTAGGCCAGCTTTATCCTGTTCCCATTCGAATTTCAAATTACAGAACTGTTTCTGGGTTGCAGATCAATCGAAATCCATCCATGATTGATTGGTCAAACAGCCAATTATTCAGACGATTTTTTTTGATTGATACAGCAAGTGGAATTGTGAATGGTGCAACTACTATTGTTCGATTTCCATCGTCAATTTCCATTACCATTTTTAAAGCATCTGATGTTGGAAAAATTACGTTACCTATTGTTGATATTACTTATACAGAGCGTGAGATATCAGCTATTTCTGAAACTGACAAGTCAATTTTTTCTACCACTCCCGTAAGTTATAGTTTAATATTTGATATTAAGATTCTAGTTCAAAATCTTTTACAAGGTGCTATTGTACATGTTTTAATAGCATTACTTTACCATGATTTAAATGAATGTATATACTATAGATTTCATTCTCAGTAGCATACGTTCAAGACTACTCTGTTATCAAGCAAGTTCTCATGTACACATTTGTCATTGCGATTGCAGTGGGATTGGTTTACGCGTTTTATACTACTCGTTTGTGGAGCTCTCGCAACTTAGGACCATACGATTCGATTGACATTCGTGTATGTTGTACATCAAACTCTTTTAATTGATTATGTGTTGTGACCAAGAACCTGTTTTGTCAAGGCAGTTGTCAAACTGTCAAGCTTTGTTTAAAATATGCATAATATTAACTCATTTCAATCCACTTTTTCATTTAGTTTATTTTCCGGCTATTGGTCAATGTCTGCGGGGCACTTGGACCAATTATGGGCTCATATCTATTTGTTGTAGTTGTGTGCTTCTTCATATTTTTCAAGATTCAGAGCGTTTTATTTATATACATCCCGTACAATCCATCTGATATGTCTCTTGTAACTATGGCGGTTGCAGGAATCACAGTAGCCGAGGTAATTTAAAAATGAGTCAACAGTTATACATTGTTTTTCTATACTCTAATACCGCAGCCTGGTGTTCTAACTTTTTGCTATAAAACGATTGTAATGAAAAGTTTGTTTACATTGCTAAACTGATGATTGTACAATGCACAACCCATGTGTTTTTCATTGACTGGGAGCGAAGCAAAGGTTATGTTGTTGGATCGGGGAATGATGAAACCACGGCCATGATTTCCCCGGTAAGTATTTGGAGAAGTATCTTTATGGCTAATCAATGGAATGCTCTTCAGGTAATTTAATTATGGACATGTATTCAAGTTTTAGTACATGCATTTGGTTGTCACCTAAATACAATTCCATGATGTGTATGTTCATTTAGATACATCAGCGTGTTCATGTGGGATTTACTCTTGTTGCGTTACTGGCTTTGCTTGAAGGACTTGGCTGGCGATATCTTGCAACATCTTATGCAGGGTTTTCAGATTTATCAATAGATACACCTAATCCTTTGCTTTTAGTTGCAGTGGACTCACTATTATGGATGCTCCTTATTATCGTACAAGTGTGTCATTTTAAATCCAATATATGTTTATACTGCATTCTAATTTTTGTTGACTGATGATAGGTTGTATTTCAAGCCATCTACAGCAGATTTCATCGAAACAAGCTTTTACAATACATTGACATTCTTTCATTATCGAATATCAGTTTGTTTGTGTTTGACTCTCAGTGTCATGGATATTATGTTCATGGCCGGTCAGTCCATTCATTTGCCGACACCAACATGGATGAGCTCAACAATTTTTTGCGTAAAGAAGAGGTAATCAATGTAGTGTTGGTAGATTGATTCAGCGTGGAATTGTATGTTCATTTCATGTCAATGTAGAACGATATGGTACCCCGTCGCGGATTACACGACACCAATCAACAGGCATTTGAGATTTTTGTTACAAGAACAATGCGCACGGCATTTGATAAAATCTTTGATCAAAGTATTGTTTTACAACAGGTATGAGTGCTGGTGATTAGCAATGTGAATTTTTTGGTCAACTTGAACATGCCAAGACTAATTATACATGTATGCTATTGTTTTTAGGAAGCACAGCGATTAAATAACATGGTCAATCGATTAACAATAAGTAGGATGATTCAACCTGAAAAATTGCATACTCATCCACAACGTGTACTAACGGATTCAAAATCAAATCAGACGATATTAAAGGGGGGAGTTTTAAGGATCCAATCAAACCTGCAGCAGAGCCTCAAATTAAAGAATATCATCAAGTCAACAGATTTCTTCGATCGTTTATTGATCAGGTAAATTCGAAATATCAATATATAGTTTGTTTTTCATGTTTTTGTTTATAACAATACAATACCATGTGTCTGTTATTTAGAATCTCAAAGAAATACCATATATTATTCGGAAAAAAACATACTTTGAGCAATTTTTTGCTGCACCAGATCCATCAGAGGGAAATGTGTTTTTTCCTAACGATTCGGGGTATTCACGCATCCTTTTATATGGAATGGAAATGCATCTGATGTTTGCCTATACATACCTATTTGCTTTTGTAGACACACTTACAAATTCACCTGCAAAGGCTGCCATTGTTGTGTGGGTTGTACACTTTATTATTTGTTCAATACGACGACATTTTGGAGAAATCAACATGTCCAAAAAGACATTATTGGACTGGAAGTTTTTGGTTTAGTACCAAATCTACAATCGTATGAAAAAACAGGGGCAATGCCAAGCTAATTCATTTATTGCTTTTGACTACGTTGTTTGCTGTTGAATTCGAAATTCCAAAAAATGAAGAGTATTTTTCATAAAGCAATTGCCAACATTGATGGATTCGTTTCAGGACAATTGAATCCTTGTTTGGTACGTATAAAGCAAAATATATCACCGCAAGATATATGGCCAGTACCAAAACAAACTGATAAAAGAAAAGCATAGTCAATGGGACTCCAATCAAAACAGTAATCCCACTGAAAATGATTGCAGCTTGAAGTTGCAAATACTTTAGGGAAGCCCATTTGGGATTATTAATCTTTGCGTGCTTGCTTGGTTTATGTCCAATGCACCTGCCACGCTCTTTTCTGTACAATCTCAGGGCAAATCTGCCAGCAGGCAAAGAGCGAAGCGTTTTAACTTTGACTTGTGTATGTGGCGATAACTGTTTTAGTGGAGGCATAGACATTCCTATTTTTCCACCATAGTCGTCATCGTCTCTAGGAAAAAGCACCAATGCAGCATGAGATGCAAATGAAATGTCTGCAGCAGTGATTTTAGAGCCTGTGAGAAATACATTTTGAAGCATTGTAGCCTTGGAAAGGGTTTGATCTGATTCAGATTTGGCTTGAACCTGCAGCATAGATTCGACTTGCTCAAAAACTTTATGAACACATCTCCATGCACGATCTAATGTGTCCTGGTTACCAAGCTTGAAATAAATCCACATCACATGCCTCATAATTGGCCATATCAATTGATTGACTGTACGCCAAGTATTCAAGTGGATCTGATCGCGTATATATGCTTCTGCCAGTTTAGTATTTGACAATACTTCAAACAGAAAGATAGTTCGTGTAGCAGCCGAAAAATTCGAGTCAAATTGCTCTTGAATTTCCAGCGTTTTAACTTGAGAATAAATCCGTAGTTTAGAACCAAATGATTTTGAGTAGAGATATACCATCATAGATGTAGGAGAATACATGGCCTGGTTGGTGTTGAATTCGTTAATCAAATGGCAATGAATGGTAGAATGGGCTAGAAAGTCGATATTATTGCAAAACACCCGACAATGGCTTATACTTTGGCAGTGTATCATACCTCTGTTTTGTCATTCAATAAAATTGGTAATGCCAGTTTTTCTAAAGCAGGACTTGACGCAGATATCCGCATTGTTTCCCAGATGTGTAGTCCCCATGGCAGATCTATTTCTTCATAATCTACCCCATATAGATCTAGTACCCATCGAATCATTTCTAATAAAAAATGTGCTTTTAGATTCAGATTTGGATATTATATTTAAATACCGAGTATATTACCACTAGTGGAATCCCAGGGTAGAGTATAAAGTGTATAGCGACCAGTCGTGTCAGATAAACGCAGAGAATCTCTTAGAGATGAAAGTGTCGACTCTGTAGAATTCAATATCCGTCGACTTCCATTGCCTTGATCAAAACTGCTGGTGTTATCTTCATCATCGGATATATAGAGCGAGTTCCATTTATCATAGTTGAAGCTTCCCATTGCAAACAGTACTTATTTTTTGGAAAGTGGTAGAAAAGCCTGTAAAACTAAACTCCGATTTACAGTCGTATTCATGTAAAATGAAACACAAAAGTCAGATAAACAATCATCAAATGATGCAGTTCAAATTACTAGACAGCATTGCGTCTTGTAACTCATTAACAGATGTGCAATCTTGCTTTCTTGAACTAGAGCGTATCCGAATTGTTACAAGTTTGACAACATTCAATCCAATGTGTGGATTGCAATGAGTGATGATCGTGAAATGTATGACTAACAAAAAGAGTGATGGATTGCATTACATGATGGTTGTATTATTGAACAAGTAGTCAATTCCTAGTAAGCACAACGAGTATTCAGACAATTTATTCTAAAACTCTGACTGATGCGAGTTTCATTTTACACGAATACAATCATCATTTCACCTTATTGGTTGACCAGTTTATGCTTTTTACTGACTTCACTTGAATCCATTTACAAAGTAATAAACTCGACTTTTGGCTGTTGTGAATCCCAGCGTCCAGTTTAGCATTCATGTTTTCGAGTGAATTTAGCCAGATTTTCAGTTGGACAAAATCGTCCTTGTTGTTGTTTGCATCGAGATATTGAAATTATGAACCATTTGCAAGTCATTAATGCTTGGGTGCTGGATGATAGAAAAACGGTAATCAATTCATCGCTTCAGCTAATGGAAAAGCAGTCGCTGGGTTTATCGCATGCTCAGATCCTCATTGCTAAACACTGTCATCAAGATGGTTTAAAACTAGACATTCACTCGGTGGATTTTACCACAAGTTTATAATTAGTCTGAGCCGGATTGTTGCTAATTTATGTTACGTTTAATATCTTATAGGCTTCTTACAAATGGTTAAGTCGTCAGCTCTCTGTCCATGTAAACGTTGCCAAACAGATGCTTTTTGAATTTGTCCAGACGAAATCGCCTGGAGATGTAAGCGTATTGTACTATGTGCAAGGCGAACACAAAGATGGAAGTCTATCTTGCATGGCTGTATCGGATGTCCAATTAAAAGGTAATGTATAGCATTCGGCTGGATTACGCAATCTCCAAGTACATGCTCAACTATTGTTTTTTGTTCTAGATGTTCAAGCAGAGTTTGTCCGTACAAGTGTTCATGTATTGAGTGTTCAACCTGGACCTGTACCTGTAAGTAAAAACATTATTTACAAGTATGGTGTGTCGTTTTTAATGTAACCGAGTGGAATTTGCTAGTCAAATGAACTCATACAGCCTTTTCTGTAGGACATTGATGCATTATCAAAGGCTGATTTGGCTCTAACGAAACAAGATTCGATCAACATCATAAAGTACGCCGTTTTTGATGATTGATTCTATATTGAATTTTTAATCAAGTCTGCATCTACAACTTACTAATACGCTGAATCGATTTGTTCCACTAACAATCGTTTATAAATCAGATTATGTGGTGCCATTCAAAACTCTGATATACATACTATTGAAATCAAAACAAACAAAAAGGTAATTAAATCCAATCTATTATATATGCACAAAAGTTGTTTAGTTCAAGACGCGAGCCTTGGAATGATTAAATTACATTCAATGGAACACATCAACAGACAAACGAGACTAAAAAAGCCTGTCCTGCGTCTTCGGCAACTACTTTGGTCAATACAAAGAGCCACAGTGCTAATTTAGAAACAGTCAAACCATTTGCAGCAAAGAAATCACTCGAGACTTCCAAGAGGTGAATTTGCAGTTGATAGAGCATTATCTACGATTGGAGTTTAAAAGCATTTGGTATTTCAAGAATTTGTCAATTCACAATGTTGTCTGTTGTTTAGTGCTGGAAAACAACCATCTTCTGCATCATCATTTTTTCTATCTCGTGGTAAACCAAAGGCCAGTTCTTGTTTAGACGATGGATCTGTCACAGCCATTTCATCAAAAAAAGCACCAATAGATACAAATGCATCATTGAAACTCGGTTCCCAAAAATCAACAGCAAAAACAGCTGCCAATACAACCAAATCGTCCAATTCTACAGTTTCACGCACACGTACTCAAAGTCCAGTTCGTACTCTCAACACAAAATCAATGCAGCAGTCACAACAGATTAGTAATATGTTTGACAATGATGACAGTTGCAGCCAGAAAAGTGATAATGATGAAATGCAGGATTGCAAGCAGTCGATGGTGAATGAGGATAACCCATTAGCATCAGCAATACCAAGTATTGAAGCGTCGGTTTGTAAGAATCTGACTGTTGCTATTTTGTCTGATTCTGGTAGGCGATGGAATGATTTTAGCAGTCAAGTGTAGTATCATTTTAGTTTTGATTCTTTGCATTGAGCTTAATATCTTTTGTCAACATAGATCATGACGAGTCATTGAACAATCAGATTTTAACGGATAGTATCGAAAAGAATAGTACATCCAACAAACATTCCAGTTTTAATCAAGTCGAGGCTGGCACAGAAAAGAAACGTCGTATTCGAAAAACCCGAAAAATTCGAACCACAAAGCGAGTTATGGTTGGCAAATACATGAGTAAGCTTTTTCAATTTATTTGAACAATGTTCAACTGATGAAAATTCAGATATTTTGGTACGATTCCAACTTTTTTTTATTCATGTTTGTTTTGATATAGAAACCGTAGATGTATCAGATGTTGAGTCTTATTCGGATGAGGAGATTGTGGTACCAAGACAATCCCTCACAGTTCTAGCCAAGTCAGAGAACCCCATAAAAGAATCCATGACTGATCATGCTGATGAAAAGGTTGAAACAGACAAGTTTGCTTCAACCAAATCAAAATTAAAGGGCAAAGCAGCATCTAGCATGACCAATCAAAAATCCTTACTATCCTTTTTTGGCAAGAAAACCTAACTGGATTATGATGCACAAGTTGAAGAGATTGTACCAAGACTTTGAAAACTGTACAAGAATTGAACTAAAAGCACTGACCACTAGGTTTATTCTTTTAATTACCAGTTGGATGTATTGGTTTGACTTTATACTTGATTATGGTGGGGGTACAAAATCACGACACATTGGTTATCCAACCCATTTCCAAAAAAAAGTCAAAGATCTTTGATGTCTTGTTGACATCAATCTTGACTAAGGATCGTACATGTCGACGCTTGATAAACCCATGCGCAAGATTTTCTTTGATGATAATGTCTTTAATAGCGAGATATGCACGGGGGAAAAGTCGGAGGGAGGAGCAAAGCTGGCATTCTTTTTCTGTGAGTAGTTCAACACCATCAGTGTTGGTAACGTCTAGTGGGTTTGCAGGTTTACGTCCTCCTAATGGTGCTGGGGTTAAAGATGTGGATGGCGTTCGGGTGGAATAGGATGGAGTGGTGGGTATGGTCGATGAAGATCCCGAGTTTCCTGCTGCAGAATTAAGATTGCGAAAGAAAGGCTGTGACGAGTGAGTGCCAGAGTTTGTATGAGCGTTTGGTGAAGTGGAAGTCAATGAGAGCGAAAAAATCTACATTTAAAGTGGCATATTAGTATAAACTCGAATCAAAAATAGCCAAATGTGTCCATCTACCTCATCTAATTTATGCCTCCGTGATGCTGATCGTTCAATAGTAAACCCAGTCAGACCTGCTGCCTTATTGGTTGTCTAGATTGAAATAAAGTAAAAGCACAGGTACTATATAGTCAGAAATGCAGTACTCGAACATTGCAGCAATGACCGACAGTATAGAAATAGAGTTTTCAATAATCAAAAACATACTCGTATCGCCCGTTCTTTTTCAAATTCTGCTGCATCTCGATGAGTAGTAATTCCCATTCGCCGATACTCTTGCAAATGTGCAATTCTCATACGCAGCCTTAGTTCAGCTGTATAGAAATGAAAAGTACAGACATGGCACATGAGCAAAACATGTTTACAATATCACAAGAAAATAGGGAAAAACTGTTTACAAGTATTAAATAGATTACCTAGTAATCCATCCATAAATACTTGAAAATCAGACTCTGTCATGAGTTTGGCAAAAACACGCATCTTGTGATAAAGCTCTTTTTCTTCTTTTGGGCGTCGTTTTTCTTGACTTTGAATCTAATCGATTGATTTAAATAAGTAAAAATGAAACAGTAGATGGATTCAAAGTAGCGTGTCTAAACTATAACGACTTGCCTTTTTAAAATCAATCAGATTCCTATCAAAAACAAACTTTTTCCTTTCCGCACGACGTGACAAGGCGGTATTGTATATATTAAGCATGGCACATTTTAGTGCTAAAATGGAATTTGGAATTATACAAGTCAGTATTCATAGCTTAGAATGTACAAATAGTAGAGTGGAAATGACTATACCAATTTCCTCTGGAGTATCATCCTCTGTAAATTCCAAGTCTTTGACCTGCTGCTCAGCATCATTGTCAAACTCATGCTCAAACTCTCGACGACCAGGCATAAATCCCGCAATTTCATGATTTGCCGGTGCACTTGATAGTGGCTGTTAAGAATTGATTGAGGATCAAACAAAAATGAGACGAGTTAGTAGATGAGCATGTTGATGCACCTCTGCAACTAGTGTTCAAACCTACCCTTGACGGAGGTGGAAGTTGTGCTTTGGCTGAAAATATATGATACACAGAAATTGAGTTAATTATACATGTCAAAGATCAATTACAGCAGTGGGAAAACAGATACTCACTGTAACCGGCTGGTCTGGCTCGTTGAAGTGTACTAAAATCGGATTTAAGATTTGGGTTCTAAAGTTTAAATTAGAAAATCATAGTATGTTGTGTAAGCATCCATAGTTGTCGAGTATATAATGCAGTGTTGAGAGGTTAAACTCGATGTTTTTAAAATTTCAAATCCATAAGAATAGTGACATACAGGGCTTGGGAACACATCGCTCTGTACATAGACACGATCGTAATGATCAGCACATTCAATTTTGTTTTTTGTGCCAATATGATCGCTAATCTGCTCCCAATTTCCAACGCCATGAAGTTCAAGACCTTCGACTAGTAAAAGCTCCTCGTCTGCACCCCATGAGCTTTCGAATATAGGAAAATCCAACATTTCCTGGTGAACAAATATGAAATGGCTGATTAGCGTGATGCTCGATAGTTACAACATAAACCAGTTTGAATCAACCCAAAGCAGCACACACCAGAACTCTGTAGTCGTGGTCGGACTTGTGATCTTTCAGTTCGGTCCCACAAGAAAAGCACTCTACACATAGATCAAAGTCGGGGCAGATGGCACACTTGATTCTAACGAGATATGTGATGTCTTTGTTGCATGCATCGCAGTGATATTTTTGGCCAAATTCATTTACAGTAGCTAAATCATCAGTGGGTTAGTCTTTGTGATGCATTGGTGACTTGTAATGTATGGACAGGGTTAAGGGTAGGAGACACACTGTTAGATCAGTTGGATGTAACCATATAGTCCCACTGACCAAAAGCAGCTCAACAACACTGCTGCCCAGACTGACAACCACACCAGCAATGGAGTACATGACACTAGCAATGCATGGCAATGGATGTCAGAAGCCATTCAATATTCAATGGTCTGGGACATGCGGTGTTTTTTATTGCTCCACGCGAAAAATGACCACAAAATATTGCCGAGTGGAATCAAGTCAGACAGCAACAAAGGCGGCAGCGAGTCTTACTCTGTACATCGTTTGCATCCTCGTTCTGTTGAAACTTGCGCTTTTTGACAGTAACTGTCATATGGGTTGTTCAGAGTTCTTGTAAAAAGGGGGTAATTATGGCAGACAGCCCTTGGTTATAACAGAATCCTCAGTGTTGAATGCCGATAAGTCGAACAAGTTGGAGTTTGATGTGCTCTCAAGTTCAACTTTTCGTTTGTTTTTCATTCTTTCGTTTTGTCGATTTTGCTGTTGCAAAGCCATCCCAGCCAGGTTGGTCTTGCATTCATCATCTATCTCTAGTCCATCTCTTTCTATTGGAAATACTTGGTATTGCAAGTCTTTTTATCTCATGATAAACTAGTCTATCAACTATTCATCATCACTGAGAATTAAGCATACAAGCTTATAGTATCTACTATTATTCCAAGCATACAGTCCAGGAATGCCAATGCTGACTAATATCAATATAATACTCTAGTCTCTGCGAATGAAAATAGTTGTATATTTTAAAAAGCACATTCAATCAAATGAATTCAGTAGATTGAATGATCAGCCTAGCAAGATCTAAACAGATGGATTTCCAAAGTGAATCTAACCAAGTCGGCTTGCACAACTACATGGAGACAATCGCAATAAATAGTGGATTGGATTGAATACTGTAACAGTATCACGTGTTGGTACAGTATCAAGTCACGTGAAATAATCACTTTGTTCAGTCGTCGTTGCTGACAGTCAATGCGGTCTTTCTTGCCAAACCACATTGACCATGTTGCGAATCGGTTTGCAACAGAGACTCATTCGCTCCCCTTCAACTGCTGGTACCGTCTTTTAATATGAAACACATTGCTGGTGTCTCTTTTTATCAATTACTTACTTTGCATGGACTTTTATATCCCATTTGTTTTCATTTACAATAGCTTCGTGCTGGTCATTAGCTCCTCTTAAAGCCATTGACACCTCTAACCAAACTCGCTCGATTTCTAGTCTTACTAAAAAGGAACCAGAATTTGGCTCTTTTGATAAGAGAGACGCACCTGCCATCTCTGTAAACCCATACAATCTTCCTACAAAGGTCAACAATGCTGCAGGTATCATGTCTTTTCTGACTGCCACTAAGATCTGTTTTTGCTGATTGTATAAAGTGGACATCTATGTGGTCCATGTACAGTTGTCCTATCATTGAATGATTTTTGAATTGTCACCATTAGATAACAAGCAAATGCCAATCTTTAAATTGACATTCAACTTGAATATTTTTGGATTGACTCTAGAATTCGTTTTGACCTCGTTGGATAGCCTTGTAAACTGGAATCGCACATCATCGATCTGGCCATTGACTTTTGGTCTTGCATGTTGTGCCGTGGAGATGATGCACATGGCTACTCCCCGTTATGATCAAGATAGATTGGGCATTGTGTTTCGTGCATCTCCTCGTCAGGCCGATGTTCTGATTGTTGCTGGTACTCTTACCAACAAGATGGCTCCTGCACTTCGAAAAATGTAGGGTTTTGATTTCTTGTCGGAATGTTCGAAAATGCACTTCACTCTGTTCTAGTTACTCGCTTATACTTGTATATACAAGTTAAAATTAAATCTAATCTAACTTGCAATTTATATTGTATAATGAAATAGTTACGATCAAATGCCTAGTCCTCGTTGGGTCATTTCCATGGGTAGCTGTGAGTCGACCAAATGACATTTGTCCAATCGCTTTTCATTTCTAACATTGCACTACCTACTAATTTTTAGGTGCCAATGGCGGCGGCTACTATCATTACAGCTACTCTGTAGTGCGTGGTTGTGATCGCATTATTCCCGTAGACATTTACGTTCCAGGCTGTCCACCCACATCAGGTATTTTTATATATCCTTAATATTGATTCTACTTCAAGTTTTACCTTTAAACATACTCATACATATTACAGAGGCTCTTTTATACGGTGTTCTACAACTGCAAAAGAAGATGCGTCGTGAGCGTGTTGTCAAGATGTGGTATAGATCGTAGTCTTTGGAACCATGATCGAATCTACAAATTGTTTTATGCAATATGCGTTACATCAACGTTTACATAGGCGCTGGTTAATGGCCATCTTTCAATAAACTCAATCATGATAAAATGCGTCCATCACAATGCTAAATTGATTTGATTTGCTATACATTCACTCTACTACAACCGTATTTACACCAAGTGGAAACTGAATATGGGTGTCGATGTATAAACAGTCAATCTCACCAAATGACTGGTATCACTAAATCTACTGGGCATTGTGTTTTGAACTCTTTAGTTGATTGATCTTTTTGGTGATCAACATGCATAGTTGTATTCCTGAGATGTGCAATCTTGTTTTCTTGAATTAGAACACATCCGAGTTTTTACAATACAACAAGGGTGAGTTGGACAACAGTCAAAATCAATATCTTTTACATTAGATATGTTTGTAAAAATTACTCGAGTACTATATAAAAGGTAATTTATTTAAAAATCATGACCCAGTTTTGAATGGGTAGATCAATAATTAGCATACATCTAAACATAATAATCTGACAACAGATTTTTCAATTCTATACTAAAGCTTTCGCATTATTTTTTAAAAACGGGTCTTGTTTGATCATATCCAGTGGAGAGTTGGGCTTAAATGATATGGTCGAATTAGATACGAGATCTCGCTTGGAAAGAGAGTTTCGAGTACTCATTTCCATGTTGGTATACTGATAGCAAAACCTGCCTCCTCTAACAGTACTCATAACTTCCCATACCTGCTTGTTGCCGGATAATCCCAACATAGGAATTGTGTCACTCAACGTTGCATAGTTATAATCTGATAACTGGTTCCGGTTTCCGCCATACGAGTTCATATTGCGTTGACTCTGTGACTGCCAAATCCACCACAGCCGATCCATATTAGTGTGATGAAGAAAAAACAATGGATCATTGGTGCTAATCGTAGCAGTAGCAAAATTGCCACCAACGCCAGAATGTATACTGCCGTGAGGCTTGGTTTCAATCTCATGGCGAAATTCTAGATACGTTTGAGATGTTCGCACAATTTTAGAAACAACTTCGGGTGTGTAGAAACTTGAATACATGCCATGAGCAAGATCAAATCGACGTTTGACACAATGGTGTGAAGGATGAACTCCTGTAAGACCATAAAATGGTCCACTGGAAATACAATCTGTCCCAGGTAATCCATCACCACCCATAAAATCATCAGCCCAAATAGGCGAGTTTTGCGGTGCTTCGGCATCAAGAGTCCAGTCCCAGTACGGCATCGTCCCTCTATATCGACATACTTTACGGATTAAATCTTCTACATTGAGAAGATATAGGCGATGCCATGGAAGAAATAATGCGACATTGTGTGCAATCGCTCCTACGCCCATGTGCACATAAACCAAATCATCATATGCAGATCTACTACCAATATCTGGCGGGAAACCAGACGGTACTTGACGCAGACATTGCATTGCCTGGATATACTCTCGGCGCTGCTGTTGCGTTAGTTCACGAAACTCTTTTCTCAATCGTGGCGCTGTACACTGACGATTGTGGTCTAGAAACGGAGAGTTAGATCGATAGTCAAACGCAGGTGGGAGTTTTACGGTTGGGCCTGGTGAGCATAGACCAAACTGTGGTTGACATCCAGATTCACACGATGCTGCAGAGGTTCCGCATATGCCACTACGTGAGCAACATGCACCGTTGGCACAACTTCCAATGCCTGCTCCGCATCGACCGCCAAATGGAGCCTGCCGTGGAGGATTTGGGGTACGTTGTGTGCTGCCATCTGTATAGCAAGCTCCAAACTCTCGAAGACATCCAGCTCCACAATGCTGAGGAGTGTTTCCGCACTAGATGGATCCAATTCGTTAGCTACACTAGATGCGATACATGACGCCAAAATTCAAAACTGGCGGAATACATCAAAATGTCCATATTCGGATTAGATGGTTGAAAAAACTTACCACTCTGGAATATGAACAGCATAAACCTTCAGGACATCTGGCCATGCCTGGCCCACATCTTGGATTAATAGCAACAACTGTAAGTGCAAGTGTAGCATAAATCAACACTTTTCTAAAGAACATCTTTGTTGGAATTGTAAATGGCACTAAATAAAGATAGACCAAGACAAAGTCGATATAACGTTGGCATGAGTGGTAAATCAAATACTAAAGCACTCGACTACTTTGCTTGCCACCAAAAGGCTATATTACTGTGCCTCCGAATAAACCAACACTGCATGGATTTCGGCCCATTGGCCCGACTTATCAGGCTTATTAGAGTATACACAGGGTGGCAAGTCGTTTGAAACGCAATTCAAGCTAATCTGTTTATGCTGTAAGCTCCGTCTGATAGGAATGGTGACTCAAGTGGTGATACTCTGATCACTATGACACATCATCAGTAACAGGTTTTGTTTGCCATTAGCATATTAAGCCCTATTCATTTTATTTGGACGATCGGTCTACCAACTCCAATTGTTTAATATGCATGCAAATTTATTTAGATCAATAATCAGGTTTAAAAATCCAATCAACAGCGAAGATAGCTGTAGATATTCAAAATACTGTATATTCTGAAATACAAGAGTAGGCGGTCAAAATGAGGCTACCAAAGAATACAATCGGAAAGTTATGTGTCGGATAGAATCAAATGTATCAATGTAAATCAAAAAATCGATGGAAAGTTATGAGGGTTTAAAAAACAGTTGTAAAAGGTTGAATTGACATCACTATGTAAGAATATCCATGTTGGAGTACCGATAGCAAAAACGTCCACCAGAAACCGTGCTGAGAACTTCACTCACACGAAAATCTTCACTGAGACCAAGCATGCGGATGTGATCGGTTCGAGAAGCATAAGCAAATGTAGAGTACGGGTGACGATTTCCGCTGTAATCATTGATGTTGTTTTGGCTTTGCTCTTGCCAGATAGCCCAAAGACGATCAATATTCATATGGTGCAGGTAAAAAATAGGATCGCTTGCACTAACCGTAGCTATGCCCATATCGCCACCAACACCGAAATGTACACCACTATGAGGGTTACTCTCCAATCGGATTCGAAAATCGTTGTATGTTTGGGATTTAATAATGATGTCGTTGACTGCTTGGGGCGTGTAAGTGTAGCTATACATGTCATTATCTTTAACTTGTAAAAATCGACGTTGAACACAATGGTTGGTTGGATGAAATGCACGTAGATTGGCAAAAGGACCGGAGTTAATGCAGCCAGTGTCGGGATCACCGTTTCCGCCCATAAAATCTGAGCTCCATACAGGCGAATTGGATGGATCTGATGCATCTAGACTCCAGTCCCAGTATACCATTGGGCCAGAATAGCCGCATGCTCCACGCATGAGATCTTCAAAATTTTGCATAAATACACGATGCCATGGGAGAAAGACGGCGCCAAGATGAGCAAGTCCACCAGCACTGTAGTGGGTGTAAAAGAGATCACCATATAAAGATACAGCACGAAGATTTTCAGGGAATGCTGAAGGAGTGCTCTGTAGACATTTGATAGCTTCAACATATGCACTACGTTGGGATTGACTCAGCTCGCGGAATTCTACTCGGGTACTTGGTCGAGTGCATCTGCTCTGCTTTGGTTGAAGTGGAGAGGGTTGATTGGGGTTGAACGCAGGAGGCATGGCTTGCTCAGCACCAGGTGTACACTCTCCATAAGCAGATTGACAACCAACTTCGCATGAGTCAGTGTCAGTCGCGCAGATGCCATTTCGATTGCAGCAGCCACCATTTCCGCAGATACCGAATCTTTGTCCACACTGTCCACCTAAGGGAATATTTCCTTGAGGAAGACCATTAGAGCTGGTTTGATCCACTGATTGAGTTGGTCGATTCTGTGACTCGACCCATTTCTGCCAGTCTCCAAGCTGCTGTTGGTACTGCTGTTGATTTTGCTGCATTTGATCTCGCTGCTTTTGAACCAATTCCTGATACTGAGAAGTACGCTGATTCTGAGTGATTTGCGTGTTGGCCAATAAAGACGACCACAAATTCCATCGCTCCCATTGCTGGATCCAGTCCAAATGCTTTAACCATTGTGTCCATTTATCCTGCCATTCGCCCATGAGCTGAGCAGGTGTTTTTTGCTGCTGTCGACGAAACAGTCTTGGAGGGAAATTCTTTGGAGGAGCAACTGGAGCATAATCAGAAAAGCTACCACTGGGCTGCTGTGGACCAGCCATGTCCATATCTATAGTGCACATACCAAATGATGGGTTGCATCCGACTGAGCAGTGCTGCGAGCTATCTCCACACTAGAAAAGCATGAATCAATCGTATTGATCAGTAAAGTTTATACTAGACAACATTGCCATCTCGATGTGCTAAAGCGGTGCAAGGCAAAATAGCTTTGCACGCAGAAAAGGCTGGTTTATTTTGTACTACTTACATATCCGGTCGATGAGCAACATTGGCCTTCAAGGCATACACCATATTCAGCTCCGCAACGTTTCTCATGTGCGGAAACACTAGCGATTGCCAAAATAACGGCAACAACTATGCTGTAAATGTTCATATATAGTTTATACTCTTAAACTGATACAAAATATACAAGTGGTCTGCCATCTGCCTGTTTTATCAATATGTGATGTTGTCATATAGAGCTGAATAATGATTCAAGTGGTGGTGGCGTCAAAAGAAAGCACCAAATGGATGGCATAGAATATGCTTGTCTAAATCATAATATGTAGTTTATGATGCGTTGATGGACACAAAACTACACTTTTTGCTGCGAGTATTTTGGAAGTATGGCATTGGAATTGCCGATGGTCTAATTTATCGCAGTTTTACAGTCGGTGACTGTAAATCATGCAGTGATTGAAAATCGTGCTGATTGGCTGCTGTAAACAAAATGTCCTATTCGTAGTAAAGCTTATTAGGTCGATCTAGTGGCATTGGAATTATTTCAAACTTGACAACTGCCGATATTGCCGTGAATTCAAAACTACTAGCAAAGCTAGAATCATTGGCAAAATCTTGCGTCGAATTGTATCCAAATGAACATTGATTTGTATACTCATGTTTCTGTACAAACCGTAATCAATAAAGGATCAGTCACCGCATACTTACTGTTCAATCCTTTTATAATCATTCCAACAATAAAATAATGATCAGTGTTAAAATAATATATATTGTTTTATTTGTCTGTGGTCCATATACTTCCAATTCGAGTTTGGACTGTTTCGACTGCTGATGTTAGAATATCATCTCGCACCTTTGCCTCTTCATTAGTTGCTGGAAAATAGCCAAAACTACTGCTCTGTGACATCGCCAAAGCAGATGGCGATATATATTTCCCAGAATCTGTAAGGTCATTGAGTGCACAAATTGTTTGGTCAATTTTTTTGCCTGTTCTGTGTATATTCCTCATTTCTTTTTGACCGACTTTCATTTTGGTATAATAGCCATCCGGTAGAGTAACAGGAGCCCGAAGGTGGAATTGATCCTTTCTATCGGTAGTTGGAAGAATCTGTCCCTTTTTCAACCTTTTGACACGAACTTCTACTTTCCCTTCTCCAGATACTGGAATTCCCGATCTTTCAATCGGCACAGTTTCATCTGACGAAGTGCCAACAGGAACTGGTGATCGTTTTCTCAAGTGTAATGGTCTTAATACGACTGAATTGGAGTATCTATAGCACATTCTACCACCACCCATAGTGTTAAGAACATCCTTGACTTGGTGATCTGGACCCATACCCCACATGCGAATATGATCGGTGGTGCGTGCATTTGAATACGTCGATTCTTTGGTCCTCTTTCCCGAGTACTCATACTTTTGATGGGGATGCATGTCTTGCCATTTAGAGTAGAGACGATCAATATTGGTATGATGAAGGAAAAAAATGGGATCATTAGAACTTATGGTAGAGTCGTGCATATCACCACCAACTGCATAATGCAGGAGATTGTGAATTCTTTGCTCAATAGCGTAACTGAATTCCAAAAAACTGGTTATCATTAATGTAGAAGCGATAACACTGGGAGGGTAGTAACTGGAATACATGTTTTCGGAAAGTACAAAATCACGACGAATGCATTGATGGGTTTGCGTCCTGACGCCAGCAAACGGACCATTAGTAACGCATTTAGTTACTGGGTCACCATTTCCGCCCATAAAATTGGGACTCCATACTTCTGATCGTTCAGGTGCCTGGGAATCAAGTGACCAGTCCCAGTATGCCATAGAGCCTTTGTAACCGCATCTATCACGCATGAGATCCTCAAAAGTTTGCATAAACACACGATGCCATGGTAGAAACATGGCGGTGTGATGGGCGAATTCGAAGGAAATGTAGTGAGTGAACATCAAATCCGAAAAAAGTGACAGGCTACCATATTCACGATTATACGTAGAGGGTGTTGTTTGAAGACAACGAATTGCTCTAATATAATCTGCTCGTTGTCGTTGAGTAAGTTCGCGGAATTCCCTTCGGATAGATGGATTGGTGCATGGACGGTTGCGAAGTCTCATTCTGCTACTTTGATGATTGACCGACTTTGGTATAGCTCTATATGGTCCTGGCATGCACTCGCCGTATTGAGATTGACATCCCGCTTCGCACATGTCCGTTTCTAATCCACATACATTTTGTGATGAGCAGCATCCACCATTGGCACACATGGGAAATCCTGGACCACATCGAGGTCCAACATGACGACGCGTTTGTCTAGAATTGGCACTAGGTCCGGCCACTAATGAGGTAGCAGGTCTCCGTGCAGCAGATTTCTTGGCAGCAGATTTCTTGGCTGCAGGTTTCTTGGCAGCAGATTTCTTGACCGTAGATTTTTTGGCTGCAGGTTTTTTGGAAGTTGGTCTAGTTGAACTAAGCTTTGATCCTGGCTTTTTGTGTCTTCTTTGTCTATCTGGATGATCGAAACAATATCCGAATGGCGTTTGGCATCCAACACCACAATGCTTGGCCGTGATAGCACACTAATCAAATATATTGCATACAACTGTTAGTCTATACACTGGCATTGATAGTGAACGAGGTACGGTCAAGTGATGGCAGAGATTCATTTGATCGCAATGAGTTCAAGACAACTCTGCACATATGTCCAGTAATGGATACTAGAGTGAATTGCTAGCACATAAAGCCATTATACTTACAAATCCTCTAGCAGAACAGCATTTACGACCTGGGCAAACACCTCGACCTGGACCACATCGAGAGGCAGCAGCCACTGGAGCTACAAACGTAGCAACCAGAGTCATAGCAGCAACCGACAAGTAATGCATTTTTCTAAATTTTCAGTAATACCAATTAGATCACAACAGTTAATGTCAAATGGTTTGACAGCTTGTTGGAATTGGCTAGCTAATGAGATTGTACTAGTATCTTTGGTTATTTATACACACCTTTTTTAGTAAAATAACTAGGGCATCTTGCTTACCTGCATATCAGGGGTAGTTATACTCACTGTCTGATACACTCCTTCCAAAGCACACCTATTAAGGGAGGTTGGTGTTAATCGTTTAGGGTGTTCAGTGTATTTTACTCGCGTCGAATGTATTCACAATCCACAGCAGTTACAAGAACCCCGCCATACAGGGCTGTTTGACATGCAAGGGCGACTTCAACTCTAAATAGCATACACAGACTGAAGCCAATAGCCCACTCAAGTCTTACAGTGGACAAATAGTATATCGTCCCTATTCAGTATCATCTGAGTATAAGGGATTATCAAGGCGCATATAGGTATATGGTAAGCCCGTTCAAAGTGCATTGATAAATGACTTGTGATGACTGGAGTGAAAACGACGTAGACCTTATTTTTGCTGTTGTCTACCAGCAAGCCTATATTTCTGTAAATAGCCGATAGCAGCCAAAAATGAGTACCACGCATGCTTATTATCAACCCTGAATAGGCTTGCTCGTGAGTACTTTTACTAAGGCTAGTCAAAACTCTATTTCTAAACCAAAGCTTAGTGAATTGGATAGCAGTAAAAGTGATTGTCGCTGTGAGAAATAACAGTCGTGTATATTGTGCTATCTTTTGATTATCCGAGTTTATTTTTTGTGAAAAAATTCAGTCATGGTTGTTTAACGAGGTTCAAATAATTAGATTCTATCTAATACAAAATAAAGCATTATCAAGAGCCATTCATTGTTTTATTTTACATGAATATATGGCAGCAAAAAACATGTTCATTTATCAATTGTAAAAATGTATAGTGTAGTACACAGTAAGATGAGCATAAAAGGTCACTATTGAACAAATGGTCCAACAGCTTTCATCAGCTTGCTAGCAAACTGCTTGGTAATAAAAGCAGATTCAGTGACATCGTTTGGCTTGGAAGCCACAAACTTGACTTGGGAGTTCTCTTTGATGGTAAGCGCAGATCCAGACAAGAAGTTGCCCATGTCAGTTTCTGCATTTAGAAGATCGACAATTTTATTGACCTTGGCTTCGTTGGCACGTACACGAGCAATAGCACTGTCGCTATACTTCATCATGCGAAGCCATGTCTCATTGAGTGGTTTATGATGACGTAGGTGGAACTTGTCTGTACGATCAAATGCACCAGGAGATGGCAGACTGCCATTCAAAGGCTTTACTGCCACAGGGAACGAGTTGTTGACCACAGGTACAATTGTAGCATTCACCAATACGGAACCAGGAGCATTAGCAGCCATTAGCGAAGCAGCAGAAAAGTGGGATGGCCTTGTAGCAGTGGGAACAGATATACTGTCATATCCATAGCAAAACCGGCCACCACCAGCAATATCGAGCACTTGATCAACACGGAAATTCTCGCCCATACCCCACATAAAGACATGGTCACTTGGGGAAGCAAATTTGAAGGAGCTGTCTGGGTTTCGGTTACCACCATACGAGTGCATATGTGCCGGTTTGCTGTTTTGCCAGATCCACCACAGACGATCGATGTTGGCATGATGCAAAAAGAACACTGGATCATTGGCACTAGTAATAGGATCATCCATATCACCGCCAACACCTCCGTGAATACTGTTGTGTGGATTATCCTCAATAGTCATACGGAATGAATCATAGTCGATAGCGGTAGAGAAAATGGTGGCAAGCTCAGCAGGGGAATACAGAGCACCCATCATGCTACCATTATCAGATTTTAGTTCAAATCGGCGCTTGATGCAATGTCGTGATGGTACATTGACTTGGAAATTGGCAAAAGGTCCTGTAGCAATACAATCAGTGTTGGCAGCGCCATCACCACCAATAAAAGTGTTGGACCACACCATTGATTTTTCGGGTGCCTGGGAATCAATGCTCCAGTCCCAATAAGGAAGAGGATCAGTGTAGCCACAGGCAGTACGCAGTAAATGTTCAAAGTTGAGAGTAAAAACACGATGCCAAGGAAGTAGCTGAGCAGAAAGATGTGCCAGATCACCCGATAAGGTGTGAACATAGACTAGATCATCGTAAAGCGATACGGTACCAAGATTACTAGGAAATCGCGAAGGTGCTTTGTGAAGACATTTGATACCATTGATGTAGTTGGCCTGTTGTTTGGCCGTTAGTGAGCGCACTTCCTTGCGAATTGTAGGTTTGGTACATGCAGCAGTACTGGGAGCAAGAGCCGGGAAGGTTTCTGGTTTATATTTTGGTGGAAGAGTGAATCCAGATCGGGGAGCTGGGGAGCAAATACCAGAGTCGGCTTGACAACCAGCTTCACAATGGGCAGTGGTGATCCCACAATATCCTGCAGCCGAGCAGCACAATCCATCTGGACAACCAAGACCTTGGAACTGAGAGCCACACCGAGAGTTAATACCAGGAATTGGCACGGGAGCAGGTGGGGTTGGTGGAGTAGGTGGAGCTCCATTGCAAGTACCAAAAGGGTTTTGGCATCCAACTCCACAATGAGCATCAGTATTTCCGCACCATCTATTTAAACGAGTTAAAATCACAGTATCATTGACACGGATTGCAATAATACAAAACATACCCATATTGAGAGCAGCAAAGCGAGTTGGGACACTTTCCACCACGACCAACACCACATTTAACATCTACAGACGGAGTTGGTGGGGTAGGTGGAGTTGGTGGAGCTCCATTGCAAGTACCGAATGGATTTTGGCATCCAATTCCACAGTGAGCATCAGTATTTCCGCACCATCTATTTAAACGAGTTAAAATCACAGTATCATTGACACGGATTGCAATAATACAAAACATACCCATATTGAGAGCAGCAAAGCGAGTTGGGACATTTTCCACCACGACCAACACCACATTTAACATCTACAGACGGAGTTGGTGGGGTAGGTGGAGTTGGTGGAGCTCCATTGCAAGTACCAAAAGGGTTTTGGCATCCAACTCCACAATGAGCATCAGTATTTCCGCACCATCTATTTAAACAAGTTAAAATCACAGTATCATTGACACGGATTGCAATAATACAAAACATACCCATATTGAGAGCAGCAAAGCGAGTTGGGACACTTTCCACCACGACCAACACCACATTTAACATCTACAGACGGAGTTGGGGGAGCCAATGGAGCCGGTGATGAAGCTCCGTCACATCGCCCAAAAAGCACTTGACATCCAGCTCCGCAGTGCACAGGTGAGTTGTTACACTAGGATAATCAAATATAAACAAGAGTCAGTATGATCTGCATTAACTACCCTAATTTTTTGGGCTGTTAAATGCAAGTCAATTAAACGCGTGCATTTAACCAAATTAGGCTACTGAATAAATAAAGAGGGTTGAAACTAGTCAACCATTGATATTCTGAAGCATTGGTATATACAAGTAATGGTAATAGACCGGTGTAAACTATGTGCTCAGTCAATTCAAATCAATCTAAAAAAGAATCGATATAATTGATAGTGGCTACCATTGTAGCAGAGTGCATAGCAAAAAAACTTGAGCATTCAAGGTTCAAAAATAAAGAAACTCACATATCCAACAAATGAGCAGCAAAGAGTGCCCGGACAGTGAGCATTTTGATGCTGGGATCCACAAGTAGGATCTTGTGCAGCAACAGCTATGGCAGTTGCTGCCAAGGTGAGTATATAAGTCACCAACATGTAATCTAAAGTGTATTGTCAATAAAGAAAGTAGTAATTGCCAAAATCAATATTATATCAAAAATGCTACTAATTGGTAACATCATCACGTGTGGTGTGGTTGTTGCTTGCAATTAGCGGGCAGCTCGAACGCCACTACGCAGCCAAGCTTCAGTTCAATAAGTATTGGTATTTGATGCATCCGAGCTCAATAGTATTGATGATGGCCATCTCACAAGTCGCATTGTATCATTCTGACGGTACTAGTATTTTACAATCTTGGATCTACAGCCGGAACTACCAAAATGAAACGCTAAGCAAGGGTGATAAAATACATAATAAACTGGCAGTCTTATGAAATGATAATTCCCATCAGATTTACTGGGTAATATTGTTTTGTGAACCTTTTAGTTTACTGGTATTTCTGGTGATTGGCATGTATAGTTGCATTCCCAAGACATGCAACCTTTGGGTTCTCAAACTAGAACATATTCACGATTTTAGGACACAACAGAAATAATTGGCAATGCTTTTGGCAATATCAAAACAGTCGAACCCAATATCTGGATTACAGTGAATTTGGTAATCGTACAATGCATGGCTATGCCAAAAGTAAAGACAATCTCTGTTCAAAGCCATAGTTTGGTTGCACTGCATGATGCAGATTATGTTTTGAAGAATCGAGTGTCCATTAAAGCCAATTTCTAACAGTCACAACGAATAGTCAATTATTATCCATTTCAAAGACAAGCCACAGCAAGATGGTGGTTCATTTACACAAATATGGTTGATTTGCATAAACTGCAGATTCTATCATTCAATCTACTATTAACACTTGATATTCAAGTGATGGCTACACAAGATTCCCGGTCAAATGGTGCCAGAACATATGATATTTGAAGCTGGCATACCCAGACTATCTACCGGAATAACTCTTGCTTGGACCAGATTTGGTTGTAGATTTATATACCAATTGGATGAATATTGGGCTTTAAGTGTGTATCACCTAGGCTGTGTTGAAGAGTAGTGAATCATCAAACGAGGCGATACTTGGAGGGGCTGAAGAATAGACCAGAGCAAGCTTATCAGATTCTAAAAAACACAGCATGAGTCGATTAAGCTCATATGATAAGCACGCTAGTCTACGCGAAGAGCAACTCCGCTTATAAATCTAACTTCTCCGCTTATCCATAGGATTGCTATAAATAGCTTGTTATTCTCGAACTAGACTTGTTTATTCTTAACTCGAAATCACACCTGTTTATTTGCTAATTAGTCTTCTCCATTGAATATGCTATTCAAGCCTGTTTCTTCAATGGCCAAGCTGTCACTCCTTCTCTTGGCAGTGGTCTCTCCCTTTACTGTCATGGCTGCTCCTTCTTTGCACAAAGCTGCCGGCACTAGTGTTCCTAACCAGTACATTATCCTGTTTAAAGACCATATGTTTGAAGAGTCTGGTAAGTTTTATAATAGGATGAACTGCTATGGGTGCAAGCTAGTTTAAACAACCCTGGCTATCCTTATTCCCTACTCAAATGACTGCTGTGGAGTGGTTCCCTGCTATATTTTATTCCTTTGCTGATCCTTTTTACCCATGCTCATCTGACTTTTGGTATACCACCTTTCTACACCTAGTCGAAAAGCATTTTGAATGGATTAAAAACCTTATCAAGCCATATCTTCCTGCCGCTCCTATCTTCTCTTTTCAGGGCGATGAAGACCGTTTGTTTGATCGCCCTGAACCCAAAGTATCGACCCTGGGCATGATGGACGAGCTTTTCGGTGTGATGCATAGATATCATATGGATGGCTTCCAGGGCTACAGTGCTCGCCTCCCTCAATTTGTTGCATCCCTTCTCAAGGTACTACTGCTTGCATTTGCTTCCTACTGTTGCTGGCTGTCTTGCACAGCTATTATGTCCAGTATGGTCATCTGTTTGTATAGCAGCATGACATCAATATGCCATGTGACTAAATGTCGACATAATGCTATGTTTGTTGGTGAGTCATCCACGCTAACATGCTTTTGTGATGATTAGGAACATGGCGACATTGCACACATTGAAGAGGACAAGGTCATGACCATCTTTGATACTCAGCCCAAGGCTCCTTCATGGGGTCTGACTCGTATTAGTTTCCGTGATCATCCCGACGCTAGTCAAAAAGTCTACTCCTACCCCAGCTCAGCAGGTACTGGCGTTAATGCTTACATTATCGATACTGGCGTGTTCATCAAGCACCCCGAGTTCGAAGGTCGTGCTCATCTAGGCAAATCCTTTACCAAAGATGGTAACAACGACGGTAATGGTCACGGTACTCACGTTGCTGGTACAATTGGATCCAAGAGCTACGGTGTTGCCAAGAATGTCACTCTGATTGCTGTTAAAGTCTTGGATAACCAGGGATCTGGAACCACCTCTGATGTGATTGCTGGAATTGACTGGGCTTCCAAGGATGCCGCTGCAAAGAATGGTAAAGACAAGCCTCTTAAATCCGTTGCCAACATGTCTCTTGGTGGTGGTGCATCGGCTGCACTGGACAAGGCTGTCAAGGCTGCTACCAAAAACGGTCTCGTGTTTGCTGTTGCTGCTGGTAACTCTGGTCGTGATGCTTGCTCTCTTTCTCCTGCTCGTGTTCCCGAAGCCATCACTGTTGCTGCATCCGACAAGAATGACAACTTGGCTAGCTTCTCTGAACGTGGCAAATGCGTTGATGTTATTGCTCCTGGAGTAGATATTACTTCTACCTGGAACAATGGCAAGATCAATACCATTTCTGGTACATCCATGGCCACTCCTCATGTCGTTGGTGTTGTTGCTCTTGCGCTTGCCGAGGGCTCTTTTACTCAAGTCAAGGCAGTTCATGACTACATTAAGCTTGTGGCTTCCAAGGATCGTATCTCTGGCGATCTTCGTGGTGCACCCAACTCCCTTTTGTACAATAACGTTATTGATGGTGGCTTCCCCGATGACGAGCCCAAGGAGCCAGAGCCTCAGCCAGAACCTGAACCTATTCCTCCTAACGAGGGCGAATGCCCTATTCCACAGTGTCTTTTTGACCCAGAATGTACATCATGCTGTGTTGATTGCCTGTGGGCTGCATTCCGTGTTTAAATCTTGGCACGACAAGGTTGAACATTCATCCTGCATTGCAGGCTGATTTTTCAAGATTCGACCTTGAACTCTGCCATGTCAATTTGATACATAGTTTTGATGCGTTTTTTACTCTTGTTAGATATATCCAATTTTAGGATGTCTAATCAATAAAATATACTGGACATATTCGATGCGTTTTTTGATTGCTGTGACAGACTATATCATTGAGCACTAGACCAAAGTCTAAAAGTTATTTTAATCAAACCAACCAGTTTATTGATATTGTATCCACAGTTGTGAGCTGTATTGGGGTTGGGCGAGTTGGAGATGAAGGATAGTTGGAGCAAAGCTATAGTGGTTGCACATGGTCCCATCTTGCTCAAAAATAAACTCGGATAGCTTGGCTAACTGTGCTTTCCGAGGGACAGTATGGACACTTGAACTTTACATTTGTATTGCTCTTGCTTAACCGCATCAACGTCTCCTTACATACTGTATGTCCACACAACATCATCATTGGTGGATTTTCTTCTGATCCAGGCTCCTTGGACACTGGACATGTGAAAACGGAATGGAATCGGTATGCGTCCACCAAAGGGATTTCAACGGGAAGTTCGCCCTGTTGGGACCATTCTAATCCAGTCTTGTCTTTCATGATAGAAGACATTTTAATGATGGTGGGGAGAGCGGTTGTGCCTGCAGTGACAGCAATAAACAATGGCGAGTCTGAAGAAAGTCCAATCAGCATACAGAAATCACGAGTAAATGTTGTTTGAATGTCTGTCCAAAGATGAGGGTTAAGCAGGCTTGCATATGGCGAAAGAGATAGCTTATTGACAAAAAGAATCGAGCACATGAGTTGCTGGATTTCTATGGATTTGCAAGAATCACAAACATGCCATTAGACAAGGTGCTGAAATTGAATCGACATAGGATGCAGCACATACCATACCTTTGAGATGTCGGGGAAACATGGGAAAGTTGGCCTTTGCATATGCTAATGCCGCATGAGGCTCAATCGACACCAGCAACTGTATAAATCGCAGTTTATGCAGTTGAAATTCCAGCAACGACCCTTGCTTCTCCAGATCTGGACGTCGTTTTGTAGCCCATTGGATAGCAGGAGTAATATCTTTACTCCTCAATGCTTCTTGGATCTGAAACATTTCAAAAAACAATGACTTGAGATGTGATGGGATCTGAACCGATCCAGCTTCGTCAGCAAACACTTGTGCCATATCAAACCTGCCCTCGCGAACAAAGTGAATAGCAAGTGCCTGGTAGATGATATCCTCTTTTTCCTGGAAAGCCTTTGGATCCCAGATCGAATCCAAGTCTGTCTTGAAGCGTTTCTCGACTACTTTGGAGTATTTGTACATGACAGACTGCATATCTTTATGTGCCTCGGTTAGTTTAGTGGACAGGTCTTTAACAGGCTTGGACAGAGCTTGCAAGTGCTTATAAACAAGTTGAGACTGTTGCTGATGTGGTTGCTGAGCAGTTGAGGCTACCAACGCTTTGGCATCTGTGAGTCGCTGTACAAGTGCATCTATGGTTGTATGCGACTCGTTCTTGAGTGTGCGTTGTCGTTTAATGACTTTTTCAAACTCTTTGGCAATAGACTCCATGGCTTTTAAAAACTGCTGCTGACGGTTGTGTTGAATAGTAAACAGAATTGGTTGTTTTCCAGGTATTATCTGGATAGTCCTGCAAACGAAACAGCAGTTGAACTTGGGGTTCTATGCCTTACAGAATAGACTTTTGATGGTTGATGTTAGGACACGACACATTTGAATCTCAAGTCTTGGCTATAAATTTGGCCCAAAACATACCCTTTTTACTCAAACTATTCTGCATTCAAATAGCATTTGTGATATACTGTTAAATCTTGCATATAGACTGGCATGTTTGTTCCAAATCTCAAATGGGGATTTCAAAAAAGCAGAGCAAAGTCTGACAAGTAAGTGACAGTGAGGGTCTATTAATCCCAACTATATCAAGCGTATCCATGGCTCTTCAATACATCTGGTTCTAAATTCAGCAACGCTGACTACTCTGTATAATGAATTCACAGTCAATACTGCTCATATGACTTAATATGTTCATTAAGCAATCCCTTATTCACACTAATCATGAATATGAGGATATTTCGCACCCATGTACACGCTCACTAAAAATGTGAATTAACATTAAATACTTTTCGACTCAACACTACACTGTATTAGCGTTCAATTTCACGGACAAGATATCAGACATGTAGTGCCATCTCCTTTATTCAACCTGTCATCTGCAAACGATCGACGTCAAGAACATACTCCTGACGAATACGAAGAAAAGACCAAAGCAAAACGAATACTAGAGCTTTGCCAAGTACATTACTAGATTAAATAGTGTTTTATGATATGTTCAAAAAACTTGTACTAAAGCATAAACCAATTCAATTTTGTTAATTTCAGGAAGGAAACATTGCTCAAGTGCGTCAATTCTGTCAACAAAATGCATATAGTATCTTCCAATCCATCAATTCGCCAATTGATGCAAATCAAAATCGTCCGCTTCATCTCACTGTATCACAAAATGATTATGCCATGACTTGCATGCTGCTCCAAAAAGGAGCAGATCCAAACGTTACCAACAAAAGCGATATCAGTCCAATTACAATTGCTAAGCGAATGAACTACTCACGTATCATTAAGCTATTGATTAAATTTGGCGCAACTCCACCCCTGACTCATGAAAAAGTATTTGGAAATGCCTCGACAGGAGATATATCCAGCCAAGAAAAAAAGCATGATGCTCAAAGCAGTCTAGTAGGACCGCCAAAAATCAATACAGATATAGGTTACAGTCACAAAACGAGTTCAGGACAACAGCAAGATGGCATTTCATTGTTTGGAATGATTCCACAGGGTTTCGATCGAGTGAGCGGGGACGTCCTATCGCCCAATACCAACAGACCAAAAAGTCTGCAATCTGCAGCTCAGATTTTTGGTGACGGTCAATCTCCAAACTCACCTACATCCAACTCAATGGGATTTGTATCTGCAATGGACTCGATTGGAATAGACGAGGATATGCAACGTCGTCATATGTTTCAAGACTCGATCGAAAGAAAATATTTTAGTATTTGCAATGCTGCTTATTTGGGGCTCAAGGAGCCGTTACTGGAAGTTGTGCGTTCTGATACCATTGATTATTTGGACGAGGCTGGATGCACAGGTTTGATGAAAGCAGCTTATAGGGGAAATCTGGATCTCGTAAAGCACCTTGTAAATCACGGCGCAAATATAAACGCCATGGATCATGATGGCAACACTCCACTAATCTGGTCCATTGTGAATGGTCACGCTCAAATTGTAAAGTATCTGGTGGAGGATGCTAAAGTAGATATTCACAATGAGAAGCAAAACCAGTTTCAAAAAAATTTGGAGGAGCCGAATTCAGATCGTTCCAATCCTCTCCTCACCCCTTTAATTGTTGCTGTGCATGGCGGATATCAAGATATTTCTGAATATCTTTTACGTCATGGTGTAGATGTCAATGAACGAGCAGGTCCAGGTCGTGGTCGTACCGCACTGATGGTTGCAGCGTGGATGCGTCGCAAAACTATTGTTCAATTGTTACTTCAATATGGTGCCCATATTGAGCCCAGTATTGACTCATGGCTTACAAAGGGTATGATCTACTTAAAAAAAGTTGCTGTAGAGCAAAATGCTTGGCTAGGGCATGCAACTTTAGAAAGCAGTCCGGCTGAAACGTCTCCACTTCGTCGTGACATGACTAGCGTTTCCACTTTTACATTAAACGCCGCTTTACTTCCTAGTGGTGGAAGTGTATCTGGAACTCCTATGCAACAACGTCGCGCAAGCTTACAAGAAAAGTTTGTATATTTTTCGCATAAAGATTCAGAGTGTGCAAGTGAGATTATGAATATTCTGCTCAACCACGGAAAATTACTTGTTAAATCAAACACAGACAATCAAATAAAAACCGAGCGGCTTCATTCAGCAAGTGTTGGCAGTACTGAGCCTTCAAGCTCGCGTCCATCGTCACTTTTAGGTACACGTGGTAATCTACAACGAAGAAGAAACAATACTTTTCGTCAAGGATTGAATCTAGATAAGATTATTGGTAACAACTCCAGTAGTGTGTTGACTCTTGCAGAGCAAATGCCCGATCGTGGGACCGAGCTGGATGGACTATGGATTGCAGTATTTCAATGTGTTGTTCAACTTGTCATAGCTGCAAACAAGAACATCAAACATCAGTACATTGCCATATCTGCCAAAGCTATTCATTGCTCCTCTGAGATTATTAGAGCAATTGAAATGATTGATAAATCATGCAATTCTGGGATCAAGAATGGAGGATCAAGCAATGCAGCCAATACCCCCGTTTCTGCATTTAGCACTATGGTAAACCAATCACCTACCGGACAAGTCAATTTAAATGCATCATGGGTTCAAGGAGCAAGTGGCACATCCAAACCTAGTGGATCTGCAGCAGTAATTCAAACTGAAGGTTCTTTGTTTTCGTATACTCCGGTACGTTCCCGTATGCGCCATTTGGCACGAATTATCAGCAATGAGTTTCCAAAGCAGTTGATGTTATCCACTAGAATGGCAATTGGCGTGTGGCCACCACCCGATGCTGTTGCAGAGATGATTCGTGAGGCGGCTGCACTGGCTGCATCTTGTCGCGATATAGTTCTTTTGGCAAACACATTGGGACACTACCCAATACTTGATAAAAACTTTGAAGTTTTAGTAAGTTTGATATTGCTTTTTATCTAGAAATATAAAGCACCATGTATTAACTGAATTTTAAATTGTCGTGTATTCTTTTAGTTTAATGCGTTTGAAGATGGACAAGATCAGGAGAGAGAGGTCAAATCTGATATAGCCGCTACGTCACAAGACAAAGACGCTCGTCCTAAAGGCGCGTTAAGCTATTCCGAGTACAAACGACAAAACGATCTCAAGCTCATTGAAGAAATGTCAAAACGCTACGACATGGGCGGTCGACAGGCTTCGCATGATGTTCTCACTCCAGAAGAAAAGTCTACAGACCTGGCGTTCTTTCAAACTCTTGATGCTCTTCTTAAACAATTTGTTGTATCAGTGGCAGAATTAAAAAATGTGCATGATCAGCATCTAAAAGAAGAATTTATCAAGGCAACATCGACGGTTCATGCAAGAGCAGACACATTAATGGAAGAAATCAATTCGTTTGAATTTTTAAAAGATTTTCCCGATGATGTTGTTATTGACCAGGAGGATGCTATCCGGTTGGAGTCTTCTGGTGTTCGGTTACCAATTACCATATTCCCGTGCCCAATCAAACCTTTCTACCTCTTGGCATTTGAAGAAGTGAAAAACTCGGCTCGACAAGTCATGGCTAAAGGAAAGATTGCTTCAGCATCGTGGCCACCACCCAACTCAGCAGCAGAGATGTTGCAAGCAACTATTCCTTGTGTGATTGCGGTAAAGAAATTGGTAATTTTGGCCAAAGAGAGCTCAGGCAAAGTGCGACAAACTCATTTAGAAGACAGACGCAAGCGTGACAATTGGAGAAAGGAATGCCTCCAAAATGAACGAGTCAAAAAGCTTTTCCAAATGTGGGAGAGTCAGTTGCTTGGGGATGAAAATCCTATATTCAAGAAACCTAGCGCGCTGCTGACAATGGATGAGCTAAAGGTGCTTGAAGATTCAACAGAGGGTCTTGTTTTGGAGGAGATGGGTGGAAAACGCCAAATAAAAGGCGGTACGCTTACAAAACTTCTCGAGGCAGCTACCGGACACGACAACAATGACGAAGATTTTACTGCGGCATTTATCCTGACTCACCATTCATTCACCACTAGCTCCGAACTGCTTGATCAGCTATTTAAACGCTACGAAATTGCTCCACCATACGGTCTTAGCCAACGTATTTTTGAAATTTATATCGACAAAAAAGTCGTACAAGTGCGTCTCAGAGTGTGTCATGTCTTGCAATATTGGATTCAAAATCATTTTGAAGAAGATTTTGTAGAGTATGATCAGTTTATTTTGCGATATCGCGATTTTGTGGAAAAAAAAGTGAAATTTGATTTCGAGCAACTCTCTATAACCATGTTAGAGGTACTTGAAAAGAAATTGGCAGAAGACTTTAAATTTCGACCAACACCTCAAATTTCAAGCGATCGTGAGAAATTGTGCCCAAAAGTCATTTTATCACAGCGATCGTTTGCAGTAGGATATCCTGTCACGGATGTGTTTGCCACGCTTGGAAGCGACCCAAAGGCATATCTAGAAGTTGATCCCCAGGAAATGGCTCGACAGCTAACACTAGTGGAATTTGAATTGTTTTCTCGAGTTAAGCCGTTTGAGTGTTTGGATCAGATTTGGGACGGGCATCGCCGCAAAGAGAATTTGGCATTAAAGGGGAGTAACTATGCCAAGCGTCAAACTAGCGGGGAAGGATCCATTTCCGAAATCTCCAGGCTAATCCAACATACCAACCAGGTATGCATCTGTTTAAAACCAAATCAATTGAATTGGCAGCACGTCACTTTAATCAGCTGTTTGATTTATTTACATGCTAACATTATAAACTGTTTTCTATTTTTGAGATATCGTTTTGGATTGCTACCAATATTGTAACTCAAGAAACACCAAAAGCTCGAATGAATATCATCAAGTACTTTGTCCAAGTTGCCATGGTAATTTTTTTGGCTGTAATAAGCACATTGGGTTGAATTTGTCAATTGATGCTAATCCTGTATGTTGATCTTTGATGCTACAAAGCACTGTCGCGAGCTAAATAACTTGACAGGAGTAACAACTATCATTGGCGCATTGTCAATGTCTCCAATTAGCCGACTTCATAAAACGTGGAAGGTAAGCCAAGGTTACGGTTGTTTAGTTTAAAAGTGGTTGATATTGATATCTGATTGCATATTGGCGGAAAACACAAATAGGTGCTAGAAGACAAGTATCTTAAGATGGCAGAAACGTACAAGGAAATAGCAGATCTAGTCAGCCCTAAATTTCAGTACGCAAACTACCGAAAGGCACTTAAAGAAATGCAGCCTCCAGCTATACCCTTTCTCGGTAAGTGATGAAAAACAGCAATTAGTTTAACTGCCTTGTATATATTTTAATAGATATAGAGCTGGTATGGTTGTATGATTTTAAAACACATTGTTAACATGATCGTTGAAATGCCACATGGCTGACTGTTTAGGTGTATATCTCACGGATCTGACATTTTTGGAGTTGGGCAATCCGGATTTTCTTCCAGATACACATTTTGTAAATTTCGACAAGCGGCGTAAAGTGTATAACTTGATTAAAGATATCCAGCGATACGCCCAAGTTCCATTTGCATTGAATCCCTTGCCTCCAGTACAAGAATTTCTGAAAAAAATTGCCGAAAGAAGAGGAACGCCTGTAGGATGGGAAGAGTTTCCTTTGTTTACTGAAGACGAACTCTATGAGCAATCGTTGATTGTTGAACCAAAAGAGCCAGAAAGCGGTAGTGACGAGGATTAAAGTAACAGCATGGATTTAAAACAGCAACGGGTGGATCACAGGCTCAGCACACTTTCTATACAACGAATTTCAATTGGATTAAAAAGTAGTTTACTATGCAAAAGCTAAAATAGAATAATAAAGACACCTGAATTTTTTATTATAGGATTTTCAAAATCGAGTACTCGATCCAAGAAGCAAAAATAGAGTTAGAAAGACGATATAGTAGAATTTTAAAAATACCTGCAGTAAACCAAAGCATCAAAAAAGTAAGTAGTTGGGCTATATTGGCAGTAGTGATGCTGACGTTGGTAATAAAATGCACTAATCAGACTTGAAGCAAGGATGTCTTTTCTTAAACAAGAGGGTGGGTTTCATTTTGGTTTTAATATATGTAGTAGAGGGGTTATGTGTGTATGTGGAGTAGTGTTATGGGCTTGTTATTTCAAAGGAAACTGCCAGCGGTAAAACCCAGAGCATGTAGAAAGGTGATAAAAGGTAGGCAACTCTTGATGATATTCATCCATATTTACTATTCAAAGTAAAAGTCAATTGCTTGGACGCGCATATGGATTATAGCTGCGATGTCCACCAATGGTTGTTCGCATCGCACCAGCTCCTGTAGAGCATAAAGACGCATCATTAGTATGACTGATTGAGTAGGGATTGTATGCTGGTCTGTATGTTTTTTCAATGTCTGGCTTGTAGCCTATGTTGGTATTTTGTGAGTAAGAGCCATTGGTGTATGTGCTATGACGATAACCTGGCTGCAGGTTGCACACTTTTGATTCGGAAACTTTAGAATAGGGAGAGATGAACGTGTCGGACGGTGGAACCATGTTGCGTGTGCCATTGTCAACTCGAACAGCGTGGCTGTCTTGAGCAATCGAAGCGGATATATAGTTGGACGATTTTAGTGCTTCAGTATTGGCAGCAGCTGCCACAGGTCGATTGGATGTACGAGTTTGATCAGGAACAGGAGCAAAAGGAGGCGATGTGGACGAAACTTGCTTAGAGGGGGACCACTGTGGACTGGTGTCTGTGACCCCAGTGGAAGGTGTTCCCGGAACAGCAGCGCTACGCGGGGAAAGCTGAGTGATAAATTTGTATATATTAATAAACAATACGAGACTATTGATCAAAATACTAGCAACTAAGATAAATGCAAGAGTCAACATACAGAATTGGTAGCAGTAACAGGACGGGGTCTACGAGAGGCAGCACGAGCAGCCCGACGTATCTTGCGCGACTTGAGCAAATCCTTAATTTTGGTCTCGCGAACAAGAGCCAATCGAGACAACTGTATATCATCAGCCGCTAATGAAATCTCCAGAGCCAAAGCTGCAATACAGTTTACAGTAGTGGATAGAAAAAACAAACAAGTAATAGCAAAAGCGACAGAATACAAACAAGTCACAGTACAATATAGGCAAAATACGCACAACAGTCAATTGACCAGCCAATCCATCAGATCAGTGTGTTTAGACCGGTTCCCAATCGCAAGTGTAGATTATGCATAATCAATATCATAAATGCACCACAAATACATATAGTACAAATATGAGTGACAAGATTTCATATTAAATAAATCAAAGCACATATTTTACACCCACAGCCAGTAGTAGACTACGGCACTCAATGGATTTAAATGGGAATAAGGATGTAGGCTAGTATGTGAACAATTTAGAGCTCAACCTTTTAGTTTCAGTAGATCGAGACCACTGCCTTGATGCCATTCTGCACCATTATCTCGAGGATCATTTCCCCGAAGAGTCAGACGAGCTGCATGAACTGCTGCCTGAGCAATATGAATGGCAGAATATCTCACAGAAAGAGTGGTGCAAAGACTAGTACATATCAGGTATACAGTCAGTAAAAGATCAATCAAATTTGACAAAAACAATATCAGGTTTAAAATTCGTGCATGAAGCGACATCAAACGTGATGTTACCGCACTCAGATCTGGCAGGTTACTTACGCTTCATCACAATAGAAAAAAGCCAATTTTTGAAGAGAAATAGAGCCTATAGTTTAAAAAACATTCACATATTAGAGGCTTGTAGTCGAATTTATCTTGGGAAATATACATCATGTAATACCTTGGTTTTTCTTAATTAGCTCCAAAGCATGGGGATGTGGCAGTTCAGGAGACATATCGTAGCACAGGAGTTGAAGAATGTGCTCTTCATGAGCCATGATTGTATTTTTCCACCGAATAAAAGTCTAAGCAGACAATAAGCACGGAGATCAATAGGGAGTCATGACAATATAATGCATACTAATTAACAGTTAATTAGAAGATTAAATTTACAAAACATACAGATGAAGTCTCGGGAATAGGAGCAAATGTTCTAGACTTTGCAGCATCATTGGCACAGACACTAATGATCTGTTCAATGTGTTTGAAATTGCGACCATCGCCTAGTTTTCCACAAATGAATATCACCGAGGAAGCAACATCATGGTACTCGCACTCTTTTAAACTTGCTCTCATATAGAACCTGTGGAGCAGGATCTTTGCTGTAGCCTGCATATCATGTGGCCTTTTAACATTTGCATAGATGGTAAATAAAAGTATCCATAGTAGAATTATACAGTGTCAGTATAATGTCAAGAAACAATTTATAGCAATAATAAAATCGAATGCAGTGAAAACATGGCTTGTCGCCACTAGTAAATAATTTTGATACAAGAGTAATGATCAAGAGTCAAGACGTAGATTAGCTTACAGTCCAAGACGACGAGCACATCTTTCAATGTAACGACATGCTCTTAAGCGAGTGTGGGTTTCAGTGCCAGTAGACCAAGAGCCAGAAATAATTGAGGGAGTGGTCAACAGTGCTCGGTCTGTGAATAACCAGGTTTTATCACTCATTTGATTGTGAGTATTAAAAGCAAGTGTAAGCAAGGATAGCTGCAGTTGGTTGTGGAGTAATATATGGTTTCAAAGCCAGAAACAAAGAATTGCCAGTGAATATGGATACTGGTCAAATAGAGTTGATGTGTAGGTAAAGAGTATTGCTAAAAGTGTTGAGCAGCACCAAACTGGACTGTTGAAAGCAAGTAATCAAGTTCCTGTCCTGCCCAATATCGACGCTAAAGGTAAAAGACGTCCCAAGTATTAACAGTAGTAGTGGCTGATAAAACCAGCAGTTATGTACTAAGCCAACACAAATGTTAGGCAATGTAGCCAGCAGGACTTGAAAAGAGTTGGATAGCAAACGTAAACTCAAAAAAATGTAAGCAACTTGAGCTTCAGTGACTGTTCCTATTTGCAGTAGTTGGTGGTAACCTCCAGTATCTTCCAGTAACTTCCAGTAGCTCTCAGTAGTTGATGGCAGTTGCTAAGAGTTGGTTCCCAGTAAGCAAACAACAGTAATCACTTGTCAATATCCAAATCAATCGACAAGAATCGTTCGTTTTGGCATTGAAAACGCATGACATGGTGGCCATTCTCTATATTTTAATCAATTCCCTATTCATTTACCGACTACACCTTTTAAATTTTTAAATTGTCATTTTATTTAGTCATATCCACAAAATGAAACCTGTGTTTATCTTGCATTGATTGCTTTCAAATAAAAAATAGTTGGCATTGTTGCATTCTCATATTGCAAATTAAATGATCCTTTAATAGATTTTTTCAAATACAGCGTCCATCAATAATCAAACTATAGTATTGGACTGGAATGATTGTGGTTGGGTAGTCATACATTGTACAGTCAATAAATTCATTGCAATCGCATATTGGGTTTGATCCTGTCAATACAACTCTACTTTTTGTATCCTACAAACTCGTATATTTGTGTTCTAGTTCAAGAGAACAATGATTGCATGGTTGTCATGCAACTATTGGTTCCATACCCATCACACAATATGTACCTGTAATAAAAGGTAAATTGAAGGTTGGACAAGTATCAAGGATATGGAATGTATTGGATTTGAAATGCATCTGTTTGGTTTGTGTTCCATCTCACGCGAATATGGCTATAAAAAGCTTGTCCAAAAAGCATAATCACCAGCACTCTTGCATATTATGATATTTGATACTGTTATGTTGTCATGAATGAAACGATTACTAAAAGTATAAAACTTGCATGCCAAGACCCATCCATGGATATCACTTTAAACACTGTATTTTATGATATTTAACACTGGACAACTACTTGAGCCATGTTGAATGCTAAAAAATAGTTTGCCATGATAAACACATCCATATACTGTCTTTGTATACAATGTGCAAGGTTGAATCTATTGGAGTGGAAATGGATAAAATTGCAGTTTAATTTATTAATACTATTAAATTGAGTAGATTCAAAAGTCTAATATCTGCGACCAAACTGACGATGTCCAAATTGATGATGTCCAAACTGTTGATGTCCAAAATGTTGATGATGCCCAAATTGTTGATGCCCAAACTGTTGATGTCCAAATTGGTGATGTCTAAATCTAGATCTACCATATCCTGGCGATCGCTTTTGAAGATCATTTCTGTGAATAGCTGGAATAACCGTGGCACTAGCCGTGGCGACGACAGCAAAAACCAAGAGAGTAGTGGGATGCATAACTGATAATAAAGGTGATTGATTTTAGTTGTAATATGGTAGAATATGGATTAAATTATTATGATGGATATACGAGCATTATTTATAGACTTTGAGTTGATTCTATTGGAATCATTACACCACAGTGTGTGTTGTATTTTTGACTAAGCTGCATTAATTCCAAGGACAGTTTACATGGCATAACTGTATAGCCTGATAGGTACTTGGTGTATTATTTGGTAGGCCATCTCGTGTTTTCAAGCAGCCAACACATTTCACTGAGTTGGTTTATTGTTGGTGTAATCCGTATTTGGATCTGCCAATACACAATTCTACAGCGCAGTATCTAAAATTCCCAGTAAATGAGTTCTATTTACAGTTACAGATGCTTATTCTCACTATTGAATGACTGCAATATGATTTCGAGACTGCACAAACGATTTTAATGTATTTTCCTGATGCTTGGCTAAATATCTCAAAATTGATGTAGTTTAACCTAAACGGAGTTTGACTGGCTAAAACTTTATCAATTCCAAAGTTGATTATTAACTGGAACACTGTCACAATCATGGAGCTACTGGCACTCGCATTTATCATTCCTGGAATTCCATTCTATCTGTTCTCTGCGTTTTGCTCTGCCTGGATATTTGCATTTGTAATACCCTTGATCATCTTTCGGGCTATTGTCATTGCTCTTCGAGGTGTAGTGAGTGCTGTGGTCCATCGCACACTCGAACCAATTTTTACAAGATGGAGAGCTCATCTTAGAGTGTGGGCAGTCAATGGAGACATCTGGTCTCATCCACCATTTTCGCCCGATATATCTTCAACAACTGCCAATGACGCTGACAGTCCATCTAAAGCCAATTTGCAATTGATGCGTGATGAACCAGAAACATCTGCAAACTCTTGTCCAGCACCAGATTCGATAGTAGATTGTAATCGACAAGATATCTCTAGCGTTGAATGCAGCCAAAATAAGGACTCTATTAAAGTACCCACCTCTTGTACAACCTCGACTAGCCTAGTCACCCCCAGATATCTTGATGGTACCCCAAAGCGATCAGATAGCTTAGAATATCAGGAGGCTCACAAGGACGAGCCTGCAATCCGTATATGGAGACGTACAGACGAAGATTCAGAAGCTATAACAATTTCTCTCGAGGCAAAGCCCAACCATTTACCCACAAATACGGTCCAACAAGATCCAGCATCCATCCCAAATTCAACCACCCAACATGAATTTCAAGACCAAAAAAACTTGGTTATGAAAGAATTGGCTACGAAGCTGGATCCAACGAGTCGTCCATGGCTGCTTCAGGCAGTCCAAATGACAGATTCTCCAATAGAAAACAGTCCAGAAACCTCGACTAATTTATTTGCAGATCTTACATTGCCAGCATTAGTAGCAGCATCCTTGTATACAGAATTGAATACGACTCAATCATTGTGTTCCATACCAGTTACGGACGACAGCGCTATGGTAACAAACGACTGTACAAGCGAAACAGGTAGTGCCGTGAGCGAGTATAGTAGCACAGCCGAGTTTACTAGTGATTCAGATTCCTCAAATCCATCCAACTTGGCATTTTTACTTAGTGCGGCAGATTCGCTCTCGCAAAAGAGTATCACAAGCGATAATCAAACCGATCCATGTGTGGCGGATGCTGGTCGAAGTTTAGCACCTAAACTGTCAAATGCATCGCTAGGAAATACCCAAGCGCGACCCTATTTATCTGTCATGCTAGTAGCTGCTTCTTGCTATAAAGAGCCAAATCCAAGCTTAGAGGGCATTTCACCACACAGTTGAATCTGTATATAGCCAGGAACTTTAGCGGTGGTGGTGATAAGTTGGATAAAAAGGATAAGCTTGTGCAAGCCAGCTGCATTCTCTTCAAAACTTATTTCAAGATAACGTGCAAATATGTTGCAAAAAATATTTATTCACGTGAATAAAATTTATACTTTCAAGATTAGCAAGCCAGTCTGTAATTGGGGATCAACTTACAGCTGTATTCACTGGAATGAAGCATTAAATAAAAGCGTGCAATACACAATCAGTCTTGTGAAATGATCATCTCCACCAAATTTACTGGCCAACATTGTGTCCTAGACTCTTTAGTTGACTGGTTTTTCTTGTGATGATCAACATGGAAATAAATGCAAACGTATCTGATTTTAGGGTACAAAGTAGGGTTTGACAGAATTGTGTAAAGAACAGTTGAATTAAAATGAATCTGGTGATTGTACAACCTGGTAAATGAGGACAATTTTAGTTCAAAACTATAATTTGTGTGAATCATGTAATGGACATTGAGTCGATTTCAAGTCAATTTCCAATAGGAAAGCACAATATTCAGCCATTCTATTCCAAGCCAATCACTGCAGAATAAATATAGAAAAGTATTTTACGTGAATACGGCGGTGAATCCAGATTCTTGGTGTATTTAATTCATCTCTCAGCTGGTTTATATTATGGAGTCTAGAGATATTAGGTCTAGAGCTTTGCTTGCCAGACTTGTTCAATTGACTGTAGTCTCGCAGTTTTATCAAGTGTTTGATGACCAGGATGCCCAATCCCAAACCGCCATTCCAAATTTTCTCAGTGCCAGTAAAGACCATGCATTGCACAGTATCAATGCTGATGATGTACTTATTCTACAATGTCTAGACTCGGATGTAAGTCTGGCTGAGGTATCTCATGAAAACATTTTTGTGGTTTATCTATACTGAAAAAATGACACTGACAAGACCTTTCAGAATATTACTGCCAAGAAAGTCGAAACATTTTCAGCCAGCAATGGTGTTGAAAATAGGCTCAATGGCGAGGCACTAGTAAGCAACAGTCAAGGTTTGAAAGAAATGACAGATGCTCAAAGTACTCTAGATTTGGCAAAATCCTCTCTCGAGCCTGACAGCCAACCCATCACAATTCCGCCGCTTGTTCAATCGTTCTGTGACTTTGTGCTGCATTTTCTTCCCACATTGGTGGATGCAGATGCTTCACAAGAGTATTTAAGCGGAATCAATTTGCATGTTATTTTGTCTTTATTGAGAAAAGTGGCTGTCGCTACACGCACAGATGTTCTCGTGAGTTGTCCATTACAAGTGTTGCTCATTATGTTGGCTTTATTTGACGTGCTCGAATATGGAATCTGATTGATTTGCATAATTGTATCTAGTTTTTGATCATGCATTATACATCTCTGGTCGTTGATATTTTCAATGACGAGTGCGATCTTGCTGCACTCTCGTCAGCAACATCAAAATCTCCCGAATCACCACATAACATTGATGAATCAAAACCGCTTCAAGATCGATATGCGCGAGACTTGCTCATTTGGCAAGGCATATACTGCCATCAACTTTCTGAAATCTCGTTTAATCCAGCCAGGCCTTTGGTTAAAACCCCGACTTTGGATGAAGCACGCATGCACAAGGCACTACGATTTATTAACGTTATACGAACCACTTTTCGATCTGCATTCAAGGCAGTACATCATATCCACAAATCAAAAGTTGCAGAAACCGAGTCAAAATCTAATAAGCATGCAACCAATTCAAATGGGTCGGACATTTCTTCTGTTCCAATTTACTGGCAACAAATTGCTCACTCGCCATCTTATCACGATTTACCATCTGCGTATGTGAATCTCATGAATTTAGTCCCTATGCTTATTGCATATATTCTTGACAACATTCTTGTAAGTAGACATTTCAACTCATGGCTGAATGATATTGTAGCATTGACTTTTTTACTGGTTTCATGGTTTTAGGATCATATGGGTCGGCTGCGTAAAATATGTTTAATTGTATCTAAACTGCCTGTATCATTTATAATCATTTCACTTCGATTTGTTAATCCGTAAGCAACATATACTATACCAATTGCAATTGGTTTTTATACACTCTGCATTTGTTATCCACATGTTTGTGAGCACAGAATTGCTGAGTGTGGTGTATATTTAATCCATATAGTGCACCACTTATTGAACGAGTTTTAAGGCTATTCCTATGGCAGCCGACACGGGACATTTACTCATTGCTTCAAAAGCTTGGTGCTCACTTGTGCGATTTTGAATCTACAACTGCAGAACTAAAGCATTACCATCATTTGATTGGCAGTCGCCGAGCATCATTAATTGAGCTTGCCTTGTCTACATCCAAACTAGTAAGCTTAGGGTCCATGTCATCTCTCCGATTCGTTTTAAAAGAATACGGAGTCGATCATCCTACTTTAAACGAACTCAGGTATGCAGCTGTATATATTCGCAAGAGGGAAAAAAAGGAGTTTATTGATGCGCTGGCTGAACCAGAAACTGCTCAACTGGTGATACACTTGGCTCGTATTTTCCCCATGATTTTAGACGATTTCCAAAAAGTGGGGTTGATATGGATCATTGATTACGATTTAGAATTGTAAATCTAAGCTTCTTTTGACTTATTCTTTTTATTGTTTTACAAACCTGTGTCATAGTACGGCGATCTGGCGTCTATTGTTGGCAAATTCTTTGAAGCACTCAAAACAACAACTGTTGCCCTACAACGATATGGTGATTACGCGTCTCGGAATGAAGATATTGTAGCACCACAGACTTCTCACACGCATCATCGTCGACCATTTCACTATAAGCCCCACTGCCGATCTGCCACACACAAATACGACGAAGCATTTGATCAATTGAATCAAGATGTAGTGAATGATATTGAAACTGCATGGCAAGGGTTTCTTCAAACTTTATTTCCTGTGCTGCACAAGCTTGGAAAGGCAGCAGTGGCTGGGGAAGACTCAATTCTTATACGCATTATAGACTGGCTTATGAACAGTATAATTGGATATGTGGCCAAGTATGACGATGAGTCGAATGCGGAGCATGTCGAAAGTGGTCCAGTACTACTAGAGCGCGTACTTGCTCGGTATACCGAGGAGGAGAAAGTAGAGTTATGGAAAGAAGTAGATGAGATGTTGGGAATGGCTTTAAAGGGTGAGGATCAGCGTTGCTGGCCCCAATTCCCAATCATGAACCAGTCTGCCATGAATTATTTCAAATCAGAACTAATTGCTCTAATGAGCGTATAAACATTTTCAAAGCTTTTAAAAAGTATAGCGCATTGTGGTAGATATGAATTTGAAACATGAGCAATCTTTAAACTGTTGCATGATACAAACTTTCAAACCATTAACTGTGCCATCAAAGTTTCTATACCAAATTGATAGCATATTCCATATCAATAATGAAAAATTGGATATAATATCATCTATCGCTCTAAGCAATGCTTGTACCATTCCTGCCTTGACATGTTGGTTTGATTTATACTTGTCCATCATAATTGGCAGAGATTGAGGAGAATTAATGGGTTCAACTTTTGTGTTTAAAAATGTCAAGTAGGGCTGAAAGAATTTGCCATGTAGCTATCAAAAATACTGATTGTACAAATAGTAGGAACCCCAATAACAACGGATGATTATAGCGATTGGCATAAAGGTGAGCAGACAAACCAAAATGCATAGGCTCAACCTTGTTCAAAAAGACGCAGATGTAGCAATCCCAACAAAGCATTTTTTGAAGTTTAATTCAGTCGTTCAAGGGAGCACCTGTGAGCTCAAAATGGTTGATTTTACAATGATAGAGAGTTTGGTCAAATCGCTATATATGTATCATTTAAAAATTTATTTGATTTGAATTTATCTGAAGATAGGGTTGAGCGAATGGTGGAATGTGCAGCGCCAGCATAAGATGGATCGGAAATGACCGATTTACGTAGATATGCTATGATGGCGTCAATTCCTAGCCGACACTCTTTTTCTGGTGGATACTCGATGGGATTGAATCGACGTCTATGATATGATCCCACATGTGCTTTATCTACAATTTGATTACACGATTTTGTATTGTAAAAGTCGTTGACGTTGGAGTTTTGAGGGAATATGCTATGCCAATCTAAAGTATTACGAATCTCGCACCGCAGGCCTAGTTTGTGCAAAACCTCGTCATCTTCATCGCTTTCGTCTGATTCATACAAATACAGATTTTCAAGGCTCGCAAGCTTGTATAGTCCACGTGGAAGAGTGTTTAAAAAATTGAATCGAAGATCCAACGTTTCAAGTGAGATTAAATCGTCCACATTTGGGATACTGGTCAAATTATTTGTATGCAACACCAGTATACGTAAGTTTTGAAGGAATTCAAATGCATTGGATGAAATGTGTTCAATGCAATTTTGAGAAACATCCAATTCAATGAGGGATTGTAGAACCCCGATGGCGGGAGGAATAGTTTTGATACAATTATTTGACAAATTCAATCGAGTAAGACTGGTCAGAAATGACATTGTAATAGGGATAATAGAGATCTGGTTATGTGAAATATTGAGAGATTTCAGACTAGTCCAATAGCCAAATAATTCTGACGGAAGCGAATCAAGTCGGTTTCCAGATATATCTAGCACTGAAAACTCATCAAATTCACAATGCGATTCTGAAGGAATAAAGGTGATCAAGTTGGTACAAATATGCAGTTGCCGTAGATTGATCAATTGCCAAATCTCGGATGGGAACTCGGCCAGTTTGTTGCCACGCAAATCTAGTATGGAGAGCAACTCGAACGTTTTTCCAAAACCATTCGGTAGGTCTTGGAGAGCATTAAACGATGCATCAAGAATCCGGAGTGATGACCGAAATAATTTGATTTCAGATGGAATATGTTCAAGGCCATTGCATGATATAAACAACGATTCAACTGCACTGCCAAGATGAGCATTACCCCAAAGCAGTGGTTCCATGCAAGGCTCATCATGAAGGCAGGGACTGCATTGAGTAGATAAATTATCCGTTGATGCATGCAAAAATGCTGATATGATTTTTTTGAGAACATTTATAGGCTTCTCATTGGGATAGTTTGCTTTCCAGTTGGCTTGTAGATCAGATAGGTTGAGTATTCCCATGTCGGATGTTTAGGTTTGAATCTGGCGTGTAATTCTGTTTAATCCAAGCTAAACCCACGTGATCACACTCTGATCTGGTAGTCTGCAATCCATGTCGCCGAGTCTCGATAGACTTGGTCATATTCAATCATCCACATAAACAAATTAAATGGATTTAGAATTTATTAAACCATCTAGTTTGTGGTATTGAACAAAAGGTATACAATCGTACTTGGTGACAGTGGAATTTCCAAAAAATAGTGTTACAATTCATGGTATAAAAACAAGCAAGCTGCTAGATACTAACACAATGAGGATCGTCTTGAACGAAAAATCATTTTTAGCTGAATTGGCGATAATTCCTGTTGGCCATTGAATTTCAATATCAATTATGCCGTCCATCAATGCACCACCAAGTCGACTGAATGTACGTTGACCATATATATCCACATTAAACTGTCGCTCTTTTGCAGACCACATGCATCCTTTTGTAGGACAAAAATCAACAACATATGCAGTCAAGCGCTGCGAGTGATTGTGTGCATTACGGATGTTCAGTGTTTGGTAGCATATTTTATCCTTGTTGCTCCCACCCCAAGAGAATTCAGACACAGCTACAGTGGGAACAATTGGCCAGACTGTTTTTGAATCAAGAGGGTTTTGAATTAGACCATGATCCTTGATAGAGTTCCATCGAGGATCGCCGCCTGGTTCTCCATTGGAGCAGCCAACACCCACATCGTTGAACTGATATCCGTTTTCAGACATTCCAGGATATCCAGGATATGGACCTATATTGCATTGTAGTAAACGGCTAATTAGTCAGCATGATTGGAACCAAGTATTCGCTAATAAAAACCATCAAAAGCTTATTTTCGCAAAATTGAATGAAACTTTCTAAAAATAATAGGCTTGACCAAAGTTACAGCCGTATTCGCGTAAAATAAACTACTAGATAAGGGTGCCAATTTCATGAAATGATAACCCACTTCAGACTCACTAGGAAATAGTGTCCTCTAAACTCTTTAGTTGACTGGTCTTTTTCCAGGTGATTGACATGGAAACAACAGTTTCATTCCTGCAATCTTGTTCTCTTGAACTAGAACGCGAATGTATCTTGATTCAGGATACAGAATAGAGTTTGGTTGGCAAGATCAAAACAGTCGAACCCAATATATGGGCTAAAACGGATTGATGATTGCACAATGCATGGCTATGCCAAAAAAGGACACGCCCAAGACTAGTTTGGTTGTGAGCATCATATAGTAGACGCTATGTTTTGGAGAATTGGGAATGTCTATTCAAGTCAATTTGTAACGAGAAAGCGCAACAAGTATTTAACTGCTGCATATTCCAAAGTAAAATAGTGACTCGATGCAGGATGAATACAAGTGTTCCATTTTTACATAAATATGGCAGCAGGTAAAAAGAGCATAGGCGGTGCTGATTGATATCAGCAACCCTACATATTGAGTGCACACATTGGGAAATGGCGTTATCAAAGCCTACCATAGTGAGTAGCATGGCCAGGAAGCCAGTCGTTTGTAGAAAAAGAAAGAGTAGATGTTTCTCCTTTCAGCTGAGTTCCGACTGTGAAAATATCTTCTGTTGATTGAGCCTCAATCGCAATAGTCAAGAAATACAAGGCGATGGCACAAGTTGCACGTTGCAGCTGTAGCGAAACCATGACTGAGCCAAATCGATAAACCGCCACAATTTATAAAGCGTTGTAGTATCACGTGTATTCACGTGATAATATGCTACGCGCCTCGAACACAATCAAGCAGCACTTGCACATCTAAACCACTGGTTTGTACATGGCAGACCATCGGGTGCCAGACATTGTCTTGCGAAACAATGCTGAAAACGCATCTTCTCGAAAACCTCGTAGTAATTCGAATTTTACCGCAATAGAAAGTAAGCAGCATCGAGCAATTTATTGACTGGTTATGCTGGCCATATGTTCTTGTTGGAATCAAGATACTGATGTATTGTCTTGCTAAAAGACCAGATTTCTTCAGAGTTGTCGGACTCGAGTGATAACAAACTACAGCATTCAATTAATCCAACTGTAGCATTGCATGCAACTTCTACACATACAGAATCAACGCATCCTGCAAATGATATGAAAAGAAACAATGCATTGAGCAATGCTTTTGTTACTGATGAGATATACGATTCAACAAAAACATTCATATCTGATCAGTTTATGTCCTCAAATGGTAGTCTTGCTGCAACCTCATCTGCTGCTCTGCTAGTTGGAGTAAACTCTGGTGATAAAATCCCATCTATCAACATTCATACTGCAAAATACCAGATTTCTACATTGGATTCTAAACCAAGCCTATCATCAAGAATCAATGCATCTACACCTGAACCATATTCCTCTTCAATCCAACAGCCTCAAATACTGGACCTTCGTACCTCTTCTCAATCGACTCCATTAACATATGCACTTGGTTCAGATCTTTTATCAGCAACGCCATCATATGCTCATCCCATCGCCAACGAACCTGGGCTAACAATAAAAGGATTGTATGAATACATAAAAAGCGAGCTTACTAGTTCAGATTTTGATGAGAGTCAGGATTTTAAGACTGAACGAATTCGCAACTTTCTTAATGTTCCTCGCGAGTTGGAAAAGGTGAGAATGTCATGTCGTGATTACAAACTTTAGTATATTTTACAAATCTAATTGGATTTAAATACAATGCAGTTTATGTACTTGGGATACCTTATTTGTCTCGACTCTTTTCTCTATATATTCACAATACTTCCCATGCGTGTACTGATTGCATCATGGTGGTTGATATGCTGGTGCTTTGGGTAAGACTGCTTTTAACAAGAATGATAAAGATTGGCTTTATTTGTACTATTCTAATTTATCTATGCAAACGATCAGTGGCAAAAAAATGAAACCAGCACAAAAAACGGATTTGATAAAAGGTGCACTAGTTTTTATTTGTACATACATTTTGCATTATTTCGATGCATCACGGCTGTATCACTCTGTTCGAGGCCAGGCACTAATCAAGCTCTATGTGATCTTTAATGTTCTTGAGGTGAGTTTTCGTGCCTTTAAAACAACTGCATTGCTATAGGTCACTATTTTGATTAGAGTTTATTAATATCTCACACTTTTGCCATTTTTGATGCATGCATGTACATACTGCGCTTGACTATTAGATTTGCGATAAACTATGCAGTGCATTTGGTCATGATATTCTAGACTCGCTGTTTTCATTGTCGCATTCTCGTAAAAAATCTGCTGCTGCAACAAGAAGAATAAGCAGATTTACACACTTTATAGTTGCAGTCTTGTATATATTTGCACATTCACTTGTTCTGTTTTACCAAGTCATGACCCTGAACGTTGCCGTCAATTCGTTCAACAATGCACTCATGACTTTGTTACTAAGCAATCAGTTTGTGGAAATTAAAGGAAGCGTATTCAAGCGATTTGAAAGAGAAAATCTATTTCAGTTGAGCTGCAGCGGTAATTACAATCATAAAAACTGATTTGGATTTGGATTTGTTTAGATTGCATTGTAATACACAGCAGTTTCTAACACGCTATGTTTATAGATATTGTTGAGCGATTTCAGCTTTCTGTCTTTCTCATCATTATTGGAATTAGAAATTTCATTGAGCTTGTTGGTGGAGAAACCATTGCGTCTTTTCCAACCTATATCTATGAGGTGTATAAAAGCATGCCATCCATTTTGTGGATATCCGAAAAAGTAATGCTGCTTTTTCCAAAAAAAATTCCCACAGATCCAACACAGGTTTGGACAGACTTTCAGGTACTGGTCGCTAGCACAAATCATATTATTACGCGAGTGCTGTCTTTACAAGAGTACAAGCTTGTCGAAACCATTCTTGGGCCAATTGTAATTGTATATCTTACTGAAATCTTGGTCGATTGGCTAAAGCATGCATTCATTACCAAATTTAATGGAATATCACCAACCGTATACGAGCGCTATCGTAACAGCCTTTGTCGAGATTTGCTGGGTGGTGGGAAAAAAATTGCGCATGTTTTAGAGGATGAAACAATGAAAATGGTAATGAAATGATGCTGCTATCACTGCTAAAGTATTACTTAATATGTATATCTGTAACAGACTTATACTTGAGCTGCGATAGAATACTTACTTGCTGTGCTGAATTTCTTTGTTTAATCTTTTAGTCATCTGTTGATCGTTCTCCAATTGTTGCTCGTCGCATTGGATTTGTATCCATCCCTTTGGCTTGTTTGGTTATTAGAGTTGCAATTCAGACCATGCAAATGATTTCAATTCATAGCAAAGCGCAAGATACGTTTATGCCAGAACCAATGACTAATAATAGCAATGATGACGGCATAGTTGGCTGGCAAATTCCATTCACAATACCACCGTGGCTTAATTCAGAAGGATTTTCACTGTTGCTGAGTCGCTTTTCAATCTTCGACTCTCTGTTATGGGCTATACCGCTCTATTTTGCGTATGTTATCTCGAGTGTAGTTTTTTATTGATGACATTTTTGTTTGGTTTAGAAATTTCTAATTTTACAACTATTTTCTTAGACTCGTCATTTTTAAACTTTGTCTTGGGCTGCATTTGCTACGTTTGGCAAAGCTTAGGCTTGATAGTGCATCAGTCGATATGGCGGCTGGTAGATCATCCTTTTCTACTACTCCTATTGCAAATGCAGATATGTTGTCTAAATTTCCTACACTTGGTTCACGTCTTCGAAACGAATCCATTATATCCAAAGGAACTCCAGTTGCGATGACCAGTACTGATATCCCGATTGTAGCTGACCCGATTTCTGGCACTTTACGTAAAGCCAGTGCTAGTATTATACCAACTGCATCACAGCCGATACGAAAATCTGTCGACTCCACCGCAACACGTCGTTTAGTAGAATCTGTTCATCAGCTTGAAGATACCCCTACAGCCTATAATCATGCCTTTTCTAAAGAACTTGCACCATCTACTTTAAAAGATACTGAGCAAGCTAGCAACGACAATCAGCAGAACGAATCTGCTCTGACTTCTTTAGGGTCGTCTAGTTTGTCATTGGAGTCGTTGGAGTCATTGCAAAATGACACAGAAATTACATCCAATTTGATCACTCCACTTTCGCCTGGAATCAATGAGGACAAACTTGACAAAATTGATAGGTTTACCATGGTCAAGAGTCGTATTGTATGATTTAGCTTTTTGTAACCGTGTAAAATATGATTCCTGTTTCCACTATTTAGGATGAATAAAGCTATAAAACGCCATTTGTTTATTGATTGCGTGAATGTGCTCGACTTTATTCTTTCAACTCTGCTATACCAATTTTAAATGTTCCAGTCGCCTCTTTGCATCGTGAAATGAAATATTTTTAAATGTCTTTGCCGATGGTTTAGGCATATGATTACGGCTAGGTGCCAATGAAGATGCTTGGGAACAGCCAGATTTAGGATTTCCTCCCGGTGATGGAATGAATATTGCCACTCTCGTTGTGGAAGGCTTTTTTGTACATGATAAGTTGTTTTCTTTTGAATAAAGTGGCGGTAGACTGCGTTCGTCAAATGCACCAGAAAGTACATCATCGTCTGCAACCTCGGCATTAGTTTCTCGAGCTGTGTTATTAGCGGACCAAATCCTATAAGATCTTGAATGGAGTGCACTAGATTCGCCTGCTGTGGGATGGATGGAATTTTCAAAATTTTGCAAATTAGAGATATTATTCCCTTTAACATATCCATTGCGCCAATCTGTTGATTGAGTACTTTCGTTGGTATAAGATTTAGATGTTGCAGCTGCCGTGGCGATTCTAGCAAACAGCTCACGATTATCAAATTCAGTCCCCGAGCTTCGCGTTTGTTGAAACCGCCATTGATCATCATTCAATGTCCAAGCCAAGTTGGTAGTGTTTGGTCTAGCCATTGGTAAAATACCATTCACACTGAGCTGTTGCTTGTTATAGAATTTGGTTCGCTCCATATGTTCGTGGTCAAACAACATTCGAATACTTTCAAATCGTTTGGCAATGATTTGACATTGAGATCGCCAATGTCTTGCATGTCTTTGTTCTTCTGCAAGCACATCAATACAGGCACATAACGATGCTGTAATCTCGTTCATTTGACTTTGCAGTTTTTTGATGTATGATTCACGCGCTGAGGCTTCAACAAGTTTATTAGTGTGCGTGTTCATCATAAATGTAAGAGACTCCACATGTTTGGATGCCTTGCGTACAAGATCATTTAGCTCTTTTGGATGGTATTCTGTTGTAGTCAACGTGCTTGGTTTTCCTTTACGTACATCAGTGTATGGATTGACTCTGCAACAATCAAGGCGTATGTGAGTAAAATCGACTTGAATACAGGATGGGTTTAAATTCTGCTTAAATTGATATATTCACATTCAAACATATAATAATGCACCTACTTTGTCAATTTTTTCTTGTCGATTTTTTTTTCAAGCCCAACTCCTAATGTAGTTGGTGCACCGTGCATTTTGCCTACGGACAACAAATCTGCCATGTATTGTATTGTTTCTTTGTCAAGGCGAGCATAAAAACTACTTGAATCTGGATATATTTGTAATACATAAAAACGGCAATGATTTGAATATTTTGGTAAAAAATAAACAACACCCAAATCATACCTTTTTCATCATTTTCCTCTGCATTTGGGGGTGTCGGCTGGTTATTGGACTGGGATAAGCAATTATGGTTGTCAGCATTTGGTTTGATTTCCACATCTAAATTGCTTGTATGAGTAACTTTTGAACTCATTACTTTTAGCTCTGCTAGTGCAGATTCAACAATTGCATCATGATCAAAGAATTCTCGTTCCACAGCTTCAATCCGTCTTTCGCGATTGACATGACCAGGTCTGAGCTTTCTTTCTGTGGTTGATGATCTTTGTATTGGCATATCAGACTGATTAGGTTTATTCATATTTTGAAATGATGAATCAGCCGATGTTTTAGTATCTTCGTTGATGGCAAGTTTTTTATAATCAGACAACTGCTCATTAGCTTTATCGAGCAGCTTTATTAGATCCTTGCGAGTTTGAACAGCAATCTGGTTTTCTCGTGTTAAATTGTTGTTGTTGTGTATTAGATCATTGTTGTGCTTTTGTAAACGGTCCAGTCGACGTCCAAGTTCAGTAATAACTTGTGCTTGAATTTTTGTTTTTATCTCTAGTCCATAATTCACTGTATCATTTGGCTGGACACGCTGTGGCTCAAGATTTTCAGTCAGGCTAATAAAAGTAAAACTCTGTGGTCGATTCGTTTCTTTTTCAGGGTTTTTAGTATCTGATTGAGATCCTGCGACTATACTTGGTGAAACCTGTCCTTCATTTTTATCTGCTGGTTCAGTTGGGTGGGCCAGTTTTATTTGTAGCTTATCCAGCACGCCATCAAGTAGTTCAGCCAAATCAATATGTGTAAACGATTCTACAGATGGCTGTAAATTGGCGTTTTTTCCAGAACTTAATCTCTGCACAACTCCCCCAATGATTGGCTCTATATTTACGGATGGAAACTCTTGGGTAGTTTGCAGAGATTGAGACCGTGGCTTAGGTAGTGCAATAATAGACGATCTGCTATTTGGAGCTATCTGTCCATATTTGAATCGGCGAGTAAAGTGATACTCTCCAGCTGTGCTAGATGATTCTAAATCCACATTAGTTTCAGCAATGGAGGAATCTATTCTTTCTTCTTGTAACGGATCCAGGTTTGATAGGTCAGATTCATTGTCCGTATCCTTGTTTCGATCTGACTCGAGGTTTGCTGTTAGGAACGTACCAGAAAGTAAAGGCCGACCAAGTTTGTTGCTGAATTCACCTCGCCATTGGTCTGCTTTTTCACTCATAGTATTCATTGATCTATTATCTACATCAGATTGGCTTTGCTCCAGAGTAGATGCTTTTGAAACACTATTCAATTTGGTGGACGCTAGGTTTTTTGTATTAGGCTTTATAGTGGAGTGTGACGACATGCCGATCTAGATTCAATAGTAGTATAAAAAGTGTTGATAATATAGTCGGATTCACGTAAAATGGAACTTGTATTTATCTGCAGTCGCCGACTCTTGTTTCAGAATAAACAATGATCAATACTCGTTGCGTGTTTCCACTACACATTGATTGTTTATTCAATACATTTTCAGTTTTTCCTCAGTGTCTGGAATCGCATGTTATATAAAACTACTTTTATTAAAGTAGCTGTGCAAGGTTTAGGAATGGACAATATGATGCTCAATATATCACGATATTACTATTTGTTTCAGTTGACAAGCCATATTTAATCTGTGGCTTTGCCAAGGAGTTCAAAGAGCACAATGTTTAGTGAATGGACAACAATCATGTCATGAGATGGGTTACACTTTTATTCGTGTTATATTTTGCATGAATAGAACGATGACACGATGACCGACTAATGAGGTTACCACGTGTAGCCGATATGAGTTGTCCCGAGTTACCAAGTTACACTAGTGCAGTACTAAGGAATGCATTCGACTTTCAATAAACACTAATTTTATCAATGCATTCGACTTTCAATGCAACTGGCTTTTACACACATGTTTGACTAGTAATAAATATGACTTGTTTCAGATTCTAATACGGTTTCGAATGCGGATGGAATCGGGATTTGGCTTGCTCCGTTGTGTTCTTGATTTGATTTGATGCAAATTGCATTTTTCGATATACGAGATAACATTGCATTCGACCATACCATATATGCTAGAGCCGCCACCACTTACTCCAGTACATTCCTTAAACCTTTTTACTAAAACAAAGCGTATGGAGTCTCATCCACTCTTGTCACCAGCAACATCTTTCCTCATGCCCTTGAGTCGAACTCTAACCACTTCTAGCTTATTGGGCGATAGCAAACAAGCGTGGGGATATCCAAGCTGGATAGAAAGCGCATTGAAGCCATCTACTTCTCCCACTATAGCTCTTGATAGGTCACCCTCGTCAGCATCGCTATCCAGACTGTCCCAGGCTAGCGCAACACATGACAGTGACGACAATTACACTCCTGCTGCACGTTCCAACTCAGTAGACCACTCAAAACTAATACTCCGCAAGTCAGTCACGAATATGATGCAAGGCATTCGTTTCTCTCGTGTTCTCACTGAAGTCAATCTAAGCACAACATCAACTCAACCCAAAGACCAGTCGCTTACTCATGATTATCGAGCAAATGGTGCATCTGCTATTAAAACAGTCAACAATTTAAATGCAAGGGATATCAAGCTACTCGTATGTATGGGCGACTCGCTCCTCACTGGACTATGTGTTACTGCTCATCCCGCCAATTTCAAAAACAAAATCCTAGCAGCAATCTCGTTGAAAGGATCACACAAACAAATCGTACCTTGGATGGTTTCTGGTGAACATCGCAATAATACATGTATATCTGGTGGAGGAGAAGGTGTTGTATCTGTAGGTCGACTTCTCAAGGTTTTTTCTCCTGGCATTGTTGGGTTAACTCTGCACAAAACATATTTATTTTCAAGAGGCTCTGGATTCAACTTTGCTAGAACAGGAAGCAAGGTCGAGTCGATTGATGAGCAGGTGCTTCGGTTTGTCAATAAGCTTCGTCGGCCAGCGTTTTGTGCACTAGAGTCTGAATGGAAACTGATCTTTATATGGATTGGCGCTAATGATGTTTTTAGTACATCTAGTGACAAAATCGCCGATAATTTTGAACCCAAACTAGTTGGTGCGCTACAAACACTCAAGTCATTAATATCTCGAGCATATGTATGTGTACTAACTCTGCCAGCACTTGACAAGGCACACAAACTGATCAATTCCAAAAAACGTCACGCTTTGATTACTGCCAGATGCAACTTGGTCAATTCCTGTATTCGACGCGCAGTTTCAAACTATGAATGGAATGATACAGATACCTTTAAAGTCATTCTCCAGCCCATCCCTGCAGATGAAATAGAGAATGAACAACATCAGTCGTTTATATCTGAGCTAGATCACATCCATCCCAACTATCTTGCTCAGCAGCTGTTTGCCAAATGCATTTGGAACAACTTGTGGCTCCCACCTAATCAAAAGCTTTATAAAATTGCAGATGTAGTTGAGGCTTTATGGGCCAAGCCATCTCCTGACGATATTTTAGCATAATCTAAGTTTATTCAAATTAAATTGTATTTCTAACTAGGCTACAAAAATAAATCCATACACTGATAAACTGTTTAGAATATCCATAGCAATGAATTGCAAGAGAAAACTCAACACCCGGAGCATAATTGGAAAATACTGCGGTATTGTATACCATGGAGTTGACTGCTGCCAAGTCGGTGAATGGAATGTTGAGAGGAAACCCATGCATTTTGTAGATATTTCCTATGGATGACAGTTCATTGGACGACTCGAGTATTCCGCTGATTGGAATGCCACTTGTTATTGCTGGCTCAAATCGCATTAAAAGCGACTTGAATGTTCTGCTACACATTCTATATATTTGTAATTATGCATTTTTAGTATTGATCAGCAAATATACTTGTGCTACATGCTGAAATTGTATTCTATGAACATTAGGCTGTAAAAGTCAATGCCATTAGATATAGGATTACCTGTTCCAACGAGTTACGCGTCCCTTTCTCCACTCTTCTACATTTGAAACAATGGCAGACTCCATAGCAAGCTCAAGGTCTGCCAAGAATCCTGGTGATACGTTAGGGAATTGAACCCGTGATGGCTAAAGATTCAAAACATTGCAAGACGTGCATAATGCCATTAGTTTGTGTAGCCCTATCGGTATGAGTATATGGATCGTTAATCTGACAAGTTTACCTGAACACTCTTGATATTATCGCGCTGAAAGTGTGTACCAAAAAATGGTTTCCAATTTTTAAGGTCTTGCAAGCAAAAATGAGTTTTTTGTGGAGTTGCAACTGGTTGGATGTTTGCCCATATCTACATGTTCAAGTACATAGGATTGATAGAGTAGTAAAAATATTAGTTGATGTAGTAAAGCTATAGCTACTATGATACAAGCAAGGCTTACATTTTCATGATTGAAAACACATCCAATTTCTTTAAGAGGGATATGTGGATCCTGTAGATTGTGTTCCTCCCCAGTCACAGGATGTATAATAAGCCATTCCTGTACATTTACTTTAGTGTTTGAAAATGAGCGTAGAGGTTCTACTGGATTTTCGACTTTTACTATAAGTGGTGTTGTTGAATATAACCCATCTTTTGGGTATGTACAAGATTCACCAGCAGGTATATCGGATTTTTGCTTTATCATGACATATGCAGTCATACCCTCTGGTATTCCACGACCAAGGACAACAAAAGTATCGTGTCCTCGTGCCAGTAAAAAGTTGCACAACAAAATAGCATGTTCGATCCCATTAGCTGCTCCCACTTGAATGATTTCCTGTGCATTGGATATCAATGGACATTCGCATCCAAAGGCTGTGCGATTAGGCAAATAAGGGATCATTGATACAAATCTTCGAAGATGGGCTATAGTTGGGAGTGTAGCTGGTGGCTCTTGGGGTCGAATAAACCGACAAATCAGCCTTGTTTTCCCTTGTAAATCAAGGGAAGTTGACATGACCACTCGCTTAAAGGGTTCTAAAGCCAAAAGCCACTGTGACGAGTATTTTAGCATGTGTGGGGTTTCTTCCGATTGAAATCGAAGCTTGAGTGTATGTGGTTGTAGGAGAGGGGGATCTAAAGTAATAAATAAGTGTAATAGCGGTTCTTCACCAGCTTGAATTCCCGGAATATTGATAGATTCTACTGTCCTAGTTGTATATCCTAGGGACTGTGCTGGAAGACTCATTTTGAACTTTCCGTCAATCTACAAATGCAGACTTTCTGTCAACAAACCGACAAAATTGTGCCAATGTAAACAAATTTACAAGTTAAAATGTATAAACGTACCCGAATCTGCTCCCAAATTGTCGAAAATGGAATTTGCAATGAGCCAAGCCAACTACGTTCTTTTCGATGATGGATACTAGTGGCTCGCTCACGCTCATCCTGTATCATATCAATCAGAATTTCATCAAAAAGATTAATGTATAGCATCTCGGTTCCAATATCCGTTTCACATAATGCTTCTGGTCGAAAATCGTTATCAGGAGCATCGACATCAAGCTCAATTGTTTCGTTCCATTGTGGGTTCGGTCCATTAGCTATTGCTGTGCAAAGCTTATGCTGCTGAAATGAAATTTCTACAAATGGAGAAACGTACTGTATTTCAAGAAAATAGCTAAAGTCAGTTTGGTCTATATTAACTAATGGGCTCAATGTCGTGTTGGTTACCTCTGGAATAGTTGAGCCAGTATGTTTTGGATTTGCATTTTTCATGTATCCAAGTGTCGATTTTCTGATGGGCAAGTTGAATCCCTCCAGCACCTGCACGACAATTCGGCATGAATCGGGACTTGTAGTAGCAACGTTTGTTCGATTTACTCTAGAAGGATTCAATGGACGCTTGAGAGCAAACAGCATTTCAAATGGGTTTTGCTGTTCTTGTGAAGTAACTAATTGTTCTTCTCGAACAAAGTCGCTCACTGATATCGGCCGTGCGAGTTTGGCTTTCCTGACCAATTGTAGCTCGCGGACTCGCTTTAGGAATCCAGCACTAAACGCTCTGTCAATTGATGGAAATACAGCTGAACTCGATAGCTTATTTATTTCAGAAACAATCGCACTCTTACTACGGACAGATACCTATTTACAAACAATTAACAAATAATTCATACTATTGTCTAGTGTAACTTGAATTTATACAGCACTTACATTTTCAGGATCAATCACTTGATACATGTCTTCATTGATATCATCGCTAGAAATAGGCATAGGCTCTTTCATGTAAATTTCTTTTCGATATCTAGCTTGTAATAGCTCGAGTCTTTTTTGGTTTGAAAGTTCATATTCTGACTGGAATTGTATAACAATGTTGGGTAGAATTAGCTGCAATGCACGCAGGCATTGGGTTAAAATGCATCATAGGTTCTTACCCCGATATATAAAGTAAGACGGTGGAGCCATGCTGGAAGACCAAGACGCATGCAATTTCTTGATTTCCAGTACTCTTTGAAGGATATGGCAGATGCATCATCTGGTCCTGAGACCGACTGAACCAAAGCCTTTAATTTTAAAATATCTCCATTACGTGGATCGTTTGGATCTACTTTCATATCCACTACATATTCCTACAATTAAAATAGGGTTAGTTTGTACAGGTATCATGGCTATATTAAAAACAGTATTCGAATGTTTGATCAATGTGAATCTACCATGAATCTAGGAAGATTTAATAATCCTGGCGGCCCGTGTGCATTAGTCAAATCCAAGCACTGTTGATGCTGAATTCTGCAATCAGTATTTCAAAAACCAATGAGTCATGTGCATTGCATATCATCATGAATCATGGCATTTATAAAGTCAAAATATTCATGTAAACGTACTTTGGAGGATTGGTATTACTACAAGACCCATATATTGACCATGCCGCACTCATTTGAAGGGACCCAGAAATCCAATGTTCCTTTATGTGCTCACCCAGTTCCCGCGTATCACGGTTGAATGGCCGTCCAGAAAACTGTAAAGTACGCAACTCTCTATCCAATGACTCGGCACGATCATTCAATAAGGGAATAGGCACATGCACCTCACCAGCAAATACATCACCAAATACACCAGTTTCAAATACTTCGACTCTCATAGTACGAGGTGCCTCTAACACTTTAATTCCAAATGCACTCTTAGTGTCTGTTGGGTTAATTGCGTGGTGTGGCAAATGCTTAACAAGTTGGTTGGCTTCGCTCAAATCTTCAATGCCATTAAAATGGATTGAAAATGAATTTGGGTCTATGGGTTTTGCTACTGTTCGCATGACCTCTTTATCGTTGTAAAAATATCTGAGATAGATATATGTGGCATCTACTTCGCGACGACGAAGCACCTCTGTTTTGGAACACTCGATGGAATCAGAAGTATTATGGCTGTAGTCTTGTATAAATGATAGTATTGGTGATCCAGGCGGACGCCTACTTGCCTGCAGTCGCTTTAAAATACCAACTTTAAGTCTCTTGGCGTGGAATTTTTTTGGCTTTAGTTCGGTTGGCAATTCAAGCATGCTGGACCTGTCTTGTATAATACTATCCTTTTTTGCTGTCAATTTTTGCTTGGAGTTTTCCTGATTGTCTAAAACAAATGGAATTTTAAGCAAACGATACATTTGATTGAGTTGCTTGCAAACAGCTTCCAGATTTGACCTCGATTGACTAAATCAATCTAACCATAATTGTAAATAAATACCTGCAGATTCGTTCATATCTAGCATTTTTTCTTGAGTTATTTGATCTCTAGTAATTAGCATGTTTAAATTAATTGGTTTTCAAACTAAAAGATTGAATTCGTATGTGACGCTTAGGCAATTCCAGAAACTCTGCTTTAGTCTTACCGATTCAATAAACTGCTTCTTGGGGATTCAGAAAATGTGATTTCAGCCAAATCCTTTGCTTCTGGATTTAGTTTAAAACATTATTGCGCGTAACATTAATAAGCAGTTGATTTTGGGCTGAAAATATAACAATATAGTGGATTTTAATATATATCAACCAATACCTATATTGATTCGAGATATTTTCTGAGATACATCATTAGATTTCAATACAGAAAAAGATGATTGTTTTTTAAATTCATGCTCGTACGCTCGTTTCCGCCTTTGATATGCAATGTCGTGTAAATCCTGCAGTTCTGATAGCTCGCGTTCTACTTCCTGATCCAAATCATTTTTATCCTACATACAGCTATAATCAGCATATTATAGATAAATCAAAGACTTTTTATCAGTTTGAAAATGAGTAAACAATGACAAATACTATACTTGATGTGCAATTGTGCTTCGAACCACAATTTTGAGACTCAAAGGTGTACTTGAAAAGTTGTTTGTAGCTCGTAAATGTTTAAGGTCTTGCCAAGTTTTAAGAATACGAAACTCCAACAATCGATCTGTCTGTGCCTCTGCATCCTACATATCCACACAGTATTTCAAACCATCTTAGTCATTGCATCATACCTAAATGAACAGTTTAATCATAAATGATTACTCTTAGCAGTCGCGTGGCTTGAATGTCTTGTAAAAGATTGTATCGAACAGTTTCATCGTGGATACGAGCCTTGCGTACTTGTTCCTTTTGACCCTTTCCACGCAGACGTGATAGAATCATATCTTTGCTATTTGATTGTGAAAGTGAAGTTTGCAAGTTGTCCGAGTCATAATAGGACTGATTTTTTTGATCATGCTTTTCTATGTTTGATGTTTCTGCTGATCGAGCAATGAGATCAGAGAATGGGCTAGTGAGTTTAAACTCGTCATACTCGTTGCACAATACCTGTGTAATTCATCAAAACCAATCATTAAATCCATGCACAGTGAAAATATGTTTACTTGCACAAAAACTGCTGTAAATACCTTTAGTTTTGAAGTAAGAAACTCTACTATATTTGCACTCTTTCTTTCACGCATAATGCAGATGATGTTCATGATTTCATTGGAAAGACGTAGTTCCTCGGACATTAGTGGATGCTCATGAAATTTTAATGATACTAAATCCACAATAAGAAGATACTCTGCAGCTGATTGTGATAGTTGATGCGGTTGATTAGATACAATAGTGGGCATTTGGCGATCAAAATACAAGCCATTAGAGGTGTTGAGGCTAAACAATGATTCGTTGCTGTCAGTCTCGAATACCATTTTTTTGACTGAAAATACAGACCGGTGTGGTCTGTAATGGATGTACTGCATTGGATCTGATTCAATTACAACTTGTCGTGTAGATCCTAGCCATTTTTCTCCACTAATAATCAATTTAAAAAGTTGAGATTTAATAGTACAACAAAACATGAATTGTTCCATTATGCAATTGAGATTTTTACTTGTTTTCTTCGCTTGCTTCTAGCCGTCTACAAAGTGTTTTAACATTTGATGCGTGCATATAGGGCGGTGTGCCAACATACAATCCCTCATCTTCTGGTATTCGAATTCGCTTGATATTTGTTTCAAAAATCATTGGTATAATTAGTTTAATGTTTTAAATAGCTAAATATTGGATTTTAGATATGCTGACAAGTGTGCTTACTTCTAACCATGTTGGTGGTAATTTAAAAGGATGTGTCAGAGGATAAAAAATCATTTTTGCTTCCTAAAACCCACATCATAATGTTAAACATAGTCACAATGTGCACAGTGATGGTCTAAATACTAACCTCTTGTATAATTAGCTTCCAGTTTGGAATCCATTTCTTCAGCTCAACATAATTTACAACATCAACTGTAGTCTCTTCTAAAAACTGTTTGACATCTATGCAAACCAACTATTATTTCAAGTTTCAAATTTAACGTATACATGATAAATGCGGTATACTTGAATACCTTGGTCTTTCATGGGCTCCTGATCTTGATCATCTTCATACTTTTTCTTGGCGCGCCTTTTGCCTTTTTTCGACTTTTTGGATTCGGTTTGCTTAGGTTGTGCATTAGCAAGAGTTTCAATACGAGATGAATGAGAAAATGAATCATTTAGCATCACCAAAGACGATTTTTTTGTAATGGAGAGTGCATCAGATTCAGACGATGGCTTTGTCAGACTTGGTTTTGATTTGTAAATCGAAGCGAAACGTGCTTCTACTGTAGTTGGTGAGGATGGTTTAGATGGCCATGGTATTGTAGATGGATCGTATGTTAGACTTTGACGATATGATGATGTATTGTTGGATAAAGCGGGACTTTTTTCATGTCCAGTAAACTAATTTGCATTGAATTTGAGCACATACGAAACACCAGTTTTAGTAGTTTATTATATTGGCAAGGTACTTTATACAGAATCAGTGTATCTTGTGACAGCAAGCATGTACAATATTCAATGGATTACCGTTGATACAATTGGTGATATCTGCTCATGTTTTGATTCCTGAGCAGCCTGCAATTAATTAAGAATAACATCGAGTCAATGCCATTGTACACGATAGTGTTTCTGAATTCAAGATGCTTAACAATACTCAAAAAATATTGGCATTGAACTGTAGTGACGTTTAAAAAAGTATATCAATAAACTCTATACAACAACGGTACCTTTTGAGATGTATTTAATACAGTTTCTATCTTGAAAGTCGATGGTGTAGATCCATGTTTAATATGAGCCAAGTGAGTTGGTTGTACTCGCGCAGATGCAATTCCAAGCAATGCGTTGAGCTCTCTTCGCTCCTTAATTCTTTTCTTTGCTCTTTCAAGGACAGCTGCATGCTCAGAATTTGGTGTAGCACTAAGAGTACTAGACATGCTTGATGTATGTGCAACGATAGTTTGTTTCGCGACGTGAAACTTGGATTCAACGCAATTGCCAATAATTGACTTGGGCAAACAATAGATGGCGAAATTCTCATTAATAAGATTCGAATGAATTGCCAAACTCGAGATTTCCAACATTACAAAAACATCATGATTGTTTCTGCAGGTCTTGGATATGGCGGCACGACATTGGGTAGAGTATTTAGTTCTGCTAGTCAGAGTATATGGTGCAAACCCAATACACTGAACCATATAGGCTTGCCAATCTGCCTAGTCCGACTTGAATCGACCAGAACATTAACTACCAATCAAGCCACAGCTGTATCGTCCACTCTAGTTCCTCCAATAATATCAGCAAAATGGCTTTCTGATGCACTTTCTAACAACTCCAAAAATATAGTGGTACTTGATGTATCTTGGCATTTTGAAGAACCAGAGGATTTTCGGGCAACAAATAAAGGACTTTTTGGTTTATTTCGTAAAGAACCCAATACTCCTTTGGCACCACCTCGACTGTTGCCAAAACTAGAGTTTGAGAAACAGCATATCAAGGTTTGGAGATTCATGAATGATCGAGTTATGCAATAAAACCTTTGGATCACTGGTGCAAGGAACGCTGCTGATCTTTTCAAATTTGTATGCATGTTAGGGTGCAAGATTTGCTGGACTTGCTTCATTCACGGATCAACTATCTACATTACCCAATACGGTAATGTATGAGCATGAATTTTCCAAGAAAATGGGTAAGCATTTAATAATGTATTCATGTAAAATGCAACATTATCTTGCGGTGATTGCCTCTATTCTACTTTATAATGGACAATGATTAACGAGTCCAAAAAACAGTGTTCAGTAAATTTGGTGGAAACTGATATCCATCATTTCATGAGATTGGCTGTTTATCATGTACTTTGGCACCTTTAGTGCTTGCTTGATGTGAATCCGTGTGTAATAATATTATTCAAGCTTTGATCAAATTTAAACATTACATTGCTTTATAATTTAGGACACCTTGGTATTACTCCTGAAGATCACGTTGTGGTGTATGACAGCACAGGCACATACTCGTCACCTCGTGCATGGTGGACTCTCAAGGTACCATTTGTTTTAGTTGAATCAGTATACTATTTGCACAAGAATTTCAGCCGTATTCATGTAAAATGGAGCATTTGTATTTATCTCGCAGTCATTGTCTTTATTTTTCTTTGAAATAGACAATGGTTAAGCAGTTTAGTGGACACAATGTTTAGTAAATGGACAACAATCATATCATGAGATTGGCTGTTTATTACACTCTTATTATTGTCATATTTGATGCGAATGCGTTCAAGTGGAGTGCTAATAGATTAATCAATATTTTATTAGTTTTTTGGACATGACAAAGTCAGTGTGCTCGATGGTGGTTTACCAAAGTGGATCAAAGAAGACGGTGCATTAGAATCATCTATGCCATCCATCACAGTAGGGCAAATATAATGCATGCGATGGATCCAGCTTTAGTGTTTCCATAATGGTATCTGATTTTATAGCTACAATTCTATTTTCAAAATTTGATGTCTGATATAGCCAACTTTGTACCCAGAAGTCAAAGAAAACAAGGATATGCTGATTGAATGCCAGGAACTCAAGCTAATTCTGACTGATTTTACAAGTGCTAATCCATACACTCTGTTGGACACCAGATCTCAGGACAGGTACTATGTCTGCTGACTTTTTGTTGGGGCTTTTAAAATGCAATGACTGTTTGATAGTCTAAATTTTAATGTTTGCTGACAGATTTTCTGGAAGAGTGGAAGAGCCACGACCCAAAGTCAAGCCAGGATATATTCCATCAGCAATCAATATTCCTTATACCGAGCTGCTTGAGCAGGACGGGACATTGAAGGATGTCAACGATCTTGCTCTTGAATTTGAATCTCGATCTATAGACTACCATAACAGATCTATAGTGACCATGAGTGGGAGCGGTGTCACGGCAGCAATCGCTTATCTGGCTCTTGAAATTGTAGGACATAGTAAGAAAAGACGCATGTTTGATGGAGGCTGGACAGAGTGGGCAATGGGCTCGAAGAATCCTCGCAAACTTTGGGTGTAGTACATATAGGATTAATGGTAGTAAAAGTATCACTGTCATTCTAAACTCGAAATGTGATTCAATGAAGCAAATATGAAGTGTTATAAATTTACAACCGTATTCACGTAAAATAAAATATCAAAATACATGATAAATAGTCATGTTTGATTGGTCCCAGTCTTACTGGACAATACTATTTTATAAACTCATTAAAGCTGACCAGTCTTGATGTTCATTCTTGTACAAAAATACAGAGCGAATGTTTACATTTCTGTTCCAATATATTCCACATCCTTGACATTGGTTCAGCCTCCAACTTTCCTTTCCTTCAAATACTGGGTGACTGGCATGTAGAGTTGCATTCCTGAGATGTTCTCTTGAACTAGAACGCGAATGTATCTGATGTTAGAATACAACAGAGTTTCAATAAAAGAAATAATCAACAACGAATATGCAACGATTGTTTATTCCAAGACAATCATTACAACATCAATACAAAAGTATTTCATTCTACATGAATATGGCTGTAAATATCACCGTTTCACACTGGGTATATGTGGAGTCAGTCCAGCAAAGTCTTTGTTGTGAGCAGTGACCAGATGTTGTGGCCGGGTTTTAAAAACATATTTATGAGTGATAAGATGGACTGCTTCGTAGAATATGTGTTGCTTTGACCGATCTTGTATATTTACAACACTTTGCGAATCCTGTGCAGAGATGTCTGGCCCATTATTTTGATTGCTTATAGCCATACCATGAGGTTGGGTCGAAGCTACTTTTGCCAAGATTGCCAAAGGTTTTAATAGTCCGACTTTACGGCCATCAAGAATATGATTTCCAATGTACAGCAGAGCAGTGTCCTATACTTTGAATCTTGTAAATAAACCAAGGCTAGACAGTAATACCCAAGATGCGATTCACAGGCCAATGCATTATAAACTAAACCTTGTCGATAAACATTTCACCAATATGGATGCCAGAAACAGAAACCTGATTGTCCGAGCCAACAATAGCTTGAGCTTCAATGGATCCTTGAAGTTCTACAAGTATCACAGTATTGGAGGTAGAATGGGTCGGATTGAGCTGTCCGGAAATATGTATTTGCACCATTGTATTACAACTGTATTCACGTAAAATAAAATATCAAAATACATGATAAATAGTCATGTTTGATTGGTCCCAGTCTTACTGGACAATACTATTTTATAAACTCATTAAAGCTGACCAGTCTTGATGTTCATTCTTGTACAAAAATACAGAGCGAATGTTTACATTTCTGTTCCAATATATTCCACATCCTTGACATTGGTTCAGCCTCCAACTTTCCTTTCCTTCAAATACTGGGTGACTGGCATGTAGAGTTGCATTCCTGAGATGTTCTCTTGAACTAGAACGCGAATGTATCTGATATTAGAATACAACAGAGTTTCAATAAAAGAAATAATCAACAACGAATATGCAACGATTGTTTATTCCAAGACAATCATTACAACATCAATACAAAAGTATCTCATTCTACGTGAATATGGCTGTAAATTGGTGAAACCTGACATCAAATTCCAAAGCATTTCAATTCGGACAACTCGAGTAATGTCAATTGTAATCCGTCTGACCAAATGGCATACCAACCCAATTGTTGTATTGCTTATCTTTTACCAGAATGCAATTACAAATATTGTAAAAGAAGAAAAATACAAGTTTTATTCAACCCAAACTCTGGCATGAGCAAACCCCACAAAGTTGCAAGAGCGGCGAGTAGAAGTATAAAGACTTTAAAAGTTTAAAGCGTAGAGATTGCTATATAGCAAAAAGGATTAGACTGCACAAGCTTCTTTGTAAGGTAAGATACTAAAAGTGACAAGAGGCGACATAGAATCCGACTGGTACACCATCAATTTAAATGGCAAAATAATACATAATATAAAGATCAAACGGCAACTTTAGAACAAGGTGGTATCAATGAAAAGCATTCATGTTACAATCAGCGAGATTTGCGACTGTCAGACTTTGAGGTCGGTGCATTTGTAGAATTAGTTGCACATGAAAAGGCTGATGATGAGTTGCTGACAAGCGTTTTGCAGCCACGAACAGCAGTGTGTCGATGTAGCGCATCCATACGAGTAAAGCTTTTATCACAGCGCTCGCACTTGTAGGGCCGAATGCCTAGATGAATACGAATATGTCGTTTTAGATCGTGGTTTCGAGAAAAAGTGGATGGACACATATCGCACTTGAAGGGCTTGTTACAAACAGCAGGCAAGGCTGTAGTACTATCAGGAGTAGTTTCTTGCAATTCACCTACAGCGTATATTGGTGAAGTTGATGATGCTGGCGCAACCGACTGGGTAGTACTTTCCGATCTAATGATAGGAGAGATGCCAGCAGTGTATGATTCTGGTGATGAAGCGGCCGAATGTCCGGCTGCTGGTGATATGAGATAAGAAAGCTCAGGGGACGCAAGTGTCCCGAATTCCCCAATAGATAATTGGTTGACAGTATTAAGAGAGACTAAAGTAGTGGATTCCGAGTAGGATCTTTCACGAGTGACAGAATTGATTAATCCTCGGCTACGATTTCCGACTGGTCGTGTAGCTCGAAGCAAAGGAGTAGCTGCAGATTTGCTACGGGTATGGTTGAAGTAGAATTTACGAGATCCCAAGGACTGGGATGGTTGTTGCAAATGGGAAGCTGTCAAAGAATGCTCTGGAAAATGTATACCGTCTTGGTCTTGTTGAATGCAAAAGTCTCTTTGAGCAATGCTAGCTTTGTCTTCATTAGCCAACTTGAGTTCTGCATACTCTGCCTTGACATCAAGCATGACTTGTCCATCCTGGGCACTGATTCTATCAGTATTGGTCCCAGACACGGCGTCTTGGCTACCAGTGAGCTCATTCAAGCTATTATTTCTGTCAGTTTTTAGAATGGGAGTACATGGATTGAACGTCTCGATTTCAGGCTGTAAATCGAGAAAGCCATTGACGGGAGATTGCAAGCAGGCATCATGAAGCAGCAAGTCATTGCCACAAGCATTTTCCATTGCGGTGTTGTGCTCATTGATAGTACTGCTTTCAAAGACCAAGCCAGCAGATTTTAGATGATGAGACCTTGGAGATAAAGCAGCTAGATGAGGCAGTACCATGGATTGTTCCATATGGCTGGGCATATTACGCGACGTAGGGGCAGTAAGTGAATGATGCATACTCAGTGGACCTAGAGTAGAAGGCATGTTGGTCATGAATGGTGGTGTAGAAGTAATTTGATCAATAAGCTGTTGTTGGAACTGGACGGATTGATGTGGATGGGCTTGCTGTCCCTGCTGTAGAAGCTGCATATCTGATGAGATTGGTAGCGGGATTAATGGCTGGGTAGCCAATTGATGAAACTGCTGCTGTAGATGAAAGTTTTGAGTCGGAGGAAAGTAGTCGTTGGTAGTTTGATCCGGAACATGTGATCCATGTGTAGTGGGCGATGGGTGTTGGTTCAATTGCATGTTCAATGCGTGATATTGCTGCTGGAGAAGCTGTTGCTTTTGTTGCTGCATAAAAAAGGAAAATGGATTTTGATAACTGCTCAGTTGCATAGGATTGGGGTTGAGAGTCAAGTGGTTCTGTTGAATGTGATGACTAAGTTGATCAATCTGCTGCATTTGAGTTAGCTGATAGCGGGGGTCTTGCATTTGGGGCTGCAGTAGCCGGCTATGCTGTAGTAGATGTTCTTGGCTTATATCCAACCCTTGATCTTGATAAAGATCTTGTTGAGGAAGGGATAAGCGCTGACGTATATGAGGCTTGAAGCAGTCTAGATGTTCATGTTGAATGTCATCTGCATGAACAACAAAGCGCCAATCATCCTTGGGTTCAATATGCATGCATTCAAATGTATTGCTCAAAGGAGGATGTTGTACATCACCCTGACTATTCTTACTGTCATGAATATAGGTGGTTGCCGTGGCATTCTCATTTAATATCGGAACTGTGGAGGCTTCGGCTACAGGACCAGTGCGGGGATTGTATGTGGCAGATTGGTTCGGTAAAAATTCATTGTTCCACCCCATCGATCGATGCATGTCTGCAAAGGGTTTATGTTGCTGTTGATGCATATGGAAATGGTGGCTCAAGTGAGTGTGCTCCATATCAATGGTTCCTAGGTTGGAATCTAGCGAATCAGCAGATGATAACGATGATGTTGTTGATAAATGGGATATGGGGCGTGTATGGTCTTGAACATTGGTTAGTGCGGGAAGGTCCATTGTGGATGATAGCATAGAGTAGAATTATAGTGATGATTCAAACGGCTGTAAATGGTAGAGATTTATGAATAGTGCAAGAAATAACTACCAATGTTCTTGTTAAAAGGTGTGAATGGTGGGATTTGGATAAAGGATATGAATGCAGATTGAACGAAATAAGAGAAATAGAACGGGCTTTTCAATGGGTAAATAGTTTTCAAAATAAGACCAAGACACCTTAAAATAGCTCAGGGTAGCCTATACTTTAAACAAACAGTCAAAGGAGTGAGTAATGATACCAAAGAACAACAACAACCGAATTGCTCAAACAGCTAAAACAACAACTAAATGCGTGTTTTGCTAATGATTATTACTGGTTGAGTTGTAGGAAACGGGTTTTGAACAACAATTGACTACTATACAAAAGGATTTCAACGCGTCTTTTTTCTCATCAGGTGCACACAAGAACACGGTTTACAGTGGAATTCTTTCGTGGTTTCCTAATTGAGATTATTTGTTGTAATGGAGCACGTGGGTTTTGCATGGGAATTGAATTATGCAACATTACTATTTGAACTGCCAATTCAAAGAAATAATATACTAAACAAGCTATACTTGAATGTATACTTGAAAGCACATCAAGTGATATCATGTGCTGAGCTGTCTTTGCATGCGATTTTCCCCACAACAATAAAAACTGCATAGCTACAGCATTGAGGTTGCTTTATTGTTTATAATCAATCCACATGAGCCATTTTTCTTGATCAGATTCACTTGTCTGCAACAATTGATTTCCGCAGCTGTAGCAATTTGTGGCAAGCCCTCAATATTATTCTTTGGCCGCTAGCTATGCTTTCTGGTATTTCATTTAAATTCATTGCAAGGGTTTACCTAAGTGTTTGGGCTTATTTTATTCCTTCAAGTATCTTGCACGTTTACACTGCCACGATTGGTAATACAACATTGAATAACCCTTGATAGTCACAAATATAATTCAAATTATTCATTGGCTGCCTGATTTCACGGCTAGCGACAATCGGGAAAACTAAAAGAAAAATATTTTTTTGATCATATACAAGATTCCACTTTTGTCAGTTTCAGAAACATTCTGCAGCATCAAGCAGGCCGCTGCATTTCGGAAGCGCGGACTCTGTAAATTGCACAATTGGTTTAGTTTAGCCTAAGCTCTATAGATGAGCCGCAACACCAAAACTCTCATGTCAAAACAAAACAACACCAGATCAGTAAGCAGTCGTTGCTAGATCAAATGATGGCGTTGTCCTATATTAAATCAGTGCGAATGGCAGATTGCTCAACAGACTGGCTGTATCAACAAGTCACCGTGACACAGGAAACACGAGCAATGAATGGTTCTACCATTCAAGTCAGCAGACAATCTACCAATGTTTGCAAAAGAACATCAGAATGATGGTTGCTGACAACTTCTCATTCATCTCTTTATTCTAACCCCATTATCACCAGCTATAGCCCTAATGCCTCAATTTTAAGCATATCTACTTTAAATCGGCAATATCCATATAGTACGCACTCGGATATGCTTGATGTGTCTTGAAATATCATACAAGAATGTCAAGTTTTGTATCTTGGCTACTGTATCCACAATGGTTTGAAATACTGAAGAGTTACTACAATCGCTGTAAATTTAAAGCCATGATGCACTTTATGGTAATCAGACAATGTTTCACATGCTAATTTAAAGCAGATCTAAAACACAAAACTCGAGTATGGACTGATTGCACTGGCCGATTGAATCAATAAGCATACCATTGCTTTGGTCTATCGATCTACCAACGACTCGCATCAACACTCTAATCACGTGAAATCGTCTAAGATCTACCGATCATTGGACTGATTTCCTCAAACGATTTCTTTAGCAACAAATTCAAATCAACATGGCAGTTGGACTGCAAGTATTGTTTGAACCGCTTACTACTTCCACAAACTATACTGTTCATGGTAACGGACGTCAGACTTTACTTCCTGGTCTAAAAGGCGGTGCTCAGATATATCCTGTCGACGGAGATACACCATCACTATCCACATTTATTACTCCAGAGACCGTCAGCACCGTCAAGTCATATGCAAAGGCACAAGCAGATAAAGTGGCTCGGTCAGCCCCATTAACGACATTGCAGATCATATGTGGTATTGGACTGCATGCAGTAACTCTATTTGGTATATTACCCTCTGCCAACCTTTTGTTTCATCCTCGTCTGATAATGCCTCCACATGGACAAGTCTACAGAATACCTTCTTCCTTTCTTGTTCTTGGATTGACCACATATGATGTTTTGCAAAGGGCTATTGGTCTTGCATTCTGGCAAGCACCATTTGAGCAAAGCATGCCGACCTATCAAGGCTCAAGCCGGCCCTGGATCCCTTCATCCAGCTCGGCATCTACAAATGAAACACCCTCAGCTAAACCTTATCCTGCAGGGACTTCCAAATCCTCACCAGCTAGCCGTCCAGTCATGCCAGAACACTCGGCGGGAAGCATGGTCAAAAAATCCCCAGCCTGGGCATCACTTTTAGCATACATTCAGCATATCAATCCCAAATTCTTACAAACCCAGCTTATATCTGCTGGTATTATTGTGACGATCGAGTTATTGCTTGCTCAAAACTCTCATTCCAGACAGGTCGGAAACTATCTGCATCTCTTTCCATACACACTGTATCCGACACTAGAACACTCCATGCGGTGGCTATGGGCCATGACTGCACACGATCGCGAGTCTATCCCAATTATGGGAGTCGTGCGACTTGAGCCAGTTATGATCCCATTAGTAATGTGTGCCATGGGTGGTTTCTCGTCCATCACTGCCACTGTCAAGGGCCTGTTGGCAGCCATTGTTGCAGCCAAGATTCTGGATATTCGGCGTTGGAATGGAGAGCCTGCTGTAGATTGGTTCCATGCTGTAGCCCTGTCTTGGTGCGAATGGATCTCGGCTCAAATTGAGACTTTGCGCAAATAAAGTATTATATTAGGATTTAGATAATGAGTGAAGTTGGACCATTTCTTATCAGGGTTAGGGCCATGAACAGCCTATTGGCGGAGATGCTTGATAGCATCACGTGTTGGTGTTTGGGATAAAACCAGTTATTTTACCTGCTTGTCAATTATCACATTGATAGTTTAACAACATCAATATGGAGCCATCCCCTCTTATGCGAACGGATACCTTGGCCAAGGTGAGTAGTTTTTATCTATACTTGTATATTTTTCAAATAAAACTCCAAAGCCGCTAGATTCCTCGTCCTAAGCCATTCGAGGCTTAGAACGAGTTTGCTATCAAGACAATTTCAGATACGAGGGAAGCCGTTGCTTTAGCTGTTGTCGGTTTGGCAGATGGCATGCTGCCGCAACCGTGGCATATAATTATCTACCAGAATGAAGAGTAAACTTCAAGAATACTCATCATTTACAGCTGTATTCACGTAAAATGGAACACTCTTGCAGTCACTGCTTTTGCTTTGAAATGGAAAATGCTTAAATATTCATTGTGCTTATTAGAAATTGATTTTAATCGACATCCTCAATTCTTTGCAACATCCATTATATAATCAAAATATGGTTTTGGACTGACCCATTTTTCTTGGATCCTCCTTTCCCATTTTTGGTATATCCATATATTGTATGATCACCAAGTATTGATTTTGATGTCTGGTGCTGTCAATCAAACTCTACTTTGTTGTATTCTAAAATATCTTACGTTTGCGTTCTAGTTTAAAAGAACAAAGATTGCACGTTTTGTAAATGCAACTATACATGTCAATCGTTCAATGTTTGGTGTATAAAAAGAGTTGAAGATTGAACAAGCGCCAAAAATATGCGATTTACCGGAATTGTGGTGTGAACATTTGCTCAGTATTTTTATACAAAATGAGAACAGGCCAGCAAACTGTCAAAATTTGTATGGCACAATGCTCAGTAAATTTGGCGGAAACTAACCCAATCATTTCATGAGACTGGCGACTTGTGTACTTTTATTTTACGTGAATACAGCTGTAATGGCAATAATCGGTGTTTTCAGATCACACTCGTTGAATATTAGACTGCAAGATATTGAATATCTGTTTGTTTTATTGAACCAATTCACAAATTTTGATATACTTTGTAAATCTGGACAGTGAATGCTTTTGCTAATATGCCTTTTCATTTGTCGCAACTATAGCTCCTTAAAACCAAAAAGATTGGGGTTATTGGAGCACTTGCCCTTATATTTAATGCTGCAAGTGGAGTAAGTGGATCGTTTATTTGGAATTGTTTGAAATGTCTTGTTCAAGATTGACAAATTACTAACGTATTTATCCAATGCGATTTACAATTCTAGCCTGGAGTTCCGTTTACTGCGTCCAACTTCCATTCGCCAGGCTTACTATACACTGTGCTCATATATCTTTTTTTCACGGCTATATCAGCATTTTCAGCACTGTTTATCATAGAAGCAATGCAGGCTATTCCTGGAAATTTACACTTTCAGGTAAATTTTTAAATTTAGATTTTGGAATCGAATGAAGTTGAAAATGCTGGAAAAGCGATACAATGTAAACAAAGCCTACATGTTTTTATATCCTTACTATTGAACTTGACGCGAAACCTGCTTATTTTTAATAGGGTTCTGTAGAGTATGCTACTTTAATTAACTTTTACTCAGGACCATGGCAACACATTGTTGGACAAGTGTTTTTATACGGAGCACTTCAATCAAATGCCATTCAAAACATCGTTTTGGCGTCGCAGGTAAAACTATCTGGATTTTAATCTGTTGAAACCATTAGACTATTGGCAATACTGACTTTACTTTTTTTTCATTGATTTGCATGGATTGCATGAATAGGCATCAGATCAGCTGCTAGTTGCCATATTTGGAAAATCATGTGGTCTAGCTATTGACAAAGCAGTCACTGGATGGGTGTGTGTTTCTACAAGTGGTGATTTGCCGTCGCCTTTTGGATACACATTTATGCTTTTTACACTTGGATTTCTGGTAAAACTATGCTTATATTCCAATATTTTTATAGATTACTTTTTGCTTAAAAATGATATCTGTTTGATGTAGATTGTCATGGTAATGGTAATCCCATTTGGAGTCATGAATATTGATGATAATATGGGTATACAGGTTGGTATGTCAAATACTTTATTGACTTTTTTTTCAATGTTTTGAACAGACTCATTATATTGCCTACTTACTTTGATCCGATATATGAATAGGTGCATTTATCGTGTCTATTGCTATCCTGATACAATGGTGCTCTTCATCGATTGCTATAGGCTTGGATGCTCAAAAAATGCCTATACTTGCTTCGCCCAGCTGGTCCTATGGCCAAGTGACTGGAACAGTCATGCTTAATCTTGCCATCACAACAATCATTCCATCTTGGATTAATCTCAAGGTGTGCTGTTTCAACGATGTTTTGATTCATTTGTAATTCTTATTAATCAAGTTAAACTAGAGAAAAGATGTAAATGTTCAAAAAGTTGTTTGGCTATCACTTTCATTTGTCACTGGCGTATTTATTACATTTGGTGTTTTTCGTAAGTTTTGACCGCATGGTCTCAGATAGCATATCAGTAAACACTGGTGTGCTGCCCAGAATTCTGTGATATTCACTAATGCGAATATACATATCATGTGAATGTTTAGTTGCACTAGGGTTTAATATTGGACCATCAAATAATATTCTTCCAGTTCTATCCTCTATGGGCCCACCTGTGATTTTGTCAAAGATCACAGTGTTTTTGTTTGCATATGTCATGCTGATTCCATCAATTCCTGTGAATCTCATCATTTCAAAAGGAAACTTGTTTCAAAATAAGATCACGTCGGAAGGTTTGTTTTTATATTGTAAAATGCTTGTTTTTAAAAAAATCATTTTTAAATCAGCACTTATTTCTTGTCGATATTCGAGCATTTAGGTATTGCAACTGTTCTCGCATATATCGTTCCTTGGATTGTCGCAATCCCATTGCAAACAGGAGTATCCTTGCTGTCTTTTCAAAGTTGGACCTCGCTTATATTTGTATCAGTTTCCAATTTTATTGTACCCATGATGATTTATTTAAAATGTCACGAATTTAGACGAGGTTACAATAGAGATAGGAGTGCGTGATATTTATATTTCTGTATGGTTGAAAATTATGACAGTTGTTCATTTTAATGGAATTGCATTCAAATAAGCTAATCACTTGGATGCCTTTAATTATACACGACTGAATAGTACTGACACCAAAACAACGCGACTTGCTCAAAAGTATTCATGACACTTCAACTACAATTAAAAACTTTATTGACTTGCCCAAAAAGAAAAAAAAGCGAGCCCATAACCGACGGAATCTTGCGCTCAAAAATCAATCACCTAAAATACTTGAAGTTCCTTTGTCAAAACATGAGGATAAGTCACACTCATTTAAAATCAATACTAGTGAAAGCGATCACGACGAATCATCAATTGTAGCTACATGTCCAGTTGGATATCCAATTGTAGTCGAGTCTAGTACTTTGGATGTGGGCTCAGCATCACCATCACATATTCATCTCATCACAACACATCAAGAGCTACCACAACGAGAAAATAGCGTTTGGTTTAAAGTGTCTGGGCCAGACAATGATGAGGTTTCTTCTGAATCTTTGCAACGAAAATCTTTTGATGGGTCTGTGCATGAAGTTCCTTGCGTGGATCCGACATCTTGCACGGATAGTGATGATAAAATATATTTGGGCGAAAGTCTTGACGAAATTTTGAGTAGCATTCATGACGAAACCCATGACGAAACCCATGATACACCACATTATTTATTGATGGATGTTCCAGATCCAGATATGGAGTACCTTCAAGAAACCAATATGCGTTTAGCTCAAACAACACGTCGATCAACTGTGGCTTCATTTTTTGGAACGTTGGGGCGACAGCGGAAACCGAATACAGCGCGTGATTCTGATCAGGACGAGGATTCGGTACATATGTCTAATTTAAATCCACCTACTCCACAGCAACTGCGTGCATCTACATTACCACGTATTAACAGTGAAGCTGATACAGCAGATGTATTTTCACCCTTAACTGTGGATGTCAAGGGTAATACACTGCCTACACCAATATTGAAATTTATACCCGCTACTTTGCAGAGCGAGTCTTCAATAGCATTAACACCAGCGCAATTGCTGGCAGCACCAGGTCGATCAACGCGGTTTCTTGAGCCAGTTATCAATACTACTTCTGAATTGTCTGACGGCTTTCACACACCCATTAAAAGTTTGCAAGTGAACTCGGCAGTTTCATGTCACTCTACAAGTACCACAAGTCAATCCGAATCAATGCTTGGTGACGAAGAAGGTGGGTCGTTTGTCAAGGGCAGTGCCATGGCAGCCAGACTAGCAAGAGCACAAACACTTCCTGTCAATCCTCAGTTCAAATCACCAGCCTTTCGCAGTGTGCCTAAATGGATTCCTTTTAGACCGAAACATGTCGCTTGGGTGATTTTGATTATAACAACTTTGGTGACAGTCTCCAACGGTGTGCTCAATTTTATTTCACCTTCATGAATAATAAAAGTTTATAGATTTAGGTGCATATATGGTTGTAATACACTTTATCTAGAGTTTGCTTTATTTTCGTTTTTGTTCCTATTGTTTTTCACACCATGAGCTCTAATTATTTAATTCCAACTAGTTCATGTGCATAACTAATAAATATGCTTATAAAAATGACATGTGTTCAGTTGTCAAGATCAATCCAAGATTAACGATTACTGAATCTAGACTTTGTTTTACAGCCATATTCACGTAGAATGAGATACTTTTGTATTGATGTTGTAATGATTGTCTTGGAATAAACAATCGTTGCATATTCGTTGTTGATTATTTCTTTTATTGAAACTCTGTTGTATCCTAACATCAGATACATTCGCGTTCTAGTTCAAGAGAACATCTCAGGAATGCAACTCTACATGCCAGTCACCCAGTATTTGAAGGAAAGGAAAGTTGGAGGCTGAACCAATGTCAAGGATGTGGAATATATTGGAACAGAAATGTAAACATTCGCTCTGTATTTTTGTACAAGAATGAGCATCAAGACTGGTCAACTTTAATGAGTTTATAAAATAGTATTGTCCAGTAAGACTGGGACCAATCAAACATGACTATTTATCATGTATTTTAGTTCAATGTTTCATTTTACGTGAATACGACTGCAACAAGAGAATAACCGGATTTCATAAATAATCTTTTGTAAAGTCAACATTATTTAACATGAGCATTTCTTTGAAACCAATATTTATTTCAAACTTTTAAACCATTTTGTGCAGCCGCTCAGCAATAGCCAATTGAGTACGAGTGAGATTAGCCAAATAAACCACCATGAGAATATCTTGCATGTGGCTGTTAAACACCTTGGAGAATTCTGCAGGCTTTATTTGTGGGATAAGAGAAACGGTATCCAAAAGATGGCGACCGAGTGTAGCATTTGGCTTGGTTTCGCCAGAGAGAATCTTTTCGACATATGCGCATACTACGGTAAGCATATCGTAAACACTTTTTACAGATTCTTCCAGGTTGTCCAGATCGGAAGTCAATGAAGCTTCCATGCTTAGTGATTCGGTTGCTTTAACAAGAACATCCATGCTGCTTTTATCTGTAGATTGATAGGAAACGGGAAGTTGTACAAAAAAAGATCCCGGTTTTTTAGAGCCTGAATACCAACAGATGGACTATATGGTTGGATTTTAAA